TGGAACCAAACAGAGGAAAAAATAAACAAAAGCAACTGGAAATAGCCTCAGGGGCAAACAGCTAAACAAACGCTTTGTGGATTATTCTTTTTGCTTGATTCCTCTCACGTTTTTAGTCTGGTGGGAGGTCAGCTCATGCACTCTCTGGAAATAGGTGAGTGAATTGAAACTTTTACAAAAGATGGTCATGGATATAGCACTGCATGAATATCATGTGCAGTCACCTATTTAGGATTTTTTTACCCTTGCAGAGCTGTAACATTTAATGAAATTTTGAACAATGAGGCAGTGTGCCTTACTGTTTATAATTTGGCTTAAAAGACTAGATAAATCATGGACGTGGTCTAAGTAATGTCACCAATTTGATTCATTTATTTCCTGCTTTAAATATAAGCACTTTACTATATGAATTTCTTTGGCTCCTTTCATCAAACCTCAAGTGGACATTCATGGAACTGCAGCTTTCTGCAATGATGTCATTCTTAAACACAATAAATTGCTGCTTTTTCTGCCATTACACTGCCAGACAACAGACCAGCTGGAAGTAAAGCAACAAAAATATGATCCTTTACCAACCTTCCCACAAACATTTTCTGCCAGTAGTACTGAGAGGAAAAGTCAGCATCCTCTGCCAGGGATTTTACTCGTCTAGTGTGGGTGGATGACGTGGTGGGTGGCCATGGCTCAATGCAACGCACTTCTGAGCAGCCTTTGAGTTTGCTTCAATCTGTCTGTTATGTTGAAATAGAGATTCTACAGAATTTAAACATAATTGTTTAAACTCTAAGGAGAACCTTTAAAGCCTTTTCTTGGACTACACTAAGGAAATTTAAAATTAACAGGTGTTTATTACCTTGACTAAATGAGTGCAAAAGCTAAAAAGATCAGAAAAGAAGGATTGAACAGCTGGGTGATCATCTGATCTAAAATTAACATCAAACGATTGTTTCTCTATTAAACCCACCCAGCTGAATATGTGTTTTATATCTGCCATAATTTGTACTTTCTGTCTGTGTGATTGATTGAAAAGTTCTCTTCCAGAGACAACTTTTAGTTTGTTATGGCCGATCACTGAGGAAAATTGTTAAGTCTTGGTGTGATCATGCTCTATTTTTGTAAGTGTGCAGCCCACTGTGTTGAATTCCTCTTCACTACAGAGGCCTGTGTGGGATTTGCACGCGTAACATTTCTAACCGGCTAACAGAGCAGATCTTTACTGTTGTTGCACTAACTGTTTTGTGTTGTTCTTTAGCAATAAGGGGATGGTTATGGTGATGAGACTAGGTTAATTTCTATTTTTTGAGTGGGTAGCAACTGATAAACCAACAATCGCATGAGAAATTCATCCTATTGATACTTCGAGCCGCTCAACTCCGTACACAAGGTACTTGAAGGAACATAAAATGTATTTGCAGAAAAAACTGAAAAACCTTGTAGCAAGGTGTTTTGACATGCTTCACTGTATCTGTGATAGAGCAGGGTTACATTGATCTCTTTAGAAACTCCAAAGCTCAACATGTCTTAAAACAGGATTCAGTATTTATTCTTTAAGACTCAAGTTTGATAAATGTTAAGATCAGCTGTATTGCATTAACTGTTTTGTAGATGTTTTTCTGCCTGGTGAATAAACACAGAGTTTAAGAGCCTCAACTGTCCTCTTCAACAATTTGTATGGTTTAATATGTAAGGTAAGTAAAAGAACCTTCTTACAACTAAAATGACTGCAGAAGAAAACTATCTTCCACAATGCTGCAGGGTTTATAATCTACTCATTACATCAGATAGGAAGACGCCCTTGATTTTAAGCAAGTACTCTTCAGGGCTTTTCAAAAGTGTTTACTTCCTCTTGGAGGTGCATTTAAAATACAGCCAGTGGGAATTAACCTTCACTCAGTTTATTATCTGTGTCCCCTAAAAGGTGCACCACACCCCAAAGGTTTAAACTGCAGGTTAAATCCATGTTCAGGAAGCGCTACTTTAGTGGAGTAAATCTATGTGTAATCTGTGTCAAGGAAATTGCTCCCATGTGTGTTAATGCTACTGACAGCACTATTAGGCTCTGGTATTAATGGCTTGCTGAAACACACAGCTAAACAAACAACTGCCACAGCTAGCTTACCCAGTCTTTGCCCCGAGGGGTCTCTTCACAGGCTAGAGATGTTACTCAGCCTCACGTACAGTAGCAGCTGCGCTAACAGTAAGTATGACTGGTCTGAGGTGCTAATGGTTATGACATGAAAACAACACCATTAACACAAAAATACTGCAACAATGAACTGTACTGATTTATAGATGTTAAAAAATAGCACCACACGCCTTTGGGGAATTTCCAAGAGGCCCTCCGACAATAATTCAGTGATGTTTATAACAACAAAAACATACCCCAACGATTGAGTCAACAAAATGAAGCTGCTTTACTTTCTGTAAATAAACATTTATCAGGAAATGAAATGTGAATCTATGATTTTCTAAATGAATGCAATCATCTACCTAAACTACAATAGACAGCACCACTTATCTTTAAAGCAAGTGTACCCCTCATGACTGAGACCCGCTGCTAGAGGGACTCAGCAAAAGTTTCCTATTTTGCACAAAAGTTGGAAAAGTTAACCAGCAATAGAGACAGAGTTATGCCTTTTTAAGACAATGGTTATCACTACAGTAGACAGATAAACTGCAGTCAAACAGCCATAAATATGGAGGCCTGAGAAGATTGTCTTAAAATGTGTGGGTACTCATCGTCCATTTGCCTGATGAAGAATTAGGACTGAGAACTTGCTGATTCATGTACTTTTATCAAGTTAGATGGTTTTACATTTATCAGAATACTACCTTAATTGCTTTATTTACACACATGATCATATTTTATCCCATTAACATCTCACATTTAAATTTCAAAAGACACTCAAAGTATTTTAAGTAATTTTTTTCTTCATAAAAACATGATTTGGCCTTTTTCTAAGAACTGTCTTGTTAAGGGTGGAAGGTGTCAATCAGGATAAGACTATATTCAGGAAAATATGGTATCCATCTGCTTATCTTTCTGAATACTAAGTTTTTGTACAAATTCATGTCCATTCTATCTAATATACGCTGGAATCTCTTAATGAATAAAACACTTCAATAATCTTTCTGTCTTTTAACTGTAAAAATCCATCTCTGAATTTATGTATCTGCCAGTAAGTGTGTATATAAATCTTTTTTTCTGCATGTGTGTGGAAAAATGACAAATTGATTAGTTTTTTGTGTAATCAGCTAAAAACAGCCTGCAGTGATTTAACTGTATTACTATGATTATAAATAAAAGAACAGATAAAATGGGATCTTCTCTTGTTTTAAATGAAACTTATTAGTAACCGTTAAGGGGAAGCACAACTTGTGTCAAATTTATATAACTTATTTTTCAATGCCTTTGTTGTGAGAGACTGATGCTTAAGGAGATAAAGAATTAATGGAGCATATAGTTTTACATTCTCTTGTGGACCATGTCATCAGTTATCAGTCATCAGTCCACACTAAAAATACAACAGTCAGCAAGAGTACATCCCTGTTATTAAAATCATCTTTTTTTCACCTTGCTCCTCATAAAAAAGGGAAAATATAATCCAAAGGAAACATGCAAAGACAGAAGTAGTTTTCCAAAATATTCCATAACTTCTCTGTGTAACTGAATTCCCCCCTAAGTTCCCACTTCCTTCCTCCCCCTGACACAAAGTTGCTGTGGTCTCAGACTGAGCTCCCCGCGGGATGAACATAAGATATGTCCATGAGATACACGCACACACTCACATGTATGTGTGAGTCAGTGTGAACATTATGTCTATATGTGTTTGTGTGAATGCGTAAGCTTCACACTACATTTGTGTGTGTGCTGCCAGTGTTCTATACTGGATGTGTATGAAAGCTTTGCCTATAGTGAATCCCCAGAGGTGGGAGCCTAACCAAAACATTTAGCTGTCAATCACTTTGAGCCACCAACCACGGTCATGACCCGGGAACAGGAAGAGGCCTTGTTGTCCCTGAATGGATCTAACCGAGCTTCTCTGGAGGGAGCTGTGTATATAGATATGTATGTGTGTGTTTTACTTGCTATTCTGTATTGTTTTTGTTTGTATTGTGGGAGTTCAGGATAAGTGGTGGACTGCTTTAGACTGACTTCTATGACAAGCTTCAATCAACAAAAGGCAAATTAGCTTCACATGGCAGAGCTGTTAAAATGTTGACTGTGAAATAATATACGTCTTTCTGCTGAATTTTCCCAAAAATCGTTCACTTATAATTACACTCATGGGGGAATATTACATTTCACTGCATAAACTGCATCTAACAACCCTGTAATTTATATCCTTTTAACTCATCCAAAAGTTGTATTATTATTGGACTGACGGGGTATCAGCTATTGCAAAAGTGGGACATATATCTGAAAAAAGTCTCACCATTATTACCATTATTAGTCTCACCATTATTACTTTTGGTAGCAAAATTTGCTAGGGAGCCCTGACATATAAACGAACATCATCAGACCACAGATTGGCATTTAATGTTTGATGCAGAGTCTGTATTTGTTTTTTCAGTGAGTCATGTCCACTGAAAAATTACTATCAAAACTCTTTGTTTTTGGGTCTTATTTGTGCAACACTGTTTACTAATGCTGCTTAACTAATCGTGCTTTGAGTTTTGGTAAAAATCAATATAAAGATTCTTGGACTGTACCATTATGTGATGAATTTATTTGTTTACCAAACTTACCTGCATGGGTGAAGGTAAAGAGGCTTCTTGATTCATTTCACAGTGTAGAAAAAAATTACAATATAATCAGCTGATGTTGGCTCAAAAAGGCTAACAGAACCTAGAACACAAATTTGTCACCATGTTAACATTGGCAGATCTTGCAGCTGGAAAGTTTCATTCTTGTATTTTTTTCTTTCCTGTGTATGCATGCTTTACATGCTCTATAGCTATAATCTAATTATACTTTCTTCTGTTCTGTGTAAAAGTGTGGAGGATAGCACCTGGCACCTATAACAATATTTATCCAGGCATGAATCACTGTTAAGGGACTTTCTCTTGACATAACCTGTTTTCTGGCTCCCTCTCCCTGCTTTTCCACTCCTCATACAAGACAACTTAATACTAATTAAAACAAACACACAGTCTGAAGGCATTATCCACTTTGGAGATAAGTGGTGAAGCTGCTAGAGACTAGAAATTAAAGTGAAGTACTTTTTAAAACAGTAAGCAAAGAGTTGGGAAATACAAATTAGCACAAAATCAGGGAAAGGAAGACATCCTGGAGCTGCTTTTTCCCAAATGATCCCTATTTATCCTTCAACTTACAGTACTGAAAATGCTTGGGAATACCTGTGTTTTCAAGATGAGCCAATGATTCAGACTATATCAATTTTATGGGTTTCATTAATTTGATAAACTCTGCTTCAATACACAGTTTTACCTCATTACAAGCGCCTTATTTTTCCCAGCAGCAGTTACAATTCCATCATCAATAAAGACCGATTTTCTTTTCTCTGTCAGTATTTACGTGTCGCTGGCCTCAAAGTGAGTTTTTGGAGCGTCCTGGTGTGTGATGAAGTATGTGAAAGGTTGACAGAGGGAGTGTGAGAAAAAGAACAGACAGAGAGACAAAAACACATGTACTGTGTGTTTGTATCCAAGCCAGTGAATGAAATATGTGGCCTTAAGTGTGTAACTAAGGGAGTGTGTGTGTGTGTGTGTGTGTGTGTGTGTGTGTGTGTGTGTGTGTGTGTGTGTGTGTGTGTGTGTGTGTGTCCTGGCACGTGTGAGGTGGTGTGTGGGCGTTGAGAGGGAAAGCTCATAAAACCCATGATCACACTGATGAGGTCACGGGGAGTGAAACCGGAGAAAGCCTTTCATTTCCTGTCTCATTCCATCCCTCTCTCTCTCCTACCTCCATTCATCCATCTCTCCTCCACCCCCCAGTCTGGACTTCACGCCTGTTATTCAGCACTGATGCCAAAAGTCAGAGTCTATCTCACCCTTTGACTACCTAGAAAGTGTCATCAAAACACTGAAAACAACATGGAAGAGATTCCTGTTTTTTACCAGTGACTGATGATTGTGAAGCAGAAAATACATCTTGGTTGTCACTTTAAAAGTCATCCCTCTGTCTGATGGTTTTCCTCCGTCATTTATTCTGTTATGTAATTATGTAACAGGTTTTCTTTGTTTTTCTTTTTTGCTCATCAATCAAATATTAACAGGTTTTGACTAGTGATACGTTACTTTAAAAGTTTATCCATTTAAAACTCTTTCCTTTAAAATGTCAAGATTACCATTTAGCCCTGTCAGGAAGGTACATTGTCGCCATGTGCGAGGAGACTAAAGGCCTGCCTCTGGTTGGCTGACTAAAAGTCAGGTTGCGTCAGCATTACCATTTCCTTCGATTCAGAAACCTAAGTTGATTGACACGTGAGTTTGTAGAGGAAAACTTTTAATAGAAACCCATCTCAAATATACCACTGAGGGCCACTTTAGGAAAAATAAAATTTAAGACTTTGAGATTAAAGTCACTAATTTACGAGAATAAAGTCATTACTAATGAGAATAAAGTCTTAATAAAGTAATTACTTAAGAGAACAAAGTCGTACCAAAATCATTACTTCCGTGAATAAAGTCGTAATAAAATCATTACTTATTAACAAGAATAAAGTCGTAATAAAGTAATAACTTAAGAGCATGAAGTCATTATAAAATCATTATGATAGGCTACTTATGATAATGTGGTGCTTATGTGCCTAAAGATTAAGTATCTCCTTGTTTGACAAACCTATATTGAAGTACATTTTCATGAAATGCTCCATGGTTGTCATTTCAACAACTGTCATCTTAAACAACAGGTTAGAATATAAGGACTTTATTCTGACTTTACCCTCATAAGTGATTACTTTACTACAACTTTATTCTCGTAAGTAATTATTAAAACTTCATTCTTGTAAGTAATGATTTTATCATAATTTTATTCTTGTAAGTAATTACTTTATTGTGACTTTATTCTTTGTAGTAATGACTTTAGTCTTGTAAATTTATAACTTTAATCTTGAAGTCTTTTTTTCCTAATGTGGCTCTAATACTCTGTTTCGCTACATTACGGATGCAAGTGAGATATACCAAACAAAATTTTAACTTTAAAAAGAACTGGATGTATCTGTTGTTCTACGTAGCCACACTGCATAGAGACAACAAGGTGGGAAATTGCTGGTTTCAGAAAGTGAAAAGCCTATTTAATCCCCCACCAGATGTTGTGAGTCAACATGCGAGTGCAATCTTTGCTAACACTGTCAGAGCGAACGTGTGCAGACCTCAGAGTGTCGTTCTTCACACAGAGCCGGCATTTGTAGCCAAAGGGAGAGCGTATTGATGTCAGTGGTCACACCGCTAACCTGGAGTTATTTTCTGCTGGAAAGAGAAACCAGCACTTACCATCACGATCACACTGCGGCAACCGTAGACGTGGAACAACACAAAAGAAAAGAAGCAGAGATAGCTCACAGCACAGACTCTTCAGCAAAAGAGAGTTAAGGGAGAGGTCTATAATACCCCAAACTTTACTTTTAGACAGCAGGTATGCTGAATTCAGCCAGCTTATTTACGAGACAAATATACTTTTGAGTGCTGTAATATTTTGTATGCACTGCCTGAGGAAAAAAGACTGCACCTGGAAATGTTCATATATATCTGCTCAGGTGTTAACACGCAAAAGCTGAGCCCTTTAGTGTTTTACTGTAAAAATATATAGCTTTTGCCTTAATAGTATAAACATCATTTTTTGTTGTTGTCCTCCTTTTGATCAAACAATTGGTTTTAAATAATTGTACAAGGGACTATTTGTAGTCTTTCAATAAATTGCATTAACCTCTTTGGATTTTTCTGATGAACAATGTGCAGGAAAAACAGCTTTAATCTCTTATTATTACAGCAGAATCATGGGTAACTTTTTGCCAGTCCAGCACAACTTATTTGTTGTAAAAGGAGATGCAACCTCTAGCTGTTTGCTACTCATGTTTTTCGGTAAGGTGGTCCAGGTAATGAGAGAACAACAGTGAAAGCTATTCTCTTCTCAATGTTTGCTTAGCAGGATGCAGAGTTGCTAGCTGTGAGCACCATTCTCTCTGCTGTGCAAAAAAGTTTGAAGATGATGTTTTTTTTATCCACCTGTGACTCCACGGCTGGATCTTGGAACAAAAGATGATGAAACAGACCCCTGCGGGACAACTTGAGTTCATTTCTCCTTGACTTTTAGAAGCTTTGGACTTATGAAACAACAAATAACTGAGATGTTTCATGCTAACCATCAATTTTCCTCACATTTCAACAAAACCTTAACACCTGAGCTCACCCCGTAACACAACAGAGGATAACAGAGAAGTACTCCTGCAGTCACTTTTCTTCTTATCACAGCCTCATTACTGGTCAGTGTTTGACAAACACTCTGAAGGGCAGTCGCCGGCTGCCAGATTGCCCGTCCCATCTGTGCGCTCACGTTTAGCAAAGAGAGGAAAATTAAAGGCAAAGAAAGTAGGGATGATGCTGAGGGAAGCTGCGTCTTTTCGAGAAATACATAAGTGTCTCAAAAACAGAAACAGTGGAAACTTCAAAACGAGAAATTGTGCCAGGCTGCAGTGTGTCAGATCAAAACAAAGAAAAGTCAAACACAAGAAAAGACAACAAAACGACAAAAGGAGTTAACATCAAATAAAACAAGGCACCTTGATTGGAAGATGGAAGTCCTCTTGGAAAATAAAAGTGAGAAGATGAAATACAGTATGTAAATCTACCCTGTATATGTGTAGTCTGCTCAGATCATCACTACCCAAACTGCCACTCCTGATTAATCTTGATCGAACATCTCTTTGTGTTTGTGTGGATAGAATATATTCTATTTGTTGCTCCAAGGGGAGGTGGAGAAGCTGCAGCACTAACAGTGATTAGGTATTCTGCATTCAGTATAATGTTCAGCGCAGGGGACCTCAGGCTTTCTCACAGCCATACTTCATGTATTTTTTTTTATTTATTCCAGTTTCATAAAAACAAACAAATTGGATAATGTGGATGGGGAGTCTGGGATTAATTTTGAAGCAGCTGATTAGTGTGTGTTTGTGCGTGTGTCCTGGGATAATTGTGTCTGGGACCATGCCTCAAAAGCCTCCGGGCTGTACTGCAGTCTGGAAGATACAAACACTCCCCCCTTTTTCCCTTCCTCTTCTGTCTCCACCCATCCCCCGTCTTGTCAACTCATTCTATACCTTCCCACTTAGGCTCATTTGGAGGAAAAACTGAGGTGAATCAGTAAGAGTAGATTGGAGTGGCAAAAAGAGTGCACTAATTGCTCCTCCTTTATCCTCTGTCTTCAGGCCTTATTCTCAAAGAATATTGCCTTGATGAATTCGGGCATGCCTATAAAAATTTGCAGCTCTCTGCAGTTTGCTCTTGTTTTGTTGGGTTAAGCTGTCAGCATCTCTTCTTTCTGCTGGCAGAGCTGTACTGTTTCTAAAAAAGTTGAAATCTATCAACAGACTAGAAAGAGTGTTTTTTGACTGATTTAGTGCAAATTTTACCATTTATGTTCTATCAAATGTGCCCGTTCAATCTGATTGTTAAAAAAATGAAAAGGAAACAGCAATGGCTTGAAGCTGTCTCAATGATCCTGACAATAGTGGGCAATAATACACAAGCCTTCACATGCACTGTATGAATTAAAAGCTTTTTGGTCTAAATTGTCTCAACTTTATGTCCCTTATTTATCACTTAACAGACTTCTCCTTTTTCTCCTTGTTTCATTCAAACCCTTTTTCATTCATTTAATTTCATTCTTCTATAACACGGCTAAAATTCGCTGAAATCTTCATTTTGATTAAATCTTCATCAAGAGTGCAAGGTGAACAGAAAATATTTTTATTTCTTATGAATCATGTTTTGAATCCTCCTTTGCAGATGAAGGCAGTTTTGAAAACTGTTTGAGGTAACATGTAGAGTCCTTCTGTTTGTTACTCAAGTGCAAATAAAAAGTTAAGTCCCCTCTAAATAACAAAGAAAGAAATACTTTCCAGACCATCATAGCATTACACATACCTAAAAAAAATTATGAGTTAGTAGAAGTAAACAATGTTTAATGATAACTTTTCATGACTGCTTTTATTACTATGGATCACAACAATAGCAGCTGAAATGGAACAAATGGAACTACAGCTTAAGTGTAAACAGTAACCACATACCCTCGAAGCCCCCTCTGTTGATCAGAGGGCATCAGTCTGTGCTGATAGTAATAATAATAATAATCAATAAACTAGAGTTAGGTTAGAGGAAAGCTCCCAATGTTACACAGGGACAGTGAGAGAAGTACTGCCAGACACAATGATCTGTCAGCTGTAGTGCAGTTTGGTTTACGGTTATTTCCCTGAACCGTAAAGAATGAGACCATTTGAACCAACGGTCTTTTGAACGGAACAATGAAGTGTATTACTGCCATACGCAAAAAAAATTTTTTAACAGGTTTTCTGTTAAAAAGCATCTCAGCACAGCTGACGGGGTTATAAAATCAGTTCTGAACTCTTTTCACTGTAATCGTTATGAAACATTTTACCTCCTTGTGACCTTGTGTGTTTTTTCTTTAGTAGACAAATCCAAATATGGGATATCATTCAAGGGAATCAAGTGTTTCTACTGCAGGACTCTGATCAGGTCCAGGCCAATCCTTCCCCTTTGAGGGTCCACATTTAGTACCCGGACCTCCACCCGTTCCCCAGGTCCCAGAGCCAGGCTGCGTCGGCGCTGGCTGGCTGGCAGTTTGTCCATGGTGATGCGGCTTTTGTGGATGAGACCCGAGCGACCAACACCGATATCTACAAAAGCCCCGAACAGTGCTGTGTTGTCCACCCGGCCTGTCAGCACCGCGCCCACCTGTAGATCGTTCATGGACACAACGCCCCGTTTAAAGTCCGCCTGCCCAAAATCTAGGGATGGCAGAAAAAAAAGAGTGATTTAAAAAAAAAAAAAAATGAGGTAGCCCGATGGAAGCAAAGGGGAGGGATAAAGGAGGAGGGAACAGGTACGGGTGACAGATGGCACAGATGTTTTTAAGAAGAAAGGGGGAGGGAGGGGGCTGCAGGGAAGCCAGGGATGGGGCAGAAATGACAAACAGATATTACATTTCCAGTAGCAACCCAATACTTGGGACTGCATACTTTCACATTCATCAGCATTCTCCTCTCTCTTTCCATTCGGCCCGTTCATGAGATGTGTTCTTCCTTTTTGTAGCATGAACACAAACAAGGAAGACCCGTGCCTCAGGAAATAGTCCGATCCAATTATCCTTCCTTCAACACTGATTTCATGCGGTAGCCTCGGCCCATCTGTTTACTCAGCTGAGCACTGGTGAGTAGGCCAAGCGTAGTGTGCTGCAACCGAATAGGGCCAACCTGAGAATGAACCTTGGAGTTGTGTTCCTTAATTTTAAGAAGAGATGGCCAGCAGTGACTGGCTATCCGGGCTTGTCATCTTTCCCCTTCGTACTAAACTGTTTCAAAATGGAGAGCCTTGTAGAATTATCTGACAGACTCCTTTGGAAATATATTTAAATGGGGATTACTTGTTGCCGTAGGGCACTTGTAAAATTGTCTTGGTTCAACAACAAAGGACCAAGAGCTGTTACTCTCCAGTGTAGGTCAGAGCCTTTCACTGGATTATTTTCAAGAACTGTTTCCTCTTGAAGTTGTTTAAATTGGAGGGGATGAACTTAAGAAATATCTTCTTAAAATACTTCAACCAAGTTTCATCATTTTTTAAACAGACCCAGAGGAAACTTCACCAGCAAACAGAGGCATCAGAGCTAAATGACATTTTAAGGCAGGAACACAATCAACTCAGTTTCTTCAGCACTAAAAGACAATTTTTTGTACTTTTTTGGATTTAGCTGCAAAGTATACACAGCCTTTATCAGAGGAAAACTAGCTTAAGCGAGACAAAAACTCTTGAGAACTCAAAAGTTTGTGTATCTTCTTGTGCCTGAACTAAAGCGTGTAAGATTAAGGAGAAAAACAGGTCTTTGTGTTTTTGTGTCTGTCCAACAAACACAGTCTGCTGGACCCATCACACCCTGTCAGAAACTTTGTGTTGTTGGGCCACAGGGAGCAAGCCACCGCACTGTCGGATCATATTAAGTTACACTGCCAAGACATGCCTATCATAATACATGGACATGAAAAGTCAGTGTATGTTTTAACTAGCAAACCAGTCAAAGAAATGGACAAGATAAAAGTTCAACTTTTTATCAGTCCAAAGGGAACTATGAAGAAAATCACAAAGGGAGGATGACAAGGAGAGGTTACTATCAATGGTTTGTTTCAGAAATATGCTGTCTATGAAACTGTATTAAATTCAGTATAATAATATTTCTGCGTTTAGTAGAAATATTGCTAAATGAAATATGTGCTTTTGGTTTTTGTTTTTGTTTGTGTTTTTGGATCGATCTGGATACCTATAATAGGATAAAAGGGTGTCTTTGTGAGCTTGTGTGGAAACAATATTCAGCTACTCTTGAATTTGGAACATTAAAAATCTCTAGAGGTTGACTTTTAATGGCTAAATCCGCTTTATTCTCTCTCTTGGGAAACGTTCTATTAACACTAAATTCTTGTATTTTTGGTTCATGTTCTACAAAACCACATTTTGGTCTTTGAATCAAAATTTCAGAGCAGCTTTGAGTGGAAAGGTCTTACTTTGTCTGATGTCAAACCCAGGAGGCTGCGTGAGGCCGTCTATGATGAGTTTCAGCGTCTCAGGTGTGGTGTCCACTGATCTGGCAAGTTCCTCCACGCTGCTGATCCGAACCTTGCTCTCCACACACTGTTGCAGGCCCGCACTCCCAATCTGGTCGACACTCCAACCCACAAGAGAAAGAAATCTGAAAAAGAACATTTGTAAATATGTAAAAGATATCACCATGTATAAAGTAAAAAACATGAATTTACACTATGTTGCAAAAGTACAAGAAAAGATTTGGATAAAAATAGTTCCTGTCAAGGTTAAAGCATTACAGCACAGGTAAGCAAGGCAGAATGGAAGAATGGATGGAGCAAGGTAGGAATCTGCAACAGGATGGAAAGATTGATGAGTCTTAAAAGTGAAAGGTGGAATTGTAATAAAAGAGTGAAAGTGTAAGATGAGAAAAGCATGGCTTTCGTGCAGAGTGCGGGACAAGCTAAGCTAACACAGGTAAAGTGAGAAGGAGACGGGGTGAGGAGGGAGGGGAGGGCAAGAGAGGTGTGGGAGTAATTACACCCCGAGTCATGAGCTGTCGAGGTGGAGCTTTTCGGTTCGAAGAGCACAAATACACACATTTATTTCATCCCCTATTAAATCAGGTAAACCCACAGTGGGCTGTAAACGCTCTGACACCTTCCCTCATGAAACTGCCTCCACTTTGCTAAGGTTGGGGTGTTTGTTCATCGGTCAACCGCTTGGAAAATCTCCTCCTGTCACTTTATTCTAGGCAGGATGTCCCACCTCCAAAGTGTCTAGACAGTAAGTCAAGTTGCACATTTATAATTCGCAGAGTCTTAAACTTAAATCCAAACTAATTAGTTCGAATTCTAAACAGACCTAGCGATAATGATGGAAAACACTGGGAGTATTGTGCATACTGTATATATCATTTACAGTAGGCACTCTTCACAGCCGGTGATAGATGTGAATGCGTTTGCCTCTATGCATGTGTTCGAACCAGCCGGATAGCGTCTGTGATGGATGTCGCTCACTGGCACCCTGACGCCATACAGACTCCGCAGCTGTCTGCCCCCCAGTGATGGATAGAACAGGTGGACGCTCACATATGGGAGCATACACTCACACAAAGTTGATTCATACACAATGTTGTTCAGAAATGCTCGTTTGGCAGTAGCAGGGACAGTACGGATGTAACGGGACACGGCTTGTGTACAAACTATGTATGAGACAGCTGTGAGCGCAGAGGCCCCCTGCCAGCAGAGACACAGTCTATGGTCCAAAAGCGGGAGACGAGCGGAATCAATCCCTCAACACCAGCAGGCAGGATCAGTGTAAAATAGAAGCCGTGTTTGTGCCAGAAATGGCTTAGTGGTGAAACGGCACCTTTGGGCCAAAATGGATGCCTGTCTAACACTAGGATCTTTTCTCCCTTGTCTCCCTCGGCTGCTCAATTTTCCAGCAATATATCTCTTAACAGGAAAAGAAATACTTGCATCTTGGTGGCCCTAGGAAGTCATAGACGAATATCACATTGCCCACTAGGTTTGAATTCATCCTGGAGCCTTCGCTGCATTAAATTCATCTCCCCTCTCTGTTTCAAACAACATTTCCTGACTTTCTTTCTTGTCAGACTTGATAAAATACCAAAAAACAGTGTATAAATCTTTACAGGGTAGGTCATCTCATGCACTCAGTGGAGTATAAACTCAAGCACAAGACGAATTTTATACTACCTACCAAAGTATTAAAAGAAAAAGTATATCATAAGTTTCACTTCTTCAAAACTCTCCATAGACGGTCACAGAGATTTGACAGGAAACTTGAGAAAGGGCTGTCAACCAAGACTTCCAGTACTAAGTGAATTGTACTGTTCCTCCATGGGAGTCTTTTCTGAATGGCTTCTTCCTCTGCTCATACATCATTCAACACATACATGCATTAGGTAAAAAAAAAACATAAAAAAAAAAATTTAAATAAAAAAGATTCAAATACTGTTGTACTGTCCATATTAGGCCTGTACAATAATGGAAAAAATACCCTGAGATATTTCTCTGCAATAATATAAATGTACAATGTGTCGATGTAACTTAACGCAATTAAAAGTTTCAACAATATAATCATAATTTTTATCATCTGAGTCTTTACGTCTGTTTTCTGCTTTCACATGTGATCTCCTCCTGATTTTACAACAATCGGCCCACCCATCTGACAGCGGCTCTGACTGCATAGTAGAGAAACAAGGGGAGGACAGACTATGAGTGGACTGACTTTTAGATGCCATCAACAGTTTCTGACGATGTTTTTTTTAGTGACACTAGTCCCATGACAGTTACTCTAATTGCACATAAAATAACTGTCCTCTTCTAAGCTACAGGTGTAGGCACTAAAAGCAAACACTCTGTGGTCCCATTAGAGGTTTGATTGTGTGGCCACATCGTGACAAGCACCAAGACAAGATTATGCATGTTTATGTTGACAGTCATGTGACACAGGAATAGAGACTCTGCATGCACAGCCGTCAGTTCTCCATGTGTTCAAATCAGGGGCTGTATTAGAGCTCATATTTTTGAGAGGAGGGGAAGAGTGAATTAAGAGCAGCCTGCATTCATGGTTCGGGCCAGCGGTGAGCTCTTTCTGGTGTGTAAGTATGTGTGAGTGTGTCCCGTCTCATTTTTCCAAGGGTGTATGTTAGTATTTAAGGGGTACTGGGAGTCCAGAGGCCTCCACCACTGTTGGGTGCATACTCATATAATTACTACCAACACTTTGAGTGTGTGCGTGAGTGTGTGTATATGTGTGTGAAAGTGTGAAAGTGCGGTTGGGTGGGCTGGGATATAGATTTTATCCAGGTCCACAGCAAGAGCCCACTCTTTCTTGTATTATGGAAATATTAGGGTCCAACTGTTACATTTCAGAGAAATATACACCATAGAACAGACCCCCCCATATTTCAGTAATACTGTATATTTGGTGGAATGAACAACAGTGTCTAACAAAAATACGCTATTTCAGAGAAGTTTCTATGTTTTCCTTCTTATGCCATCTATTTCTGAAACTGGGGTGAATAAACTGAGTGTGTGCTTTGGTGCTCCTGCATGTGTGTGGATGTGTGTTGTATTTGGTTACAGAAAGGGAGTGATGTGTGGGCTGAATGCAGTAATGGAGGATCTAGTTTCTCTAATGTAATGAACCTGATATTCCTTGTACACCGTAAAGACACACAAACAGCATTCCTCCACAATCCTCCCTTCAGTCTCTTGCTCTCACCGGTTGTAGGTGAAGATGTAAGAAGAGCAATGAGGCATCTTAATGATGCCCTTAAGAATGGGTGATTTATAAGGATGGAGTCTTTTGAGTAGAATAGAAAGATTCCCATATAAAATGTAATGCTGATTCTGAATAATACTGTTAGTAATATGACATAACATTTTAAACTAGAAAATTCTGTCTAGGAAATTTTGAAAGGGCCATGGGGGCTACTGCTTTATTTTTTATATTATGGTGAGATTCTTTAGAGATTTCAAATAATTAACACTATGAGTACTATCATATATACTAATACAACTAATACAACTAAAACTACACTTCTTTTTCAAGTATTTATGTATACAAAAGGAAAAAAAAAACAGAGCTGGAGCAGTCGCCATTTGAAATAATTGGGCTTGTCCCATTGACATCAGTGCAAAGGAGGATAGGTCAATAAAAATTAAATATATCTGCCCTACTCTTATTAGCTTTTTGATGAATTGTATGATACAGTAAAAGCTGAAAACACTGACTCATAAAGCCACATTGTCACACTGCTACAAAGATAAGCACAAACACAGTACCGCACAATCAGCATCAATCTCTCTTCGCATATGGGCACATATTGACACGCCCACCCACACACATGCACTGAGGCCACTAAAGGCGCATCAACATGTGGGGAGCGATGCTTAAAGCCTCTAGTGTCAGAACTTATGTAGACTAAACACAGTTGAGTGACTACAGCTGCAGGAGAGAGAGAGAGAGAGAGAGAGAGAGCCCCCCTCCCTCTTTCTCTCTCCTTGTCTCTGTTTTTCTCTCACACAGCACACACACATTTACACACAAACATCCACAAACACACATACATACAACACAAACAGAACACACAAGTCATGGGTAGTTGTTCAATGTGCTTTTGATATCAGCATCAGCCGGGGTAACAATCATTTCTCACACAAGGACACACAGTCGAACAGAAATACACACATACAAAGCCCACACCTCTTCTCTTGTATCCCATGTCTGTGTAAATCAAATCAGAGTCCTTCACCACTGTAACCAGCCCCATATGAGAATGGTGTCAAAATCAAGTCCATCTTAGTCGGAACATGCTCAGGCCAGTGGGTTGGCCGCTGTATAAGTGTGTGTTTGTATATTTTTGTGTGCTTTACCTGTGTGTGACATCGTAGGACTCAGGGTGAATACAGGTCTGGTCCAGGGGGTTAAAGGAGGTAGGGATGTTGATACAAGATTTTCCTTTGCCCTTCTTTGCTGCTGGTTTCTCTTGCATTGTTGATGCAGGGTGAGGTGAGGATTTGACACTGTTTTGGTGAAGATAAACAGTAGTATTACATCCTAACACAACTTTGTAAACTGACATAAAAACATGTATCTTAGATTGCCACTATGAAGAACAGTGTAATTTGAAGGACCTCTGTGATTCAGTGCATCTATACATAAAAGATTCGATGTGTAATTTTTTAATATATTGACACCATTATCAAATATCTTTAAAGATCATAGTCTTTACCAATTTCTTTCACAATATTTTTCAACTATTTGATGGAAGGACAAAACAATAATTGTTTTTGACAGTTCTGGTGTGACTTTCATTCAAAGGGTTTTCTTTGCCTTTGCCTGATAATATGTTAACTTGCCTGTTCTTGAACAAATACTAATCACTGTAGGAGCCTAAATGGATTTCATTATGTTTTTAATACTCAAAGTTTATGTGTAAAAGCATAATTTAGATGGTAAATTCATCGAAAAGGATACTGTAAAATAGTTACAGTTTTTACAGATGTATATGTCAAAGTTCATAACGCTTCAACTCAATACACTGAGTGTTCGAGGGAGCATCAAACTATGGCTTCATTAAGTGGAAACCTACATTCACTTATCTTTTGCTTAAGTAAAATATAACAACTCTTCAGCTCATTGCATTTCCAGACATTGTTGTAAGCCACTGTCTGTTATAGTTTGATACTTGTTTAATATCATTCAGAGACTTCATCAGACAATATCGTGTTTGTAAATCACTGATTTGGTTTCAATGTCGCAGGTCAACTCAAGCCATAATATTTTGCCATACTCAGAGAAAACAGACAGCAGATGATGTTTTTCAGGTTTTGAGAAATGCATAACCATGTCCTTAATAGAGCTGGGTTTTAGCGCCTGTCATACTTGTACAGACAGTTTACATACAAATATGTACCTGTGTATGGTTTGTGGGTTGATTCTAATAAAGCCGGCACACTGCTGGTAGCTCTTGGGTCCCATGCCTTTCACCAGCTTGAGTTGCTCCCTATTCATGAAGGGCCCATTTTGCTCTCTCCATTCTGCAATATTCTTGGCCCTAACAGCATTTAGACCCGCTACATGCCTGGGAGACAAAACAACGAGAAAAATACGTTTTCACCATTAATCACCATTACTTTTAGGAGATTTGACAAAGAAGGTTGTGCTGATCCTGTGCTGTGTAAATTCATCCCGTGTTTGCCGGGCAATGAAAAGAGGTGATCTGAAACTTAATTAGGTCTGCTCTGTTAATATCCAGAGTGACTCACTGGCACTGAAACACGCAGCCATGTCAACACTCAACATAATACCTCAGTCATCAACACGTCTCTGAGTGTTTAATGTGTGGATGTATGTGCAGGATAACTCTTGGCAGGAATGGAAAAAGGTCTCTTAGAAGCAGACAGGTAAACAGATGACCTGATGCCTGCCCTGCAGCTATTGCCAGCTCATTTTATACTGTTTGGATCCACTGCAAGAGTGTGTTTATATATTAAATTCATTGACTACTAAAGCCATTTATGACTTAACACACTTGCTTTTCTTTCTCAATGGTGTGTGTGTGTGTATGCACATTGCCTCGTCCCATCTGCTGATTACAGTTTGTGCAGTAAATAGTGCTGCAGTAGTTTCAGCAGAAAGCTGCCAGGCTGTCTGTGTGTTTGTGTGTGCGTAAGTGTGAGTGAATCTTTGCCATGTCTTGACTGCAGAGGGAAAGTATGTCAGGGGTCTAAAGGTCTCTATTCCTCTTCGTTACAATTTGTATGTGTGGTTGTGTGTACGTGCAAGGAAGTGCTCGTTTGGGAATGTTTGTCATGTCATTTACCTCATCAGTACCTCAGAGCAGATGTTGATATCCACCCCAACAAAGCTCACACATTCCTGTACCACACCATCCAGCGCTGCCTTCAGAGCTCCAGCTGACACGTCATGCTACAAAAAACACAGGGAGGAGCAAAATGAATATAAACAGACATGCAAACACATCTAGTAAACACCCACAAACAGAGGGCCCCATGTCCACAAGTGGGGCCTGTGCACTCAGCCCGGCACTAGACAGCCTGGCTTTGCGATGGAAGAGTGATGGTCCACAGAGGCATATACTAGGAGGGCCGTACAGACCTCCATGTGCTAGCCGGAGGTACTCGGACTACTGTTAGGTACCAGGATGAGATCCTTAGACACATTATCAGACTATATTCAGGTGCAGTGGGCCCTGGGTTCTTCCTGGCTGGGGTGTGTCAGCAGTTCCTGAATGACAAAGACATCGGTGCTGCTGACTGGCTTTGCCTCGGACCTAAACCCACCCAGCACCTCTGGGACATCATGTGTCACTGCAACTACTACTGCCACATTGCAACACAGACTGTCCAGGAGCTAACTGATGCCCTAATCCAGGTTTCGGAGGAGATACCCAGGAGACTATCCTTCGACTTATTAGGAGCATGCCAAGACATTGAAAGGAGTGCATACAGGCATTTAGGGGCAAAACAGCATAACAGCTATCATTTGGTCCTCTGCAGGTCCAGTGTTCAAGATAAGTGATGAAATTTCATCCTAACTGAGATAAAACCCAGCAGACAGTTAGAAATAAAATACAGAAGGGTTTGATTTGAGGTTTGATTGACAAAGTAAAAGGCCAAGAGAGATACAGACACACGGAAAAATAGAGAAGAGGAAAGAGATAGCGGAGAGGAAAATAGAGAAGAAGAGAGAGAATGTTTAGTTTGGCCAGTCGACAATGTCTCCCTCCAGATCACACAGTTTCCTCATTTGTGTAGCTCCCTGTCAAGATCAGGATACACCAAATGAACTCCTCAAGCTTTTTCGAACACTCCACCATTAAAAAGGATATATTTCCACAAGAACTTTTTCTTAATTAGGAGCAGTGAGGACAGCCAAAAAGGAAATTAATGGGAAGGGAATCAGAGAGGAGAGGCCGGTAACTGATATGGTATGTGACATAGAAAGTCGCATACTATAAAACAGTTTTGCTAACGCTGCAGATATTCACAGAAATGATCAAAACATAACAGCAATACAGAATTTAAGCAAGAATGAGGTCCAGCAGTCACCCACAGACAGACAGACAGAAGCCCCGGGCAGCAGGATGGGTCGGCAGTTCAGCTGGAGACTGATGCCTCAGCAACTGTTCAAGGATTAGCTGACAGTTTGAACCAGACTACTGTTGAGCTGTGTGTGTGTCGATGTGTATTGCTGTGTGTGTCATTGTGTGTTCTGCATGCAAACGTGACAGAGACTAGCAAAGGGTTGTCTTGTAACACGATCAAGCTATGAGCAAACACTGGCTTGTAAACTGACGACAACAACACCAGTGAGCAAACACACCCTCTTCTGTCAGCAGTGAGAGACCAGGAGGACAGATGAGGACAAAGAGGGAGACACACTGACTGAGTTCAAGAGAAAGAGCACTACTATATTTTAAAACAACTTTAACTGTATCTTATGATCAAACTATTATTTCCTTTATTATTTCTACAATTTCCTTTTCAGAAAAAGGTAATATCTGATTTCAATCTATTCAATTGTAGCCATTGATATAAAAGAAAATATGACAGAGTATTAGGGCAATATTAAGAAAACATTTTTTTTTAAGACTTTGAGATTAAAGTCATTAATTTACGAGATTAAAGTCATTAATTTGTGAGAATAAAGCCATCAAATTACGAGAATTAAGTCATTACTAACAAGGATAAAGTCATTACTTAAGGGAATAAAGTCGTAATAAAATCATTATGATAGGCTACTTATGATAATGTGGTGCTGATGTGCCAAAAGATTAAGTATCACCTTGTTTGAGAAACCTATATTGAAGTACATTTTCACCAAATGCCCCATGGCTCTCATTTCAACAACTGTCATCTTAAACAACAGGTTAGAATATAAGGACTTTATTCTCAAAAGTAATGATTTTAGTACGACTTTATTCTCGTTGGTAATGACTTGAAGTGTTTGAATTGTTTATTCTTAATGTGGCCCTAATACTCCATTGTAAGAAAAGACAGCATATCACATATATCGCAAAAAATCCCACTGTGTCACAAGTACTAGTACTCTGCAAGTTAAGACTTACAATAAGTCTAATTCAGTTGTCTGCATCAACATGCTATGACAATCAGGGCTTAGTTTATTACTTTCAACCCCCAGTCATGTAACCACTGTATCACCTTGCTGTTCAAGGCTTCAAACTACCAAAGCAGCTACTGCATTAAATTAACAATCATAATTATGGATAAGCAAACATGGATGATTGGCATGTTTTATTACGTTGGTATTGTTAACATGGATGTTGTGTTACAATATAATCTTTGAAGTCGAGGTCTTATTTAGTTAACTTTTGGCTTGTGTCAATTATAAAACATTTAAAGTTTCTGTTGTTACGGTTGGTGAACTTGAAGTTGTACCCAACACAAATAGTCATCATGTTGACTCTGGCACTGCTGCTACACCCATATCATTTTAAAAAGTTCTCAAATGCACACATGTGCTGTGATCTGGTTCCAAATGATGTGACAACACCAGCTAGAATAAATAAATGTCCATGTGTCAACCTTAGGAAGATATTATATCACAAACACCTCTGAACTCTGTGACAGGGGCTATCTCTGGCAGGAGCCAAAAACAGTTGAACTACTTAAGCTCAGTTTTTAAATACATAAAATCAGAGTTACGCAAAAATGTATATTCATAATAATAATTATAGTAATAATGCATTTCATTTATAGGCATCTTTCAGAGATGTAGTTCTGAAGATATATTACAGCACTCCTTGTGACGCCTAAATTGACCTGCACTATTCCAATTTTTGTGAATGATGAGACACTATAGCCAGAGGCATTTTCAAAACAATAAAAATAACTTTAACAATAAGAATTTCTCATTAAACTACAGGTGAAAGTTTTATGATTTGCACTGAGGGTGTACAGAAAGAGGAGCAAGAGATAATCAGAGAGAAGATAAAGGAAATCATCTGAAATGTCACACTAGAAAATATTTTCACACGAGAAAAGTGGAGGTGTGAGTTTTTACCTGCTGTAATCCTCTATGCATGTGATCTCACATTCTTATTGAAACCTTAGAGAGGTGGGAGCCACAGGAGCGGACCATAGGAATTATAACAGCTCACACAGAAGTGCACATGCACTTCTATACAGATCTAATCCAAGATGAAGAAAACTGAACTGAAATTAAAAAACACATCATATGTGGCTGCAATGGTTAAAAACAGAATGAATAAATACAACTTTGGGTCAAGAAGAGTACAGTATCTGATATCTAAACCTTCCTCACTGTTCATTGTAAACAGTCTTGATATGGTGAAACTGATTGAAACGTTTACAGGCCATGGTTTGTTTCTAACTACACAGAAGTGTGTCTCTGGCTCCAGCAGCAGTGATTTATGGCGACAGAGTTGGAGTGCAAGAAAGTAACTGTTCCAATAAATATGCACTTTCTGCTCTGTTGAATACAACTGCAAGATTCAGTACGTGAGGACCTAAGACCCTTATAGGACACGTCAAAGGTTACAATGGCACGATTGTATCTTTTTATCTTGTAATATCACTAACTTTTCCTAGTTCTCTTGTTTCTCTTACGACGATGAGGACTGGCTAATGTGCACCAGATAACCATAAATATGAAACATCAATGTAACTCATAAATTCTGTTTCACTGAAGCCTTGATTCATCATTTTTATACACTTTCTTATGAAGACGTTCAATATAACAAAGCTTTGCCATCACTGCACCTTTACAGCTCTGATGTTTACTGTGATGCTATTTCTCTGTTACACTTCTCAAGTTTTTCAAATATATCAAGGTATCAGGAGCAGAGCAACTCTACCCCCACATTAGCCTCTGCGCATTTCCCACTACAGAGGTAGGAACTAGGGATGCACCGATCCGATATTTGGATCAGATATCGGCTCCGGTGTTGACAAATTAACTGGATCGGATATCGGATGAATGACGCAGATCCAGCGTTTTGATCGAATCATTTTTTTTTAAAGTCAAGCCTAAAGTCAAGCCTCATGCCTTCACTCACAGGGCAAATTATACAGTTCATTCATTCAACAGTAGTATTGGATAGGTATCGCATATTGGCTGATACGCCCAGCCCAAGTATCGGTATTGGATTGGAAAAAAATGGATCGGTGCATCTCTAGTAGGAACTTTCATTTTTCACATTTATCTTGCGTTTTTCAGGCTGATTTTGCCAAACGTTAAACATATTATTAAAACCATCCAATCCTGTTTTTTACTACCTCTCCCCTAAGGTGGGAAGCCCTCTGTCCCAGGACCCTAGACAGATGGAACTAGAAACATCGGAGTCAATTGAGAGGTCAGATATACCTTTTAATGAAAAGGGTTGAACGCACACACCCCTAGTCTTTTAAATTCCCAACCAACTGTGGTGAGAACTCGAAAAAGGCCCCACAAGAAAAAATCTGCATCTTACTCATCTTTCTCATGAAAGAGCTGCAATCACTCTGACCATTTAGTAACGACACAGCTTCATCTCGAGTTACTATGGGGAGGGGAAAGTCAACACAGAACAGGATTTAGGAACATGAAGTTAGATACAAGTTTAGGTATACCAATGGAGTTTCACAGAATCAAAACCTAAATCTATTCATTTCACACTGCCTTGACTTCTACATTCCCTGATTCAAATACCCAGACCCCAGACCTCAAAATCATCTAGAGTCAATGGACTGGATCCCCTATGTGTGAAGGTCATGTTTGGATTGGCGAGAAACCAGCTAGAACCAGCCAACCAATACACAGGAACAAAGTACTTCTGTCTGCACCTTGAGCACTTAAAAGCTGCTGAGTTACCACATGCCAATCAGAGAGAGATAGAGAAAAAGAGGGTGGTGAAAAGGAGAGAAAGAACGGAAACTAAAACAAGCGTTCTTCGTGTTATTTCACTGAGAACCCTTAAAACATTGATTTCTTATTTCTTAAACGGAAACAGGTTTCCTCTGTAATGTAAAGCTCATGTATAGTCAGAATCCAAAGATGACAAATACAGAAAACCAAATAGTGGGTGGAAATCGTGGTAAAGGTTGTGCAGGTGATTAGAGTTGAGGTGATGAATGACACTGATTACCCAGGCCTATGGACTGACAACAGCTTCATGAATGAAGTCACTTACAGCTTGGACACTTGGCGCATGTTGAAACCGGGATAGCCGATGCCTACCAACTATAGACTTACACTGTACTCAGCTACTTTTGGTGCATTCATTCAGGGAGATGAAAAACTTGGTCCCCTTTCGCAAATAAGGATCATTTCATACAGGGGTCTACCAGCCAAGGACAGGCTGGTTTGCGTTTTACAACCAAAAACGTTACCACTTAATCACACCAGTGACTTTTCAAAACATATATTTTCTTCAGTTTAAAAGGCATGTTGAATTATTTTTGCAAAACATTGAAGGTATTCCAAGAATAGCCAACACAGTAACTCCCAGGTCAGTGACCTAAAAAACACTTTTCATGAGGAGCACTTTCATGTGTTTCCTATGCTCCCACAATTTAGTACTGCCTGGTTTCACAAGAGCAGATGGTCGCCCACCCAGAACCAAGTTCTGCTCAAGGGTTCTGCCTGTTAAAGGAGTTTTTCCCTTGCCCCTGTTGCCAAATACTTGCTCATGGTGGGAATTGTTAGGCCACAATAAATAACATAAAATGTTACAGTCAAAACTTGCTCTATAGGAAAGTGCCCTGAGAAAACTTCTGTTATGATTTGGAGCCGTAAAGAAAATTTACTTTACTTGGCCAGAGAAAAACAATCAGCGCCAGCTAATACTTTACAAAAAATACTGGGACTGTGGCATTTGCCCACACACAGGGACTTAAGTATCATGATTACAAAGCATTCCTGCCAATGTAAAGTCAGGCTCTGAAGGGAGATGGATGGATGACAGATGGACTACTATAAAGGGGGGTATCTGAAGTGGGGATGCTCTCTAGCAACTAACTCCTCGTCATCAAAATATAAACATATATTCTGACAAACCACCTTGTCAGGATGTAAGAAAACACTCAGTAAACTGTCAAAATTGAGGACAATTTATTCAACATGGCTAAGCGGTGAGTCTGTCATATGATACAGAGCCAGGTGGACTTAAAGGACCTGGTAGGTTTTGGAATCCACCAGAAGCATTAGCATATAGGCCGATTAGTAAATGCCCCTCATTTTGCGTGCACTAATAAATGTTGCTCCCTGCAATCTGCAGTCATTGTTTTTCAGATGTTTATCTCTGTAACATCAAATATATAATTTCTCCAAATTTCCTTCAAATATCAGGATTTCATTTTCAGGCAGTATTGCCCACCCCTACTGACTCATGTATGTGGTGCTGACTAGCGAGAGGGACAACGTTTGATCAGAGTGAAAAAAACAAGACTCTACCCCAGACTTGCTTGGGTTATGAGAAAACTTAATTGTAAGTATTTAAAGTTTACTATCTTCTTTGACCTCTTCTTTGTGCAGGACCATGAACATTTATTTCCCTGAACTTCATCACTCTATTAAACTCCTTCATGAGCACACATAAGCCTCAAGTCTTACTCAACAGACCTACATTTTTTCAACACTCACTCTCTCAGGCCCTTGAGACTCACCTGTATGTGACTCACAGCTTGGGTTAAAGCATGTGTATTAATGTGTAGTAGTCTGAAAGTGTGCATGAATGTGAGTGATAATACATTCAGAGTTAAACACTGGTCATAAATCAGCAGCTGAAAGTGATATGACAGCAAGGAGATGGTTTTATGTTTTCCCAACACCTTCACGAATGCCTAATGGCTATTTCTCTACTTCCTGCAAAACAATCGCACACTCGCACTCCCATTACCTGAGGGACTGTAAAACACAGCGTGAGAAAATTTGACAGTAAGTTTTAAGACAGGCACAGGAGGGCACAGAGAGGCTAAATGACAAAGTGACTCAGTTATTATTTTAAATGTGACAAAGTCAGTTTAGACTAAATAGGCTAAAAGCATTTTCATTTATTTTATTTCAAAAAGAGTAGAGTAATTGAGGCAAAGTAGTTTTCTCACACATATCAGCTAAGATCAGCTAACTGTGGAACACTATATCCTTAACAACCCGCAGTCCTCTTTTTGAACTTTCTTTAACTTTAGTTTTGCTCTCCAACAGCTGTTTCAGTTTTCTTTTATGTTAAACTTACGAACTCTTCCACCAGACATACCTATCTCCATTGAAGGCCCTCATTAGTCTAAGTATCTTGACATGACAACAGCCTGTGATTGTTTGTTAAGTTGTTGAATAAGAAGAGAATTGGCATGAGCTTGTTTAACAACATTACAAAATGAAGCGTACAAGCCTCAGTCAGTACACACACACACACATGCGATGACAGACCTGCGGGAAATAATTAAAACAGTCAGAGACAATTTTTTGGCAGACTCTGCCTCTGATTAAGTCTTTAAGAGCATGTTTTTCACATGCCTCAAAACACCACGACAGGAACTATCAATCAAAGTCAACCTTCCATTTCTCACTCTCCTTCCCTTTCTCAGCTCTGTCTGCTCCTGCCTCCCCTGCAGGCACAATCATTCACAAGTGAAAAATAGCTTGCAAGACTGCATGAATATTTGCAAAACATTACTTGCAAAGGACGTATAAATGAAACCTTCGTTTGAGTAGACTGAGTCTAAGTCACTACAAATGAATTTTTCTGCTGACCTGGCTGAATGCCTCTGAGGGGAAAGTCTGACCTGAAGTTTGCTTTTTTCTCGAGCCTGCACTGAGAAGGTGTTGAGTGGTACGAAAAAAAATAGAAAGGAACAGAATGAATTTAACACAAATGTCTTTATATGAACAGAGAGAGCAAATGAGACAATCAGAACCAAGTTATTTTTCAGCACTTGTCGCCTTGGCGACTCAGCTGAGGTCAGACAAAGCCATTAGCTGCCGGCAGAGCAGTACAATACACAGGATATAAAAAGTTCCCTGTAAAAGCACCAACACTTGTTTTGAAACCTCATTCACTCCATTGATTAGCATGTTTTGCTGTGACAAGTTCATCAGTGTGTTCATACAGACCTATTTGAGGCTGACTCAACTGTATTGATAGAGGCCACGTGTTGGTGCAGTGGTTGGTAATGTTACCTTACAGCAACAATGTTCCTCCAGCTACCTATCATAGTCCAATGACATGCAGCAGGTCTACTCATAGGAGGCCTCAAAATTACCCATTGTGTAAATGTGAGCATGAATGGTTATTTGTCTCTTCATGTCTGTTGTATGATTGGCAGGTGACCTGATACTGTCGTCTCCATGTCTCCATGTAACAACTCAAGATTCTACAGTCACCTCTACTGTACCAGCAGTAAATGTCTGGAATAGAATTAGCCAATACAATAATACAAGCCACAGTAATCGTGAGAGACATGAGTTATTTCTGCATGATCATGTCAATATGTGTATTCTTACAAATCAAGTTTCCTCAAGTATTGACTTTGGGGTTAAAAAGGGAGGAAGTAAAATCATTAAAACAGATTAAGAAAAGTTCCTGACCCTGTTAACCTGATTGATGGTTAAATTAATGTGAAAATAATGTTGTTCAGAGTCTTAAAGCTTCATCTTAAGGGAAGAAATTACTATGACTATGATGCTCATTTTTAATGTAAGTTCAAATAAAAATATAGAATGGGTAACTACTTCTCAATTGGATTTACAAAAGTGAAGAAAAAGGTGTGAAATTAAGTAATAACATTTGACAAAGTAATAGGAGGTTAAATCTTTTATCTATTCTGCATACAAGTGGGTTCAAGTGGAGTGGGTTCAAGGGACAAGAGCCAGAAAATTTCTAGCAATGAGATGAAGTGTAACAGGAATGGTTGAGAGAGGTGAGAGGAAGAGTGACAGTTTCTTTAATATCCGGCTCAGGGGCAATGTTTTCTTACACAGCAGTGTGTGTCTGTGTGTGTATTTTTCAGTAGCAGTTAGTTTTACAGGCCTGGGAATAACCCAGCTGTCAACAGACTATAGCAACAACAAGAGGCTGATTGACAGAAGAAGGAGCTGTCCAATGGCCACACCCATTAAGTGTGTAATTATGAGAGACGACAAGTCTCCTGAAATGTTTGTCCATTTAAGATTTCTTAACTTCTTCCACAGGAAATCCCAAACCTTCCACAGCTATACGTGCATTAGAAATGTACAGCGCAGAACGTAACCACTAAAACTCAAATGACTTTTACGCTTCATTCAAACAGACATGACTGGAAAACTCAGTATCCCGAGAAAAACCTGTCAGCCAGTGGTGCTGTAGTGAAAACACTGTTCCCACACCAATAGTTACGTCCAATCTGATTTTAATGGGCCTCACTTTTTTAGCCCTCAGCTCATTTCCTCCCTTCCCTCCGAGCTGTCACTCACTGAGTCAGCATAGGGAGAGAGAAAGAGAGAGCATGCTGTGCCAGCTGTCTAGAGTTACATCTGCCCTTCTGCTTTCTGGGTCTAACAGCAATAAACTTTCAGAAAGCCTCAAAACGCCATGATTCACACACACATATAAAACAAAACCTAGCTACAAAACACACTCACACTTGACTGAACTTTTTGCACATTTTTCCTTCGACATGCACCCTTATACATATGTGCAGGCACTCAGACTCTAAAAATGGGCAAGGAGGGTGTACAAGTGTGTGTGTGTGTGTGTGTGTGTGTGTGTGTGTGTGTGTGTGCGTGAGCTGACACGCAGGGTCAGAGTGATGTCCCATCTCATATCTGTCAGCACCCGGAGTTTATTTACCCGGTTATATTATCATTTGTTGACCTAGTCACATGATCTGAGAGCGGGAGGTGCAGAACCCCAGGCACCCCAGAGAGCCCAGTCAGGATGTGATGAGAGACACGGGCCTGTGACCTAACACACTCACATACACACAGACACACATACACATACACTGGCGCAAGTACAAGCACATGCACAAGATGACCTCTAACTTTCTCTTTCAATTCTTCCTCATTTTTCTCCTCAGCCATCATTTCTTTTCCTTTGACTTTTGTCACCCTCTGCTGTCCTTTTCTGACCCCTCCTTCCTTCTCTTCTGCTTCTCATTTGGGCTGACTGTCCACTGAGATTCTTTACATGTTTACAAAGAAGTGGGCGCTATCTTGGCCAACACAGTGGATAACTAGTAAAAAATGGTTTGTATCTCAGTAATTATTATTGGGAATGTAATGGTGTTGAAAATTGTTGCACATAGGAGACAATTCACTGATGAAACAAAAAACTTAATCCCAATACCTTTTTTTAAACAGCAGAGGGCATTGCCTTTAGACTTGTTATTCTATAGCATTTTGTTGCCTATGTCTGTAGCTAAAAAGAGCCATAAAAACATGTCAGGAGCAGCTCATGATTTTGTAGTTGAAGGGTGCATTTTCACACTAATGAATATATGCCAAACACTACCATATTGAATTGCCTTCCACTATGTGTAATCATGGATGATTTCTCTCCCTTTATGTTGAGTTAATGTTGTTAAGTAGTTATGTTAAGTAGTGTCTCCAGACCTGCTTTACCATTAAGTCAGAGACAAATCTTCCACATAAGATAACTTAAAAAGAAAAAGCCATGATAAAACATCAAACATTTACACTGATATGAATTTTGGGGTTGTTTTCATTTACTATGTGATTTCTTTTTGGCTGTTGTTCATTTGCATCCTTTCAAAGTAAAAGCAGTTTTTATCAAATCAAGAAGTAATGCAACCTAAACTTAAGGCAGTGGGAAGAATAAATAAAAACATCATTAACTATACTTCTGACTTCCCTAACCCTGGAAAGTTTGTTTTAAGAATCCTTAAAAAAACTTTGTTTTATATTTGCTTTACCAGATTAAGACAATAGTAAAAATGTACTATTAGTTTCCAGTTCTGTATTACGTATCCACTGCAATAACAGAGGATTATAAATTTTAAATTGCCAAGTTAACACCTTTGTAGAAATAAACAAATTATTATGCATGTGAACACAATTTCTGCAAAAACACTGCATTGTCTTTGCATACCTAACGGCATAACAGGATGTTTCCTGGTTTGAAACTATGACCAAAAGCGTCTCCTAATCACACTTCTGCCAGCTAAATAAAATACACAGCATGTTAACCAAAGGCACTTTGTTACAGCTGTACTTCTGAATGTAGGGGCTTCTGAATTGTTCATATGTGGGTGGGTTCAAATAAAAAATACTACCCTCTCCTTGACTCACTGATCTTCTATCCCCTGTTTTTCATCTATTTCCATCTCCGAACTCCCTTCCTGTCTGCAGAGCCTACCATGTAGGGACAGTAATACTGCATTTAAGCTGGTTTAAGTACTGAGCACACTGACCTAATGCTTGTCTTGGTTTCCCCACACAATTATGCGCTCACATAGAGTGAACAAAATCAACACTGAGCTAATTGTTGTTTCATCTGTACACACGCATGAATGTTTAGAAGGAGCCCCAAGCACACACATACAAAAAAGTCCAAACACACGTCATGCCTGATCTGCACTAATTGAATTAGCTGTCACCTTCAGCATCATCTGTTGACACAGGCCTCAGCTAAGTTTATACACTTCCTCGCTCACCTCTCTTCCCTAAACCTGGTTAGTTTTCTCTCACTTGTCCTTTCTAACCTTTAGTTCTTCACTCCAATTCCCTTCATGCCTCTGATATTGATTTGCCTGGAAAATACAAAATCCAGACCTCAATTCTGCAAGACTTCTGAGGGGGAAAGGCATCCACAAAGCTTAGAACAAAGTTTGGTACAGTCATACTAAATGTTTTCGAACACTGTGTATTTCAAGTGGTAGAATAGTGGAAGTGTAGATTTTGAGGGGGTGTTTTTTGGTTGTTTTTTAGTGTAAAATATTCTTTTCATGTCCCCCCTTCCTTACTCTTATTTCTTCTGTTACTTTTGGTGACGTGGTGGCTTGAGTGACATAATTATGATGGTGGATATGCCAACAAAGAGAGCATGCTGGTTAATAATTCAGATTTTTTTTTTGAAAATAATCATAATAATCAAAGTTATTTAATTGCAATTAAATAACAACAGAAAACGGGGCTGAAACAAAACATGAATAAATAATTTAATTTTCTCTTAACACGCTTTCAAGCTTCAAGTCCACACACAGCCCCGCCTACCTACAGCATCAGACAAACTCAGCAGATGTTCTTTAGCCCAAGGACAAGAGTGTCTCACTCACAAGGAGTATCCTGACAGAGGAGAACCAACACACACTCACCTGGTATGTCCCGATGCCAATGTGTTTAGGATCAATCTTCACAAGCTCAGCCAGTGGGTCTTGGACGCGTCTTCCAATCGACACTGTTGATAAACAAAGATGGGATCAATTGTCTCAGTAGATTCTACAGTTAGTGTTTTTTATGCAGTCTAAAACCCAATTATTGAATATGCAAATCCATATTATTTATAATTACTGAATATGCAAATTGTCTGCATAATACAGCACTGGCCCCAGGGCAGGCCAGACCTAATTGTCATTCTCCAACCCAATAAAACAATAATTAAAGCTGGCTTTCCACTGGAGTCTCTGCACCTGTCATTGACTTACTGAAAGATGCTAAACCTTTAAAATCAGACTTAACTAGACCAGTTCACACACAGTCTGATGGAGCACATAAATAAACATACAACGCCTTTTAGAAAATTCAGCTGCTGCTGCACAGGAAGCTAAATGCCTTACATATGAGGAAGCTTGGAGGGCCTGGAGTCCAGGAGAAAAATTACATACAACATTCACATAGGCACTACAATACATGACATCATCCCAAAAACAAACAGGCACACATTACAGGTAAACAAAAACACTGTAGTATCACTCATTTCAGTCATGAAACAACTCCTGGTGTTTTATTATCCATGGTTGGAGAAAATAATGCCCAGTAATAGTCATACACTATAGAAACCCATCTTTATTACTACATTTATCGAAAAGTTTGAGTTTGAAAAGGTTATAAACATTAGGTTTAGATTTCTTTAACACAATTAAAATGACAGATGTCATCTCCTTAGTTCATTCTGACCTAACAGTTTTGCATTTTGAGTGTATTATGCACATGTTTGATTCCAGTGGTCAGCAAAGAAAAAGTGTGTGGCATGAAAAGCATCACACTTAGATCTCTGAGGCAGAATGGACTGAGAAAAAGAAAGGGAGGGATGGGATGTTATAGGGGGAGTTCGTCTGGAATCAATGGCTCTCCTCTCCTCTCTCTTCACTGGCTGCGGTGGGAGGCTGCTGCCTGAGATAATATTTAGACAGGGATGAAGTTTCAACCCTGGCCTTGCTTGGTTCACCACCAAAAACTCTCCGATCTATTTTGTCTCAATGCTATCCCTCTGTCTCTCTCTCTCCTCCTCTCTTCATCTTCCCGAGAGGATCCAATTTGCAAAAGCAGTCCAGCATAATTCTGCAGCACTTATTGAAAATAATGAGCCAAATACAGCTTGACGAAACCGGGGAGTAATAAGGAAAGCATCGAGAGAGGAAGGCCCCGATCAGTGGCACATCACTCAGGAGTAGAAGAATGTGAAATGCAGAACTTTGGTGGGACAGAGGGGGCAGCTGTGACGTGGCTGCACAGATTTTGTTGCAGACAGAGAGATGAGAAAACAGTTCTAACTTCGAGAAGATGCAGCACAGCCTTCACGTCTAACTTAATTCATGTATTACAATAGTCCAAGCAAACTGATTTGTACTCTTAACTAAATATTTGTGATCTGTAATCTTTTACCCAGTGTGAAGTTCAGGATAATCAGAGAAAAAGGAGCACCGAAATAAGCTAAAACCAAAACCTGCTGGAGAATGGTTGAGGCACAGCCTGTCACCACAAGGTGTCCCTAGATCTCCCAACCCAAGACAAGACAGACAGAAGGTGCTTACAGCTCAGTCTTTTCTGTATATTATGCGGCGTAGACATCAGCCTTTCACAAATACACAGACAGAAGAACACAAACCCACCAAATATAAGACAGAAACAAACACTCTGTCCCCCCATCTGACTCTAACCATCGCACTCCTCTTGTTAAACTCGCCCTAACGCTGTAGATTTCTCATGGCATTCATTAGGGGTATAAATATGGCTCTCTATGGCTCTCTGCGCTGCTGACCACAGGAAACCAGTGAGAAATAATCCGGCCTCGCTTGATTTATGGCTTTTATAGAGGAAGTCTGCTGGAAACATTTGTTCTCCAAAACTGTGTGCAATTCTTTTATATTCTGCTGTGTTTTTTAAATGATCAAGTGTGTGGAGTGACAGAGAGAGAGAGAGAGACTGTGTGTGAACTAGAATGAAACAAGGTAATAGCAGAGCAGGAGAGGTATAAAACCACCTAATGGTAATTTTAGAGATTATGTGATGAAATTGTGTTGTGGGTAGGATGGTGAAACTTAAGTCAAAGAATTATCAGAGAAATGTTTAGCCACATTTTAATGACTTTGTACAAGATGTAATATCCTCACACCACTATAAAAGTTTTAGGTGTTCAAAACAAAACAAAATATCTTCAAAAATGTCACCCTTGCTGTGTAATTAAGACTAAACGATTAACTATAGAGTGACGTAAAAACTGTTTGATTTACATTAAATGAAACAAATTAATTTAGCAATAAGTGGACTTGATCATCTCATCTATATCAAAGTGAATTTTGATAACTGTGTGTAGGACTACTAGCAGGACAACACACAAAATAGTCCATTTAAAGCTTTGTTAGAGTTTAACAGTCATTCATTTGTAATTTATGGAATTGTATTTTATAAAACTGATTATTCATAATCTGCCTCCATTTGCTGTATGGAAGGGTCCTTTAAATCAATGGACAATAATGATAAATAGTGTGAGAATACCTGCACTCCTGAGGTTGGGGTCTAAGTCGGGCATCTCTTTGACAGCCTCTGGACTCACACTGTAGATGGATGCTCCGGCCTCATTGGTTATACTGAAGAGAAGAACAAGAAAGCAAAATATCAGAAGCCTGAGAGTCAGAGGAGACTGAGAGGGGAGACAATGGCAGAGGGAAACTCAGAAACAAACAGGGAATAGGACGCAGGTTGGCCGGTCAGGGTGAAGAAAAAGAAGCTGAAAGGGGGGAAAAAAGGGTGCATGCATTTCTGCTAAAAAGACATATTAGTAAAGCTTCACAAGAGAGGCATCCACATCTTGCTTCTCAAATCATACGGCAGAAAATGTTCAAACTGGTCCTTAAACTCAGGTCGACACTCTGGAATCATCTGACCATCAAACCATTGTTATGGTTGATATATTGTTTAAAGTGCTGTCTCAACATTAACAGCATAATTCAAGTCTGTCAACAAAACTGAAATCAGGTGGAAAGAATCATCTGCACTGAAAATGCAATGATGAGTACTTGGATTTTTTCAGAATGGTGATCTGATTGCGCAACGTATTCTTAATATTTATCAACAACTGCCATTTTACTGAAACTACTGATGAGAGTATCTCATTTTGACAGTGAAATCATATGACAAATTAAAGTATCATCTTAGTGTCAGGTTCGATAAAGTAAAGAGCAGAGGATAAGTGGACCGCTACCATGCACGATTTATAGAACACTACTGCCATCTTGTGGTCATTGGAGGATACTGCTATTTTTCAAAAGACAAAAAACATGAGTCATGACTAGTCAGACAAATGTTGAAATCATGTTAATTTCAAAAGACAATTTGCTTAATTGATCGTTTAAGAAAAAATTTGTTTTTTTTTTCTGCGGCACACAACAAGCTCTGCCAGCTTAAAACTGACTCCATCCTTACAAAACTACATCTCAGAAATATCAGTTAATTGTATGATCTATTTCATTCCGTTTAAGTGTGTTTAACAAATCATTTCATATATTATAGACAGCATTATGGTGAGAAGGATTAAATATTTTCAAAGAAGAATGAAAGATTGTATAAAAGCATCATTGATAAATCACCTATTCCAAAAAGAAAAAGAAGATAAATATCACAAAATGTTTAAAAATTACAAAAAAAAAACCCTCCATGTTTACAAAAATATTTTAAAAAAAGGACACAGCTTTTTTTAACTTAACCTCAATTAGGTCAGTAAGGCTTAGATATTCTTTTGACCTAAAAAGTTCAAATTTCAATTTCTCGATCACTTCTGCTGCTAAAATATAGATTGTGAAAAAAATTTAATGTTTCTACATGGTTGGAAGTGACATCGTTTGTCTCTGTGTTAATGTATTCAGTCTAAAATAGGCCTCTTATCATCCATCTCAAAACAGACGGGACAGTGGTACAACAAAGCCACTGATACCCGAGATAATACAACGGCTATACAACAGAAGCTGTCATGTTGTTTAGACCTTCTGTTCTCTCGTGTGGATGGAGGGAGAGAGAAAGAGGGGAAAGAAAAGGGGGGTGGGGGGCTTTTTCCTCAGGGCTGACCAATATGCAGAGGGGGTCAAAACCTCCCCAACGTCTACAACGGAGAATGAGGCCTCCTGTGGTACACACAAACAATACACACACCCGCGCACACACACACACCCGCACGCAGCAGATGCCTGGACTTTGCCACAACAACCTTGCCAATTACAAGTATCTTGTTAATGAGGAGTGGCAGAGGCCTTCTGATGAGAATCACATTTAAATTAACTTGTCCTCCCTCCCTCTCTCCCTCTATTCATCCCCTCCTCCACCTCACTGTTCTTTTTGTCAGCTCCCTGTCCATCGTGCTGACAGCTGACATATCGCCATGGTGACACTGCTAACGAGCACTGGCACATGACCTTCAACGAGGTCACAACCGAGCTGGTCATTAAGCTGACACACTTGGTCTCACTCACACGCATACACACACACACACACACACACACACATACACACACACACAAAGACACACACACTAATTAATGCTGAGTAAGACAAAGACGAGTGAAATAATTCAAAATTATCTTTCAACCAAAATTTTACTCAGCTCTCTCTTAAAAGGCTTTTACTTCACAACATGGGAAAAACAGCACCTGGCCTCCAGTGAATGAGAAAATTCTAGCTGTTTGTTTTCATGGTTCAATATTGATAAAATAAAGAAATATACAAAAGTACTTGTTAGTACTAACTGAAGTCCATCCACGTGGCTACATCAAAATTGTGTGAAATGTGTTGCCAAAATAAGTTTAAAAAGGAGGTAAAAAGTTGTTATGTAGAATCCCTCAATCAAGTTTTATATGTTTAGTGTCCAGAGAAAACTCAAGACACGTAACAAACAGAGCAGATGTCAACGGTGTGACTCTGTGATTTAATATTAACACCATTTGAGCAGCCACTTGGCAACCATTGGCAACAGTGGCAGAAAATACTTTTTTAACCTTAAGTAGAACCAGACTTGTTTGTGAACAGCTAGAAAATAAAGGATAGTGGGAAAACAAAATAGCAGAACAAGAAAAGCAACATGTAATCTGGGCTTAAAGCTAAACTACCAAAAAAAGTGTCATAATAACAAAAACAGCACAGTAATCAGTGGTAGTATAGGTATGACTGATAATAGAGCATGGAAAAATTTTGCATGAAGGATATGGAGTTAATAGAAAGGGAGGCCAGCAGCCCCTATCATGTCCAACCTAATTAAGGCTGCCGCTGGGGCAGCTGGGTAACAGTACTGTCATGGATACAGCTCTGAGCCCTCATTGCCACAGCCTCCATGGCTATCTCCATGGTGAGGGCATCATCCTGGCAGACAGCAGAAGGTTGTCTGCTCTCCAGCTCTGTTCTCAATGGGCGGATGGTCAGGGCGTGGACACACACACACACACATACACACACACACACTTGAAGTCGCAAAGTCAATAGTCCCCTCTTGGTGTAAAGTGATGACTTGGTGGCCCTGTAGGGTAATCATTTATTTGCACTCGTTTGCACTCTCAATCATACACACGGATTAGTGCAGGCCAGCCTTTAGCCCTGTCCCATCCTGGGGCAAAGTCACAAACTGGCTCCCCTGTTTGTCCCGTTCTGGCTGTCTTAGAGACACACCCTTAGGACTTACACACACAAACACACACACAGGCATTGTGGCTTGGCCCTTGATGCCCCTAAAGAAACCTCACATCAGAAGAGATGGATACACACTTTGATACCTCATTACATCCTTCTGGCTCACACGACTGATCCAAATCAAAAACAGCTCATCAGATCAGTTAAAAAAGACGCAGAGCAATAATATCACCCACTACTCTGATACGCAGGACAATAAGACAGAGGGAGGGGGAAAGGGGGAAACAAGTGAGCACATCTTAATACGTCACTTGGACTAAAGTGTCAATCAGTGCTGAAAAAAAAACAAGTGACTAAAATTCTTATTAAGAGTTTATGCCTCCATTTAAGCAAAAATAATCCCAGACTGATATTTGTTTAAAGAAGTTTTTAACTCTGAAACCTGACGCTTGTCACCTGAATCTGAGGCATCTCTGTATTTAGGTTGTTATTGTAGACATTAACAACAGTCTGTTTGTTTAAGTACATTTTTTTAAGTTATGGTGTAGATGCAACTTATAATCAGATCTGATTATTCTGCAGATTATTTCCACAAATAATTGATAAATCTGAAATTCCAAAAAATTATAACAATGTCCATCAATTTTTTAAAAAACACAAATAAATGCTATCTTTAGTTTTCTTCTTCATTCATCATCATTATTAACTCAGAAAAGCTGATTTCCTTCAATGAAAGAGATGAAATAAGCAAATGTTTGACATTTTTGTTTGGCAAATGTAGAACATTTTATATTTTAGGACCTATGGTTTCATTAATTTCCTACTCAGAAAATATTGCAGAGGTATTCAATAACAGGTTTGAAAAAAGTGAGGGCCCTAAGCAAGTATAGAAAGACAAGAGCACCGTAAATTACCATTATGTTAATGTTTTTTTAACTTAACCACTGTCTTTGCATAAGTACACTTCTTTTTATAATAAATTCCATTTATGTGCAGGTAAGAGTACATGCAAGTATATTTTTAATGAAAATATACTTGGGAAAGAAAGACTTAAAAAATTTTTCTTTCCCTGTTATTCATTTGCGTCAATTTGATCATATACTTTGTCATACAACTCTGTCTTGTGTTTTTCACTTGTGGAATTTTCTGAAATTTGAAGAACACAAAGTAGTTTGTTTTTCTAATAGTGATGATAATTCCTTTAAACAAACACACACACACAAAATCAACTGCATGAACTCAAACTGAGCCGTCGTCTTCATTCAAGCAAAGCTTCTACCGCCAAGGTTACCTCAGCACTTACAGCAAACTCAATATGTCACCAAGTGACAATATGAACCATGAAATGAAAAGGTAAAGAGGAGCTCACTGGGTATTGATCGTTTGCCAGTCAAGGCACATAACAGCAACATCAAAAATGGCATCACAGTCTTTTAAAGTATGAAGTCATACTATATTGGGTTGATACTTCACTTTTTTGTTTAACCGTACTTTTGTTCAAAACACTTGACTGGCTTTTTTTGCTGCCACAGATAGAGCTGTGATGGTCACACGTTACCAGCTTAAAATGTATTCATACTTAAAAAAAAATACACACACACACACACACAAGTTTCTCTGTCCTCTCTGCTCAAACAGCTTGGGTCCATTGTTCAGTCAGCTGCAAAGCTTGACCTCAGGGAGACAAATTGAGGAATGCACTATGTCTAAGTCCCAAACAGCAACACACACACACACACAACACACACACACGTCGGGTCTGAAGACGATGACATTTTTCACAGAGAAAAGCGTCCAAATGGCAGGTGTCAGGGGCCGTCAGTCTCCAGCGAGGCGCTAGAAGGCAGGCAGGCACACGCACACACACATAAACTCCAACTGCCAGTGTGAGGCACGTCTGAAAAGAGCAAAGCCTCACAGACACTCATGTCAATCTGGTAGCAGCAAAGGCCTGTGCCTGTGTCACGCAAAAATGCACACACACCAGCATGGGCACACACACAACCCAAATTCCAACTACACACATGGCATGTCATACAGACTCATCACACATGTTTGTCACACATAGGACCATCACAGCGAACAGTGGGAGCCTAGGGGAGGATGGCAAAGAGGGCTGGTGGAAGGAGGGGCAGGCGACAGGGCAGAGGCTGACCACCAGTGAGGCATGGTGGGAGGAGAGAGGGGGCTGGGGGTGATAAAGATGAGACTGGCAGATATTCACTGTCCACCACCTGCGAATGCCAAAGGTCCAAGTCATCTGCCCCAACAATGGTGGGCTACATACACGAGCACAAGTACACTCTTTTCAGGGGAAACTGACTGGTTATTCTAAAGGTATAAGGTATAATACAGAGAAGAGGGTAGAATACTTTACGACACAGCCTCAAGGAAAATTTCCATTCATTCCATAATTTACCCTTAAATTTGGTGTTCAATACACACCGTCAATGTCTGTTTGTCTTCTGGAAAATGTGAGCTGCGCCTGATACCCACATGCAACCAATATATCTGTATCAAAGGCAGAGGGAGGCATTTAATTGTTTTCTTTCCCTTATTTGGCCTTAATCATGCATTTAAAAGAAAACAGTGGTTATCACTGAGTAAAAACACTCGGGAGCTACTTGTGAATTTCCCAGTTTGGGATCAATAAAGTCTGTCTGTCTGTCTGTCTATCTATAAATAAACTTCACAGGGTGCTGATATCACTGAGAAGACTCCCTAATATGACAAGATTAGAGGTTGGGGGCACAAGTCTCTGCAAACTGGTAATGGGCAGTGAGTCAGTGGTTAACTTTGTGGACTTAATGCAGACTGCTTACAAGATCACAGTCTATACTATTCGTGTCTACACCTATAGTCTATGAACAGTTTCATGCTGTGAAATCATATGCCGAGGGAAACCCTGAGAATTACACTCAACAGGCTGCCGACACAGATTTAACTTATTTCAAACAACCTCAGAAATGATTTGTCGCATGTAACTCTTTGCTGTGTAATAGTGAAGTTTAGGTCATATGTAAACATGTATAGCAGAACCATTTTTTTGCATTTGTATGTGTAGGTATGCATGTCTGCTAAGATTAAAAGAATAAATAATAGATAAAAACTCCAAAGCCAAATGGTTGTCAGGGCAACAATCATGGATATTAACATCTCCCATGATCACAATCTTATCAAATGTTGGCATTGCAATAGTCTGTAGATCTGAGAATTGATCCAGAAATCCAGTGACAGATCAAGGAGGTCTGTAGATTGAAATATAAAGGGTTTAGGGGATCCCAGGGATTGTGAAACAAAGAGATTCAAAGGAAGAGAAATCACAAAGAGAAATAAGTCTGCAGTTAAAATTATTATCAAAAATAACTGTCAATCCATCCGTTCTACCAGAGATTCAGGGCCTGTTAAAAAAAAGGGAAGATTTGAGAGAGCTGATTGGATCAAATGAACAGAGTCACCAACAGTGAGCCGGGTTTTAGCTGGAAATTAGAAACCCAGTTTCATTGCAGCAAATAAATTTGTTTGTTGGACAGGGAACTTATGTTGAGCAAACCAAGTTTTAAAAAGTTGGACACGTGACCGCTGGGCTGGAGAGAATCATCCTTTTCGATTACTGTGCATGTACTTACATATAGCAAGAACTGACAATAAAAAAAAATCTTGAAACTTGAATCTTCCTCTAATTTAAAGACACCTCACAGTGAAGCTGAGGCCTTTCCATGCCTCTAAATTCATCTGCCCCGTCTGCTCCACCTTCTACCTAACCTTCAAACCTTTGGTTAGGCCTGAGTGCCTGGATCTCACTCAGTCATAGCTGGGCCTGCCACTGTATGTTCATCACTCACTCAGCCTGGCCCTGGGAGCATACCCGGACACAGGACATGACAGGGGATACACACACACGCAGTCATAAATACAGTCTACACCACTGTCCTCCAGGTCCATCAGCTAGCCAGTAATAATGATCTCATCCCACCAGGAGAGGGCTGTAGGGCGAGATGGTCAAGGACTTATCGTAGCCATGTCTGTGTGTCAGTGCAGACCTACACTGTTGGCTATTTGATGTTGTGAATGCCTGAACTGCTCTTGGAAAACTTGAACCAGTCAAGGAGAGAACCATGACTACTACAAAAGACACAAAAAACACATCATCTGACATTAAGAGAGGATAAATAAATGGACATAGCGACATGTTAATCTCAGTCAGAGGTAACTGTAAAGCAAAAGTAACTTCTTTGTTACACAGCAAACCTCCTTCATTTCATGTTGTCTCTTTCAAAGTAATAAGTTCTGATCAAACAATCCTAATTCAGGTCATTCATTCAAGACAAACAGAGGCGCTGTCACTGGAACCCTCAAGGATGTGTTGGTGCGTTCATGAAGAGGAGTAACAGGGTCAGTCATCTCACTGCCTTCAGGAGCAAAAGAGCGAGTGGTCAAGAAATTGGAAGTCATTTTTGTTTGCCTTTGTCGTGTTCCCCGTGTGTATGTGTGTGCGTTTGTGTGCGTATCATCATCATCATTGCCCAAAGATCTCTGTAACCTTACCCAACATGTTCTTGCCCTCTGATATCATTAGCATCAGCATCTTGCAACCAGACGCTGTCAACTTGTCATCCCTTCATGCACACAGCCACAAACACATATTAAAATATTCAAATGAGTTATAGTTCAATCAACACATTGTCACAGCAAATATCATTAAAGTTGAGTTCAACAAACAACAGTGGTCACGACTGGCCTCTGACAAAAAACATCAAAGTCAAAAGTAGCACAAAATAACATGGTTGTAACAATCACATTATCCACATCAAATAAAAAATAATAAAAAATTTGAAATTTTATCAAACATTTATTTTAAATTGAAAAAATATGGAACCCTAAATAAATGTTTCTGCCAATTTGATGCACCGGGTCACCACTTTACAAATCTTCAAGACGGCATAAATGACACGACAATAATTTCACTGGCAAGAGAAGAAGCTGATGGCAGCACCATAAATGATTAAAACTTTCAGACACAAAATAAAAACTGAAAAAAAATTGCTTTTCTAGCTTTTTATGCTGAGGTGAGAGGAAAGGATACATTCAAGTCTGCAAAGAGGGTTCAACTCAGCTGTGACTAGCAGACTATATAAACAAAATTGATGTGGGCTCATTTACCCCCTGCTGGATATCATGCTTGGGCTTTCCTTTAGCTCAGAACTATCGGGACAGTCAACTTTACACATAAGATGCACCACAGGTGACATGTTTTTTTTTTTTTTCCAGGTGCTCTAAATTTGTTGTAAAAATGTAAATTAAAAAAAATAAAGAACAAAAAAAATACAATCATACTGTAGTTCTGGTCCAAAGATAAGAAAAGGAGGTGAGCTTTGTTAAACAGATTATATGGAAACAGCTAATTTATTCAATACTTTAGGGTGATCGATAAAGGTTGCAGTCAGGAAGTCTTTGATTTCTGTTTGTTCATGACATTTCAAAGATGTCCTCTAAAAGGTACCGAGGTAAACTCTCAGTAACTTGAGTGTGCACATGCGTGTCTAAGTCAGCAGGACCAATCACCTCCTTTCACAAATATGCAAAAACACCAGCCACCAAGAGTAACGTACACTACATATCACCCAGTGAAAAAGAGCGCACACACACGCAGATATTTATCTGGCCGATCCACAGAACTTTCATGTGCGTTGACAAAGCCTGCTCGCTCTACCAGTCAGTGCTAAAGCACACTGACAGACAAGGTCATGCTGTGTCGGCCTGTGACACAGCTGAGGAATAAACACACACACCAGGAGGCAGCGTGCAAGCAATGAGCAGGTGTTCACGAGAAACACACAGCTATACATGAGATTACATATTTTGACATTTTCAATATACATATATACACACTCACACACACCCAAGTACAAGCAGATTTTAATAAAACCTAAACATAGTGATTTCTAGATGGAAATGTGGAGTTTTTTAAAAGTATGACATCACAAACTCTCAAGCAGGAGGTCTCTGAATTATCGGGACACAGCTGTATGGCAAATAAGGTAATGTGCGTTCAGTGGGAGCCGTCACGGGCGCGGACAAACCTTGTCAGATGAATAATACCTCATGCTGCATAATGTCCTGCAGGAGTCTGCTCATTCACAGAGGCATTGTTCAAGCTTAATCATGTAAAGGTTATGTTTTTGTAAATCTAATAGAGGATGAAAAGGCGAATCTGGTGATTTATTCTCCACTTAGCAAAGACAACAGTAAAGGATAATTACTTCTGATGTAGTTGAAAAGCTGTCACACTTTACGCTGTGATGACACTGATTGCAATCCACCATCTAGCAGCATTTGTATTTTATGTCATTACATCACACCTCTCAAGCAAAAGGTTGCATTTATGCAAAATCCAAGAAAAGCCAACTGGCAAATTTCACACTGGACCAGTCAGCCAGTATTATTAAAGGCCGAAAATGGACAATCATAGTAGGAGCCTTCCCAAATATGGATGTTTACTGGTTTCCTGTTGGATAACAGAGTTAACTAATAAGTCATATTCCCCTTCAACAGTCTATGATCACAGAATGTGCTTCAATAAAACTGATTCTCCATTCTGTTCTTGGTGAAAACAGAAAATCAAACATTATACTCAATCAAGTACCTAAAAAATATTGTGAAAATACAAATGTGCATATGAAACTAGTGCTTTAAAAAGTAATATCAATGAAAGAATCAATTGCAAAACTGAAATATCTGTGAAAGCTTCAATAAAAGTTTGTATATGTCCTTTTTATGTTGTAATTTTCAATAAATGCTAAAAGAATTTACCACTAGAAACCTATTCAGGAAAAGCTATGAAATAGAGTACCCTGTTAATCCCAGACATCTCTACTTAAAGCTAATTAAATGCCAATATTTGATATCTCTTAGTTATTTAAATATTCTATACATTTAGTTAATTTTTGTAGAAAAATACAACAGAAAAAATAAGAAAGATCATGAAAAATCTTGTTAGTCACAATCCTACTCTACATAAATGATCCAAAGGGTGTACGATCTGTCTAAGAAATATAAAAATTCATTTAATTTGATCAGCATGTTAGTCATATTTTATCAAAATGGCAGGCATGGAGAGAGACTTTTATTCATATTCATAAACATTTCAACCGGACATACAGAACCTGTCTACTTCAAATACACTGCTTAGATATACACTCAAACAAATGTGTGCCCTTGTTTGGTTGCTTTGGAAAAGGCCACACTCCTTTCAAAATAGAAGAGGTGACTCAGTGAGTAAGATGAGTCTACTCAAACAGGACTAGGGCACTAAATACTGAACACACACACACACGAACACACACGCACACACACAGAAAAAATACAAATAAGGATGTCCCGCAGGCTGCCATTTCTGGCTGTCATTCCAGCTGAGCATTGAGGCAGAAAGACAGAGAGAGCGAGACAGGCGGGTGGAGAATAAAGGGTGGAGAAGGGTGGGGGTGGTGACACAATGAAGGCTCACAGGGAGACAGGAAGCAGATGGTGCAAATGAGGCCGAGGTCTTTAATGAACTATCACACTGTTGGGGCTGACAAGACAGGACAGTGCTGGACCAGAGAGCTTATTTTAACTTCATATGCATATCTGTAGTTTAGGTTCACTTAGACTCCCACACACACATATACACGCATCATATCAATAAAGTCACATAAAAGCTCTTACAAGCACTGTTTCACATTGGTAATGTCAGGTTTTAATGGCTGGTCCCACAAAACAAGGCACAGATGTACTGCAGTCTGGTTCAATAAAACCACACAAGACTAAATAAAACCTTACACAATTCGGAGAAATCTGCTTGAGAGCCACAGTACATCTTTCTCAGAGCACACAGCTGTTTTCAGTAGCTGAGGATGAAAAGCGACATGGAGGTAAAGATGGAAAGAGTTGGTTGCTTAATGTAACATTCAAAAAGATGGGACAGTATCCAGCTTTACTTTAAAATGTTAGGACGCTGTTTGTATGATGGTGGTTTCTGTACCCTAAAAACTGAGCCAGCTGCCTCCATACGGGCAGCCTGAAAGACTCTCTGCACCTGTGCATTAAAGTCTGCTTCTACCTGCTCTCCGGGGAAGGTCAACTGACAAAGACTCGAACATATAGAAATGCACAGAGTCGGAGTATAGCAAAAACTGGGTCAATTAATTGTAGCGGGGACAATCACAGCAAGCACTGAGACCCCTTGCTGTTTCTAATGCTACATGGCTATTCTCCGTCATTGCCATCATCCCCGTTGCCCTAGTAATGAGGTTTCTCCAATGGCAGGTCAGGGTCAGCTTTGGGTCAGTCAGCAGGGGAGTGAGACCCTCATAGTTAGAAACAACAGTCTCTCATCAAGGCCGGTCATCTCTCCCCATCCTCACAGCATCATCTATCAAGGGGTGTTTTAGTCAAATTTAGCCCATTATAGACCAACATCCAACACCAGGATTTACAAGGAAACTAAAAGAAATTATGTCTGTTCTGTTTAGGAAAATCAAAGTTTTCAAACTTTGTAATAGGAGAGGCTTGGTAAACATGGTATTAACCTCCCACCTGTTAATGTATCATTTCAGTCCGCTGATTTAAATTGCTCTATATTATCTTCTTTTTAACAGCTTTTCAAGAATCACAACAGGTGGTGCGATGCGATAATTTGTCTTACTGCGTGTGGTTTAAAACTGATACTGGCACCTCTCTATTATTTACTAAAGAAAATAAAACTTTCTGAAACAAAGTTACAATATCTTATTGTTGTAGTCCTTAATGCTTGAAACTACTGGACGTCAAATGAGGTCATAAAGACCTCAAGAAAAGTAAGGAAACTTGGGGTACTGCTAGTTACTGCATGTCATCCTACACTGTCTACTCTCCACAAGTCTCAATAGCTGTCCTACATCAAGACTGAAGACTCAATTGCCAGTAAAAAATAACTTCAGATTCACATTACTTAACAATGTGTAATGTATTTTCTTTCAACATCATCCTTGTCCCTACCTCTGCCTCTTAAGGCATAGCATCACTCTGAAGGAAACACTGCCTATGTTTTATTGCCTCTTAATAATATCTCAGCTACTTGTTATTAACTGGACATAAAATTAATACAAAGCAAAATGAAACAGTCCATGATGGCACAAAAACATTTCCACTGGTGTTAAAAAAAAGAGTATTTGTTATATTGAACCTGGGGGGAGCGGGCATTCTCCACAGCTGCCCCTACCCTCTGGAACTCCCTCCCACCCTCCATCAGACACTTACCTAACCCTACTACTTTCAAATCCCCTTTAAAAACTCACTTATTTAAAATAGCTTTTAATATTTAACTGTTTTATTCATTTTATTTCTACTGTTTTTATGTCTTTGTTTTATTACCTTGGGTTTTATGTACTATGTAAAGCGCCTTTGAGTGTTTTTAAAAGCGCTGTACAAATAAAATGAATTATTATTATCATTATTATAATTATAATTCTTATTATTAGTATTAATAATAATAATAATAATAATAATAATATATTTGTAATAATAATATATTTGTAATAATAATAATAACAATAATAATAATAATCATCATCATATTATATTTGTTGAAACTACATTTGCAGGGCTTTTCAAAAGGAAAATATTTGATCACTCTTCAATAATGAAAGAGTTTCAAGAGGACAGTTGGAGGTCATTTAGAAGACAAGAATTCAGAAGCAAGAGAAAAGTAAAAAGAAAATAAAGATACCAAAATAAAAGAAGGACAATAAGGTTGGTGAGAAGGTGGCGCAAGAAGTATGTCTGTACATTTTTAACATAGAGATTCCATTTGCATGTATATGCCTCCAAGCACGCATCTTCCTTGTTCCAAAGTAACCAAAGAGAGGCTTGCCGCTGAACAAATCCAGGGTGATATAATCTGTATAAAAACAACCATCCCACCATGCCTAAAATCAAAATAAAGTTTCCCCGCTTTTGCAAAGTTCATAAACTTGCAAGAGTCTTTATTCTGCAAATCATATCAAGGCAAAGGCGAAATATTCACACGTGTTATGTGCTCTAAAATTATAGTTAATATGTCAGGTGGTGTACAAGATTCAGCCAAACCCACATCAAACATGAGTCTGAAATTCTCTCTGTTGTACAACGTAAGAATGCTATTAGCTCCAGTAAAAGAATGAACATTATATAAAGATGTGAAATGTTTGGCTCTGGAGCTGCTTGAGGTGAAAGAAAAAAGGCTGTCGTGAAAATAATCAAGTGGAATTGATCTTAATAAACACCCCACTTCAGCTGTTTCTGTTCTTCAGACAGAAAATATGAATTCAGGATGAGAGATGTGGGCTATTACACTTAAGTTATGACCTCTAAAGTGTGCGTGCATGTATGTGCATGAGCCCAAAAGTAATATGCAAACACACACACACTCATGCCCCTCGTCTTTCTAGACTGTGGTCCTGGCTCGCCTCAAGTCAACAAACACACATGGAATTGAGAAAGAGGAGGAGAAGCCGGTGGTTATTATGCTTGGAACAGGGTTTACGGCTGCTGGACTCTAAAGTGTGGACTGAGCCTGGTTACAGACACAACGTTGACCACAAAACCTCTCTTTAATCGGACCAAAGTGAGATGTAGTACAGATGGCTTTAATAGACAACATTCGCTTGGGGGACACATTCCAGTTTGTCTTTGTCTCCATCTGTGGCCCACTTTTTCTCATATTTCCTTACAATGCTCTGTTCTCTTAAGCATAACTGACACACTTATTTACCTGCACCTTTTCCAACAAACACTAAACCTTCCACATTCTGTCTACCCTCACTTCCTAAATGGTTTTAATTTTAAACCTCACTGTCAACCCCTGTCTGCCCTGTCTGTATGTGTCACTGTCTTCCTCTTTCAATATTTCAGACTAAACCATAGCAGTGACTCTTTACAGAATACGTATTCATGTCAATGTGCATTTGCTCCTCATACTTTTAGCAAATTTAAGCATAAACGGTTTTCAAAACTATACCAATCAATTATCAAATACTTGTAAAACATCTTTATACCTCACCTAACTTCTACGAAACCGTGTAATTGATTTTTTAAGGCAAAACATTTTGATGACCTGTGATCAGCTCCAAAGCATGCTGACTGGCATGGTAAAATGAAGCAGTAACTCCTGACTGGCTTCATAGTAAACAGCACATTTGAGGTATGTGTTAGTATTTCTTCTTTTAACAAGATATTCACTCTTTAAGCCCACCTTCTTTCTTTACAGAATAGGAGGAGGTAACTGGGGTCTGCTCTAGTGTTGACTGGATGGAAGACCTTACCAGTAAGACACGTCCAGAGGTTGGAAAAACTGCCTGGAGATGAGGTCAGCGAAGAAGGATTCAGTCTCACGACACGCTGTCCCATTGCCGATGACAACCCTGGTGCAGCTAGAATGGACAAGCAGGAGAATAATGAAGATTTACAATTCACATCTCTGCCCAAAGTTTATGTTCTGTGATAAATCAGGATTAGACTTCTTTTACTTTGCATTTAACTGAGTTTAAATGGTACTTAAATAGTGGATATTTAGAGACAAGCAGCAGTACCTGTATTTCTTCATAAGGTGGCACAATTTGTCTGCTTCCCTGTGCTGGCCTGAGCTATGAAGGTAAACAACATCAGTGTGCAGAATTTGACCTAAGAGCAAGAGGAGGACAAAAAGAGGGAAAGATTAGATACAGAGTGCTGTTAGAATTATCATCATGACAAGAAGATGCTGAATGAAGTCCATACTACTGCTGAATGCATCCTTATTGTGGGCTTTGTGATGAGACTGTTATGTCCTAAACCTACTCTCCATATGGACACATAAACAATCCTACAGGTGAAAACATACATGTTCTTACAGAGCATCCTTGTCACTTACTAGTAGGGGACAGAATTGCCAGTTTACAGCCATGTCTAAAGCCAGGGTCCACCCCCATGATGACACAGCCTCTGATTGGACCTACCAACAGGCGCTGGCGAAGGTTCCTACCAAACATGGCAATTGACTCCTTCTCTGCTGCACTTGTCAGCTTAGTCCTATGAAGAGATTGCAGCAGAGTGTTAAGAAAGGAGTGAGAGATGAGCAGGAGTTCATCTACTAAAGCAAAAGTTAAAGAAAACTGAAGGAGAGGTAAGTGTAGCGCAGGAAGAGGAGAGCAGAAAGATAAACAATGAAGGCAGTGTTTTCAATGGAGGAGGCACCAGTGGTCCAACTGCTCATGGTTGGTGTGTGATCTGTTTGGACCACAACCACACGTGTTTGTCATCAATGTATTCGACATGTTGCAACCAGCTTTTACTGTTCCTTCAAACATCTGCCCCTGCTTCAAGCTGATGTGAGCATGAAAAAGATGTCTGTCTCTCTGTGTTAGTCCCTCTCATGCCTCATCCTTTGAGGCAAGGTCAGCAGGGGTTCAGGCTCCAAAGTTTGATTAGTAAAACAAATAAAAACAAAATGACTAACTGCATTATGCGGCTCGAAGAGAGGTAACTGTCATTACAGGTTCTTTCACAAGCAACCAGAAAACACTGTTGGTGGTGTTTTGGCACCTGAGCAGTCTGCACTAAAAAAAGGTTTTCCCAATACACCATGCAGACTTTTGTGAATAAAGAAATGAAAGAAATTCACTGATATGAGCATGCACTGCATGATGTTGGTCCTCTCTTTCTCTGTGGACTGGTCACAGACAAAGCACCACTTCACTTCTGCAAACACTGCAGTCCTGGTGAGAGCAGGAACAACACCTGCACTAGAGATGCACCGGTCCATTTTTTTCCGATTCAATCTGATACCGATACCTGGGCTGAGCATATCGGCTGATATCTGATACCAATCAAATACTACTGTTGAATGAATAAACTGTACACCTTGCACTGTGAGTGAAGGCATCAGGCTTGACATTAGCCTTGTTAAAAAAAGGTAACAAATTAACACAGATATAAATTTACTCAATATTATTTATAAACAAATTGCACATTAGCCCACAGCAAAAAGAAGTAAGATTTATTAAAAGAAAAAATAATTAAAAGAAAAAAAAAAGAGTGGATCGACAGTTAATTTGTCAATATCGGAGCTGATAACCGATGCAAATATTAGATTGGTGCATCCCTAATTTGCACGCAGTATAAGTACCAAAACATGAGTAGATTGGGAATACAAAGGCATTTAATTCACTGAGACACACATGATGTGAGGACAGGGACATCTCTCATGACCCGGAGTACACAAAGCCGGATCACTCACTCACACACCAAACTGAACCAAACCGCCCACTAAAAGGCGCGCACACACACACACACACACACACACACACACACACACACACACACACACACACACACACACACACACACACACACACACACACACACACACACACCCTAAAATTACCTGTAACTCCTGGTAAGGAAAGGCAGAATAAGCCTTTTGTAAGAATCCTCTACTGCATTCTTGATGATGGCAAGAACCTCTTCCCGTGCAAAAGTCTTTGGCCTCCACCTAAAACAAAACAATGTGGATATAAGATGTTTTTTCTCCTCCATTTCACTGATAAATGCAGTTCATAGATATACATAGGGTTTCATTTTCTATGCATACTGACTCCCTCCCTGGGAAAGCAAATATCCTCAACAAACATTAATAACACCCAGATTTAAGCATGAAAAATTCAATAAATTTAAGATAATAATTAAGATTGGAGGACTACTTAAACATAAAGTGCAACTCCATTTTCCTACCTTTAATTTTTACTTGTGTCAACTAAATGCGTTTATCAGAAATGACCTCATTTCTTTTGTAGCTCACTTTTACAGATCCTTTGGTTACTTATTTTTGTTTATTTTTCATTTAAAATACAAAAGTGAGTAAAAATGTTTCTGAATTATTCTGGTTTCTACCTGTTGCTGATGCACCACCTGGTGAAATCACTTTTCACCTTGTCAGGAATGTTCACTTTTACCATCAAAATCTTCAGACTCTCTCCTCGGTTGATAGCCAGGGTCTGTGGACACACACACAATATTCCATAGTTAAATACAGTACAATTATCCATAGACAGGATGCCCCAGAAAACAGACCACTCAACACATCTGCAAGTATCCTACTGCAAGGATTAGCACTTTAAAAAGTACAGTAAACCCCATCACATCTCTAGAAATATCTGTACAACCTATTGAACAAGTAACTGATAATTCATTGAGGGTTTCTGTTTTGTATCTGGTTTTATCTTTGTATAGTTTTATAGTCTGAATGCCGAAATGGATATGATTGCAAGGTGTACAAAGAAAGAGACCTGAGTATCATTCTTCCTTTAAAAAAAAAACTCTGCTTGCTCAGTTTCAGTCACATTTAATTTAAAAAAAAAAAACTGTAAGTAGATAATATCTCAGTATGCTGCTCTTCTTTCATAAGTTTTCAGATTATTTCCATTTGGTATCAGCTGAGAAATAAAGTGTAAAAAGGAAAGAAATACTTGTTCACATAAGGCACATTTTAGGTTGTATAAGGTGAGTGTACACACACAGTATGCCTATAAAAGCACACACACCAAAATGTCCAAACACAATCACAAAAACAAAATCACTTCACACACACACATGCGTGTGGAAGTGACAAGCCTAGGAGTCTATCCTATGGCTAGGCTGTAGTGTTGTGTGCTGGTCCCCCCTTTGGAGGAACTGTTACATGCTGTTAAGCAAACAGTATTAAGTGTCTGACCTTTTCAGTGGGGAACCTTTATCCCGCCACAGAACAGGGCCAAGAAACAAGATGTCAATCTGGAAACCAAGCGGAAGAAGCGAGCTGACAAATGCCACCACTACGCCACCATCAGCGCTGAGACCGCAAGGCCTGCCCCCACCCGCACCCAGACACGTGGTGCCACAACCATTACCACTCAGCTGCACCCTCAGATGGGCTGCAGACGTATGCAACACACACACACGCAAACTCACGCGCGCACACACACAAATAAAAATACAAAACACAGCTAATGGCATCCAAGACGCAGGAATTAATGCAGCACTTTTGCTTGAATATGATTTAAAGTTAGATTTCTTCTCTGTTGGCATGTTTCTGCCCTAGGCCGCAACTATGACAAGGATGAGAGATGAGATTTCTCAAACAATCTTCATCAAAGCCTCAAAGTTTAATATGCTGCAAAAGGAAGGAAGCAAAAAGCATCCTGCTAAATTCTTTGTATATTTCAGAAAGCCTGTCAGATAAAAGAAGTTTAACATAAAAATGTCTGAATAGATCTGTTTTGAGGGTTCAACAGCTATTTTTTTTGGGATAATTTTTCAGAATATATGTTGAAAATGGCATAGAAACCTTTATGGGATCACTGTATGATGCTGATTACCACATTCCCTTTCATCAGCACTTTCTGCCAATTAAACTTGGGGGTGACCAAGTGTTAAAGAGCTCAATATGAGCGCAATCACCTAAAATATTCAATGGTTGTATTGCAAAAATTGACTGTTATTAGAATATCAATTTATAATTAAAAAAGGGGAACAATGAAACAAAGGCCACAAAGCCCTATGAAAAAGGGGTCTACAAATTATTCCTGTTTTTCCTCAAACTGCAGCTACTCTTTTCTATACACAAGAATTTTCTGGAGACCACCTATTCTTTCGTAGCTGCCATGATACACACGCATCACACATAAATGAGTAAAAGTGCAAATCTACAAACGCAGAACACAAATTTTTCCTCATCTTATAAAAAGAGTAAAATTCATCTTCCCTTTATCCGGCTAGCTTACTAATTATAGTTTTGTTGTAACATAAATAAAAGCAACGGGGCTGGTGTGCAATTTAAGTCTCTGTTGTTCTCTTCTGTAGTTGGCCACTGTCCTCGCTAATGACAAATAAGCTGATGTGTGTTTGTGTTTGTCTCTCAGTTTCTATCAGGGTTGGGTCACTGGTGGGAGACAGAGGGTGATCTAAAAGGAAGGGTGATGTGAGACAGGGCGAAAAGCATGTGTTTGTGTGTTAGATGGGCCAGGAGTGACACATAGCCAAGTACTGGCCAAACTCTGACAAGAGCAGACAGAATGTCTTTCCCAGACGCCCCCTTCATCCTTCCACCAGCCCCCAAGGGAGGGCAGTCAGCCAACAACTGTCCTCTCCCTTTCTGTCTCCATCTCTGTCTCACCATTTCTCTACAGGAATACTATCATCAACACATCTAACCATCCCACATATCAAGGGTAGACCATCACACACACACACACTGACACACAGCAGACTGGCATACATTCTAACCTGGCTGACACACTTGTGAAAAGTAGCTGTTTTCTCTCCCTTACTCGATCTGGAGCGCTTCTTCTTTTATAGCTTCTGCCTGATTCTTGAAAGGAAATTGATAAATAAGATTTTGTTCAGGTTAATCGACAGTCTTTGGGATAATTAACCATAGTTTAAATGAGAAAAATAGATAAGAAACTAACTCAATTAATCAGCATACAATGAAAATTTTTAAAAAAGTCAAAATATCTCGGGCTTAAAGATTACTAAACACACAAATGAAGCATCTCCGACTGTGCAAACAAAGTTGTTTTTTCCCCTCATCCATCAGAAAAAAAGTGTTCCACTGACAAAAAAGTTTTATTTACTAAAGTTCCTCTCCAGGCAGTCCGTAGACTGCAGCGTTAAACTACCATTTGATCTGACGCAAATCGCATTAAAAATACTCCACTGCACATCCAACAAATCAGCCCTGGCATTCTCGAGAGCGCACAGGCTGCTTACAGCTATAAGGTCAATACATGTCCATACCCTCAAATCAAAACTGACAGAATTAAATCTGAGCTAATCATCATAGATTGTTATGTTAAATGGCTTATTCTTACAGGCATACTAGATACCAGGGGATTTTATATTGTCCCTTTAAATCAATAGTAGCGATACAACAGCACAAAAAATTTGGTTCTGAAATCTTATTTTCAGTGCATAAAGGTAATCCAACAGAACACACTATGTATCTCTATTCCTTCCTTAAGAACTATGGGAACTAAGGCTTGTGGGCCTACTCAGATTTCCTTTGTATTGTACTTTAAATTAAACATAATTCAAAACTGATATAAAAGGTAAATTGAACAAAAAATTAGAAGAACGTTGGGTTTGAGATCAACAACCACTGTTTGAGGGTTCAGCTGAGCATCCTCTGCTCATTCTGCCTGAGCGTCTCATTACTGTTACTAACACACACTGATGATCACAGGAAACCACTTTTCCCCAGGATGAGTTCACAGCGCAAAACTTATTACAGGTAAAAAAAATAATAATAATTAAATGAAAAGTCAAACTCAGTATGTGTGGAGATGATATATGTTGAGAAAATCACTGTACCAACACCAACATTTTAGCAGCACTCTACATGTCAGGCTACCCAGTGGTGTGGTGTACTCCCTGTGCTTCTAGCCTGTGTGGAGACCCTGTATTCAAATTATCTTTAATGCTGCCTTATATGAATTAGCGCACATCTACACCAAACTGAAACTGCTCTACCAAAGAAATACAGTACAACTATCTTTGCATCCCTAATAGTCAAAGCATCTATATCCTCACTTCCCACTCTAGAAAATAGATCTGAGGTCTGAAACAATTATGCCTTAACGGATTTCTTAAACTGCAAAAAAAATTAAACAATCAAACTTAAACAATGTTAATTCCAAGTTGAAGCTTTTTTTTCATCTTTCATAGTGATTATTGATATTTTTTTGTTTTAGACCGTTGGTTGGAAAAAGACAGCAATGTGGATTTTAAAGACCGCACAGTTGATTGAACTAACAAGAAAATAACTGTGAGGATGACGTTAAATTGCAAATACTGTTCCTCACAACCCACACTGTATGGTTTTTCCTTTTTCAGTCTCACTACTAGACTTACATAACACACATTTCTCTGAATGTCTTAATTCAATTAACTGTGCATGTGCTCAAATCAGGCTTTAATTTCTTCTTTACTCTGAAATGTCACTCTTTAGTAAACTACAAACATTGGGGATGTATTTTTTTTTCATTCCCACAGGGTGTTATTTTCCTGTTATATTTCCAATTAAATGTTCACTGGACCGACCGTAACATCTTTCTCGCCCTTCCTTCATACATTGCCCCGTGCTTTTCCTTCAGCAAACAACCAGAGCAGGGACTCAAATTAAATGTGCCAAAGCAAGTGGGCGAGTGTGTGCTCACACACATGCCTCCTGTCAAAACACATCTCCCACCTGCTTCCCCTCTCCGGCAACTTGACGGCTAGAAAAGGTTCGTTTTAGCCGGAATCTGACAGCTAGCAGGGTCAAAGTAGCCTGTGGATTAACGCTCCATGATAAAGGCGAGTCATCGAATTAAACACTGAGAGGAGAGGGGGAGAGAGGAGACGTGGAAAAGATGGGAGGGCTGAGCTTAACTTGGAAAAAGAGGAGAGGCAGAGCACGAGGGATAAGTGACGGATGCACCTCAGCATCGCTCATCTGTTCACTCTCTCCCTCTCTTTTCTACCCCCACTTTCTCTCCACATCTTTCTGCCCGCCTATAGGCCCAGCAGCAGTAGCTGTCACCACAAGAGAGCGCCTGTCAATCAAAGCTTCCTAATCCAATGGCATGTCGGCAGGGGACATGTCACATATGTTAAGAGGAGAGAACGAGGGACTTGCAGGGTGTGCTTGTGTGTGCGCGTGAGTGTGTGCGCTTGCATGTATGTGTATGTGATTGTATGACTGTAGGGCAGAGCACGGTTGCCAGAGAGTGTGGTGTAGCAGAGAGGCAGCGGGTGATAGAAGCTGTGGTGACACATGAGGCCCGGGACCAACTCTGAGTAACCCACTAGTCACTAGAGGGACAGAGAGGGAGCAGAGTAGGGCACAGCAGGGGTAAATACGTAGGCACAGACAAGGCTAACTGTGACTGACATGGCTAGCATTCAGAGGCAGCGCACATGAAGCGGACAGGAATGATGAAAAAAAAAAAAGCGGATGGTGTACACTTGTTTGTAGGTATACGTGTGTGTGCATGGCATGATGTTTGTGTGTGTAAGATAAACATATAAACAGTTCATACAAGTTCACTTGTGCCTGCACTAAGTGATAAATAGAGTTAAATAGAGTTTGGTGTTTATTCACTTCAACTGTCAAAGGTGAAACACGCTTAAATCAGTTGATGGGTAAAGCTTTTGTGAACCTTTTAGGAGTAAGTCTGTCACTCAGTCAGGGATATTGCATGAGCATCAGAGTGAAAGCAGATTTAAAGTGGAAAAAATCAATCATTTTTCTAAAATTTGACTTCTTTTAAACACAGCTAACTCTTCAAAAGGTAGAGCGTAAAAGCACTTAACTGATTAATTAATATATTTCAAATGTTTATTTTTGGGCTACAGTGCCAAGATCACTGTTCAAGTCCAGCACTCTTCAGGTTTTTATGTCTTTCCTAATATTTGACGTGTGGTTGCCTGAGCCTGAGATTTAGCTTTCTGCTCCACATGTTTTGTTGGCTCCATCTTTTGTCCATCTTATATTATACTGCTGAATAATCGTAAAACTGGTATTTTATCGACAACCTGTCTATTCACCTGATGGGACTGGATACGCTGGATGTTGGAGGTGAAGTCAAAGTAAAGGTTGAACTTGTCAATGTCCTTGTTTTTATTTGGATGAGCCCCTGGCTTTTTGTCACTCTGGCCAGGTTTCTCCTGCGCTTTTTCTTTTAGTGCTGACTTGGACACAGAGGAGTGGATGCTCACAAAGCTGTTCTCGCACCTGATGAAGCAAGAGAAGACAGTGAGGAAAGGAATGGGAAAAGGGCGATCTGTTGTTGTCTATATATCAAATGGAAGATGCTGGGATTTCAATACCAATGCAGCGTTGAGCACAGTGAAATAAATGAAGAAATAGAACTGAATGAATGTTCTCACAATGTTTTGATGTAGGTAAGGGTCTCTGGGTCTTTGGCAATCATGTCGGCCAATATATGCTCCACACCTGTAGTGACCTCTTCCACTGAGGACAGACCTGACACAAACAAAAATACACTCCTTACACTTCAAGAACTCAACTTTTATAGGTTTTAACAATCTGTTCTTCAGTCTGTGTGCTTTTAACTCACCCTCAGTGTCAGGCTTTATCCATGCCCTTAAATCTAGAGTGTGAGGTGAATCCATCAGTGTCGAAACAGCTGCCTCAAGGCCAAGTGCTTTGGCCCGGCGAGCTTTCGTCAGCTTACTGCCCTTCTTATAGGGGGAATACTACAGAGGGAAAAAAAGACACCATACGACAAAGAGTTAGAAGGAGATGGAATAAGAGTCACATACATGTGTAGTTACAGAATACCGCAGTCACAAATGAGATGTATGAGTTACATTGAAATCGTGGATATTTCTTGTATGTAGCATGTATCATGTAAAATGTGGTTCTGACCACATGATCCAGTTCATCAGCTGACCGGCAGCTTCTCAGTTCCTGTTCCAGCTCGTCTGTCAAAGCCCCATCTTTCTTCAGGGTCTGAATCACAGACTGGGTCTTCTTGGACACAGAGCTGAAATCATAACAATTCAAAACAAAAGGTCTAATAGTATCAACAGAGAAAAGCAAGTCTGATACAACACACATAAAAAATCTAATAAAAAAGAACAATTACCCACAAGGGGCATTTTTGGCTTCAAAGCTTGGCCACTAACACCATCTAGTGGCCAAAGTAAAATTTGCAGTCTACAAACTGAAACTTTCCCTCTTTGAATGTGTTCAAGTAGTGCTCATGAGAGGGTTTGAGTGAATGCTGATGAAAACTAATTCCTTTATCAGTTTAAACTGTTTGATTGAGTTTCCCTACCGTAATTCTTCATACACCAGCTGAACGTCTCGGACGGCATCGGCGTCCATGTGGTTAATCATTTCCTTACGATAGCGCACCATGAACGGCACAGTGTTCTCCTCACGAAGCAGCGAAATGATGTTTGAACACACCCATCGCTCCACACACGTAAGGGTAGACAGCACCTGAGGTGAAGAACATACGTGGATATTCAGTGAGTACATTTACCAACACATTATACTTAGATATTTCCATGAAAATTCAAAACTATTTCATTTCATTTCTGTTCATGAAGCATATCCACTTTCATGCTACTCAAAGACATCATTTATCAACCATTAGAAAAAAAAATACAAGCTTATACTTTTAAATTAGATACAACAAATCCTATTGTACCTCTATCAAGTCCCAGTTCATACTGAGTTCATTCCTCAGATCGTTTGCCAGTGATGTTGGTAGAGTAGTTGGTCGTCCCAGGCAGGCACCCATGGTCTTTGGTTTCTTTGGACAGGGCTCCCCGAAAGTAAAATCCTCCACTTCCTCTTTCTTTGCTTTGAGAAGGGCTAGTGAGGATCCCTCCCCGGCATATCGATCCACCTGGTGGGCCTCTGATGGGGTAAATGACAACCTCTGCAAAAAAGACAAGACAAGTAGAATGAAAAGACAATCAATCAAACTGATAACATAAGTTTTTTTGTTTGGTAACAATGTGTACTTTGTTTTAAGTTCACGTCAGCTGGATTTGCTTTCCTTTTAATGACATGTGCTAAATATCTGGATCTTTTCAACGGACTGCACGCATTTACACTGGTGTGCACTGCTCAGTAGTGCACAGAAATCCTTGTATAACGATAAACTACCATTACGTAAGTCTTAAAAAAGCAAACAATTATCTATTCAAACTGATAATGTACTTGTGAGTCTTTGTATGTTTGTATGTGTGTGCTTGTATCTGTGAGCATGTGGTGTATTTTTACTAAAATGGCCAATAATCTTACCTCCTCCTTTACTCGAACACTTGCTTCCCCTCCTCTCTCTCCTTCTGGGACTTCTGTTTGTTTTTCTCCTGCCTTATTTTGAACCTCTTCTATTTTTTTCCTCTTTGATCCAGCTAACACTGGTGCGCTAGAATTCCTCTGGACTTTACTGGCCTGTGGTTTTCGCTCTGCTGCAGGTTTGCGTGGTGCCCTTGGCTTTGGCTCTTTAGGCACTTTGGGTTCTTTAGGCACTTTAGGTGCTTTTGGTTGCTTTGGCGTGACAGTTTTCTTGGCTGTTGCTTTCTGCTTTTCCTTGGCTGCAGGGGCTCTGGGTTTTTGCTCTGGTGGTCTCCACTCCTCGCTGTCCTCATCACTACTCGCTGTCTGCAAAAAGGACCTGATAGTAGAGTGGGAACAAAGTGGAAAATCAGCAAATGTAAGACCCTACAACAGATTCAGGCTATACTTACCCTAAGATTAAAATAAAATGGTTACTATTAGTTTTCAGAGATTTTTTAAAAAGTTGAAATGAAACATAATATGATGAAATTTAATGCATGTAACTCCTGTTTCTGTTTACAGGCTTTAAAGTCAACAGCAAACTACAGGAAGATGTAAGCCAAAACTAACAAACTAAGCCAAGTCATGATCGTTGTATTTGAATGTCAGCTTGATGGTTAAAGTTCGTATTTTGCAATTGCAACAGTTTGAGATTGTCTGTTAAGAAGAGGAAATCTGTCCTAAATTTGTGTAAAAAAACCAACCAGCAACTTTTGGCGCAGCTTGTCTGGATTCAGGGATCCCCTTGACGGTGCAGAGTTTCCAGACACATATAAGCTACTAAGATATGTACAGTCCTGACCCGCAGTCAATCTAATGCTCTCATTTGATGCTATCTACCAACACTAAACCTAAGGGTGTTTCCTCTTTGATCGTGTTTGTCACACGAGACAAAAAAACTTTTTTTTGGAAATAAATGTCTTGGTCACATGATCAATTTCTTTTACCATTCCCAAGCAACAGGAGGTGGCTCAACTTACCCTTTGGCTCAACTTACCCCACTCTCCCCTATAACAGGATGCACACCTCCTATAATGAACATGAATGAATAGAAAAATGAATGGGTAAGTGACTGAATACTTACAGGTCAGAGTCCATGTCCCCGTACTCTACAGCCTTTGTAGCTGTTGTTCGAGGTCTTCGCATCATCTGTAAAGTAAAAATGTAATGTCAGCTAACATTAAACCAACACGATACCATTCAATTGATACACTTAGCTAGCTGATGGGGCCGCACAAGTCATTGCAAAGTCATTCATGTTGCAATTTGAGTAGTTGAAATTAGCACGATGTGAATTTTTTATGTAAGTTATGTTCTGCACACTGATTTTTTATATGCTGTGTTGTCGTTGTTTCCCAACACCTACAGTCCTATTAGCTAAGCTGAAGAAGTTACTGAGGCTTTCTAGGGATCTATTAGTTACTGACTCACAGTCAAGCTAGCTAACGCCTCATTTGATTTTACAGTAAATTAAAGCGGCTACAGAGAGGTAGACAGCGAGCACTTACAAGTGAATAGCTGTAACAGCGTGATTAAATAAAGAAATGCAAACATAGCTCGTCTGAATCCCAAGAGTTTGCTCTCAGCTGCAGGGTAACCAGGCTAGGGTTAGCTAACATTCAAATTTGGCGCCCCGCGCTGACGCTAGCAAAGTCAGTAAGCTAGGAGACACTACACCATGATACAACTACATTTATGATACCACTTCTCCTCAATGGCATGAACTTTAATTAGTCGTCTTACCTTTTAACCTTTGGAAAAGCTGAACCCGTGTGTTGGTTTACCGTCGGAAACTGTAACAAGTGCAGCTGAAGTACCTGCTTCCTGCAACAGTTCGAGTTCAACCAATGACAAAGGTCTATTTCTTCTTTAGTGTGTATATATGGTAGGCAACCAGAGTGAAAAGACTCATTACCGCCACCTCCTGGTTTGGAGTGTGGATCAAACTTTTACACACTGTTGACTTAACGTGGGTAGTTCAATAAAATCAAAGAAAACAGCCCTACTGATCCTGTTAGAAATGTTTTTTTAATTATTATTTTAATAAACCTTTTTACTGATTTTCTTGAGCATGATACATAAAAAATTTCAACCGCAAATGTCACCACAATCAGTGTAAAATACAGAACAGAGAAACAAGAGTAATATGGTAAGCACAGCTTAGAGCAGTGGTTCTCAAGTCCAGCCCTCGAGGCCCACTGTCCTGCATGTTTTGGATGTTCCCTGCTCCAACACACCTGATTCAAATGATTATCTCCTTATTGAGCCAGTAAAGAGCTTGATAACAAGCTGATCTCACAAGTGGCATGACATTACAACAGTTTTCAAGTAGGGTACAGGTTGCAGCTGTGGTCTGTACTGGGAAGACAAAGACAGCTTAGTACATCGTCAGGTTCCTGCTTATCAGTTCAATGTCACACTGCTGGGAAAACAACATGTGAGTGAAATTGTAGCATTCATCTAGTTGAATGGCTTCAGCAGAAAAGTATCAGTCCCAACTCCAAGGCCGTACTTCTCCTTTCCCATGCTCATTAAAAGGAAACAGATATGACTCTGCAAGCATTCACACCAAGTGATTTTCAGTAAATGATGATTAACAGACTTATATAATGATAAAATACACATGTGATAGCATACACATACAATTTTTCTTTCAAGGTATTAGGTTGAGGTTTTCCACATGAGCTACAAAGGGTTTCCAAATTTCATTAAAAGTTGCAAAAGACCCCTTTAATGAGTATCACATCTTCTCGAGTTTAAAACAACTCATGATTAAAAATGTTGGATTTCTATTTTAACACTTATTTTGTCAACTCCAGTCCTCGCTTCATTCTTTCTTCAAAGGTTGTCTGTGTTCGTAAAACTGTTTGCATCGTATTATGACGTGTGGCCATCTCCTCAGGGCTCAGTGGGATGCTTCACAATAAAATTGGAAGGAACTTGTCTCTATAATGCTCCACTATGTCATGTCTATGACCACGCAATACATGTAGTCATTGGCTCAACTTACAATGTTAAGATATAAAGAGACCCACTTACTGTCACTTTTCTTATCTTTCTTGTTTTATTCCAAATTATTCCTTTGACATCAGATTTTCTTAATGGGATTTGTAAATCTATTGGGTCTCTATGTAGTGCTTGATTTGCCAATCTATTAACGTCCTCATGCTGCTTAGACCTACTTTTGCTAGAACCCACATGAACACAACTGGCATAACTTGTCCACAGTGTTCGAAGTAATCTGGCAAAACAGGATACACTGAAACTCAAATCAGAAGACCTAAGAATCTTTAAACCTGAAACACAATAAGAGCATATTAATTTGCCTAGATTAATTTTTCTCTACCCTCTGTAGTGCCAAGAATGTTGCCAACATTTCTACTGAATAGACTCTCAGATCTTTTGGGATTCACTTTCATATTTTTTTTGTTTGTGAAACAGAAAATGCAACCCAAGTTATATAACTGTCTGGATCTTTTATTGAATCTGTGGCAGTAACAATAAAATCCCCCAATTTTAAAGTACTTCCTCTGAATTTTCAGCAAATTCACAAGCTCCTTTCTCCCATCTACTGGACTGGAGTGGACTAGTGACTAGTAGGCCTTTGTTCTCTAACTTCCTCTAATGTCTTCTTAAATGTCAGACTTTCACTGAATATTCATTTAGTGTGACTTTTCCAAGGAAGAGGAAAAGGCCCAATGTCTGACATAGTTTAGTTATTTCAAGATATGCTTTTAATAGTCACACATCCGAACCAGACTAGACTAATTGGAAATTAAATTCCATCAGAGTTATACCTATTAACTACAAACTATTATCAATAAATGTTATATTTTAATGATCTAAGACTTTCTTTCTTGTCTCTCATGTTGCCATTGAACAAAACGTGTACTCTTATCTGTCCTTTTGTTTTGATCTTCTTTTATTAGCCTTTTTTGTTGTACTCCCCCTTTTTTTTCTTTTTCAATTTTTGATCACTGTTTGGTTTATTTTTGTACTGCTTCTCATTTGTTTGATTCTGTTCTGTTTTTGCCTAATAGAAAAAAACATGTCGTGATCAAGCCTCATAGACATGCCTTTTCACACCAAGGAGGGGTTCTGTACTGTCAGCTTACCTTATTGGAAAAAGGATTTTCTGAATTACTAATAATTACGTAAACGACGTTAGTGTCACCCTGTATATTACATTTTATTCGATCAAGTAATTTACACGAGACAGAAAACCTTTTTTCAATAACTAGGTCATAAAAGAGCCTGGTATTTACAAACTGTATTTGAACTCTTCCTTGGTAACAGATGACGCGTCATCAACAGAAACCAATCAGAAAAAAGAGTTTTAATTCTGCTCCTGTTCGGTGGATTTGTTAGTTGCTGTTGTGTGACGGGGGTTTTCCACTTGATGCTTTCAGTTCCTTCTGTCTTTTGTCAGCCTTAAAGGTAAAACCAGTGCGCAGTTCTGTCATTTACAGTACTGAAACAGCTTTCTACCTGTCCTGAAATAGTAAGGTATCATTTCATGTTCGTTTGTACTTACTGTAGGTGCAATGTATATGTTTATGCGTGTGCGTGTTATTAATTAATCTCCAAATTTGTATTTTTTTTTTTTATTTTTTTTTTTCTGTTTACAGGCTATTGTTTTCGTCAAGATGTCTAACCCTGACACTCAGTACCAGCCTCTCATGGGAGCTCCCAGCCAGCAGACAGCGATCAATATCCCAGCACAGGGGTGAGAAACTTCTGTCAGCTTGATGGGGTCCCAACATAAGAGCCAAAACCTACCCATATATTGACCTTTGAGTTAAACATGCTTGACTTAACTTTTTTTTCTTCTTGTGCAAGTACCTTTGACTGGTTGATGCTTTGGTGGGGGGAAAAAACATGCCAATGATGGGTTATATATGTTTTTATATTTTTAAAACTCATTTAATGTGTGTCCTGAATCTTTAAGTGAATACTACCTAACTCCACTTTGGGATTTTAATGTCAAATGTGTTTTATTCTGTAGTTTCTGTCACAGTAGGCCTACTTTCATATCAGCTGTAGGCTGTAATATCCTCTCCAAAATAACAGTGAAACTCTGACAAATGTGATCAATTTCTTACCCGAGTTTTACGTTTTACTGAGAAAAAGGAAACTGATTGCTGTCTGAAAAAGGGAAGTTTTATTAGAAAAAAGTTCATGAGTTTTACCAAAGAAACTAGTTTTATAAATGTTTCTTTCAGATACAGTCACAGTTCTTTTAAATGTGTTCTGAGTCAGTATGTCTGTGACAAATATCTTTTATTACAATTTTTAAATAAAACACAACTTCATCTTCTATAACAGAATGGATACTCGAATGACAAACCAGTATTGGAGCAGTATTTTAGTGACTGTAACATGGCTTTAAAGTGAAGTTAAAGTAGAGAAAATATCAAAAGTATCTGCTAGACAACAGATGACATCCAGACTGAGCTGATGGCTCTGGTTTCTGTTTGAGAGGAAAAAGCAACGCTCAAACTTACACCTATGCCCTCTTATCTTTCAGTTTAATAATTTATGTCTGCTTTAAATTTAGACAATGAAAGCCTTGATCAACTATGTACTGATACTCTAGCAGTCACAAAGGCGTATTTTCAGTCTTTGTTCCCTTTTTATCTGGGTCAAAACCTGCGGCAGATGTAATATTTCCTCCTCTTTTTCTCCACAACCCTCATCTGCTCCCATCTCTTTTTCTCTCCTTACTTCCCAGTGGCCAACCCTCCCGAGCCTATAAGATAGCAGGTATAACCCTGCTGGCCTGTGTCCTGATCGTGGGTCAGGCAATGATTGCGTACTTTCTCCTGAGCCAGAACGGCGACATCAAATCTCTGCAGGAGCAGAACAACGAACTGCAAGTTCAGATGAACAAGGGAAAATCTGGTAAGGAGGATACACTCGAGAGGGAAAGTGTTTCGTGCTACAAAGATCAACTTAATTTATCTTTTCAAATGTCAGTAAAATCCCCACTGACATTTGATATTACTCATTAGATTTCTAAAATACCAGGGCAGGAGGCCAAGCCAGATAGACCCATCCTTTCTGATTAAGATGACAGATGTTTAAACGGAAAAATAACATTTAAATCAGATCTGGTTTTATTAATAATTTCATTTTAACTGTAACAAGGATAAAATGAAAACCTTCCAAAAATTTAATCTTTATTTGTCTTTAAGACAAAAATATTTGAGCATCAGTTTAAATTGATGTAAAGTGAAGCTGTGTTGGACTGATCGACTTTGACTTTGAATGCAGACCAGGGTGGATATAAGGCTTGATTTTTATCTGAGAGGGTTTAACTTTGGTTTTGATCATTTGCGTTTTTTCTTCCTCTGACATGCGGTGCCTTTGTCTGTGTGTAGTTTCAGTTCCCATGCGCATGCACATGCCCATGAATGCCTTGACCGAGCTTGTGGATGACTCAGAGGACAAGGTAAAGTGATCAAATGCTGGATTTTGAGAGTAATGTGCATGTCAAAAAGGGTTTTTTTTTAAATATCAAGTAATCTTAGTGCTTTGTATTAACTCACATAAAGACTCAGACATAATGACAATATAAAGTGAAGCTGGCACCAGTAGCTAGACTTCAGTTTGTGCTAAAATCGAAAGCATCTTTCTTGCTAACAAAAAGGCTGGTTTGGGAAGAAATACTTTCTATTCAGTTGTTCACTGTTCTGATTTTCACACCTGCTGGTTAACAGAACCAGCTCTTGAAGATTTTTGTACTTATTAAACACCAGGACACCAAACTATGCAATAATATGGCCCAGGTTTAAAAAAATGAAAAATACCCCTTCATAGTGCACTAATAGTGATCCATTTTTCTTTTGTTGAATAAATCCTGATACACATTTGTAAGATTGAATTAAAGATATGGTATTTATTTATTGTCACTTTCTGTTTTTGATTACAGGCAACTGAAAAAGTTGGTACGTACTGTCTGACTTTGAGTCACCCATCCACATTTGTTCCCAAATTTTCCTTATGAGGCTCACTACATATAAGTTATTTGTGTTTTTTAATTCCCCTGTTGAGATTATTTGAATGTTTTCCTCTTTTTTTTCTAATCAGAGGCCACTGATTGCCAGCTGGAGGCCTCTGGTTTGAAACCTCTGCCTGTGCCCAATTACCGGCCCAGCTGTGATGAGCGTGGCCTGTACACCCCTCAGCAGTGCTTCATGGGGAAGTGCTGGTGTGTGAACACAGCCAGTGGCGTCCAGATCCCTGGATCAATGAGTGACGGAGCTGCCCGCTGTGGTGTGAATTTCCTCATTGGTGAGACCAAGACTCAAGTCACTAAGTCAGACAGGGACTTTCCCAGCATGCCACACTGAGCAAACGTCATGAACTTTCAAATTTAATGCTTTTCGAAGAGTAATTTTACTTCGCATTATCTTATGGTTTAAACCCACATTCACCGTAAATTCAGTCTTTTTTTTACAGTCATTAGATATTTATTTAAAGCCACTGTGGGAACCTTTGGTTTGTGTGGATTTTGACGCCCTTTGTGGAGAAAGTGGTCTTTGTTGATTTTGTCCTGTACTTGTAGTAAGCACTCATTGAAGATTTTTCCAAAGTTAAGTATGCAGTGATTTCACACATAATGAAATGACAACCAAGAAATCCTCACTCTCCTGATCCTGGAGATCATAGGATTTTGTCATAAATAGACACAAGTGTTATTTTCAGTCTGTTTCATGACCAGCTTCAAACTCCTCGCAGGATTTGAAAACAAGCAGAACCTGTCAGTCACTTAACAGATCACATTCCACCTGAACTATCCGTCCTGTGTTACAGTTTTGCTTTCTTGACTCTACAGTTTATCTTCAGTGCAGATAAAAGAAACTAAACTGAAGTATAACTCATATATTGTCATATACTTGCATTTCACTGCTAGACTTTCGATTCAGCTCTAAAGCAGGATTTAAACCAGAACTAAATATTTTCTGTTTCTAAAAGTGAAATCTTGAATTTGAGCTGGAATTCAGTCGATGAACAAATTTCTGTCTTTGCAGGCGGCCCCAACAAGGTGTTGACTCTGCCTAAAGTTGATGCCTAAAACTGTGGTGAGTAAACACTTTCTTCATTGACAATATGAGCAGTGCTTTGTGTAGTGCATTTTGATAAACTGTAACTACATTAAATCTGTAATAGATTCTGTGTATGTTGTTCAGAATTAAAAAGACCTTCTTCCCTGCTTCAGATATTTGATATTTGCTTATGAAAATGTGAGATGATGCTAAAACTTTGCATTGACTTTATTCTTTCTGTTTCTGCTTCTTGGATAAAGGAAGCTGATGGAACTTCCCCCAGCGAACAGCAACAGTCTGACATCAGTCCAAATCATATCTTTGCAACAGCTTTGTATGCTAATACTCAACTTAATTTTGAAGACTATTATGAACCTTTGGGGTTTCATAAGGCACAGATTATAAACATTTTATTAAGCTTTTGATTAAGTGTCTACTTTTAGCATTGCTTTGGGAAGTAAGGAATTTAGTGTGCTTTTATTTTCAGACTTAAAAAGATTTTTGGGGGGAATGTTTTAGTTTGCTAAAAAAAAAAAAAAGTCTTAGTTGGAAAGTTTCTATAGAAAAAAAGATTGGAAAATTTGACCCAGAGCAAAAAGCAGATTGGAAAATGGTAGCGTTTCAGTGAGAAATTATAATTTCTTTACAATTATTAAAACATAATCTCTATATTTATACATTCAAGATCCAGTAACCTGGGTCTTCTTAAACCTAGAGCTAAGTGGATGAAACAGTTTTAAAAATACTGACTCAGATTCAAACATAATGCAACCAGGAATGATCGACTTTTTAGACAACTGTACTTTCCTCCATTTATTTTAACATCCAAAATAAAACTTTTAAAGACAGTTTTGTTGTTTTTCTTTGACAGTATCAGAATGACATTTTAAATAGTCAAATACAACAGTTTGATGTGAAGCTTTGTGCTGTGATTTGCAAGAGTGAAACCCATGATAGTGAGACATCTGTATAACCAGGTGAAATGAAGTCACTACAGTTAACCTGTCCTATTCTAAATACCATCACACTAAGAGTCCTTAAACAAGGTATCAGAAAAAAAAACATGCAAAGACAAAATACAAGGAAAACTGATGAACTTAAACATGCAACACAGGGGCAATAACATCATGATTGTCAATAGGCACAAGTTGTTTTGGGGGATTCAGTTAACAAAGAGTATACACTTTCTCAGTACGCTTTCCAGTCCAGACAACACTCAAACAAACAGAACAACAATGACCCTTTATGGCTTTTTGTCTACCTCTCACAGGCCTAACTGTGTACACGATGTGCAGTTTCATCATTTCAGTGGCAGCAACTGGCTACTGCTGCAGGCATATGAAAGACATCTTAGTGCAGTTTTACATTTCTTTCCATTCATAAGGATATAGTTTTGTCAAAAAGAAAAAGTTGCTAAACCAATGATTAATAGTCATGGTGGAAATTTCGGAAACCACAAATGTGATTTAAATCAGACATGACAATTATTTATCTTTCCATAACAATGGCACTATGAAATCAACCCAGCAATTAACCATTTACACTTTATTGCGTTGCAGCTCATCATGTACGCTACTATTGAGGTATTTGGTGCTGCATCGTAAGTTTTCAGACTAGTGTTCAACAGCAACAGCATTTTATGGGAAAATACTAACATCTTAGAAATTTAGAACTAAGAAATACAGGGTGCACAAGTCATCAAACATGAAGCACAACCATCATTTTACATAAATATTTTGCTAATTTTCTTAAAACTTTTAGAAGATTCCCAGGCAAAAGATAATTTATCCTAGCAAGACCAAGTAACAGTTTACAACCCTATAATACATTTAAGTGCAAAAGATCCAACTTGCTTCCAGCATATGAAATAAGCAGCCTAATCCAATCAGAAAAAGGCTATTGCACACATGGCATGAGATGATATTATCAAGTCCAACCAGAGTAGGCACGCGTAATAGATAATTAACACAAGAGAACTAAAACACACAGAAATGATCTGTTAAAATCTCCCAAATAAAATTGAACTATATATAAATAGGACTTTGGCATATATTTGGCGCCTGTAAGGAGGAATATATAAAGAAGCCTTTTGGGAGTACTATTTTGTTATTTTTGACTGGAGTGTGACATTTTTACAGTTGAGTTTATAATCGCAAAAACAACTTTTTGAAAGCTGTAATGTTTGTTTCTTAGGAACTTCAACAGACAAGATTAAATTAAAAACAAAGGATGTTTTACTAACTTAAACTTGGCCCTTGGGAGGGTTTACCTGAAAGACACATCACACAATATCGAAAACTTAACATCTGCAAACCGCGGTAATGACCAGGAAAAAGGTTAGAGGGTTTTAACACAAAAGAGCACTACGGTGTGAGAGGTGAGATAATTATACATGCTCTATCAGACCCTGAGCAATGAAGTGCAAACATAGTTTCGACTGCAACAATCAATTTCTGACCACTAGAGGGCTGAAAACACTAGTAAAACTCACTTGCTTTTCTGTTCTGCTTCAATGCTACCATGTAAGCCAAACTCTGTAAACCCTACAAGCATTGACTGCTTCACAGAAACCTGACACCCTCTGTGTCTGAAGAGTCGAAGAAATATGTGTTTCTCTACAGTTAACCTGAAATAGACAACTAGCTGACACTAGCTGGTCACCCTTACGTACCATGGAATCTCCCTAAGTATACCATGAAGTTTAGAGGGAGATAAAGTTGAGATCAGAAATCAGTTACAGCAGCTGTAAGGGTTTTCTTAATGACAGGAGTTTGTCTAGATCTCAACATTGACCATATTTGGGCGAAAAAAGGGCCTGGCTGCCATTGAAATTGTGAATTGTAATACTTTCAACATGGATTTTAACGTGTTCATGTAGATATTTATTCCAGTCACCCATTCTAAACACTAATGAAGCAAGCACCTGGATGAATACACAGAGAATTATAAAAGATACACCATTTTATCCTTTCTCTTTCAGTTTATCTCTACTTTAAAACATTTCAGAATCCATGTGGATAGTGAGCATTATTTTATGAAAAGGTCTCAACTTTGAAATACGTATCTGTTCCCATATGCAGCTGTATCTGCATCCTCACTTTGCGGCAGTCTCTCCCTCCTTCCTTGCCATCTTAGTTTTATTCCAGTTGTCTCATTTCCTCCCCCCTCTCAGGTTGTTTACATAGTCTTTGATTGTGTTTTCAATGTTGGGAACAGCATAATTCTGTGCAGCATAGATTCCTGTACATGTTCCTACGACTACTCCCATCAGTGCCGAAGAGCGTAGCCTTGCAACTACATAGCCAGCCAGAAACCCCTTTAGGAAAGGAGAGCCCAGCAAGCTGCCTCCCTAAAGAGAAAAAGAGGGTAAAAATTGGTTCTGGGACTTGGCAATTATTTCATAAAAAACTATTTTCAGTCGTTTGCCTTGTCAGGAAAAAAAACAACCAAAGTGATCTTGACATCTACATGTCATTGTTTGTGTAAGACTTACCGGAGGCACCCCGGCTTGTATTTCATCCTCCACCCGTCTCTGGATGTCTTCTAGCTGGTCCTTCAGCTCTACCAGGTCTTTGAGCTGGTTTAAGGGATTCTGTACTCACATGCAGATACACACACATTCACATACAAACACAGAAATATGCAGGCATGACACAAACAAACAAAGAAACAAACAAACAAATAGCCAAGAACCCAGTGTCACCCTTGAGTTTCCAAAAACATAGTAGTCAACTAGAAATTGTATGACAATAAAATGTTATGTACTATAAGAAAAAGGTTTAAAAAACAGGGTTTAAATAGTAAAACTGTAAAACTTCCATTCTCTCTCAACACATCTTACACCAAGATAGTTGAAAATAAAGACTATTTGTTAACTAGTACCATCTGGGACTTTAATTTTTATTTACTCCTCTGACCAAAAACTAAGACAAATCACAAAATCTACCCAAAGACTATGTTCCAGCACAGGTAAACGATTGATAGCTAGGTTAGTTCATTAAATTATACATGTGAGAAATGATAATGCACACACAACAGTATATGACAGTATGACAGTATTATTAATTTATGGCGGTTCAACAAATATTAGTGACTGGTCACCATTTCACTGATTATATTGATTAAGTTAATTGAAAAAAAGGAAAAAACAACATTCACTATTAGGGCTGGGGGATAAAATGATAACGATATATATCGAAAATCAATTTCCCTCGGTATCGATATAAAACATGGTCAATATGCTCGTCGATAGTAGGCATTCTGCCATGTTTTGGTAGACTATACAAATATCCAATGAAAAGAGCAGTTGCTCCGGGTCCGCTTTGCACTGAACCAGTCATGTGCTGAATTAGAACAAAGTAGCAAACAACTGTGTAGTAGCAGGTTGCAGCTACACATAGCACTTTAACACGTGAAGCAGACAGCACTACAAACAGCCGACCATTCAGTCTGCCTAATGACAAAACGTCCAAGAGACACAAAGATCTCACAGATACAGTAGCTTATTGTGTTGGAAAAGACATGCTATCAATAAGCACTTTTTAATTTCATTTTTCATATCATTATATATATCGATATCGACTGATATGAAAAAAATATATCGTGATAAACTTTTTCCCACATCGCCCAGCGCTACCCACTATTGACTAGAGCTATGACTGACAGCTTGGCACTCTTGTCCTGACATGACACCTCCTAATCCAGCAGGGCGTCAACCGTGGTTATCAGACTGTGAAAAGTTGATGTATTTCACATTAAACAGGCCCCACTTCTGTGAAAACTCACCCTACACTCAAAGTAAGTACAATTAATCTTGGGAATCATTAGCAGCTTAAACTTCTTGTCGACTTTTTTTTCTCTAACGCTAATGTTAGCTTGTAAAGCGCGGCCAATATATGCCGCTAACTACTCGCTTTTCCTTTCTTTTTAGAGAGGATTGTGAATGTTTTTTCAAGTCCACGCCACGACATATGATTTGTTTGAATGGTAACTTTTGGTAGCTTTCAAACTTTATGACACAAAGTTAGCTTTGCGCTAAGTTAGCTAAGCGAACTCAACACCAAGACTGGACTAAAAGTGCCTTTTCCATCCGCTCACATTAGCAGCAAACGATAATTGAGGACTGTTGAATACCGGGTGAGTCTATATATTCGATATTGTAATGTCGAATACGGGTAATCTGAAATGACAGTGGAAAGTTAAGCACACCGACCTTGTCATTTGCCATGTTTCTTCTTGTGTTGATACCTCTCTCTTCTTCTTTTCCTAGTGCTTTAGTTTGGTTGAATATGAGCTTTACTGTCCTCTGGTGGTAAAACTAACAGACTCTACTAAGGCCATTTTCTTTATAATTATTTCCTTTCCTCTTTGATTTGGGTAGATTAAGATAAAGACACATTAAATTCATGCAGTCACTCTGGTTTAATTAACGTTAGGGTACTACTTAATGATTACACTTGTGAAAAGCCTTCAGAAGTTACCTCAAAACCAGCAGGCACATACATGTTCACAATGGCCTCACTAGTTTCTGACTCTTACATTGCCTATAATGTTGATAACAGGGGAGGCAGTAGCTCAGGCGGTAGAGCGGTTCGAACCCTGCCCTATCCCTAGTCTGTCCATTGTGTCCTTGAGCAAGACACTTAACCCACCTTGCTCCCAGTGTAGGTCCTCCATTGGTGTGTGATTGTGAGTGTCATGGGATGGTGGTCGGAGAAGCCGTAGGCGCAAACTGGCAGCCACGTTTCCATCAGTCTGCCCCAGTGCAGATATGACCACTAAGGTAGTTTACTACCACCAAGGTGTGACTGTGTGAGCGAATGAATGATGTATCCAATGTAAAGCACTTTGAGGTCACTGACAAAAACGCTTTAAAAATCTGATGCATTATTATTATAACACTCAAGTTTCTTGTTCCATTTAGTTTATACTATAAGTACAGAGACAAAGGCAGTCAAACCATATATTTGAAACTTTCAATGTATTGCATTTCTCAGAACAAATTCCTTTTCCTGTTATCTTGAGAAAGGCAATGCTGCACTAAAATATAAGTGTAAGCCTCAGAAGTGTTTTCATCATATATTTAATCTATGGTTTCTGCCGAGCACTCTGAGAAGAAGCCAATTAACTTGGCCCCTTCTACACTCATGATGTAGATAGTCCTTTTTTCTTTTACTGTTGCTCCAGAGTGCGTGAGAGAACGCATCTGATTAGACACTCAGAGAGAGAGAAAGCAAATGAGGAAGAACTGGGAAAAATAATTAGAGAGACAGAAGGCTGGAGTTTCACAGAAGCAACGACATACTCATTAATTAGAGCTGTTAAGTTTTGCACAGTTTTATAACCAGCACTGCCACAGCTCACAGCCGTAGGAGGAAAGAAAGATGAATTAAAGAATAGTGGGACACATTTTTTTTTCTCAGAGAGAAAATAAACTGTTGGAGAGAGTGGCATTTAACAGATTGTGTCCCTTTTAATTTAAACTTTATGGGGACCTTTTTTTGCAGCAAGTACCAAGAGCCTGACCGACAGTTCACAAGCGGGATTTGCAGGGAGTCTGTGAAAATGGAAACAAGCAGCAGAACTTGGAGTCACATGAGGCAGGAAGGCGATCAAAAAAGATAGAGAGAGGAAGTTTTAGCCACTCAAAAGCAAGAGAGTGACTGCCATCTGTTAGAGAGATAAGAAGACATGGGCAGACTCAGACTGCAAGACAGAACAGCATGTAAAGATCTTTATACTTCCAACTAATTTCAAAAGATTTATCCTGGTCAGAACATAAACCAATTCTTCTTAAACACACTTTGATGGTTTTGTCTATTGCGGTAGAAAGGCCTAAGAATATTTAATCCTCACACTCAGCTGGACAGGAGACAGGAAATCCATTAACCTTTCCAAATTCCGGGTTATCACCGGACCCACATTTTATGGCGCAAAGTATTTAATAGTTCGTTCAAGCTGGAATAAAACATTTGCTTTTGCAGATGAGGCACGGCTCACACACTCCTCTGGACAGCAGGCGCCCAAGAGCAGGAGGAAGCGATGGAGGTAAGGTGTCTGTGATCTTCAAAGCTGTTGATGATTTAGAGGGGTTGTATTGATTCTGGCTGAGGCTTAGCTGGCTGACTAATCTTTGGATGCCACTGTTTTGGAAAGGTCATTGATGCTTATAGTGCTATCATCACAGTGATGTGCTCAGAGAGATTAAGGATTTATAGACCAAATACATATCCAGGACAGGCTGTATTTAAATTTTGAGTTGGAAAGAGATTAATAATGTAAATGTGTTATATGCTGTGAAACAAAAGTACAATGTTGCAAAATAATAACCAGCTCTAATACCTTTGTGACTAAACTATCCTTTGTTAGTCGGCAAACCAACAAAAGGCTATTACTCTTATGTAAGAGATGGGATTCATATTAGCTCTACACCAGCAATTGCATTTCTTGTTTGTGCTTCTGTGAATCATCCATTTATTATGTGTTGGAGGCAACAATATCCTGCGCTCGTTTTTGGGGTTGAATATGTATGGTTAGAGATATAAATGTAGTTGTTTAGAGTTGTCTTGTCCAGTGCTGATATTTATATTCTGTCATCATGGGACATAAAAGAAGCACTGTAGCGCTTTTTGATTTTGCAGCAATCTTTGTCAGTCAAATATATTGTTTTCAGTCTTAAGAGTATGGTATGTTGGTAAGAATGTCCCCTTTCTTCTGGCTGTTTTTTTTTTCTAATTTGCCCTTGTCCTGGATTCATCTGTGCATGGTGGCTCTTGAAGCGCTGACTCTAGCAGCTGTCCACTCTTTGTGAATCTCCCCCAGATTCTTGAACAGGCTTCGTTTCACTCTCAAGGCTGCTGTTCTCTCTGTTGCTTGTTGACCTTTTTCTCCCAGAATCTTTCCCTCCACTCAACTTTCTATGATTGTGCTTGGATGCAGCACTCTGTGAACAGCCAGCCTCTTTAGCAATGACCTTTAGTGTCTTACCTTCCTTGTGCAGGGTGTCAACTATGGTCTTCTGAACAACTGTCAAGTATTCCCCATGGCTGTGTGGCCTACTGATCCAGACTGACAGACCATTTTAAGTCCCAGGACACCTTTGCAGATGTTTTGAGTCAATTGTCCGATTAAAGTGTGAGACAACAAGGCTCCAATATTGAACTCCTTCAAAATATTCAAATTTTCTGAGACACTGAGTTTTAGGCTTTCATTAGCTCTAAGTTACACTCATCAAAATGAAAATAAATGAACACTTCAAATATATCAGTCTGTTTGTAATGAATCTATACATGAGTTTTACTTTTTGAACTGAATTACTGAAAAAAATCAACTTTTTGTTTTTCTAATTTATTGAGATGCGTCATTATATGGAGAGCTTGATCAAAACTCACAGTTCTATTATTTCAGCAACAGCATGTTTCATTTTACACATTTGTGTCATGTTGCTATTATTGTGACTTCGTATTATCATTTACTTTTAATTAATGACACCACATGCTCTCCCATTTTCATTTGTTATTAACCTCTCAGCCTGAGGCCCAAAGTCTCTTGCAAGAGGAGAGGCAGCCTGTATTGTCAAATGGAAGATATAATGTCTTCATTGGAACAAACCTGTGTTATTGTTGGTTAGATTTTATAATAACGTCAAGAAAAAATGGCCCCTGCTGCCCTTTTGCTAAAAGCAGTGAGTTATTGTTTCATAAGGCACTCTGCCTCTGGAGTGTTGCAGCACTGACAGCGAGCTGTTGGCTCTATTCTTCGACCTGCTCTGATGAGTTTGGCTGTGTTGTTCTGCGTTTTAACATGGACTGTGTTTTAAAAGATAAGACCGTTCGTGTGCATTAATTGTGGTGTTTAATGCACTGTACAGGCGAAGCTGGCTTTAGTTTTTGTTTGCTTTGTTTTGTGTGGTTCTTTTTGAGCTATATCATTTTACTGCTGGTTCAACCCACAGCATTTTATAAGACTTGGCTCAGCAATCATTCTCATCCATTTACAACATAATGGAGGTTTTTCATCAGTTGGACACACTGGTGGCCTGCCAGAAATTATAACATATTTTTTCAATTTGTTAAATCTAAAAGTCTTCTGGCATGGCTTGATGTTTTTTTTTTGGTGGGTTGAGTTGGCCTGTTTTCAGCTAAGTTCCCTCATTAACCTCAGTGCTCAGTATTCAGCTCATGTTCACTGATGGCAACTGATACAGTACATTCTCCTGGCAGGCAAAACTGCGAGAGGCTGAAGGCATGACTGAGTAAGAGGGAAGTTTGTAAAGAGTCTTAGATTGTTTGAGTTTACTCAGAAATGTGCATGACTCAGCAATGAGATGAGAAAAAATAACGTGCCTCTAGAAAAAGTACTATGTAGAATTGAATATGGATTACTTGTCCCATTTAGCAGACAAATGAGGAAGCAATGTTTACCAGAGATTCCTTCAGTGAGGGAGGAGATGTTTAGAATTCGCTGTTTGTGGGAGTATTGATATTACAATTAATACAATTAAAAACTACTGAAAACTATTTATTTAGGCTACAAAAAATTCAGGGCCTTCTGAGTCTCGGCAGAAGGCTTTCTGTGTGGGGTAAGAATAATTGAAGAATTGCAAACCTTCATTTCTAGCTAGCTGGTAAGAAAAAAGAGATCTTGCAAACCAACCATATATATGGATGTCATATATATACATAAATGTATATAAGCACTAAAGTATAACATTAAAATAGCTTTTTAACAATATACGCTTTATTCTTACCTGTCAAATATGTCAAACAATAAGCAGGGTAGAATTGCATTGTTATTCTCTTGCTGTCTACTAATACCCTACAGCATTAGCGCACAGTCAAGGCAAGCAATTAAAATGGATTTTTTCCATTTCAAAGAGTTGAGGTACGCTGGCTTATTGCCACTAATGATGTTAATATTTAGATGGTGTGTCTATGTTTGTGTCTCTGTGTGTTTTTGTTTGTGTCTTTGTGTCTGCTGCACGTATGAGTTTGACTTGATGCCCGTTATAAGCCAATTAAGGTTTTTAAGCTCTGTTGCGTCTCCAGTGAGACAAGGTAAGGGAAGAGGGGTACTGCAGCCTCACTGCACCACTCTGCTGTGATGTGCCAAAATGTGCGTGAGTGTGTGGGTGTGTGTCATCCGAGTGCACAAGTGTCGCCCTTTGTTCACTGGGTCAAAAAAGAGTGAAATGAATTTGAATAAAGGGAAGGAAACTTAATTATTCTGAGTGAAGTGGGAGGATAGAGGGAGCATGTCTGTACATCAAGGACAAGAGTGATAAAGTGAAGGAGAGGTTCAGAGAAAAGTGAAGTCAAAAGTCAGCAAAGAGAAGAGGAAATCCAAAAAGCGTAACAAGTTCAGGAGAGATTCAGGCATGCATGGGTGTGTCCTTGCTTGCTGTCATCAGGTCCACTTGTGTTGCACTCAGTGGTCTCTTCTCCTTTTCTCTATGATGCAGCATCAGCATCACCACAACTCTGTCCCTCCTCTCCTTCTACCTCCTTTTCTGTGTCTGTCTGCCCCTCCCATATGCTCTCTCCTCCTCACACATACGCTCTCGCACACAGGGGATGCCTGAATCGGTGATAAGTCCTGGTCAGAGTTCCTGGGCTGCTGAGACTAACAGGTCAGTGCTTGGCTTAATCAATGCAGTCCAACCCAGCTCAGCAAATCTAGAAGATGTCACTATGACAGGTTGAGGCTCTGCTTTCTGAGGGTATATTCTGAGGGTGGATTTCCTACAGCCTGTGGACATTTTTCAGCAGTGAAGCCAGAGATGCGCCTAAACACAGGGTATGATCAGAATGAGAGTACTTTGGTGGTGCTTTTGAGGAATGTCAAGCTTAAAAATCCACGTCTTGTGACATTCAATCAATGTTTGGAGCAAAGAGTTGGAGATACGACTGAGAAGGTTGGAAGCTTTGGGAAATTTACTAAAGCCTGTCAGAGAACAACCTGCTGAATCGGAATGCTTGTGGCAACATCAACAGTTCTTCCAGAGTTTGAGTGTGTCAATTTTTGCACTATCTACAAAGAAAGTAAACAGTACAAATGAATTACACAATGTATCCCGAGGAGGAAGAGTTCTTTACCGTGATTAACTGGTGATCAACAAGTTAATCGTTTTCATCAAGACTGAGGCGCTGGCGCTTTATCTATCGTAACGATATGGATCTACGTGGGAGCAGAGGGCCAGCAATTGGCCAGGACCTGAGGGTTCAGGGGTTAGGTTTAAGCATTTCAACCTCAGCGATGCCTGTCAGTTCACTCATATCAGCAGTGAGGCAGCAGGACTACTCAGCCAGCGTCTGGCTCCGCAGGAGGGAAAAACTCGAACATGTAAGTTCTTGAGTTTTGGAGTTTGGAGAATGATTGAGGGATGCTAAAAAGCTGATGAAAATACAGGGAGACCTTACTTTGTGATGTGAATCTGTCAGTTAACAAAAAAAAAGACATTTAGCATTTGTATGTTTGTAATGGAATAATTATAGCTTTGATTGAAAGGTGAGGCAAAAGGTGCGCTCCTTAAGACCTCCCAAGCTCTCTATTTGTCAATCTGCCATTCTGCAATTTTGCAAAACTTAAATTATTTTAACAACATAGAAATATCATGAGGCAAAAAGTGTTTAGAAGTCAGATCTGCTGTTACAGGTTTTTCTTGAGTCAAATCTGGATACAATAGGTTTTTCTGTGGTCACTATTACAGGCTGTCAACAAGTCCCAATGAAATGAGCTCATCTTTTTCCAAAGTCAAAATGGCATCCCAAAAAGACTTGGCGATACAATTTTGAAGATATAATAATTAGTAAATCTAAAACACTACGTCTTTTTATGTTTCTCTTAAAAGAAAAATCAGTGGACAAAAGGACAGAATAAATGTTTTTTCCAAGAACATTTGGACCTGAAAGGCACTGTTGAAAGCTTTCATGTTCTGCTTTTTTTAGTGACCCCTTGGGATGAACTCTGTATTTTTCTGAAATAAAGACCATATCCCCCATGAGCGCCACTATTGCGAAGATTTGACCCTTGCCAAAGCATGCATTTTGTTGAGCACGAAAATAAATGAAATCTAGATCGAGTTTTATTACTTAACTTTGTTCAGGACAACTTTTTGTAGTATGCAGAGTGAAAAGATTACATGTTGATTTTTAACAACAAATGGATATCATGAAATGCTTCAGTGTAAGAGTGGAACTATTTTTAAACTTGTTAAAAACTTTGCATAGTCCCTTAAGTTAGATTACCAGAGTTAGTCTAGCGATAAAACCTCAAGGCATGTAGTATGTGAGTGCTAGATATCAATGCTAGTATTAATCCAAAAGCACAATCTTGTGTTACATGGGCTACACTGGGTCGTTTCCAGAACTGTGTGAAAAGTGGAAACTACAAGCAAAAACCTTAAACCACTATGACACCTTATATCAGTCATTTCATGCAAAGAGTCGAATATTTATTGTCCTGCAGAATCTACAGTGTCTCTGCTCTCAGTTGTTATAAATTTCTGTATCACTTGAAGTGCATAAACTACTTGATAATGGAAATAACCTCCATTTGTAATTGTCACTTTTATTCCATAAGAAAGTTTGCCATATCACAATATAGTATGGCACCGTGAAAGAGAAACAATGGTAAGTAATTCAAACTTGAATTACTTACCATTGTCTAAACCCTTGTTTAGAACAGAGAGTTCAAGTTCGTAAAATTTGCATGCTGTGGGAGGTCTCCGACAAGCCTTCGACTCTGCACTCTAAACTGTCTTCTTTCCTGCCTTTGTGATGTCAAGTACTCACTTTTGTTTTCTATTACAAAGGAGTGATAAGGTGCCTAGGAGACTCACTGCTAGCAGGTAAACAGAATCAGCATTCTACAGAGAGCCTTTAGGTGTAGAGATTAAGCGTCGGGGAAAGGACTTGGAAATGTGTGTGTTGAATATTTGATGCCGGAGAGAAACAGCGCCGCGTCCAGAGAGCTGCTTTCAAAGCTTGTCTGCATAACCAACTAGGGTGATGAATCAGCCTGTCCTATTTCACACACACACATACTGTACACTGCAGTTTAACACACACATACAGTATACTGTAACTGTTTTGCAGACATCAGACCATGCACATAAACAAGCTTGTTTTCCTGCTGCAGTTGCTGAACAGACAATGGATTTTGCAGTTGAACTTCACTCCAGATTGACCCAGAGACAATCAATATGACATAATCTCTCAGCTGTCAACTCCCAATACAAATCTTAGCACCAGTGGCAGGATCTATTAACTAATATTGTGTTAGGAACATGTTGTTTCATCTCTCCATTCATGACAATCAGATTATTACATGATGGGGTTTTCTTTAAGGGATTTAACTGGGACACACCTAGAACAAAAGAGCAAGACCTAACATGCTGACATCAGTGATCAATGTAAAATAAGATGGAGGAGAATGAGATAAGACACGGAAACTGAGTGCTTCAGGCAGGCTGAGTGTAGCTGTCTAAAACAATGCGGTTCAAGTATCAGCCTGAGCATTGACTTGTCAGACCCAGAGTCAGAAAACAGATAATCATTTCTAACTTTAACCTACGTTTTTTGTTGTACCTTTCAATCCACACGAGCCTTTCTTTTTCTAGAAATCTAGATTTATGAGACATTTTAATTTAAGTGGATAACCACGAAACATTACATGTAAATAACTGTAAATATTATTAATAATGATTTATCAGTTTAGGTAGTGTCCAAAAAATCGAGACTCATCTAAGATAATTGTTAAATACAGTGACATTGTTCACCAAATGAATTTTTAAAACAACGGGTCAGTAGAGAATAAAGTTACGTAATTGACATTTAGTGGAAGTAACTTGCTGTAATAAGGAGTTTTAATGACCAACCATGACCATTCTTTTTCCCATTAAGAATGGGACCCTTATCTGGCAGGCTGATGACAAGAAAAAACGTATCAAATCAAATCATCTCACAATACACGCCAATGTAAATATACCAGAATTATCACAATAGCTACATTTCATCTGCTGTCCTAGGGCAGGTAACTATAAAAAGAGCAGAAAGCAGATTTTAAGTAACAGGACACCTCACTGCACAACTCACAAGACTGTACACAGAAAATACAGTTTTAACAAACAAGATGGACATAATATTTACATAATAACTCAAAAATAGAAATCTATCTAAAAGCAGGATTGTTTCAGTAAAACAAATGTCATCCAAAAAAGTAATCAGAAGTAATAAAAAGGTGAACTACAAGAGAGAAATCTACAAAACTGAAGATGCCACATAAAAAAAACTTTTCAGTGCCATTTTCAAAAAGATGGATGGATAAGTGGAAAGGAAATGCCTCAGATTCTGACAGTGATGTAGTAAACAGCACTGATTCATACAAAACCATCACACCTCCATGAGCTGAAATTTTCAGCTTAATGTGAGTCTTAACAGCCAGGTGAGCTCATTTAAAGAAAGCAACAGAGTTAACTGTTTCTATAGATGCAGCTAAAACTGGGAGATGAAGAGTGTTTTAAACAGAAGTAACATCATCATTGTGATATTTAACATTTTCCAGATCAATAACTGATAATACTTCCAATTCCCTAAATAGATAGCAATATGGTAAGTGGGATAATGTGGATAGGGCTAGTTGTTATAGTGAGGAATCCCTTTTGTTTCAGAAATTCTCACATCGCATTAGAGTCCTGCTCACCCCGTCAGTCTACTATAACAACCCACTCACTATACATAACCCCAAATCTAACACCTGAATTAATCCTTTTTTTGTTCTCAGAGTTTACTCTATTTCAAGTGTCATACACTCTCGTCCAGTAAGTGGATCTAAATGGAGGGACACGCTGATAGTTATTAGCTTGTATCTTCCTGGGTATGTTTCTTTAACCCATCTCTCCTTTCTATTACAAGAGCAGATGCTGACTTATTCATTTCTGCTCATGAGCAGTGTGGTTCCTGAGGCTGCTTTTATAAAAGTGCATCTAAGTGCCTTTAATACCATTAGCAGTCTGTGGGGAATGGCTGCAAGGATACTCCATTATTTTATGTTAGCATTGTCCTGGCCCTTGTAGTTAGTGCTAATTGCTTATATTCCACGCATTTGGTTTTCAAATGCAAATTACAGAAGAAAGTAAATCAGCATATTAAGTTTCTTGTAAGTCTCCTGTTTCAATTACAGGATCCAAAGATTTTAACAGTGTCCTCTTAAGGTGGACTTAAAGCAAGGTTGAGGCAGCAGTTTACAGCCAGGTGGGTATGCTTAGTCCAGATCAAAGTCAGTGAAGTCTCCCAGATGAATTTTAGGGTTGGCAGCTCAGAGTAGAGCTGGCTCCGCAGCCTGATTGCATTTCCAATTTCATGGTGTCTGTGCTGATGTATAGACCCCGGTCCAAGAACAAGGTGGTCAAAGTATATAGGCCCCTGAGGCTTTCTTTCCTGGATACATTCAGTCTAAGAGATTTGATATATCTTTACCGTAGGCTGTTTGGGATTAAGGATAATTATGTAAGGGACTGAGGAAGAGAGTTAAGGAGGTATAGGAACTTTTTTTAAAGCTAAAAATGAGGAACCAAAAGGATTTCAATCAATCAATCAATCAAATTTTATTTATATAGCACTTTACAATATCCCAAATGGTACCCAAAGTGCTTTACATAAAAGCAATAAAATAACACAAGAAAAAATACCATTATAAAATAATACAATAGAATAGAATAATACAAGAACGATGAAATAATAAAAATGAATATGAAAATAAAATAATACAATAAAATAGTATGTAGAAGTGCTAAAAACCTATAAGTACAGGACTACCTAGTCAGAGTTAAAAGCAAGTCTAAAAAGGTGCGTCTTTAACTTTGATTTAAATAAACTGAGGTCAGTGGTGGTGCGTACATCTAGCGGCAGTCTGTTCCACAGCCTAGGAGCTGCAACAGCAAAAGAACGATCACCCCACTGTTTGAGTTTTGACCTCGGGACCTCCAACAGGCGCTGACCGGAGGAACGGAGGGCCCTGCCATGATCGCGAACAGTTAAAATCTCTGACAGGTAGGAGGGGGCCAGGCCATTTATGGCATAAAAAGTAAATAATAAAAGTTTAAAGTCAATTCTAAAACAAACTGGAAGCCAGTGTAGCGAAGACAGCACAGGGGTGATGTGTTCACGCCTAGACGTGCCCGTTAAAAATCGTGCAGCAGCGTTCTGTACAAGCTGGAGACGGGAGATTAAAGACTGGCTGAGGCCAACATAAAGGGCATTACAATAGTCCAGTCTGGAACTGATGAAGGCATGGATTGCCTTCTCGAGGTCCTGCCGACTTAAAAAGGACTTCACTTTGGCCAGGAGACGCAGTTGAAAAAAGCTGGTACTGACGACAGATCTAATCTGTTTATCGAACTTAAGTCCACTGTCAAATGTTACCCCCAGATTCTTATTTATCAGCCATCATGAGACTGTTGCTAACATGATATTCTGTTCCTTTTTAATTGCTAAGTGGTTTTTCAGTTAATTGGTTAGAGGACAGATTTTAAAGAGCACGATTATAATTGTGATGGTTGTGCTGAGGCGAACCATGTGAGTGCTGTGTCTGGTTGAAACCCACCAAGAATCTCCCTCTTTTTGTGGTTTAGTAGATGCTGTATGCAGGTTTTAGTGAGAAACTATCAAGACCTTCTACCTAACCATCTTCCACTTCACCACTGTATACATCATTAGTGAATATGAAGTATTTTTAATATATATCAAGTTGAATAAAAGAAGGTTTTTGATAGATATCCTATCATAACCCTTAATCCTGTCAAATCCCTCTGATCAAGAACAGAAATGACAGCAGAGTGCTTTTCCTGCAGGCATTTTATACAAGCTGTTGCTCAGCCTCTTTACACAGGTTTAGACATCTGCCTTTTCCTCCATTGACTATTTGAGTTGAAGGGTATGTTATCTGACTTTTGTATTCCTTTTATTTTTAATTGGCGAGTGTTATCTCACTGTTAGCAGCAGGAGGAAAACACTCACCTGGATCTTTTTGTTCTCTCTCAGCACTTTAGCTCAGACATTAAACAGCATCTCTAAAATGTTGATGGCTTTGATCTCTCAATGAGAGAGTCTGGAATCAGGATTTGCTCTTAGACATAAAGAAATTACATCACTGTCGCATTTTTCTCCCCTCTAACAGATCTTCTCATCTGTTGTCAAGTTCTTGTACTCTTTCGAGAGTGTAATTGGTTTATTAGAGGTGGTTATTCGCACCTAAAAGACAGGATATTATCTGTATGAGGGCCTTGAAGAGAAATTGAAAGCCCTATAAGGCGCTGGTGCAAAAACTGAGACTGAAAAAGTCCATTTCTATTTGAGGTTAAGATACCGGTGTTTGTGCGAATGCTATTAAATCTAACGGTGAGAAAATATCAGGATATGCTGTGTGTTTACGTGGGTGTCTTTGGCTAGAAGCTCACCCTCATCAATTTCCCTCTCCCCCCACTCTGCTCGATATCAGTTCCCAATAAGATTGATGCTTGGGGTGTTTGGCTCCGCCTGTGACAGCTTGGCTTGAGTTCAGCTTCACTTTAATTTAGCTGCAACTTAACACTGTGTCCAAGCTTTTGGCTTTAATTAAAGTTTACATCTCACTGGCTTATTTGCTGCTGAAATGTGTGATGCTGGGACCAGTTAAGACCCATTTAAATTTGGGGTATTTTATCCATAAAGATTATTTTATACTTTAATTTTATTCATTTATTCATTTTGTTGCAGCTTAATTTTTGGAAGTGTTTCTGCATCAAAACCATTAAGTGGACATATAGTAGGAAAGTGAGGTTATGTTAAGGGGTTGTTGATGATGAGGAAAATGTTAATTCAAATGCTTAGTAGAAAAAGGTTTCTGAATGTAAGCCTGCTAGGCCTTCAGAGACGAGGATTAAAGGAGAAATAATGTACACAAAAGAGACATTGAGTTGTGGTTGGATAAGAACGGTGGTGTACTCACAGGACTCCTAAGTGCCCCATAGACTTTCTTCCAATTGCTGAAGCATTAAAAAGTGCCCTCTGGATGCCGTGCCAGAATATGAAATGTAAAAAGTGCCCTCTTGAGGCCCTTTTAGAATATATACCCCCAAATGTACACTGTGGAAGTCCTTCCAGTATGTCAAAGATGAGAAACTACTCTCTTGGAGCCATTCCAGTATATATAAAACACAAAAATGTGCCGCCTGGTTGCTCCTCCATTCATTTATAAAAAAAAGTGTCCTCTGAATGACTTCTAAAAAATTAAGGTGAAAAAATGTCCTTTCGATGTCTGTTTAGTGGATTAAATATAATGAGGTGCCCTCTTTGTAATTTATTATTATACAGAATGTTTAATAGACATGCAAGATAAGTGACATAAGCTCAAACCTCCAGAAACCCTTTTTTATTGAAGTGTTAAACTAGTTAAGTCAGACATTTCATTTAAATTGAACTTTTAAACTTTAACTTTTAAAGTGGCCATGTGATAATTAACAGTTAAAATCTTGATGAAATGCAAATTTTGTATTTTTCTCCACCAAATGTTGCATACATATTCACCAGAATGCAGGAAACTGTGTGTTACTAGGCAGCCTCTCCTTGTTAGTTGTGCCTTATGCTGCGTTCGAGTTACCTCAGACGTCAGATGACTGAGCTGGGAATGACGTCACACCCGAGTTACTAGTGTTTCAGTTACCAAGTAGAAAAAAAGCAAAATCGTAGGCGGAAACAAGATGGCTACATCTACGAAAGTTATTTTAGCGATACCTTGTCCTTGCTTACATTCGGACAAGGCAAGTGCTAAACTAACTTTTGATATAGCCATCTTGTTCCACCTCCGATTTTGCTTTTTTCTGACTTTGTTACTGAAATGCTGGTACACTATGGGTACTAGGGGTTTTAAGAACTACTTCAGTTCTGCAACCTTCAGTCTGCCAACTGGTCAGGCTTGCTAGAGTGAAATTTTTAGATCTTCACTGACACTGGTTCCCATGGGATCCAGGAGGTGCCCTGTTTAATTTTTCATCCCTGCCCCTTCTACTTCCTGAGTACACCACTGGATGTGAACCAGTGGAGAACTCGTTATGTGTCATGGTGATTTAGCAGGGTCAGCCAGCTTGATCTAATGCTATGTTCATATCACAGGTTGTCAGAGTTTAGAATAACACAGTGAAGATGCTGATTGTGACGCAGATGACATATAAAGGAGACAAGCAGATATAACCCTGGATCCATCTGGGTGTGCTTATCATGTCCCACACTCAATCTGCCCACTGTAATACATGATCCCACATGCTTTGATTGACATGACCAGGAAATGAGACCTTCTAGAGGCTCATTAGAGTTTATTATAATGCAGCACAGATGATTCACTGTGTGAATATGTGTATGATTTCTGTGGATCATTGTTTACATTGTAAACTGTTGTTTACAATGTCATTCTTATATTTCATCGATAATTCTCAGAACATCAGAAGCCACATCAGCTTCACGATCAAAGTTTAACAACATGCTATCTCCTCAGTCCATAACCACCTGTCCCTCTGTCCCCCTTGCTTCATGTGAGTGCAGCTGTCCCACGTATGTGCTACGAGTCTGCAGTCACTTTTTAAAAAAAAATTGATTCCTTTACAGTCATATTATGGTAAGTAGAGCTGGATTTTATTTGTAAACACAACTGGAAAAGGAAGATCTGACCACAAATGGTCACTCGAGACAGATTTGGTGACAAATCACAACACTAACAGTGAATTCTCATTCTTGTGAGAGAGACAGACTGGAAGAGACAGAGTAAGAGTGATGATAGTTACTAAGTTAGATTGTTGGTATGATTGTAATGTCAGCCCCTTGTTTCAGCCTTCTTCTACTCCATGTATAACTCCAACAGAGTCAGAGAACCAAGTCTGAATCTGAATCTTGTCAGTCAAAAAATGATCTGCTTCAACAACCACTTCAGGCAAGGCCCAGAAAAATGTAACCTACAAGTTGCTCTCGAAACCTGTACTGAAATACTGTGTACCCAATTCCACTGCACATAAACACTGAGACAGGTTTACTACTCAAGCCCAGAGAAAACAGACTAGGAGGCTGATGAGATAGGTGATTTATGCTCAGAGGCAGCAGGAGGGAACAAGATGATAAGGAGCCATGGAAACAAAGGAAAATAAGCCATCAATAAGCTAGCAGGTAAACATAAAAAAGAAGTATGTTTGTATCAAATAAAAAAAATTACTCACTGTATTTTTAATTTGATTCATTGAGATGATTCTTCCATTGTTACCATTGTGACACTATAAAAATCAGATCATCTCATGAAAAACTTGGGTTTTATATAATTTCTTAAAGGGCTTCATAAAAGTTTAGAGTATAAATGTTATCCAGAACAGTAGAGGGCACTATGAGTTTTTGTATGTACATTCACAGATCTCTTGGTGTGGAGGTATGTGTTGTACATACTTGGCTGTAATGAACACAGTGAGTAAAAATATTTAATAATATATTATCTACCCCGGGTGCAACGATCTATTATATATTGGTTGTCATTTTTTCATATGTGAACTTTAAATCTCCCAGGTGGCATTGCCTTTAATTGGCTGCTTTCTCCCTCTGCCTCTCACTCCAAACATGCACTCTCTCTCTTTCTCTCTCTCTCTCTCTTTCCATGCACACATGAATCCTGAACCACATGCTGAGGCAGGTTAACGGTGAGAATCCACTGGAAGTCTAGCCCATACCTTTTCATGAGGTGAACTGATTAGGCAATTAGCAAGAATCATTAGACACCGACGAAGTCTGACAAAAATGTTATTTTGGTTGGACAACTGTGATTGTACGTTGCTCACTGATCTGCAAACTCAATAGGATATCAAAAAGTCAGAGGGGATTTGATTTGTGTGATATAAAGTCTGTATCATCCATTAGAGGAGCTCTCTGGCTGATTAGACACGTGCTGTGTTGAGCTCAGAACACAGAGCTTTTGAAGGAGATAAGAATTTTCATATTGACTTTAATAATCCAACGCAGTATTCACTTTAGTCACTGGTGTCTTGATTTGTTGAAATGTTTTTATTGAATTTTCTCACGGAAGCAATTGACTCCTATTAGTTTTAATATGTTTTCTCATTGTTTAGTTGTTTTCATCAAGGCGGAAGAAGCAGAATGTATTATGTCTGAATGTGCATGTAGGGATCATTTATCTATCTGTGCCGTCATTACTGGGTCTCTATTTTAATATCTGTGTGATTACTGTGTGTTGCAAAGTGTGTGCTAAACGCCTGATGATTCATATAAAGGGAATCGATGCCTCTGAGCAGTCAGGCCAGAGTTCTTCTGATGAGATCTTACTTCCTGTCCACAGGGGTCTGATTTATTAAAAATTGTAATATTTTTTATCATAATAAGCTTAAAACGATCTGCGAACACTCAATGGTGTTTTGATTGGTCGATGGGTGATCAGTAAAAGAGGAGACGGGAAAGCGAGAGTCTTTGGCAGTCACTTTGACTTTCTAACTTGCGCATCTGTCTCAACACTCCAATTAAAATCTGTATCGTGTCTGCACACCCCTGAGATCCCACAGTAAAATGATTTTAAATCCACTGGTGTATTCTTGCAACAAATCACCAGCTGGTGCATGTATAATCTCTTCTAGGCTGTCACTCTTTGACAGTAAAACCCACATGAATGGCTTTTGACACACACTGACTTATAACAGGACTGCAACACTTGATTTCTCTCTCTCTCTTGTCAGTGCATTCATTTATTTATTGGATGCAAGGTTATTTTCCATGAATATAAAAACACGCTTCCAAAAAAGATGCTTACTTGCAGCTTTCACGTAAAAACGTCCTTATCTTGCTCTTCCTTCTTGTACCGCTACTGTCGTGTTGCTGTGAATGAGAGACAGTAGATCGAAATTTAAAAAACTTTGCTTTCGCTTTGAAGGAGTCCAAAAGTCTTATCATTAAATGTATATGCGTATGTGTTTATTCTTCTCGCAAAGCAAAGAGGTTAGACCGTCACAGGAGACTGACTCAGTTTGTTAAAAATGTACCTATTAAAAAAAACAGCCCATTTATTTATCTCATGTTTTTTACAAGAGAGCCTCAAAACATTAAAATTAATATTGCACAAAGAACATCCAAACAGATGGAAGATGTAGAGTGGAAAAAAAAAACACACACATCAGCATGCAGCCCAGCCTCTGACGGTGTTAACTGACACTGACCAGAGGGAGGCAGCAGCTTGACCCTTAATGAAGCTCAGACTCTGACGGCTCCCCACAAACTGCCTGAGGACATGACAGAGGAGGGCAGAGCTGATAGCTGTGGGCTGGCTGTGAGATGACCTGAGCTACACACTCACAAACAGGAAAAACAAACTCTCAACAAATGACAGATTCGAGTGCACCTCTTTTTTTTGTGGTGCCAAGTCAGCAACCAAATATGAAAAAGAAAACTCTCCTAACTCTAAAGATAAGCACCAGTCCAGTGAACACAGCTTTTCAGAACGACATAAATATCCTTTACATTGTAGTCTTTCAAATAAAGAAGAATCATAATGAATTCATAGCATTTCTTTTCATAATACAGAGATAACAATCGAGTCAGATCTCGCTTTAAGAAGTGTCTAAACTGTATTAAATTGAATGTTATCAGCAAGGTCTTTGCTTCTGTTTTGGCCAAATCATCCACTCTTGTTGGGCACAAAGACACAAATGCAGTGGAAATTGTAGTGACAGCAGGTTGAAATCTGTTGTATGAAATCTAACACAATTTCGGACTGAGACATGCTGATAAAGTGTATTACAAGTTGGCAAGTGTGGATTTGGTCTTTTTGTGTATGATTTTTTCAGCATTGGAGTTTCTTTAGTGATGAACAGTGATTTATATTGTGTGTAGAAAATCCAAATGAATTATTTCAGTCACCACATCTCTTTTACTTTTATTGAATATTTATTGAATACCTCGTTATGCACACCAACAATGCAAGAGACAACTTTAAACTTAGACTGGAGGTCATCCTTGTAGTTCTGCCAGAGATTGATGAAAGATGGCTGCGGTTAATGGTGTTTGTTTGCAGGCTTTTACTGCCAGAGCTGTAAAGTTGTACAAAGTGAGATGGTTGTAGGCTATAAAGAAAATCGGTTTATAAGGGCTTTAAATGTAAAAAAGATTCTGTAACTTTTATTCTCCTTTTTATGCTTCACATAACAGCTTTTCTCCTGAGGCTTGCACTCGTCTACAGAGTGGTACACTCTAATGTTGCACCCTACTTTTGGAGTAAAGCCATTGTGATATTTAATTAAATATATTTATTTAACAGCACCAAAGTACAATTTTGGTGAAGGCCTACCTTTGTGCTGATTTATTTTTGTTGTAATTATTTATAATTATAATTTGTTTATAATAATTTTATGATTTAGTCTATGAAATAGTGGAATCACAAGACTAGATTGGACAAGAAAGAATGGGAAAGATGCATGCTCAGTCTACATATAATGGCCTACTTTTACATGAATGTGATAATGACAGTATCCTGATAAACACAATAGTATAATAAATAAACTTGGCATATATTTTTCCAATTTCACATTTTTGAAATCACACTTCCTTTTCAAGTATTCATGCATGTTTAATCACAGCATGCCTTCAATTTATTTTAATTACCATATGGTGATTTCAATTCACATTTTTCACTATATATTAAAGATCTGAACATCTTTTCCACAATTTTTCTACAGAGAGTTAAACAGCTTTTTAACTTGACTTATTTTAGACTTGTGCGTAATCTTAGTGTTCAGGGTTATATTTTCATAAAGCAAGGAGACTGGCTGACAAGTTAACAACAAGAGACTATTCATTTAATCCAAGCCTGTAGCCCTTTCCTGTTTGTTTTTCTTCACTCCTCATATCTTTTCCTCTTAATATCTACTGCATTTAAATTGAATTTCTCATCTGTAGTACAACAGCGACCTCTGTTGCCTATACTGTGCCAGTACACAGCTGCAGGGCACACTGACTTAAAAGATTGACTACTATCCCACTCTGCATGCCAACTGGAGCTGCAGTGTATTTCAGTGTGCTGCCAACATTCCCATTGCATTATAAATCATCTAAAGCTAACCTCAAAGAACGAGGCCTCTAAATTCATGAGCTTTATGTCTCTTAACTCAACCACACAAGGACTCTGTCTCGTCTTCAGTGGCATCTCGACAGCTCTGGGTTGCATAAGGGAGGAGGAAATAGGATGCATTAGTGTCAATAAGTGTGTAAATACTAACTGTATAGCATGATGAAAGAGAATAAAAACATGGCAAAAACTGTAGAGGGTGATGTTTGTAATAATTCATGAATACTGGCTTTTGAACCGCATGAGTTACCATATTTGTTTGTACATTAATGTATTTCTGATCTCATTACTAATTTGAAATGACTGATACTAAAAGAATAGTTGTATATTTTTACTGTGTGTGTTTTTTTATTTATTAAAATACAAAAAGCAGAGCAAGAAGAGTTAACAAGCAAATGTATGTATCGTAAATAAGGACAAAAGCAGGACCACCTATCTGTTCTCTCCCTCCTTCTATGTTTGTGGGAGAACAGGGAAATGTGAGCTTTCTATTAAGAGAGAGAGAGAGGGTGGGGAGAAAAAGGGAGGGAGGTAGGAAGGGAGATAGAGGGAGAGTTAGAAGTGGACGAACACAACGGTACAGTGAGACGAGAGGAGAGGAGGAAAGTGAGAAGGGGAGGAGAAGGAAGGACAGGCAAAAGAGAGGAGCAGACGAGAGGGGAAGTAGATAAACGGAGGCAGACAGCATCATGTTGGGATTTAGGTGTGTCTTTTCCTCTTCAGGGTTTTCACTCACATTCATTCAGCTCACACACATCCACGTGCATTTACAAACACATACATTTTAGCTTTAGAAAGGGACCAGATTCCCCCCCTCCAGTGACTCCAGGGGAGGAGGGGGGTGTCAGCTCTTACAGCACACACACACACATACACACACTTTCTTTCTTTTTATGTCCTCACCCATCCTCACACACACACACCCTGAAAAAAGCATGTACTACAGAGTGGACTAGCGACAGAGGGATGCATCATGAAGGTGAGCTCCGGTTACTCCAAATTTGAATCTTTACCTTTGTGTATTTGTCTCTGTGTGTAGATTATGGTCTATTTATCATACTGTCACATCATTTTAGCCATCTTAAGCTCTCGACCTGTGTTCAGCAGATAAGACTGATAGGGTTTCTCTCCCGAGGTGTCAGGTGTTCTGACTGCAAGTGTTTCAAATATACAAGTACCTATTAAAGAGTGAGTGTGTGTTAGGTGCTTGTGCTGGGAGGAAGTGTTGTACAAAGTGTCTCGAGGACACTTGTACTTGTGTTGTTCTTGCATATTGTATCTTGTTTCTCAAAGTTAGGACAGCTCCTTTTGCTGTCTGGGTGAAATTATACAAGACGGTGTAACTGTGACTATTTCACTTATCTTACTGTGGCTGCTGCACAGTTCAATTAAATGTGTACAATTTTGTAGCAGCGTCTTGGTTCAACTACACAGCTTCTCTTGTGTTTTTAAAACCATTAAAATGCATCTGTGGTGCTCTGAAGAGCCGGATATACTTTTAAGATGAGATATCATATTGCCATTTTGGTTAGCTGCTCTATATGGAGCTTTCACTGCAAAAACATCCAGTAATTAATTTTAGACCGCTAATACATCCCAAAAGCTCTGATACTTCTAGATTTTATTCAATGCCCAACAACAACAACAATAAAAAGGCAACAAGACACAAATATTAGGACAATAAGATTGAGAACAAAAGGGAAAAAAAATACAAAAGCATTCTGCCTTTTTCCAGGGAAAACAAATGATGTCAGTTTGTTGTTAGCTTTGGTAGTATATATAAGTTTCTTGAAGGCAGTATTATAATTTTGCTGACAGTAAATGAAAGATTGCTACTTAGAATTTAAAAAATACATATGCTTTAAGAAGTTGATAAACAGCAGTTCATAGTTTGTCTTCCAGAAATGATGACAGCAAGTGTTATATTTATTATTTTTTATGTCCAAAGGTATCAGAGTCTGATAGAGTCTAGCTTTAGAAACTACTTGAAGAAACACACAAAAGTATTCCAAAAAATATTTCACCTTGCACTTGACAAAACATATTACAAAATAGTGAATTGTTCCTTTAACTGAATACTGAAGGTCTGACTTGATCACAACACAAATCATCCCAAAGAATCCTGGGGGAGGACAGCCAGGCTGAGATCATTCTGTTTTATGCGCTATGAGCAGATCATTCATTGTTTTGGAGTGACTCACCAATGAGTGAGCAGCACAGGGCAGTAAACATAGATGTACTGTGACCATAGATTACTGTAATTTACCCTGCAAAAGTATGATCTTTAATGACTTTAGATCACCCTTAGATCTAAAGAGAGAAGGCGAGAAAAGGTTGCTCACTTTACCATCACTCCTTATTCAACACTGTCTACAGCCTCTCTGTCTCTGTTGTTCACTGTCTCCTACCATCACTCTGTCACCCAGGCCACATCTGACACTCAGACTCAGACTGTGCATCTGTAAGGGAGTGATGTAGTGATGGGAAGGGAGAGACATCAAACAGACAGGCTGGGAGAAGAGAGGGAGAGAAAAGGTGGGGTGGTAGAGGATAAAGAGAGTCATTCATAATTCTAGTCACAGCCTGCATAAATATGCTAGGCACAAAAACACACAGTCCTGCATCAGTGCACATGCACATATACAAGCATGGGAGCGCACACCCAAACAGACCCAAAAGTCGGATCATAGAGCAAAGAGCTTACAGACACTGTGGCGCCAAAAACACCTGTAATGGTGTCCATGGCAACCAAACTACTAGCTCCTGCGTGATAGTCGAAGACAGTGGGACAGATACAAAGTCAGTGCATTTACTGTGTGACGTTTTATTCAAATGGATTATTCTGACTTTCTCTGCTGTTTGTACCAGCTGATGTTTAAGATTAAGGCAGTTTGTCTCCTGTTGTCTGCAGACTGATGTGTTTCTGTCTTTTACTCTCCATCTTTGACATAACCTGTTCTAAGCCAGAAAACAGCAAGGGGTAGAAGCAGCAAACAAACTGCACTCCTAGGTTAAGTAGCAATAAGCCATAGAATATATGTATATATATATATATATATATTATGGTCCTGGTGTACACAGGTCTTTTTGTGACCATGTATGTTTTACATGCAGGTATAAAACAGATGTACCATATTTCCTGGATAATAACTCTGTTTATTTATGCGGATCTGGATGCAGATTTAATTATAAGATATATCGAATTTAGAAAACTGCAGCTTTGCAGAGACATGTTTCCAGTGCTCAATAGTACTGCAACCTTCTGCTGTAGTTTATTTCTTACCCATTCTTAAGTGTACAGATGCGTCTATGAATATGTCTGTTTGTGGCAGTGATTTGTATTGCACATATACTGTATATACTGTAGTTCTATAAAAATATATCTATGAATATGTCTGTGGATGTACTCTAATATATGCATTGCACAGATGTAATATTTTAGGCCATATATTTTTATTTTTTGTAGACCTCAGAAGCTCATATGTACAGTCTTATTGCTCCTGTCGCTTTAGGACAGCCCTCACACTGCTACCTGTATGCTGAGTGTGCTGACAGTAGCAACTTAACTGATCTGTGGAGGAATAACTCACATTGCCCATAAAATCTGCTAAAAGAAGAGCAGGAAAAACTGAAATTGCACTATGCAGTCTATGCCTGTAGAATAATGATTGGTGCTGTCTCTGCTGTCTCCCAGAGAGCTGTTTAAAGTTTGATATTGTCAAGGTTCTTGCAGCTTGATGTAAAGCAGCATGATTTATTTGTTCTGCAGCCAGAGGCGAGCTATTGACAAGCTTTGCAGAGGAATAATAGAAAATCCTTGGACTAAATCACTCCCTGAGCTCACCTGTACACCCAGTGACAAAAAAGCTTTTATGAAATTCATTTTCTGCCTCTCTTTTCACTGCAAGCTGATCAATATTTCATCAGACAGACAAATATGAATCTTCTTTTATGCCATATTCATCAGATACAAAGAACTTACTTCATCTATTGCAAGCTAACACAAAATACTGCAACCAGGAGTTTAAAGATTTTGTGGCAGAGTACCCGTCTTATTCCAATAACCCTTATTATTATTGGATCATTGTTTTTTGAAGATCACACAAAGTTTTTTGAATACAAGACAAATTTAATCACAAAAGACATGTTTTTATTGGCTATTAAACATGGACAATGTCCTATCAATAAAGGCAAAAAATCGCCCAAATAAACACTTAAAAAAACTTATCAATAAAAGCTGATGGGTGGAACATAATTGGACTCTTTGCTTGGAAATTCTGTCTTTCAGAAAGCCTCAGCGCTCCACACTGTGTACTAAGTAAGTGAAATCCAGTACTATTTCACTTAAGCTAATATTAGCATCTATTAGCAAACAAGAGTAGAATAAAATAGAATAGAATAGCCTTTATTATCATTGCATGCTGTACATATGTCGATATTTGTTTGAGCAATCTACTATCGGTGCAGAACAAACAAAAAACAGACATAAGAAACCCACCCAATCAACCTAAAACGCACACAATCAACAATGTGTGCTGCCATCTTAATAAGCTTGCAAAAGTTAGTCAAAGTATGTCAATACAGTGATTTACAGTACTTTATAAGGTAACTCACAATGCTGCACATAAACACAGGACATCCCTAAATTTGAGATAAGCTGCCTCTGTGATTCAAAGTCAACTGCATCTTCTGAGATATTGAGAGACAGTAGGTACAGGGCACTCAGCTAGCAACATCAGCACACATCTAAACCAACTTTGCTGTAGGGTCTGTGGCAGCTCCTATTATGTTTTAGCTGGTTATACCTCTGGCTTACTCTAGGGTAACGTTGGCGCTCTGAAGCAAATGGGTCATGGTATAGTTTGATAACATGATGGCTCATTGACTCCAGTAAGCCAAAATAGCAGCTGCTATTGGATGTTAGCATGCTTTGGTAGATTGGTTTGTCAAAAATAGTCCATAAATGCGTCTTGACTAACCATTACATAAACAGACAGCTGTCCATCATGGGTTACTCCAACTGAAAATCAAACTATGTCAAGTTTCATTAAGTTACTTAAAGGTAATGTAGTTGGGAATCAGTTTCCCCTTTAATGTAAATACCTTAATTGACATAGAGTTTGCATGTTTGGCTTTGACCCAGAAGTCAAACAGCATGAATTGGTAGAAGAAAAACGTGTTGTAAACAAAACCTTTGCTTTGCTGTTGTGCATTACCATACGCCAATAGATAGTATGCATCTCATTTGTATCTAAAGTAAGGCAGATGAGAGAGCTGTAGTGTTTTTACCAAAGGACACACAATCATTTGATCTGTTGCACACTTATTTATGTTTGAGTATGAGACACGAAAAGACACCTGAAGGAGGGCATATCACTACCTACTGTGTCACTGTATTTTTGTGAACTAATTACACCAATTCAGCCGTAACTGTAGCTTATCTTAACTGTGCATACACAAATACTGATTGTTATCGTCAGTTATTTCACTTACCTTATTGTCTCTGTCTTATCTAAGTGCTAAACACTTCACTATTGACACAAAGGTGCAGCTGAGCAGTAAACATGATACTTTATGCACTGCGGTTGCTGATGAGGCTCCTGGGAAATGTAGTATTTTCAGTAATGACACAGGACTGTCCTTGCACTTGTAGGTATTAAATACTGAGTTTCACAGTTAGAGGCAGTCGTTCCCACTTGGGTTGAAACATCATTTTTGGGTAAAAAGCTGATAGAGCCCAGTTCAGTTTATGTCAACCTCAGACTTAAAAACCAGAGGTGCATGCATGGGTCAATTTTTTCCTAAGTTCCTTCAAGAAAACTGGAGTAAAAGCCTCTATCTTTGATGCATCTCATGTCCAAAAACAGAGAAGCTGTGGTCCTTTCCTCTAAAATATTAAAAAGGAAGCCACAACCTGTTTGTGTGTGAGCAGCAAATTTAATATGCTTGGGTGAAGAGAAAAACACAAGAATATACCTGCTGGTTTGATGCAGCATGCCTATCCAGCAGCCTGTTCCCCCTTTTCCTTTGATTATCTACTGATTAGACTCAGTCACACACACATATATATACTTCCTGGGATGACTGATTCTTTACAGCAGAGAGACACATTATCCATCATTCTGTGATAACAAGGGTTTAACCAGGCAAAACAAATGACACCTCTCGGAGCATTACAAGATCTTTCCAGAGAACGCATAGTCTGATTTATCAGAGCATTAATTATGGATGGACCTTTATTACATTAGAGGAGAAGAGAGGAGAGGAGAGGAAAAGAGAGGAGAGATGGTTGACTATCTTTCATCAGGGATTTACTACTTCATTCAGATTTTTTTATCAGTTTATGTAATCATTATGAATCATTTTGATGATGTTAGAAAGAAATGGCTAAAATCCAGCTCCAGTAATAATGTATTAGTATAATTTTACAGTCTTATAGCTATAGCCTGCGTGATGGATGGCATTATTGTGAATTCACTGTTCGTAATCATTCACAGCAGTAAACCAGCTCTTCTCTATAAAGCCTGGTATTTGTGTATGTCGGTGCTTGATATTCAGTGTGCGCTGGCTTTTGTCACATTTGTGTCCCTGTTAATTCACTGTATTGCACAACAAAAGTGTGAAGGCTCCTCTCGGTCATTTTATGACTCCATAGTTTCACTCTGCATCAATTCTCATTAAGTTCCTGTCAGCGTGCATCAGAAAGCTTTGACAAAACACAACATGCTGAGAGCTCCGGTGAAAATCATGTTTACTGTAGCTACTGGTGCTCTGCAGAAGAAAAGCCCTTGAAAATGACACAGGTGACATGATTTTGGCTAAAAACTTCATAATCACAATTGAAAGACCACTGAGAACACTTTAAGTTGTAACTCAACCAATAGATCTGGAGATAAAAAAAATTGTCATGCGGCCAGGTTCCTCCACTTGCAAGCAAATACTGAAAATAAAAATTAACCTTGTCCTTGAAGGAGAAATTTTACACAATGATAAAAAAGGGCTTTAACTTTTTAATGGCAGCATATGAGGTGACTACAGATGAGGTGTAACTTTGTTTAATGTTGATGTTTTATCACCCATGCATGCTAAAAAGTTTCCTCTCTTAGTTTTCACCTCGTCCTGCTGTTAACTCTGACCCAAAACAACTCAACGAGCTGGCCTATCACTGCTTCAGCACACTCAGTAACAGCAGGAAAGAAAGCACCAGGGATGATTGGCCAAACACAACACAATTCATACACTAGATCCTAGAGGGGAAAATGTTTTAAAAGAGCATACTTTCATAACAACACGCTGCCTTGGTTGTTTTTTTCATGATAACAAATCAATAGGACACATACGGAAGAGCTGTACAAGCAGCACAAGGAGGCTGCAGTTTCAGGTCTTTTAGATATGAATATAAGTGTGTTAAAACGCTGACATTAATGTCTCATTTAGGTGCTTATAATTGTGAATACATAATCTCATTTCAATAAAAATCACTAGACAGATGTAACCGAAGTAAGACTGATTCTCTTGGCGTCCTCTCACATGTTGGTTGGCTTTTCTGTTGCATTGATAAGATATCTTGATCATCACCTAAAAGCCATGTACTTTATAAAAAACAAATGAAAACATGAAATAAAACACAGAGCCAAGGCTTTATTTCTCGTACAGACACACTTTAAACCACACTCCTACAAACATACGGTTAAAAAGCTGCCAAAACTACACAAACCTCCAAATTAGGCCTTAAACATGAAACACACATGTTGAACTACTGTGAAGTGACATACCTCAAAGTTCACCCGATATTTTCAATTTGATTGACAAAATAAAATTTGTACTGTGTTGTTTGTGAGCAGACAAGCCCCCCAGATTTACATTGATTTAAAAAAAAACTGCTTTACATAATCTGCAGTGTGAGAAGTTGAACTGGCTACAAGGCTCTGAAAAAGGTCATGCTGAAGATTTGTTGCTCAGCTTTATTTTAGCTGCAGTGCAGATAGTGCGCTGAAGCACCTTCTGGAGAACAGTTCATCTTTCTGTCCCCAAGGTGATAACTTTATTCAGCAATAAAAAAAACAACCCTGACTTTGATGCAGGGGGGAATGTAGAGGTGTGGCCCTTTGAGAAAAGGGGCTGTACTTGTGGGGTGCTGGGTGCTTGCTTTTCATGTTCCCCTGTGAATAGACTGAGTGAGAGAGAAAGCTGAATCAGAGAGGGACCAGGCGTATCAAAATAGAAGTGTAACAATCATCTTTTTTGTCTGGTTACCTTCTGGATTGATGTGAAAAAAAATTTTTGTGTGTTTGTAGAGTCCACCAAATGTAACATCTGAAGATGTCTTTTACAGCCTAGGCATGCAGATGATAGACAAAGTGACAGCTGAGTGAAGCCAAAATAAATACACAATATGTGAAGTGTATACTGCACATGCTAGTATCCAGTCCATTCAGTCCTTTTATCTTATGTTTTTTAACCAGTGTTGCCTTTGCTTTTGTTGATTTGCAGAGGCAGCTGGCATTTAGCAGATTTTAGTTTTGAGACATCACTATTACTCTTTTTGGCACCCAGTAACCCTACAGGATGGCATTGTAGGGAACCTACGTCAACTCTCATATAATTCACCTAAGGTAACACTGGTAACACAGCAAGCCTGCAGAGTAGTAATCCATCAGCCCCCCAGGCTAGGTTGTTTGCCGAAAATAGCCGATTTCCTCTGAGACCGTCCAACTGTAAGTGGTGATCCTGATTAGTGATTGGTCAGACCAGACAGTCTGACCAAAAGGTTCTAAGAGTGAATGGTTTCCAGACTTGAACCTAATGTTTTTGACCAGATCAGGGTTTCACTTGATTCAAATTGTACGAGCAACGTCAACACAATACTGAACTAAAAATGCAAATGCCAACAAAAGCAAGCTGACCAAGAATTATTACTGAACAAATGTTGTGTATTTGTACCCGTAATACAAATCTTAAAGACTCATAATCACAGCCATTACTCTGAACAGATTTTGATGAAAACAAACTTAGTGATCTTAAATCTCAATTAGGTTATTTATTGGTATCATTCTTTGGTTATGGTCATATAGTTTAAATCTGGAGATATGTCTGTGCTCTTCTTCTTCTAATCAGTAAAGATCTACAAATCCACTAGTGTTAACCAGGAATTAAACAAGTAGAGACAAAGGCCTGAGCCTTTAATGTGAATCAATCCATGACAGTCTGCCCTCCCTCTATGTCTGTCTGTCTTTGTTCCCTGCCTTTGTGGTGATTTAGTCGAGGTCTGTGGCTTGTCAGGGGGATCAAGCCTGAGCAGCTCCACTGGCAGAGCTTTAATGAAAGAGTTCTGGCTCAAATAGGATGTGTGCACTTGAGTTTGTGCGTGTGTGTGCGTGTGTGTGTGTCTGAGAGGGTGCTCAGCAAACCATCCTCTTAGTCTATGTATATACACCAGCTGAGCCAGTGTAATTGAACATCCTGCTTAGTCCAACAAAAACACAGAGTCACATTTACACACATATACACGTGCGCACACACAAACAACTTATGCACAAGCAGTGGAGTGTAGTTGGTTGTGACGTGACCGATGGCAAAAGGATACACTCTGTGTTGTGGATATGCAGAGGAGAGCAGTGGCAGGAAATGTGAGTGGATGGTCGGAAGTGTGGAGGGAAATGCAAGGGTCTGCAGAAACATCTGCTTTTCAGTAAGACGAGAACACAGTGATAGCCCAAGAACTGAAGTCAACGGAAGGCACAGATCTCAGGTATCCCTACAGCAGCAGGAGAGTGAATATGATAACAGGATTAAATTATCTTTAGTTTGGAGTATTTTTATTCCAAAAGTTCAAAAATTAAAAAGTGGTATAGTTGAAATGTGAGCTAGAAGGAGTGTGTGTGTTTGTGGTTTATGTTACTATGTATAAATGTGTAATTAGGAGGAGAGAGGTGGAAAGAGCTGACTTAGCAGAATGGTGCCAAGAATAAATAATGACCTGAACTTTTCAAAGGACTCCTTGGAAATGTAGCAAATGAAGGAGTGGATGGAATCATCAAACAGGAAAATAACACTGTTTAAAAGATTTTGAAAATCAAACTTGAAGTTAAAAGTGAAATGTGGCTGGATCGAAATTTTTGATGTTCACAAAGACTGTCTTATTTGTTCTTCGACATGCAAACTTGTGAATTTTAAACCAAACCGAACCTGCAAAAGTCAAACTCAAATTTAATCAGAACAAAAGATGTAACCAGATCCTCAAGAATACACATGTCAGGCTCATACACAACTTCAGTCAAGGTGCTGCAAGGAGTTTTTACATTATGTTAACTTCATTGTCCTTTTGTTACAAAATCCCTGGTGGTTTTTCGAGATGAAGACTGAATTTCCCATGAACACTCTCATCTACTGTCATATAAAGATGAGGCTCCTACCTGGCCTACAGATCGTTTTTTGTTCTCAGTTGGTGGAAACCAAATAAAGCTTTAAAAAATAGACTTTTTAAGGTCACATATCAAGTCATAAATATACAACATGCCTATATTACCAAAATATGATAATGATTCTAAATATTATGTGTTGTGCTTTAAGTACAAGATCAAATCTGTTGTATCTACAACATGCAGGATGATTAAAAGAGAGAGAAGTGTACTAAAAGTTGAACGGTGTCATTATTGATGCTGAATATGGAAATTAGGTTGCTTGTTTTTGTTATTTAAGGTAGACATGGATAAAAGCCTCACACCTCTTTAACATACAGAAAAATAGTTTAAGTATTACAGTGCTGTTTGTACGCACCAACTACGAAAAGTGTGTACTCTAAAAAGGACAAACTAAAGGGATGAACTCCTGAGAAGTACACTCCGAAGTTTTTCTGCATACCCAGCAAAAAAGAAACAATACACCTCAAAGTCTTTCTTTATCCTGTGCATTAATCTAAATACTTACTGTAAAAGAGCTTAGGCAGACAGTCTTTAGCCCAGATAGTGAATGTGGTGATTTTGTGTTATACCAGCAAGTGCTCAATGCTTAAAATGTGGTCCAAGAAGAAGGCTAGAACAGGATTTGACTGAATGGGGCATTGATTGGATGGGTGATCACTGGTCTCAGGTCTCATCATGGTCAGCAGGGCTCTCATGTCATTTTAATGGGACTATAATTGACTTATTGATTGTGAGAACATGGCTCGAACTGATGGGAGCTGCTGCTTCACAGTGAACAGAGTGAATTCTAAAGAGTAAGAGATGAGAAAAATTGCATGAAGTTCATGACGGCGGCTGACACCTTATATTGTACCTCATGTATAGGGGAGTCTTAGTCTTGGATGATACAGAACAATTGGACACGGTTCATGAAGAGGCCTTAGTGTGGGAAAGTATGCTGTGGTTTTGTAAGAGTAACAGCCTTGGTTAGATTGTGCAACGCTTTGATGGCAAAGTAAAGGTCACTCAGAGAGTTTGTTTTGCAGAAAGGGTGCTGAAGCAGATGGAAAAGTGTCACTGAGGGGGAAATCTCAAGGTCTGACTTTCCAAAACGTGATTTTAAAATGTCTTTCAATCCCTGCAGGTTTGTGACCATGCTAAAAGTTTTGCTTTTTTAAAACAAGCTCTGAGATAAACAATAGTCATGATTACATGTGCAAAATTTCTTGATCCGATTAAAAATTTGAGGGATCTGATAATCTGAATCCATTGTTGATATGGGTGCAAAATCAAATAATCCGATCATGACGTACGCATACATACACCAAACTTTAGACAGATAAGAGGCAATTGGACATGCGTAGAGTTGTCTGATTTCGCTAAAACAACTGCAGAAGGGTTATTATTATGCCTGTGCTGTCAACAAACGCGGTAGAGGCTCATTTAATCTAATTCATGATTTTCCCCCTGTAAATGTTGTCACTAGATGGCGCCCTTGCGTACTTATTTTACTGTTCTGTCAAAGGTTGCACTGTGTGTGCAGATGTGACATCATTACGCTGTATGTACGCCTTGTTATGTTACCGGAAGAGCAGACACGGCACACGCGGTTCTGTTTTATGCTAGAGTCTTGATAATGAAACCTCATGTATTTGCCTCAACAAATACACCAAAGGCTAAAGAGTGAAGATCGAGTCAGGTAAGAGTCAGGATCGGAATAAGTGTTTACACGGTTGCGTTTCGGAAAAACAATCGGTGTAAACCACCCCTCTCGATCAGAATACAATTTCTTTCCAATTGAGCCGAATTGGATCAGAATCTTCCTATCGACATGTTTACATGACGCATTTTTATTCCGAACGGGCATTTATTCCGATTATTTGTGCCCCTGTAAACGCAGCTAGTGTTTCATTACCACAGAAACAAATGTCCCAATGCTTAAAGAGTAAAACAATATAGTCATTAATCAAGGTAGACTTAGGGATCACCAGAGTTATGACCATCCTGAGTTGTGCACCAAATTTCACACTTAAATTCCCAAAGTATTCCTGCCAATTTGTGCTGCTCTGGTTGAATGTGCTTTTCTGAGAAAGTTGTTGAGTTGAAAACAAGGAGTTAAGTTGGTGATGTGGTGGAGCAGCAGGAGCTGACTGCATGGGGGAGTGAACAAACAGACTAGAAATCCCAGATCAGTGATGGTCCTGAGGCACAGAAATACTAAGGGTATCTTTGAAAAAAGTCCCATATATCATTTTTTATTCCTTGTTTTTACCAAACTTAGGTGGTGAAACTGTCTTTGGGTTTGTTGTATGAGTAAATTTTGATGCAGACTTGATATGGACTGTTATTTTGTTTTATAGCTTCCATCTGATATGAATGTTGCTGTAGTCGCCACTGGATCTGTCTTATTATCAGTTTGTGCTATGTACAATATGTATCAATCCCAGAGCTGGTGATAGTTGTCAGGAGTTGACACTGCTCGTTGTCTGTGAAGTCAGTGATCTAAAAGTTAGGGTAGCACAGAGGGGGAGGAGCCCTCTGATGGAGTGTGTTTGGGTCCCACCTGTATAGATTTCAACATAAACTGCTTGTTTATTTACGTCTGGCTTTCAAACATTAAAGGTTGTGTTAGTTAAAATGCAGGATGAAACCTTTTCTTTAAACTGCTGACTGAAGTCTTTCTTCATCAAAGTGTTTTCTAATCCTTCATCTGACTCATCTGTAAAATTCACGATTGAATTGTTAGTGTCAGATGAATAATTTGGCCCAAGAAGATAAATGTTCTCACATCAGTACAGACTTTCTCCCTCCATCACAGAAACCAATCAGTTTTAGTGTTGTACCAGCAGAAAAGTGCATCGGTCACTACTCTTGTTTTCGTCCTTGCCATCAGTTTGTCTCTGGTTTGGACAACCTGTCAGTCTGGGAATTTATCTTGAGCTATTTGCTGCATTTGAACTCATAAATTTGGGTTTTCATCTCTACAGAGATTTCTGCTAAAATGGTACACACACATTTTGTACTGTATCCCAGCCTTTCTGATCAGAGTATGACACAACAATTTTCTATGGCTGATGGATCATTTCTGCAAACTTCCAAGTAATCCCATGAGCCAACCTTAGGGACTGATTCAAGGATGATGGGTGCACATGGAGAGATAGAAAGACCAGTTTGAGAGATGAGTGCACAGTTCCCTGGTAAAGGGAACGGATGAGGTTTTTTACACAGCGTAGGTGTGAGGGTGCACAACTGTCAGAGTAAATCTGCAAGATTGGGGCTGCTGGTTCTGTCTAGCTCAGACTTGCTTGTCCCTAGACTGCCTGTAGAAGTGATGGATGGCCTTGCCTGCAGCTTCCACAAAGAAACAGTCTTAAATTGACAAAGAAGCAATTTTCTCCACTACAGCTTTATTTACTGCAGGAAAGAGAACATATGGACAATATATAATCTGTACTAGAAGTGAATTTACTTGTTATGTAGTTTGTCACTTTTGTAAGATTAAAAACAATTCATCACAGGAAGAAAGGACAAGTACCAGTATCAGAGATAGAATATAGTATACAGTTGCTTTTAACAATGAGGCAAATTTAAAGTTTTGCAGGTATATTTGTTGCAGTTATGCTGCTGTAAACAAAATTTTCTATTCCCTTTTGTATATATTAGGTAAAGTGGGTAGAATAATTCATAGTGACACTCACACAAAGAAATATTCCCCTGACTCTTCACTTTCCAAAGGCAGCATTTCTCACTGAGCTTCAGCGGCCCACTCTTTTGGCTCAGTCTCACTGCTCTCTTAGTTTTGTTTTCGGCTGTTGAAGTTCGCTGTTTTACAAAAATATGACTTGAAACGGACAAAGTGCTTCCTGCCAATCCAGACTGCACACTTAAAAAGACAGGAAATACTGTTGAACTGAGCAGAGAAGTTACCAGCGCAACAGGGAGGGTATTACCACGGGTGGTGGAGACCAAAACAGAGCTAGTGAGCTGTATTTGAAGTAAAAAGAGTTTTTTGAGAATTATTTTTTGTCTCCTCAAGTTGTGTAAGATAAGTCTTTAACATGTCCTTCGTCAGAATCCCAGGTCATACCCTTGTCTGTCTGTCTGTACCTGTCTGAAAGATGGATGGTGCGTCTTTCTCCAGTCAATAAACTTCATTTATGTCGTATGGATTCAAACTGAAAGTGAACATGACGGATGATGGCAGTGAGCCAGCTGCTCTTTATCGTAGCAAAAATGTTTTGGCACGTGACTAACAGGCAGATGGGGATCAGAAAAGGGCTTCGTGTCATTTAGTTTGTTCCACATTGAAAGTAGACTCAAAGCCAATTTGAGTCTTTGGTGCATCGCATTAGTCCGTCATCACATCTAAGCTTGCAAGGTCTTCAAAACACCATGACATGGTGTGAAATTACCATAAAGCAAAGCAGGGCAATACCAGAGGCATAATGAGGAAGACCTTTGACATTTTGAAGGAACAGGTTAATTATATCGTTACTGAGAACAACAGAAATTCAAAAGAAAATCCAGTTCACGCTTGTTGGAGATGTTTGTGACCGTCCGGTTCAGCAGCACTCTCCTCCACCGTCATAAAACACAAAATGAGGGAACATCTCGCAGTAGACTGGTGTTCATTCCTCTGATACATTTCCAGACACTGAGATGCTCTTCCAGGAAGCACTGACACTGAGCTGGACACCTTACTCTTAATGGTTTTTCCTTTAATGTGTTATCCATTTGACTCACTCGTTGAATGGAGCACTAAGTTTTATATGATTAACTGATGTACTGAAGGCTGCTTTATTAATGGGCTGGACCATTTATTGCTTAAATCTTCATTTTTTAAAAGATTTTTATGCAGTGACTAACGATCAGATACTTCTAGTTTAATGAACTGTCCTGCTTTGAGGAATTAACCAATTAACAAAATGATTAGTTAGCTTGTCTCTTTCTAAAAGTAACACATATAGTCTACTGTAAACTAATTAACTAATCAATTAATTGCTTTCTTCATAAAAGGGGATGTCAAAGAATTAGCCTGCAATGAGGACATTATGGTGTATAAAATGTATATATTTAAAAAGTATAATTTCTGATTAGTCCAAGGTAGTTCATGGTATTTTTTATTGTGAGCGAGGAGTGTGCAGTGACACAAAAAAACAGAACTTTTCCTTTATGTCACACAGACTGATAGTGGAAAATCTTCAGAGATATGTAGGTCTGGGCTCTCTGCCAGTACAGACTAAAGGCCAAACCTGGCCATTCATTTCTTTCTTTTTCTGACCTTTGGCGTCAAACTCAATGATCGCTCCTTTTTCAAATTAACCAGAGATGGAAAAAGGGCCATCAGCCAACCAGCTACTGCACCTTATAATTCACACTCAGCAGGACTTGCTTTTTAGTTTTAACAAGGTTTTCTTCACCAAGAGTCTCTGTCATTATCTATTCTTCATGCTAAACCCATGTGCCTTTGCACAACTTGAAAAATCCCATGACCTGGAAAATGGGTTTTTGTCAAAAACAAAACACTATCTCATCATGAAAGCGAGCCCTATGCCATCCTTATAAAACTGCTGTGATTGTGCTTGAGAGAGCACAGATCATTTTGACCGCACATCCGGCTGGCAAAGCACTTGGAGCCCTGACTTCACTCAGGAGACCTAAACAGACAGACAGTGAGATGAACTAAGAGCACAGCATCTCTCTGGAGAGAAGCACTTCATGTCACTTTCCATAAGGCTTGAGGTGAAGGCAACGGCTCAGGGGTGACAAACTCTGACAGCTCAAAAGGAGCAGCACACTGCTGATTCCTGGAAAGAAAGAGAGGACAGAAAGAGACATGTTCTGAATTATTTTTGCTGCCCTGTGTTTCTCTTCAGTTTTCTCAGGATTTTGTGCGGTGAAGGGGACGATAACGCACAGTCCACAGTTTTTTTGTTTTTTTTTAAAAAAGGGCTTTGATAAGAAGTTCAAAGACTGCAAATATGAAACTAAACATTATTTTTGGCACCATGTTGAGCAGGACAAAAGCAGGGGACATCTTAGAATATTTCCACTATTAAAGGATATGAAATAAATGCCTCGTGTGCAATTAGTTGACCAGCACAAATATTTTCCAGACAAAATCATTTAAAAAATTTTATGGTGAAATTAGTCAAATTTTGAGGATTTGCCCAGTATCCTTAAATGTCTGTATGGCCAGCAATGTTAGCACTTTCATAAGCCTGCAAGCTCATATGCTTATTAATAATACAGATATCTAATGATGTGCCCACACAGAATGCTGTGAGGTTTTTATACCTTGTGTCATTTGATCCATTGTTTGCTTGTACCCTACAACACCAGTGTTGCAAAAGTTGTCCACTCATTTAAAAGTTAAATGATAAAGCGCACAGATACTTACTGCACAAAAGCCTCTTCTATTGTGCACCAGAGTCAGGTCAGTGACAAAGCCCTTGCCGGCTGCCACTTTCCTGTCAGTCTCTGTTACTTTTGATGTCCATCCTCTCTGTGCACACTCAGCCTTTCAAAAACAACGTGACAGCAGCCCGTTTCGCTGGTTCTGTTGCTCAGTCTTTTAATTTTAACCCCCTCCATCGCAACATTTGTCTGAATGTGTGAAAGTGCTAAACTTTTCAAAGTTTCTGCGTCTTCTGTTAATGCTTCATAAAAGTCAAATTAGCAAAAAAGACAAAAGCGTAATTTTGTTCACAAAGTGGTCATCAAAATCAGCACAAACCTCAAATTCCATGATAGAGCTGTTTCCTTGTTTTACGTCTTTATTTTAAGATAAGTTAACCATCTGCTTGCTGTGAGGAAACATGGAGTTGTAGTTGTTAAATCTTTGCAAAGCAAACTGGATATTTCCCAAATTTTAACCATAGGCACAACATGCATTTATCTTCTCCTCTTACGGAGTTGTCTTATCCCCACTGCCAGAGCGCCAAATACACTGAGCAGGAACGTACTGCTTTAATTTATCAAAGGATCTTTTTTATACTTTGAATGAAAAGATTAGGGAGAATTCTTTGGAACAACAGAGGGAAAACAGAGACAGAAATAGACAGAAGGGACAGGACACAGACACAGACTGTGGCAGTAAACAAAATATAACCATGAACATTACTTTATAAAATCTGGTTCAAGTCATTACACAGAGCAAAAACTGATGGTAAGTGTGTGTGCGAGAAAGAGGGAGAGAGAGAGAGCAACCAGACATTTTATTGGAAATGGACTGCACTCCCAGCGTTTGGCTCCAAGAGTCAAAACACACACTTAAACACGCAGACACATAGAAACCTGCATCCTCAGCTGTTGGAGATCAGACAGCACTCTGTCTGATATCGCTCCATTTCTGTCACTTATTCTGCAGCTCTGGTATTTAAAAGCTCCAACGTGTAAATAACCTGCATGCAAGAGCACGTTGTATTTATGTTCAAATGTAAACGATCTTTAGTAGCCATATGAGGATGATGCTGTGTAATTCAGATATGTTTGTGCTTTTATTTCATCTTAAATGTTGGATGTTAAACACGCTTTGAGGGCGAAAATTACCAGAGTCAAAAATTACACTAAACAAAGATCCCAGACTCGAACCTGACATGTGCCCTCCATCAAAAGAAAACCCAGAAAATAAGTGGTTGTGAATGTTGTCTGTATTAGCCTTGAACTCAGAGATGTGAACTCAGCTTGAGATGTTTTGCAAGCTCGCCCTTACTTGCCTTGAATAAATATTTCATACCTTCAATTTTAGAACATAAAATCACTTTTTTGTGATATAAAAAATGCTCATCCAAGCTGTAGACTCTTGTGATTCCTTTCTGTGGTCGGGTGTACTTGATTTAGTCCTCCTCTCATTCATGTAGTACCATGTGAGTGTAATTTGGTTGCCTCATCGTAAGACATGGATGAGAGGATGCAGAACTTAGACGCAGAAGCCAAGGCCGCAGTTGCATCAGATTGTTTGTAGTGTACTGTGTGTGTTCAAGCATCATTAGTCTGTGCAACTGCTCTTCCAGCTCATCCGTGCTGTGAAGAGCAGACATGCTGAGTAGAATAACGACACCTTCAGTAAAGTGCTTTCCTTGTATGAAGAGGACAGTGTGTACTTGGATAAGATCAGCAGCAGCACCTGCCACACATCACCTAAAAGTGACTGCATTAAAAAAAATAAATAAACTGAGAAAGAAAGAGTTCACATTTTGATGCTGAAATAGTGAAGTGAAAGTTCTCTCAGTGAACTTCATCTCAAAACGCCACTTTGTCTCTGAGTACCTCACCTTTATAGTTTTCATGTTTTTGTGTTGACCAAATATTCACAAGTGAAGATTCCTGAATGGCCTTATGAGATTAGCTCAAGCGGTGAGTTCATGCTTCTAAAACACACAGACCATTTGCATGTTCACATAGTGTGAATAAACTATTTTGTGTATATTTTGTGTACAGCTAGTGAACAACCCCCCAGTGTTGCTTTAAATTATTTATGATTAATAACCACCAAGCCACTGCATCTGTTTTCTGACATGCACCCCAAAGATAACCCCAAATTGACCTCACTGGAGTGAATTAACAGTTGGACTCTAATTACTAGTGGAATATCATTTGAAGACATCAGATAATAGCAGTTTTCAGGACCTTTGTGCAGTTCTAAATAGGGTTTACGGCAGGTGTTTGTTGGGGTTAGGATGTCTCTGTTAGCTGATTTGACCTTTTGCTACATGACATAATTTGTGAACATTTTCTCTGGCTTCAGTTAACCATCATGGTCACTGCTGCGATGGCAAACTCAATACTTCAGAATGGTAGGCCATAAATCAATGACAAATCCACTTCACTTCTTTAACAACACTTCTTTATCCACTTCTTTATGAATGTCATCTCCATCAAAGACCTCTGTGAAACAGATATGGTCACCTACTGAGTACATGCTCAGCTCAGCCAAGTCAGTGTATGTATACTATGCATTAGGACAAAAACCAATTGTACACAGTTGAATGAGAAGATGTCTTTAAGGTGTACTGGGTTGAGACAATCAGAAATCAATCAGACAATCATCCATGTCTTCACAACACAAATCTTATCAGCTGCATGTCAATAGTTCATGTATTGCTTTGGACTTCTTATCAAGGTGAGAAAAGGCTGAGTAAAACACTTACATTCACGCCAAATATCTGCTATTGCTCTAGTAAAACAGTATATCCAGGCATGTTTTGTGTGTAAGTGAAAGACACTGATATACTCCCAGGTGTGTTGTAGGTATATCATATGAGGCTGAAGTTGTCAGATGCTTGGACCATCTGCTACTATCTTCCCGATGAGCCCAAAGCAGAGTACATTTTGTTTTCAATTAGGACAGTTTGCTCACCACAAATGTGATTAAACCTCTGCTACATGCAGCATTGAAGAGGACATTTAGCAGAGATCAGGAGAAATGGTTTCAGCATCAGAGGTAAAGGCTTGTTTAGATATTACAGAGTTGTGATCTTCATTCAGAGGTGTGGGTTGTCCTTTCTACATAAGTTGTAGTGATATGTTTGAAACGGATCTCTCAATCTCATGTTTTAGACGATATACACCTTTACTACATGTCCAAAGTAGTTGAAGCAGTTATCTAGACAGGATGTTCAAGTCAGTTGCATTGGAGGAGATTTTGATGCGCCTGCTAGTCAAAAAATCCTCAGTAAATAAAATAAGAAGTGTCAGGGTACAGTTTTATATCTGATCAAAGTGGGGTGATTTTATCTGTGGGCTGAGGGTCTCTGTTAGCTGCTAATGATCTTAACTCCTCTCAGTGAGAATACTGGTCGACCAGTTTTAGTTCTTCAGGAAAGAACCACAAGTGTCTTAACAAAACTGGTTTTGTGTTAACAAGGTTATTAATTCACTTTTAGGGCCTTGTACATGCATTCAGACTAACAAAGATAATCATGTGTATGCAACTATACTTTAAAATCCAAGTGTAAAATGTTTATCATCTGTGCACACTTAAAATGTTTTATGTCCAAAAAGGATTTAGGAGACGTTAAGCTGCAGGATGTACAAATCAAAGTAGATTTGTAGATGTTAATTATTGTTATTGGTTGTTTGAATATGAGCAATCACTGCAAAGCCTCAATCTATCACAGTAAGAAAGACTCAACAGCTCATTGTTTTCCCCTTCTTCTCCATCCTTTGCATGGATGCAAACTGGCAACACTGTAAACGAGTCTGTTGAAAAGCCAGCACCCTGTCTCCATGCTTGTGCTGATCCTGTTCCCTCATTCTTGTATATGCAGAACATTTGAAGCTCTCCCAGTGCCCAAAAACAAACTTGGCCAAGGCATTTGTTCAGTCCAGACTTTTGTTGTATTGACAGTAAGACTTATCAATTCTTTCCCTATGAGCAGCATAGCTCCTTGTTCTCTCTGTGCCCTAACAAAGAGGAAGCACATGAGGATTACCGCGACATTGGCACTTTTCTCAGGCTAATCTGTACTCATTCTATTTCATTCTGTTTCTCCACAGACTCCTCAGATGAGCCTTTAAAGTTGTTAGAGCTGCAGCATGTTCACAAACAAGACTGCCCAACAAAATATTCCTGTATTACTGTTGCTTTGTTGCAGTTTGTCCCTCACTTAAACACAAGAAAAACTGAGCCAATCATCGTGTTATCGGCTCTAAACACTGTAAAGAAGCCTGTTTCAATCTCAGTCATCTATGAGTAGGATGTGCCAACACTTCTGGGCAGACTTGCCAACATGAAGGTTGGCAGAGTATTTCATAGAGGAGGGTGGACAGTTTAATGCTTCTGCTTCTGATCAGTGGATATAAACATCCACCCTCTCTGTCCTGGCCCTCACCTCTGTCTGCCTGATGGTCTGTGAAGAAAGCGAAGGACTCGCAGAAGCAGACAACAACATTGATGGTACATTTCTTTGTGTGTGTGTGTGTGCGTGCGTGCGTGCGTGCGTGTGTGTGTGCGTGCGAGAGTCTAAAAGTATGTCATTCACCTTGCAGTTTGAGATGGGCCCTTGAGGGCCTTTCAAGCAATTACACAAAATTATGCTGATTATGATCCCTTTCATTCACTCAAGGCTATCTTTTCTTCCGGGAAACGATTCAAGATACTGCGCTTATGCCACAGTACTTGAACCAATGCCTTTTGAAAGTAAAATCACAGTACAAAAAGTTCAGATTTACAGCAAATGAAAAGAGTCACAGGGGATTTGGATTTAAACAGGCAGCAGTATGAATGGGTACAAGCGTTTAGCAAACAGAGATGTATTGATTAACTGTCTGTTCAGCAACATACAAAGAGACAGTAATGGAGACTGTGAGGCAACAACTACATCAGAAAAATAATGGTTGTCTAGGAAACAGCTGTTTGACTTTAATTATTTTAGGCTTTGTTTATCATGCTGATGCTTGTTTTTATAAAACTAACATAACAAACCAACATCAAGTGAAATTATTAGCAGTTATTCAGCTGTCAGTTACCAATGATCACATTTTAATCACGTTTAGAATTCAATGGTTTTACATTTCAAAGACAATTTTTGGTCCATTTTGGCGATTTAAAGACATTCTTGACCATGACTCCACCATGACTGGAGACACTTAAAAAGGGTTCATTCAGACAGTGTTTGTTTCTTTAATTTCAAGGATTTTTGCCTTTATTTAGGGGATGGGGGGGGGGGGGGGTATAAGCTACGCCTGGCTGACCGCCTGGTGAGCGGTGCCCCATGACAGTGTTTATTTCTTTTTTATTGTTAAAGACAACATTACCACATGAAGATGTGCTCATCCAAAATGTCAATATGGTGTGCAGTTTTTCTGACATCATTTTGATTGTAATTATGTGTAGAACTACAAAGACAAGGTGAAGGGTAGGCCTAAATGTTAAAGCTCAGTATAAATATGTGTTTCTATACAGCTCTAGTTATTAGATCAATAAATTTGAAATTGTGAATAATGTTAATATGAGCGTGATTTCCAGCCCAAACTGACTTCTTCTTATCATTATCAGCACCATAAACAAACACATTTTATTAAGTTTCCCTTGTCAATTTGTCGTACTGATTTTTCTTTCAGGTATTCTCTCATTCTCTCTGCAAAATAAATTCATTAGTTATGGATTCCACTATCATATCAACTCTATGAAAAATGTGTTTCACATTTTGATAAAAAGAAAACAAATAAATTTTCCTGAAAATTTTGCAATCACATATCTTTGATAAAATGGCAAACACCAGTGGGACTAGCACAGAGCCCTGAGGAACACACAGGGATCCAATAACAGTAATAGTTTTTAGGTCTACAGGGCTAAGTTTGATTTTTGGTGATCACTGCTTCAAATAGAAGCTTATTGCCTTTATATTTTTATTTCTGAGTGTTATATCTAAACAGCATCCATGAACATTTAATAATAGTTGACCTACTTCCTGTAATAAAAGGTGTATTGATCCCTTGTTGTGCTCCAATGTCAGATGATATGGTCCCTTGTGCACACTGACCTCTCCATATATCTGCTATATCCTGCCCATAAACCACACATTAGTGCAGCAGTGTGGCAGACAAACACAGGAAATTTGAGAAGCTTACAGGGCTTGATTCAGGTAGACTGTACTCTGTATTTGTGTGGTATAAGGTTAAGCAGAAGACTGAAGGATTTGATTTAACCTCCATCTACCCTGTGAGTGTTTGCTGAGTGAGCTTTTGTGAAGTACCCTTGGTTCATCAGCAGCAGATGTTCGGAGGATGAAGATTCGTTTTTCCTCCTTAATCAGGTCTCTGAATGTGAATCCTTCCCTTGTTGTATAGAGGACACTCATTCATCCTTTAGATAGCTTTTGCATCACGCAAACTGGCAGTGAAAGTGTTAGAGCCATGGATGTACATGGGAAATATGAGTAATACTCTTTGCTGCCAGGAAACAGAAAACAGCATTCCCTCAGCATACATCAGCTCAGACAGATGGCTGTGGAGAGACGGTTATCTCTGCCTGTGTTATTTGGTCCACTGGGGAGCCTCCATTGACTGTTTGGCAGATTAATTTAATTCCTTCATGTACAAATTTGTGTGTGAGTGTCTTCAACTGCAGTAAACACAATAAAATATTCAAGGCTTTGTGTGTGCGGCAGCTCGTAGAGCCTGATGGTGTGTGATATGAGATTTGTCTCCGAGGATGATGAATAGAGTCGAGCTGACTGTGCTAATGATCTGCTGTGTTCAAGGATAATTACTCAGGGCTGTTTTGGCGGGTTTCATCGGGATCAGGATACATATTTCATTATTGTACAAATAGTTTGGGCGTTTCCCAGTAACTAGGTCAAGTCCAGTGTAGCTCAGGGTCTCCATATATTAGAAGCATGAGTAAGGACCTCTTTTGATTGCAGTGAACACATGAAAGTCGATGCAAATTCAGCTGTGTACAATAAAAAGTTATTCATATCATAAAAGCTGGTAATGAATCACTGTTTATATTCTCGAAAGGGTAACTACAGGTTATTTGAGGACCCTTACTTTGTGAAATCATATATCCTTTCCACACTGGCATTTTAACTATGATAATGACTGCAGGATTAAATTTAAATCAATACAGAGGTCTCAAATCTCAAGCAGAGCTGTAATTAGATCTTTTCCCCCTGCAGAAAAATTACAAGACAAAGCAGTAAAAACACAGTGAAATACACTGATTAAAACGTAAGGGTGTTTCTGTGAGCCTGTGTCGAGTCTACAGAAATCGATATCAGCCATATTTGCAACTTGATGAGTCTTCTGTATTCTGAAATTTCAGCTTCAACACTCTGGATCTTTGGCAACCATTGTAGTCTCTGCATGAAGTCAGAGTTTGTCTCTCATAACATCAACTGTATGAGCCATTTTATTTATATTACTTTTTGGATTTTGTTTTGTTACTCGCACAATCACCACAAGGGGCATTTCAGGTGAATGGGCAGGTAAATACTACAAAAGGGACACAGGTGAAGCAGTGATTTGGGGAACGGGAGGAGCACACGGTTTTTACCGCTAATCTCAGACACCACTCTCACCCTCATCACGAACATCACCATTGTCGTAATTTGGACGTATCTGTCTTTTTTTTTCCCATCTAATCAACAAATGGCAAGAATATAATACAGCAATAAACTTGGACTGGACATTAGATTGTACTAGAAGCACGTCAAAAACATCTCACTCCTGCACCCAGACATTGGCTAAAATTCAGGTCAGCATAGTCACTACATCAACTATATTAGCTTATCACCTTGATCGAGTAGAGCCTTTTTTCTGGGGATAATAAACTGATTAACCCACATACAGTTGATTCAAAAGGCCTCTATCAATTTGCCATTAACATGCAATTTTAATTAAATTTGTAGGGTGACAGTGCCACCCAAAATCAGGACACAGGGGTTGGTGATAAAGGCCTGTTCTGTCCTCAAGCGAGTGGAAATGAAGTTCCTTGTCACAGTCTTCTGATCACAACCAGAGCACAAAAATCCTTAAAAATTGCTGAGCTCACATTTAAGGAAAGAGGGTCCCTCATGGAAGACACAAAATGAACTTGCTTTAGGCACTGTATGAACATTTTTACTTTTGAATGTGTCAAATTAAGACAGATATCCAGTTTCTGAGGCTATTGTACTAAACTGCTGTCAGAACAGATGAGTCTTTTCTATTTACAGCAGTATTTACTATATTTTGTTTCGATGTTCTTTCCTCTAGATCTCAAATTACAACAAAGACCTTTGAGCAATTATCTGCTGTTTTTCTTCACTAGACCTCCCAAAGGTCCACCAATCCCCTGGGAAATACTCCTGGTTGGGATCAGAAACACATCTCTGTCAACAGTATTGGACATTGGAGAGTCATTTTGCGTCCAGAGGGGCTGTTTGACCGTCAAGTTACAGTTATTGTATTTTCTTTCATAAGGTCTTCTGTCAACAAACACAAGCCATAAACGACTAAAACCCTGGTGGATGAGTAACATCTGTGTTTATGTTTGTCTCCTCCACAATGTAATGAGCTTTGCTTCTTTATTAATCATATGGGATCATTTGTACGCTATGCAATAATAGTTTTCATAATAGCTTAACTTAAATGTGTTTACTCGCCCTTTATACACGGCTCTCATGAGTCTTGTGCCATGTTCTGTATAGAAGCCTAAGCTTGCAAGGTTAACCATAAAACCCTCTGCTCATGTTTGTGTTCATTTCTCCTCTATATCATGTTATGACCTGCTGAGCTGTGCATTAAACCTGACAAAGCTAATGGGAGCCAAGGTTGAGGCACTTTGGCCTTGTTTTTATAGTATAGCGTCGAAGAGCAGAAAACACACCACAGAAATCAATTTTATTCTCCATCTACCTTTTTTTTTTTTGCAGTCTCAGCAGAAATGCATCGTGATCTTTGCCCTGGTGTGCTGCTTTGCTGTACTGGTGGCGCTGATTTTCTCCGCTGTGGACGTTTGGGGCGAGGATGAAGACGGAATCACTGAGGAGAACTGTAGCAAGGACTGCAGGTGAGAGCAGCTTAACCCTCATCTTTTGATTAAATGTCTGTGAATCCTGGTGATTTTGACGTTATGTTCATCTTTGCAAGTTCAAGCTGTAGAGCAGGAGTTACAGACTGAAACTGGTCCTTTGTCATTTGAATAGCCTTTGTTTGATTTTTTATTTACAGGGAAACTGAAACTTTCCAGGAACAGGTGGACAGGTGCTATTCTGTAATAACCGAGAAATAACAAGGATTTCACTTTGAACTGAAGGAAATTCTCTGACATCCAGTTTTTTACATCAAGTATACAGTCATGCGGTGCACTCAGTGATCAGTCAGTGGCTTTACCTGGCAAGTACAGTTGTGTTTTATCAGCATAGAAAAGGAGGTTTTGTCAGGGAGTCATTTATCACCGACTGCTGGATACACTAGATTCACCAAGGGGCTGGCACCCACTCTCACAAACACATACCATGGACATACAATGACAGATCATGATTGCTGATGGGTTAAAAGATTTCAGGTCATTTCATATGAAGGACTGTCAGCAGAGAAAGATTTATTTCAAACAAAGAAACTGGATTTTACAGTTCTTTAAAATCACTGTATTGGAGGTGAACATCAATCAAACAGAGCTCTTTCACAAAGTCATACATTCAGATTTCAATTTGTTATATGATTTGCTAAAACAGTAGTAGTGTAGCCAGTTGATGTCCATCTTTTTGTTTGTTATCCTGAAGCCTTAGAGAATTCTCCCTTTAAGCATGTCTTATGCCCTAAATAACACCATAATCCATATGGTTTTGTCTGACCTTTGTGGGTAATGTGTTTTAAACCACTCCCACCACTTAACAAACTTGCCACACTGGCCTCGGTTTGCTTCTGAACCACAAAGTAATCCCAGTCTGTCCCCGCAACAGTGCTAACTAAATGGCACAGAATATATCAAGAGCAATGTCAATGGTGCAGTACAACATTTTTAGTCTGGTGACCACTGAAAGCCCCCAAGGGCTGCATGTCAGCATTTACCCTATAACACATCATTGGCTGAGGCTGCTATGCAAAGTGCCAAGCTGCCCATCAGGAACTAATCCAATCACATTCACAAGCTTATAGCTGTGACTTCAGGAGCAATTTAGGGTTCAGTATTCTGCCTGAGGACACCTCAACCTATTTCCCAATGAAAAAGCAACCCACTTTCCTCTGAGCTAGCCCTAATGTGGAGGCTGCATTTAGTTCTACTACAGCATTGCTGGAGTTTGTTTAGACAGGGTGTACTGTTTCCACAAATAAAATCTAACAAAAGCAACAAAAAAGGCTCCCTGCCAAGAGGTACCAATGTAGAACAAATTTCTGTTTCCCAAACCTGGTCCCATAATAGCCCCCTCTGCTGACCAAGCTCTTCTTAAAAGTGTCACACTTCACCAAGTTTCTACAGCTTGTTAAACCCCCCCAAGGAAAGAAAACCTTATCTTAAGTTTGACCACTCAGCCCTCATTACTTTCCTGCCTCTCTCTTTTTACCCCTGTGTCCACTTTCTCTTCCTCATGTCTGTCAAATCAGCCATCGAACACCCACTCACAAAACTCTATCAGGTCTTCCTCTCCTCGACTCAGGGCTGAATAAGTGATCCTAATTTGTAGGGCGAGATTGGACTTCTGCTCTGCCCTGAAGGACAAATGCAGGGTAAAATTAGAGTTAACTCAAGTCAAGGAGTGGGATGATTGAAAGAGGAGAGGCAAGACACATTTTCACCATTATTGTAGCAAAGATAATTACAACACAAAAGACGACATTTAATGGCGAGGAATTACAAAAGCACAAAGCTGTCATTCAGCTTGTGTGAGGAAACCGGAGTACACAGACGCAGGGAGGACATGCAAACTCCACACAGAAACGCCCTGAGCCGGATTTGAACTCAGAACCTTCTTGCTGTGAGGCGACAGTGCTAACCACTACACCACTGTGCAACCCGATTGGTTTACAATTTGAAGAAAAAGAAAAAGGGTTTTGTAATTTCTTGGATTTAGGAAGGACATGTTGTAGACACTAACTGTGCTGTTATGTAGAACAGTGAAATTAGAGCTTCTATTAACACTTAAATACTTAGTTAATGAATTCATATGGTCATCCCAGAGTAGCACATTTTATTCATATTGTGTTGATTGAATGGATAGTGAAACCAGAGTTTAGAGGGAGAAGGACAGCATCAGGATAGAATCCAGGTCGGCATGAGTAAAAGATCAATACATCAATTTACTGTCATTGGCTTGTCAGCTCAAGACTGTGCTGCTCATTTATTTTTTACTCCATAGTCCTCATGATAAAATTTTACAGTGACATGCCTCATTTGAAAGACCTATGAGGTTTAAAAGCCAGATAAAATAGATCATTTCTTCAAGAACTTGGCTCAAGGCAAAGCGCAGGAGCAAACAGGAAAAGTGATACATTTCTGAGAGTCTGACATTTTCATAATGAGGTGCACTGAGGCTTGTTCATGCTCACTTAAATTCTTAAAGGTGCCTGTAATTCATCACAGAAAATGCATGTAAAGCCTTTTTAGTCATTGTCATAATCTAGTGAGAGTTTACAAGTGAAACCAAAGACTATCTCTACTGACTAATCAACATACAGCCGTCTGATCCCCCCTCTGTTTTGCCTTGCTTTGCTGTTGTAACTTAGACTTGTTACAGGGCTTACACTTTTGTTATGTAGATTTCTGTTTGATTTGTTTTTATGTGCATAATAAATAATGCAGATTGCTGGATTTCAGAGATGGGAGATCTAAGATGGTTTGTTTTTATTATGCACTGACATCAGATTAATTCGAATTCTACTTTTCCCTCGGAGAATGAACCTCTCCAGTAGTGATTGCATTAAAACATGATTCCTTTTAAGAATACAACTGGATATGTTTTTTGTTGTGGGAGCAAAGTGGTTTTACCTTTCACCTTATCCCTGATGTGAGTGTGTAATTGCTTGTGTCATGCTGGTAATAAGCATTTTTGTATTGATCTCCAGCTGTTATATGGAAGGGTAGAAAATGTGTGCAGAGAACTAGACTTAGGCTTTTAGCACCTCCCGATTTATCAGCTGTCTCGAGGTACAACATTTTCAAACATTTTTTAAGAGCCATAGTTCCTTCCATCCATAAATATTTTACATATAAATGTCAGCTCATGGCTGACACTTCTTAAAAAAAGTGAAAGCCAATATTTGTAACCAGGCACAAGGTTCAACAGTGGGTGAGACTTAAACTTAATAAAAACTGTGCAAAGAATGTATGAAAAACTAAAACAAGAGCTAAAACTTTCCATAGGTAAGCACTAAGGATGTGCACGTTTAGTCAACTACATGATTAAATGTGGTCACCGTCCACTCAGCACTATATCTACAGGTCCAAATTAGCACGTCTACTGTTTTGGACTCAAAATGCCTGTCGTGTATTGGGTCCGAGCTAAAGCACAGCCATCCAACACTCTAGCTCTAGTAAATGACACTACTATCCAGATGTAAACAAGCACAGATGACAGATAGCATCTTGCAGCACAATGCAGTTTTGCAGGATTGATCTAGAAAATGAGTAGCATAAAGCTCAACTGGAGCAATCAGCAAACCAGCACATGCATATGAACGTTAACTTGCAAGGAGGACTGGGGGTTGAGGGGGATACTTCTGCTAACGTTATCAGCAAACCAATTTGACATTGCTCATCTGTAGTCTCTGTAGTCCCCTGTTTGGCTTTGCAGAATCGTTTGATTTTGACAGTTTTTGGAGCGTTTTTCTACCTTTAGATTAGTCAGTTTGTCAGAATATGGATTTCCATTTAAAGGACTAAAAAATTAGACGCTTGAGAAAATCCTTGTTAAGCATTAATGTAACTCAGTCCATTAGGGTGACCATACATCCTCTTTTACCTAGACATGTCCTCTTTTTGGGGAGCTGTTCGGGCTGTCCAGCTTTGTCTGGGGAAGTTTCTAAAATCCTTCAAATGCCCACGGTTTTGTATGTAAGTTTCGAGTTTGTCTCACATGGACTTACTGAGTTAGAAGCATGTAAAAGACACTTGATCTGACCCGAAAAACCAACCGAAAAACTTTCAAAATAAACTTCGCGCGACTCTGTGACTCCACCCCTGTGTAGTCCTGTCCTCTTTCTGGTTAGTCAGAATGTGGTCACCTGACAATACATCAAACCCTCTCATTTGGTCCCTGAAGTCCTACATGTTTGCTTTATTATTGGAAATGTTATTGTAGGTGTACTGTATAAGGGTTGTCCCCACTGTAACCTAAAATTTGACTTCTTACGCTAATATAAAACAGCATGTCATGTCAGTATTACAAGATGTTTTAATTTATCCCATCCAGAAAATTTACATATTAGTGAGCCACTGTTGTTGACCACATCAGATAACAACTAACCTCACTGAATGCTTTTCACTGGTCATTTATAAACATGTATACCATAGTGTAGTTTCAGATAAAAAGAGTCGGTGTAACTTACACAAGGAGATAACATATTAATGTAACATATTTTAGACTTGAAAAACCCAGATAGATCTGTGTTGAAGCTTAAATACAACAAGAAAAGTTCACCATAGAAATAAGGCCACGTGACTAGATAGATGGTCTTTTTTAACAACTAAACAACACAGCATGAAAACAGCTTGATATTTACAGTAGGTCTTATCAAATTTGAACAGCTGGCATCTGTTACAAGAAAGTTTACAATACAATCTACTGTGTAGTCAGCTTCATGGGTCGGCCAAACCATGAATGTATCTGATTAACAAGTGGACCTGACATTTCTCTTTCAGATGCAGGAAGCAGGGCAGCAGCAGCAGCTTCTGTGATCCCCATATTAATGTCCTTGCTGCTGTGCACTCAGTGCTCAGAGCAGCTCAAGAGGGTGGATAATTTGTATCAGATGTCAAGAGCTGTGTCTGCCTCATTGGGGTTTTGCTTTAAGTGTGCTACAGCAGGCTCACAGTATCACAGGCATTTGTGTGTAAATGGCAGTGTTTAAGACACTATAGGAAATGGCAGCTGCTCTGAATTGTGATGCATGTGTGTGTGTGTGGTGGTTGGGGGGGTGGTGGGGTAAAAGACTGAAATTGCATCACTAAATGTACAAAACAAGTACAATCGATTCAACACAGTACAACTGAACACAAACAAATGCAAACAAAACTATAGAAAACCAATCCAGAACAATTGTGGTCCCATTCAACACAATAGCAACTGCACAATTATGTTAGTTAAATCCGATTCATCTTTTAATGTAATAAAAACAATATAACACAGTTTAAGTTAAGACACACAGTCTTGATCTTACTGTGTCAGGTATGCATTCCCACACGCTGTAAAGTTTACTCTACTTTGGTGTCAGCTGCTGGGACTGAATCACACCAATGACAGTGCAGATTTGTTTCAACAGAAGGAACCAGCATTGGACTCTACAGGCTGCGTAAATCAATGAATCCCTTGCAGACAGAGGAGACCTCCTCCCTGCTTTCTACACTTCTAATACCGAAGCCTGTCTGGCTGTTTGAACTCGTAGGAATCCCCATTTATCATACCTCACAGCCATTAGAGGTTTTCTTTCACAATTAGATTACCTCTCCTTTGTTTCCATTCATCCATGTTATTCTTCATTTTGAGGCAGTAACTGTCCCACTTTCACCTGTCCTCTCAGAACAAAGGGGATTCTACATCGTGTGTGATGTCAATGTTTATCTTCTCTATGATTTCATCACATTTTGATATGTTGACTTCTTTGAACCATTTCAAACCCATCATTTTACTTCAAGTGTTCAGTTTTGAAACTAAAAGATGGTAGATTATCTGAATTAAAGTTGCAGCAACAAGCCGATTTCGCAAAGTAATTTACCTTGGGACATTGATCCTTGTAGATAAATGGCCATGTTCTGATCATAGAGGGTCTGAGTCCTACAGCCTGACCTTTGGCCACTTTCCAAAACCTGACTTTGCTTTACTTCAGCCAGAAATATATTTTCAAGCTGTGAGCTGACAACTGGCCTCTCTATACGATGCTACTACATTATCACCTGCACCGCTGTGCCCTTGAGTGATGTACTCGCAGGACCCCGAGCTGTCACACTTAAGCGGACCGTGTGCTCTGATTGGTGTCCAAGAGCTCTCTCTCAGGAGGCAGTCTGCCAACACAGACCACACGATGTTAAACATCCACTAATTTGAAGAGAAAAAGAGCATTGATGTATCCTCGGTTAAAATAATCAGAATTCCCCTTTACCAGGGGGCTATATTAGAGTAGACTCTTTAAACTCATTTTCACATTTCACTTTATTAGTCTGAGACACCCGGTGTCCTGAAACCACTCATTTCAACACTCTTCAGTCTCTGCCTGAACCTCTCAGGGTTCCTTTTCCAGAGATATAAAGTTAGATGCTGCTTGTAGTAGGTCTTTTTACATGGTTCTATTGTCACAAGATGACTCCAAATGTTACGCCTCTGTAGAAATTGTCTGGAGCTAGCCTGTAGCACCTACTTAGCTCCCCATTTAGCCCCATCAGACTACAAGAAAAACATGATTTTCATCAGGGTGGGTCTTTAAATGCTCAGGTCTGTGTTTTTGAATCATCAAACAGTTAAGATCCAGGATACATACCTTTTTAAATCTGGTCAAAATTGTGAGTTTGATTCAACTCACAGTCCCTGATTGGCCAGGCCTTCCCCTATGCCAGTACCCCTAACTAATCTGCTCACACATTTATAACATTTGGCATTAAATTCATGCTCTGATATGGAATTTAACAAGTCTCTATGCAAAAGTGTTTCTGCAATATCTAGAAAAGTATTTAATCCAGTCATTAAATCAACCTCTGGGGTGCTGCAGATATCATATTGAAACCGTTCAACCTCACTGAACACCCCCCACCCCAACCTCCACCCTGAGAAATTGATATCAAAGCCAGATACTGTAAGCAGGGAGCAGAGCGCACTGGGGCAAGGTAAAAGCCTGGTTCTGTGTGGTTGCAGATATACTGTAGGCTAATTTGATCTATTAACTCCGGTGCCTCCTGCAACTTTCAGGCATCCAGGTGGGGCTAAAATTGGATCTGGAGGGGCATTAGGGTGAGCTAGGAGTGGTGGTGAGCCTAATGTTTTGATTTTACACCTAAGCAGAAACAGCAGGAACAGACACATTAAGGTATTAAATTGAAATGCGAAACATTTTCTACATAATGTACTACAGTGGTGCTACAGTGAAACACCTGACTGCTCTGAATGCATAGCAGATAAGTATGTAGGACTGCAGCCTTGCTTGGGTCTGCATTGTGCCATGTAGGGGAGAGTGGGGTATGATGAGCCATTTTTCATATTTTGGATCACCTCATCAGGGAAATCATAGTTTTGTCTTTAATTAGTGTGTCTGCTTATATTTCAAGATGTTGTGCATCCCTGCAAACCAACAGAATGAGTGTAAACATAACTGTCTTGATAATATAGCATGCCAAAAAAGTGAAATAAATGTCTAACCCCTTTACCCATGTGCTTCTAACCCATCTCCTAAATATTTGGTCACATGATCAATTTCTTTTACCATTTACAAGCAACTGGGGGGGCTCAACTTACCCCACTCAGGCAGCCTGAAAGTTTTGATAAATGCACATGTTGCGTTACTTTTTGTGCTTGTGTATTTTATGAAATGGTTTTAGGATAAACTTGTGACTCCTCTGCATTAAAGTCTTAAAAATCAAGAAACTGTGTTCCAGATGACAGGTCAGGTAAAGCAACATTTTTGTGATTTCATTGGAAAACTGGAAAAAAACAGATATAGAAAACAGACATCAATTTGTTGTTTCAGCTATGGGAGCAGTGAAATACTCCACATCCTCTTAGTAAAGTCAATTTGATTTACCCTGCATTCCAGCTGATAGACTTTTCAATATGGGGAAATGAAATCATCCTCGAAGCACATGAGTGCAGCGTGACGACCAGAAGATTGGTGCTCCTTCTGTTCCTGATTTAATAATCCACTTCTGGCTGCATCTAGGTTTTATTACCCCAGACTGCTGATGATTTCATTATAATGCACCATGTGATAGCTCAGGGAGTAGTGTATAAGTGAAAACAACAAGAATCCTGCCAAATGAGTCATTTTTTTCCCTGACCAGGTGTAACTGAATCTGCCTTGCTGACACACCTTCACACAGACCTTCAGTTTTTCTCGAGCTCTGCCTAAGGAAACCTGTTCAACATTTAATGACGCCTAATCGGATCTATGAAGTCTGGAAAATCCTGATAACTCTCATTAAACTAACAATCCTAAGAAAGAGAGAGTCGAGTATTGTCAGCTTGTTTGTTATGAACTAAGAAGTTATGAAGTAATTATCATGGGCCTGGGTGAGTACAATTACCTCACCCAGGCCCGTAATAATTATGCCACTAATGCCAACGGATAATTGCGTTGTGAAAGACCCTGAACCTCACAGTCATTTCTTCTGCGGTATCCCATTAAAGGTCTCTATGGCTCGGTCTAATGATGTGTTCTGCAGCTTTTTAACACAGTTCTCGATCCTCCCTCATTTTTCCTTTTGTCATTACTTTCTACAGGGCGGTGCTTGTTGAAAACATCCCTGATGACATCTCCTTCATGGACAATGCTTCATCTCACCTCCCCCTCTCAGTGGGCCTGTACAGCTTACTCGATAACGCTATCCGGGCTGTTGAGATCGTTTCCCCTCAGTGGCTGCTCAACTCTTCTGATTATGAATCCAGCTTCCAGCCTGCTGCCAGACAGGTAAAACCAGGGCAAGCCAATAGAGACTTCTATCAGCAGTAGATGTGATATTTATTTAAACTCTTGATCTATTCAATCGTCTCTGTCTCAACTGGCCTCTTAAGCTCCTCTTCATACTAAAAGAAGTGGAAGAGTGAATACCCAGGTGCTTTACTTCAGGACAGGACTTTTAAAATCTCCTCAAGGAAAGTGCACTTCTCAAAGGGGGCATTTTAATCCGCCAGTTAACTCTGAATAGACAGCATAATAGAAGAATAGCAACAAAGGATCACCTGAGCACAAGTCAGTAACCTCTCAAAATCCAAAATTTCTGCTGAAGAGCATGTCTGCAGCATTTTAGGCTGCTTCAAGTGAGCTGTTTATTTGAGATTTTAGCTGGATGTGTGTTATTGACAGTAGCCTGGAGGGCCAGTCAGGCAGTTCACACATGCTCCCATACACACCCACTCACACAGGACAGGGCTAATGAATGCCTGAGGCTGTTGATTGGTAAGTAATAGCTCTTTTCAGAGTCCTTGGGGCAGAAAGGAGCTAATGGCCTACTTGCCTGAAGCTCTGCGGTGGAAGAATTTAACAAAGTGTCAAAGTTGCTGAAGGAGGAATTTCAGAACGGTATGGACACAGCCTTTCAATATACTTCTGTCTTTTAAAATACAGTACGTTTAGCATTTTATATTTATGATTTATTTTTCAATCCCCATAAAATGGACCGCCACAAGAGAGCTTTCTACATTTCTGGGGTCTATAGGTCCCCTTTAGGTGGATGACGGAGATCCCAGAGGGATGCAAGGCTTATTTGTCTGCTTAGAATTTACTCAAATGATTGAAACTGGCTGGATATATGTGTGTGTGTGTGGATGCAATTCTAATGGAATACTTTTTGTCTTCACTTCATCTGACAGTAAAGCATCAGAATACAACAATAGGTGTTTTCAAGAGATCAAAATTTGTGAACCACTGAAATAGAGGGCTTAAAGCAGCACTTATTTAGATGCCTTGACTAAAGAGAATTCAACCGGAAAAGAGTTTTACATGTACATTTTATCTTCCTCTGACTTAAAGTGTGCTTTTGGAGTTGTACATCTACGCTACTAACCTTTTAAGACCAATTGTTTCTCTACCTGCACAGTCATTGCAACAATGCAAATCCTCAGCTCTTTAATTAATTCACATCTCAGTAGTCTCGGTGTGCAGTGAGCCATCCACATCCACTGGGATTGATGTGCATCTGCATATCAGTGTTGACTGGTTTAAATCCTGACTACCACTCCAGTGTACTCCCTAAAAGCACACACATATCTGACTTTTGAGTTTGTTCAAAACAGAAACACATTCATAACATGAAAGTAAAGGCTTCACTTTGTTTCAAAATGATCTGCTGAAAAGATTCAACCCACACATGGTTTATTTGTTGGCAAGAAGTATGTAATATTGTACCTTGAATGACTGGATGTTGCAATTATAACTGACCTAACAAAGAAAAGCATGTCCCCAACAGACAGAGATACTAAATCAAAACAAAAGAGAGATATCAGAGTTGCTGACTACACACAAAGGAGCTCTGGAGAATAAAACACAGAAATAGCAGGAATGAAAATCAAAGAGCATTGGTTTTATGTGACATAGGAGGTCTCATGATTTGTCTTTTTCAGGGTAAAGATCTGCTGTCCAAGCTGCAGGGACTGAGAGCTAGAGGGATCCAACTGAAGATCTCCAGTGGGGATATCAGCTCAACTGAGCTCGACACACTCGCCAAATACAAAAGTGACCCCTGCTTTGTTATTTGTGTGTTTGTGTTTAAGTTTGCTGCAGCTCAACTCTTTTCATCTTTTTCCTCATTTGCCTTTGGGATATTTTGTTGATGTTGACCTTGTTTCTGTCTTTCACCAGGTCTTACTTTGCCTCTTATTTGAGTGCATTTTCTTTTTGTTTTCTTTTAATTTATGTCATGTTCATGTTTCTCTGTACCTCTCCAATACTCTTTATTACTAGGTGCGGATATCCACTATGTGAACATGACAGCGCTGACCAAAGGCCACCTTCTCTCCTCCTTCTGGGTCGTGGACAGGAGACATATCTACATTGGTAGTGGCAGCATGGACTGGAGATCTCTCGCCACGGTTTGTAAAATTCACCACACATCTATGGAGGACGAAAAGAGACAGAATGAATATATAAATACATCTATAAATAAATACTTAAATGTGTCATTAATTAACCAGTTCAGTTAATGTAGAAACGTATATTATTATTATTTCACTATTTAACTAATTATTTCATGGACCTGTGTTGCAGTGCTTCATGAATTTATTTTATCTGTAAAACTCACAAGTCAGTGGGCGGAGCCTAACACCTGATTGGTTGCCCGTCACATCAAGTAAAGACAGATCTACTCCAGATAATGGATTGATGCAGCCACTCTACGGTCAATATCTTGGTCGGAGAGTGCGAAAATAACTCCAAAAAATTCACTCAATTCCTTAATTCTCTTTTTGTCCGTCATACACATCACAACACACACAGAATCACGCATTCACCAGGACAAACATACATACCTGAACACACCTCATAGTGCTATGGTGTTAGAATATCAGGTGTAACACAAGCTCTGCAAAAATGGTCACATTTATGAAACTTCGTCCACACTCTGTATTGCAGGATTACATGAAACTGGATTTAAATCACAAGACCTATTTGTTCTCATGCAAAGTGCTTTAAGAATGTTGAACAGGATCTAACTCAATTGTCCAGAATTGTAGTTCCCTGCCCTCTAAACAACTCCATATTTTGACAAATTTTGTGTGTTATTTGTTTCATTCCATGACTTTCAGTCTGCTGGTAAAACAGCATGAATAGCCTGTTATGTGTGTGCCTGGTTGGTCAAAATTTGCTGCATCACATTACACAGGGCCACAGATGTCCAAAGATTTTAGGGAGCGGTTTATTGGCATGTGGACTGCAGCAACATCCAGCAGAGCTGTTGCCCTTGAATTGAATCATCATTTCAAAACCAAAAGCCATCTTCAGTGTTGTTTCCAAGAATTTGGCACTACATCCAACCAGTCTCATAAACCTTTGCAACACGTAACCATGACAGCCCAAGATCTCCAGGTATATCTGTGGAGTTGTTTTGTGTAAAACTACATATTAAAAATTGGTCCTTTATTATGACTGGACACATGCACATCTCGGTATCCCAGATCTGTCAGCTGCCTGTCAAGAAGCATTTACCATAACTCTTGAAATAAAGGAGCATAAACAAAGATCAGCAACACTTTATCTGACGCCTATCTCTATAACGCATTATAAATATATGTATAATGCGTTATAAGCATGTTATAGCACTGTATAACTATAGTTATAAACTTACAAGGTCAGGTATTATAATGTGTTATAACTGTTAACAACAGTTGCATTATCTATGTTGGCATTGTCAGTGAGTTGTTAACAGTTATAACACATTGTAATACCTGACCTTGTAAGTCATGATAAAATGCTTTATCATGTGTTATGATTATTTCTATAAAGCATTATGATCATTAATAAGTGTTTATAACTATACTTATACAGTGCTATAATGTATTTATAACGCATTATACATACATTTATAATGCATTATTGAGATAGGCGTCAAATAAAGTGTTACACAAAGATCTAAGAACAAGGCCCATATATTTACTGACATTATGTGAACACGTTTTTAGAAATACCGAGACTATTAGTAACCTCATGTCACATGGCAGTGTCGTCTTCCTCAAAAAGTTGCAGATGAGAGTTTTCCAGGGTTTGGTCTTTTGTTGAGGTGGCATCCAAAAATAGATGGTGGCCTTTCTTTCATCTTCCACTTCAAAGCTGAGTTTCTTGAATGGTTCATTAAAGTGTGGAGCGCTTTGTTAGGCAGCTTCATCTATCCTTGGACACCCAGAGATACAGTGGACCTTGATTTAGGAGGATGGATTGCAAGGAGCTCAAGGTGGCCATCATAAATCAAAACTTATGAGGACATTTTTTTAATACGGCCCAGCATGAATTCTTAACCAGCGCTGATTTATACATGTGGATTAATACATTTATAACCCGTAGACCTAACACAATTGTTAAGTCCTCTCTGTGTTATTGAATGAATGTAAGAAATGCTCAGCACAGCTCACATTCTCCCCTGGATTTTTAATCTTTTTCAGAGTGATTGTTTGTGTTTGAAGAGATACAATGACTTGTGTCAAATTATATTTTGGTAAATGGGATCAAAGCTCTATTTGAAATATTTTGCTCATGTAAACACTGCAGGGGAGAGAGTGACTGCAGAGAGACTAAGAAGGCAATTTAGAAAGCACAAGCTGGTAACCTGAATTTGAGAAGTGCCTCGCAGAAATGAGAAAAACAGCTGAGAGCAAAGAAAGGAGATTGAAAACAGAGAGAAGCACCGCTGTTGTGTCTTCTCATTTCCTGCTGTTGCTGTGGCATATGGTGGAGGTCTGTGATTGGATGAGATGTGAGGAAATTTGGCCTGACAAAGGGAAGGAGCTTGTGTTAATAGATGGAGGTATAAAAACTGAAAGACAAGAGGAGACAGTTTAAGATAAAAAAAATCATGGATAAACTGCTAAAACGATGGATGATATCTTTATTAATGACGGTGATGTTTGGGATAATCACATATGTTGTTTGTTTCGATATTTTTGGTGTGCTAACTGGTTATTGTTTTCCCTCCCCAGAGGAAAGAGCTGGGTGTGCTGTTGTACAACTGCAGCTGTCTGGCCCTGGACCTTCACAGAGTGTTCAGCCTGTACTGGGGGCTCCAGTACAAAGACTTCATCCCCTCCTTCTGGTCTAAGCGTCTCTTTGCCCTCTTCAACAGGGACGAACCTCTGAAGCTCACTCTCAACAGCACAATGGCTAAGGCCTACGTCTCTGTGAGTCACAGTTATGGCATCACTTTTAAATACACCAGCTCAGGGATAAGAACAGCAGTGTTGTTGTGATGGAGACACTATGCACAAGTTAAGATTTGCCAAATTATGATTTATGAAGTGTTTTAAATTGACAGGAAAGGGTTGTTACTTCCAGATTTTATAATCCTTTATTTCATTTTGATTTGATCTGATTTATTTGGATCCCCATTAGCCATGGCAATGCCAAAGCTATTCTTCCTGAGGTCCATCAAACAACCTCACAATGCATCAGTGCAAAATAAATCAAGAAATAAAGAAATATCACATACAATACAATCTTTGTTCAAATACAGGACAAACAAAAACAGATAGACAAATAAATACAAACAGGTATACAACACATGGACAACCCAAGATAGCTCCAGGTCAGCAGCAACACACAATCTCCACATATCATAATCTCAAAATAGGTGAAGCTCTATGATGATTAGGTGTTTCTTGATTAACTTCTTAAAAAGTATTTTACTATTTTCTTGTGTAATGTTTTCTGGTAATTTGTTCCATTCTTGCATAGCTCTGTACATAACCATTCGTTTTATTGTGTTTGTTTTTGTTTTGGATAATGTTAAATTTCCTCTAGTAGCATGTCTAGAAGTATAGCCATGTCTATCAGAACTAATTTTGCATTAAATTTGCATTTTTATACAAAATTGAAGGTTTTTTGTTATTACAATATTTTTAAAGAAAACCAGCAGTGAATACAATCATCTCTTTTAAACTGATAGCCAGCCCAGAAAGTTGTGCATGGCTATGATGTTTGTTCTGTAACTGCAATTCAAAGCTGTTCTTGCTGCTCTATTTTGTACAATTTGGAACTATCTATCTATCTATCTATCTATCTATCTATCTATCTATCTATCTATCTATCTATCTATCTATCTATCTATCTTTTTACAACAGAAACATCATTTTAGTGATGCCAGTGGAGAATTCATTTTAAACATAACACATCTGTCAGTTTCATCACTTCCCTTCTTAACATGAAACCATGTTGTGTCTATTTCTGCGGTAATCCCAAGCTTACCAGGGTCAAGAACAGCTAACCATAAAGTTTCCATTTAAGAGTCGCTTCCATTACCTTAATTTATCTCACGTAACAGGTGGCTCATAAAAATCAATGTCATTTAATTTCAGACAGTATGTTGGAACAGACTGTCCCTCGACACATCATTTGGCACTCTGAATCAGAAAAAGCAACAGCTGCACTGACCTGCACCTGCTATTCAAAAGTCCCAAAGCAGATATTAATAAACATTATGACACGTTACAACATTTATATTAACTTGCATTTTGCACTGTGGATCACTGGAACAGCTTAATGGCACACCTAAAGGAAAAAAAGAGCCCTACTAAAAGAGTCTCCTTTATATTTCCTTTTCACATCAGCCAAAATATCATGAACAAAGTTTTTTTAACGCAATATTTCACAAGCATGTAGTTTACTCTTGGAAAACTCCTTTAAAGATGAACTTTTGGTTTTTGTTGGTTCTTGTGCACAAAGTGATACCTCTTATCTCTTGCCCTGTACATGTGAAAGTTGTGTTTTCAGACAAAATCATCATCCTGTTGTGCTTTATTGGTGAAAATTATCATTCATTGAGAGTATCTGCCATACAAAAAATCAAAAAGGCTTTTTCCTCAGCCTGTTGGTTATCCACCTCGACAACAACTTACAACAAAGAAATTATCGATCTTGTTGCTGATGGGCTTGCTTGTTTCAGTATAAGTTTTTTTCTCAGCGACACTTAACCCACTTGTTTTTGCACTGTTCTCCAGTGTGACACATACACGTCCTTTAGCCCACAAATCCCCACTGATCAGCTTACCTGTTTATGATGCAACAAGTCTCTGATATAATGTGAAGTTTAAAAATTCAGTACCTCATTTTGACCATTTTATTTAGTGGACACAGTGATGCGTTCAGAGTTTGTTACTCTTGCTTAGTCTTGCACTTCCACAGCTTACAAAGTTTGTTTTGACAAAGCAAACTTTGTGTGTGTTCATTGGTTGCAATAAAGACACAGTTAGAGCTGAACACCTCTGTTAAAGACTCACTTTATTGTTTTTCTTATCATGAAAATTGAATTAAGTGGGTGAAACAGCTGTGCTTACGTAGACAAGGAACCCTAGCTGGTGAGAAATTTAGACTGCAGTCATATGCTGGTATTCTCTGGTTCCGTTCAGGGCTTTTAGATGACAGCCATGTGCAAGACAAGACAGAAGTCAGACCCTAATGGGAATTTAATTGAGTGAAATGATTTGGAAGATGATTAGACTGTTATTATAATAACTGATCCTGATGGTCTTGTTCTAACTACTGCTAAAACCTTTACCACCTACAACATGTGTGTTCTGAGAGTGGAATTAAACATTATCCAGGTGTAGCTCTTGCTTTGCTTACCCAATGCTAATACTTCTCAACTGTTGTCTTTCCTCTTCTAATGACAGAGCTCCCCTCAGGTTTTCATCCCAAAAGATCGCAGTAGTGATTTAGACGCCATTTCCAGAGTCATTCAGGAGGCTCAACACTTCATATACATCTCCGTCATCGACTATCTGCCCCTCCTGAGCAGCAACGCTCGCAGGTCAGAACCACTCTACTACTGTTGGATTTGCTTTACTTAAACTGTTTGACTGGCTTAAATCTTCAAAAGATTGGATGCCTTGACTTTGTGTTTAAACTTAGTGTGTCTGTGCATCCGTCTGGCTGCGAGCCCAACATTTTTGTTTTTATCTGTGCCAAGGTACTGGTCTCATATTGACAGTCTTATCCGGGAGGCTCTGATCCTAAGGAAGGTTCGGGTGCGTCTGCTGATAAGTTGCTCGGAAAAGACTCATCCACTCACTATCAACTTCATCTGGTCCCTGAGGAGTTTGTGCATGGAGCAAGCCAACTGCTCGCTGGAAGCTGTAAGCACAAGGCCACTACGTACTATTTAACACCCTGGAGATACACGTTATCTGTGTTTATAGCGAAAATGTGTGTGTGTTTGTGTTTGTTTGTGTGTATAGAAGTTTTTCAGCCCCAGAGTGCAGAGGGACGGCAGTCTCCAGGGAATAAACCATAACAGATTTATGGTGACAGACCAAGCCATTTATTTAGGTGAGCTCATCTGCAAGGTTTTATGACTGTGCTGGGTATCATCTCCACAAGGTCGTTTTTAGGTTACTTTGAAGAAAAGTTCAGGTTTTTGAAAGTGCAGTCACTTCTAGAGAAGAGTCAGACGAAAAGATCGATACCACTTTGTGTTCTTAAAGTAGAGAGCAAAGGCCAAGAGAAGATTAGCTTATCCTGGCTCTAAGTCTTGAAGAGAGAGAGAAAGAGAGATAGCCTTACACTCCAGCAAAGACAAAACTGGCCATCAAGCTTCTCATAAGTGGATATCTTACACAAAATCCAATTACTTCCTACACCTACAGTGATGTTAAAATAATTATATGTGGTTTTAGAGGACAAAGCAACAGTCTCCCACAAATAACCTTACAGCTCTTAAACTGCCTCCACACTTTCTACTCTGAGATTCCATTGCAGTGTTGTCTAGCACCACTGTAGTAACACTAAATCTCAAAACATTATGATGCCGGTGTGAGATATTAAGTAGTATTTTAGCTTTACAGAAAAAAGTAACGACTAAACTACAGTAAGACGACAGCTTAACTTGCATACCGCACTGTTCTACTGTGCTGACAGTGATGCTGGTCCACCTCTGACTCCATGACCCAATATTTCACTGTTCTCTATTACACCTCAGTGACCTTTACTTGGATGATGAGATCTTGAAACTGAGAAAAAAAACTACTCAGGGTTTCTGGTACTTTTAAAACAATACTTTGTAGTAGTGGTGGCGCTTACACAAGATCGTGTAGAGAAATAAATTCTTTAAGCGGTACATTTACACCGAAGACTTCAACCACCAGAATAAAACACGTTTGAATTGGCATAGAGGGAGTTTGTCTTTCTGCATTATTCTAATCTTTAGGATTTCACACCATAAAAAGGCGGCTTACACTCACAGGCTTGCTTCTTGACAAACAAGAGTGTATCCTTCTGCCTTATGCTCCAAAAAGCACTCAAGACTTCGTCACAGCTCTACACACTAATGAAAACACTGCAGACTTTTCCTCTCACATTACTATCTGTGTATGGATTAATCAATCAATCATGAAACAAGTTGTTCGTCAGTGACCTTTAAAAGTGCTGGTAGTCATATCTTTTTAAGTTCTGAGAGAGCTACGCCAGCTGTTTCCATTCTCTTTAGGTTTTTATGCTTAGCTAATCACCTCATGTCTTCAGTTGTGGTCTTAAAGCAAAGACATGAAAGTGGTATCGATCTGCTCTTCATCTATTCAAAAGGAGGCAAAGTAATGATCAATAATTACCATAAAAACAAAACTTTTCCTGTAAGTTTTAGGCTTTAAAGAGATGGACGACTTTGTCATGGCAGTTTTAAAAATTGTGTGGTTTTTTTTTACCTCCGTGTGCTGACAGGTAACCTTGACTGGATGGGGAATGAGTTTGCCTTTAATGCAGGAATCGGCTTGGTGATCAGTCAACCGGAGGGCATCAAAGAGAGGAACTCTACAGTGGTGGAGCAGCTTCGGGCTGCTTTTGAGAGAGATTGGTTTTCACGATATACTCGCTCTCTGCAGGCCAATAAGATTCCCCTCTGCAGCAAGCACCACAGTACCAGGATGATGCCAGTCAGAAGCAGCCACATAGAAAACGGAACCGTGCCTATCAGAATAGGTCACCATGATAACGACCCTGCACCACTGAGAAACAGTCACAAAGATGACAGACAGAGGGTGATTAAAACAAAGCACCACGAGGACAGACTTAGCAAAGTAGGGGGCCAAGACATTGCCAATGGACTGGCACCAATCATGGACAGGGTTCAAGTAAAAATGGGTCACCCTGGCAGACAGGTGCAAGTCAAAGATAATCCAACGTATCCACCCAGTCAGTCTGCAGAGAGCAGTGGCAGCAGAGAGATCTTAAATGCATCCCTGTGACCACTAAACAACATATGTTCCTTTTCAACAAATGATGTTTGCTCTCTTCCGGTTGTGACAGACTCAATACGCTGGGTTGTGTAGCATTTTATTACCACCATTTTGATGACATTGAAGATTTTTGTAAAATCTGCTTTGATGAACTTTCACTGTTTATGGAAGAACTCAAAGGGAAGAAGAGGCTCCACTGCAGTGTGGTACTTTTAAAGGACTTTCAGAATGAAACCAAAACTTTGAGGAACACAGATTAGTACACTGAATTATATCATACAACCCCGCTACTTCCTGACATTTGTTCTTTCTTTTAGTGCTCTCAAGCAAAAACAAAACATAGGCAGAGGAAGTCCTTTTGACTGCCTGGTTTTTGGATGGCACCTCTGCAGTTGTTGGTGGTCATTATTTGACATCCTTCAAAACGGTGCAGAGAGAGGAGGAAAATCCATGTCAAACTGCACAGTTAGCCACACTATCTGCATACTAAGCCCAAAAATAGTGGCAGAATTACATGACAGCTTTTCATGTCATGGATATCAAATTGCCACTGTTCTGTGATTAGTGAAAACTTTGGTCTCATTTGAAATAACTCTGTACATCTTCAGCAGTTTTTAACAAGTTAATTGGCATCAAAGACTGTGCACAAGATGCCGATATAACAACCCAGCACCACTTTGGTTGTCTACTTCTTTTTATGTATTTGATTTGGAGCCTGAGTTAAACATATGTAGATAATAATTGTAGCACTGGGTGTGTAAGCAGTGTCCCAATTCACTGTTAACTGAGTAGCTTTTGAACAGCTAAAAACTAGCTTGAAACGAGATGTGTTTACCGCAAAAATGAGGATCTCAATCCTCAAAGCATCTATTAGTACATTTAAATACTGGACGAGATGTTTTAAGGTCACTGTAGTAGCATCAGCCCTGATTTTTGTCTTTTTTCTACAGGAAGCTCTAAAATAATCAAAGAGCACCATGTATTGAAATATATCTTTAACTATAAGCTATGACTAAAGACCAAGTAGACACATTTTCTAATAGACTTGAACACAATCACCTAGTTTTTCTAACCAAAGACTCACCCCCCTGTTGGACATTATATGAGACCATTTCTTCATGTCAACACTGAGCACTTACCTAATCTGTTACAGGTTGCTCTGGAAATTTCTCTACAGCAGGATGATGTCTGTTTTATTTGATAGAAGACATAATTGGATTTGAAGACGCCACTATTGTACTCTGTTAATTACGTGACACTAATGTATAATGGGGTGGAATTTTGATTTAGCTCAGATTTATAAATGATAGTTCTCATTAGTTTAACTCAAATGCAAGGGTCCCTCCCTGAGAAAAGGAGCTATTGATCCGAAAGGTACTATATTGATAATCATTCTGGTCTCCTCGTATACACACAAGACAAGAAGCAGAATTGAATGGTTATCCATCGTATTCTTCCAAATACAGTGTTGTGACTTATTGAATAAATACTTAAGGATCATTTAGAAGACGGGGCCAGAGGGTCTGTGCTGTCAGACAAATCAATACAATGAATTTTTAACAGAGCTTGACAGTTGCAATTGCTGCAGTTTAACCTCAAGGACATATTGGTCTGTAATGTCATGCCTGAGACTGTATATATTATCACTTTTACCATGTGCAGGTATTAAATACATGGTTGTCTGCAGAAGGTAATGATGAATTTACCCTCGTCTGAGAGCTTTTCGCTGCTTTTATTTGCATTGAATGATTGCATGGCAGTTTAAGATTTTTGCACTCTCTTTGCTATGTGAGCACATTTTTTGTAACAATGCCTGCAGGTTTATAATGTAGAATCGTTTTTAACTACTGGAGCCATAAACAAAGACATCTGGGGAACATTTCCTTCGTGGGAAGCCTTCATAAACAATACACTGGGTGACATGGTCAGTTCTTCAATGTGAAAGCAACACAGGTGTCAGTAAAGATTGCCCTAAATTCACGATTCAAGGAAAACACTTTGTAACAGAGATTCTAAACTCGGTGTAGAGAGAAGTTTAAACTGGGACTAGACTTGCAAATTGACAGCCTTTATGATAAACAGATTACACAGAGAGTAATGTTGTTGGGGTTAATCACAGGTATTTCAAAGACACAGGAGATGTCCCTGCCCCCTTTGTTTTCAAAGCCAAATATAAGCCAAAATACTCACAAGGCCCTGTCATACATTGCCCTTAAAAGTAGCAGGTTTGGCATTTTTAGCTGAACTCCTAATTTTACAGTCAGCATTCAAACAGTCATTGGACCAATCTGGCAGTGATGAGTATATTCTGCCACCTAGTGGACATCTGAGAGGGCTAACATTTTGTTTCACTGTATCTGCTGCAGTGTGGTATTATTTTGTTAAAACAAGGTACAAGATTGCATTTAAGCTCACCAGGATATACTTCTGATGAAAATGTATAAAAGGCACAGATGTGGCAATGCCAGTGATTGTGCTGCTTAACTGGAATAACTTTTTATTAGTATGAAGAGATCAGAAGTTTACTCTTTTATAGAAAAACAAAAAACAATGATAATTATAAAACAAATAAAAAAAAAACATATTCTACTCATATAATAGTGCCGGAGGTTCCTATTTCAAGTATTAAATGATAGATGTAGTACAGCTGTAAACCTCACATGCAAAATAAGATGACATGCTGCAGTATGTGTTGCGAAACCATTTAATCATATATAAACTGTATCTGACACCAACACTGATATTAGGCAAAAAAAAACAAACATTTTTTTTACACACATAGCTTATAAACTTGAAAAGAAGCTTTCTTGTTTAGCACCAAATAACCACACTGCACCGCTTGTTTATTGACAGCTGATCTGGAGTCAGATTTGTAACGTTAAACTGCTTTTATCTTTGAATGTCTTACCGAGAGGAGGTTGGAGTGCTGCTAATGCTTCTGTATTTACATATTTATATAAATTACTTGTTTTTATATTTAAAAGTGTTTGGTAATTTAATCAAACTATTTTTAAGTTGGCAGGGAACAGGACCACAGTATTAACGGCACATTTTTACAAGACACTTTTCTTGACCTGACACAGAACACACAGTTCACAGATGCCAAGGTTTGATATCAACAGTTTACAATCTGCTACACACAAATGTCAAAAATCAAGTCAAAGAAAAAAAGGAGGTAACGTGTATAACACTGTCTGTCTGTTCCACAGGGTTGAAGAAAATTGAGCACTTTTTATTGTATTTTTTTGTAAAAGATTTGTTTTACTGAAAGACAGAGGGTAGCACTGTATGCTCACTGTAAAAGCTTTCTAATGTCGCCTACCTTTATTCTGCTGACTTTTCTGGCATGCCTGCTGCTTGCATGCCTTGCCTTTATAAACAGTGCACAGTAGAGCCTTCTAGAGAGTATGATAACAATGAAATCTTATATACCTTTAAAGATATAGACGGAATGTATATTTATTGAATCCTCTTGCTAATGCACACTGTACTGGATAAACTGATTGCCAAGTTTTTACTCTTAATAAAAAAATATACATATGTACTCTTGGCTTGTATTTTTTTTTTGTCAGTGTTTGTGTGTAGGAATGCTTGGCTTGTGTTTTCTTATCACAAAGTCTGTTAATTAAAGCATCATGGCTTACTCCGGAAGTTAATCCTGTACATGACTGCCCAGTGGCCGACAGCCTGGACCTGTATGTAACCTACATGGACTCAGTCCAAGCAGAAGAGTCCTAGTTTGCCTTGGACATACTGACCAACTGCATACCGGAAACTTACCAATTACATCCATTTATTTCACCCCCCAAACAAACATTTGCAATCAGGTTTCATTTTTCAAATGAGTTTAATCAGATCTCTGCTATTTTATTTACACATTTTGCAAGGAAGACTGCTAAAATCTTAATTCTGCAAATAATGGTATCAGTAGATTTATAGCCATGGTTGTATTTGTGTTGTAGAAATACATATCATATACATAGATTAAAAAAACTTATTCCGTTCATTATATTTGTGGTACTGTATATATTCATGGAAGCATTGAGCTGATACTAATTATAGGTATTTGAAGTTTACATGCATTGCTATTTTCCTCTACCAAAATTGTAAAATAGGGAAACTGAAAAATCGTTATCAGTATTCAGAAATCAACATTTATATAATCACTGAGCAGAATTTGTGAAACTAATAATTTTTTTAAAAATTTTAAATTCAACATTTTGTGCAAGTCTAGTATTATTAATATAATGTAGAATTTTTTTTTAAAGAAAATTTACTTGCAACTGTTTTGATAGACTTTTTTTATGCACAGGTGTCAAAATAATTAGCTTTCTAGGTGCTAAGATTAACAGTTTTTTGGAAAGGTATTCCAACCAACCTTATATTTCTTTTTAAATATTGAGGTTAAAGCTTTTTAATAAAGCAGTGTTTCACAAGGGTTACTACATTTTTCATAGGAAGCACGAAATAAGTTGATTAATCAAAAAAGTTTCCTATAGATTCCTACATTGCAAAAGGTTATTGTTTAATTTCGCTTTGTGTATTTTTCAATGTTACATTTGGTTAAGCCATGTTGCGCATGAGTTGATTTGAAGTTTAACTTAAGCTAACACGAAGCGAAATTAAACAACAACCTTTCCACTTACCTCTTTCCTCGCCTTCTCGCTGTCGTCTTCTGTTCCAAGATAGTAAAACATCAGTGCATCATTGTTATTGGTCCCTGGCAGCTCACTTCCTTTGTGGCTTTTTTATATGCATCCTTTTATTTTGCAGTAACTAACTTTTTTCCATTCCTTTTTTTTTTTTTGCTGGTTAAATTCCGTTGTCTTTTTATTTTTTTAATCTGCACCATTTCTTCTTTGATTTGCAGAGGGCTTTGGTTTCTTTTCTTTTTTTTTTTTTGCATGTGTAATTTCCGTTGTGATTTCATTTTTTTTTTTTGCATTTTTTTAAAATATATTATTATTATTTTTATTTTATTATTATTTTTTTTATTTTATTTGCAGCAGTGGCGGTTTTCGGCCACCGTATCTTACAACTGGCTCTTTGACTGCATTAGATGTCTGACTGATAAAGTAAAAATAGAGTTAAGTAAATGTAGATTTGCAGTATCACACGGATAAAACACCTGACCGTAGGGCGTAATGACTTGGCACTGAGAAACGTTTCTCGTGCTGATACCTGCCCGAGCTTCAACTGCAACGAGATGACGCAACTGTTGTCCTAGCAACCGATTAGGCGTCACCACTTCGCTCTGCAAATTCATGAGTGTGCTTCTCCAAACAGAGGCTGTCCGCCCCGTCAGCAGAGGAAAAAAAATCACCTCTTTAACGCGCAATGGGAGCGTTTAATGAAGGGAAATAAACCAGATGTGTTTTTCCGTATTTACGAGTTGGTGTAATACAGGAGCTGGACGCGCAGACCTAAAGAGCATCGCTGTGTTGCTGGAGCTGTTGTCGCTAACATTACCGAGGAGCAGCAGCAGTAGCAGCCAACATGGCTGAGGATGACAGCGAGTGGGTTATTGAGAGCATCGTAGGATACCTAGGAAGCCCTGAGTGGGTCATACCTGTCACGGACTTTATGGAAAACAAATGCACAGGTAAAGCAGGCCGTGTTCAGCCGTGAACTACTGGCTATACTAAACTCTCCCTGAAGATCTGAACAGTGAGCGCTGTGGCTAAGCTAGCTGTAAAAGCTAACTTGTGGCTGCTGTGTTATTGTTGACCTAGATTTATTTGTAGTGAAACATTTACAGCCTAGAAACACTTTATATGCCTTTTTTGGGAGTGAATCAGAATTTCTCAATATTTTCGTCGTGGTATCGCATCATAGGTTACCTTAAAGGAAGCGAGTCATAGTATGGTGAAGTATTGGAAAGTTTTTATACTTTGCTAAGTAGTAACTTTAGCTACACAGGAGATCATGGACTCTCTGTGCAGTTAACTCTCCAAATAGATGTATTAAAAAGTCTAATGAAGGTAAATGGACAGAAACAGGGAGTATAAGTGGTGTTTTTGAAACGTGTAATGACCATGCTGTATGAATAACTTCTACATATTTTTGTCCTTTTTCAGTTTTTGATGATGAAGATGAAAATAAGTTGTCATACACAGAAATCCATGCACAGTATAAAAAACTGGTGAGTACAGACAGTCTTTGGCCCTGTAGTGTCAAACTCATACCTAAGAGGTGCATTTACCTCATCAACATTACTCATTACTGGCTGCATATTGCTGACTCATCAAATAGATCTGATGTAAGCTGCTTTTCTTCTGCAGGTGGAGAAGCTGTTAGATAATTACATGCAGGAGGTAGGCATCAACGAGCAACAGTTTCTGGATGCATGCACCTCTCCTTTTGCCAAGTCTAAAACACTGCAGGTACTTAAAGCTTCTTGTTAATACAACACTGTCAGTCATCAACTTAACCTGAATAGAGAATCGGGGTTGGGATTTACTTACATACCTGCAGTTGTATTGCTTTCTTAATTGTTGACAAAGATGGTTTGTCTCATTCACTTCTTTTAAGTGATATCCATGTTTTCAGATAAATTAATATGATAAAAATCAGTTTTTAAACTATCATATTTGTCTTTGAGTCATAACTATGATAAGATGGATCCCAACAGTGAATTGAATATTCAGCATGTTACACACAGAGCTCTTTTTTCTGCTTGAAAGCAACCAAGTAACAGAATTTTTAGCTGCAAATGTTTATTAGCACCCTAAATACGTGCACGTTAAAAATACCCCTATGCTTGAACTACTTCTGAGTATTGTAATGAATCAGTGTCAAATCTGTAAAGGTATGTTATAATTCACTTACATTAATGAGAATCAAGGCAGGGATTAAGTCATAAGAGCAGAAGAAGATTGTCAATAACCTCAACCTCTCATGGTGGGTATAAATTGTTAAACCTGCTGTTGCCCTGAGATTAACTTATCTTTGTCAGTGTTTTGTAAGCTGTCAGACATTAAACAAAAGTGGAGTCCTGTTAAATAAAACCGCCATGGAGAAGGTTTCGTGGTTCTAGTATAGTATCCTGCTTTGTAACTCTTCTCACGGGTTGTGTGTGACAACAACCTGCCAAATTGCGTGAGGTTTTAGACATGGATACTAAAGGTTAATTAAGGATTTCAGGATAAAATTAGTTACAGTTTAAAATATTACAGTCTATCAGTAGATTTCTTTGGCATGGATCATGAGGTGTTATGTGGCTGTGCCACGTTGGAACCAAAAGGAGATCCGGATTTCATCACAGTCCACAAGAGACTTAGACCTTATTAATCACCAAATGAAGTAGTAGCAGTAGTGAAATCGTGTGTAGCTTCTGTCATGAGATTGAGGGTCTTGTTGACATTATTGTACAAATTTTGAATAGACTGGAATTAAAAGAGTTTACGTCTGTTCTGAGGAGGATCCAGACTTTTTACACTGGGTTGCTCAGCTGTTGCTCCCACATATGCAGGGGCTGACATGAACCATGAATGAGTAACACTTAAATATTCAATACTAAATTCATACCAATTTTTTTTAATTTACATAACTTTAAAACATTTTAAAGGTACTATTTAACTGTGTGTACAAATACTTTCTTTGATAAGTATCATACCAGAGTAGCAACATTTAAAGCGGCTAAGCTCAATTATTCAGTGTCTAAAATAGACATCATGTGGGTTTGGTGTTGCACCTTGGATGCCATCAGTTTTCCTGGGAGGTGTCACTCCTGGCCACCTCCTGGATCTACCCCTGGCTCTGTACTTATATAGAATTTGCTAATACTACACGACTATCGTTTAGAGTTGCCTTCACAGCCTCGAGAAAAAAAAGGAAGTACTTAAGCTGGCAGTGCTTGCTTGGGTAACAGCAAACTATGGCATATCGATCATACACCTCTAAAAATATTGTTTAAAAGCTTTTTTTCATTGGTGCCAAGTCAAACAGATGCCAACCAAAACATTTTCTGCCACACCCACACAGTCCTGGAAAAAAAGTCTGAACTGCAGTATCACTTCTTTGAGCTTAGTTTACTTTTGCTCTATTTGTTCGGTTGCTTATTGAAACTTTTCACTTTGATTTATTCCTTATATCTTTCCTCCTATTTTGATCCAGGTTTCCAGAGGCTTTAATCTCTGCAAAATCCTCTGACTCACATATTATCATGCACAAAAGTAGGACATGGTAGAAGCTTTTACTTTGTTGTACCATTAGGACACTTTGTATTTAAAATTCAAAACAGTCTCATCTGGTTATTTTCAACGGAAGTGACCAGGCTTTGTTTTGAGAAGTATTGTGTTTAAATTCTTTCTTTGACTTAGGTGGTTTATTTGAGATCGCATTGAGACATTTACAGAAAAGGCAGTGATAAAGAGAATTCAATGTTGTTTTACTCTTGGTACTCTGAGTAGTTTTCATTCATGATGCCAGGAGGTTCACAATTGCCGGGCTTTGTCTGGTTTGGTTATGTAACAAGCTTTATATTTTGATAGAAGAGCCTTTGTTTGCTTCTTTTTCTTTTACTTTTGTCCAAAGAAACGTACAGTACTTCACAATTCTATTTACCATTATGATTATGTGATCAACAGACTTTTAAAAAACTTATTTAAAGAATATGAACATGTGAACAGGAAAAGTCCTATATCAGTGTACTATATATACACTGTAGGAATCTGCTGAGCAATGAGACTAAGAAGCTGGTGACACGGTTGTAGTCGGAACACTTAACGTGTATTAAAGGTTAGGCACAAAGATTTGCCCAGCATTAGCCTAGATGTTTCACAGACCTTTGACAACAGACAGGAAGCTGATATGAAAAGTGAGGCCTGAGTGCTGGACTGTTCACAAACAGGTCTTATAGCTATATAGGTCAGTTTTTCTCTTTCTTTTCTACAACCATAAAGATCCATCCTGGGACCAGCTCAACTCTAACCTGAACATGTTCCCTCTTGGAAACACTACATGAATAATGGCATCTTACCTCACCATTCTTGAGACCTCACTTAGTAGCAGAGTGGGGACAGAATACCCCGGGTACTAAAAAAATATGTAGTACTTAAATATTCTTGTTTGATGTTGCAGAAGATTCTCCACCTCTTACTTTGTTGTACAGTATTAGCATTCGTTCACAACCCGTCTGTGGATATATATATCATTAATCTCTTGTTGTTGCTCTTTTGTGTTCAAGTCTGTGTTCCAGCCAGTCCTGGCTACAGATGACTTCCAGATGTTTCGCTCACTGATGGTACAGAAGAACATGGAGCTACAGCTTCAAGCCCTCAGGGTCATCAAAGAAAGAAATGGTATGCACACATACATACAAGCAAGACACATTCACAAACCAAAATACTACTGATGTAACAGCAAGTCCAGTTACACGCCTGTGTGTGTGTTTGTACAGGGGCACTCCCAGAGTGTCTGACGGATGGTGTGGATGTGATGGCAGAGCTGCAGGAACAAGAGATGAAAATCTTGCAGGAGGTTCTCAAGTAAGTCATGTACTCTCTCTCGCTCTCTCTCTCTCTGTCCTTCTTTGACTCTGTTATTAACTGTCTTTTAACTTGATGGTGGTCTTTTTAAACAAAATGTTTATTTACATTTTTTACAAATAAAATAATCCATTTCAGTTAGATCTGCGTTTATTCCATGTTATACCGTTCTCATATTACCAGATTTTCTCTGTGTACACATTGGCTATCTGTGTCCAGCTTTCTAGAAGCTCTTGCCCCGGCTCCCTAATGAGATTTTGCTGGCAGCCTGGCCAAGTAGAACACACTGAGTCGAATGGGACTGCAGTTAAGCTCCTTAGGGTTCAGCTAATTTAGGTTGGAGGGATTGACACTAAACAAGCAACTGAGAAAAAAAGTATTTCATCCCCTTTGTCTTACCAGGGTACGCTGGCTGCTAATCAGCACTGTACTCCTCCGTATTTCCTCTTTTCACGATACAGTACAGTGACATTACATGGCTGCAAGCTTAAAGAACTTAAAGCAGATAATGTGTAGGTAATAAATTCAAAATTAGTCATTTTATTGGTTGGGTGCAGTTTTATTTTACAAGCAGTTTTTGTTGTTGATGAAAGATTAGAAAATACTTGGACTGTGTCATTGCCTGCAAATGATTGGATGGTTTGCCTGAGCAGAGACAGGTAGTGGGATACAGTTGATAAAAGTAAGGCATTGGCCATTTTCTTTTTCTTTTTTCAAATGAATGAAATCGTCCAGTCGTTGTTTACTCTTACTAGTTTCAGCACACGTGTACGTCTGTCGTGGATCAGAGGTCTTTTGATGCCTTCAAATTAAAGCAATATTAGATTAAGACATTTGAGTGATTCAAGGAACTTAAAAGGTTTCTTAGAAGCAGGAGGGAACTGTGCACATCATGTGTGTGTGGTTGGGTAACTACAAAGGGGAAAAATTGCGAATATCATTGAACTGTTCGTGTTTACTTTTGGCTGACTTTTGGTTATATGTTTAGCCTCATAATGACTCGGGAAGGTTTTAGTTTAGACCATCCTTTGCCTATCAACCACATGGTCGCCCTCTGTCTATATACCAACTAGTTATTGCTTCCTTTGTTGAAACCTTCGCTAATGAATTTAAGTTGCTGAATAAATCAAATTAAAGGATCTGTGTGTGGTGCCCTGGTGATCCCTGTGTGCAAGCTGGGCCACAGCATGGTTCAAGGCTAACTGGACAATGGAATCTGCTTTACTATAGATTAACTTGGCTTTTATTACACCTGGGTTACTAATCATACTCTAACACAGCCAAAGTGAGCTCTTAAATGTTAAAGGGCATAGCCTCATGGAGATTTATCCTTTCCTCGGCTAGAAGAGAAACAATTGATCAGTAATTCAACTTTTACAGTGAAAACTTCTAACCTCTGATTTACCTTTTCCACAGAAAGTCAAAAGAGGAGTATGATGAGGAAATGTGTAGGAGGATGCGGTCAGAGGAAGAGGTTGGATCCACCTCCAGCAGCTGCTCTGATAAGCCAGTGTCAGAAAGCAGGGAAGCCCATAATGCCATGACAGCTCCCAGCCAACACGGTAACACTGCCAAGGTGAGTCTCAAGAGATCGAGAGCTGTAGGAGCCAAATGAGACTTTGGATGAGTCCATTTAGAACCTCGTAGAGTAGTCCTGTGAGGTTTTCTCTGCAGGACGCACAAAGCTGGAGATGCTAATGATTGGTGTCTAAGCCTGTGGGAGTAGTTTTATCTGCCGTGTTTTTTTTTTGACATGTCAGACATTTCGTGTGTAGATCTTTAGACTATATCTCCATTTCACTTTATCTGATTTGCTATTTTTTCCACGCAAAGGCCAAAACCAAGGTGAATGGTGACAACAGCAGCACTAATGGTCACCACCTCCCACTAGTGAATGGACACACTGAATCAAACCCGGTAACTGAACCATGTAGCAAGATTTTAACCGGTGACACAGTTACTGCCCAGTCTAAGGATGCATTCAATTCATAACACCAACTTAACCAAGAAACAGCAGTTTTTGTAAATCCAAAAATGGGGAAAAGGATTTTCTCTGATGCCAAAATGTACAGGATGCTAAAACAGTATCAGCATCATGTTCAAATCTGAGGTGCATCCTTAGGGAAGATAATAACTTGTCACTTAATTTCCTTCATAGTAAACTTTTCATGTAGAAGCTTTGTAGTTTTGAATCTTAGAGTCTATGTTGCTTCTGTGGTATCAGTAGAATAAACAGATAAACAGAATGCCTTGTAGGTGTTTTTGCTATTTTACATACACAAAACTGATGTGAAACACAATCTTTGGATTTCCAGAGGTCCAGAAAGGACCCTCCTTGACCAGTTCATGAATGTTGCTTGTTGAAGTTGCTTGTTTTATAGATTAAGTTTCAAGTCCAAGTTTTCCCCCAGTCTTCCTGTGCTCAGAGATAACTTAAAGTCTTCAATGGATCTGTATGAATTGTTGACCTTATAGACTGTAAATATGGTTTAAACTAAGAATTTTACTGCTGTTACCGACATAACAAAGCACATGTTCACGTCATTACATCTCCTGAGACATTTTTCACAGTAGTATTGGCAGTGTTAGTTCGCCTCCTTGTTTGTATGTCCTGAAATTGTTAATGTGGCCTCCTCCTCTTCCTTCTCCTCTCTTAGTATCTGAATTTTCCACATATTGTGAAATTTGTCTGCATTGTCAGGTTACTAAAGCTGTCTCTGTTCAGTGCAGTGCTTGTAGCATATTAATAACATCTTTTGTATTAATTCCTGGGGGTCCCTTTTCCAGGTCAGCAGCAAACCTACAAAAAAAGAAGAAAGCAAGACAGCAGCTGCAGGGAGTGCAGCTAAGAGCAGCTCCACATCTAAACCCAAACCAGGTAACTTAGAAAAGCTTTCCACGCAAAACTTTTCTTCAATATCCCTTTTTACTCTTTATTGTGATAATTGCTAGTTATCACATTGTCACAAATATGTGTTTATTCAGACAGTGGCAGTAATGGTGTAGAGTCCAGAGTCCTCCCGGCAGTGAGAGCTCCTGTGAAGTCTTCTGAACCCTCCGCCAGCCTCATTCCTGAATCCACACGGCAGAGCAGCAGCAGCAGCCAGAGTACAGCCGAGGTGTGGCTGGAGGAGGCACACAGAGAGGCTGGCTTCACTAAGCCATTTGTTGTAAGTGCAACATACAGTCCATACAGTCTGTGCTGTGATTGCAAGTGTAATACAGGTTACATCTGGTTGGTCTGCTGAGACAAATATCAGAGTCAGGGTCCAAACCAGTTTTTAAAAAATACATACATACGATCAAGTGGAGTAAGACCTGTACTCCCCCTGTCTCACTTTCACCTCTCCCACTTGCAGGAGTTGACGACGTCTCAGCAGGAGGAGCTCCAGCAGAGGGCGACATATCTCCGTCAGCAGCGAGACAAGCTGCATGCACTGAAGAAAGAACAGCAGAAAAGCAAGCACACAACCACACCAGTGGAGTCACCCGCCACCACAACCACAACCAATACCATACCGGTAAGTAAAGACTTGTTCCTGTTCTTTAGACACCCCCTTCAAAGTAGGTGAAAGGTCAGGATCAGTCTCTTGACTGTTGAGGACAATATGACCAGATCAAATAATATTTTGCAGACTTGATTTGACTTTCTTGATAGTATTTCCTCATTTTTTTTCCACATGCCACTAACAGCAGGTCACTGGATGCTTCTTCCAGCTTCACAGTCGTTTTATTTATTTAACTTAAAAAATCTATGTAGACCTGGAAACACTGTGTTAGTGGTAGGGATAAGGCCGTGTGGATTCTAACATCCATAGCTATTTTTAAACTTTGAAGTGTTTACTTAAGATATACACAGACTTACAAATGAAAAACTTTACAAGTGCAAATTAAATTCCCTTTGTTGACCAGAGACCAGTATAAAAAGATTGACAGCATGTGGGCTCCCCATAAGTGAAGCCAAACGATTTTGAGTTTTTCTTCCAGACTTGGCTGCAGTATAGATCATAAATCCTGCCTCCTTCAGTTGGCAAGTTTACAAGACGACTTCTGATTACATTACCATAAGAAAAATGGCCCAATTCAAATACAATAGATTTATACAAACATTAGAAATTAAGAAGAGGATGATGTATTTCTTTTGTTTTCTGATTTAACAGCCTTGTGTGCATTCAGTCAGACTGTATCCTGTACAGATTTGATGTTTACGCTTATGATTTATCTCTTCGTGACTTTAGATCACTCAAGAATGATTTTAAGCAAGATTAGCTAACAGGCATGATTCAGGTCAGAGGATGAGACAATGATTCTTTTAGGACATTTCTAATAATCACACGGTGACAACAGAGGTGACTAATCCTCGCAGCAGACGTTCGGCTTCCATCTACTTTATTGTGTTGCGCTGCTCTGTTGTTATGTTGGCAGACGAGACTGCAATGATGGCACGCTAAAAGTACAATCACCAGATCCAATTAGATCATTCTCTATGTAGACAGGCGGCAATCAGAAAGTGGTTATGTAAAGAAACCTATGTCACAATAGGTCACTGTGAATACAGACAATTTCACGTTTACCCTTACTCTAACTCTTTTCAATCATAATGTTTAACATTTGGGGCATGTATGTTTTTAATTCAAAACTAGATTTCTGATTTTATCTAACTCTAAGCCTTCTTGGTTTCTTTTCTTTTCCTTATAACAACTTCATTATTTGGTTCATGTTCATTTCCCTCTGCTGTGTGTCTAACCTGGCCTAACTTAACCTAACAGGAGGCTATGGGGCAGTCACAGAGGAATGGGGCCTGTACCCCTCCTCCTCTTCCTGCTTCCACCCCAGCACAGCACTCTACTGCTAACTCCTCCAAACAGAAGGTGACCCATTAGCCGCTCCTGTGCTCCTCATGTGAACACGTGTGTTCATGTAGTGAAGTGTGTTTCCCATGTTTTGTTGTGTAGTGCTCCTTCTGCCTTCCTGAAACTTACACACTCAGTTTGTTTCTACTGAAAACACAGAGCGGCTGTAGACTGCAGTGAGAGCTCTTTGAATGTTTGAAAGTCCTGATTGAGCCATAATCCTCAAATTAGCTGTTTTTGCCTAGTTTTCAAAACCCCACTTTTGTACACTTTTCCAACATTACATCTTTAGTTCGATGTTGTGTTTATTATCTTCTCTCTGTGGTTGTCAACCCTCCTGCCTGGTCTGTTCTCTTCACATAGGAGATATCAGCTGAGGAGAAGAAGAAACTGCAGAAGAGAAAGCATCTGGCTGACAAGCTGAAAGAGGAAGTAATCAAAAAATAGCCTCCTCCTCCAACAGCAATACTATCATTTCTACGCTGTGTATTCTGTCAACCAAGCATAAGGCTCTCCATACACTTACTCTTTCAGCCCAATAATTCACTTTACAGAGGAGGGATTTCCAAAGATACAGAACTAGTATGTCTTCCTCCCTCAGCGTTCTTTTTATTGCTGTCTGTAGAGGAAGAGGGCCTGTCTCCTTTTTTTATTTCAGATGTACCAATTCAGTATACCTCAACTTTTGCTTAAAACAGACTATTCAAGTATTTTTAAAACCATATAGCTGCTGATGTGAGACAATATCTGACAAACCAATAGCATAATGACAAGTCCCAGAATGGTTGATAGTCGTGTTCACAGCACCTAAACACTAAAAATCTTACTATTCAGTGCTTCACTATTCATAGCTATGTAATAATTATTATGCAACACTACCCTGGCCAGTATGTGTAAAACATGACTCATAACCCATTTCTCTGCTTGCAATAGTTTAAATTATGATTAAAAACAGTGACTGAAGGAGTTATTATGGACACTTCTTCAGGAAGTTTATACAGACTTATTGTTAGGCACAGCTGGTCTGGCTTTGTATCAGTGAGTCAAGGGTTAATGCTGGGCGAGTCCAGTGTTGAGATGAGGTAACATTAGCCAACCCAAGTGTAAAGTCTTGTTTACGTTAGCATTCCCAGCTGGTACATCGTAAAGCTGATAACATGTAAGCAAAGAGCACTGTGGAGAGGTTGGACAGATGAGAATGAAATGTGTTCAAATATGGGCCAAGAGAACAGTGCGTCGCTTTCTATAATGAACGCAGTATTTCCTGTATGCTGTTAAATAAATCCCGTTTTATAAAAACAATCCCAGACTGTGTGTATGTGTTTGAGTAAAAACCCTAATACTGTAGATGAGTATCCAGTGTTACCAGACATGCCTTGGAAAACCAGAAATGTTAATTTCTTTTTCTTGTATTTTGAACATGACAAAATACTGTATATCAGTCACACTCTGGTACAAAATCAACTCAAACATAATGCTAATTCCTTGCTTTGAATCATTATGGGTACTTTTTTAAAAATGTATGATTTAAACTGTAGATCTCCCTGTAGATGTCTTCCATGTGCCATCAGTCATCTGGACTCAGATTTAATGATCAAAACCAGAAAGATTTTCCTTGTGCCAATTGCCAAATCAGTAAATTAAAACAAAGCTAGATTCCAAAGTTCAAAGTCAGGGTCACATTTAATTTCAAAACTTCTCAAATAAAATCATACAAATGTTAAGAATGGATAGTGGTAGTAAATGCACTTGGTACAAATTCATCAAAGGAGAGCAGAAACAGTCATTGTTTGGGTAATGCTTACAGACCGTAGGAAAGACAAGTTGTACTGCCGCACTCCTGGAAACTGTGATAACTGTCTGACTTGTGCTCCGTTGCTGCTTATGGTTTTATTTAGAAGTTTGAATGCAGTAACAGATTTTTAGCTCATTCTGATTCCCATCCTTACATGTTCAGTGTGCCTGAGGTGTGTTCAAAGGAGAGAAAACACTGCAGGAGAAATGTTGAAACCAGACTCTGAAATGTATCAAAGCTGTCTCACTTCGTAAAAACTGCAAGTTGTGTGTTTGAACACACCAACTTCTTAAGCTTTAAAAAAATACTGCAACTTGGGGTTAAATCAATTTGATATTACTTACAAAAAGCAGATCCTTCAGTTTTCTTTAAAAAAAAAAAAAAAAAGGTTCCTTCAATTTGGGGTCTGAGAGGCTAAAGAAAACTTAAGATTAATCATGAAAGAAAGCAGAAATGGAGCAATTTGTGCTTCACATTTAGGACCTCAAAACTGGCACCTCAAGCCCCTCAACTCAAAGCAGTAATTCTCCTTCCAGTTCTAAATGTAAGATGTTAATAAGCACATTGAAGATGGAACATTTGATGTTTTTGATGCTTCTTTAACTGGGAACCTGAGATCTATGCAAGAGAAAGGTACAGCTGAACTTCCGGAAACTTACTCTGGAGGCATGCCAACCGCTCAGGTCAACAAAAAAAACTGGACTAGGTGTGGATCATAACGGGGCCACTAAACTCTTCAATCAGCTTGTATACAAACTCCAGACATCCTCAAAAAGTTGGCTGCAAAAAAAGACTTTACTGCAGTTTTAATGTTATTTTAAAACCAGCATTTGCATCTTCTCTGCATTTTACATTGAATTAAATGAACTGGACTGACAGGGTGAACAGTGGGCCCACCTTTTGTGCAACAACAACAAAAATACACAGGTAGGTAGGTATCTGTATCCCCTTATGAAAATCAGATCAGGGGCAAATGATTAAAAAGAAAAAAAAAAAACATCTGTACAGTACTTTTTAACAAAGTCATGAAATACAGGATTCCTGGCTAATGCAGTCCTGTGTGTGTGACACCGTGTGCGCATGTGTGTGTGTTTGTGTGTGCACGTTGTGTGTGAAAGCCTTGGTCAAACTAATGCCATGGCTTCTTTAGGTCTGAGTCCTGCTCCTCTGGATCTAAGCCATGTTACTGCTTTGTTTCCATCCTGGTACACTTTGTTACCTCCTTTGTCTCACAACATATCGTTGTCTTCCTATATGCTTCCTTGATCCCTCTATCCATGACTACAGTGAGCAGTTAAGTGGCACACACTACTTCAGCCAGTCAAGCTTTCTGTTTCACTACGACGGCTAGTCCTGCTAGCCTGACTGGCGCGCTCAACAGTTCATATATGCTGGCTAGTTGTGTTCTGGCTCCCTCTGTCTCTGAATCTCACTGGTTCTGGTTTGAGAAGATGGAGAGGAGAGTTCAAAACGAGGACATGTGAGGGATCCTCTGGGGCTGCTGTAGTACCGCAGTTCCCCCGCTACTGTTGCTATAGCAACATGGCAGAGTTGGGAACCGCCTTGGCACTGTTTTTTTTTTTTTTCCACCGCAGCCTCCCTGGTCAGTACATAGGAGTGAGAATGAGGAGGAGAAAGTTGTTCAGAAAGAGAGCAGGTGAGTGGAAAGGAGGAATGAGTTTGTCAAGGATCAACAAAGTTTCTCCTCAGGAGAAAGAAGGAGAGTTTGTTATCTCCAAGAGGAGACTGTCAGAAAAAAGAAAGAAGGTAAAATCATTGGGCTGAAGGAACAGACTGATCTGTCTTTCTTTAAAAATAGAGAAGGTCTTCAATCTCTTTTACCGAGAGAGGAAAGAGGAGCAGAGATCAGGAGAGACTGGTTGAGGTGGGAGCTTGTCTTTGTGCGTCTCAAGCAGGCCAAGGACCAATGAGACAACCAGAGGAGGGAGGATGGGAAGGACGTACTGTCCGTCAGCTGAAGTCAAACAGAGGACAGTGCCTTAAGAGCTTAGACGGGGCCGCTTCCTTGGTGACTGCTCTTCCTCCTCATCCTCTTCCTCTTCATCCTCATCATCAGGGTAATCCACTAAACCAACAAGAGCAGTCTACGGAGGAAAAAGACAGACAACAGGGGGTTTTACAAAAACAACCAAGTTCAAAGTACAACAAACATAAAGTATGTTCCTGTCTACGATCCTCTCTCTTTTCTACATGAGAAATGTGACCATTTGACATACCATACAACCTTAAAACAAGATAAATATATCTTTAACGGTCAGGACCTATTAGTACGCTCAGAATCCTGTCCTTTACGAGTGAATAAAGGTCGGCTTCAAATTATTGGCAGAGGCTGTGTGCTCTTATCCCGTTGGCTTTAAACTTTATCCACATATTTAATAAGCTAGGTAGAAAAAGAAAGCTCCCAACAGTTCGCTGTGGAGTCGATTCATGAGAGATGTGACATTAATTTCACTGTTTATAGGCACTTTGCTTCCAGGAGAGAGCGAGAAGAAAACAGCTAGTTCAGATTTTAAAAAAACACCCAGTTGTGCATTATAGTGTGTAAGACTATAGTGTGTTAGACTGAAAAAAAAAAACATCATTTCAAAGTATTAACAGCAGGCTTAATGTAGATAATTATAATTTCTAGGTCTGCAAGAGGTGGAATTCTTGTCTTGATAACTGAAAGATTTAAGTTTGACGACGCCCACAAACACCAGGGTAAACACAGGCAGTGCCTTTTTTATTCTTTCACACAGGTTTAGCTGGTGCAAAAGCTGCGCAATCCTTTTATGACCCAGGCCCCGACAGACAGTATCTGGTATAATACAGCCCTGGTAGCTTACGCAACAAAAGCAAATAAAGGCCCTGGTTTATATTTGAGGATTTACAGTTTTCACAAACAAGCCAACACACTAAAGCATTTAATGCTGCAGATTAGCTAGCTGGACATAATATCTCATATGATAAGGGATAAATCACAGGATTACAGTGGGAATGATGCTGGTGGAAACTGGCCACTTGTAAATAACTCTCCATAAACTTAGTAATCAGACGTGTTTACCTTCACTACTGGTGTTGCAGGAAGAGCTACGGTTTTGACGGATGAAGATGAACTGTTGTTTGGAGTGACAACTGGTGAGGCGGGTGGGATCACAGCAGCTTTCCCATTATTATTGGCACCATTAGCTCCATTGGCAGCTCCTGCAGGGACAGGAATAAAGGTTAGTGACTGTGTTTGAATGGGATTGGATGGGGGGGGGGCTTTGAAGAAATGAAGATACATCAAAACCAAAGCAGCCTACCTTTTTTGGCTTCCATGTACTTGCCATAGCTGTCAGAGAAGTCATCCTCCATGCGGCTCTTCTCCACGGCCTCCCCATCGTCATCATCATCGTCGTCATTGAACCACAACTCCTCATCTTCGTCCAACGACCGAGCATCTCTGCGATATCTACAGAAAGATAACAATGAGACTATTTAATAAAAGTTGTCACATTAAAAACAGATGACGAGCACACACCACTGATATGAACTTTGTGCCTAACTAACCTGTTGAGTCTCTGACTTTGCCGGTCTTTTTCCTGCTCATACCGGCCTTTCAGGCCCTTGAAAGTCTGGACATATTCAATGGATTCAAGTGCTTTGTAGAAGTTATCCACAATGTGAGCTATGAGGGACTTGATGTCCTCCTGGAAGAAGAGTTACAGTGGAAGAATCAAAAACAATCCTCTTCACATCTTCACACAATGACCTCAAAGGTTGTACGCAGTTTAATGAGGTTGTGTCTACACACCACTTTAATGAACTCAAAGAGCTCAATGATGGCTGAGTTGAGGAGGTTGTATCTGGTGCCGTTGTCCAGCAGGGCGTTGATGACAGGCTCAAACAGATTCCCTTTGATGATGTATCTGTTGTAGTACTCGTCCTTTAGACCGATGATTCTACGCATGAAACGCAGGGCACCTTGGGCAAGAATAGAAAGCAAAGTCTAAATAAAGCTGTGCTCGCATTTAAATTGTAAGATCTAGACAAAAAGTAGCACAATTTGAGGAAACAAAAAGGTGTTGGGTGTGAATGTGGGGACTTACAAAGGGCAAGGAAGGTGTGTTTTGAGTTCATGAGTACCAGCACTCTCCTGAGCAGGTCTTTGTTCATGATGTAGGTCTTGATGTGATACGTGTGGTGCTCCACACAGAAGGTAAGAAGCTCCAGAATCAGTGCAAGCAGCTGAGCTGTCTGGAAGTTGTCTACACAAGAAAAAAATCAACAAAGTTTCTTAAAAACCTGTCAACACCTATGTGCCATTCCCAATTTCCACAATAAGCTGAAGACCATTTTGAGTTCAGCCATTTTTCTCAAGATAAAATCATACTTTGCAGTATGCTACTTTATCTATCTCAACCTTGTAGGTGCCAACAACATCACAAAACATTCAGGTGGTGTTTCTATGTCATGGCATGCCCAGGTTACTGTCTGTTTGGTGGTCTATGACAAATACTGAGCAGTGTAACACTTACCTGGACAGACGGGGTTGATTTTAGTTGATCCCTCCTGAAGATCTGAAAAGTCATGACATGAATTAACCGTGAAATTCTTTACTTCTTTTGGTCTAAAACTTAAATTTTTGAAAGGCCTCTGTTCCCAGCTCACCTTTTGAGTTTTTGTCGTGTGCAGTGTTTGCCAGAAGAGGAGCAGTCAGGACATGCATGCAGTACTTGTAGAAGAAACTCAGAAACTCTGTCTTCTCAGTTTTCTAAGAGAAACAATCAACAAAACGGGATAAACATTGGTGTTTGCACAAAAAATATAGTTTGCAATTAAGCAGGCATCTCTCTGATACAGTATACAAATCAAGACAGTAGATCTCCCAATGATCCCACTACCCTTTGGTGCCTCCAGCTTTAATGGATTTAGACTAATCATCATGACGGTCATCATATCATCTCACAGCCAGCTGCAATTTAATCCATGTGTAATGGTTTAGCTTACATTGGTTGAAGCCAGCATGTTCTCAGGGTCAATGAGTGTCCTGAGCAGACCCATCAGCTGGACGGCCCCTCCTAACTCTGGGTCAGAGTCGCAAATCATCTGCTTGATCACAACGTTTATCAGCAACACATCCTGTAAACACACACACAGGCGAAGCTTCCGTCAAGCGACACAGTTTCCATCTAATTATGAATTCAGGGGGCTGTTCACAAAAAAAAAATCCAAGTGTAGTGTCACAAAAATGCCATCATAAACCTCACTGAAAAGAACACTTCTTTAAAAGAAATATGTGGCCTTTAATTTATGCAAGTTTAAAAATTAAAAAAGAAATTCTTGATTATCAGTCTCTGCAAACTGGATGGTTAACAGCTTTTTTGTAGTTGTAGGCCCTCTGACCACCCTCTTATTTCATTTGTTAATTGACTGTATGATTACTGAAACAAATGTAATTGAAATGCGATGGAATGGAATATACCTTGTTTCAAAGCCAAAATAAACTATAACTAACTAACTGCACTTGTCAGAGACTGAAGTGAAGCACCGCCTCTCTTTGACACTTACAGTTGGCCTTTATTACTCAAAAGGTATGCTCACTTTAGGATCACATTGTCTTTTACAAAGACATGAGTGGTATTCAAGAGAAACACTGTCACTGATATGATTTCACATTACCCAGTATACAACATTTCAAACATTTACCAACAAACTTGAGGGCAGTGGAGCAAAATTCAGTATTCTTTACAACATGTAAACAAATTATAGACAACTCTTGGAACAAATACACATCTCCACAAGTGCAGGCGGACTTAAAATTTTGTGTTTGATCTGATTCTTACGTCGTCTGTCTGCTGAGGTTCCTGCATGACAAACTCCCTGACCATGGAGGGGCTGAATTCCACCAGGTAAGAAAAGATGTCTGTTGCTGCCGCCCTCACCTGCAGGTCATCCATTCCCTGAAGAGGAGAAAGTTTAAAACTTGAATACAGTCAAAACACTGCACACACCATGGTCAAAGATGCGACAACTTGGGAAGTACGCAAAAATATTCACTTAGAAACTAACAGCCAACGTACCATGACTATTTCAAGAGCAGGTAAGATGCCTAGATTTGCCAGAGTTTTGAAGAAAGCGTCACGGTTTTGAGGCTGCAGCGTTTGTGAGAAAGCACAGAACTCCTTGACAAAGTTCACCTTAAGGAAAGAAGACAAGAGAAACCAGAAATTGACAAATTAGAGCCAACAATTTAAGCCAAGTGAGGAAAATTATCTCTCATTGTTTTATACATGACAGTGTGCAGCAAATGAACAGTTATTCTGGGTCCTGTCTCAAATAGTCAATTTACACAAACCCCCAACATAAGGCTTTTTTGTTACCATAGTTGTACCTGGAACTTACACCAACAGAAAAATACGACTATCACAATCATCCTTACAAAACATACAGAAATGTCAAGTTTCATGGTGAGCCCTTGGAAGAAAAATTTATCAAAGTCAGAATTGAAGTTTTTTTTAGGACAGTAATGGAGCATTTTATTTTAACGGAATTTAAAGTCAACATCACAAAAGCGTCCAACACTTCCTAAACATTACCAAAGATCCTACCAGAAGACTCAATATGGTTCGACTTACAAGCTCTCTCCTTTTACTGTCCTCTGTGGCTTCATCTGTGAGCTGTGCGAAGACCTCTGTTAGGAATTTTTCATCTTCCTGTGGCAGGGGAATGAGACGGTTAAAAAAAAAAATCAAGATACCTTAAAAATAAATTTAAACACAAAAGAAACATAAGGAGAAAACAAAAGTCCTGGAGGATTTAAAGTAAGTTTTTTAGTTATTGAAGCGAAGACATTCAAGGCAGAAAAACTGCTAGCTAGTGTGTAGTATAAATCATTTTAATTATACATGATACAAAAGCAGTTACAGGCAAAACCAAAGACCTTTTTATTAGTGTTCGATTTTCTTTCATACATGTAAAAAACGTGATGCACTTTCAGTCATGGACAAAAATATGTTTTTAAGCTTATCTATGTCTGAATACATTGTCTTTAGACGACAACAGAATCAAGCAGATCGACATACTGCTTCAAATTATTGGAATTACCATAAATAATCTACAGTGATAATCAATCATTGTTTAAATCTTTATACACCAAAAGAAATCAACACATTCTATGATCCCAAAACACAAGTTTAGTATTTTTCATCCAGGGTGCAAATTTTCAAACATACACAGACAAATCATCTTAACTGTACAATGGATTATTGTTGTATGTGACCAAAGGGAATAACATAGGTTACCTGGTGTGGATCCTTACCTGCAACATACTGACAATCTCCACCTTGTTGAAGAAGATAAAGGAGGTGAGCGTGGACAGGAAGTTCTCCTCAAAAACAGATGGTGTGGGCAGGATAATGTCCTGGATGTACTGAACTCTGTACGTCTGATGGATCTTCTGCCGCAGCTCAGAGTCCGTGATGGGGATCACCTCCTTAAACTTTGCCGTCTTGGTCAAGAATTCCCGGTGCCGTTTGGGCTGCACCAGCGCTGGGTCATACTCGAGGCAGCCCACCACATCCATGATACAGTCATCAGAGAACATGACCTCAAAGAGGGCTGCTTTATTGAGGAACAAGACTCCACGGACAATCTCATAGAGGTGATGTAGGCCTTCCCTGTTGTCCAGATCCTCACATACTCTAAAAAGACCCAGCAGTTTCTTGATGTAGCCCTCGCTCATCAGGGCCAAGGCCAGTTTTTCCCTGCGGATGGGCGAAGACAAAACTGAAGTGACGAGATCAGCGATCTCCTCCAAACGACTAAGTTCACAGGGTGGGAGCTCCACCAGGTGGCTTGTCTCTGGGATCTCCTCAAAGCGCTCCTCCTCTGACTCATCGATGGGGTCCTGGGTGATGTCTAAGGCAGGGTCTTTCCCTTGAACCTACAAACATGTACATTGTAGATATGACAAAAACAAACAAACCAGAGGTATTACTGCTCTGCCTCTTGCCTTTTATGGTAGCACCACTAAAACTGCTGCACCAGCTATTATGACCCTTTGCCGTTTGAGTACTGCCCAGTAAACAAATGAACTGAAATGGAAAAAAAAAAAAAAAAACATTGTTGACTCTACCTGGCAAATCTTCTCCCAGATCTCATCACAGCCAGCCTTTTCCTGGAAACTGAGGGCAAGGTCATAATTATCTGCTTCCGACCAAACAATCAGTGTGTCCTGAAAGAAAAAGAAAAAAAATAACCTAACATAAAGAAATGCTCATCCTACACACATACACAAGGATCCCATTCAGAAATCAAAATGATAAAACTACTAGCATAAATAAATCTGCTGATGTCCAGTTTTCTAATCAGAACAGATACTCATTTCTATTGCATGTTGCATCATTGTTGCCGCAGTAATTAGTCAGCAACACATCTGATGTGTTAATAACTAGAACAATACATTCCTAAACTGTATTCATTTGGTTTTATTTGACCTTTATTCAACCAGGAGAAAAACTTGACATCACTAGCCCATTTTTTGGACGGAGACAATAATAAGAAGTTAACGGATGTGATGCTGACTTTGCACAGATGTATTGCACTATTGTGACTTTCGAGTACATCTCTGCGTTTTTAGCATTAGCATAAATTGTATATATTTTCTATCTACCCTAATTACCAATTTATTAACTTTGCATCTCTATTGATTATGTAATTGCTTTGTATTTCATTTACTGCTTGTATAGTTATTAATTGATTTTATGGAGTTTTTGCCGTGTGTGTGTGTTGAAATGTGTGGGTTGTCCGGTCTACAGCAGACCCCTCTATCCAAGATAAATTTCTTCCATGGGAGACAAATGAAGGCACTTGGACTTTTTAAGTGCACGGGCCAAGACGGGCAGCAGCAGTTAAAAGTTTCTGATGAAGTAGCCATACAAATAAAATATGTATATGTCACATCAAACAACATATTTTTGTCCAACTCGACCAAAATCATGAAGCAGAATACCTACAGCATGTATCCAAACTGTTCACCATTTCTTTAAAGAAGTCCAGTGAGACCAGATTCTTTCATTCCAGATCTTTGTTGTAATTTGTTACATGAAAAAGGAGCAACTTTTCAAAAAAGAGCTGAGACTTAAAGTCTGAGGGGGTCTACAAGTTCGTGGTCCTTGTGGCTGATTTGTTCTTACCTGTTGTTTCTGATATGCAGTATTCGGGCTGATCTTCGATTCCAATAATAGGGATCCTGAAAAAAAGCAGATTTTACAGTTACCATTCACTGTTAATCAAGAATAAACGATTTCAACATGGAACTCTTAGGGGTTATCGTCGATCAACCTGCTCAAAGGAGAACAATTGGCACACTAGAGACAATGATCAACGCCGAACTAGTCAAAAGTACAACAGTAACAAGTTAAAACAAGGATAAACTATATTTTTACACATTTACAGCCCATCTGGCTTTCATTTGTCAAGACTTTAAACTCACACAAAATTACTCGCATTAAAAATCAATGACAAGTTAGTACGTTTCAGACTAGACTTTGAAGGCCCCCCATGCTAGGATCACGTCGCCTGTTAAAGCAACGGGCATGCTAACAGTTGCTTTAAACTACTATCTTTCCATCAGAAAAAAATGATTGTAAAATACATAAATATGAAGCAGTTTGTTCCAGCTGCTACAGCACAGTCAGCAAAGCAAGCTTGTAGAGTCCGTAAAGCGTATTCAGAGTCCACTTGAACAACCAGGAGGTAGCGCGCTAACGCTTAGCCTTTAGCATCGTCAATGTGGCTAAAGCTAGCAGAGATCTTACCGTCTGATTCGGCTCGGACCAACAACGAAATCCCCTTCAACCGCTCGACAAACGTTGAAGAAACATGTCCGGTACCCCGATCGTCCCACTGCCGGTCTTCATTCAGCGTATAAACTTTCACTCGCCGCCGAGTGTCCGACATGGTTAACCGAGTCCGAGCTAGCAGGCTCGCTATCACCTCACCCCGTCTGGTGTTTTCCTACCCTCGACCTGTTAACTTTGTTCCCACCAGCATGTTATTTAACATGCGCGTCTTTATGAAGTTCTCTGCAGCAGAAAAACACGCTGGTAATATTCCCATAAACACATTCCGCTTACGGTGGTCAACAGCTACAAAGGAGGCCTAAAATGAAGCGGTGAAATTCACAGAGAGCACAACAACTCCGACGGCCTCCGTGCTAACGTCCACAGACCGCCATCTTGTAATCCGATCTTGTGTTCTTTTTCTTCTTCGACGTCAATCAAGCGCTAAACTGCCGCGGGGTCTCCTCCTCCGAGCGACACCGTCCAATGCGAAATGACTTCGACGCGCCCTCTACAGGACAGGGAAGATATGGCAACGCTTGTATGTACAAGTCATGATAGGGGACATAATTTAACATGCCACGAAATGGGGGCCTCGTGCTTGTTGCAGGTCAAGATGAACGAGATTATTTTCCCTGTAATATGCTAAATCTCATCAACTAAGATGTATCGAAGTTTTAAAGCGTCTCCTGGCCCGTCTCAGGCAACTTCATTTACATTTTTACAAAGTTTTAAAGAAAGAGATATGTTTTAGTCCTGATGCTAAAATACATGTGCCATTAAAAATCAAGTTTGACAGCTAATTTTGAAGGAATATTTTTTTGATGTTCAAATAATTAAGAGTTTAACGTCTATAGTTTGTGGTGTACCATATCCAGAGCCGGCATAAGCCTCAACAGGGGCCCTAAGCAAAATTTGATTTTGGGGCCCTCTATTTCTGCCAATAATATTGATCGTTGATCATTTACACACCTTCAGAAATCTCTTTGATTAACATTCCATGTCATGCAAACAAACCTTTATCTTGGCATATTTTCTCTTCTTCCTCTCTCTCTCTTTCTTTTCTCTGCTCCTGATGGATATGTCCTGTTTTGCGACATTGTTTTGCCCCACAACTGCCTGCGGTTTGGATGCTCAGTGCACAGAGCTTTGACATATCGGCAGTAAGAATCATAGGCCTACATCAGCAGTATCACTTAAATGTTTTTACTTTACTTTTACAATAATATTTATTTAATCATACAGAAAGTCATACATTAAAAAAAATTAAAATATTAAAAAAAATGTTTGATTGCTCTGTTTATTTAAACCTATCTTGATAAATGAGACCCAAAACGGTTTTAAAAATTACATTGCGTTACATATGATGTCATGAATACAAGATAGATCAAAAATAATTGAAAGGTATTGTTTAACTTTATTTCAGAAAAAATAACCACTAAAAATGGTTTCACAAGCAGTGCAAAGCAGACACACTTAAGTTTGTAGATGATCAGTATAGGGTTCATAGAAGGGGTATGAGTAGAAGTGGCTCCCCAGTGCCCCAAAAAAGGAAGGGGGCCCTCAATAGACCTGAAATTGAGTCTCATTTTCAGTGTCTTACTTTTATAAGACTCTTGATTGAGGCTTTTTTCCAATCTTTAAGTTATGACATTATTTGGCTACTCTATCTGATTTGAAGAGTGAATATATATTGAAGTGTTGATATTTGTATAAAGAGAGTGTATCTGTATAATGTACTCAATGTATAATACAAGGGGTAGGTTTTCATAAGCATTGCTTCTGCGTACACCCTTTTGGTCATGTTATACTGAAATAAATAATTATTCATTCATTCATTCACATTTAAAAGTAAAGAAAAATGGTATGAATAAATGATACCATGGGGGAAAGACCGAAGCAGAAATAACAGTGGTTTTTCATTGACATATACAACCAAAATTCTTTAATTTACGATTAAATCAATGTAGTTTTCATATATTATACTGTATTAAATGTCTGCCTCTAGATATTTGATAAATGGTAAATGTCTTGGGCACAGAAAAGGCACCCACTTCATGACGGCCCATTTACAATATTTCCAAAAAACTTTTGATTAAAGGCAAAACACAAGCTACTGTGCCACAAAAACAATGACCATTAGATATGATTTGGTATTTTTGTTAACATGACAAGAAAACTTAATGCATGCTTTTTTACTTTTTGCCTTGTCATCCATGTTTTCTGTCCAATCGGAGCACTTCAAAGGAGGGTAAGTTATGATAAACTAATGAAACCTTAACTGGTATTTGTCAGGGTGCTTCACTGTGGTCCTTATGAAAATAAAGAAATACCTTCTAATTTATTTATCTCACATAATTTATTGAATCTAAGAGCACATTGGTTTGTGAAGTTTTAGTGAAGAAGAATTTTTAATTACTGAGGAATTCAGGCCACATCTTATTGTGGTGCAATTTTCTTCCTCAGGTTTTTTTACTTTTCTAAAGGCTGAATGATAATGTTTTATTTAGCAGGGCACCATATCCATGATATTGCAAGTAAAATAGATATTTACCATTTACATGAGCCCCAGGATGAATCAACTTGTAGTTGCAAGACAGGATCTTGCTCATCGTGAGATCTTTATGCATCCATATTTGAGCTGCAGACACACGTATACTAATTTAGTGTTTTACCATCTTTTCTAATTAAATGGCTTTTTCCTATAAACCATGCCCCCTTTTTATTATCTAGGTTCTAATTTATCAACAATTTGTTGTTGATGGTTGTAATAACTATCTTTTGGAAGTGTATTTCTTTATTTGCTATATTGTACCTTAACTTGCGTCTGAATAAAAACCTGAGCTTGAGTTTTGTTCTTATAGTTTTATCTTTTTCTAAAATAAAAGATTATTCACTCAACAAAGCAAACAGCAGTTTACTTTATTTACACCTGACAGACTCACATACTTTACAGTCTGAGCAAAAGAAAAACACAATAAAAAAAAATATCATTTTACACCCCTCATGCTTTTTGTTCTGCATCTGGATTCCAGCACAGTGGAGGCCATTTTTAAAACTTTCTACCACTGGAAGCAGAACAAAAAGAGTGAGTATGACAACCACAGCTGGATATACTGTCTGTTTGGGTCAATCTTCTAGATGACTGTGCCTCAGAACCCCCTTTTCGTTTCATGTCACATTGTCCTGTCGAGGCACCCAAACAACAAAGAAGAAGCTGATATAGGTGATGCTAATCTTAAAAAAATTTATATTGAGGACATTTTTATTCTTTTGCTCATGACCAACTAAATGTCCTTCAAATCTGCTCCTGTTTGACGACAGTAGAATTATATAGTTGATGAGATGTTATTCCAAAACATCTGTACCCAAGAATTCAGGGTAAAACTTCTTCATGTGCAGAACAGTGTCAGTTTGCAAACACATCAGGTGTTCTTGATTTGCAAGATTTCTCTGGAGTGCTTGTCGTTGCATCTGCTCATTTCAAATCCACATCAGTGGACAAACTCTTGTGTTTCTTGTATCACAAGTCAGAGCTGGGCCTGTTGCTGTTACTGGAGCTCATGGAGATGCTCTGGGTTTCGCTCATCGTCTTGATGATTGATGCTGCAGGAGAATGGAGCACCTTCCGTGAAATCCTCATCCTGCCATCTGTTGGGTCCCGTCCAAAGTATTTGACCTGTTAGCGTAAATCCAGAAAGAGACAATAAGTCATGAATGTGAACACAGGATACTTAGAATTCAGTTAATAGTTATTGATGTTTACCTGTATCTTCTGTCCCACATCTAAACCCAGAGCGCTCGGATGTTTGATCTAAAAATATATTAAAAAAAGGAATTAGTAGAAACACTCCAAGAAACACACAAGCAAACAGTATCGCAGGAAAATGTACTGACCCGTTTGTGGTCCAGTTGTGAATTGTGTAACAGGACGGCACTCATGTTAGGGTATAGTTTCACCATCACACCAATGTCCCTGAAGCAGAGCATTAAAAACTTGAGCACCATAACTAAAAGTCGTTTTGTTTAGACTGGTGCTTACAGCTTAGATCAAACACTGTCAACAAAGTCAACACTCCTATGTGTTGCTTTACCTTATCTCAGTGATGGTGGCAGTGTAGATGGCACCAAACTCCAGCTCCTGTTCTTGCTGCAATACCAAAAACAAATACACATTTCCTCTTTTCACATATATATTTTACATGGGCAGTAATGTTTTTTTTTTACAGTTTTCATAACAACTAATTCAGATTTATGATGGCTTAGACTCACGTCATCTTTGCATATTTCACTGATGAATTTATGGGCTTCATGCATGGCTTCTGGTGTTGGAGCAAACACTGAAAAGGTCTCCTCGTCTACCTGATTTATTGTGACACCTTAAAAGGGAAAAAAAATAAACACTTTATTTCAGACTGAATGAATAAAATGTTAATTTTTTTCCCCCCAAAGTTGTCATATCTATAATATGCATTGTACATCAGAGAGATACGAATTTCACACTGCAGCTTACCTGTTTGAGCCTGTAGCTTGCGTAAGTTGTAGCCACCTGGACCAACAAACCGTGCTCGTTTAGAAGCAGGCACCCGGACATTTTCTGCAGACAAAAAGTCATTCACATCAGCTGTCAGTATACACAGTTCAGTCAGTGTACAGGTTCTGTCAGTTTCTTTTATATTTGAAATGCAAATACTTGTGTTTAAACACAAAACTTGCCGACAACAGGTCCATTCTCTTTCTGAGTCTCTCTGGGTTTTTGCAAACATTTATTCATGATGCCCAAGATCTCCCTCTTTGCCACTGGAACATTAGATTTTTGAGAGTGTCATTCATCCATCAAAAACTCTCATATTCTTCATAATTTGTAAGTGTTTATTTTCCCTGCTGCATGACCGTACCTGTTCCCTGTTGGATGGCCTCCATGACCAGCCTCAGAGGCAAACCTGGGATCTTCACATCAGCCTAGAGGTTAAATAAAGTGTATAAATAGACAATGAGAACTTCAAGTAGCACAGTTGGGTATTGTTTATAAGGTATTGCATTGAAAGGCTGCAGAAGTAGCATATTTAAAGCATTAAATACCACTAATACTCAACAATATTACAATTCAACATAGTTCAAACTTATTTTCCACATTAAACTCTTTTATACTTTCAAAGCAAAACAGTAAACCCACAGCACCAAATTCAATTAATCAAACTCTGAACATGGATCAGGTGTAAAATTCTTTTGAAAACAGATATTTCTAAAAGAGGTCTCTCATTATCCTGCCAGTTCAAGCTGGAAGAGAAGCCGAACATTTTAAGAAACTTGCAAAAAGTAATCTGACACAGTACCTGTAAAGCAGTGATGCCCTTGTTTGTTCCTGCCAACTTGAAGTCCATGTCTCCAAGGTAGTCCTCTATTCCCTGGTTAGAGAATTTAAACAAGTCCACAATAAACATTTACGGCATAATTAAGCATGTACCTTACTTGGATAATAGTTATATTACTTGTGTAATACGCATGCATTACACATACAATCTCTTTCCTGCTTGATAATGATTGACAGTTAGTCACACAGAAACTAAGCTTATTACAGTGCACTATGTACCAGTATATCAGTTAATAATCTGTAGTCCTGGATCTCTGTAGGTGTCTCTGGGTTGGCTTTGGAGATGAGACCGACTGCTACACCTGCTACAGCAGAAGAGATGGGAACACCTGGGAGACAGACATAGAGATACAGTTTATTACACACTTTACTAAATGGGGGAAAACATGTCAACGCTAAACAGTCAAGATGTAATAACTTTTCATCTGAAAACATGTCTATTCAGATTGAAAGCATGATGAGAATGTTGAAAGAATATATGCACAGTGAAAAATTAGTTTTTAGTTTTGATAGTGGCACAGACCCATCCATACTGGAAAAACTATGCAAATATTAAATACAAGAATAAATGAAAATAACAACAGAGCCACGGTACCTGCGTCCATCAGAGCTAGACTACCTCCACATGCTGAGGCCATGGAAGAGGATCCTGAAAGAAAGCGGTAGAAACAGTAGGAGTGAGAAAGTGAGAAGGCATTCAGACACAGTCCCTCAGGTTCTTGTCTGACACATCCTGCCGGACAATGAACACATTTCCTGCACTGACTGTGTTGTTTGTACACTCTAAAAACCAGCGTCATCATCACTCTCACCATTTGACTCCAGCACCTCTGAAGTGACTCTTATAGTGAAGGGGAAATCTTTAGGGATGACTGGTCTCAGTGCTTTCTCAGCCAGGGCCCCTGAAAAATTTAATTTAAAAAACACTTACGCAAACATAAATATGAACAGGATGACCTTTGTCAATCAGATGCTTGATGGGAAGGCTGCCAAACATCAAAAACAAATTAAAGGTGTAACAGTAAGCACAAACCATGTCCAAGCTCTCTTCTGTTAATGCCTCCCATTTTTCCAATCTCATTGGTTGCGTATGGAGGGAACTGAAAATCAAGGTGTTTTTTTTAATTATTATTTCAATGCAGAATTCAATGATACAGAATCATCCTTCAAATGTTTCACAGAAACAATAAAAACAAAAAGATTTGACTTACTTCATAATGAAGCATGAAGTTTTTGTCTTTAATTCCACTGGAGAGGGAAACAGAAAGCTTTAATTGTCTTTCCAAATACTTTAATTGGTTTATAATAGTGGGTATGCCCTCTGTATGTAGGTTTAATTATGAAAATGAAGGATCTTTTTACCTTAAAGCAGTGGTAATGATATCTGCTTTGACACTGGATTCCAGTGAATCAAACGTGACACTGCAAAGTACCTGCAGGGACAGAATCAGGACATGGAAGTACCTCAAACTGTCAGAAGACTAATCACAGAAACAATCTTGAAAGCCACCACTGTATCTTGCCGTTTTATTTTGGTATTTATTCAATTATAAAAGAAGATTCTGGGGCTTTCTTGCAGCTGTGCGCTCACCTGTGTTTGTCCTCTTTGGAACAAAGCCGAGCCATGCAGTGGTTTGAAGAGGTCAACATCACAAGAAATGTTCCTCAAAGCAGTCAACCCCCTCCCATCACATCTACAAAGAAAGGTTGTTGCAGGAATTAAATAAGGACATAATGCGTCATGGAAATAAACATTTAGTTCACCAAAGAAACTGCTTACCTCTTGTACTCATTAAGCACTAAATTTCGGAAGATTTCCTTGCTCGCAACGTTGAAAGATTCAATGATTTCAAATGGCTCTGCCTGGGGAAATTTTTCTGCACATTAAAGACATGGATTAGCTGACAAATGGATATATACAGTATATATTTAATAAACAGAACCAACTGCACAATGTATGAAATGTAAATACATCAGTAAGTGTACAGCCCACTTAGATTTTTTAATAAAATATCCAACATTTAACAAGATCTACCTTTAAGGATCTCCTCAGTTTCTAGGCGGACTTTGTTGATAGCTTCATCTCTGGAAATCTAAACAAAATGCAATGAGAATATATGAAAAAAAAAAACATACATGAAAGAAAGATTACTCTGGTTTGGGTATGAAGCAATATTCTGCAATGTATAAGATGTTCATATCAGAAAATAGAGAAAAAAATTCAGAAAAATTAAGTCCCTTCAACCCATCTACAGTACAAGAGCTATCAGCCATGAACAAAAGAGAGAATTTTGAATTGACATAATAGAGGTTAAAAAGCTTTTACCTTATCATGGGTGTAGTCAGTGAAAACAGCATAGATCCTCTCAGAAGCTAATCTGCGTGTAAAAAAGGGGAAAAAAACATGGTAACTGACATCTACAGTTTTAAGTCATATTTTGCCACCCACTGATCTCAAAATCAAGTTGAAGTTCAGCTTATCACAGTTCAAGTAGTTCAAACAGGTAAGTCCTCAACATATTCTGTCCCTGTACTTTTGATTTAGGATATAAATCACTGAAAGCTAATTTGTTGATTCCATGAAACTATATAATTATATGCTGCTGATTTAGAACATTGACATGCTATCATATTTTGCATATGTATTCTTACACCACAAAAAACAGTTTCTTACTGTCTAACATGTTCCACCATGTCTTTTGGGGCAGTGAAGACCTTGACAGGGGTGCGCTTGGTGATCTTTTGTTCCCGCATCATTTGCTGGATGGTCAGTATGATCTGCTGGGTGTGTCTGACTCCCACCTTCACTGCATGGCAAAAGTCCTGCTGCAGCACGTTCTCAGCTGACGCCTCAATCATCACTAGCAAACAGAGAAGAACATGAGAGAAGCGCTACATGGTGAAATCAGCTTTAAAGGACAGGAGAAAGGCTTCCAATAACCTGCAAGGTTGAGCTGAATGCTGAGTATATAAGTTATGATGTCAGCTATATATACACCATACACTTTAGGTAGATTATATTGAAATGCTGATGTTTTTACTAACTTACCAACTTGACTGCTGGGAGCTCCAGCCACAATGAGGTTCAGAGTGCTGGAAGTCATCTCTAACCTGGTGGGATTTATCACCAGCTCTCCATCAACCAAGCCAACACGCACGGCTCCTGAAAGATAAAGAAAACAGAGGTCAGCTAGACTTAAATAAAACTGCAATAATTGACTGAAAATTGAAGACTATTGACTAGATTATAAGTTGTTACAGCCTACCAATTGGTCCATTCCAGGGGATGTCAGACAGGGCCAAGGCAGCCGAAGCTGAAAGAAAATAATATTCAAGCTAAGGATATAAAAAGCTGTGATCTATTAAAAACATTAGGTTGCTGTGATGGAACTCACCTGCATTGATAGCCAGCACATCTGGATCATTGACACCATCAACAGCCAGCAGGTTACACAGAACCTGAAAAGAAAAAAAAACATTAGGGACGGATTTACATTTCTGTTATCTTTGTTTATGGATATGGACTTTGAACTGGTGCAAAAACTTTCATTCTGAGCTGACCTGGGTGTCGTAAAAGTATCCTGGAGGGAACAGCGGTCTTATGGATCTGTCTGAAAAGTAGAAATACATCCAAGTGTTATTTAAAAGACTCAGGTCTATGGCATACACTGCCAAACAACACAAATACACCCCCTTGACATCATTTGTCAACATTCTTGTGAACTCACCGATTAGTCTGCTCGTGAGGATCTCATGGTCTGTGGTGCCAAGCTCTCGCCTCAGATAGTTAGTGGGGATTCGACCTGCAGCAGCTGCTTTCTGTCTGTAATCCACCTGTCAATCAACGTACAAACTGATTTACATACAGCTCACAATTATTCTGCCCTAACAATAATTTTTTATGGCTGAATGAGACAATCAATCCGATAGAAAGGAAAATTAACTAAATATGAACAATAAACTCTCCAAAGTATCAGTCTACAAACAAAGATAATTGTGTTTTTTACAGTCAGGTTAGGAAACATACCACAAGAGGCATAAACTGAGATGGAGAAGGTTTTGTTTTGCTCACAGCAGTCACCATTACAGAGGTATCTCCCAGCTATAAAGAGAGAAAAAGATCATGACATGGTTAATACAGGCTTTAAATATGTGTGCACAGTCACGCTGATACAGCAATAAGAAAACATGGAGATGTTTGGGAACATGTACTTAAACGGATATTCCGGCGTAAAATTAATTTAGGGTCGAACACACCGTAACACCGAGTTAGACACCCCCTTGAGAGACGAATGTTGCCGACCGCTTGATTCTCTAGTTATACCAACTTTAGTAACGACCGCAGGATAGCAATACACAGCGGTCTGAGGAGCCATAAACAAACCTCAACCAAAACGCCACTCTATAGCCACAAATAATGCTCAGAACAGCACCTAACTTCATCAAGAGTACATATAGAGTCCCAGCCACAGCACTAGCCACCAAACATCTTCTTAACTTAAATTAATTAGGCAAAATTAAAAAAGATGTTTGGTGGCTAGTGCTGTGGCTGGGACCCTATATGTACTGTTGATGAAGTTAGGTACTGTTCTGAGCATTATTTGTGGTTATAGAGTGGCGTTTTGGTTGAGGTTTGTGTGTGGCTACTCAGACCGCTTTGTATTGCTATAGTGCGGTCGTTACTAAAGTTGGTAAAACTAGAGAAGCAAGCGGTCGGCAACATTCATTTCTTGAAGGGGTGTCACACTCGGTGTTATAGTGTGTTTGACCCTAAATTAATTTTACGCTGGAATATCCCTTTAAAGATAGCACTCCTCTATGAAGCTCCTCTGGCACCTGTTTGTTGAAACCTTTCATTACCTTGACAACAGCAGATCCATCGGCAAATTTTGCAAGCCTCCCTGTTGAGATCTCAAGTTTCCTGCAAAGTCAGTGAGAAAACATGAGCATGTTCAGGTTTCTGTCATTTCTGTAAGGAGTCACTCTGAGTCCTGAATACCGACACCTTAGAGTGATCTATTCTGAGGTCCGAACAAGGATTAAATATACACAAATATACATCAGCTTTACCCACAGATACCAAAAGAATCTCATCATCTCACACCTTTCTTGTTGACGTTAAAAATATGTGAATAGATTATGGAAAGTCAACTCACTTTTCCCCAAGGACCACTGCGAGGCTGCGTTCGTTAGCGTTACTCCTGTAAACACTTTGGTGACATAGACGGACATGAGGGCGGGCAAACGAGTATCCCAGTCGGAGTAGATACCTCATATTTGCTGATTACTAAAAGCTAAAGAAAAAACAATAAAATAAACGAGTCTTTACAATTAAGCTATACGCGTGGGGGCTGCCATGACAGTTTCTTGCTCGCACGGAATGACGTAACAGCACCTTGTCCTCTGATTGGACTGACTGAGAAGATGTGTAACATCAAATGTGTCCGTTCTTGTCGATGGGCTGTTCCGTTTAGAATACTTTTACTTATTATTTTGATTATAGATTAAGAATACTCGTGTTTTACGTTGAATAAAAGCGCATATTTCATAATTAATTAATGTCTGTAGCAATGTAGTACATAATGTACTGTCCGTGTGTTCTGAAGCACCAAGTTTTGTCTATCTGTTCGTCTTTATAATCTATAGTATTCGAGCAGAGGCGGCCCAAGGCGCGCAAAGAACCAAGCGCCTGCTTAGGGGCCCATGGGCACTAGGGGGCCCCCCAAGAGCAGTTAACAGAAAAACTATACATACTTGAATGTAAATTAAAGCAGTTTTTTTAATTATCATTTTTACTTCAACTTTTGCACATAGTAACACACATTTACATAGATTTAAGACTTAATTATTCAACATCATATTTGTTTTTTTAAACCATTGTCATAACCTTGTTTCGGGTATCTCTGTTCATCATTATTATTGAAGTATTTGCTTGATATTTGATTTAATTCTGTCTGTTTTTGTACAATTTAATTTGTTATTATTTGTATGTATCGAAGTGATTTTATTTGTTGTTGCACTTTATTATTGTTCTTGCACTACAAATTATTGTATAATTATTGGTTGACTCTTGAAGGACCTCCTGAGGAAACATGGATCAGAGAAGAGGTGCTGTGAGACAGGTGGAGTATCCTGTTACACGTAAGGTTATGTCTTTAGGATGTAGCAGTCCTGATTTTCTTTCACATAGGTCACATCAAAAAAAAATTAAGATCTTCTCTTGGTGTGTATTTGTGAAATAAGTGATTAAAATATTTCCTTCGCTTCATACTCTTTTCACACAGAAAGGCCTGTTTGAAGCTTCTCAACCACCTTCCGAGTCTGCCTAAAGAAGAGGTCTCTTCATTTGACAAGTATTGCTCTGACTCACCAAGACCACACTGCTACACACCTGCTGCTCCAAAGACAGTAACTGAAAGAACTCTGATCAGAGCCATTGTTTTCTGCTGCTCCTGGGGGACTTTGAGGATTATTTAGAGAAAGGCTGTCTATAAAAGTCTTTATCCCCACCCAGAACCTGCTCTACTGTCTTAGCAAAAAGAGGTGCAATAATCTGGCTCATCGTATCAAGGGGGAATGTAACAATAGCTTCCCTATTTTTGATAATTCAGTGTTTGTACTGTGGCTATGTAATTTACCATAAGTGTTTGAATTGCCTTTTGAGGCCTCACATTGTTAAATATTTGTATGTAATTTATTATTTTTTGCCATTTTTTGAATATTGTTTTTAAAATAAATCACGATACATCTTGAAATAGACCATTTGCATTACTATCAAATTTTCCCTCAGGGATCAATAAAGTTAATCTTATTTTATCTTTATTTTAAACCAGTAGTATCAGCTCCAATAGCTTTAATAGCTTTTTGTTATTAAGTAGTGCTTTCCATCAATATGCTCATTCATATAATTTTGCACCACTCTTTTTTTTTTTTTTTTTACAATGCTCAACAACCTATTTCTATTTTTTTTAAATAGGTGGGGTGCAGTTCTCATACTGTTTTTGCTTGGATTGTCTTCAATGTTCATGGCTTGAACTATTATCAGTGGTGTCACACACGTACACACATATGTACCTACCTTTATATGCCTATATGTACCTTTTCAACATCTATGCCTCTTTATTTTTATCATTTAATATCTTTTTGTTATTCTTCTACCTTACAAGGACAGATGGGGTGTTGCTGTCATTGGTGCTTAAAAATTATCACTCAATAGTATCTTTGAAATGAAATTAACCCATTTTTACCTTGATCTAACCCTAAGTTATGTGTGTATATGATCTGTACATGTACATGTGTGTCCCCTTTCTCTCCCAGACTAGACAATGTAGTGGGTCTCTCTCCAAGGCCTTTCAGCAGCCACAACAAGACTGTTTCCTCTCCCTCCCTGCAATTGTATTACAGCCAGGCCCAGAGGAAACAGTCTTCACCAGGGTTAGACCGTACCCTGACCTGTTCTGTTTGCCAGCTGTTTTCTGCTACCATAATGAACCCATTGTCATATCACACCTGGATCAAGCTACACCCTTATATGCATCAAAAAATCGATCGTTTTCACACAAAGTTAGGAATCGTTTCAGATGTTTGGGTTTGTCATTTAGTTTGGAACTTATATATATGCTTAATTGCAGTAGACTTAGAAATATTTTTTTTCTTTCACAACAAGGTAAAAACAAAGTGAGCCCAAATTAACATGATTATATTTGGTTTTTAGAAAGTTAGCCTTTTCTTTAATCATGGTATTTCTCACATTTGAAGCACTTTGTGACCCTGTTTTGAAAAGTGCAATATAAATAAAGTTTGTTATTATTATTATTATTATTATTATTATTATTATTATTAATTTAAAAGATAACTCTCGATGCACCCATGTGGAAGATCTCATTCCAAACCAGTGCTCCAGCTGTTGAACTAAGTGGTCAGTGATACAGCCAGGAATGATACTTTTTAACATTAAAGCATTGAAAAAAATCTTTCTTAATGCTTGATATAATGTGTCCTAAAATGAGACTATAAAGTAAAAGCAAATCCTGACAAAAGGTAGCTATAAATTTGACAGATTATGGTTGTTGCAGATTTCCCACTACAGTTTGCAAATGCTGATATCTATGCTGCAACATGTGCACTGTCATACATGTTCTGCAGAAAACAAGACACAACAGGTCTATTCAGGACCCCTTACTGTTTAGCCTCAAGCTGAAGCACCAACCACAGCGACCGTTATGATGAATGCAAATGAGAATCCCTGCTTACCCAGCAGCGACCCCACTTCTGCTAAAACGTGCTTATGCGGGAGAAACCATAAAGTATTTATTCAGGAAAGAGGTGACCCGGGTCCCCAGCTCCCAAATCAATTGATTGTGTTTTAATAAGATCTGTGGCCACACCACCAGAGCTATTTATCAGTTGTCGATTAGGTGTCTCCTACCTCCAAGAGTGTGTGTCTTATCATTTAGTCATTACTTGGCTGCTGCAGTAAGTAAAAGAAAAACTGTGTTTTTGATGCAGAAATAAATTGATGTTCAAAATGCATTTCTTGTTCCAGATTTGTAGTCAATAGCTGCATTCATCACTGTAATCCCCATAGCAGAATCATGCAGCAAGACCTTGTTTTTTTCAGACTGAATTTTATCCTACATAAAAAAATAACATTCTGTGATTCGGCTTCTTTAAACAGTTAGCCATTATTTTTCTTACCAGTGTATATAGACAAATTAAATATCTTAGTTGCTAAGAGACACTTTCTAATGTTTTTCACCTTCCTCTGTGAAATTTTGGACCAACAACCTAAGTCAATCCAGAAAATAACCATTTGCAAATCTAAATGCAATTCCCACATAGAGAAATGCACAATTTCACTAATTTGACAAACTTTTTTCAACCTTCTCTATAGGCTGTAACTCCTACTGTGTTTTGCACATTTACATTAGTCCCTTTCAGCATTACCCACCAGGTGTCAGCAGCTTACTACTTGCCCTATACAGCTCTACTGTACTGGATGCAGTAAATGCAGACAAAGATACAGTATGAATCTACAGAGCTTGCACTATACATAGATTTAATGAAGGTAGAAAAATTAGCCTGTCATAGCCTTTTAGTTTTAACAGCTGCAACTTAACATTGACACATCCCATTTAGATAGTGTACAAATTCACAGCATTTATTTCAGAACACCTCTTCAGATACTCTTCGATTATCTGAAAATCCTAATTGACACCAAAACCTTAGAAAGAAGTCATGAGAGAAAGAGACGTTTGATCAGTGCCCTATTTTTCCTTCTAGAGCAGGGAGGCGGAGGGAGATGCACACTAGAGGCAGAGAGGAGGCGGTCCTAAGTGTCCTCCAGTCATCCTCTCTCTGCACTCTCTCCCTGTTCACTTCAATGCTGCATTTGACCAGCAGTAGACATGGGTGTGAAGACTAAGTGGTAAGAAAAGACTTCAAAATTAACATGAGGAGTTAACCTGCGCTTTTTACACCTAAAGGACCCTCTTACCTGGATTTTTCCGCACTGGATATTTTCTTTTTACCTATTGGCGGGGCAGGAAAGTTTGCCGTTAGAATTCCTCCTCTCATCTTGTGCCAGTAACGGTCATTTTTCCACGCCGCTAGCTTAAAGCATACCTGGACCAGGTCTCATGTAGTCTCTCTATCATAGCTCCTTAGATAGAGAGCTAGCTATTGGACGCCAAAACAGAGGATACATCTAATTCAACAAAATGTAATTCTTTGTCCTTCTCCGGAGGTAGCCAAACCCAGCCGGTAGCATCTTAAAACAGCTGGGTTGAGTGGAGAAGATTGTGGCTTAACGTCTTTTTTTTCCTCCACCATAAGAAACCCCCGGACGTGTTGCAGTGGCCACCGCCAGCCAAAATGAGCGTCGATTTAATTGAATCAACTACATGAGTGGAGCCCAAACAAACATACATTTCTCCCGAGGAGTGCACTTTGGTTTTTTCTTTCTTCCATATTCGCTGAAATAAACGGCGCCCAGTTGCTCTGGAAAATATGGAAAGCGAGATTTTCACCCCTCTGCTGGAGCAGTTTATGCTATCACCGCTGGTGTGCTGGGTAAGCTCCTCTTTGCTAATTAGCTATTCAAATATGGCTTAGGCTCACTAATTAACCGCCTGTACCCAACCCTGTACAGACATTTCTTTAAGAGTTTATTGATTATTTTAACACCCATTTGCTTCGCCAGGTGAAAACAGTCGGGCAGGCCACAGTGACCGATGGCTCAAAACTGTCGGAATATGTTGAATTGGTGGATGGGATTTACCTGAATGAGGTCATGCTTGAGATGTAAGTAATACATATACATTACAGACAAATCAAACTGTCTCCTGCCTGCACCACGATATGGTATATTAATGAAATGAGGGCATACAGACTGGGGTACACCATAAATCTTAAATTCATCGATTTTTCAAGATGAATATCTGCTTTTAACACATGGGAAAACTCTTCATTTAATGCATGTATACTTCTCTAGTGTTATGGTTATGTTTGTAACACCATTTTGATGCAGTTAAATAAGTTTTATTCAGCTTTTTGCTTACATTAGGTTGATTGGTGATAATATAGTTATGTAAAAACTGCTTTTTGGATGACAAGTATGCTTTGGGTTCATTTGTTGGTAAAGGCCTGAACCAAGCATGTAAATAATGAGCAAATTATTAATTATAGAGTAAATTACTGAAATAACACTGTATGGTTTGATTCACAGTACGCTCTATAACCTTTATGATAAGTTTTTCATACATTTTTTTCTAATATTGTGCAGCCTTAATTCAGAAATTTAGCTTTGGACATTAAACACAATACAAATACATGCTTGTATCCCTCAAATCCTGCAATATATGTTAGCCACTGCCAAGAACTAGACCAGTTTGTTCTGTATTCCCTGCTGTTTATATGACAAGAATGCTTTGGGTTCGTTTGTTGGTGAAGGCCTGTACCAAGCATGGTAATAATGAGAAATGTCTTGTCACAAATCATAAATTATAGAATGAATGACGGCTAATTTTTAATTGTTTGTATGACTGTGAAATAGCACTGTATGGTTTGATTCACAGTATGTTGTATAACCTTTCTAATATTGTGCAGCCTAAATTCAGACATTTTGCTTTTCATTCTTGTTTCCCTTAAATCCTGCAATATATATTAGCCACTACTAAGACCCAGACCAGTTTGCTCTGTATTCCCTGCCTAGCACTTGAAATTTGTCTGCTGATGTGAATGTAGGCTAAGCACAAAGGGACCATGTATTGGGGGCAGTGATGGGTCACACTGTCAGAAATCTCTGCAGACAGTTATTGTTAGGATCCCTCCAAGCCATGTGGTTCAGCCCACCACAAGCATCCATAGTTAGAAGGAGGCAGCTCAACTGCTTTTAGTATCTCAGTGTTTTTCTCTCCGGTCACCCCTATACTGTCATCTGCAGCAGACTGGAAGACACCCCGCCCCTGGAAGCTCTAGTCTAATGTTTCCATGCTGTGCTGAGGATTAATCTAGAAATGGCAGCCTTGAGAAGAACCACTAATAGCTGCAGAATCTACATGCACATGACACAGCAATGTAGAGCATTCATTCATGTTGCAATCTAGTCACACATTAGCTTGTTTTTATGGAATTAAATAGGGAAGTGGATGCTTTGGCAGGTCTCTTTATTGTGAGACAGCATTGGTTCCCGGAGAAGACAAGGCATTGGGTTACAAATCTTTCCAGTCTCTTTATGACAAATTGTTTGCCAAAAGACAGCTTCCATTTCCTTTTTCTGGCTTAAACTGTTACTTCCTGCTACCAAGGCATTTTTAAAATATTTTCCTCTAATGCCACACTCCACACAGTCAGCATTTACTCCTTTTCACCAGTTAAGCAGCACACCAAATAACTCTTTTTTTTTTTTTTCTGAGGTTTGTCAATAAGGGGAATAAGGTTGAGTTTGTCTCCTACACAGGCCTACTTCTGTATGTCTGTCTGTACAGCTTTTTAATGCGAGTAATTTGAAAAGGGTTCCACTTGTCTCAGTTGATTAATTGTGACTCCCAGTTTCCTATCTCGGTTTGTTGTCCCCCCCTCCCCACTCTGACCTCCTACTGTTTTGCTGCATCACCCTACTTAGCTACCTACCTTCACATTCAAGCTTCCACTTCCATCCCTGTTTCCCATGCTTGTTTGTCTTCCCCCTCTTATTCTTCCTCAAGGCTGCATCCCCACTCTCAGAGGAGGCCTTTAAAATAACACACGTTTAGGGAGGTTAGTGCAAGTTCATTTGGACGACTTGGGTGTCTGTCCTCTTCCATGCACAGTCTCTGTGAAATGAACTGTTCGGCAGTATTTTTAGAGCATTTTGCCCAGTGGGACATTGAATACTGGAAAACAACCAGGAGGTTATGAGGGGGAAGGGTTGGAAGAGTTGGCAAGACAGGAAATGATTTGCCAGGATTCTTAACCACAACAGAGAAGATGAGCAAAGAATTGGTCAGAGTTTGGCATGCATAAGGCAAACGTTTGGCTGGTTTGCAGAGATTGAGGTGTGTGTGACTAGTTGCTAAGGAAGAATTCTTTTTGAAAATGAATGGAAAAAGAAAGAAAAGTCAGCATTGGTCTGTAATGAACTTACTAAGTGATCGCCTGACAGGATGTAGGGGATTGCCAGTGATAGCTAGCCCTTTGTGTTTATATATGTATGTGGTTGTGTTTGTGTGTGTGTCTATGTGCATGTGCAATTTTCTGCAGGGCTTCTGTGTGTGCGTGTGTGTGTGTGTGGGGGGGGGGGGTTTAAGTGTATCTGGGTGTTTTCTTTGGTGCGTTTTGTTTTAAACTGAGGCAGCTGTTGGTAGTCGTCTTGCCCAGGCACCCACCCACACAGAGGGCCCACAGTGCTGGTCAGATGTTGGTGAGACTGCTCTTTGTCTGTCTCTCCCTGCCTACTAGCTCTAAAATTGACTGTATCATCAGCTTAAATACATATCACAATGTGTGTTTAAGCTCATAATTTATCTCAATTTTGCTGCAGTTGCGGGGAAACCTGCATGTTGTTGCTGGACCTGAGGTTAGTGATAAAGGGGAGACATTTAGTGATATAGGCTACTCTGTTCAAGGTGTATTCATACATGAATCTTTACGTTGACTTGAAATACATAAGTGTTCATTAAGATATCCGTCTCGTCATCACTCTTAACTTTCATTAGAGGTTGCTTAAACCAGAAATGGGTTGACCAACTTAGTTGAATGAACTGTTGGACTGTAGGGGATAAACAATGTGTATTTGCTCCAGTTCTTAGTGTGTCACAAACACACTTTCATCTCTCTTTCTCTCCCCTTTCTTAATTTTCAATCCAATTCGGTGATGCTTTGTTGACATGAAATGTGTCTCTCTTATTTCTCTCTTCTTGTTTCTTTCTCTTATTTCTCTCTCTCTCTTTCTCTTCTTACTTCTTAAGCTTACAATTGATCCAGACATGCTAAAAAGTGCCTGTCTCTGTAAGCTTCTAGCCATAAGTAGCTGCCTCACACACCTAAAACAAAGCTTTTATCGCACTGCAAAATGTTGAATGGAAAACACTCTAATGAAATATAAGCATTAGTGGAGGAAAGTTGGAAAAGGCCACTGTACTTTAGTCAAAGATGCTTGAGCTTTAGCCATATTTACCGGTGATGTCAGCTGTTGCACTGTAAGCTGAAGTGTTCCGGTCTAAATGTCTCCTTATGGCCTCATTGAAGACATGGCAGACAGGCTGGCAGCAGTTGTTATCAGGACACCATGGGAGAGAGAACCTGGGATTATCTAACGGTTTGCTGACACCCAGATGGCACCGTGTCCCTTCCCCCTTTTGCCCTCTTGTGACTGACATTACCCAGCCAATTAGATTGCCCTCCTCTGCACTGTCAAACCAATTGGTTTTCCCGCTCAGCAAGAGGGAGCCAATTAAATTTTTGTCAGGGTGACAACCGTCCTGTTAAATTCTTTGTTTTGCTGCCAGTGCTGCCAACCCATGCTGGCTTGTTGGCCTGTTTGGTGAACAGGTTAATCTGTCCTCCTCAAACTTATGGAAAGAGAGTTATGTGAGGTATATACACCTACAATTATCAAAAGAGATTTAGAAGATCTTGTTTGATTTATATGTAGGGGAGATCTTTTTTTTGAGAATTAAACTTTCATTTTCCCGATCTACAAGTTTAGTTGACCCAACTTCAACCCTAAAAGCTGGAGAAAGAAAGACCCAAGCATAAGAAATTGAAATATATTGGCATTACTGAAGAATGTTGTTTTTTGGGTTGCTGTTTCTAATGGTCTTAGTATTCAGACAGATCTTTGCATGTCTATAAAAGCTATAAAGCTATTTACAGCTGTGGCACTTGTGGGAATTAGATCACAAACAAAGGCAGCCCCCAGCATTTTCACCTTGATATTGTTTTCTGAGAAAAACCTGCAGACATGGGTACTTGCCTACAGGGTTGGGTACCATCTCAGTTTGTATTGATTCTGGCTCTGATTCCAGTTCTTGATTCCAATTCTGTTTTTTAGCTGGTACATACAAAAACGTTATTTTCTTTTTGTCCTCCATTTATAAAAAATAAACACCACTCTTATAAGGATCGACCAGTATGGAAAATTAAAAACCTAAACTAAATACTAAACTCAAAATCAACATGCATCATGTGCCACAGAGACCTAACCCCTTCACTTCATTGAAGCCAGTCTTTAGGGCCACATTACAGTGAATCACATACAGGATGTAGCCCTCACTATGCTTGTCATCACTTCCTTTCATGCCAAAAATGGTTTGTTGACACACCATGTACACACAAACACTCACAGAATTTGACCAATGGTTCTGAAGAAGAGTGTTTGTTCAATCTCTGGACTTGTTGTACAGCAAAAAAGACTTCAACAAGAGACCAACTGTTTTGATTATGGTCATGCTTTTTGTATGGCCCTGTTGCTGCAGTAGAGTATTAGACTATTCTATTAGACTTAACTATCTTGCAATGTTTTGTGATTACCAGGAGAGTCTAGAAAAGGCCACAAACAAAGAAACATATGAGTAGCTTCTCTCCGGGTTTTTATTTTGATGTTATATTTTTCATTTTCCCTTTGCTCTTAAAATTTGAACTCCCTCAAGAAACTTGGACGTACTAGTCATCATACTTGGTTAAAACAAATGGAATTTATAAAAGATCCTCAAAACACTGTTAGGAATATCATAACGTGAAATTTCCTCATTTTTGTCGTGTTGGCTGGGGTTTGCTCCAACCATCAGCTTAATTTTTTTTCACTCATTCAAATCCAAGTTTTCTCATTCCACTTTTTTGTCTCGACACTTACTGCTTCTGCACCCCATGCCTCGTGCCTTCTTTTTGGTAAATGTCTCACCTTAAGCATTTGTTGGCTCTCTCGGGCTTGTTACAGCAGAAATATTTGAGATTCCAGCTGCACCAGAGAAAAGAGATGGGCAGAGCTGCTGCTGGAATGTCATTCTGTTTGACTCTACTGCTGCTGCTGCTGCTGCTGCTGTGTGGACTGTGGCGTCCCCACCCTTCCACATCAAAGTGTAGAATTAATCTGGCATCTCTCATATTCATCTTTGTGCCACGCCACGCTCTGTCTGCCTAGCAGGAGGATGTGTATCGAGTCAGACAGGAAGCAGCAGCTGTGACCTTGAGAGGACAAAACTTTCACAAGGCTGTGTTAATGTGAGGCACTCAAAATCCCACTACCAGGAACATATTAAATCCCACAGGAACCTTTGTCAGATGTCAGGCGGAGTTTTTTTAATTTTTTTATTGCTGCCAATTTAAAAGTAAGAGAATTTATTTGACGTAAACTTTTAGATGCGCCGGTGCTTAAATAGTCATTGTTACAGCATGAATAGTTTGACCTGTATTTCTTTCCATTTAAAAGACAAATAGGAGTTAGTTGAGACTGAGGTCTTGTTCTAAAGATGTTTTTACTGAATTTCATTCTGTTTTATATTTCATTACACTTGATCAAATTTGTCTGTCTGTGTTTTTTGGCCATTTGCTGTAGCTGCTGCTAATGCAAACTCATAACTTCCTGCTTTTGTTTCATGTTATTGCCTCAGGGGACACAATCCTTCTTTTTCTTTACAGACTTTTGCTGTGACACATTTGCAGAAAACATTGAGTTTCATGAGCAGTAGTTTAACATTTCTGATCAATTATATCATTCTGTGAAGACAAAGCACAGCATAATTACCTTGTCCAACCAATGGTAATGTGCAGCATTTGATTTTATGTGGCATTGTGATACAAGCCTTTCTTTTGGGATGAACCAGATCCGGTGTAGTTCTGCAAGAATGAGTTTAATTGCCATCCCTATGGATACAGTGGTAGAGCAGAGGAATGAGAAGGGGCCTTGTGGAAACACCAAGACAAAAACAGGAGAGAAACAAGTCTTTGACATGACAAGAAAAGGAACTAGGGTGATGAGATCCACATACCAGTGGTTTGCGCTTTATATTCCACAGTTCCCGTAGTTGGAGAAGGTTGTAGGTGAGTCAATTTGGCTATCGGGTTTGCCAAATAGTTAAGTGTCAATTGAAATTCCAGCAATACAAATATGTTGGGTTTTGTAATATCCTGACAGGCGATGCTATGTGTTCAATGTGCTGCAAACATTCAACATAGTGTGACATATTTGGCACTCGAAATCTACCATTTAGAAATGCAGTCAGTGTGTTAAAATGTAATCCAGTATAACAAGATTTCATTTTAACAAGATCAAGGCAGAGATCCAAGTGTTTCAACTGTCAGGCAAACATTTAAACTTGGCTTGTATCGAGGCTCCACTGAGTAAATCTTATAATTTGATTGCAGAGCAAAATACTCTCTTGAGTTACGCTTATCTATGCTCTCCTATTGGGTTGCTTTGTCACACAAAGTACTCCCTTTCAATCTTTGAGCCCCTATTGATCAGTCGGCTGGAAAGAGAATTCACAATCGAATCTGAGCATATGGATTGCTAAAATGGCTTTAATATCAGTGTTAAGTGAGGTGGATTCACTGAGGTGAAATTTAGCATTTTGAAAATCTCGACTCCAGGTTCCACTTTGTTGTGAGGTGATGACTTGTCCTAGGTAGTGTTTCAGGTGATAATCCAAATGTTTCAGACTCTGACCTACAAACTTATCCTGAACTGAACTGTTCACCTAAGCGAGGCCTCTAATAAGTGCTCATCCTCTAGATTTGTATTACTGTTAGCTGTTTGTCCTCTTGTGTGTCTCACAAACATCAGCACAAACACAAACAAATCCCCTGCTGTGTTTGGACAGTGCAGCTCGTGAGCTCTGTGCCCAACACGTGGCAAAATATAACCTCCATTGTTTTTTTTTTTGTTTTTTTCTTTGGTGTGTGTGTGTGTGTTTGCAATTTTAGCCTACTTTGTCTGTGTGAGCGTGTGCCTGCCTGGCTGCCCATCCTGACTGTAATGTAGCCTGTCATATATAGGTTAACACTGCTCCCCAAGTTACCCAGCCAATCAAAGCCAGGAGGAGGGAGGAGAAAGCCCATTGGCCCCAGGCGCTTCACAAGGCTGCAGTGGCTATCCACAGCACCGACAGAGTGGCTTATTGACTGGATGTCTGGCCAGCCTGCTCAGTAGCTGTCTCCCTTCCAGGCTGTCTGCCTGTGTATCCCTAATCTATTTGTTTAAAGTCTTAGGTTTACCATATCAGCAGGAACAGGGAGTGAGTCAATAAGTGGGATTTTTGACCCCAGTTGCTGTTTTAAGTCCCTGTATTTATTCATCTGCTGATCCACAGGGCAAGTCAGCCTGTCGTCTGCTTGTTCGGGGACTCAGAGATGGAGCAAAATAAACTAGAGGTGGATTGTATAGTGTTGTTGTGGTCATGTTGTTTTGATCGCCATGTTCTCGACTGACTATGACAGTGATGGAATGTGTGAACGAAGTGAACCTCGTCTTTGCTGCTTTTCTCCCTTTTTAGCCTCCTTCTGTCCTTCCAATAGACACACCCCCTCATTCACTGAACCACTGACCTCGCCCTGACAGGATTACAGCCTCCTCTATGCTTTTTAATTAACGGGTTAAATAGACCCCCTACTATGAACCTCAAAAGAGGCTGAGTGTGTGAGCGTGTGTATGGAGGGGGGGAAATCACATGACTGTTCATTTAGAGCACTATTGAAAAGAATCCTCTGTCCTTCTAATTAGCTTGATTCTGTGTGTGAGAGAGAGAGAGCGTGTGTGTGAGTGTGTGTGAGTGAGTGAGTGAGTGAGTGTGTGGCATATCAGGGGCTGATCAAGAGACTAACACATGCAGGCTGCTCACACTTGCCTTTTTCTCTGGGTAATGTAAAAAGCATCATGCTTTATTAAAATGTGATTTAAAATTTATAAATACATTATCTAATCACTACATTAGAAATAAATATATTACGGATGTTAGGCAGTGGTATAGATGTTTTGGAGCAACTCAGCAGTCAATTCAACATTTTTATTTTTATTTCTGTAAAAACTGGTTTTAATTTGCTTTGAGGAAGAAACACTGCAATGGTGTTGTTCAGTTATTAGGAAGATGCCACTCAAACAGAAGTCCCTCTGAATAAGGCAATATGTTCTTTAAAAGAGTCCTTCACCTTTAAACTTCTCTATCAAACAGAACAAGGCAGATAAGAAAAGAGAATTCTGGACTGTTTCTCTTTTTTCCTGTCTTGGTGATATTTCAGGATTGAGCTTGATTTAGCTGTTGGCTGATGCAGACACAGGCGGGGCTCCACCTTCAAGGGCACAGATGCAGACACATGCATGACTTCACATGTACTACACTACATGCATGCATGCATACATTCATAAGCAGTCAGGGCTGTCCTCCCCCATACTGATGGCATGTTGACCCTCATATATAGGTCATGCTACATACATGCTTTGAAGTCTGAGGTGCACATTATGAAGAGAGATCTGCTCTTTAACAGAATTGTTGTAAGGCTCAAAAAATCTTTGAGCACATGGCTAGATCTGTTTTCCCAGACAATCCCAAGGCAAGTGTAACATAAATTAATTACAGGAGTGATGTTTTTTTGGAGAGGGGTTGGGTAAGATTTTACTACTTTTCTCTTGTGGGATATATGCATGGCAGGGACAGGATGACCCTGTCAAAATATGATTCCTTTGATGCTGTTTGACGTCTGTGCACTTTTGAAGGCCTGAACAAATATGGACTATTTTCCTCAAAAGAGCCTTCTGGTGTAACAATACTATTTTTTTAAAGGTGGGCAATTAGACAAAGTAGTGCAAGAAGTAGGTTCTTATATCACAGATATGATGCAACGATTAGACCTATGCTGTGTTTAGTGTTAGTGGATTTAGTTTTTAATGTCTTAAAAACGGCCACTCCAACAAATTTTTAAACAGTACTGCTCATGCTATAAAAGGTAGCAGTAAGAAAACACTGACATATGGTTAACACGGGGACAGACATTGGCTGATAATCACACGGATTACTGATAAGTTCTGACAAGGTACCTGACAAATAGTCGGAATGTCAAGCATTCCAAGGGGACAGAAAAACGCAAACACAAACTGCGAGAAAGCTTCTTTTTGCATCAATTAGTGACATCACCAGTCTTGTCAGTGAGTATAATTCAAAACGAGTCTTGAGATGAAATTAGGTTTGGTATTCCAAAAGCAATTACCATAGATATGCAAATGGTGGCTTTCAAGATAACAGTGGCAGGGGAGGTGGTGCTGGTTTACCTTGTGGAATGTCTATAAGACTCACTAAAACATGTTGACACTTGTGATAACCTCAGTTGTCATGCATGCTCCCTTTTAATGTTCCTCTGACAACACACAGCCAGAGGAATACTTGGGCTCTTCGAAGAGTGCTAAATTACTTCTCCTTGATTGGGACAAACAGATGAAAATTAAGGACACAATTAAAGCTCTGAGAATATCTGGAATTCTTTACCTTTATACCTACAATCAGATAAATATCAATTCTGCTAACTGATAGTCATTGTTATAAAATATTTCCTATTGGTTTGATATTCAAGGAGAAACCTTCTGTTGACTGTATCATAAATCTGTGATGACGATGTGACCCCAAAATGCCTCTAGAAACCGTTAGAATTGAGTTTTTGTTGTCTGAAACTTAAATGAAACCCAGTGTAAGGGGCTGCAATTCTTTAGGCTGTCTTTGAATACGTGTTTTCTTTAACATGAATATGTGACTGACCCTGCTTGAACAAGGATTTACTGTCACTGTACTGCTAATGTCTCTAGCCAGACTCCTGCACATTTTTTCACTTTTTACAACATGATGTCAACTGACACAGGAATACAGTTGAAGGGCACATGCTTAGACGCAGTACTTTTGAGGGGATTTCTGCTGATATTGTCTGCGCTGCAGAAAAAGAGATTAACAGTCTGCTGTTTCTCCCCACCCAGAAATCCCAAAGCCACCGTGCAAAGGACCAACAAGAAAGTGAACAATGACCCTACGCTACGCATACAGAACCTCTCCATCCTCATCAGGCAAATAAAAGCCTACTATCAGGTAAGATTTCTTTACGCTGATAAACTACAAAGTCAGCTATCACTTCTCTGATGTTGCATGGATACAGATAAGTATATAAAAAAGTATAAGAAAGGCAATCTTATAAAGTATAAAAGTGGAATTTAGCTCCAGGTCACAACAAACAACTTGTTATCTCAAGTTGTTTACAAAAAGGTCCTCTCTATCCCCATGCAAGTTAATGCCTGAACTGGGGTGGTCTTCATCAGAAGCCCTTCCTTTTTCATTACATTGTAAAATATAGTCAGATAAATGGCTTTCTCTGAGTCATATAAAGAACTGGATGTGGGCAAAGACTTGACAGAGTAAACACAGATGTATCTGCAGATGTGCAAGTGTGCGACTTAACTGTGATGCGGTATGACCCACAGTCAGAGGAATTTGTGCATTACTTAAAAGTTGATATTGACATATTTAGTTTCAGTTTGACTGAGGTGTCCCCAGTGAACAACCCTTCACAAAGCAGCTTACAGCATTTCTTTAATGCTTACAAGAAAGATTTTGAAGCTTTGGTCAGAGAGCTGTGAAGGTGATTGAAGCCAAGTCACATGTGGTGAAGTCTTATCTCCTGCTCAGACCCTGATTACTGCCTGGCATTTGGCACGAGTCCATCAAGCCCTGAAACACATCAGTTTACAATCTCACCCCAGGTAATCATTACTTAGACTCAAACGGAAATGATCAATTAATGAGCTAAAAAGAAGGTCAAAAAGAAAGTGCAAGGGGCGACCTTTGTAGGAAAGACAGGCTCCCTTCTAACAAGATGCTGGAGAGTTAGCCCCAAACTTGTGAAAAGAAGCATTCAGAGCATATTTAAGGAAAGAAACACTTGTACAAAGCCATAGAGGCAGGTGGAAATGATATATTAATAGAATAAGCCAAATAAGCACTAGTAGACCTTACCTATTGGTGTGATCATTTTAAATGCTACATGGTTGATTTTTCTATGTAAAACAACTTCAGTGAGAATATTAGAGGCTAGATGCCAAAGATCCATGTAATCCTTATCAATAATCCATCTCACTGTAGATGCTACATTTGAAATCTTATCCGTTTCTGCTAAGTATTATGCACAATATTTCACAGAATACATCAAAAGTGAGAGGATGCAAAGTTTATGTTGACTTCAGTCTCTTCCAGCTTGTTAGCATACAATTAACATACAATACCTAGGGCTAAGGCTCAGTCTGGTTTTCTGGTATTTGGTTGGTTTTGATTTAATGTTCCTATGTTATTTGGACACAGAGGAAGTTATGAATCGTTGTTTAATTTGCTTTATTCCTTTGTGTTCCTGTAGATCTCTGTAGATGAATTTAAAGGGATATTTTAGTATATTTGAAATTGTGCACTATTTATTTAACGCAGCTAAACATGGGATCACAGAGGCTCCCGAGCAAACAGGTCAAATTGTTTGCCAAAATAGCTTCAATATGCAGAGTTAGCACCACCACCCTCAGATAGTCAATGTCAACAGATCTGCACAGGTTACACACTACTGTGATTGAGTGCTACTTTATCCAGAAAAAGCCTACATTGAACTTTTTATCTCTATTTCTAAAAACAAAAACTGCCAAAACATCTGAGTAGAGCCCGAGGTGTTCCCAGGACAGCTGAGAGACATTAATCACATTGAAACAGTTTTGAGAATTAATGACTCTCTACATAGATTCAATAGTGTCTCAGCTGGGTTTATGATGAAGGACCTAGCATGCTGCTGCAACTGTGCAGTGAGTTTAGGAATGTTATTAGGGCCAAGCAGTTGTACAGACAGACACAGATTTCCCACACATTAGGGTTAGTACGGTGACCCAAATCCTCAGGGGCTGTGGATTTGCATGAGTGTTAAAGGACTGTACTTTTGGTGTTATTCAAATAATGAATTAAATACAGAAAAAGATGATTCTTTAAAGTTATGCTTGAACTGGGTCTTCTTACATTTGATTTCTTGAGTTTTGTTTCTTAAGTTGATTGTAAACTTGTATTTGTTGTTCAAATTTGCCCCAGAAATCAAGTGGAGTTCCACTGATTATTTAATAGCTTTGTTAGCTCTGGTTTGCCTTGGCTCCAAACATCCTGTTAATCTCCCCTCTGTCATCTTATTAAACAGTCAGCCTATTGTGTAGACTTTGATGTTATAAACCCACCAAAGCTCCACAAAGCTGCCTCAAATTGTTAGCACAATAATCTGTCTCAGAGCTGTTAGGTCAGTGACCACGGAGGTCAAGTAGCAACCAGTTGAGTCGATGGATGATGAGATGAGGTGAAAGGGTTAACTGGGGGCTTTTTGGTGGCTTGGTTAGCAAGTAGATACAACCTGCATCTTTACAATCAGGGGTTCTACATGTTTAATTAAGTACAACCTTACTTTTGCATTAAGATTAGGGATGCACAATATTTATCGGACCGATAAAATATCGGCCGATTTGGGGGAAAATTACGTCATTTTTTATCGGTCCGATAGGTGCATTTTTCCGATAGAAAGATCCGATATATTAATGAAATTACGAGTAACGTTTGCAGGCGGAGCAGCCGCCCGACGCGCCTTACTCGCAGGTCCCAAGCCTGACCCCGTCACTGCCTGACTGATAATAAAATGTCTTCACCAGCATGGTCGTTTCTCTCAGTGGCAGAAGATGACAACAGCATTGCTATATGCAAAACCTGTTCAGCGAGGATTCCGAGAGGAGGAAAGAAGACGTCAAGTATTAACACAGCGAATCTGATTGCTCATCTGAAAAGTCGCCATCGCGGCGAAGCGGTAGTAAAAGAATATGAGACAGCCGCCGAAGCTGCTAGCGGTACTAAAGCTAAGACAACAACACTACGGAGGATCGATGTCCCCATTCAGCGGGCGTTTAAAAACTGCAAAAGCTTCTCAAGAGACAGCGAAAAGGCTAAAGCCATTAACGACAAAGTGATGGAGTTCATAGCGGTCGACGACCAGCCTTTTTCCGTCGTTGAGAACCCGGGTTTTCGCAAGTTAATTGCACACTTGGAGCCACGTTACACTCTCCCAAGCCGCCGCTTCTTCTCGGATGTGTCTCTTCCTGCACTCTATGATATTGTCGCCACATACATTCACAACCTGATCGACAAGAACGGACTACACGTGAGTTTTACCACAGACATATGGACGTCAGATGTTAGTCCGGTCAGCATGCTAAGCCTAACGTCTCATAATAGCTCCTTTACAGTTTACAGTTCTGTTGAACAGTTCAGGGGATCAAATGAAGTTCTGCTTTTTGCTCTGTTATTGTTATTTATAGCAAATGACCACATTTGAGGAGCCAAAAACTTTTGTTTGTTGTTCTAGATAGGCCAGAGCAACAGAAATATCAGTTTTCAATCACTGCATCCTGCACAAACTGCAGATTATATGAAGATTATAATAAATGTAAAAATATGAATTTATCGGTTATCGGTATCGGTATCGGCCATGAGAAGAAGAAAATTATCGGTTATCGGTATCGGTTGAAATTTTTCATATCGTGCATCACTAATTAAGATAAGAGTATTTGGTGATTTAAGCAGGGAAAGGATTATTTCATGGTAAACTCTGTGATGCTAGATTTTAATCAAGGACATCTGCATTATTTCCTGTTTACTTTTAGTTCCATTTTTGGACCTTTTAAAAGGAAACATAGGCTATTTCTGCTTGTTATTTTTCAGCATGAATTGAAAATGAACTGCACAGATTTTTTTGTCAAGTTAAGTCAGCCTCGGTCTGTGTGGCTGGAGTGTTGAATGGACATAAGTCATCCCCTCAACCTGTCAGTCTGTCTGTCATGTGAAGTTTCTGAAATGTGTGCCCTTTTCATGCTTTCAATGGTGATGATCCACAAGTGATGATGGCCTTAAAGGACAAAAACTTTATGTGATGCAAAAGTATGATCCACCATTCTACATGTTTTTATCATCAAACCTAATATCAATACAATTTCTGCAAAACAAACTCTCTATTGTTCTTCCATCCGGAGCATTACACATGGTTCCTCACTCAATACAAAATGTATGTGACAAGTTTAGGGGTTCTGTGCTTCAGTAGTTTCATGGCAATGCAAGATGACCGCCTATGTGGAAGTGGAGCGGTTTCCATGTAGACAAGGGGACGCCATATAAAAAAAACTATTTATATTAAGATGATTACCACAAATTGAAGCATACTTGCAGATGTGTTACATTTCTACCAAATCTGTTCTGCTAAATATAGCTGCATCTCAAATAGATAATCTGGTTGCTGGTATGAGTTTCTGTTCACCATCAAAAGACTCCAGTTTTTATTTGGGTCATTATGACGAAAGTCAGCTTTGTCCTTTGCTTTAGTGGTGCTATCTTTTTCTAGTTGTTGCTCTGTAGCTCACAGGTTTTATATTTCCAGAGCCACATGCATGAAGACAGAACAGTTGCAGACTGTGGCTAATGCGCTGAGCAGGTTTTCAAGTTACTGCACTACTCAGCACTTTTGCAGAGGACTCAGTGTAAGAGAAAGCCTTGTACGGTTGGTTGCTCCCTGTGATTCAATACATTGATTTCTCTTTAGACTCTTTATATTAAATTAACCCAGAGTTAATCTCATATCAGAGTTGGTCAGTGTAATGCCCAGTATGTTGTTTTTATCTTTATTCTAACCCAAACACTTATCCATTCCATATAAATCAGATTAAATGAAACTTTATTTATCCTCTTGGTAAGGTTCCCTCAAGGAAATTAAAATTACAGCGGCATAATTACACAAACTGGTGTCTGAAAGAAAGAAAGCAGGGGGGTAAGACTTTGTTCCACTTGCTGACTTGCCAAAGATTTCTCTCATGTTGAGTGATGGCTAATTCATTAACCTTTCTGAACCACAAGGGGCCAACAGTTAAGGACCTCTCTCTCTCTCTCCTCTCTCTCTCTCTCTCTGACTCTGCTCTCTCTCTCTCTCTCTCTCTCTGCTTCTTCGTAATCCTAGCACCATGCATGTGTACATATATCCCACATGGGAAAAGTGTGGAGATTAGATTGGTGTGGAACCTGTGAAATGTCAATTGGTGCAAGAGAAATTCAATAATGATGGTTTTCGTTTCATAGCATGAGCTCTCTTGGGCTGAGCGAACATAAGGAGTGTGTGTCAGCCTCTTAGCTTGTGTATGTGTTCATATTCTGTTATTGCTCTGGCACAGTAGATTGTGTAGGAGTAGGTCAATGTCTAGACAAGCTTCAGACTTCAGAATCTGTAGAATAGATCAAGATTAACTGCTGTGAGCATGTACGTGCTTGTCCAGGATACTGTACTGTACATTTTTGTCATTTAAAGGCAGACATGATTGCAGTAACAGTTTCCGAATGTCATTCAGGAATAATTTTGATTCTTCTGATTCTTGTATTTTGGTTTTCTGAGAGGGATGTGAACTTCTGCAGTTGCTTGGTCAACCTTCAGTCAGCTGGGGGTTTTCCTTATTTGTCTATCAGTCTAAAAATGTGCTGGGCCTCTTTTTAATTTAGTGTCCTTGGTTTGGCATACTTCAGCGGAGTGAAACATTAACTGTTGCCCGCTGAAGTAAATCCTTTGCATTTGAACTATTTTTTCTCAAAGCTAGTGAAGCTATGGTTATGATAAGTGGTCTGGGAGAGCATCTGGTGCAGTTGAAGTAAGACTTATTTGATTCAAACTAATACAGTGTGTGATATTGACTTCCAGAAACAGACATAGGTAATAAATCAACATTTTTACAAAAGAAAAATGGTTTGCACTAGTGTAATGTTTATTTTATGCAAAATATTGCGAATTGCTTTGCTGTAAATGAAACCTTTCCTCTCTCTCTCTCTCTCTCTCTCTCTCTCTCTCTCTCTCTCTCTCTCTCTCTCTCTCTCTCTCTCTCTCTCTCTCTCTCTCTCTCTCTCTCTCTCTCTCTCTCTCTCTCTCTCTCTCTCAAGTGTTGCTTAGAAAATAAAGGCAGGTCTGTCCTCTTTTTGCAACTGCTTTGGTTTGGGGTGTGGTGTAAAGGCTAGGAGTTCTGTTTTGAATGTTTAAAAGCCAACAGAGGCCACCATTCATGGTGGGCAGGCCTGGTCCAGAGTCTGGGCTCTGAGGATATAGGACAGATATCAAGCCTTTTATGTGTTGTATTTTTTATCTGTAGGCTAAACTGAGAGACAGACTTTTGCATCTTTAGACTTGAGACATTGTTGCTGTTTATATAAGAAATCTCTCAGTTTTAAACAACGTGATGTTAAATGTCTGTCATTTGTAATTTAACCACAATCTGAGAAAATAAACATGAGCATTTAACATTTGAGGAGATATAGCTGTCTCACCTTTTGAGCTTCCCTGCAAAGCTGTTCAGACACATTTGTTTAATTAGAGACTAGCTTTTACACACAGCTGCCATCTCAAATGTTATAAATTATTTTGCGTTACACCCACTTTTTAGCAAAGTTGTTTTCTGAGTTTAAGTTATTTAAGAGCCTCAACTACTGCCTGCTTTCCTGAGGAACTGAACTGGGTAACTGTATTTTCCTTGTTGACCTAAAGCCTCACAAAGATGCTCTGTTACTTGGCCAGATTAAAGCTGAATCACAGGCACAGACACTCAAACTTTCACTGATTTTCATGCATAGACTCATTCATTTCTGCCACATAATTAGGTAATATATTGTCATTTTTGTTTCAAACTTTAAAAGGTAGTTGTCACAATTATTACATCTTTTGCCTCATCTTGGTGCTTGGTCAAAAAAACACATATCTTCTGTTTTTATCTTTATCTTTGTTTGTCCTCTCTGGAATTCCCCATTCCCTCTTTGTCTTGTTGCTTCTCTCCGCATCAGTCATGAGCAAATCTGTTTATTAGGGCATGTGCCTCTAGCTGCAGGCTAGATGTGCGTGTTGTCATGCAGACTCACATGCTATAAACTCACATCTGAATCTCCTGTTGATAATGTTAAAGCACCTCGCCAGCTAGCATTATTGCTAACAATAACATAGACAGTGAGCACATTTTTTTAAAGGATTAAGTTATGAAATATTTAATTTGGGGCCATTTAGGGTTGATTGAATGGTTCAATAAATGTTGTCCTTTTTTAATTCTGCTCCTAAATTGATTCCTGTGTATAGTTGCTCTTTAAAATACTAACCATAACCAGACATTGAAACTAATGTTCCTAATGCTCCTAAATTTAACAAGTGCTATGAACAGCCTTGATTTAGCCTGAAGAAAAGCAATAAAATATCCCATCCAAGAAAAACTAATTATCAATATGAAGCCTAAACATGTTTTCTGGTGTGACACTCTTGCATCTGTTCAAATTAGTCATGCATTGTCCTTAATGTGATCACACAGAAGGAGAAGCTTTTGACAAAATGTCACCCCCTGTTATTCATTACCACCAAGCATTCTGGTTACCCTCTATCTGTGGATGCTCACTCATTTTCAGACATACTTGTACACAGAGATCCCCACTGTATTTTAGCTCACAAGACTTCATGTTAGGGGGTGTTTCCATTTATACACAGAACCACTGACCAATCACAGCGTACAGTATAATGACAGCATTTAGTGGAAATTGAACATTGGTCTACCAAAATAACCCAGCGGGTCATTTTGTTTGCAAGCGTTTCACCTACTTTGGCTGTTTCAGTGTGTGCCCACAAGTGCATAAGAGTACATTTGAAGGGGAATTTCTGGTGGTTTTGATGTGGACTAGGTTCCCATATGCTACAGGGAGCTATTTTTAGGCCTTATTAGTGTGGCTGTATTAAGGGGAAGCTGGATGCTTGCTTCTTGTTTTCTCAACACGGAACTAGAGCATGTAAGTTGGCAATAGGAGTTACTGGATTGTAGGGGAAAAGGTACAAGTAACATAAAGTTAATCCGCTGAAATCAGATTTTGAACTGTTTTCTTTTTGTCATTAAAGCTTTTTTTTTTTTTTTTACACAATTACACTTCAGTGGAACTAGTCCATTTCCAGACCACAAAATCCAGGTTACTGAGTCAACACATGCACTTTAAAGAATCACTGGTGCTCTGCAAATAAAAAAAAAATCTAACTGGGCTACATTAAAAACTGCACATCAGAGTTGAAACAACAAGGGGACAATTGGTGATGTTGCTGGTATTTTTTCATTTTTTTTATTGATGTCTTAAAAGGGCCATTTATTTCATGGACAAAAAGTAGATCAAAAAGTTGATTATTTTCCAATCAGTTTGTAAAGTGCCCTGGGGTTATTGTTGCGCCTCGTTTGGGGTGTTGGGCTTTCTTGTCCCACCTGCCTCCACCTTTAGAGATGAGCAGAGGGATCAACCCAACCACTCGTCCCGCCTCGGGGCTCTGTTGTTAAAAGCACTCAAGCTGATAGATAACTCTGCAGGACAAAAGAACAAGCTTCTAATGGCTCGTTTTCTCCACCTCCTCATGTCAAGAGATGATCTGTCCATCTGGCTGACAGCAGATCACGACTGCTGTTCTTTTTAGTCGCGTTGTTGAGCCAAGAGCAACTGTTGAGTTTTCTTTGTCAAGGCAAATCTAATCAAGTAAGAGAGCCATTGAAGATTTTTTTTAATTAAATGCTTAAATTACCAGAACATATTGATTATTTTTAGAGCAACCAGCACAGGACTTTTCTTCATTTGCCTCAGTTTGCTCTTCTTTGAAGTAAAAAGTCTTTTGCGGATTTAAGAGGCATCTTTAACAACAAAGTAAATTTATGTAAGATTAATCTGTATGAACCATTCACCTCGCAAGGAGAAACAGATTTAACATTATCGTCATGCCATTGTTTTTTATCTTCCTCAAACAAATGACCAGAGAGATCCAACAATGTCTGTCAGCACACCTTTTTTGATGGTTTACAACCCTGTCTGGCTGGTTGTGGCCAGCTTGTATCACCTCACAAATCTTTTGTTTCCCTGACTAAGGTACCTGTTAGCACCTCAGAAATAAGGAAAGAGAAAGGAAAGAAAAGCCTTAGGTCATACATTAAACAAGCGGCCGTAGCAACGCTGCTTCGCTCCTCGAACTGCACTGCGCAAACCCCTTTTGTGCTCTTGTGCATCTATTATAGCATCGAACAACAGGGGAAGCTCTCTCTGCATTGATTCAGTTCATGGGGATGCATTAAAAAGCGGTGCTAAGTGGTTTCGGTGAGTGTTTGTGTGAGATGTGAAAGGAAGAGGAAGCATGCTCCTTCCTATTGTTGGTGGTAATAACCTTTTCAAGTTCATAATCTCTGCAGTTTTTCAGCAGGAGAGAAGTCCGCAGTGCCATACCCAGGAGAGGGCTTATGTGTGTGTTTGTGTGTGTGTGAGAGAGAGAGAGAGCGAGAGAGCATGTTCGTTTGTACATGTACTGTACTATGTGTGTCAGACTTGCTTGTATGGGGAAAATGAACCCATCTCCTCGTTTCTATGGTAACACTCCATGTCTGCAGAGTGGGTGTGAATCAGGCTTTCAGGGTTCAGGCAGGATTTATACACACACACACACACACACACACACACCATCATAGACACATACATACTCACACATCCACACACACACACACACACACACACACACACACACACACACACACATCGTGGTAGTACAATTAGCCCCCTGTTTAAGCTGTGATGGTAGCGGAACTTGAGCTTAGGTGGAGAGACAGGGAGGAGTTGTGAAGTGATGTGGGTCTGTATGTGGGTGTGTGTGTATGTTGGTGAGGCCTTGTTTAACAGGCAGGGCTCCTGTGAGACAGAAACACAGCAGCCTTATCGCCTGTCCTCTGGCACTAATATCATCAACTTTCACAGATATAATTTTACCCCAGCATCACCCCTTGCCAGGTATTGCATTGGCCCCTCTTGCTTCTGTGTGAGATTACTTCACCCAGCTATTGACAGATTAACAAAGTATTATCTCTATTGTCAGCAGACGTCCATTCAGTCTGTATTTAGCACAAGACAATGGGGAAGGATTCTGAGGCTACAGTCATTTCTGTTGTGTATGTCTGCATCAAAATTAGCCGCATTGTCTGTTTTTTTTTTTAGGTTTGAATTCTCAACAGATTTCTTAAATGATCTAAAGTTCAAATTATTTCTCTGCTGCTTACATATCCATAGACATATGCTCAGTTCTAAAATTCAGACATGATGTATTTAATGAGTGGATTCCACTGCGTTAGACAGGCTCAACTTCCACAGATCCCGAATTCTATCATTCTGTCTAAATGTCTCTTTGGGATGTAAGATGAGCTGGAGTTGGGGATCGTGAATCCTGCCGGAATCAATAGCACAGCGAGATTGTGTTGGTACAGGAGGTTGGGGGAGGTAAGGAAAGCTGTTGCAAAGAGGAAGAGAGGAGGAGGAGGAGGAGGCAGATCAACACTGTGTCTGGAGTGTTAAATGACAGAAACCTACAGTATATCTCTCTACCAACATCCTCTCGATTTGTAGTTTCAGGTTATCCACTTGTCACCGTCAGTGTCCTTCATCATTCACTTGCTCATTGTGAAAATGTTGTCTCTTGAAAATTAAAATGAGGAACTATTTGTCATTTTCTGTGTGTGAATTGGATGTGATGAACTAGAACCATATTATGGAGTGACACAGTGTTTAAGCCAAGGACGTTTTTGCTGTCAAAGCTACAGTGAGGGAGGGAAAGCTTCCCAAATTGAAAGCTTTGTGAGCGTGTGTGCACGTGCATGCCTCACAGTGTTTGTATCCAATTGCCATGACATGATTGCCGTGGTGGCTGGTCCCCCTCCTGCAGTGTCCATCATGTTTTATGTATGTTAAGCCTTAGCCAGTTAATCCAAGAGGCGTATTGGTCTGCTGTAGTTTTGCTGTATAAGCCTGCTACTAATCCTCAAAGTATATTGCCACATCTTTCATAACTAATGTCGCTATAAGATTTGAGAAACTAAGGTGCTGCATTTTTATGTGAGACAGAAACAAAGTCACTTTGATTTAAAAGCCATAGCATACAGCTTCCAATTTGGAAATGGTCACAATGCTAACTCCTTTATGATTTACCTTAATCTCCAGACCCTGAGGCAGTTAAAATCTGAAAAATTGTAATTGGTGATTAAACTTCCCTCGCCATATGGTATGAAATATATACAGTGCACTACACCGATTTCTGCCTTGCAGAGGAAGAGATCAAACAGTTAGACTTCTATGCACTGCAGGGCAGGCACTGTGGTTTAGCTCAGCAGAAATCGATCGAGCATCTGGTCTGCATAAGTTCAGTAGCACAACAACATGTTTTTTTTTTTTTTAAATCTTTTATAATACCAGATTTAAGGGTTCAGATGAGAAAAGGCCTTAGAAACCAGTGTTCTGTTGACAATCTTCAAACAGACCCAGATCTAATCAGAGGACAACAGACTCACCAGTAGTTCAATTGACCCTAATGGGAAATAGGAAGGAGAGGAGGGAAAAGTGATGCTGATTAGGTGAAGTGTTGTACTAAACTCACAACTTCATTTTGCACTAGAGAGGAAAAAGGTTTTAGGAGCACACAGTCAGTTCAGCAATTTTGATATGGTGCAAACATAAACTCTCTTGAACTCAGAAGATGGAAAACCACTTGAAATAAATGATTTAGTGGTGGACCCTGAATTCCAAACTTACAAAATTTGTTAGTGTAAAACCCCTGGAACCAAGCCTTCACTGTTAATGTGCTCTGCACTTAGTTTTTGGGAAAAGGTAAATATTGGATGTTGAACGCTTTGATAATGGATTGCGGTGTTATTGAAGTATTTCTGGTGGTAAATAGAGAGTCAGAATGACAGAAAGGATAGCACAGCCTGTATGTTGCCACTGAAAGGGACAGGTGTGAGTGGGAATAAAATAGTTTTTAAAGGGAATAACAGGTTGTTGTGCGGAAGTTGAACTGTGTATGTAATCTGTTGCTATTAAGCTAAATATCCAGTGTTGGATATGTGCTCGGAGATGACTTATTTTCTTTACAGCTAAAAGCACATGTAGTAAGTTCAGTCAAAGCAGCACTTTTCAGCTTGAGTTTTGTAACTAAACTCTATTATGTTTTTTAAAAAAAGTCTCTGTGCTTCACAAGTAGTCAGAATGGCACATAGAAAAGAACAGTGACATGAAAAATTAACATATCAGCCCTTTCATAGTTGATTCCATTGAGCTAAAACGTTTTTTCTATTTTTAAAGAGAAAACTTAGTATTTGATCCAAAACTCTGAAGTCGTCTTTGATACTGATTTGAGTTGCTTTGTCCATTAAAACCCCCATAAGGGTTTTTTAATATCAGTAAATTGACTGAAATTTCATGATATCCTAAAGCAAAAAAGACCTGGTCAAAAGTCTGGGGATAATTTTTTTATTTTGCTGCTTGTAGATAAGTCTGACACATAAAGAATACCGCCATAAGTATCATTGCACTGCTGCTGTGACATTAGTTGCAGTGGTTAAACCCTTTTCCCTTTCCATGCAGCAGTTTATACATCTATAATGGGATGTTAAGGTAAAATGAAAATATTTAGAAGCAACCAAATGTATAGGGCATTGAAGCATCAAGCTTAAGTAGCTTGATTCATTTTTACAATAGTTGGAAACATTAGAAATGCAGTTTTCTAGTTCTGTCATTTACTTATTTTCTTCCACTTATCTTGGAGTGTGTGGTGACAGTAGGCGAAGAAGTTGACCCAGGCGTGTCTCCCCCAACATATTTTAACAGAATAAGACCCAATGATGTCAGATCGCCTGCCCCACACACCCCCGCCCCCACCTCCAGTACCTCAAACATGAGGTCATCCAATATGTATAGGACAGATTGTTATAGAAGGAGGAGTTGGGGACTTCTTCAAAACCGTTCACTTGAATAAGCCTCTTTGTCATGACATCAGCAGTTTTCTGCATAAACCAGTCAGCTGTGAGATGAAGTCAGGCTTCTTCTTTCTACCATCAGGTACACATGAAATATTCAAGGCTGCTGACTGTCATAAAGGTTTTTGATTTAATCAGAATTCTGTCTGGAATTAGTTGATACCTTTCCAAAGATTTGCAAAAATATTTTTAGTCATGACATGAAAGTATGATGTATAATGCATGATCAAATGGCTGTTTTGGTTGCTTCAAACACAATCCTTACAAACGCCAATCCTTACAGGCTATGTAGACACATGTCATGAATGAGTCTGTATGGGGGTTGTAAATTACTGCTCGTGATTTCAAGTTTCATGATTGACGCATGAAAGGAAGGGCTGAGGCAAAATCCACACCAGCAATTGAACCTACATAAATAATACCACTGTCACTCACACCATTTCTTGCACACTCACACAGTCACACAAACAGTCACAAAAACATTAGAAATTCTCAAAACATGAGAGCAAAACTCTTGTTCAGTGCGTATGATTGTAACTAGCAATTTTGCTGTCTCCCAGGCTGTATTAGTTTTCTGTGTCCAAACAATGTCTGTTATTTGACAGTGCTCCTGCTTGATACCACTGTCAGATTGCAGATATACTGCAAAAGCTATGAGAACAGTAAACATTTTACGATTTTAACTATAGATGGAAGCTGTCAAGAACTGTGATGTGCACTAAAACCATCTTCTCCTTGATCTTTAATTTTCATAGATAACACTTGTTTGGACAATTACAGTGTCAATAGCAATTAATCAGTTAACAGTTAACACCCAACTTTTCCTAAAGTGTCTAAATCTTCCATTTGCTTTAACAAGAGACATTTTTAGAGAGAAGCTTCAACACACAAGAAACTAATTTTAACTGTTACCTTGTGTAACTCTGGACTGGCACTTTTTCCTCCATATTTTCTTTTAACTTAATCAATGTTTTGTGTTTCTTTTTGCAACAGGAGACTCTCCAGCAGCTGGTGATGATGTCTTTACCAAATGTGTTGGTACTGGGCAGGAACCCACTGTCTGGTAAGTGTCAAAGTACTCAGCAATTGCACAGACATATGTATTACCAAAGCTCAACAAAAGAGTGAGACATTCTGATTTTGTGTTTGTCGACATTTCAAATTGAAAGCACAATGTTAAATTAGAGCACTTTATTGATCCCCAAAGGAAAATTCAACAATGACAGGATGGCAGGAAGTTGAGGACAAATTTATAATTTTAAGTGCTGTTAAATGTTTTGGGTTATTTTTATACTGACAAGGGAAAAACACTGATCACTGTTTTTTTTTTTCTATACCACATTTAAGACAAGATGGATGAGTTCTGTGTTTCTTGTTTGACAGAAACTTCTTTAGGTGATGGGTAGGAAACTGAATTAGTCTCATACCTTGAAAGAGCTATATACACTTTTAAAAATGTAAAGTATGCTATAAACCTCTTGGACCACATTCTCATTCAATACAACTTGTTTGTGGTCACTTAGATATTTAAACTTGTTTCTTATTGGCCACTTTTGACAAGATTTCATACAGGAATGGAAAAAAATAACACTGGCCTTAGAGCAGTCCTTGCAATCAGTTCAAGAGGGACAGGAGAGATTGAAGAGTGCTGGACTATTCTCAGTGCATTTCCATATGGCTGAAAACCCCAGTAATTTGCAGTGTGACAAATGTTGGGAAAGGCTTCAACACACTGCATTATTTTGAGATGCTATGTCCTTAACAAGACGTGTAAAGATATACCAAAACATAACAATTTGCCATCGTGGCTACAAGAAGATAAAAGACAAAAGATACAAGATTGCATGCACAGCTTGTGTACTTGTATCACCTCTTTGAGCACGAGAACCTTGACCTGCTTAACCCCGCCAGGTTATTTGATATGTCTGAGCAGCACCCTCTGAGAAACGGCGGCTCAGTGTCAAGTGTTTGCATTTTTTTAAAAAAGAGAAAAGTTTTGAAGTAGCTTGACCTCTGCAACCCTAAGGACCACTTGATATCCTGTGTGATCTCAGTGAAGCCACTGAGGAGAGGAATAACTAGTAGCAGGTTCTTGTTAAAAATTAAACTACCTGAGGAAATGAAAGCTTTGTTTGGATAGAGGGAAAGCAGTGGGATAAGAGGTTTATTTACCACTGATGTTCCTTTGGATATATTGCCCCCCATTGCAAACCCAAACTCCAACAAGTTGTTGGTTGTTTAACTGTAAGAGTGAGTATCTCTCCCTGAAATTTTACAGCATTTGTTGACATTTCTGCACAAGTTATCATCAGCTCTTGAAAGAGAAAGGTTGCTCGGCTTAGCTGGCAGAACTTGTTGAAAGATTTCTTTCTTTTTCAAGCAGGTGAAATAGCTTCGTAATCCCTCCTCTTCCCCAGCTGCTCTTGAAAACAATTTCAAAACAACCATCGCTGTGACTTATGGGTTTTCAGCACTTTTCAATAGTCCTTCAATGATACCTATTTGTCTTTTTTTAACACCCACACAAAGCTCAAACAATTGAACGATGAGAGGCTGCAGTAAGCACACAGATAAAGCACATATACCTTTATGTATAGTTGCCATAGTTAATTAATCTTTTCACTGGAGAAACTGATGCTGCCCTTCTAAAGTAAAGATAAATCTTAGTTTAATTATTATTTGACATCAACCACCATCATCAATTGTGCTGTTTCTTTTCTGTTATGTCTTTTTTGTTAGGTTTTCTACATATTTATTCACCTAATCATGATAACAGCCATCTTCTTACTTAACTATTTGTCAACAGTTTTGGCATGTTATTAATTACTTTGACTGCGGTTTAGATCTATACCCATTAGGGATGGGCTTTGTCAGGATTTTATTGACATTTTTGGTACCAAGATTGACTGCTCACCTTTAACAGTTTATCTGATTCAGCAAAAGGCGAATACTTGTTAAAGATTTTATCAGCGACCAGCAAAAAAACTGTGACATGACAATGGTTGCAGCCCAGTCCTCCAACAAAGACTGATAGATGATGTTGCATCTGATATTGAAAATATGGAAAGAAAAACTTTAAAATTACTGACTGTAATTTCATTGTTATAACACAAGGCTATATTTCTGGCCATTTGTTTTTGTTGTTATCGTGCTGTGTTGTCTACTTATACCTGTCTACAAAAAATAAGAGTTTAGACAGATGTTGCTAAAGCAGTTAATAGTACTATGTCAGCTGAACACAATGCCGACATGAAGGCAGCTTCAAGCTCGTAGCCCAGAGCAGGCAGAAAGCATTAGACTGCATTCCCAAAGGTTTCTTACGCCCTTTACCCTCTGGTCAGATAATCATTAAGTAAGTCAGACTAGCGGTGGCTGTGGAGTCTGGCTTTCTGGCTCAGTCGTCGCCAGCTGAAAGTCATTGGCCATGTGGCTTTTATTATGCTCCCATTCGGGGGGCAGGGGATGACTCTGTGTGTGTGTATGTGAATGCATGTACGCCCGTGTGTGTGTTTAGTGACAGAATGGGGGAGGGGTTCCTCCTAAACAACTAACAGTGGGATCCACTGTAGTACCCCCCAGGCTCAGTTCTACCTTAGTCTGCTCAGTGTATATATGGCGTCATTGTGAGATACACATTCACACACTTTGTTGTTTAGTCCGTCCTGAAACCTGTGGTAGTTCTGCAGGGATCCTGCCAGATTGTCTGTAAACAATAGACCTGTGTGACTGATACTTGTAACTTCCAGGTAAATTTCATGTTGTTGGCTGCTTCACTAATAATTCCTGAAACAATCTCTTTTGATCTTTGACAGAATTTGGATATTCTTTGAAAAATAAATATTTCAAGAATCAATCAAAACTCTAGTATGACAACAGTACAAATATGGTTGTAGATTGAGGCACCCCACAATAAATAAAAAACTTTGTGACAGGAGCAACAACAGCCAGCCAACAACTGTTGACAGCTGACAGAAAGCATAAACTGGGGCCTGACAGTTGTGTCTTTGTGTGCACGTTTGAAGCAGGAGACTGGGAAAAGTCAAGCCAGCGATTTTGGCCAAACAAGACAATGCTCTGTGTGTGTAGATGGAAGTTTGGTGTGTTTATGTTGCCCATTTTTTCATGATGTTTTGGTGCATTTTGTCTTTATAGTGCAAAAACAAATTGAATTTTTTTGTGTGCTCAAGATGCCCGTAAAAAGTTGAAAGATGAGTAGATGTAAACAACTGTTGGACAAATGTTATTTTTCTTTCAATCATTGGAAGTTTAACTTGCTTGTCAAGATCTCTGTTTCCTGCTGCCGATATTTGATGGCACATGACACGCTATCCTGACCTATATGGTTAAGTACCTTAAAATAGTGTGAGAATGAGGATGAGTTGAACATGCTTTGGTATGCAATTGAAGCAATATCAGATTGCTTGTTACAACTTACCAACTTACATGAGAATCATCGAGTCCTAATCGTAATAACTTTATCATTCATGGCAAAAGGGATTGAGGAGTGTGAGAAATGATTGCGCAGCATCATAACACACATTTTCTCCTGTTTCTGTTTCTTTCTTTTCACATATTCTCACTTAGATGTACAATGGCATAGCAGGAAAGAAGGGTTAGTCACTGTCTGTGTGACCTCTTGTTTCCTGCAGAGAGGAGGGTATGGAGGTGGAAAAGGAAGCAAAGATGAATTCAAGCAAACACTCATGAGGTACTCATGATTTGTAATGTTGAGGGAAGGAAGGAAGGATGGGTGGATGTGTGTTGCAGGGAATAAGGGGATGGATGAGGGAAATGTGTGTGGAAAGGCGAGGATAAAGAGAAAAAAAAGGCTCTGGGAGAGACAAGTAGCGCCTCCTTGAAGCCTCTGTGGTGGTGGTGCTGCTGCTGCTGCTGCTGGAGGGAGATTTAGCTTTTCTATTTTCAACCTTGCCTCTTCACCATCCTTCTGATCCCCCTCTTTCTCTCGGTTTCTCCTTATCTTTCTATCTCTTCCTAATGTTTGGTTTGCTTTTGCTCTGTGATGCTTCCCCTCCTTTGTCTCCTTTTATATTCCCTTCTTACTGTTTTTCCCTCTTCTTCTCTGGCCGTATTAATTATTTATGGAGCCCCTTATCTGACATACGTTGCAACTGTAGATTTGCTGAGCTAAATCCTTTTCCTGACTGGAACAGGTTCTTATGGCTTTAATAGAGTTCCACTAAGCTCTGCAGCTGTGAGAATTAAGTTTTATCTGCCTTCATCCATTTAAGTTATAATTTGCTCTTATTCGCTGTCTTTGCAGAATTTTTTAACGCAGTACCATATGCAGTTTTTACGCAAGACTGACTGAGCACCGAACAATTAAAACCCGTGGAGAGAAACCGTTATGACAGATTGACCTCTGGCCTTGGCTGGCAAAATATTTTATAAATGGACTGACTTTGTATGAGAAATGTGTTATATGGTTGATTTGAATGAGTCAAAGTCAGGCTTTCTTTCGAACTGAAAAGTGAAGTGATTTTTTGTTTTGTTTCTTCCTGGTCCAAGAATTTCTCTGATCACTGTCTAAAGTTTGAAAGATTGTTGGATTGTCCGCTCCATCAATTTTCAGACAAAATTCCAGCATAAGAAAAGAAAGCAAATTCTACTTAAACAACATCTGTTGAAGAGGAGTAACTTGTAAACATAATTCTGTACTCGTACTTGATTCCTGGCCTCAGTGCAGCTCTTCTCTGGACTTTTTAATGTAGATGACTCATGTTTTCTTCCCTGTCCTATAGTCGAAGGGTCCTATCCATCACGTAAAGAAGTTTCTGTCAAACAAGAAACACTGAACTCATCAATCTTGTCTTAGATGTGGTGTAGAAAAAAAAATCAGTGATCAGTGGTTTTCCTTTGCCAGTATAAAAAAACCCAAAACATTAATAGCACTTAAAAACTACAGTGAAATCAGCTGCAATGGGGACCAGCTTCTGCAAAGTTTCAGTTTTATATTAATGTTGAAAATGACTTGCTGTGGTCACTAACAATCAGTTTAAAGTATTCAGTCTTTAGAAAACAGCAACTCAGAAAACTTCAGTTTGTCCTTTTAAAATAGATCCACATTTATTGCCTTCTGTATCCCCTATGTAAGAGATGCTCCACAATGACCATACCGATGTCTCTGTGGTCATTAACATATTGATGGATATTATGGATTGAAGAGACATGAGAGAAGGCACTTGGAGGCAGACTCATTAGATTTTGTCAAGGATTTTGTAAACTTGATGGATGGATGGGACTCTGTTCTTGGACACACTGGGCTTACCAAAGAAACTGCTTTGTCATGTGTTTCTCGCTCTGTGAGTCATTGTTTTACCCAGACGGTTAATCTCCTTACTTTGAGGAGGTGATACCTTCTTTGATAGTTTTATTATTATAGATAGTTTTGTTTGGATATTTTGATAGTCTTGTTCATTTGATTCATTCTCTTTTTGATTAAATTTGTGAAGAAAGCTCAAGAAAGGCTGAAATCATAGATGAGAATTGTCACTCTAAATGTCTGTAATTTAGCTTCTCTGCTGAGTTTGCAATTGGCCATTGAAATAGAGAGGCAAACATACCCCCCCCTACACAGAAAACATGCTGTTGCTAATCTGGATTTATTAATATTAGAGCCGGACAGCATTTGTACTCACTACCCCCTGGGCCACACAATGAGCTGGCTTATCACACACCCACACACCCTGCTCAAACAGGGGAAACACACTGTACCAGAATATACATAGACACAGATGATCACAACGAGCATATACTATAGCTCTTAGTCACTGTAACACACTCATACACCACCTGTTTTACTCCCGTGCAGCCCCAAATCTGACAGATGAGCTCAGGCCTGTTGAGCATGCTAGCAGCTGTTTGTCAGTTTCAGCAGTGTCTGATAATATGTCCTGACATGTGGAAAAGAACTGGAAGCGCCTCCTGCCAGCTCATGGCACTGTGGAAAACATTGTGGCAATGTAACAAGAGCAGGGGGTTTTATAAGTGGAAAATTTCAACAACCGAAGAGTCAAGTTAGCTGGTAATTGACGTGTTTGTGGGACTGATAGGAGATCTTTTCTGTCTCAAACTGAGGAAAATATACTGTCCCAGCCATGACCCTCGTATTCTACATTATTTTTTTCAGAGGAAAAGCCTAGTAGTGTTATACCGGGGTAATGGTGTAATTATTTGCAACAACCCTTCATCAGTCTCCAGATCTCGCACTTTGCTGTGAAGTGCTTTAGGCAAAGTTTTCCAAGACTTTCTACAAGTGAGTTCAACATCAACAGAAATAAGTCATCAGCTTCTCTGGGTTGTGTTTTTCTTTTACTACAAATCATGAACAAAAAGATAAAGCAAACACCGCTGGTTATAAATTGAATCCTCTGTGGGTGGAAAGTCTTTTTTTTTTTTTTTACTGTAGGTATATTTTTTTTATATGTTAGGCTGTAGTTCTCATTCGTTTTATCTTTGTGTTTCCCTCTTCAGAACAAGGTCTGGAGGAGATGAAAAAACTGTTGTTGCTTCTACTAGGCTGTGCGGTTCAGGTAAGGGCACACTTTTGTTCACTCAAACATTCAAGCACTCCACATGTTTCAGTTTTCAAGCAGCAGTCATTCAACAGCACTCAAGATGAAGACATTTTCCTCTGTGCATCATGATTCAAATTGTTTGTGTGATTGCAACTTTGTGCTCCTTCTGATAACTAAACATATTTCAGAAATGTTTGTTTCTCTTAATGCTGTACATACTGTAGTAATTCGGCTAAAAGTAAAATCATTATGTGTAGATACCCTCTTAGTACAGTCTCTTGATTACAGCTATTTGGTCCTTTTTGTAAAATTAATAATCTGAGACTCTGATTGTAGAGCAGTGCTGTGTAATGAAGGGTGTAGCAGACCTTTCCTGTCTCATGACAAAGCTCCATTCAGCTCTCTCTCACTGTGCTTCAGACTGGAGCTTTGATCTTTCCCATGCTCTATTGTTTTACCCAAAAATTATAGTTGCATACCTCCAACTTGACAATTAATCCACTTTATACTGGCATTCAAGTACAGCAGCAGTTTGTGTTCAGTAAGAAGTAGCACACAGAAAACTTAAATCTCCAGTGTACTCTCTAATCTCATCTCCAGCCAGCAAGAGAGTAAAATGATCTTTGTTTGATCCAGGAGATAACATTGCGTTTGAAGGCTAGAGCACTTTCTAAACACAGCAGCTGCTTCTTGGAAACCTGTATATCTGAACTGCCTCTGCCTTGTGTCTGGAGGTTGGCCTACTAACCTCCAGTTGACCTGCACCTAAGTTTTAAACATGTCAGAAATGTACTACACTCTCTTTTCCTCTCTTCCTTCCCCTTCCCACCTCTGTTTACAGTGCGAGAAGAAGGAAGATTACATTGAGCGTATCCAGACTCTGGACTTTGACACCAAAGCTGCCATTGCATCTCACATTCAAGAGGTATTTTGTTATCACATTGGGAACAAAATTAGAGAGTGAATTCAGAAATTTAAGAAACCAAAACCTCCACAGTATTAGTCAATATTGCATCGGTAGGAGTTGATTAAGGTCATTTGGATAGCAGTCTTTATTTTAATTAAGGGGCAGAAATTCTTTAAGTTGATGGTACGATATAAAATATTTTAGGTGACTCACAATCAGGAGAACGTGGTGGACTTGCAGTGGTTGGAAAGTGGGGAAATGCCTCCTGAGGACACAGACAGCCTCTCCAGGAACCTGGCTTTCCATCTCAAACGCCTGGTGGATGAGAGGGACACACAGTTGGAGGTAATGACAGCTATAGCTAAAGTTTTTATTTTTTTCAGAGTCATTGAGCTTTGCTAAAACCTTGGAAAAACAAAGTCAGAAGAACAAAAAACAAAACAGGAGCGCTTGTAGTGTAATAGCAGAACATGGCACCATAGCACTTGGAAAATGGTGTTCTTTATTGCCTAAGAGTTGTGTTGTGTAGTTATGTTGTTGTGTTTTTAATGTTTGTGCATGCTTTTTTTAGAATTTCAAAAATTTAGGCATGAAACGATAGATCTTGTAGATCTGCCAAATGTGGACACTTTTCTCTTTTTTTGTGCTATCACCACAAGAGAGCAGCCGCAGGAAGGAAGGGTTGAAACCATTAACTGTCTCATGGATTGTGTCTATGTGTTCGTGTCTGTGCGTGTGAGTGTGTGTGTGCCCATGTGCGAATTAGTTTCCAGCCCGTAGGATGCAGATGCCCACAACTGATGTCGCTGATTTGAGTGTGTGTGTGTGAGACTGCGTATGTGTGTCATGTGTGTTTCAGGGGTTTTAATAGCCTCCAGATTATCACTGTGTTTTCCAGCCGCTCTCAATTAAAACCCCATTTCCTGTCAGAGACCCCCAGTTTAAAACGGGTTGTGTGTGGAACCCTTTCTGTATATTTGCCCAGTTGTATGTTTTGTAGTTTGGGTGGTAGGGTGCTTTGGATGAAAACATGAATCTAGTGTTGTCTTTGCTTCCAGCTAATGTACTCTGTCAAATTCTGGTTCGATCTGCCAAGTTTAGGAAAGAAATGGAAACAAAGAAATATGCTGGTTTAGATGTGTACTTCTTGTGATCTTGTTTTTCCCGAGGTTACTTTGATGAACCAAACATGTGGTTGCACTGTTTGAATTCCTTTTAATAGTCCCCTGAACTCATATACATTTCATGCTCTCTTTTTTTCCTCTTTCCCTTTCAGGCTATAGTGGAGTTAACTCAGGAAAGAGACTGTGTACAGCTGTCTCCGCTGGCTCCCTGTCCAACCCAGTCTCCTGGGGACTCCCCCAGTATGAGGAGGACTGAAAGCCGACAGCATCTCTCTGTGGAACTGGCTGATGCCAAAGCCAAGATCAGACGCCTTCGACAGGAGCTGTGAGTGCCATGGCTTTATTAGTTGAATGGGTAGTTTGAGCTCTGAAAAAAAACGGAACAAAACCCTTTGCTTGAGAAGGTGATTTTCTTTGACGAGTTGGTAAATATAAACTATTGTTTGCCACTTAAGCATCTTTTACTGCAATGGTTTTCAACCCACACTTTTTTTTCCCTGATCTTATTGGCGTGTTTATGCCAAGGACATTTAAAGTGGTACTTTTTGACGGCATACTTAGTTGAATGAAGATAATTTAGGATCAACAGAAATCAAGGGAGACATGGAGAGTTGGTTTAACGATTCAAGGCATCCAATTGGTTTGTAAATCATTTATGTCTGAATCAACCTCAATGCCATAAGGGTGCTCTGTTTTGGTGTAGTTTGTGTAGGGGGTCATTTTGCAGCTGGAGACTTGACTTAATAAATTTTTACAAAACAATATTGAAGAATTCACGAAGGTATTAACATTTTTTGAACACAGAAAAGCTGTAATTCAGAGGTTGTTAATTCAGCGGGTTTTAATGACTGTACTAAACTTGCTTATAACTTAATACTTAGAGCAGAAGTGAGAATTTGAGTAGAATGGTAGGCCATTCAGCCTTTACCTCAAATCTTTTACCACTCAAGTTACATAAGACTACTGTGGTGCCACACTGAACTACATGAACAAATGCTAACACGAGACCCCTTCACAAACCCATGTGAGACCCTTTAAATCTGCTGCGAATAATAGAGGCACCTTTTTTAAAGTGCTGTAATCCCAGACAACGACTCTGTGGTCAACAACAACTTAAATGTTGCACAGTAGTAATATCTAATGTTATAGATAGTCTGGCACCATGAATAGTCACCCTGGGCTTGGTCACATTAAACAGCAAAAAGCATTTGAGGAAGTCTGAATTCAGTGTGGTTTTGTTGCTGAAGAGATCTCACATTCATCACTGTAGACATCTCTCCTATATTGTCTGACCTACATTACAGCTGTTTTTTTTTTGTTACTATGGTTTTGTTTACTTGATGATACTGTATATGGCCATCACATGACTATGCTGTTTCAACACAGACAAGGAACAAAAAGGCTGTAATTCTGGCCATGCAGAAGTATTCTGGTCACATGGTTAAAGTTATTTCTCTGAGGCAGAAAAGGAGGGTGTTTGTTGTGTCTGGATGCATGTACACGCAGAGATATTGTCTGCACTTAAGAGGTGTTACGTTTTGCGTGTTTGTGTGTCCGAAGGAGACCAGGTCAGAGCCAGAGGGTATGATTCAGTATCCCCACAGTGGTGCTTGTGAATGTAAACTACCATACTTTGAGTGTTTCTTCTACTTTCATACAAGTTGAGACTGACATTAATTTTAAACTTCTTTGCTTTGTTGCTCAGTAAGTATCTTATTCCTAGGAAAATAAAAAAAAATCTGTCCTTTTATTTGTCTGCCTTTCACCAACATTTATACATATAGTAGTAGAAGTAGTTTATTTGTCCCATAGGGAAACTAAATTGCAGCAGATCACACATTTGGCATTTCATCTAGAACAGTACAGATAAAAAATAAAACAGCATGTAGACAACTTTCACACATAATTAACAGTTAAAAATAATAATAATAAAAATATTTTTTATTCAGTCAAAATACCTTGTGCACTTACTATTAATTAGGTACACCTAGTTAAAACTAATACAGTCAAATAAGCCTTAGTTTTGTTTGAACTGTTTTAGATCTGTCATCTGGGCTTTCATGCTGTTTTGGTTCAGTACACTTTAAGTGCACATCAAGCTACATGACCACTGTATGATAACCACCACTGTAAGGCTATTATAATAGACTACATATTTTTTGTATGATGTACCTTTAATTGGTGTAAAGATCACCACTTTTTTTCTTGGAAGCATAAGTAACATCGAATTTGACTCGGCTTATTGTCTCATTTTGTACTCTGTTATAGGTGGCTTTGGTTCTTGTGGTGTATACTGACAAAGTAAAACTTCTTAATCTCAAAAATTGGAGGAACTGGTCTTTAAAGATGTTGCCTTTTTTACTGGATCTGTTTGAATGAAAGACAAGTTCTGTTGTTACACAAAATGACCAAAGTTGTAAAGCCTTTTTCTGCCCATCCTTTATAGATAGTATCTCTAAGTATTGAGAGCCCCTAATGGCTAGAAATCAACAGCCTGCTCAAGGACACAGTTTCAGTCCCTGCTCCTTTAAAAGCTATGATAAGTTAGAAACACAAATAGAACATTATAGTTGATTTCTGTTGTGTGAGTGTTTTTGTGTCTCAGTAGAGAGCTGAACAAAACTAGAAAAACTTTGTTGTACTTTCTTGACTTTTCAAATATAGCAACCATTTGAGTCTGAGCTTGCCCAGATGCACTGCATGCTAAACCATTAACATAAGCAGCGGAACCAGCTGCATTCATAATGTAAACCCAAAGCAAATCTGCTATGCTAGAACTGACAGGTGTATGTGATTTTAGGAAGGGGGGTTGAGGGAGGATTGGGGTGATCTAATGCAACCAGAAGAACAATGGGTGGAGGAATATCCTGCCTGTGTATTGTTACCAACTTCCAAAGAAGGATGATAGCTTTAGGTGTGAAGAGAAATAGACAAGTGGTAGAATATTAATAGGGGAATGTCTACTTCCTCATTGAAATGCATGTTCAGTGAAGTAGTTTACTGCAAACAGACACACAAACAGGCATACAGAATTATTCACACAGAACAGCATCTGAGGAATGCTGTCTCTTTTTTTTTCTTCTTAAAAACAGTGAGCCACTTGTAGCAGAAGTCTGCAGAATTTGCACACTCTGACAAAGTAAAAAGGACAGCAAATGCTCTTTTTCAGTTTTACTTATCCAAATTATACAAAGAAGAGTTTGATAGCAGCAGGCAAGACCCTACTGCTGATATTTAAAGTATGAGAAATTCAGCCTTTTCATTTTTACCTCTTGCACAGCCAGATCTACAACTTCTCCCTCTTTCATCTCGAATCTTTTCTATTGCTTCTGAAAAAAGAAAATGGATTTGAGCCCCAGGGTCATGTTTGCATATATGTTTCCCTGGTTGTTTTAAGCTGCTCGCCCCCATCTTTCTGTTAGTCATTGTGTGCTTCTCCGAGTGTGACGTTCAGTTAAAGACGTTAATTTGTAGCTGATTCTAAGGCAAGACAAGGAAAAGACATTGTGTTCTTTTCACCAACACAGATCAACTCTCATCTAAAACAACATGCTGTTCTTTACCTCTAAGAATTTTCTATCTGGCTGTGTGATGTTTCAAAATCAGCATGTGAGTAGCTGATTTTACCACCTTTTAAATCACTCATTATAATTTAAGAGGTGTTAACTTGGCTGTAGGTCATTTACTAAAACACCCCCCACTCTTACAAAATTGAAAATGCCAAGCTACTGGTGAACACACAGAGTAACATCAGGATCGGGCTGCTGACCAAGTGACTATCCTGTGCAGCTATGTCAATAGTTTTCTTCCATTAAATGATTTATTTACAGGCTTTGAAATGGAAAGCGCCCTACAGGAATGTCCTTAACAATAGGTTATGATACATGGTCATGCACACACTCCTAAAAAGAAATTGGCACATGATTTTTGTATTTTGCTTCAGTTCAATTGCAAAAGCAGAGAGACACATAGATCATGTTATAGGTTTTTGCTTCAATAAACTGACATCTGTCCTTACATCCTAGCATTCTTCTGTCTTTCATTTCTTCGTGTTTGTTACTAAGCTCAGTCTTTTCCATTTTTCCCCACCTTTCATCCCTGTCCTCTCTATTTTTCCTTCAGAGAGGAAAAGAGTGAGCAGCTTTTGGACACCAGGCAGGAGCTTGAGAACATGGAAGTAGAGCTCAAAAAGCTTCAGCAGGAGGTAACACCACAACAAACACTCATAGACAGCATCACGCAACTAAGTCAACAAAGCATTTATTTGATTTCAACTTCCTTTTACCTTAAACTTCATCCTCTTCTTAAGTACTTTGTTTCTGCAGCACTGCCAGGCTTCAATTAGGCAGCAAGTGACTAAACTCATTAGAGGCTATTAGAGCTATCTTTAGTCCTGCACATGGCTTCTGATTTGGATTGGGCGGCATGCTGCCTTGCTGCTTAATAGACTGGATGCTGTAAACAAGATGGATGAGTGTATGGCATGGAGGACTCCACATTTGTGCACAGATACATGTTTATTTATTTATTTATTTTTAATTTAGAAAATAAGAACAACAAGTTTCCATTAGCATTTTAACAGGAATTTTCCCGGTCTTTTATACATCTGGGTTATGCATAAGAATAAAAAAAAAGGAATAGTAGTAATAATAATAAGAAAAATAAAATAAGGTTCAGGCATTCTGAAGTTGTCACACAAGCTAATCAGAAACTCTGACAAAGGGAAAAGGAAATTAGTTGTTTTAGTCAATGATTGAACAATGACTTTATTTTATAATTTTTTCATTTGTTATTCAGAGAAATATGTTCCTGTTCATACTTGTTTGGGGACGGAGGGAATTTTCAGAAATGTAAAACTAATTCCCACATTATCTTGTTTTTTTTTTTTGTCACTAAACTCCTGCAGAGCTTCCAGTTGCTGTCGGACGCTCGGTCTGCTCGGGCCTACAGAGACGAGCTTGATGCACTTAGAGAAAAAGCCATCCGTGTGGACAAACTGGAGAGCGAGCTGAGCCGATACAAGGAGAGACTGCATGATATTGAGTTTTACAAAGCCAGAGTGGAGGTATACAAATATTCATTTAATATGATACTGTTTATCAACAAGACAGCATGTGTATTAAAAAAGATGCCCCATGGTTTACTGGAGCATCATGGAGTTCAGAAAGGAATCTAGCAATGAATCTTTAAGTTAGTTTAATTGAAAATGTAGTGAACAACCCAAAAGCATCCTGGGAGGAATATGCAAGAACCCAGTAACTACTGCAGAATATAATAGAGGTTCTTGTCTAGAAGTACAGAGCTTTGATGTTTTTCATCACCACTACTTTTATATAAACTAATAAAAAAAACATTTTTGCAAAGTGTTGTATAACTTAAGAAACTAGGTTGTGTCTGTTTACTGAAAGATTGGGTGCTCTGTAGTAACCTTGGAAAAATCCACACTCAAGGGGGATGTTGAGGAAAGATGGTGAGTAACATACAGTCACCCATTCCGACTCAGTGTTGACAACTTGATCCTAAAATGCGAGATTGGAAAGGGCTCGCTGGAAAAAATGTTGTTTCACTTTTTTGGTTAAGCTGAATAAAAAATAAAAAGTTGAAATATTAAAAACCATTTTGGATCTATGAATAAATGGGAACTATTATATATTCACTTAGTTTTTTTATTACTGCTCATATTATATGCTGTTGCCACTGATGCAATTATTACTGATTCCAGTGTTCGTTAAGGTATTGAAAGTGATGATAAAAATAAACCTCAGATATCCTTTTCCATAGCTTCTTCTTGTTTTTGAAGTGTGTGATTTTATCTCTAACTGTGGATGTGGTGTTTTTTGTAGGAGCTAAAGGAGGACAACCAGGTGATGCTAGAGACGAAGGCCATGTTGGAGGAACAGTTGGATGCCAGCCGGACCCGGTCGGACAAACTGCACCTCCTGGAGAAAGAAAATCTGCAGCTAAAATCCAAGATTCATGACCTGGAAATGGTGAGATAAAGAAAAGTTTTTAATTGTAAAGGTCAATTTAAATTTTATGGTGAAGGGTTGAGTAAGAGGAGCTGGCTGTTAGTCACAGACAAAAATGAACCTGCCACATCTGTCATATGTGCAGCATTTGTTTATCACACTGTTATATACCTCTGCTATCTCCAGGAGAGAGACATGGACCGTAAGCGTATGGAGGAGTTGTTGGAGGAGAACCTTGTGCTGGAGATGGCTCAGAAACAGAGCATGGATGAATCTCTGCACTTGGGCTGGGAGCTAGAACAACTATCCAAGACACCAGAAGTGACTGAAGGTAAAACAAAAAAAACCCCAATAGATTAAAGGATCTTTTAAAGCCAAGTTACTGACTACTAGAGTCACAAAAAGAGTGAAAGGGAAAGCGTATACAATCAAGCTGAAATGCCTATTGGAAAATTGTCAGCTAAATTGGCCAGGTTGAAGCCTGTAAAGAGCTGACAAACCAGGCCTTGGTCATTGGCTCTTTGCCCTGGCATCTTTCCCATGGCATATACCAGCCTCCATTGGGTTTTCTTTCCACTTGGTTAGGGCTTTTAATTAATATTCAGTGGCACCAGGAGGATAATCGGTGCGTTTGGATCATAAAAGCTCCTGAGAGGTTTAAGCCACCCACAGTCTGGATAGAGATTTTCTTTATGTGTATGTGGGAGGGGTATTGTTTGTCTAATGCCACTTTGTAAAGCTTTTACACCTACAGAATAAACCTTTTGCCCCCCTGTAATCAATTTTAGAGGGATTTATGAAGTTTCATCTTTTTTTTGCAGTAACTGGCACCTCTTCATTTATTTCTGTTATTTCAGCTTTAGGGCTTCTATTGTCTGAATCATTTTTTATGAGCATGATTTACAGTTCACTTTTTTGTTGCTGTCATTGATCCAGTCCTTCAAAAGTCTTTGGGCGAGGAGGTGAATGAGTTGACCTCGAGCCGCCTGTTGAAGCTGGAGAAAGACAATCAGACCCTGCTCAAGACCGTGGAGGAGCTTAGAGGAGCGGCAAGTCAGGATGTTGTGTCGAAACTGTCAAAAGTCAGCCAAGAAAACCAGAGGCTGAGCCACAAAGTAAGTAATGAAGTGTGAGATATCTTGACTTTAATTTTATTTATTTTTTTCCTCTGGAGAAATGGGACACTTACTGAAGAATAAACCCATAGACAGATATGCACCACCTATTTCATCTTTGAGAAAACAATGTCAGCTTCTGTATTGCTGCCCTTTAGCATGTCAAGTGTAAAATATATAAAGAGATAAATCAAAACTCCGGCTTTACCAGATGAAACTTCAACAGATGAACAATTCTAAGTGTTATTTTCAGTATGCCTACTACTCTTGACAAATATTTGTTATGCTCCTCTACATTGTTACTTGTAGTAGTTGAAGAGGGTTTAAAGTCTTTTGACTGTTTAAAAAAATCTGCACAAAATGCATCAGTGTTAAGATAGACCAGATAAAACCTGTAATGTCTTTGTTTTAACTTTTCACCCCCCACATCAGGGTCACCCCCATAATTAGCATTTTGCACTAACACTCCCCCTGTAATATATCTCCCTAAGCCTTGACTATAGGTCTTTTCACAAGGTGACTGCGAGGAATAAAAAAGAAAAAGGGAGAGAGTGTATTGAGGGGTGGATAGAGGGATGAAAGCAAAGCTGTAAATCCAGGCAGCCCTGCATTGCTGTTTCTCTCTCAGTCTCTGACACTCAAACGCCCCTCGCTAAGAGAACTCTCTCAGCTATTTTCAGAAACCTAAGCCTGTCTGTGTGCCCCCTGCATAAAAACCTTGAAATTGTGTTTTTCTCTCACAAAGAGAAGACCCCGAGCAAAGAATTTATTTCTGCGTAACTGAAGGCCTAAAGCTTGAAACACATTAAAATGTGAATGCAGCTGCTGTAGACTGGAACAACAGATATCTCTCATTAAATGTGTGCTTACGTGCACAGATTAACTACCATTTTTCTCTGTAGAGTTGTGACAGAAGGAGGTGATGCATTATTTTCTGCAACTTTGACAAACAATTGCACCAGCTTCTTTGAGATTGGGAGTCAGTGTAACACACACTGTGATGGACTAATTACACAGTAATACTTGCATCATAAGACAGATGATACAGCAAAATAGGTTATGATGTCATGCAAGCATCTACAGGGAAAACAGTCTTGAAATGACTCATAAAATTTAGCACAGCCATTGCAAAGCTTCCATCTGTTTTTGTTATTAAAAAAAACTTTTCAATGAGACCCAAACAAGACTGTGATTCATTTTAAAATGTTATTACAATTTTTGTGTGCAGTTGGAGCAGCTAGAGAGTGAACTGAAAGCCGACAGGGAGTCACTCCGCAGTGCTGAGTCACTTAGTACCGACTTGATGAAAGAAAAAGCCTTATTGGAGAAGACGCTGGAAACGCTCCGAGAAAACTCTGAAAGACAGGTACCCTTACTTTCATTGCTGCTTGTTTGTCAATTTTGTCTTGATTGCACAGTTTTTTTCTTGTTCCACGTGAACAGGCTTTGTGAACATGATGGAACACTTCAGCCCCTGAATTATTATATGACTGATATTGAGTTTTCTTGGATTTTCTTAGATCATGTGATTTGAGGTATGGTATGGTACAGTTGCACTCTGTATTCTGGAAAAACAAGTGGTCAAAAATACCAACACTGAGAGACAGACTGGCCATTGAATCAGTGCATCATGCCGCTGTCGCAACAAAACCGTCATTGATTCTCGTTTCAGGACATTCCAAGAACAAGACTAAGCTGTGTAATTTAATGAAGTCTAAAAAGAGTTTTCCTGACAGCAGTCTTTGTGCTATGGATTTGCACTTGGCTTTGGAAAACTATTAAGTCGAGCTGCTGCTATGTTTTATTGACTACACAAATTTCTAGCTCTCCGTGGTCCAGATGCGGTCTGCGGCAGCATGTCTGCAGGGATGTCATAGTTGTTAGGCTAAAATCTAATGCTCTTTGATTAGTTTAACCACCTGATATGTAAAATATAACTTTGATGAGCTTCAGAGGCAGAGAAAACATTACATTAACAGAGTAGGGGGAAGTTTGTGTTGTCCATGCCAAACATGAGATGTTCTGTAAACTACATGTTCCACAGTACCAAGTATTAAGATGAACTGTAGATTTCTTTGTTTACATCCACTCTGTAACAAAATCATCAGAAACAATCCTTAACATCAATGACCCACAATCAACAGACAGGAGAGACTTGCCTGATTAATACGCATATGAATGGTAATGTCTTTCTAATAGAAACCTGAAGAAACTCCCATGTAGCTCACTGCACTAAATCTGAAAGCTAAATCACCACTGTTCGACTTGACCATATGACATCATTAAAACTCTGATGTCTGTTGTAGTTGAAGGATCTGGAGCAGGAGAATAAGCACCTGGGCCAGACTGTGTCATCTCTGCGTCAGCGCTGTCAGGTCAGCGCTGAGGCCCGTGTTAAAGATGTGGAGAAAGAAAATCGAGTTCTCCATGAATCCATCTGTGAGACAACGGCCAAACTCAATAAGATGGAGTTTGAAAGGAAACAACTACGTGAGTGACATGTGTTCAGTTTTTTGCTTTGATTGTTCAGCTGTGGGGATTGTTTTATTTCATCTGTTGTTTTTGATCCTGTGGACTCACATTTAATTTTACTTTCCATTTTTTTTGTATGTTGAACTGATGTGCCTTTTAAATGCAGGGAAAGAGCTTGAGGTGATGAAGGAGAAAGGAGAAAGAGCAGAGGAGTTGGAGATTCAGATGCAGAAGCTGGAACGAGAGAATGAAAGCCTGCAGAAGAAAGTAGCCAGCCTTGGAATCACCTGTGAAAAGGTGAATTTAGATTTCTGCCTTTTGTCAGTGATTCTGTTCGCATTTGTCTGTTGCTGTTGCTTTTTACCTTTGAAACAAATCCAAGTCTTATACAGCCTTGCATAAGAGCATGTGACAAAGTTGGGATAAAGCAGGTGAATTTTTTCATCTTCATTTATAAGTAATGTGTGTGTGTGTGTGTGTGTGTCTGTTTGTAGGTGTCTTCTTTGGAGAAGGAGAACTCTGAGCTTGAGGTAGAGGGCCGACGTATGAAGAAGAAGCTGGATTCTCTGAAGAACATGGCCTTCCAGCTGGAGGCTCTGGAAAAAGAGAACTCTCAGCTGGAGCAGGAGAACCTGCAGCTTCGGCGCTCTGCTGAGAATCTCAGATCAGCAGGAGCTAAAGCTGCTCAGCTGGAAGCGGAGAATAGGGAGCTGGAGAGCGAAAGGAGCCAGTTGAAGCGCAGTCTGGAACTGCTGAAAGCCTCATCAAAGAAGACTGAGAGGCTAGAGGTAGGGACTCATGACGACTAGAGGTCATACTACTAAATCTGGGAATATGTAAGACCCAATCAAAAGGCAACCATTCGTGGCAGGAGGCTTATATAAAAAACAAAAAGAGGACTACTGCTGTTTGTTAGGTTTAATTAGTTTTTATGCACGAGTTACCTTGCCCTTAACAAAGACAACTTGTGTCTTTATACAAGGTCGTAGAAAAGTGAGGTTGTGTTTGAGGCAGCTTGCAGATTTTTGTAATTATCATCTCCAATTAATATTTTTACAGGTAAGTTACAAGGGATCTGGCATACAACTGCATCTGGGAGCAGAACAACTAGTTCATGACTGCTTTTAATATCTCAATCTGGCTTTGCTTCTCCCAGGTGAGTTACCAGGGCCTAGATACAGAGAACCAGCGCCTGCAGAAAGCCTTGGAGAACAGCAGCAAGAAGATCCAGCAGTTGGAGGCAGAGCTGCAAGAAGTGGAGACTGAGAATCAAAACCTCCAACGCAACCTCGAGGAACTCAAAATCTCAAGTAAACGTCTGGAGCAGCTTGAGCAAGAGGTAGGATTAAAAAAACATTTCTGTATGCATGAATTTGTTTGAAACACTTCAAGGTTTTTTGGTTTCATAAACAGAGGTCTATGAAGTAAAAACTGATTTGTGGTCAGATTTGGGAGACTACCAGTACTTTAAACTCTCCTGGAGCACAAAACTGCTTTGGAGCAGAACTAACATTACAATAAAGCATCAAATAGAATGGCTATTAGTGGTTTACTGACACAGCATCAGCAACTCCTTTTGGGATAAGCTGATTCTGCCTCACTAATCAGGTTGGTTTAAAAATGTCAGTCCAGGCAGACTGAAAGTTGGTAGTTTGTGAGGCAGCAGTTTGAAAAATCTTGCACAAGAATTGGATAAATAAAACTTGATATATTGTTATTTTTCAGTTCATTCTTATAAAATGTTGAAGTGATTCCTGGCAATTCCTTTGATTTCTTTGTTCGATTGATCTTTAGCCACATTCAATCTGAATCCACTAACCCCACAAAATGATATTTTATCTGAATATTCTCCATTGTATTTCCACCAGAACAAGACTCTAGAGCAAGAAAGCTCCCAGGTTGAGAAAGACAAAAAGCTGCTGGAGAAGGAGAACAAGCGACTGAGGCAGCAAGCCGAGATCCGTGACGCCAAGCTGGATGACAACAACCAGCGGATCTCTTCCTTGGAGAAGGAGAATCGCACAATGGGCAAGGAGATGATCTTCTTCAGGGACTCTTGCACAAGAGTCAAAGATCTGGAGAGGGAGAACAAGGAGCTGGTCAAACAGGCCACCATTGACAAGAAGACTCTTATTACACTCAGGGAGGTAAGTCAAAGTCTAAAAAAATACCTTTTTTTTCGAATGAGTATGAGTGATTGAGAGGTGACAGTGAAGTTGAGTTTTACTTATCGTGCGGCTGTGTGTTAACAGGAACTTGTGAGTGAGAAACTGCGGACACAGCAGATGAATAATGACCTGGAGAAACTGACGCATGAGCTGGAAAAGATTGGGCTGAACAAGGAAAGGCTGCTACATGATGAAAGCTCTGATGACAGGTATTATCTCACACACAAGCTCAAATATTTCACTGTTATATGATGGCTTTTAAAACGGTTTACTTTGTAGGAAATTTCCTGAGCCAAGATCTCCCCTACCTGCTCCTGTACGCTCCGGCCAAGAAGTCAGTTTGGTCTGGCTATCGGTGCTTGCTGGACACAAACATCCAAATTTGCACACAGCACTAACTTGAGTAATTATTTTTAGGTTTAAGCTCCTGGAAACCAAACTGGAGTCCACTCTAAAGTCATCTTTGGAGATTAAAGAGGAAAAGATCGCTGCTCTGGAGGCCAGACTACAGGAGTCATCCAACCTCAACCAACAGCTGCGCCAGGAGCTCAAAACAGTCAGTGACACACACATCAACAAATCCAAACTTTAAAACATAGCAATACAAGTCTAACTTACTGTATTTTATTTGTGTGGATTTATTATCTTAGCTAAAATAAAATACTGACAACACTTAATAAAAAAACAGATTCAACCTCCCAAAACCAAAACATCAATCTCCCAGCCAGTCCACTTAAGAACAGTATGTCCAAAAATCCTCCTCCAGCAATCCAAATACTAGAAAGCACTGAAAACACTGAGGGCATCCCAAAGCTGATGCATTTTTAATTCATCCACTCTTCCATTTCTTTCACCGGTTTATCTATTTATGAGGTGGAAGGAGTCGGTAAAAGGTGGAGAGGAGTGGAGGATGTCTGCTTTCCTTTGGGGAGGTATTTGTGTTCTAAGCTTGCAGACACATATCAGATCAGGGGTTGAAGGTTTGAGGGTAAAAGTTGAGGCATCTGCGGATGAACCAAGTTCAACTGTGAATCTGTAATGGATGCTGCACACCACCTACTTACTTCAGTAACACTCCTGCACTTAGCTACTGTATTTTCTTTTTGATTGTTTAACAGTTCTCAGCCAAGCCTTGGGCAGTACTTTATTCTCAGATCTCTTGAATATTAATTTTGTTCAATTTGTTTTCATGTGAAAAACTAATTCTCCTGCTTCATATATTTTTGCCTCTCTCCAGGTGAAGAAAAACTATGAGGCCTTGCGTCAGAGGGAGGAAGAAGAGAGGATGGTGCAGAGTTCACCGCCTAAAGGAGGGGAGGACTCTCAGGCTGTCAGTAAATGGGAGAAAGAGAGTCATGAAGCCACGAGGGAGCTGCTGAAAGTCAAAGACAGACTAATTGAGGTGGAGAGAAATGTAAGTCAGCACACGATGGCTGAGGGCGGCATATGCGCTGTTTCAAATAAACAATATTCGTTGTTGATTTTTTTTTTTTCCCCTGCTTTTTTCACTCAAAGTTATGAATAATGTGAATTATGTTTGATTTGTCCAGAATGCAACACTCCAGGCTGAGAAGGCAGCTCTAAGGAGCCAGCTCAAACAACTGGAAACTCAAAGCTCCAATCTGCAGGCTCAGATAGTGGCTGTACAGAGACAGACTGCATCTTTACAGGAAAACAATACTACACTACAGACGCAGAACGCCAAGCTGCAGGTAATCCTCCAGACATCACACACAGAGCAGTATCTTAGAGAAATGGAATCCTTGCTTTCTCACAGACGAGTAATTACTAACACAGATCTGAAAGTTGTCAGCATAGTAGTGTATCAAGACTTTTGATTAGGCAAAGAAAACCCTCTCAAAAATATGCTTTAATATTTTCCAAGAAAAATACTGTATTAATTTGTAATGATGAATATTATGTTGAAGCAAACATAAGTCTGGTTAAAGTTAAAAGGAAACTACAACTATCATAGCACTTGAAAGCATCATTAAATTTTTTCCTTAAATTCCTAATGTTAACCAAATGATGAAATATTGGTCACTCTACATCTAAGAGAGTTGATGCAAGGCTGTCTAGTCCTCTTCTAACATAGCTGGGTTTTTTGGTTGCCTTGCTAGGCTGCTTAGCTCCCTGGATTTAGATGTGTGCTTCATGTTTGGCAGCAAATCAAACCCAGCTTATGGGTGAAGGATTTACACCGACCATACAGTAGCTTCTAGCTGATTCTGTGTGTAATTGTGTTTGTCTGCTGATGTGTGCGGGTTGTGTTTCTGCTGGGGTGCATTTAAACAGGTGTGTGTTGGAGGAAATGAGTAGTTTCTAGGGTTCTTGTTTATAGGTACAGGAAAAGTTAGTGCAGACAGAATGTATTTTTAAAAGTGTGAGCACAGGCGCACACACTCATCCTGACTGAAGAGGTGTTGTAGACTAGGAAACTACTGTGGCCAAAAAGGAAACATGAAAAGAAACAGTTTTCCTCGTGGTGCTTTGTAGGTGGTGCACATTGAAAAGGGAGAAAGAACTAACCAAAAAGGAGACACAGTGCCCCCCATAGACCAAAACAGACACAACTTTAATTAAATCAACCTTTTATGATCCTCTATGATTGGCTTGAAGAGTTGAGTACTCCAAAAAACCCCTTCAACTGGCTATAAATGGGTTTAACTGAATGTGAAAATACTGAATTGAGAACCTTTATCTGTCAGACTCCTTGGTCAGCCGTTCCTTTCCCCACTTTCATCTTATTTGTGACAGTCTTTTTCACCTAACTCCAAACTTTTTCCAAAAGGCTTGTCTTTTTTTGTTCTTAAAAAAATCTATATGCTCACTCTCTATCTCCACACTCTGTCTTTAATTTTTGTCTTGTTCTGTAGGTGGAGAATTCCACCCTAAGCTCACAGAGTGCCGCCCTCATGGCCCAGAATGCCCAGCTGCAGACCCAGCAGATCAGCGTGGAGGGTGAAAGAGAAGGAGCTCTGAAAGAGAAAGAGGATCTAAGGTCCACGTATGAGCTGCTTCTGCGAGATCATGAGAAACTGGCAGCACTGCACGAGAGACAGGCAGCTGAGTATGAAGCTCTGATTGGGAAGCATGGGGGCTTGAAGAGCTCCCACAAGAGCCTGGAGCAGCAGCACAGGGACTTAGAAGACAAGTGAGACAAGTCTTACAGTTTCTCATTCAACTGTTATTCCTAACTTTACATACCTCTTAATTTGTTTTGTACATTAACTAGGGAATATTAATCAGTTAATCAGAAAGATGTATAATGCATGTGTGTGTTTTGATACATAAAGGTACAAACAGCTCCTGCATAAGAAAGGCGAGCTAGAGGAGCTGGAAAAGAATCTAAAGGCCCAGCAGGAAAAAATGGCACAGGAAAACCAAACACACCAAGACACAGCTGACAAGTGCAAACTGCTCAAAGAGGAAAATGACAGGTGAGCCCAATGTGTACTGTGTAAAGTTATTTAAAAGTTTTATAAATTATTTTGCTTTCTGTAAAACACATTGGATGTCCGAAATTTTGTTTCATTCTTTGTTTTCATAGAGTCTCTGTGCTCTCTCCTCAGACTAAACTCCACCTATCGTCAGCTGCTGAGGGAGAACGATAATCTCCAGCTGGACCATAAAAACATAAAGAGCCAGCTCAACAGCGCCAAGCTGGAGCAGACCAAGCTGGAGGCTGAATTTTCTAAACTAAAGGAGCAATACCAGCAGCTGGACATCACCTCCACCAAGCTAACAAACCAGTGTGAAGTAAGGAGACACAGATTTCTTTACTTCTTTGTGGTTTTAAATGATCTGCTGCTAAACCCGTCTGTCTTTTTAATATATCATTATAAAGATGACTTGTGAAGCCAGCTGTGTTGTGTGATGCTCTTTTCTTTTAATGCACCGCGTTTGTTGTTGATTCAGGTGTCAGTGTAAGTCTTTGATGTATCTAAATATACGTGTGTGTGTATGTGTTAGTTGTTGAGCCAGCTGAAAGGAAACCTGGAAGAGGAGAATCGTCACCTGCTGGACCAGATTCAGACTCTGATGCTGCAGAACCGCACACTACTAGAGCAGACCATGGAGAGCAAGGACCTGTTCCATGTGGAGCAAAGACAATACATGTGAGCCTGATGATGACTGTTCATTTAACTATGAAGCATTTTGACTAGATTTGTCGCTTGCGTAAGCTTTAGTTTGACATTCGTATTTTAGACTTCATGCATTTCAACTTTGGTCTGTTGTATTGGATCATCTCATTTCTTCCCTATCAGAGACAAACTGAATGAGCTGAGGAGACAGAAAGAGAAGCTCGAGGAGAAAATCATGGATCAGTACAAGTTCTATGACCCCTCCCCGCCACGCAGGTAAGATTTCACATACCCTACTTGAAAACACTAACAATGAAGTTACTTTACCGTCTGTAATTTAGTGAATTGTTAATGTGTTAGCTTATTTACGTGTATCTGTGAATTGAGGGAATGGCAGCAGTGCATTCATACTGCAGCTTCAAGAAGTGATGAGTTAATTATTTATGATCTGCGCAGCTTTAAACTGCTGTATACTGCGACATTATGCTCTTCAGTATTATGTATGGAAATATAAAAGATGGTATGCAGCCCTTGAAATAAGTTAAGAAGTTGATCAAAACATCCATTCAACTTTCATACTATTTTAGTATCTCCTGTTACTACATCTTTTTATTTTTATGTTATGGTCTCTTTGCTGCCCCCCATATAGGCGTGGCAATTGGATCACTTCAAAGATGAAGAAGCTGATCAAGCCGAGAAGCAGGGAGAGGATGCGTTCTCTCACACTAACCCCTTCTCGCTCAGAGTATGGTGATGGTTTCCTGAGCTTCCCCCAGGACAGCCAGGACAGCTCCTCCATCGGCTCTGGCTCCAACTCACTCGATGACACACTTACACATAAGAGGAGCAGCAGTGAGTATAAGCAAGACACCTGTACGCAAACAGACAATAGTTCATACACACTTGAACATCTAAACATTGACAGCAGTAATCAAACTACATGTCAGAAAGCTCAATTTGGTGCTAAATACTCTATTACGACTTCTTCAAACACTCTACAAATACAAACATCAGACATGCAGGACTCACTTGTGCTTGGTGTGCGTGTGAGAAGGCTTGTGTGACATGTTCTGGTTGAGTGCTTGGTTGAACGGGTCTTTCCTCCCCTAACTGCTCCTTTGCTTCTTTATCTCTCTCTCTGCGAAGGGAGGAGAGGGCAGCAGTCACATGCCCAAGGGCAGGGGTCCACCAATGGTATGCTGCGGATGGGGAGGGTGGGCGGGGTTTGTGATCCGACTGTCACGTCTCTCAGGGCATGTTTTCGTGAGTCCACTGTCTGTGTCACTCAGCTGTTCAAGAAGTTACGGATGAGCTGCGCAGCACTACAAGGTTTACTCCGCAAACTGGAACCTGTTACAAAATACGTTTTTTTTTTCTCCCCGATGTTTGAAACGACAATAGAGATGCTTGATTTCTCTAGGATAAATTGCTCCAAAACCGAGTACAAATAACAGAGATATTAGACCTTTGTTCAAGAGTCAAAACTTTTTGGTATTGAGAAGAAAAAATGTAAATTTTTGTGAATGAAGTCACACAAACTTTAAAGGCACAGATTAAGCACATCAAAGTTTGGTGATGACAGGCCTCAGGAATACCACTGTGCCCTACAAAAAATTAAAGAGCTTTTTGGACATACTGTTTAAATACTTACCTGGAATGAAGACATTCCTGAGTGAGCGACTGTCAGAGATTAATTGTAAGTTTGAATTTGATGGTGCAGATCAAACAGAAATTAGCTCACTGGACTTCTGTGACTCAGCAGTCCATCATGAGTCCTGAAGTGTTATCACAGAGAAAATTAGGGCAGCACTGTTCCATCAAAACTCACGTGTGAAGCTAAATCAAGCATATCTCATGTGGTTGAAACACTGAAGGATCATTTTGTGCCAGGTCCAGTTTTCCCTCTAGTCCTTTTTTAGTATCCAGAGGCTCCTTTGCTATCATGTCAACCTGCTGATCTGTGCAGTTCACCTGTAAATATCTGAGAAACGCCCTCTGCCGTAGCATTAAAGTTATTAAAAGGTGCAATGCCTGTTGCTTGACTTCCAGTCACTACAAGGTCATAATAGTAGATGTTTTAAAATCTAAACTGCAAATTTGTGTGAAGAAAGAATTAACTGTATGTATGATACCAATTTTAAAGTTAGAGCTGTTGATAATAAGCTAGTATAATAAAGGAGTTGTAGTATTTTTCACACTTATTTGGGAAAACCAAGGACCAAAGAGATGTGTAGTTAACTCACACATAAAGGTCATCATAATACAAAAATTGTTCATGGTTATTTTGATGCTATTTTAAAGTGTGCAATAAATTCTAAAAGGAGTAAAAGATTTAAACATTAAGACGAACTGATAAGTGTGAAACATGAGGACACATGAACAAAACACAACACAGTGGAATAACAATGGGTAAAAACAGTCTACTCTGATGCTGTCAAGCCCCTTTAATTTTTCCAGCATTTCTTCACTGATTGCACCCTTTAATATTCCTCATCCTCTGTGTTTCATGTAGGTATAACAATGTGACAGTTGTGTTGTGGTGGAGAGTACGTATTTAAAGCCAGCCGCAGAAGAAAACAGTCATGTCATTGCCATTGGAATGCTTGAGAGTGATGCTGTGAGCAGGATGATGTGTGGTTGTATGTGTATTTGCATAGTGTGCCTAAATTTTTTTACTGTGTATGCCATGTCTGTGTTCAGAGGTCTGCCCTTAGAATATTACCATAAAGAATAAAAAAACTCAACAACATCCAAAGAACGATGCTCGTAAAAATCACTGGGACTTGGTCAAAACGTGCTCCCGCTCCGTTTTGAACAGTTTTTGTAGTTGTTTTGTCCACATCATTGTTGTCAGTTGTCTAGCTGAGTGTCCAGGGGTCAGCTCTCTCTGCATCCCTCCCCTGGCTCGCTCTGCAAAAATGTTAACCACATCCCTCTGTTTTGCCCCTCTTCTTCTTTTGTTTTCTTTTCCTCCACCCCCCCTTGGGCTTGTTCTGTCACTCTCACTCTCTCTCCCCTGTCTCTCTATCTGTCTGGTGTCTATCTGTCTATCTCTGGCTGCGCTCTGACAGCTATAAAAAGGTTGCCTTTCATGAGGAACAGATCCAAGGACAAAGACAAGGCAAAGGCCATCTACCGGCGCTCCATGTGTAAGACCTCCGTTAGTCGCTACTCGAGCCTCCCTCGACCCTGCTCTCTCTTTCATTGTCACACTGGGAGAAACAAAGAGGGAACAGTCACTGATATCAAGGGGGCTGCAGCGTGGGGATATGACTATCAGGTTTCTGTCAGAGCTCTTGAACATACTCAGCTCTTTGGTCATCAAATTTTGGGTAAAACAGTGATTCAGTCATCTTATGATACCTTATGGTTGCAAATGCCAGCACAAACAATTTCCATTCAGTTTAGTTTACTAATTATTATGTACTCACCAATGGCCTCGCTGCATCTGTTGACATCAGTGACCTGTTCTGTTCTTCATTTTTTTCCCAGTTACACCCACTGTCCTTCACCAGCTCTGCTGTGTGCCGCCTCTGCTCCCTCCTGTAGAGTGCATACTCGAAGCTTTCACTGTTGTAGTCTCACTTTGTTCTCACTATCAGTAGATGAATGAATAACAGAAACACAACAACAACAAAAAAATACAAGAGGATATGAATGTTTTGGTGAAAAGAAAACAGGACTAACAAAAATAGGCTCTATAAATGGATTTTTTTCAGTGTGACATAGTTTGAACTTCAACTCTCAAGGCTTATTCAGTTTAATGGTTGAGTTCATCACTTTGCATCAGGCAACTTATTGGGCAGCTTTGTCATGTGCTTTTTGGTCTCATTTTGTTTGTGTATCTTGAATGAAAGGCTTGAATGTGTGTTTGTGTGTGTACTAAAGTGTGCTCAGGTGAGAGGGACTGTGGGTTTGCCTTTCATGCGCCTGTGGTGTATTTGCTCCCGTCTTTGACTGCAGCATGACTAAATAAAATCATCAACCGCCTGATCACCACCACTCGCACTCACCATGGAGGACTTGAAATGGAGTCGATACTTTCTTTTTGTCTCTCTCTCTCTCTTTCCTTCCCTCTGTCACTGTCTCTTTCTCTTTCCCTCTGTCGCTCTCTCTCTCCATCTTCCTCTGTCAGGGTACTGCAGGGTACTCTTTCTCTCTCTCTCTCTTTCCCTCTGTCACTGTCTCTTTCTCTCTCTGTCTCTCTCTCTCTTTCCCTCTGTCACTGTCTCTTTCTCTCTCTGTCTCTCTCTCTTTCCCTCTGTCTCTCTGTCTTTCTCTCCATCTTCCTCTGTCAGGGTACTCTTTCTCTCTCTCTCGCTCTCTCTGTCTCTCTCTCTTTCCCTCTCTCTCTCTCCATCTTCCTCTGTCAGGGTACTCTTTCTCTCTCTCTCTGTCTCTCTCTCTCTTTCCCTCTGTCGCTCTCTCTCTCTCCATCTTCCTCTGTCAGAGTACTGCATTTCAGATCTTATTCTGCTGACATGGATTTACCACCTTCTGGTTCCAGCTCTGATCTTTTGTTTACAGTGCCGCCTCTGCTGCTTCGTGCAGCTCTGCATGCCGTCATGCTTTTTACCGCCACTCAGTAAACAAAGTGCTTAAAGACAGCAGCTTCTTTGGGTTATAGAGTTCCTCTTCCCAAAAGACAATTTTCCTGCAAAGAGGAACCCCAAAGCAAGATTTAAGAACAGTGATGCTGCCATCTTTATTTACCTTGTACCTGTTTAAACATTTAATCACGTTCTGTAATGCAGAGTGTCTGCATGAGCTCTCGAGTTTCAGTGGACTGGATTTGATTTGATTTGATTTTTTTTTTAATGTGCACTGAAAGATGAATCACAGTACTTTTGCTTTAATTGAGGCAGTGTGGAAGAGAAAGCAACCAAAGCAACATTTTTAAATCTGAAATGTTGCTTTCATCTGCTCAGTTTGTATCCTGAGATACATTTTCTGAAGTTAAAAGATTGTATGCCTCAATTATGCATACAGCCCGCTAGAATGGATTTGATCATAACCTCTAGTCCTCATTTGAATCTCTGTCCAATCTTTCAGCCATGAATGATCTGCTGCAGACGATGGCTGTGGCGGGCAGCATCGAAAACCTCGATGGTGCTGAGCCTGGAGATGATTGCACGGCTGGCAGCAGCAAACGCAGCGGGCAGCGCATGAAGGAGCTCGCCTTTTCCACCAACGCCATCGACTGTGCCACGCTTACACTTCCTAGTGCACGGCACAGCAGGGCCAAACAGCGCCTGCAGGTCAAAGGTCAGGATGGTGTTTTATTATTTTTTAAAAAATCCAATTGAGTATCAATCAATCAAAGTTTATTTTTAAAGCACTTTTCATACATGGAATGTCGCACAATGTGCTGTCCATTCATGCAGGATATTGAAAAACGATGAAAATACAGATACCAAACCCCACCCACCTTCCAAACCCCCATTCAACACACACACACACACACACACACACACACACACACACACACACACACACACACACACATATGCATACACAAAAGACCAGGACTCTTCAACTTGCCACAGATGACTGAGGAAACGCTATCTTGAGTTAAAAAAAGATGTGGAAACACTGGATCTAGGAATAAAACGATAAAAGTTAATCAAAAAAAGTCTTTAAATGAAACAATAAAAGAAAGTAAATTAAAAGAAGAGGTAATAAAACACAAAATAATTCCTCTAGGACTAAAATAGTGTAAAATCACATAATGCAGATTAAAACAAAATTCAACTAGAAGCCAGAATAAAATAGGTAGGTTATTCTCCACATCAGAGACATAAGGATGAATCTTCTGTTATGATCAACTTCTAATCTTATACCGCTTCCAGAAAGGGCCCTAAAGGAAATTGAACTCTTTACTTTTTTTTGTTTCTCAACAGAAAATGCATCTTGTGAGGATGTCGCCGGCTCCTTAGATGAACCAAAGAGCCAAGGTAAGCCTGCCCCCTGAACAGACAACATCCAACTGAAGACTTTCCAATAAAAAGAGCAAAAGTGTTCAAACTGAGAAAATAAGAAAAGCTGGCCCCTCCAAAAAAAAACAGGTCATGTCCTCAGCGGGCCCACTGCTAATCTTTGGGCTCCCGTCCTGCTCTTCGATTAAGCCTGATCTCCAGTTGGAAAAGCAATTTTTGTGGTGAGCAAAAGAGGGAGAGATGAGCCTCCATTCAAAGTCGGATTGACTCTAATTCAGACTGTAGGACGTTATCCAGGGTAGTTAATCTGTGGACAGGCAGCTATTCATCAGTTCTGTGTCACTCGGATCTAGATGACCCAGTTGTTTAACAGCCACAAAACCACTGACACACATTTCTTGGTGCATAATCTAGGTCTACACCCTGTAAACATCAGATTTAGTTTTTTTTTTTCAAGAACACATTTTGATTTTTAGAAATTACTTGCAGACTAATGCACAGTATAATTTTAGTGCACTCTGTGCTATTGAAAGTGACCCATAGTTCCAACAGATCAGTCAGCTGCTTCTCCATTAGTGCCCCACCTGCAGTCTACTTAGCTGATGACTTCCCAGACTGCACTTATTAAATCCAATACATCGTTGTGATGGGTCCCATTTCCTAGCGTGTGCCTGTAATGGCTGCAGGAAATGGAAACTCGCTCTTGTTAACGCAGCCAACATTTCTCATAAAGTAACAACCTGTAGGTCATTTTCCGGAGATGCTATCGATTTTTTTTAAGTGAGTTGTTTGGCTTTCACAAAGTTTCCATAATGTAACTCCCTGTCTCTACCTGTGTCTGGAACTAATATAAGGTATTAAACTTTGCTTGTTTTGCGCCGAGGGCAGCAGCAGCAGTAGTAGTGAGGTCATTTGTCACAATCAGCTGTGTTTGTGTCTGTGTTTTGTATCAGGCCTGCAGGTGTATAGCAGTATTCTGTCTCCTTCTCCTGTAAAGCTGAGCGTTATGTGCAGAGTGCCCTGTAGCGTCTGCAGTAAGTGACTGCCACTCTGCACTTCCTGGGCTGGTTTTTTGCTACATTTTGATAAGACCTTCATTTAAATTTCAAATTCGGTGTCAACCGTGTTCTGAAAACCACTTTGACATGATTTCACGGTTCCTGGTTTCCAGCTAAGCTTGTCCCCCGCAAAGACGGTCAAAAGCAAGGTCACACTTTCACCGCTCCTTTTCCCTTTCTTTCTTTTTCCTGACGTTTCTGTCAAAGTTTAACACAAACCCACACCTCCTTTGTCTTCTTTGAATGACTAATTAACTCCACGGTCCACTGGAATTGGGTTTTGACTTTATCAGTTTCCTATAACGTGGGTAGGTCCTCGGAAATAGGTGTCCCTGTCCTCTCTGTCACTACTCGCTTTGTTTATTTTCTTGGACATATTGGGGCTGTAGCCTGGCACTGAGCCCCCTTCTGTCCTCCTGCCTGGCGTTTGCCATCTGCCGCCCCAGCGGGAGACGTTCTGTCTCACTGTTAGTGTGCACAAAGGTGTTAGGCTTTGTGTCGGTGCACGTTTGTGGGAAAACATAAGTGTGTTTATATACATATCTTAACTGTGTAAGTATGTGTACATGTTTGTGTGTTTTCCCTCTCGTCCCTTACCCAGCCTCCAGACCCACCAGTCTCCATAGCAACAGGACCACCAGTAGTAATAGTAACAATAACTCCCACCTCACTTCTCCTCTGGAGGGTAAAGGTATGCTCCTTCCTTCCCCACTTTCCCTTTCTTCCTCCTAAACCACCCTTCTCTTTCTTCTTTTTCTTACCTTACCTCAGTGTGTCTTATAAAAATCTTGATCAGGTTTGACCTCTAGGTTCCAGGGTTTTTTCTTGAGTGTAAAATCCACTTCTCTGGGTGAGCTAATACCCTTCTGGAGAGGCCGAGCAGTACTGTCGCATCATGTGGCCTCTTGTGTTTTCATTAAACAAATCTAAATGAGACAGTCACAACTTCGCTGAACAATGGCACAGAGATGATAAAGCATTCACTTGATTTAGTATTCTGTGCTGGTTTGATGCATGTGTTATGGATGAGCGTTGAGCAATCAAAGCAAATAGGCAGGGGCCGTAAGAAAATCACTCTCAGAATGTTAATGGCTTTAACCTTTGTGAAGCAGGATGATGAGACATTTATTTTTTTCCACATTCTTTTCATAACAAAAGCAATCTCAAGATGGTGACCATAAAGCTCCCCTGTAATAACGCAGGAAAAAATAAACCTCAGTGGAGGAGAGAGTCTAAGAGAGTTATATTTTATCAGTCTGACTGCATAGTGAGAGATAAACACGACAGGTTCTCTCCCCGCGTCCTAATGACCGCTTTCTCTTCGACAGGCACATTGAACGGCTGCCTCAGCAGACCTCACAGTGAGAGCAGCGGCGAGTTCAGCCTCAGCCTGGACCAGGAGATGTGGTCCAGCAGCGGCAGCAGCCCCGTCCAGCAGCCCACCTCCTCGCGCTCCTCTCACCAGAGCCCCTTGCAGCTGCGCAGGTCCCTCGATCCGTCCGCTACAGCCGGTCAGAGCCAGACCAAACCGCAAGAGAGCGAGGTGCTGTCCCTGCAGCAGTTTTTAGATGAGGGTATCGACCCTGCTGAGGTGAGACCCCTCCCCACTAAGGTTAATTATAAATCAGTGAGTAGTTTTACCATTTTTGTTTTAGTCAACATGTTTTTTTATTTATAGCTGTGGTATTGTGTGGATTTGTGTGACTGAAAATAAAACCTCATCAGCAGATCGTGATATAAAATTAAAAAGCATCAACTTTATATGATTAAAATACGATTAATTGTGTTATCAAACATGTTTTAATCCACTCGTTTCCTTTGTGCTCTTCAGTCTGGCAGTCAGGAGAACCTCACTGTAGACTCCCCTCGCCTCTCCACCTCATCTGATCACGCACAGAAAGAACGCACTACCACCAAGGGGCGTGGCATACTACGCTCCTCCAGTGGGAAAGCAGCGCCAGTTAGCTCCGACCGCCCACCGAGATCCGCCGGACAACCAGGGCGCCCCACGCTGCGTAAGGCGGAGAGCACCCGTGTGAGAGGCTCTGCCCCGGTCCGCTCCAGCCTGTCTTCACAGGGCAAAGCTACATCCGTCTCTGAGCGTCTGGACTCCGCCTCCTCAACCCTCCCCCGCGCCAGCAGCGTCATCTCCACCGCCGAGGGCACCACGCGACGCACCAGCATCCACGACCTGCTCTCGAAGGACCAACGGCAGCCAGTCTCCGTGGACCCATCTCCTCCTCCTCCCCCTCCTGCCAAGGCCGGGGTTCGCTCCCAGCCTCCACCCAGTGAGTACCACCCAGAAGGACCCCTAACCAACACTGTCCACACAAACCCCCACTCTTTGCCCAAGTCTCTCAGCCTACCCTGCCATAGCCTGGAGGATCCCGACCTCTCCACCCTTGAGTCTTTCCTCGGCCCATCCTTCACTGTAGAGTCCGTATTCATGGACTCCATCTTTAGTGAGCCGGCAGGCAAAAACCTCCCCTTCCTCTCACTTAACCCCACCCTAGTCAGCAACATCAGCGGGCCTCCTGTTACAAATAAAACACACCCTCCTCCTCCTCCTGCTGCTGCTGCTGTCCCGCACTGCATCCCCTCACAAAACCAGGCACCTCACAGCCAATCAAACGGCCAGATGAGATCCAGTCCAGCCAGTCTCAGAGAGTTTAACGAGGGCGCCGATCCCAGTCGAGTGAATAACACAGATCAGCCGCTGAACCCAGAGGACAACCAGTCCCTGTGGTACGAGTACGGCTGTGTGTGAGCGACAGAGAGGTGTCGGCTCGCTCACCTTTTCTTGACAAGGGGAGAGTGACGGGACGGATGAATGACGGACCCTCCTCCTCCTCCTCTGCATGTATTTATAAGAGCACTGTCTATCTTTGTGTGGTGGTTTTGTTTGGTTCTTTTCTGTTCCCCCCCCCGTGGTGCTGAGTCCCTGTTCGCTCTTTTGTTTTGTTTTTTTGGTTTTTTTTGGTCTTGTTCTTTTCTCTGAGGTGGGACTTTGATGATTTTACTCCCGTCCAACAGCCTCACCCTCACTAATGCTTCCTCAGTGAATCAGCATCACACTGCTAACACTTAACTATTATCTGCAACTATGGGTCCATGTATCCCAGTTAATGCTTAATGTATCACTTAGATAAAGCCTTTATATTACAGTTACAGTAAGTAGATTCACCAGAAGAGCGGATGTCAGAAATAGCTGTTTGTAAAAGGAGACAGATTCTACATCAACATGAAGTATGTCAGATAATAGATCCAGTCTGCACTTGGTTGGTTCTGGTGTTTCGATGCATCACTGCTTCAAGTCAGTTGCATCATTTGCAAAGTTGCATGGCTTTTTGTGTTCCTCCTAAACTGTTCATTTTGATTGCTGTGATCAAAATGGTTTTCAGTTTTATGTATCTTTTTTTGTTTTGTTTTGTTTTGTTTTATTTTGGCGGTGTGATTTGTCGGGTTTTTGTTCTTTTTTCTTTATTTTCATTTTCATGTGATGGTGGTGAGTTCATGCTCTGGTGGGTCTCCAGGTCTGGTGATAAAATGATGAAGCTTCATTCTGAAAACCATCTGGGTGGAGGTAGAGCGGGTTTAGTGAAAGTTGACAGTAAAGCTAGTGGATGTGACTGTGGAAGGTACTGTATTTTTGCATTATAAGGCGCACCATCAATAAACACATCTATTCACATCTATTTTCATACTTAAGGTGCACCGGATTATAAAGCACATTAAGCCAAACAAAACAGTCAGATAAGTCGAACTTTATTGAACTCATTCAATTACTCCACGAGGCTACGGTAGCTGCAGTGCTCCAAAAGGATTTGAAGTGCGCCTTATAGTGCGAAAAATACGGTAGTGGTTATTCGAACACGGGGGACAGTAAAGTAAGTAGTGAGGATTTTTCAGATAGTTTCGCGGATGAAGCTCACATCATTTCCTTTTGAAGCTTTATTAAGATCTCCTGATTCACCACACTGAGTAAAAAATGAAAGGGTAATATTTGAAGATGACTAATATTTGAATATGTTGTTCAGATTGACAGGATGTTGTACAGATTGTAGTATTCATTAAGTTATAATCAATAATGAGCACGGCATTATGTGCCAACATTAGTAGTACTTCCTGCCTCTAGATTCTTATTTATTCCTGCTCTTGTACGAAGGTTTCTTGATGTTTTTGCGTTTCTTTGTTGTATCTCCTTAAATCTTCACTATATTCAGGTGTAAAGTAAGTGAAGTGTTCTTGTCACTGTCTGCAGATGTAACATGAACGTTGCCTTTGTCCTACAGATGTGGAGGGCAGAAAGTCTAAAAACAGGAGTGGGGAGCCGCAGCAAAGCTGCTAGCCCCGCCCCCCACACCCTCGTCTGTCTGCTACCATGCAGCAAGCGCATGGTGAGTGAGTACTGCTCGAGCGGGAGGAATAGGGATCTGGGTGGAGGGAGGGGGTTTCGGTCTTGTCTCCATGGGAACCCTAAAACATGGTGTAACAGATGTCGTCCAGCCTGCCGTGCACTTGCCTCCCCTGCCTTTCTAAGCTGACAGCACCCCTCCTTCCTCTTCCTCACTGTCCTGTTTGTCGCTGAATGTCCCTGTGGTGCCAAACTCCTGCTCAGAACCCGATGGGACCCCGAAGTGCCCTAGTCTGTTTGGCATATGGGCTGTTTCACCATCTGAGTGGATCCTGGCGTCGCCTGTTTGTGTCCCTAAGTCCCCCCCGACACGGAGAGTCCTGAACTCCAGCAGCTCACCGTGTCCCTCCACCATGATGCTTCTTATGTTGCTGGTTCAGCTGACTGATAAGTGTTTCCTGCTGTTAGAAAAAAAAAGGCCTTTTGCTGTGTTAAGGCTGCTTGATGTTGCTGCATGGCTTCTGTGTAGCGCTGAAATCCTTCCCCACCTTCTCGTTCCCTTGACAATGCATGCAGATGCAGGCTGCTTCCCTCTGTCTGCTCTTGTAAATCACTGTCTCCTTGATACAGTTTCTCACTTATAACTTTCTCTTCTCTCTCTTCTCTTTTGTTTCTTCTACCTCTACTTCTTTATTTTCAAATCTTAACCCCTTTTTTCCAATCTGTCTTCTTTCCACTCTCTTTGCTGCCTGGGACTCAGAGAGAAAGGTGGCCTTGGAGCTGTGTGTCTGAAGCCTAGTAGAGTAAATCTGCTGAGACTGTCTACAGTGAGAAAAGATTGTACATCCCGGTAGTCCCCTTTCTTCCCCTCCTTGTTTCTTTTTAACCCCCTGAGACACTTGAGTCGAGGAAAGTGGCCTCCTTCTCTGTTTTGTTTTTTCTTCCTTGAATCAAGGAAACGACAGAAAAGTACCCGAAATTGTTGCTGTGACTTTTTGTTTTTCTAAACCGAGTAAGTCGTGGCAGATTGCACTGCCATGTGTCCTTCAGTGTGATAGCCTGTTAAATGTGCACTAGACTCTTTTAGACTGAAGGTTCAAGTGCCAATGTTCACACAACAGCCAAAAAGGGCGATCTCAAATCAAACCGATGACTCCATTCGGATCTTCTGAGCAACAGGACCTCCTTCTGTCTGCCGTCATAACGAACATCTTAAGACGACCTTCAGCCAGGCTCGTGAAGAACATCCTTGAAGCATGTCAGCACCGAACACGTTCTACTCAACCTGCTATCAGACTCATCTAGAACAATCTGCATGGAGCAATCAATCAGCCAATCACCCCACTTCCTTTATCCAATCAAAGAGGACAGTGTTCAGTGGGGATGTAATTGGCCAGGATGCCAAATGGACTTTAACCGGAAGCCATGACAGCTGTGTGATTTTGGCATCTGTTGCCCGCCAATCATGAGTGAAGGTTGTGTGATCTGAGAGAGAATGAGAGAGTGAGGAATCATGGGAGAGTTCCAGGTCACCTATATGAAAGTTGGCCTCCAGCTGACACTTTGAAACAGTCTGTTTATCTTCGCTATGAATCTTCTATCATTATCAATCATCCACCAAACGGCTTCACATGTATCACTCCGCTTCCCGCTCTGAAAAGAAAACCCGCACTCTTCCTGTACAGTTCAGTAACAAAGCATCTTAGTGTCGTGTATCAAATTCTGATGAAACACTCGGTTTGTTTATAAATCTGACTGGAGTATAGGTGACCTGTGACCTGTCCAGTGCATACAGAACGTGCAGATTTCTGTGGCTGTGTTCAATACGATGTTATTAATGAGATCCAGTGTTTTCCTCTTTTTCCACTTTTTACATAAACCCATTTGATGTAATTAAAATTCATCAAGACTACTGTGTGCTCTTTGTGTTTTCTGCAGATAAAATACACATACAAATGTCTGCGTTGGTTCAGAAACTTTCACTGGAATCAGTGGAAGAAATCACAGCCTTGCCTGAGAATATCACTGTGGACTGAAATACTTAGGTTGTTTTTTGCTGCTCAATCAATCAATCAATCGGTCAATCACTGCAGTCAATAAAACACTCCACCTGTTCCAGAGTACAGGTATGCCTAACTGAGAAGTTGACAGTCTTGAACATTACAGCTCAAAACTCATCTATTTAGCCTGGTTGTTATTTGAAGCGTCATTATTTTAATTACTATTGTAATTTATTTATTTTGTAAGTATCACTTTTTACCTTATTTTATGAATAAATTCAAGTTTATATTTTGTTGTCTGTTTTAGCAATAGCAATTTTTAACAATAACTTGTTTTTCTGGTCCTGATGTAAAGCACTTCGAGCTGCAATTTCATTTGTATGAACAGTGCTGTATAAATAAACTTTGATTGATTGATTGATTGAGATGAGTGTCAGAGGAAAGGAATAACTATAAAAACACTCGTATGACTAAACTGAAGCTGAAAGGTCAATTAATAAATTTTGCGTTTGCCTGAAAAAAGGAAGAAGAATGTTATAAAAGCCTTTTTTTTAACTTCCAAGTGAGGGTGTTAATAAAGTAAATAGATATTTAAACACTAAAAGAAAAACCTGGCTTTCCGATCAGTCTGCAGCAGTGGCTAGCTTTATGTTGGGTTAGATGTTCTAGTTCACCAAGGAGGAGAGCAGAGGTTTTCCAACCGAAGTTCGGATCTTTAACTGTCCAGTAAAAACAAACAAAAAATGTAATATGCACAGTTGCACACTAATGGCTGATTATTGTCTTATGTTACGTCATTATGCTTTAAAATGAAAACCGTAAAGCCGTTATTTAAACAAGCTCCTTGTTTTAGTTTTAGAATTCTGTTTGGTTTTTAATGCCCTCTAGAGACAGCCGTCGGTACTTCAGCTTGACCAGATTTGGCCAGGGAAAAATCACATACATACTGATAAATACTATGAAAAAACACCACCCAAACTCGTGATAATTTTTTTTATATATGATGTTTATTAACTGTATGGTCATGCAAAAAATCCAGCATCCAATTGAAACTCAGAGTATAGACATATGTAGCCCCTTCGAAGTACAAGGTTACAATGCAATAAATTTACTGACATACAAGCTCAGCTTCTGCTAATCTTTGATGCTCTTTAAGGTGAGATAAACAACAGTTGATTTAGATACCTCAGACGGAGCCATTTCATAACCTGGAGGATGCAAGAAACATAGATTTTCCATTTCTTTATCAAGTAACAGTGAAAAATTACCAGAAAGTAGACATGCATATTTCTTCTTCATTTGTAAAACTGCATATATAGTGTTGTTGATAAAGATCATGGTTGTTAATTATCTCTTTTCACTATATGATTGAAGCATTTCAAAGATCTTCTCCTTCTCTTAAAACAGTCCGGTGCTTTTTTTTTTAATTCAACCCTTATCAAACATACGACAAAGTATTTTGGCAGATGTTTAATAAATTCAGTTTTGCAGGTTTAAATTTGTAAAACTCAACTTTCATATAAGAAAACAAAAAACCCAACACCTACTTTAAATTTCACTTCTCATTTCTCTTTTAGGTAGTTGGTGCAATCAGCCCAAGGTTATCTTGTGTAAAGTTTATATTTGGTCACGTTTCTTATTTACAACTTTAGACTTAAAGTCTGTACCCTGTCCAGTTAGAGTGTGATTAATTATGTTGAAATGGAATGAATGAATGAACGGGGCCTCAGCTGAAGGAAGGAGGTCACTCTGTAGATCTAACATATGGAGACAAAGACAGATCACTTACTCAAAACTCATACAAGATGAAATTACTGTTTCAATTTTATGACAATATCATTTAAAACCAAGAAGCAGTGGTTCTCAACTGGTGGGTTCCAACACAATAGTGGTAGTGGACACGTTTTGGATGGGTCACGAACAGCTCAATATTTTCTGTATGTGCAACTTTAGTAGCTGTCGCCTCATGTTGTTCCCTCATGTGTTCTGAAATGCACTTTACTCAACAAAACGAGTGGATTTATGTGAAAGATTAGTCTTTAAAAGGTTTTTATATATAAAAAAATTAAATAAAAGTTTGTTGCAACTTAAGGACCATGGGAAAATGTGGGTCCCAGAGTGAGACCAGTTGAGAACCACTGATTTAAAGCACAAAGTAAAACCTTAACTCGTAATTTTAAGTCTGAAGTCTTGGGGAAAATCTGGTTTTCAAAGTAAAATATTTCAAAAGCAATAATGCAGTGATATTAAAAAATACATAGTTTTCTGTATAAAAGAATATAATTAAAATGAATTTTTATTGATCTTTCTTTGCCTCCTTAAGAGTGGGTTCAGTGAGTTTTTTGTGGTCAGACTTTTGTGCAAATGATGTGTGCCTTTTATTACCATGTCTGATATCACACAGGATGAGTTCACCACAGCTTTAGCTCATCTTTTTAAAGGATCAGTTTATCCAGCAGCTCCTCACTTAGCAGATCTGATTCCATGTGCAAGTAAAGCTTCAAATCGAAAAGGCAAGCTCTATGTTTTGTCCAGAAACCTCTTTTTTTTCTGGAAACAGTCTTCATTAGAAATATATTCCACTATCACAATGCTCCTAACATCAAGATCTGTTTATGGTAACAGGGACAATTTCTGTCAAAAGAGATTTTGATAACGATGAAGAGCGGCTTACATACAATGAGGAAACATCAGCTGAAGTTACTGAGTGGCATGATGGGAAAAACCATGGTCATGGTGATTAATTTTGCCTCAACAACAGCGGTTCCCAGCCTGGGGTCACATGATTCCTCTGATGGGTCATACAGGCATTAAATGTCCTGTGGGGTTTGGTAGACAATGAGATGACTGTTCACATTCAGTGTTACTCCACTGAAACCAAATTTAATAAAAAAACGACCAACCCCACAGAGAAGCTTTAAAATAGAGAGGAAGAGCAAGTCTGGAGTTGAGATCCACTCTGCACCCACATACTGTGAGTCACGATACCACGTCAATTGAACCCAAAAGGTTGGAAACCATTATTATAGGTGAGACTGTTGACGACAGTTTAATTTGTGAGTGGGCTCTGTGCACTGCCTGCTCCATCTTCAGACCAAACAGGGTCAGAACTGACAGATTTTGACTTAGCTAAGCAGGAGAGCGCAGATGTAACACTAAGATACGGTTACTTAAGGAGAATTTAAGACAAATTTGAAGAATCTAGAAAATAGCTCTTGATGATTTAGAAAACTAAGTGATAATGCATCTTACATGCATATATGCCCTTACCTTTCTTTGGCTATGTTCAAGTTTAGGACAGAATAATGAATTGTTTTGTTTGTTTAAATTTGAGGAAACTTCAATCAGAAGGAGGCTTTGACGGTCAGCTGAAGGATATTCATCAAACTTAAGTACAGACCTGTTCTAAAGGCTCACAGCAAGGACATATTAGGATCCTTTGACAGGCAATACCAGCCTGTAGTAGAGTCATAGTTTCCTGCTCCTTCATGTTTTTCTGACTTCATATTAATCAAGTAAAAATAAGAAATATCATATTCACAAAACTTTGCCATATCGCTGCAGCTGGCTGAACGCCCCCCTTTAAGAAAACATGTAAGTTTAACTCTTCCAACATCCCCGTGACTGTGTGACACACAACGAAAGAAAAAACAAACAAACATCATCAGACTGGGCCACAGCACAAACAGAACCACTGAGTCATAGAAAAACATCACGTAGTTTCAGTTCTGGTTGGTCATCATGGTGGTGGTGGTGGGGTGGGGGGGCACAGTTTTGATGGCATGTTAGATATGTCTCATAAGCACAGGCAGCTGATACAGGAGGGCAGGTCTCACATAAGGATCACGACAATTCCAAACAGACAATATTATTGGATGATTCAAAACCGTATCCTGGTTTTGTCATGGGTTACTATGAAGCAGGGAAGCACATAGGACAGACGACGAGCCTCCGCCTCTCCGCCAGTACAAAGTCATACACTCACAAAGTTTGTACGACACAGTGAAAAAACAGCACACCGACACACAGATATGTTAGTCCTCTTTAAAGGGAGAATCTCTGAACTTGTGTGCTTTTACAGTGAATCTCCAATCTTTTCAGCCACAGGAAAGTGTGTGTAAGGTGTTTCCACCCTCAATAATGAGCTTACAGTGTGCGTTGCTCAGTGTGAGAGGGGACAACAGGGGACAGTAAAAAAGGGTTGTGGCAGTCTCAGCTTCCAATCATTCAACCCCTCTTTTTTTTTTACAGTTCTGGCTAAAACAACAAATATAAATCTCATCAAACATCGAAACACTAACAGCTACAACACTTACACCAGAACCTGTGACAAAAAGGGACAAGATCCATTGATTGCCATCAGCTATGGTCCCACTGCCTTTCAGCAGGCAAAGCCCTCTTCCCATCATGCCTTTGTCTTTATCTTTTTTTTTTTTATTAGTCCAATCCATTTGGCTGCATTCCCTTTTAAACATGCTTTTATTTTTAGTGCCAAGACATCACACAGCAAGCCAAGACGGACAACACACAAACTTCAAAAACAAAACCAGGACAAGAGACAGGCATTAGGGTGACATCATCATCATCATCATCATCACATGACGTGGCGCTATGGAGACAGTGATGGGGAGAATGGGAGGAGGCAGGAATGATGGAAGTAAAGGGCAGAGGTAGGGAAGGGAGGGAAGGATTCAGGCGAGCGTAACCTGAAGTTGCAGAAAGGTTCACTCCCTCAGAAGAGCAAAGTCAACAGCATCTAGTCTCAAGTGTCTGTGCAAAAAACAGTACAGGCCATAATTCATGCTCTACGTCAAATACAAACAGAAGTGAGCCGGGAGTGTGCTCGTGCGCTCTGATTAGGTAGCTCAGAGATATGAGGAGCTGATGGCGCCACCTAAGGTTCGAATTCAGACACTGCTGAGCAAGCAGGTGAAGGCTTTCTGCAACTTCAGGATGAGCTGACCTGGATGTTGTTTTAAAGTTTACAGGAGAGTCAACCCTTAAGAGAGGCTGGAGCACAGGGGCCTTGAGTGTGTATGTGTGTGTACGTGCATGTGTGTGTCTGTGTGTGTGTGTATTTACACCTCAGGACAACAAAGTAGAACAAAAACACAAACTCTCATGCTTATTCCCCCCCACACCCCTTTATGTAACTCATGTTTCTCCTTTTTTTTCACCTCTATAAATATCTATTAATACACAACTCTATTAAATAAAGTCCCAAGTTTGATTAAAAATGATCTTTTTCAACACAAAAGTTATTTAAAATACATCATCCAAGAGATAAAAACAAACAGCTTCATAACACATCATACAAAAGACAAATTAAAAATAAAGGTCCCTTCAGTAACGTATCACAATTGTAACCCTTTAAAAACATAGTGTGCATAAGCTCAAACCAGACACAAAAATGGCTGTTAAATCAGGTTATTAAGTAGATATTAATTTCTCCAATTCACCCCACACATATATCTGTATATCTGTTTACTGTAAAACTAACAACACTTCTATTAAAGTCGACCTTCTGCTGCTTTTAAGAGACGAAACAGAAAAAAACAAACACATTTTCCATGTGTTTTACTTGCTGCTCTGTTTGCATCCACTATGTGTGTCAAAGTGTTTATATATAGATATATTTATATATATAGATATATATATACACACACACACATAAACATGTTAATACTATTCCAGACAGCAGACAAAACAAAACAAAGACAGGGAAATAAAGGCCATGGGAGACAAGGACCAGGTCAGCATCACCCCTGTGTCGCCCCAGAAACATGCACCTTCGGCAAGAAAGGGGCTGACGTCAGCCAGGCCCCACCCTCCTCTAGCCAGGGTTCAGAATGGATCAGTGTTGGTCGGTGTGGTCGGTCACTCAGTCAAGCTTTTTGAAATTTAAAAGTTTTTTTTTCTTTTTTTAAAATTTAGGATCGATTTTCTCCACTTTTGTGTGTGTGTGTGTTTTTTTTTTATTTTTTTAATAAATTTCCAAGCAGCCTCTTCCCCGGCCAGGATCCAGGCACCAATCTGACCATGGAGGATAAATGCTCCAAACAGCTTTAAAGTTCAGGCAAAGCTGGAGAGAGAAAAAGAGAGGGTGCAACAGTTAGTGTAAAACATGCTTAAGTTAAAAATAAAATAAATGATGAGAAACTATTCGTCCTCATTGAATCTTGTAATGTAGGTATGACACATATCTGAGACTGTTACAATATATACTGATGATAACCATCTTTAGAAATAACGTACTGTATCTGTATATATACTTGGGCCCGACCGATTTATTGGCGATATGATTAAATCGGCCAATTTTAGCTCGTTTGAGACTGATCGGTAATCGGCCAAAACCCGCAGATTTTCGCTGATATTTTCAGAAATAATATGCAGAAATAAGATTCGGGCAGCTGCAGGGACACACGGAGGGGGAGTGGTCTGCTTCAACAGTAAATACACCAGTTTGTGAAGTACGCAATAAGTCAACAAGTCTCAGTTCAACCCACTTCTCGATGTTCCTTGCTGTGCTGGTCTCGGTCACGCCGAGTTAACGGTGAAGCACCATGTAATATGCGAGCTAAAGTTAGAGTTAGCCATCTGCTATTAGCCTCGCTACACTGTTAGCCGTACCAGCAACGGTAGAATAAACATCAGTACACATTACATGATCGAGCTACTTCTCTTACTGAGGCAGCTGCATGTCTCTAGTTAAGACCGGACAGGAAATGAGTAACATGAGTTAAGACGCAGAGGAACCGATCAGCAGCAGGGGGTAGTTAAAAACGCCAAGACTGGATCTCAAAGCTCTTCAATCAGTTTTCCTGGTCCTTGGCCAAGGACACGTGAGAGAAACTTCCATGGAAGTTTAAGCTGAGAGACACACCGGAGATCAAATAATGAAAGAAGCTGCAGTGGACTGAAACTTTTCAACATCAGCGGCGTTAAATAAAAGATGGACCCTGCAACAGTCTCTTATCAGTGCCTTGAACATTAAGTTTGTTTTTAAACAGTTAGAATATGATGAGCTGGAATTTCAATAGTGTTTGATACTAGTTTCAAACGGTGATCAGCCGTCATCACAAACAGACACCGTTTCACGTGACACTCTAAAGGAAAGGTCGTCTCATGTCTCCTGAAATATATCCACCTGATTCTCCTCATAAAAAGGCGACTTAAGAGCTTTGGGAAGCAGCCTTCCAAACCAGCTAGAAAGCTAGACTAACCCCTGAGTGTGACTTTACAGCAGTGCATGTGATAGGAGATGATAGGAGATGAATTCAGGCTGTTACTGCACCATCAAACTGGTGTAAAGTAGTGATGTGTTCACGGTCTACCTGAACCTGGGCCTTCAGTTCACTGCAGGGGTGCAGCTGGTGCTCCTGAGCAGTGGAAGTGCACGTTGAGCCATTTGGTGTCCCGGCGGTGCCACACACGCGTCTCCTCTGACTGGCAGGAGCGTGGCCGACCCTGGCTGTCAATGTACTGCGTCAGCCGGATGTAGGCGATGCAGGCCGCCTCATCTCCAATCAGATGGACGTGGGGGTTGAGGATGGTGGTGTGCACTGGTTTGCTGTTTTTACTCAGTACTGTGGGGACAGAAACTTCAGTGTCAGCTGTTTGGTTAGAAAAATACAACAGAATTGTGAAGCGAGATCAATAAAATCAGGACTATTATGTTTTCCGCAGGCTTTAGTCTGCAGGGGGATTTTTCTGACTGATTACAGAAGGCTAAGGGGAGAGTTAAAAATTACTTTAAATGAATCAAGAGCTCAACTGGATTTAGTCTTAATTTGTCAACAAAGGCTAACTCTACTTCTCAGAGTCTATGGATTCAAAGAGGACAAGGACATACAGCTGTAAGTGACTGCAGACTGTGTTAAAATAGACTTTAAATGAGCAAACATACAGTTTTCAAAGTAGAACTTGTGGAAGTCCATGCCCTCCACAAGGTTTCCAAGAGCCTCTGGCTCAAAAGACGTCAGTCCAGGGTCACAGATTCTTCTGTCAAAGGAAAATACAAACTTCAGCTCAAGAATTACTCGCAGAGAGAAAGTGAGGGGGTGAAAGCTGTAGATCAGATGACATGACGCATAAAGCTTTGGTTTATTCTGACTTCTGAACAAGCATTTTTGAGGTAGGACAGGCTGATGACTTTTGACTGTTTGATTGTTTGAACTGTAAATGAAAACCTACGTGTACGCCTCAAAATCCCCATTGTTGATGGCTTCAATCAGCTGCTCCGTCATCTTGATGATCTCCTGTTTACGAGCTAAAAACAGAAAGAAGGAGGAGTAGAGAGAGAGGACAAAGAGGTGCAGTTAAAGAAAAGATATCACACTTCATGCATTTCCTAAACTACCTTTAAAACACTGACTTTGACAGGAATATGAGTGCAGTCTCTGGTGGAATAGTGACATCTAAAGTCACCCTGACTCCTTTTTAATCTTTTTATACCCTGATTTATTTGGATCACTGGCATATTGGGCTTTTTTGGGGAGGAATTCATGTACAAAAATGATCAACATATCAGAGCTCAAAATGCAGCTTAAAAGGATGTTCCGGTGTAAGTTTAAGTCATGGTCAAACACACTGTAACACAGAGTCAGACACCCCCTCGAGAGAGATAAATTTTGCCAACCGCTTGCTTCTCTAGTTCTTCTTTCCATGAAGTAATAATCATTATATTAATCATTTTGCACTGCAGATGCAGTAGTTCTTCTGCCTTAACGTCTCGGTCTGATTGCATTTCCATGAAGAAATGATCATAAATTTTCTTTTTTGAGCTGCAGAACACCACTGCACTTGGTGATCGACTCGTCAGGGCTTCCCCACAGACTAGTGGCTGCTGGAGGAGAGTGGGTGAGTTGTGTTTAGTCTCTTTGCTAAAGAAATCAGATGTTTGGTGGCTAGTACTGTGTGCTGGAACCCTATATGTACTGCTGATGAAGTTAGGTGCTGTTCTGAGCATTATTTGTGGCTATAGAGTGGCGTTTTGATAGAGGTTCACGCTTAGAGACGTAGACTGCTGTGTATTGCCATTGTGCGGTCGTTGCTGAAGTTTGTGTAACTAAAGAAGCCAGTGGTCGACAAAATTCATCTCTCAAGGGGGCGTCTAATTTGATGTTACCATACAGTCTATGGATGGTACAGTGTGTTTGACCATGACTTAATGGAATATCCCTTTAACAACTGTACTTAGCCTTTACAAAAATGAAGATGACCTGTGTCTCCTGACCTCCAAACTCATGCAAAACAACATGCAAACACACACCTAACAGTGCACTGAAGAAGATACTACACCAGCACAGATGAACACAGATTTTTAAGAGTTAAAAATATTCTCAATGTAACAAATATGCAGCAGCTGAGCAAAAGAAACCATCCAGCAGGTCCTCCGCACATGTACATAACTGTTTTCTCTTAAAGACAGTTTATTCCTTGAAGTCTCCAAAGTCAAGACAGCGAGTAAGCGCACTGCTTCAGGAGCACAACCTGCACACCACACAACCTGACACTTACGCTGCAGCAGTTTACAGCTGCTGCCTGCAGGGGGCAACAGATTGGACTCTGGTTCAGGACAGGAGCTCTTAGCTGAACTGGTCTGAGGAGCACTGGGGCTGCTCACAGCCTCCTGCAGAGCATGAGCTGCACGCAGCCATCCCGGTAAAATAAAGTTATATTTAGAAAATTGAGAGTATCAAACCATTGCCATGGTATTAAATGATGCTTATTCTGCACAAACTAAATCAAGAAGTCATTGAAGGAAATTAGACTCCAGACACTCAGATATACTGTAGAAGGGGAACAGGAGGGTGTAGTCAGGTTTTAGTGTCAGTAGATGGCAGCAGATGGCAGAGCAGGCCAGTGCAGGAACATTAGGAAAAGCAGAAAACATCTGGTATTGTTGTTTACTGTTTTCATATGAAGCCTTTCAAATAAATAAGTGACTTTCTCTGCTTTAAGGGACAGATTTGTTGCCAGAGACAGTTGCTTAGCGTTGAGAGGAAAGGTCAGCACACAGAGGTTGGAGCTCAAAGGTGAGTCAGGTAACTTGTTGCTGACTTACAGATGGTGGGTGGTGGGCAGAGAGGAGACAGAGTCTGGGTCTGCTCCTCAGCAGTGCTGCAGAGGCTTACCACTGCGCTGTCTGTGCAAGCAGACTCACAGGCAGCCACTACAGCCATCACAACAAAGACACACAAACACAGACTGACAGAGAGCCTCAGAGGATGTATCAGCTATCAAGAATGAGTTTGTTTGGGAACACTTTTACAGTTTTTTTGAGTATTCACAGAGCAAAAAGGGATAAAATAGAAGTGCATAGTGGATTAATGTAAGGTCAGTTTGCAACAATAATAAGCTTATTTCTTTTCTTGCATATTCTTTTTATTATGATTATTAGTACCAGCTTGTTAAAATGATTTTTTTATATAATTTAAGGAATCTTTCTTTATCTTTTCCTATCTGGAAGTTAAATTTAAAAAAAAATCATAAATAAAAAGAAAAATTAATGACAAAAAAATGCACAAAGAATGACATGAAAATCTACAGAGCACAGTTGTGGAGACTAGATACAAAGAACTGAGCTGAACAAGTGGCCAAACCTCTCAGGTCACCTGTCCTCTAAAGTGAATAACATGTAAGAAGCTTTGGGTACGAGTCAGAGATCAGCACTCTGCTACAGCACTGAATGTCATCACAGCAGAGTGACAGTCATGACAGGTTTCAGCATGAGGTACTTACTATGTACAAGGATTTGGCCAAGGATAATTATCCTGTTCCCTTATTATTACAAATAATTAGTTACACGAATAACAAACTCACTGAATACTGCAAAATATTACTGTTACAAAACTTTGTTAAAACACTCATAACTCACACTGTTGTGAGACTTTACTTACACTGTTTTATGATTAAAACTGAACCTGTCTGACGACACTAGTGGCAATAAAGCACTTTTTTAATTTACATTTAATCTTTGACCAAACTTGTTATCAGTTTTAAGTGTCAGAGCATTGTGTTTACTTTTCTGTCACTTCAGCAAACCAGCAGGTGACATTTCCTTAACCAACCATGTGACTCGGGGTTTAAGAGGTAACTTCGATCTGACTTTACAAAACAATGAGCTAATTCATCCTACTAATGTTTAAATCTGTATTCTAACAAATCTCAGAGAAACAGGAACAATAGACTCTTCTTTGTATGTCAATGATGAGCTGCTGTCAGATCCAGTGCTGGTAAGTAAACCTGTATAAAGCTGCCCTAAGTAACCGGATTAACTACACTGGAGAACTGCAGTCGCTCTGTCCTTCTCCACTCAACTCTCCAGACAATAAGTGTCGTCCCCAGCCTGGAAATGACTAATGTTCGGCTTAAGCAGTCTGGGGATCAGTCATGCACAGAAACAAAACGGCCCAAGTACCAATGAGGTGGGTTAAGAAGGAGTTAATGTTGGATTTGTCAAACAGATGTAAGCCTGGAGGTCTATAATGTTAGATACTTTCCTGATACAACACATGTAGAGCTTAAATAAGGTTGTAAAAAAAAAGGCATTTCTGTTGATAATAGTCATGCAAACAGAAAAATGTTGATCTTAGCTATTTCTTACAATCAAACTAACATTATCTGTCACCATATAAAATTAAAACAATGAAGAAAAACTGTGCAGGATTAATTCCTCAACTGTATTTCTCTGTCTAATCTGGAGTTTAATAGACATAAGTGAACGTAACCAGGCATGCAGAGTAGGTGAAAAGTTGGACAAGTACCTTTCCTACCTTTCATCTCCTCCTCTTCTGTGTTATTGCAGCTCTCTGTGGAGCCCTGTCAGACAGGAGAGAGAGAGAGAGAGAGAGAAGGACAGAGAGAAGGGAAGTTTTGGAGGAAAAAGGAAGCAGAAAAAAAAAGATGAGTCATTTGTTAATGTGTCTGCGAGACACGGTCAAGAGGCTTCGGACACTTTTGCGCATACAATGTATAAGCAACAAGACAGATGGATGGGTGGACGACTCCCTCCCAGGAGCACAAACCAGCCAGGACAGCAGCGCAGAGAGCCACGCATGACAGAGTGACACTATGTGAGAGTAATTTCTAAGTGTGTAATTTAACGAGTGTGTGAGGGCATGTTGGTGTGTTTTAGTGTTCTCAAGGAAGTCTCTGTGAGAAAAGACTGAAGAAATTGCGAAACAGCACTGCAAAGTTAAATATCTAGTGATGCTAGTATTCAGCGAGTTAAAACAATAAAACAACAAGCCCATGATGGTTAGTTCCTGCTTTAGCAGAAAGTTGATGTGAGTAATTAGTTCTTAAATATGGTACATGTAGGATTTTCTGTGTCATTAAAATTTAAGATTTGATTTCCCCACCAGGACGTTTCATATTTAAATGTTTTCATCATGTAATCTCTTCAGTCTGTTTATAAATGGTGCTCTGTCGCATGAATACACTTCTCCCTCACCCACAACAGTTTCGTTATCTTTATTTAATCTTTTTTAAAAGCAGGTGTATCAGGTTTCATGTCGACTTGCACAAGAAGTGAGAAAAATATCTCTTAAAATCTATATATTTTGAGATGCATGATCCGTCTAGGTGTGAACAGCGGTGATAAGAGCTGGCCACTTTGATCCTATCTGCCAGACCATGTGCTGAAAGAGGTGTCAATGAGAAAAACTGCAGTAGGACCAGATAGGAAGGAACACCCCTCCTGGGTCATTGTAGATTTCAGCTAGCTCCTAATCCCCCTCGCAACCTTTCCAATGTCCCTAATTATTCGATCCTGCACCTCCGCCTACCGATAGCAATGAGGTTTATAAACAAGACGCAATGGTAGTTTAATTTTAGCGGATGCAAAGTAGAGAGCAAGTGCCTGTTGCTCCACAGAATGACGCAGTATCTGATATTTGCTGATAGTAACAGCAAATTGCAAGTAACCAAAAACAAAACCATTTTAAGAAGAAGCTAATTTATACTTAAGAATATTATTTTACTGTTTACCAAGTCTGTTCAATTTTCAAGAGTGAGACTTGAACCTGCTGGAAAACTGATCAAAGGTTAAAGTAAGATTACAAAAATAGACAAAAGCTGTCATGTCTTTATACAACTCTAAATCTAATTACAAACTTTTCAGCTCCTGTTTTAGATAAAAACTTAAGGACAATTGATGTCACCTCTATTACTTTGATTTCTTTATAAGTAGCATAAAGGCTCAACTTGAATTAAGATCAGTATTGTAACACGACCTCTGATTGGCCAGTCTTCTGATTTGATGGAAGCAGTCAGACTAATTCTGGCTCCTCTCTGAAACTTAAGCATTAATTCAACTTTTAAAGGTATAAAAGAAAACATGAGTATGATTTTTAAATCCAATAAATAACTCATCAAATCCAAACATGCATCATTTATAAAAATTAATGTTCCTTTTAGTATTAATTGATTATAATATAACAATTTATTCTAGTAGGACCAGATAAGTGCACCTTCGTTTCAAACAGAAGCTGATTTGCATCCAGATTGGAGGAGTTCACAGAATTTAATTCTCCAGTAAGATCCCGTCTGGTAATCAGGAAGAGAAATGATGAAACATGCCAGCAGAAGCCAGCGCAGATTAGGTGCACAATGAGGCGTAGCGAGTTGTTACGGTCATTTTTGACGGAGATGTATGGAGTAAATTTAGAGACAATCCTCCACCAATTCCCTGCGGGTGTTAGTAGTGGCTGGTGGCTAGTGGTGGGAGAAGGAGGGCCTTACCTTAGTGCCGTCAGCTGGGTTGTGTACAACAGTTGTCTGGGCTTCCTGGGGGGAGGTAGGAGACACTTTACCATGCAGGGAGGGAATGGGTAGGGGGACACCAGGGAAGATGCCAGGGAATACAAACGTATTCCACGACAACAAATATACAAAACAAAGGCATGTGTGCACACCAAAACATGGCTACAGTGAAGAGGCTGTGGAGCACTGGAAGTGATTGCGTAGATGAATGTAGATGTCAAGGCGCTCAGTGTCAGTTTGATCAACCTTTCACCAGCACCGTGGCCCTAAAATGTCTAACGGTCTCTTAAAGTAATGAAAGCAACACTGGACAGTCCAAAGCAGCTCAAACAATATTCACAAACCAGGGCCAAGACTGAGGAGGAGGGTCCAAATCAATGAGCAAGCAACTATGTTTTATGAGTTAAGAGTGCCTTTAACCTTACAATTTTTGAAGGCTCCGAAATATCCAATTCTGCATTTAATAAATAAAGTATCCGAGGAGCAAATGAGAACTATGTGATTACGAACCCAAGCACAAAGTTTTCTATTAGAAATCTTAATATTTAGGATTTAGCTCATTGATTTTACTAACAGGCTTTCAAAGCTTGTCGGTTGTGATATCTTACTTTCCCTCATCCTCAACTTTGACCCTTTCCCAAACACATTAAGCTCAAAGCAATAATGACGCCCCAAGTGCAGCACTGTGTGGAAATCAAATCTATGGAAATGCAATAAGTTTGTCCGTCACATATTAAGAATCCTGATCTCAATCCTTACTAGACCTGATACCCATGAACTAGAAATACAGAAAATGCAGCCCCTTAAAGAAAATGTGGGTTTGCAGTGATTTCTTTTCTATTATATACAAAATAGCTAACTTTGCATTTCATGTTACTAATTCCTGAGATACTCAGTGGTGGACAGGAATCTGTCAAACAAAAGTAACTTGCTTTTAATGGTGCGCAGACTGCTAATGTCCCTGTGGAGACAGTGTAAAAATCATGTGACCCACTCTAAGAAAGTAACGTCAAAAGATTGAAACTTTTCTCAAGATTTAACGTGCTTTAGCGTGTCATATATGAGCCAGTCCCATTACAGACATGAACACAGGGGCTGCATTTTCATGACATAACAGTCACTTTGTTACCCATCCCCTCCAACTCTTGTTTTACCCAGTAGTCCTCATCACATTTAAGAGTCATAAACCAAAAAAACAACAATTTACAATTGGCTTTGAATTAATGTAGCAAAGGTTAGGACTTGAGATTTTCCGGCTCTGCTTTTAGAGAAAGTGCAGAAACCCTTTTACTTCCAAAGACAAACTATCAACAAATCTCAGGTGACAATTCCTGAACACACAAAGGTGTCTTCAGGAATTGGCCGAGCAGAACTTGATTGAAGTGTCTGCTGTGTATCAGAAAATGAAAGTCATTTGTCTTCCTGTCAGTGTTGGGCTCTGAGTAAAAAAAAGATTGTGTATCGCTGCAATGGGTCTGGGTAAAACACAAGCTAGGAAAGATGCTCTCAGGCTCAAACCAGCAATTCAATTTGAAGGTGTCAAATATACTGCCAACATCACAGTTTGTGTTGAATATAGAGTCAGAGGATGAAGGACGAGAGAGGATGAAGTCCAGAGAGTATTTCACTTTACATGGGATGTGACAAAAAAGATGAGGAGGAGACATAACTAAACACTAAGAGGATGAAAAAGATGAAACAATGACATCGAAAGCAAAGTGAGAGAAAACAAATAAAATGAGGTACCATTGGTGCTGTAGATGACATGCTGCTGTCTTTGGTGCTGCTGCTGCTTACTACACTGTTATTACTGTTGTTCCCCTGCGACCGAGGCAAAGAAACACAACACAGAATGACTCCCACTGCTGCCTCTGTGCAATAAACCAACCTATGGGAATCTAATGTGGAAAACAGGGATATGGCTATAACACAGCCATATAAAGATATTAACTTACTACAAATGGTTAGGAGTTTAAACTGCACAGTATGGGAGTGGGTTTAAATACTAAACATTATAAACTTTGAAATCTGTGTTAATAATCTGACGCTTTCTCGTATCTATATATCCCTCCAATCTGCAACATGACTCTTATAATCGAGCATTGAACTTCTTAGCTTGTTTAGGTGACTTGGGTCTTTTTATTTCTACATTACCATGACCACTAAGTGTCTGAATCACTCTTTGAGCATCCTAGTTCAAGCCTGCATTTAGTGTCTGCAAAACCGCAGTCATATTACATTGTTCAAAAAGTAGAAATGCACAAATGTTAGTCAGCAAATACATTTAAAAACAACAGATATAACATCAGACTATAGGTTTTCATTTTGTCCCAGCACCTTTGAATTACATTATTTAAAAATCAGCTTAAAGGAGAAATATCAAGTTTGAATCTTTGACAGGTTGTACAGCAGCCTGTTCTTGCCTGCAACATAGTCAAAGCGTTTATAACCAGGCCAGGTTTTCATCTTAAATGGGGTCCAGTTCAGGTCTGTGCATGCAGTGAAAGGCTCTGATGACAAGTTTTTCTGTTATTGAGGAGAACACTAAGTTTACATATAGCTAATGTAATTATTTCCCTTCTTTATATCAACAGAAGCTGATCTTGACGCAATACTAAAGGCTGTCTGACCCAGAACTCTGACGGTCCCTGTTAAGTGCTTTGACTGAAATGGGATGAGTCAATCCTCAGTCCAAACAAAAAATTTTAATTTAGTTTGCCAATAACGAAATAAACAAATAAAAAAATAAACAGACAAAAAGGAGATCTGGAAAAAAAGATCTGGAAAAAACTAAAAAAAGATGCAGTTTGAGACTGTGCCTTTGTCAGATGTACATTCATTCATTTTCATTGTTTTAAGGGTCTAAATATTGTGTTTCAACATAAAGTTTGGTGCATTTATGTAGAACATAGAAGTTAAATTTTACATGGTAGATTTTATCAGCAAATTCTATATTCACACATGTAGATTCATCTGAACTAACTTCAGATTTTTTATTCAGTCTTTTCAGCCCAACAATTTTAGCTTTATTTTAGTTAATTTCATACTCATAGTATTGTTGTCATCCAAAAATTGCTGCTCAGAGTAATTTGTGAAATTTTCAACAATCTAAACGTGTTTGTTTATTTAAATTCTACATAAAGAAACAAAAAAGAAGCTTCTCTTGCCTGTCAGCTACTTTCTTTGGTTAGAGGAGTGTGTTTCTTTCCTCGACATGCCACTGTATGTTTACATTTTCTATTGCTATGCGCTACATGACATGCTGTACCGCTCTGAATAGTTGCGGGTCTGTCCAGTGGTTTTCAGAGACATTCAACATGCAGCCATCACTAAAACTCCCTTGAAATAGAGATGGACTAAAAGATTCAAGATCCATCCACCAAGGTGAGGTGGTCTGGCAGTACCAGACTACAGTTTGACCTAAACTAGAGAAAAAAACAGGATCTCTGTCTTTTGATCTACTTTTTTATGATAAAGTCAAGCCTTTATGGAAGTGTAGTTAAAAAAGTTTCATTGAGTTAATATTTTTTGTTCACCCAAACACTTCTTTTGGTCATGTTTTGTTAGAAATTGCAGGCTCGAATAGTGGTTCAGCTGCATGATGACAGATGGAGTGTAAGATCTGAACAAGGAAACACAGTTTGAGCTGGACTCTGCCTCAGGCTGACTGGAGGGGAAACAGAAAGAGAAGCTGCTTGAATGCAAATCAGTTTCTCCAAAAGAAAGTTGAGAGGTGTGGACGGATGGATTACATCTACAAAAGATAGCAGAAGTGCTGGGAGTTTTTTTTCAGCAGCTTTTCTGCAACATTTAAAGGAGCAAATATTCCACAGAAAAACTATTCTGGTGATCTCTACGGTCAATCATGATCATCTTTTGGCAGGAAAAATCATGTAAAAGACTGTGAACAACAAGCAACAGCACAACCTCTTCAAGAACAAGGAGACTTTATTTCTCTGACGTACACTGCTGTGAAAATCAGTCTCTCTCTTTTGAGAATCAGAGTTACGAAACCACAGCAGGAAGTGCTCACTAAATAGTACTTTATCTTTTTTTCCTTCTTCGATTTAATAATCAGGAATCCTTTCTTAAAAGAGTTCTTTGTCGTAGATTAATCAAAACATCAGACTTCCTGTAACACAGAAACTCTGAGGATTTAGTTCAGTAAACTGAGTATTTCTCTCAACTAAAATACTACAGGAACTGAAATCTTCAAAGACAAATGTTTTTTTTATGGTATGGTATCAATCACTTACACAGTACTAGCTTAAATCTGTACATAGATCAGACATTTGTCTCGGGTTGAATGATTTTTGCTCATCAAAGTTTGGTCTCCAAAAATGCTCTTCTTAAAAGGTAGATGCAGGAAACTCATGTGCAGCAATATAATGATTCTTATTGTAATTAGGCCTAAAGAGCGCTATAGAAATGAGTCTTAAAACAAAGAAATGACTGCAAATCTTGTAAGTATAACTACCTTCTCTACATTTAAGTTAAGCTATTTTTTAGTTTAATAATTTGGATTTTTAGTTTTATTTTGATAATTTGAAAGATTTTTGAACATTTTGTCTGTTATTCAAAATATTTCTTTAAATAATGAGCAAAAGTCACATTGACTTGTAGGTCATAGGCCCCTACAGCTGATCAGTGCCCTGTTGGCCGTGTGTCAAATCAAATCCACAACGAGTACAAAAACAAATGGGTTATCTGATAGCAAAGTAAGGTACTGAAAATACAATAATTGTTCATTTACTCAAACAACAGTGTTTAAAGCTGAGTTAATTTAAATGAGCTAAAATCGAGCTGACCCAGTCTGCAGTGGTTGATATCCTGGAGCTTCTGCTCCAGTTCTGCAGCTGATTTCTCAACAAAGGGTCAAGCTGACTTAGATCTCCTATGGCAAATAAATTTATCATTGACAAGTACCTTAATATGAACAATTTGGATGCTCAGTGGTGAGGTGAGTCATACGACTCTGTTTGACACATCCAGAAAATGTTTATGTGCTTAAATCCCAAAAAGACTAAAATACCAAAATCCCAAACGGTGAGTGAATCAGGGAGATACAAACTTTGGGCTACAGATGTGAAAATGTGACATGGCTGCAGTTCTCTGTCTGTAATAAACAGTGGATATACTTTATTTATACTTATATTTATACTAATTTTAAAACTTCAGTATAATTGCAAATATTTCTAATTAAATACAGATATCCTCCTAAAGTTTTGAAATAAAATTGCTAAAAATAACTTTATATTAATTAAGTGTTATAAAGAGTAATATCTTCAAAGCCTCAATTGACTGTGGTTTAAAAGTAGATCAAATGCAGGTGACCAAGACAGCTGTTTTTTTTACTGGAAAAAGGGGGAGAATAATGATGGTATGGTAAGAATGCAATAATTAAAAGAAGGGAGGGATTGTATATCCATTTGTATGGTGAGCTGCAATCTTACTCCTGTAAGAGATGTTGGTAAGTGAGCCAGAGTGCCTTATCTTCTCTCCATCACAAGTACCAGAGGTGGGTAACTTGATGGGTGTCAGTGGTTTGTGTGTTATATGTCAGTGGTTGAAATGGTTTTGGTGGCGCTTATGGCAAAAGAGGATGCGAGGATGTTGGATGGAGTTGGGAAATCCAACAGATACTGAACATAGACGCCTTAAACATCTCTGTCCAAAGGAAATTAAAAAATAAAATAAAGTAAGCGGAGGACCGCAGGGGTAAAAATACTCAGAAAAACGGAGAGAGAGGAAAACAATCAAAAATGAATAAAAATCGACAGAACTGATCTCACCATCAAACAAACACTTGAGCTGGACTTCCTTTTCTGACAGACAGCAATGGAAAGGAGGAGGAAAAATAAAGGGTCATCGGGAAACAAAGAGCTGATAGTAATCGTAAAAAAAGTGAAGCTGCCAGTTCGATTCCAGTAAGAAAGACAAACCAAAAAGTTGCGTAAAGAAAGGGAGATGAGACACAGGGATACTAAATAGACTTCAGGAAAATACAAAGAATTAGCAAGGAAAACAATGTAGGGAGAAATCTTTTACAAGACAACTAAAACCTTTAAAAAATGATTTATGCTATATATCTTTAAAATGTTACGGGTCATATTTAGGGGGAATTTATTGATTGTTTGAGTCACTGCATTTATTTTTTTTGTCCTTGCTGATGATGGCGCTTCATTGCATGCACTGACGCTGACTGCACATCAAAATAAAGTGAGCACCAAGACGTAATGGCAGCTCAAATTGAAGTAAATCTGAGAAAAACCTGGGGGCGGTTGTAAAATTGGCATTACTTTCAAAGCATTTTGGTCTCTATTCAGACTCTAACATTCACTTTAATGTTATTTATTTTTATCTATATTTTGCTGTTCAACACAATCGACTAGCAAGACAATTTCAAAGATCCTTTTTCCTGAGCACAGAAAAAAATCTTTAAACTTTACTTGTTACACAATAGATCAAAGCACCAAAGAAAATGGACTATTCAACCAAAAAACAAATATACTGCTTTTCATACATTTCCAATATCAGAGAAAACAGATTAAAATAGGCAGAGAAAATCGCTCGGGTGGTAGACCAAAAAAAGAGGACAGCAGAAGACAGGTAGAGTGAAAAAGACAGTAAGGTCAATAAATCCTTCATATGTGAGAGAGAGCTTACCTTTACTCCATCCGACTTTTTGTTTAGTAAGGTTTTGCATGCTAGAGGAAAGAGAGAGGAGATGGTCAGGACACATTTTCAAAAGTATTTATATGACAATCAAAAAAGAAATAAATAAATAAAGCAATTAGCTGATTTAAAAAATTAAAAATGAAAACTTGATTTGGAGTCCTGGTGTCATCTCACATATTCTACTACTTAAATGATTAAATCTTTGATTCCTGTGATTTGGAGTCTAAATTGTTGAGAACTACTCAGGATTATAAAAAAGGATAATGAAATAAAAATCAATATCTACAAATTCTAATGTTTCTATTTATAGACATCGACGTAACATCATTTATTCCTTGTTCAAAGTGGCCATCACAGAGCAGGAACAAATCAAAGCAGGAACGACAAAAGAGGAGAAGATCTGGACTAAGTCTTCACAAAAAATGAATAATAACATTAAAAAAATGCAACTTTAGACATTTCTTATATTTTATATTTACAAATACATATAAATTCTATTATTTCTTTTTTAACCACATTTATCCAAAATTAAAGCCTTTATATTACTCTTATTTTGCAAATGTAATACCATTAGCAGCCTGGTCCTGCAAAAACAGCCCAAAAAGTAAATAACTATAAAGTTTCCCATCAGACACAAGACAGTTGAGTACTGACACTCATAATAAATGATCGCGGGGTGGGAATGAGGGGTTGGGCTGAGGTAGATCAGGGTATTCTTAGTTTCTTTTATTCCTCTGCTATGTAAACCACTTTGTGCTACATCGGTTTTGTATGAAAAGTGCTACACAAATAAAGACTGATTGATTGATTGAATAAATACATTAATCTAATCCCACTATTTGACCTGAAGTAACTCCTTTAAACTTATAAAAAGAATGAAAAATACATCAAAGAAGTGAACAAGTTACAAGTATCATATTGGTCCTTTACACAAAACAACTTATCTCCCTGAAATTAAAGAGTCAAAAGGGAAATTATTTCTCATTTAAGTGTTACAACTCAACTGTGGTTGTGACAAGCAGGAAAAAACAAACACGTTTCTCTGGGTCAAACAAAATATACTGTAATCCAAGAAGTTTATCTAACTGAAAACTTTCTTTATCTAATTTTTTGTTAGCTGTTAATGATCAAACATCGGCATGCACAAGAGACAAATTATGTACGATAAATAAGACAGATATTTCACAGGAATCTGAAGGAAAATGTTCACAAGCATGCACACGACAACACATACTGTAAATAATAAAATACTGTTACTCTTTTGTAAAGAAAAATTACATAGACTTTCAATAAACCTTCCTTACCTTCCATTTAAAGTAGGAAGGAGGGTAATAAAGAAGATAAGACAAGAGTAATATATTTAATATCTGCATTTCAGCATCTGAACTGAAAACTGACAACTACAGACACAAACAGCTGCCAGGCTCTTTTAGAGACAATCTTTGTCATTTCACAGAGGTCGTGGGTTCATGCGGTGATGGTGCGGCTCATGAACTTGTCTGACATGCAGCACCTGCTCACAGTGTTATCTCAAAAAGTGCCAATGAGTGCATTATCAATGGCTTAAAGACCGTGGAGTCACCTATCAACATCATCTGAGATCTATATCCTTCACTTTTGCACTCGGTGTAGCATCATGATCAGGAAGTGTGGAAACGTGACGATCAGATGCAGGCTAAGAGAGATACCCATCACTGCCAGCTTATGTGTCATCCACTTACTGAACAGAAAATAACCCCAGTATAAACAGCCTTTCAGCAAGCAGCTCGCCCTGTCACATGACCCACATGTACCTTTATAGGGCTCTGTATGCTTCATACAAACTAGACAGAACGACAAACAGTATGACAAATGCCCACTGTCGATGAGAAGAAATACAAGTCATTGAATTGGCACTTTCAAATGTTCAGGGAGAAAAATACCTGATCATTCAAAACTACCTCTTAAACACTTAGAAATAAGGATTCTACTTAAATGCAAAACTGCAATGTAAACTCGAAAAGGTCATTTTTAGGTCACTATTTCAACTTATATCAGTCAGTGTGTTTTAAACCAGTTATTAGAAAAACAATAAAGGAGCAATGCTGCAAAGATTTTAGACTTCTGACTATTTGTGGATGCAAAGAAACATTTAGCGGTCTGGAGGCAGAAGATGCTGTTTGGCGCTCATGCTAGCATTTTGTTTGAAGCATACTGTTACTTTTAGGTGTTTTTGGTTTTGTCTGTTCACACAAAAACAACAGGGCAGGCAGAAGAGAGAAGACAGAGAAATATTGATAACACAGACACTTTACATTTTGTTTTTTTTCAGCTTCCCATGCAGGTAAGCATACTATACTGTCAATTCATACACATGCTTGGCTGGCGGTTAGTGCCACAGCCATGCGGTAGGAAGGTTGAAGCAATCACAGGCAGGCATCGACCGGGAATCCGCTGAGTATTGTGGAAACAAACCAGCTCATTGAAGGAAAACTGGTGTGTCTATTTGCATGTGTTTAATAAAAGCAGAAACTGCTGCAGAGGAAAGAGACATGCAGCCTGTTGTGTTAATGCAGAGAGGTGTAAACAGAGCTTTGCTTGGTGGCAGCTGCAGTACTTAGATGGAGGTCAGAGGGTCATGCTGGGTGTCAGTTAAATGGCTGTTGTGTTCGACACGGGAAATTAAATAGCCCTTCCTGGAGAGGAGCTTTGTCCATTAGCATCAAAACACACAGCCCCTCTGCAAGGTCAAAAACTAAGCTCTGTTTCTGGTTTTACATGTTGATGTTTGTGTGTGTCTGTAGGATGGCCCAGTGCAATGACAACCATTCAAAAGTGTTTCATCACTGTGCGGGAGCAGCAGGCACGAGGTGGAGGGGTTCAAGCAGCCCAGACTACATGCCAATAGCCTGAGTCTGAAGTTGGCAGTGCAAGACTCCAACATCCCCTCAAGCAGACGTACCTTCCTGTGCCATTGCGGCCGTGCTGGTGGTAGCGGCAGGGCTGGTATGCTGCCGTCCCACTATTGGACAGAGAGGGATTCAATATGGAGGCACAGGTAGGGCATGAGCCTCCCTAAAGCCTGACAGCCATTTTATTTCAGTGTTTTGCACTAGAATGATAAAGCATGTTTGGATCAGGGGAGAAAAATGATCCTTGAGCAGCGGACAGGAAATCCTTTTAGCACCTAAATACCTGTGCCCTGAAATCCTTGATCTTACTTCCTCTGACATCTGCTTGATGAATGGGCCTACAGGTCTGTTAAATGCAATGTAAAGGTCTGGCTTGTCTGCTCCCTTTATCATGAACAGTTAAAGACAGTTGGCTTATCCACAGGAGCTGATTGACTGACATGAAAGCATATAAACACAGAGACAATACCATAATATATTATTTTTCTGGCCATCAACTCCCCTGAACATTGGGTTTTTAATGAAGAGTGACCCTGTGTCTCTGTGATCGAACAAGAAAGAAATCCAAACTGAACCCCTGAAGTGAAAACTCAAAACTGCAGACAAAGCTGATGAGGAAATGTGAACAGGAATAAAGTTTAGGGGTTAAGTAAGAACTACATTCAGGCCGATGAAGATAATGATCACAGGTAGAAGCAAAGCAAAAAGCAAATTACTCGGCCATTATGAAAGGCCTAATAAGGGAAAAGTCCGCTGTCCTTTAGTGTCTATACTGACAAAATACATCAGCATCCCTACAGTGAGAAGTTGATTTGTGTTGCTTTTTTTTCATGCAAAGCTTACCTGAAAAGTTTCTGGACACCAGCATAGTTGTGAGGATAGCTCCCTAGAGGAAACAGAGAAAAATCAGCATTATAAGGCAAAGAGTGACATGTGTGTACATATATATATTTATATTTGAGTATGTGTCCACACTCACTTTGAGTTTCCTCCTGGCATTGAACTTGCGCAGGCACTCCACAGTCTCTTGACGGTGCATCATGGAGGCTACAGTGGAGCGTTGCTGCATGAAAAGGAGAGAAATTCACATTTTTAATGAACTGGACTTAATCATATCATCATGTCAGCAAATGCACTGCTTTCACTCCACTGTTATATGATGCCTGCCAGCCAATCGGAAGCATTTTTGCCTTGGTGAAGTTAAAACGTCATCGAAGTGTTTTCTAAGCAAGTCTTAAGCAAGTGTGTGAGAACTTTGAAGGTGTTTAATTACACCCAGAACTATAAATTCTGCTCCAGCACATATATGACACAGATCAGTATTTCTTGAACTGGGCAAAAGTACATTTTTATTTGAAAACTGGAAAAGAAATGTGACTTACGCAGACCCAGGGATGCTTGAGGGCCTGGTCGGCGGTGATCCGTTTGGCAGGGTTGATGGTTAACATCTGATTGATCAGATTCTTGGCCTCAGGGGTCACTGTGTCCCACTCTGGAGAAGGAAACTGGGGGAGAAAGATAAAGAGGGAGCAACATTAAAGATGGAAATACCTTTTTCAGCGTTCGAAGAACCAACTGTCCGAGACTCAGATGTTCATGTTTCGATGACCCAAGGGAGCAAATTATAGCAGGAGACAAAAAAAGCTTGGTACAGATATTGAAGAATTTGGAATTGGAAGACCAGGTCCAACTATGATAATCGAATCGACACAAGCCACAAGTCAGGGTTGATGAAAATAAATGTGCAATAAATTTAGACTTTTGGATTGAACAGGCAACATCTATTTTGGCAAAGGTAAAAAAGTTGAGCCTCTCTAGTACAGAGTGTATCAACTGAGTGTGGTTTGTGTTTACTTTAAGTCAACTGACTTCAATTAAAAACTACTGCAGGCTTCTACTAATATTTGTTTTCATAATGGTTTAATAATGTATTGTTGCAGTTACTTCATATTTGCATCCTCAACACCAGCTGCTGTTATCTTAACCTGGCACTGTCTCTCACTCTCTCCTTTATGGTCATATTCTATTGCCAAACTCACATGAGACTGGTATGTATCGATATACAGGAATATACCTACATAGGAGAGTGACAACAATAATAAATCAGAGAGGAATACTCACATCATATGCACCAGCCTTGATTTGCTGGTACAATTTATGTTGGTCCTCATCCCAAAAAGGAGGATAGCCCACCAACAAGATGTACAGGATCACACCTGACACACATATAAAACTCACATTACAAAACTGTAGATAAACACCTAAAAATGTGTTTCAGAGATACTACTTTCTTAAAAAATATGAGTTTGCATACACAAAAACAGAAATGGTAAATGAATATCAACTAACTGACCACATGCCCATATGTCTACAGGTTTGCCATATGGATCCTTTCTCAACACTTCTGGTGACAGGTACCCTGGAGTTCCTGCAAAACCTGTGAAACAAAAACAAAAATACAAATTTGATATATTCTGCATCAAACAAAATCAACTATTTCATGGAAAGAAAACAGAGTGTCTAATATTTTTATATTTAGGATTCACTTGAGAAGGAAAAATGGTTCAACATAAAGTTCAGATTTCTGTATCAAGTGCTATGAAGGGTAAAAAATAGACCTTGAGTTTAAATAGAAAACTTTACAATCAAACCTTAAGTAACCCCAACTAAAAACTTAGAGAGTGTAGCAGAATTACTCAACACACTATGCAGATTATTTACAAGAGTTCTCATAAACCGTTTGTCAAAGATAAGTTATTTTTGTAGACATAACTTTTCTTTTTTAAAGTGATTGAAATAAAGCTCTATTAGTCCTGATTTAGTTTAACAAATTACAACTTGGTGCCAAGAACAGATTTTGTAGCTAAAGCAAAGATGGCCACATCTAGTGAGAACAATAAAAGAATTGCAGAGAAGATGATCACTTCAGGGTGGAAGAGCAGCCCTAACTTCTTACCAAACCATGCCTGTTGGTCCCCCTGCACCTCGATGGCTAGACCAAAGTCTGCAAGCTTCACTGCTGCTCCCTTCATCTTACTGGCCAGGAGCAGATTCTCTGGCTGCAACACACACACAGACACACACACAATAACACAAAAAATTATTTTCACTCAGGCTGGATCTTGGGATTCAACTTGAGTTTTTATTTTTTGGTTTATTTTTACTGTAAAATGTCATGTATAGAAACAAATGCCTGTAACAAGTTGGTATAAAACCTCTGTCTTGCTTAAATTTCAAATTTCCCAAAACACAAACAAAAGACAAATACAAAGATTACAGAAATATCAATAGAAACAGGTTTTTGAACTGACCCTTATGATAAAAGAGGTAGGTATGATGAAACTGCCTTTAATAAGGGCAAAAGAGATCATCACATATCATACTTTAAGAACAGTTCTATTTGTGTCAATGACCGGATGAGCTGCAGGATCTGATGACATCTGCAGTAATGAGGCATGATTTGGTTAAACAGGCTTTAAAGGCCTCTCCCAAAGGAAAGACCCTTTCAATGAGCTGTCATATTTGGACACTGTGCCTCTGATTACACAACCGTTCAGAAATGTCAAGACTTGTCAAAAACTTCAAATTAGATTTTGTACAAGTAAAATAGTGCATTAAAGGAATGGTAAATTTTGCATACAGGAGTTTTGGTAAAGTAGACACAGTGCTTTCTGCTCCATTAACTTTTATTTGGTGTTGCTATTTGGGTTGTAACAGATTATCTACTTTTGATTACAGACAATATGTTCAGAGACATACAGGGCTTAATAAACACAAAGGCCCTCGATCAGAAGAATTTTCGAGAAAAAAACAGTAAATGCTTTTGTCTCATTTACATTTCGGACACACTGACTAGAGGACTCAATATGTTTATGTATTTGTGCGCTTGTATGTGTCTATAGGGTAAAAGTCTTGCAGTGCATAGCTCTCTCATTGCCTAAAACCTACCACTGTGAAAGAGTCTGACACTTGTACCAACTGTCTCTCAACTCAAAGCCTGCTTCTTCTTCTTCTTATCTTTCACCATCAAGTTAGCTGTATGCATCCACCTTTCTACCCTTCTCTCCTTCCACTGTCTCTCTTGAGCCGGGCTTAAACAACTGGACATCAAAATAAAAGGAGGGACTGCACAGGGATAAAAAAGCTGGAGTGAGGGCAAGAGAAGAAAAATCAGTGTGAGACAGATAGAGACAGATAGATGGGAGGTGGCATAATGAGTCCCTGCACTGGTGCTGCAGCAGCCGGGTGACCTCACCCCACAGTTACCATGGCAACCCAGTCTGCCACCAGCCAAGAGCACTCAACTATTTCTCTCTAATTCTTGTTTTCCTTTCAGCAAGAGGCCCTCCCAAGAACACAGGGAGGCAAAAAAATATATGTGTGAGGTCACAACTCTTCACTGCACCCTTCGCTGGCATTATTAGTATTTTCATGGCTCCAATTCTGCTCTTTCCCCAGGATGTTCCCAGAAAAAAAGTCCAAATATATCAGATATTCCTTTTTATAAGCTGGAGGGTGTACTCTGCTAAACATCCTCTTTATTTTGAAGGAAACTAAGTCTTAGCAACTTTAGCTGATAATTAAAAAAAAAAACAAAAAAACACACAAACAAAAGCACCAAATGTTGTAGAGCGTTGTGTATCACAGGACGCCTGCAGTGTCAAATAGTCAGTGCCCTTTTTGCTTTGGTTTGCTGACTGCTCCTCTATGTTCCATGTTTTCTATATCAGCTTGTTTCAGCAAAGCTTTTATAAATTACATTAAGCCATAATCTTTGCATGTTAATGCATGTTACTAATGTTTCAACTGAGTAATATATCATAATAACTGAGTGATTTATTGAAATAACTTGTAATATAACGTTTAAGCTGAGCTAAATGTTAAAATCTAGCACTCACTTTTAAGTTTTTCCATCATGTAGGACGCACTTCATCCTTACTCAGCCTGGTGTTATTAAAACGCTTACTTAAATTGAAGGTATAATTCAGTGAGAGTGACTGCTTTCTGGCTGGGTGAGTGTCTAAGAGCAGATGAAGCTGGACTGAGGACAACAGAGTTGAACATTAAAAACTAATGTAAGCCCTTTCTGTCCTCTGCCCACATCATCCATCAAGATTTTGTCTCTCTAAAGCTCTCTCCTGTCTCTGTTCATTTGATACCAAGATCTGCATGCAAGCTAAAAGAAAATCAATAAAAAGCAACACAAGTCCATTTACACCACTCTCACAAAAACAGATTGTTTACTCTATAATTATGTGTGTCTGCTTACTGTAGAGTAATGGTTTAATCTTGTTCTATCAAAACTTATGGACATGATTGTTGAAGAAACTATTAAAGTTTTGAACTGTGAACTCACTGTTGGAAATGTTGTCTAACTTTCCAGATGCATCACGTCCCTTGACTGTCATCACTCTGTTTAAGGTGACCTATAATGCTGATCTATAAGAGACCTATCAGGCTTTGAACCATCAGCTGTAAGTAACATTATTACAAAAGCAAATGGAATTTTAGCTATGAGGAGCTAGTGTTGGCTCTAACGACTAGCTTCTGTAAAAGCATTAGTTTCAGTTTGTTTCATGACTTCAAAGCTGTGTGAAAAGTAACACCCACAAGCTGAATTTAACTTTGTATTACCGGAAAAGCAGCCGAAACAGGCTGAGGCTAAAAGTGCTGAAGTGAGGATTTTCACGGATGCCAGTCTGAAATAAACAAGCAGTTTCTTTTTGAGCTGCATGTTATACATAGTTACTCTTTGGGTGTCTAAAAAAAAAAAAAGAGTCTAATGGGTGTCTAATATTTGACACGATAATAGGTGTCACATATTAGACTGCTGGGGAGGTCAGAGTGCTGCTTGAATCTGCTCCGGGTGAACAGTCTTACTGCAGGAGATTCGTCACTGGGCGTCATCTCACCCACCAACCTGCTATTTATAGCAGCTGGTTTGCTTTCGTCACTCCACAGTAGTGCAGGACAAGGGTAAAAGTAAAGGAAAGGAAGAAGGACATGGAGGAAAAAGAAAAAGGAAGGGGTATAGAGACAGAGGCCAGTAAATACAGAGAATTGAAGAGGGGGGAAAGCAGGTGAAAAGAGGGAAGGATGGTGTTCATCTCTTAAATTGGTTGCAACATGTTTCTTTTGTCTTCACTGATAATTTGGTGCTTTATTGAGTAGCCTTTAAAAGTTTTGTACCACTAGACAGTGCAGGCCCCATCCCCCCCTTAAATTTACAACAGGTGCATGATTACTTACCTTGAGGTCCCTGTGCACAATGTCATGCTGGTGGATGTGACTGACGCTCTCCAGGATCTGATTGATGCAGTGGCTGGACGAGACAGAGAGAGATTGGAAAGAGGGGAGAGACAGATCTGTCAGTCCAAGCCAAGGATGACATTAAATCTCACTGGAGCAGCAGAGGAAAAAAAAACAAAAGGTATTCTAATCTGAATTATTGCTCCTCACTTAACAACGAAGTTAAGTAATTCACTCTCTTACTGTCAGCTTTATCAGTCATGAAAAGATAAAAAGAATAAAAAACACAGAAAATTTCTGTTTCAAGAAGTTTTAAACTTGATACGAGTCTGGCTCCAAGGAATAAAGGGTTAGACCATAAATACCTGCAAATTTGATCAACAGCAATAATATCGTTCTCACAACCATGATAGCATTTCTTTCCAGCTAATTTCCCCACCATCAAGCAGCTGGCTCATATATGATCCCTGTTTGAGCATGCAGGAGCAACAATCATTTGTGAAATTTTAGGGACACAAATGATTTTTGCTCTTTTCATATTATTTCACAGGACATGCGGTGTATGAGGGAGAGAATTCGGGAGCATTTTTGTATGAATGAATGTGGGGAAGGAAGTGGAGCAGGCAGGGTGAGTGTGTTGTTGAGGGTATCTTATGTAAGCTTGTCCTCGGTTACAAATCAGCAATTCTGCTGGTCTGGTGCACACACAAAATAACTACAGTTTCTTTAAAAAAAAAAAAAAAAAATTGAGGTTGACATAAGTAAAAGTGAAATCAGGGTCAGTAACAGATTTGGAGAGTGTGGTGTCCTCTGCCTGAGCGAAAATCTCCCCATGTTGTGTCCAAATTAGGCTCCCTCTGTGCTTCACACTGTCTGTTATTGCAGCTCATCTAACACCCATCAGTCTACCTCTTTGCTGCCTACTTCTCTAAGTCTGTCAAATGTCTCTTACTACTGTTTATGCTTTTCCTCTTTTTTTTTGGTGGAAATTTAAAATAGAGTCTGTGGTGTGCATTTCCTGTATAGGAGTAAGTGAGCATGAAAAAAAATCTCAATCAACATATTAAAATTTGGGCACATTTTATGGCTTTTGCTTTTAAATTTTCATAAAACCTATTCATAACAGAGACTGGCTGCGCATGGCATAGAAGACACTGTTTTCTCAGACTCATGATATCAGGCATAAATTATAGTACTTCATGTCTTATTTGCTCAGACAGACTTTGTGATGTTATGGTTCATCATGAATTTGCTGCCGGGTAATTTTATTGTAAAATATAATCACTTTACAAATAATGTTTTATTTGATCATGCAGAGCTGGTTCATATCTCCGTATCGTGTTTTTTTTAACCTTGACATCTCCATAAAATCTGCTTTAGTCTGCACAGACCAGAAAAGTTGTGCTGCAGTGCAAAAAAATGAGCCGCTACTTCTGACAAAAGAGAGAAAGAGGGTTTAAAAACTTTTAACAGCTTTGTCATTATTTATTAATGACAATAAATTCAAAAGCCCCAAGTGATGTGTTTAAAAATAAAACGTACACTAAAAACAACCTCAGAGGACTGGCAGATACCACAAGTTCAGCTTCTCTTAACGTACAAAGTACAATAACAAAGATACATATTTTGTGCTTTTTTAACGTCTTCACTCGTTCAGCAGCCTGAAAGTTTATTATAGCAGTCTTTAAAGATGTCTTTTTTAAATTAAAGGTGACATAAAATGCATTGCACGAAATGTTTACATGTTAACATAATTATATACGGTACCTGGCATCTGCCTCACTGTAATACTCTCTTGCAACAATGTCCTCAAACAGCTCTCCTCCAGTGACACTGCAGATAGACAAAGACAAATAACAGACTTTTAGTTAACTCCGATAAATGGAAACAGATGGAAAGAATACAAAATACAGACAACATTGTGACAATATCTTTCAATGGCTTATCTAGAAAAGAGACTGAGACCCTAATAGATTTTTATACAGTTGAATTTTCTGTAACAAGTTGAGTAATCTCCTATTGGTTATTCAACATGTTTCAGGCAAGTTCTCATGTGACATTAAGAAGGAAAAAAAAGAGGTGCAAAACAAAGATTACTGTTAGTCAAAAATGGCAAAATGTTAGTTATTAGTGATTTTCACCATGATAATGTATATTTGTTTTATAGCTTATAATATTTATTAATGCACTCATATTGAAAGGAAACTCACTGATGGCAAATACCAAGTCTAAATATATTGGAAATGATACTGGAAAGGAAAACATCTAAAACTATCTACAGGCAAATTAAGTAGAATACATAAGGATAACATGCAACAAACAAAACAAGTGGAGTTGCAGCAACCATCCTCTTTTTGTATTAGTAATAGCATGAAGCTTAATTTAGGAACAGGATGACCCTCTTTGTTATGGCAGCTCGGTTGCAATCTGATAACCAGTACCGCTGTGAAAAAATGAGTCATGGTCACTTGGTACTTGTGTGAAGCAATTTTTCCTGGAGCGATGGTCCTGGCTGAACTCTTGACCTGTATGTGTTAGTGTTTGTGTAGATTAATGTGACTCACTTACAGGTCAAAGACAAGGTAATGGAAGCCTTCCTCTGAGATGCTGTCATGGAGCCGCACTAGAGAAGACAGAAAAAAAGACAGGCTTTGGTGAAAAAGCTAAAAGCTAAAATCCTGCTTTCTTCTAATAGGCCAGTTTTATAATCCTAAAGCAAACTTTGTAAACCCTCCAAAAGTGACACATTTCCTTGTTGTTGATTGGGAATGGCAAATTTCCAAACCCATCTGAGCTTGATCGGATCTGGAAAATGAAAGTGGACAGAACAAGCCAAGGGAGCAGTCTGGGGTTACTCTGTACCCCGTATACATTACCCTAATTATCTTCTTATTGTCTGGCATATAATGGATTTAGGATTCTAACCACTAACTATCTTTCTCAGCATGTCCCTGTCAATAGGTATACATGCTGAAAATGGGTTATTGGATAGGAGCATCATGGCAGCTCATCACGTACAGCAGAGAACATTAAGTCAATGTACTTATCCTTGCTGCCAGGATTCAATTACAGCCTTGGCCCTTTGCTGTTTACTATCTGCCTCCTCCCCCACAATTACTTTCTCCCTTAACCTTTCTCGTTGAATGATAAAAGCAAAAATGGCAAAATAATTATACAACAAAAAAAATGTTGCTGTTGTATGTATCTGTATTTTGTCATTTTGTGAATATAAATCTGTAGGGAGTGATATATTGCAATTCAGTAACACTCACACACACACACTCACATTTAAGTGATTTATCCTCTAAAAACAAGGTTTTCATCAGCAGAGCTTTTCCCTGTCTATCTGATCCACAATAGGTTTGTAAAGCCTGACTGCCACCTGCCTTTCTGGCAACTAGTAAAACAGCTCCTGGGTGGTAAAGTTGACAGAATGGGTGCCATATTTTAACAGCTCATAATTAATTTGATACTGATCATTTCCTTTCAGTTTTTCTCTGTTAAGGAAACAGAGGCTTTGCCAACAAAAGGACAACTGTGGCCAACAGCTCTTGTTTTGAAATACACTAAACTGAGAGCTGGAAAGCAGATTAAAACCTGCCTGTGTCAAGGTGGGTGAAGGTGCCTGAGTGTTGGACTTAAACCTGGAAAGGCTGCATATCATTCTCTTCCTTCTTTAGATGATTTACATTTAGAGACAAGGAAACATGATCAGCTCTTCCCATAAGAATGAATAAAAAAAGAGGAGCTGAGGGAGGAAAATAAGAGGAAAAATTAGGACAATGAATCAGCAGAAGTCATGTGGGATGAAAAGACACAGAGACCAATGAAATTTTTCCTATGATGCTGTTATCTTACATTCCTGTGTGTACGATAACAGCGTAACACACAGGAACATAAGTGTATGTGAGAGAGTGGGTGTGTAGGCAGCGCTGGGCAGCATACTGCATGATAAGGCACCAGGCTGTTGTGCCACAGAGATACTTAACCATTTCCTTCCTTTCTCAAGAGGCCACTGCCTTTTGTGTGGGTGTGCAGACACACAAAACAGGCACACATACACACACGTTCACACACTTTTACTTGTGTGATTCAAGGGGGTAGGGGCTTCAAATTCAGACGGTGTAAGTCTGTTCATCAGATAACATAAAGGCAATGTTTTCAATTGTCTAAACTTTGGTCAAAAAGCAGCATTTTATGTATCCAGAATAAAAAAATGCACCCATGAAATACACCCATGCATGTGCTGAAATTTACTGTGGTTAGATTTTGGTTCTGGAGAAAATTTGATGATTTTGAAGAAAGTTCTTCACAGATTTACACTCAGGTGTCCACATCAGACATAACTGTTTCCTTGAAAAGCGTAAGTCACGCTGAAACCAAAATTGTGTGTGTTGTTGGTGTGTTTAAATATACTGAGTTATGACTCAGAGAGGGAGGAATGAAATTATGATGCAAATTTTGGCAATCAGGCCGTAGCTATCTTTGCCAGCTGTGTGTCAAAGCCTCCATGTTGATGAACAATCCACCCCTCATACTGTGGTTGTCACTGAAGCCCAAACAATTGATGGATACATTTATCACTTCTCAAATATTGTGCTATTTGGCAATCATTTTAATGACTAATTTTTATTTATTTATTTATTTTAAAGGAAAACCTCTATAAGTCCCATCAGGAAATGGCAGCTATTATAGAGGGTCCTTATTAAAGAAGAGAGCGCATTAACAAAATAATAAATTAAAATAATAAAAAGCTGTCAAAGCTGGTGCAGCTGTAATGCAATGATTAATTTAATATAGAAGAATAAATGTCAGAAGGTTTGTGATTTGCTTGCTCCTTTCTTACAAAATGAAAATACAGCTGTTCACAACATGCAACGCAGTTTATGCATCTAATATCTAACTTCTTAGATCCATTTGAGTAAGTTCATAAATGAAAACATGACCAGTGACGTGCAGTCAGGAGAGGCAGGAGAGGCCATGCCTCACTTGTCATCATGGAAAGAAAAAAATGTAAAACAAAAATATTTATTAAATGACATTTATCTAGTGATTTGCACTTTAAAAGGTATTTTTCATTTAACTTCACCAGTTTTAGATCATTTTTTATTCAAAATCGCTGAGTTTTTACATTTACTGATCAAATACTAAGAAGCGACGTGCGGTGAGGCAGCGGCCAGATGAGCCTCACCATGGATTGCACAATGACTCGGCTGTACTGGCATGCTATGCAGTGAGACCATAAAAACGTTCAAACACTTTTGCTATGTGAACTAAATCTCCACGGTTAACTGATGTATACAACTTACAGTGTTTTTTTTTGTCAATAATCGTATGTATGTGACGTGTTTCTTCTGCTGAGCAATCATTAAACGACTACAATAAAGTTACTAAGTGAGGCACGCAATTCTCCTGCCTCATGGTAGGGGGCACCCTTGATCCCAGTGATTCTTCTTGCGACTTTTTTACTGCAGAGTAAGTAACACGGCAAACTACAATCTACAGTTAGCAAGTCACATGCAGCCGTTTATTTTTTCCTCTCCTCTGGCCTTACTTTTAAAATAGAGGATTACGTATCTAAAATCAAACAGTTTTCTTAAGTGGACTTTCAATCGAAGCAGGAGGTAATAATTAAAGGAAGGCTATTCATAAGTAAAGTTAAGACCATTGTAACATCTTTTTATATATTAAATGTGCTTTTTTGTGTGCTAGTTTGTATGTGAGAAGAAAGCTGATATGAGATTTTAAACTTAACCCGTTAACTGCTGCCAATCGAGTGGTTAATGAGCTACTCTATCGGGTTCACATATTTAAAAAGCTGATTGTGATAAAGTCAGTGCCTCACCAGCCATGAACCTCACTGCACGTCACTGAACATGAGACAGCATATGTGAGATGAGTTGGTGCAAAAGGAAGGCTTATCTCATCAAACTGTTTTGACAGAGTTCATAACAGGAAAAGAAAGGAGAGAAATACTCAGCAGAACGAAAACCCTGATCTGCACTTTTGTGATAGTTGCATGTGCAAAAAGCAATCCACAAAGAAAAATGGTGACTGTGACTGAACATTGAGTTTGTGTTTATGTGATCGTCAAGACAGAAGTGTTGACTTGAAGCTCCTGAAATGTGTGTTGTGTGTCAAATTTGGAAACCCTTGTAGTCAAGACCGTACCTTTGTTTGCCTTTGCTGATCCAATCCTCTACATGCATAAACAGGTTCTGACTTAAACTCTCCTACTACTGCAGCCTTTCAGCAATCACATTTATCACTTAATGTGTGTACTTGCCTTGAAAAATGTCAACACAGGCTGCTTATGAAGTGTACTGACAATCTCCTTACCTGACACCTATCCTGTGAGAGTATCACAACATTGGAAATAACTGTCAAGGAATAATGAATCTTCTTTGTCCCTTTTGCATTTTTGGCTGATGAAGAGGCGACATTATTCATTTTAGTCTATTTCATATAACCAGCTCATCACTGGAGCATAAAACTTTTTAATTCTTCCTTTCCCTCTATGCTCTAAAATGATAAAGCTGTTCGACTGATTCTCTGCTCTGATGGCTGTAAAATATGACTCACCTATGTTTGGATGTTTGAGCAGACGACAAATTCTCGCCTCCCGCTCGAGTTTCTGGTGATCTGAGGAGAGAAAAGAGCAAAAAGAGAGAGATCAGTAAAGACATAATGTTGGTACCAAGAGGGGAAGCAGTGGAGGTAGTTTGCTTTTATTCAACGTACATATAAAAACCAGGAAAACTGCACTTTTCAAAAAACCACAAAGCAAGCAGACACAAAACTGTGGAGTCAGTTTAAAAACACACAACATCATAAGCTGTGTGACGCTCACTAAACTAAAACCTGCGGTTCATGTTGGTTAATCACACTTTAACACTGGAAAACAGCTTCTTTAACAGATGCAGCATAAATAAATTATTGATCATTTGTTTAGTTTTCAAAAGCACAAACTTTTGCAGCTATAAAACATGATATCTCCTCTGGTAACGATTTCTGGTAGTGATGGGCACGGCAGTTCTTTTAGACGTACTGAATCACAAGACTCAGTTCACTAAAAAGATTCTTTCAAGAGATTCCTTCACTGAATCACCGAATCATTCAGGGCTTGGTGGGAGGAGCCTGCAACAATGTAGTTTTCGCCAAGGTACACTTTAACACAACACGTCCCTTTCTCCTTCTGTCGCTCCAGCCGAGAGCTTGCTACAGCTGGTGAGTCTTACTCTCTTCACATTACTGCCAGCCTGATGTTTTTAGTTTTTTCAATTGGGAACTAAATCTGTTAGAACAATGGTGAACAACGGTCGCTATGAAAGTGTATCCATCAGACGATAATGATTCCTGAGAGTGTAGTTCACTGGGGGATTCGTTCACCTAGTGATTCAGGCATTGGTGCATGCGGTTCTCGCTCGCCCGACAATGCTGCATGCTATGGCAGCTCAACTGAACTGAGGAACGAACAAATCACTTGAGGGAGTGATTTGGTTCAGTACATTCACTTAAAAGGTTCGTCCTTTTGAACGAATTATCCACTAACGACACAACACTAATTTCTGGCACTCCTGCTCTCGCCACCAGATGAGTTCATATCATATTTCTTTAAGCTGTGGCACCGTAACATGCAAACAGACAGGCACACTCTGTTATCCACTTGACCATTTCTTTCGTCTCTTACTCCACTCACAACATTATACATTTTGTGACTCACATTAAAGCAGCTTAAACTGAAGGAGGGCATCACTGCACACTGCAAACCTAGATGCTGGGCCTGAAACTATAACTTCCAATTTACATAATCCTATACAGGCAGCCTTGTACTGTACACACACTAAAACACACACACACAAACAACTCCGCACATGAAACACAGGCTTTCTGCACTTAGTAAAATTAGTCTTGTGGGTTTGGCCTTGATATAATCAGTGTTCAGATAATGATTCTGATGGCAAGAGAGGATTTCTGTGTGTATTTATGTGCATGTGTGAATCTGTGTGTGTGTGAGGGAGAGCACAGCTGCATGTTGAGGTCCAGAAGATCGGGTGTAGCACAGACACAGCAGACAGACACAGCTGCTGACCTCTCCTGTTACAGGGTGTCAGGGGTCAAGTTCAGACTGGATTTTCCTGCCACCAACCAGCTGCTGGTCTCATGGGACAGATGGGCTGCTTACGTGAAAGAGTAACGCCTCTGTGTGTTTGTTTTGTTGGTGTGTATGTGTGTGTGGACGTGACAGCGAGTGAAGGGCACTGGACTTCCTTAATCCTCTGTCTCATCGCTGTCTCTGGCAGTGTCATGGTATCCAAATAACCACTAGTGCAGCAACAAGCGATAATTCTAAGCATACAGTAATCTGATTATTCGTCCCTTCAATGGATTAAATGCTTGTTTTTATTTTATTTTTTTCAGAAAATAGTGGCGAAGTTGTTACAAGCAGCTTGTTTTATTCATTATCCAAACTGATTTATTCAGTATTAGAAAGACAAAGACAACCAGCAAGTTAATATGTTTCCGCTCATTATAATGGTCATGTCTTCAACTGCTGTCTGTGTATTTATTGCTACTGACAAACGCAGGTGAATACAAAACAGATCATATTCACTTGAGGCACTCGGTAATAAAGAATGCTGCATGTATCATTGTTTTAGAAATCACCTGTTTGCTAATGCATTTTTATTTGTTAATTTTTCTGATGCTACAGGACGTATCATGAGAAAACTAAATGCGGAATTGTTTTTCTGAGTATTTCTTCATTCAAATCGCTGTGAATCTTTGGCAGACCCAAACAGCAGGTTCAAAAACAGTGGGATTTCATACGTAACCAATCCAAGCTCCGCCCCCAGAGCCCCGCTATGAAGGCCACACTCTGCATATAAAGGAGAAATACAGAGGACGATCGCAGAACAAGAGCTGTCTCCACCCACGACTCAGAGGCGAATTGCTTATGAGCTACTGGAGCTCTGCAGAAGAAAGGCCCTAGAAAATAACACAGGTAACGCAATTTTGGCTAAAAAATTTGTAATCACTATTTAAAGACCACTGAGAATACATTAAGTAGTAAAAAAAAAAAAAAAACAATCAGAGTGGGACTTTAAACAATATTTTTGGACAGGCAACGGTTGAAAAAGTTGTCTTCGAGGTTCCAAAAGGATACCTTTGTCCTAAAAAAATTCATGGAGGCATCTATGATGAGAAGAGTGTTAAGAAAAGGAAGTCTATGAATTACTATGGATGATGATGTACAGTTGACTTATGCTCAAACAAAAAACAGTGAGTAAACTCTTGTTGCAGCAGTAGTAGTCAATACAAGACACTGTACACTAAAGAGGAAACTAATACAGTTAAATGTAATGGATGAGCCCTGGAGCTAACAGGGTGGAGGTAATAGTGAGGTTAGAGAAAGCTTTCCTGCCTGCTGGAAAAACACTCACAGGAAAAGTGGATAGGAAATACTTCCTTCCCTCAGAACAAACACCGAGGGGCCTTTAGAGGCAGAGGAAAATCAATTCAAAGACTACCTTGTTGATATGATATTTGTGGTCATGTGTACACGAGTATTTGAGACACTAAATTCCAACTTCTGCATCTCAGATACAGCAATAAGTTATCTGTGAATGCAAACACCAACAGAAACATGTTTCAGATATTTTCTAACATCTTTTTAAGGCACAATCACTGTTGAAAGCCAGCAATGTATTCAACAAGTCTCAATATTTAATCAAAAATCAAGTTGGACAGAGGACCAAGTCACTTCTTGATTTGCAGGGAATTTATGTCCTTTAGAAGCCAATGCCTTCACGGCTAAAACAATCCTGAAGACAACCATGAAGGGAGGAATTGAAACAATGACCCCCAAAGCCTCCGACCCACAGGACAGAGCCAATCAGCTGTTACTTTTCTCCTGCAGGTCTGCGTTTACAAGATGAGGCCAGGTCTATCGTGTCCCGTACCCATGCTCTGTGTGAGACCTCAGACACCAACATGGACACACACACAAGTACACATACTGTAAGATTTAATCTGACCAGTGTGTTCAGAGGATGAAAAATCAAAGCATTCAGCAGACATTCCTCAACTTTCCTCTCACAGCCATAACAGGCTATTTCGGCTGCCTGTATTCTTAGAAGTTGGCTCTGCAAGCTAAAATAGGACTATTTTTCTATACTGGCCTAAGATGACTGCTTTATTATCCTTGTGAAAGCAGACAGTCTTGGCAGCTGCAGGCTCAGACAATTAGGAACTGACAGAGGACTTTCAATAGAAAGATGGGGGAATAAATTCACTCAGAAGGTCAAAATGTGTAGAAAAGAGAGGTTACAAGGCATATTTGCTGCGGTGTGTCAAATGTAAAGGTAAGGGGAAGAGGGCACAAGGATTACATAGAGAATAATTAGAAATGAAGGCGAAGGTGAGATTAATAAACACCCCCATGTCTTGAGTGTGCAGCTCTTCAGTGAAACCCCACCAAATGTTATTCACAGCTTTGTAAAAGTTAGAAGCAATCTTGCAATCACATGTTGGTTTTAATAACTTTGATATTATATCGTAATCTGCCTTTTGATGCCTTCGTAGCCTTCAGAGGAAAACTAGCTCCCACAATCAGCTGTTGTCTGAGTCTAGGGATGTGAAAAAGTGATGTGATCATTGTCTTTTGAATCGAAAGTACAAACCTGCAGCTTTAAGCACATTCAAAAACAGTCAATGCTGTACTTTCTGTTTCTTCAGCATTTGAGACCAATACTGGACCCTTGCTATGACTTCATCGTAGAAACAATGATATCATGTCTGGTTAAAAAAAATAAAACAAAAAGAGGACAATAAAAACAAACAAAATCACTTGACCCAATTAAACTCAGTGACGACTGATAGATAGTATGGCACATCGTCATATTCATTTATCCATCCAGCCTTCCCTATAGATTGTATATACTATGGACAACTTGGTTCCGCCTTCTGCCAGTGTACAGGGGGTGATGTGTAATAAATTTCTAAAGTTTGTCCACAGCTCCACAAGCTTTGCTGGAGGAGGTGGGATTTATGACCTATACTGCAGCCCGTCAACAGAGGGTGCTGTTCTTGGAGTGGCTTCATGGACGGCGTCCGTTTATAATTATTATCATCTCATCTTGATGCCTTGAACAGGTCAAGGCCCTGGATGGATATGGATGGATGGATGGATGGATTGGCCACTTCCAGACCACATACACTGTTTGAAAAATGATCCACCCCATGTACATCAATCAACGTCTGCCTACAGGGACAGAGACAGACAATACTTAATACATTTCAACAAACCAAACACGGGGAGGACAGGCTGTAAAACGGCTAAACCACCTTTTCTACAACCCTTTTTTGTTTGATGACTAAGTGTTGAGTCGTGGCTATTTTGCTTTGCACCATCTGCAGAATTTGTTGCAGAATTTCACATTTATGTAGCCGTTAACACGCACGCAGTTTCTACTTTTACTCTAAGGTGCAGCATGCATCTTATCTCTTCTCATGACAGATCAACTGTATCTCCTTTAACTTTGCAGAAAATATAAAAGATATCATGTGTTTTACAAGCATTCGAAAAACCTTTGTTTGATCAACTGTGTCAGATTGTAACTGACACTCACACCTCTTAAAATAGTCAGTGTGTCACTCCGCTCCGCTCTTCAAGGTCTGTCAGAAACTGAGCAGAGTCCACAAAAAAGCCCCTATGCCATGTTACAATGTGCTAACTGAAGCTAACCTGTCAACCTGCTCTCCAAGCATGACAGGATGTTAACATGATGAGAAGGTGATTAGACACAACCAGGATACCCCTAAAAGCTTCAAAAGAGCTTATGTAAGCACTCATGCATGTGCCGCTTCTATGTCTATTTCCAACGGGCAAAATTTCATGTGGAATTAATGCTGCTAACCCTGTCCAATATAACCATGGAAAAAAGTGCTTCAAGAAAAAACAAGGGAAAAGCCTGTGCTTAGAAAAAGTGACCTGGAAATTTAGAATTTGTTGTTAAATAGGAAAAAAGCCCCGAGCAAAGTGTTTCCTCGTACAAATCTACAGGGTATGAAGAATTTAGTACATCACAAGTATAACTCCAACTCAAAAAAAGTTGAGACACTGTAAAATGTTCATAAAACAGATTCAGATAATTTTAAAGTAATTTAAACTATATCTAATAGAAACCTGTCTCAAGACAACCACCAAATATTGAAATTAAATGGCTTTATTGTTGTTATTTGAAGGAAATTTTGACATATTGTTTAACAATAAAAGGCAGTTTAGCAGCTCTTTGCATCAGCAGCATGTTAGGAAATCACACACTTAAAATAACATGGGAACACTATTACTAAGATAATATAAATGAGCTGTGTCTCCCGGTGTTGTGGTTTAGCGTTCTAAATTATTCCAGTGTTTTGCTGTCCCTGTCCCAACTCTACATAAAAAATATTGCTTGCACTGAAATTAAAATAAGCATGTATTTTTCAGAAAACAACATTTTTCAGTTTCAACATCTGATACATTACACATACAAATACACATCAAGTATGTGGAAATGAGGTGTCATTCACTAATGCATTGAAAAAAGATGGACATCTGTAGCCTGCTGTGCTGCTAAATAGCTTAACACAGTGAAATGTCAAACACCTAATCTCCAGGCCTGTGTATTTTATCTGTGGGAGAGTGTATGTGCGTGTATGGTTGACTGATGCAGCCGATACAGAGGACAAAGGATTGAAGAGTGCTGGATGTGAGCAGTACTCAGGCTGCAGCCAAGCTTTGTGCAGACTTTTATTTAAAAGAAATGACTCAGTTTCTTTTTTTTTTGTTTGTTTGTTTTTGTTTTTTTGACATGCTCTTAAACCTCAAGCAGTGTATTGTATTCGAGAGCATCTGTGTGCACTTAAGTGGCTGAAGTGTGTGAGTGTATGTGTGTGTTTAAGTGCTGTTGCGTACATCATTTTCATTTGGACAAAGCCATTAGATAATGCACTGATTCCATTTGACGCCTTCAGCGAGGTTACCGTCAAGTCAATGATAACAGAGCTGTGAGCACAACTAAAAGCTAAAAGCCCAACCTTTATTTCTCACCATACAACCACCAACGCGCACACATACACACACTCATGCACACACACACACCACACACAAACAAGCAAAACAACACAATTAATAAACACAGATCATTTTGGGATTCTCTGATTTCATGGCTCCTTCTTGGAAACAAATGTACAAACCGAAACTGGGTGTGACCTCCACCCAGAGCCTCATGATCATTATTTTTTTTTCCCATTTAAAACAGAATTTAATTTCCCAGCAGTATGTTGTGTCATAAGATCACTTCTGTCCTGAGCTGGCATGGTATTTACCAAATTGATCTGACCTTTGATTTTTAATCAGACAGAGGAAAGAAGAAAATCCTCAAATTTTAGAGGAGACAACCAACAAAGGTTTGCAGCTAGACTGAGGATCAAAACAAGTTAAAGGCATTCATTAAAAAAACCAAACTACATCAGTTTTCTGTATAAGACTGCATAGGACAATAAAAGATGGATGGCACAACTGCTTCTTGATGGTGAAGCCAGAACAGCCAGCGCTGGTGACTTGGCGACTGGCAGCAGAAAAGGTCACAAAGCCTAGACACTACAAAGTTAAAATACATGTCTTATACATTGTTCTGCTTATGGTGACTTTGTGCAAGTGTTCATTTTTCTGTGAAGTTCAGTTTTGATGAGTTATTTGATGCAAAAAGAGAGAAATTGAGGTCATGACTGACAAACAACCTGTGGTATCTGGAGTGCAGTACCAACATGCACTGCCTTGGGATGTTTCCCTGGGATAGCCTGAGATAACCAGAGTGTGGAATTTGTGAATTGTGTCTCTTTTATGGTACCTGGTCCAGACAATCTAGCTGTTGGGCGTTTTGCTAGTCACAGGTCACACTTCAAAGCTAGGTGTAAGTCAGATGGTAAAGAAAGATAACTTGGAGATAAAGAGATGATGTAGAAGGACCTAAAACTCTAACTCTATATAACAGGATCACGAACTGGACATCATTGGCGGTCCTCTCCCAGCAACTGCAGTGCTGTTTTGATACTGGTGTTGTCTTTGTAATAAATTCCTATTATACAAGCAAGCCAGTGTCACGAAGCCTCCTTCTGCATTTACACATCCCGGATAGACGAGATACAACAAACCATCACCAACCTTTACTACTAAGTAGAGTAGAGGAGGAACAGTGTGCAAAAACAAAAACGTAATGTACATCAACACAGTAGTCACTGAACTCTTCGTAACTGTGAGCATCTGCATTAAACCTACACAAGAATATTTTCTGCTGTTATCTTTGTCATTTCATCTGTAAATTACATGTGTGTTATGAACAGCTGGAGAGGCATGCATGTCTTGGCTCCAAAATATATAACCTGAGTAATATCAGTGGCCACAGCAGCAGTAGTTTGGTTCCATTTGTTTTGTAACATAAGGAGATTGTGAAAGAGAAGTGCCTTATATTTATACAATCAACATAATTAACTCTACTAGTTACTCTAGTTAGAGGCCTTATATCACATTTCTGCTCCTTTCATATTGTCACAGTTTACACCACTTCCCTTAGGCCTAATTATGTACTTACAAATACGTGTCGATACTTGTTTTTGTATTTTAGTACAGATGAATATTTTACAAAACAAGATGTGAGTTAGTGTATCTGATGGAAAGGTAGGGTAGAGGGATGACCAACTGATGTCAGATAAATGACTGACAGACTGACAAAAACAGACAAGCAGACAGTGACTTGGGTCAGCATGGCCCAGAGCAGACAAGTCTATAAATAGATCCAATCCTCCTCCAGCTTACAGCCCTGAATCACACTGACCCAGCCCGCCCTGCATCAGCAAGCACAGAGACAGAGACACAATAAGACAGAAAGTGAGAGACATAAAAACAGAAAGAGAGAAAGTCTGACAGATGGAGGCGAACAGAGAAGAAACAGAGAGGGAGCCTTTTCTGATGCCAATTCCTCCTTTTTCAACCATCAACAAGTGACCTGGGTCAGGCGTCTCATCGCTCCGAGAGGTCAGTCTGGTGTCAGTGGGCCAACACTGATGATCATCACAGACTCAAAGTCGACAGCATGACGATGCCAACACAAGGAGGAGGATAGTGATGAAGAGAAGAGGAAAAATAAACTAGCTGTTGATAATGTCTCCACTCTGACAACAGTGGTACTCATTACTGGGTTTTAAGTCGGGAGTAAACTAACACTTTTTTTATTTTATACATTTTTTAATGTATATGTCCAGCCTCTTATTAAACCATTTCCTGCAGTATGCTAATTAGACAGAGACAGACACAAGTACTGCTCCACTGGACCCCGGAGATAGACACAGCCTCACCACAGCACCACCACAGCTCAGCAGAGATGTAGAAAAGAGTAAGACAAGCTGGAAAGAAAGAAAGAAACTGAGGCTTTGAAATCAGATTTTCTTCCCAATATGAGACCTTTGAGACAGACTGGTGAGGGGCATTGGTAAGCAGCAACTTAGGGCTGCTAGATTATGGCAAAAATCATGATCATGATTATTTTGAGTGATGCTGAGATCACGATTATTATAAAAACATGAGTACTCAGACAACAATATTTCTTTCACAGGCATTTATTGAACTTTTTGAATAATTGAATATACCTGTTTAACCTTTTATGTTTACCAGTCTGTTTAATGGGATCTATACAACAATAGTATTATTTTAAAAATCCAAACAGAACTTACAGGGGCAATTTACTTAATTTAATCCAAGACTTAAACTTGAGGTAGAATAATTTTATTCTGTTACTAGGAGGTAAATGGTTTGAACTCTTTTGCACTTTATCACATTCTGCATATCTTATCCTATAATGTGAAGAAGTAGGCTTATATTTTAGTGATATAGACTGAAGTCACTGTTTGCCTGGTAGTTGTTTGCTTGTAAATGCTAGTTGAAGCCTTCCTATTGTTGTGCTCATTCTGTCCCTCCGCCTTTTTAACACATCCCCCACATGTGCAGTCACACACACACACACACACACACACTGACACACACACACCCCTGCCTCCTCTTGCTCCACTCCACACGATGAAGATGCAGCAGCCTCCAGTAAACACATTTAACTGGGGGCTGATAAACATCCTTTAGACCTTGAAAAATCAAGCTTATTTTGACAAGCAGTCTGCGTCACAATTCAAAACTTGATGACATAAAACGTCTCTTCCCACAAACAGAATATGACAACCTTTCCACTCATCAACCAGTGATTGATTTCCTGAGAAAAACACAAAATCTGTAAACAAAGCTGGAAGACTGCTCACAGACAGCTCAGAAAAATATCCAGTGATTACCAAATAAAAGAGATGAACACAGGACCAGATGCCACCACATGTGACCTTCAGCTCACTAACAGTCAGTTCAAGTACTACTGTTCAACTTTATTCATTACAGGTACATACAGTGTACTATACAGTTTTCCTGATTTCTCTGAATGTAGTTAAAAAGTTCAGTCCTCTCTGGAAGAACCACTTGCAACCAACTTGCACCAGGACCAGACAGGTTTCTGGTATATGGCTTTTTCTCTTCCAAACTAGCACCCACAGAGACACCAGTGAATGTCAGTCTGCTTCAAACCCTAATACAAGCAACTACATCATTTGGCTAAAACCCAAACCCAAATGTTTTTTGTCTAGAGCAAAAATAAAGGAATTGAATTCACTGTACCAAAACTTTCTGAGGGGAGTGTATATAGCACCTTTAGAAACAAGGATTCACTAAGTGCTTTGTGATGTCCATGACATCATGGTGTTGGCAGCCTGAGTGTCTCCAGCCTGTGTCTGTGAGTGCAGCTCATTGATTAGAGTAATGTCACTCACACACCTTTGCTTAGTGAGGAGGTTATTTAAGCTCCTGCAGTCACACATTTATACTCGCAGACCTGGACCTCCAGGTACACCACACTTTGGGTTAGTTATGTTTGATTACGATGAACTTTAGTTATGTTTGCATTTTACAACATTTACACACCTTATCTTCACTCATGCATATTCCACACTACTGACTGTATACTGACTTACATACTTGATGCTGTAAATATCTTACTTGGTTTAATTCAGCTTGATTTGAAAAATAACGACTTGTTTAAAAACTTTGCCATGGTGTTGTCTCCCTTCGTTGTTGTGACTACCTGAAAGTCATGACAGCTTTGACATGCAAAAATGGATACATATAAGTAATACACCACAACTGCGGCTTAACTGATTTTAAAAAACTTACTTTGTCATGGTGCTCGGACCCATTTGTGTTCATAGTTCATGTTTCACAGTACAGAATGAAAAACAACAGATCAGCAGTGGTTGGTGTGTGTTCTTGGGTCTGAGAGATGTCAAAGTAGCAGTTCAAACACAAAGTGACACTTGGCCTCTCTTTGTGTCTCTTGCAGCTCCACATCATATTTACAACGCTGAAAGAAACTGTCCACAGTCAGTTTGTAAGGCTCATTAGAATTGCGCAATTAAACCATCAATTCAAGTCTAAACAGAAGGTTGGTGTTTGTCTCTCTGCCAGACCCCTGCAGTATGTAGCTGTAAAGGCTTAAATGACCTACAAGATGACAAATACAGCTTTAGCTAAAGAGTATGGTGGGGAGACTCCTCTTCATGAAAGATGGAGGGTTTAGCGCCATGAAAAACAAGAAGCTGTAGCACTAACACTTTGGTAACACTGCAGGGGAAGGAGAGTGATAAACACGAAAGGAAATGCCAATTCATCAAGTAGTCCAAATTTTTATGTTGTGTAAAAGCCCAAGCAATCTTCATAAAAATATGCTCAGAGGCAGAAATAAATATAGTGGAGAGTAAGTCAATAAGATCATTTGTATCAGCATGAGTCTCGCTGAGCTGGGTCTCTTTCTGTTTTGTCTACAGTGAAAGGTTAACTGTGTTTACAGTGAACAGTTCTCATTGCAGTAATGGTGACAGGTTAACACCTCTGCTAACAACAGCACAAACACAAATGTGAATTTACTGCTGACCCCTGCGCACAACAGGTTGCATGCTTTAGGTCATTGTTGTAGGATAATCACAAGACAGGACAAGTCAAGAAGGTGCGGTTTCTTACTTGAACCAATTTGGCCACATGACTAAATAGCAGGTTTTCCTATACCTCAACATTAAAAAATTTGAAAGACGTGGTTTTATAACTTATTTTGTCTGAAACTGAAAACAATTTTATTTACATAAAATCCCTTTCGTCCTTATAAGGTATTAGTAATACAATTTACCAACTGTTGATTGAAATATTTGTATTTAAGCAGTAAGTCGAACATAAAAAGCAAATTTAAATATATTTTACTTATTATTCAGTTATATAGTCATCATTTGTTAAAGTTTTTAGTAAACATGCACTCTTCTGAGTCCAACAACTGCTAAAAATAATACAGTTTTAATCCATTTTATAACAGATCAGACACTTGAACTGATCGATAATGTTTGTGTCCCTTCTTAGATACAACAGTCCGATTGTCGTTTTCATTAGCTCTATATTTCTGTCTTCATTGGCAGTCACTGTGAACTCTTCTTATAGCTCCCTCCTCACATACATGCATCTCAGATTCTGCCCTCTTGAACCTGCAGTATCCTGCTACTCTCTGAGGCTTGTGTTCACGTCATACAGCATCAGCAGCACCCTGCTTCAAATCACACATACACTGAGGAAAGTGGTCAGGTGCTGACTAAACACCCATACAGACACCCAAGTCTTTCTACAACGTCAGCTTTCGTGGGGACATTCTTTTGACAACCACCTTACATAACACATGAGGCATCGGGATGTCATCCTTCAGTGGGAGAAGTTTTTAATTCCAGTCTGTGCTGCAGAGGGAATCCAGAGCATTAGTGCTGCAAACTAATGTTCTCACTTTTACTCTTTTTTTTTAAGATGACAGGATGGATCAGGTCGGACAACAATTCTATTTGTGAAATTGAAACGCTGATGTGTAGAACAGAAACAGAATCATCCCTAATGACTTCAAAGTTTTCCTGTTTTTCTACATTTTTTCTTTTTTAACTTGCAGTGCACCCTAGATAAGCAAATACTTCATGAGATTAAAGGTACATTCGATTCATCACAACTCCTCTGCCAGCTCATGGTGCCTCATGTCATTAAGTACAGTTCAGAGCTTATAGCATTAGAGCTATGTCACCTGAGAACATGACCCCATGGGTGGTTTAAAGACTCTAAGGATTATACTCAGGTGAAAACATACAGGACAGTTCCTAAACGTGGCTTTTGCTTGAAAGAAAAGGGTGAAAAATGCAGTATTGCTGCTGCTATTAAACCTTTTAAATAAATACCAGTTTTTATTTAATGTGTATGGTAATGTTTGCAATAATCAGACACTATTGTGATCCAAACGATGTTGTTAAGCACTGGGTCAAGATTTGTCAGTGAATTTCTTCATTGATTGTGCAGACAGGGCTGTAATTGTACCAGTGGGAAATAACTGGTAGATAAAAACTGCATTTGATTTCATTACCTTAAGTGATGTCACTATTGTCAATACCGTATCAGTTGTTTAAAATGAACTTAAACCGTGAAAATTTAATCATAAATAAAGTAATTCAGATGCTGACCACATCTCGGGCCTCGTGATAATGTTGCAGCTGGAAGGAACTTTTGGCAGAGGGACAGCTTAAAAAGTGTGTGATGCTGAAACCCCAAAAAAAGCACTAAGAATAGATCTGGAGGTCGATACTGGCACCTTTATTCTTGCATATATATAACATTTATGTTCCCAGCCTTGATGTAGTGGAGTGCAGCCTCTCGCTCATGATGAGATACTCTTTAACCCTGAGAGTAGCTGACTCTGAGATTTCATCACGCATACACACAATGACTGATCCCATACTTACTCCCAACAAGATAATGACCTTCATTGCGCAGTCAGACTATCAGTACAAGACACAAATAAACACATGCACACACATTCACAGTCATAACAAAACAAAACAAAAAAACTCAATGCAACCAGAGAAGGTGTCAAAAAAAGGCAGCTGATATAACTCATGTCGTCTGAGTTTATCTTCTTCACAAACAAATCCAAACCTTACTAATATCTCTAGCATTTCTGGAATGATGGTGTTTGATCATTTGTTTTACAGCAGGGACAGGAACTTACAGTGTCAGACATTTTCCTTTAAATTAGGTTAGGTAATTGTCTCTAAGGAGTACAGCACTAACAACCGATTCTACAGCCCTCTACCGAAAGCCCTTGCATTTTAAATAATATGATATTACCAGAAATACAGTACAAGCAGTGACATCTGGTAATGCTTTGTTTATGGTCTAGCAGGACCTGGTCCGTAAGAGAGATAGGAGACGAAGCTAATGCATCTTTGTTCACAAATATGTGAAGGGCTTAGTGTTAGTGTTCTAAAACCTTTCCAGAGCTTTGTGTAAAAAGTTATGACAAAGTTACTGCTGCAGACTAAAAATTCAATAAATATTTCAGAGCAACAAAGCGCAACATTCAGTTTTCATTAGATTAAAATATATGCAAAAAGTAAGGTCCAAAAACACACAGCAGGATAAAAAAAAATCAACTGATGCCTCTAAATTACCTGTAAAAGCAATTCAGACTATTCATGAGGAGATTGACTCCAGCCAAGTAATTTTCATTGTCTGAAATAGCAACCTCCAAGTAGATGCTGTTAAACAAGCCTTTCTTATTGTCCTTTTTTTATTCAACACTTTAATAATTCAAAGAAAGATATATATCTGACTGTTAAAAGAACATACGCTTCACAGTGAGGTACTGACAATACTCTACTCTATGTGGGAGCTCGTTTGGTATTTTTAATCCACTGATGATCAAGTGGATCTCCCACGAAAACGTTATCACCTCTACTGACATTTAGGTCTGTCAAGAGCAGGCGATTGATAGCTGAAGTGAAAAGTGGTGTTTTGATTGTTATCTTGGAAGCAGACTGAAATGAACAACCTGTGTTGGTGCTGTGCCAGTCAACAGGAGTGTGCTCTTCAACTCAACAATTAAGCTGCACACTCTGCTCCATTCAACACATTTATTGGGATACTACAAACTGTTTTTAGAGCGGCAGAGTAGCTTTCATTAGAGATAATTAAATGATTCGAACTTGGCTGAGAGCCTGCAGGCAGGTGTCTATTGTCAAGGCAGAACCACGATTAAGCAGACAACTAAAAAGCATCATACTGACAGGAGAACAATAAAGCATGTCGATTTGTGTGTACATGGGTTATCTGAGAGCAGCATAGTGTGTGAGTCTGTGCGTGGCTGGTTAAACATCCTCTTGTTAGGAAAACAGTCTTGTGCAAAGAAACCTTAACGTAAATAGAGATAATAAGAACAGAGGGTTAACAAATATTTACACGGATCATTGTGTTGTGTGGGCTTGTGTTTCTTTGTACATAATGCCAAATTAGGATTTCAGTGTGGTTTCACTGGTCTGGCTTCACAACACCAGGTTTACAATTTGTAAAATAAGCAATCAAAAGCACACACACACCACTAAAATGAAAAGGCGTGTAAAGTGGCACGCTGAGGCAGACAGAAAAAGTCTGCGGCCTGGATAAACATTAGCCGCCTTTTAAAAGCATACTGCTGAGTGAAATGTGAGCAAGAGAGTTTGATGAAAGGAGGTAAATGAGGCAGGAACAGGAGTGCTTTGAAATATGCAGCTCACAACCATGAAGTTTGCTGAGCAGTACCAACATCAATGAAATGTCCTCACTTTGTTTAAGTTTCAAACGTCACTGCACACATTCAGCCGTTACATGGGTGGGTAGCTATCAGCGTGTCAAAACCTCTTTGGAAATTCAAAACCATTTGTGGGTCCCCTTGTTACAGTAAACATGCCTTCACAGCCATGAACACACATACATACACATGCTCAGAAAAAGAGCATTGTTTTCAAAGTAATTCTCACCTTAAAATTGCTCAAAATTATATGGTTTTGTATGATTTTGATTGAGCACACAGACACACACTCTTTAGCTGTATGCCATTTTCAATCAGAGATGAGCATCAGACAGCAGAGGTTCCTTCCAACTACAATTCCAGATCCAAAATGACTTACATCCTCCACTCCTAATGGACCCTGGCTTGAACAACGCCACTCTAGGCTTTATTCTGATCTTGTGGAGCTCTATCTAAAGCAAAGACTTACGAAAACTTTTTAATAATAGGGCACTATCGCTCACAACGTCTTAACATGCAGATTGGGACACTTGTTGAGCTCATTTGGAAGCAAAAATGTTTCAAATGGAGGATGCAATCCTCATCACACTGCTTGTAGGATAATGCATGATACGTTGCATGTCACTTTCTCCTCTCTCTTCCCACATTTTCAGTCTCTCCAGTAGTCCACTCCCACAAAAAGCACGTTATTATGCCCCTTACACTATACTGCTATTGGTTCAGTTTGCTGAATCATCAATGTTGAAGCTAAAAGTGTCATCAGATAATTTAGCTCAAAGTTTACAAAGTCAGTGTTTTCAAAGTTTAGAAAAACAAAGACCGTATCTAATTGGTTAAAAGGACCTGAGTTTGTATGATAAATCTGAGTGCTCTATGTCACTATTTATTGTACAAGACACCTAATCATTTTGGTTGTCAGGTGTGAAGAATAGGATGCATGTAAACTAGCTGTTACCATGGAGACAGGCTATTTGATTGACAGCCTGACAGTGAGTGTGTGATCTGGAATAGGTTATCTCAGTTTGTCTGAAGAGTCCACAGAGCTGTAGAAACACACACACACATGCACGTGCACACACACATTGTGCAAGCCAATCTTCCTCACTTACTTCCTTATTCCTTCATTCCACCCTCACTAGCCTCCTTCCCTATCACTTTCTTAACCCCTAACCTCCCTCAGTCTCCTACCTTACCTACCTTACTTTATCTTTTTTACTTTCTTACAGTCAGTCCTTTATCTCATTTCAAAGACCTTCCTTGCTTGCTTCCAATTTAGTTCCACCTACCTTTCCTTCTTTCCCACTTCCTTCCTTTCTATCCAATAAATCAAACCCCTGTTGTCCTTGATCTAACCTTTTCAAATAATACTGACTTTCTTGGTTAAAAATTTTGGAAAAACAGCATAGATACCAACTTGTGAAACACTGTAATAATAAAAATGCATGAGGTAGAGAGAAAGTGAAATGCTCAATGTGGAAACATTAAAAGTAAAATAGGAATACCGTAGTTTCAGACACACACAAACACACACACACACACAGTCACACATATTGCAGGATGCCTCTCCCATTTGTGTGCACTACTTTATTGCCTTTTCAATCCTCCAACTGTCACAATAAATAATCCCAATAAAAATCTCTCGATTTAGAAAACAGCATTGCTGCACAGTTGCCGACTTACTTACCTGTTAAGTGTAATTACTCTTCCCATATCACAGTAAGTATGAGTCTGGAGAGTCTTTGAGTGAGACTATACATGAACAGTGACACAAGCAGTGCATTCAGCCACTTCTTTTACCATACCACTACTGGGTAATTTATTTTGTGGCTGGCGCACAGACCTGAATCTACGAGTGCGCATACTAATTTGAATAAGAATTTGAATTGGATCCAGGACCGGTAAATGTATTTTTAATAAATTCTGGTAATTGTTTTCATCATTACTCACAGTACTTGTATGTTATTAAGAAAGCAACATCACCCCCCCAAAAAAAGCAAATGAAGACTTGAAGAACAATACAAGTTATCGAGCTCAAGTCTGAAGTCCATCCATCAGTGGTGAGTTAGATGCTCACTGCTTGCTTGAGGCTCTGTGTAACGTTAGCCTTTGACTCTCTGTAGAGAGTTGTTAACAGTGTTTGACTTCAGTATGGCCATGGTGGGGATTTATACTTTGCCTAGAGCGTGTTTATTAACCTTTACCAACAGCCATTTTCACCACACTGCATTGGAAGCAGCAAGTGGTGTGTAACGAATAATAGACTTGCATGGATGATAGTCTCAGTAGTTCCCACTTCCCTCAGTTGAATCAAAATTGCACTTAAGGCCAAGGGGACTTATCATTTCATACCGTCAATAAGGCATGACTGTATTTAGACAATTTTGTTCTTGCAGTGCTGTGAATCAGTGAAAAATGTCCAATAGACTCAATTTTCATCTTTATCAAATGTGATCTTTAGCAAACCCACAGACTCAAATCACAGATGGACAATTTATATTTTGCTCTAACAAGTATGTAATACCTGAGAAAGAAAGAAAAGAGAGACAAAGGGAAACAGCTGGACAAGAAAAATCTAAGAGCTATGATTGGCTAGAACAGAAATCAAGAAATTATTTTTATTGTACTTTTCATTCAAGTCTAATGCAATTCAAGGTGTTTTACTGTGATGTGAAAACAAAACAGCTAAGAATGACAATACAAAAAAATAATAATAATTAAAAATAATAGGTGGAGACTATTGCACACTAATACCAATAAAGAAGGCGTAATTAAAACATCTAAAAAATTAATAAGTTAAAACGTAAAAAAAATATAACATATAACTCCATACATAACAGTAAGTTATGTCAGCGCCAATGTGATGGACAGGAGGTTATATCCCTGACCCCAAGTTTTTCACACTTCCGGACAGGTTAGCAGCTTAACTCACGCTCATTTTTTTTCATAATATAATGCATTGTAGAGATGGAGCAGGTTGTCGTAAAGACATAACGAATCAAGTTTGGTTTCATATGGTATTTGGCCAACAGGCCAATAGAGAGGAAGAGGGCAGAGATGTAGATTGAAAGTTCATCATGTGGAAAATGAGCATCTAAGCAGAACAATTAATTAAAGCAATTATTTATATCAGCTGTACTATCACTGTTGGGTCAAACCCTTAAATTCATCTGGCTTGTAGAGTGACTTTCTTGTGATTAACTAGTCCCTTTGATACAAATTATATGGCACTAGATGGTAAATGAAAATTTAATTCTTTTTGGCCCCTACATGATGCCATATGCTTTGGACAGGGGGATAATGATGAGCAGATTAAGAGAGAAAAAGAGGGCATTGTGAGTGTGATAGTAGGGGAGTCCTGGAATAACACACTGAACCTCAGGACACACACACACACACACACCCCTGCACATGCATCCCCGCGCACACAACACAAAATACAAACAAACACTACATATTACTTTAACGCTACTTTTTTTGAGCAAGGAGGAAGGCATATATTGTGTATGTGTATTAATGCATTTTTTCTGTTTTGGAGTATATGACCCTGTCCAACTCACTCTTTCTATACCTACAACACTCTCTTTTCCACATATGACGCTCTCTCATCAAATATTCACAGTTGGTCCCATTAAACATTCACTACACTGCGCTGCTACGTTTATCTGCCCTCTGTCAATCAGCCTCCAGCAAGAGCACAAGAGGCCCACCAAACGCCTGAAAAACCACTGACACACACCTAAGATCCACACTGACACACACAGAGTCTGCCTGCATGGCCTGAGAAGTCTGGTAGAAGAGGGTGAGGGATTAATATGGCTACAAGATGGAGGAAGAGGAAAAATGAGGAAGAAAGATAAGATGGTTCAGGAAAAACTGAACTTATGCAGAAATTATCTTCAAAAGGATGCAAAGAAAACAAAGTGTGAGGGTCCACTCCTCAGCTCTTGTCCGTGTTCAGTGAGAGCCGAGCAGCCTAGCACCTCAATAATTCAACAGTGGGACAAGTGCTGCCAGCCTCTCCTCCCTCTTTCTCCCACTCTGTTTCTCTGACATCACAAAGGCCTTACCTAATAACAGTGTAAAAATACTTACAATACGAGACACCTAATTGGAGCTAAAAATAACATAAAACACTGCAAAATAGATCACACTGTCAACACTTTCTTTGGATGCTAAGACTACAAAGAAGGCATTTCAGACACATTTTTTTAGCTGTCTGGTACACTTTAGATGTGACAGAGTCACTCCTATATAAGTTTTATATATGTATATATAGACACTACTGGTCGAAAGTTTTACAACACCCCAACTTTTCCAGAATTTTATTGAAATGATGCAGTTTAATGTCTCAGTGTACTCTGAAATTAATGCATAGAACAAATAAACAATAGAAGTTAAGAAAGAAATCCTAGAATCAATTTAGAAGCAGAAATGTATTCTCAACTTTTGACTCATCAAAGTAGCCCCCTTTGGCAGATATAACAGCTGAACACACTCCTGACATTATAAATATAAAAATATATATATAGTTTTTATCAGCGGGTGCACAAATGTCTTTAAGAGCACTTCTCCAACAAAGAAAAAGTAAAGCTTATAGGCACACTTCCTTTCTCAACTTCTGCTTCCCACGGTTTTTTATCAGGTAGTGACTGCTGCCTCAGGCTAACTATGACTGTCATTATCTACTTCTGTAAACTGATCTGAGACTCTCTTGTGAAATACAGAATTACAGTGTCAGTAACCTTCAGTACTCATAGACCAAAAGCACTTACATGTCTGAGGGGATGGTATTTAAACAATACAGTTGTTTGCTGTTTTTAAAGGGGTCTAGTATGTGATAAACTGTTTATGAGCTCCAAACAGTTGCCAGGCAACCACCGGGGACTTCAGAGAGTAGCTGATCTGACCGAGAAATGACCCCACTGATTTGTCATTTTTAAATTTTGGTTTATTTGTACAGACATAACAAACAATAAATCACATGTTGATCAAATAGATGTGTTTATGAATATAGACTTTGTTACTCCAGGCCAACTGCTTCCCCTCTGAGTACAGTCTTTATGCTTTATGTTAAGATAAGCTAACTGGATGTAGCCTTCTTATCTTATTTTATTCTGACTCTGCTTCAAAAGACAAGTGAGCCTTCCTCCAAAATGTTAAATGACAGTCGGTGAATCAACCAATTACTCGACTTAAACACTACACGAATAGTCATAAGAGTGCTATATCAACACTTTGTTTCCCAGTCTAAAATATGATGTGTATACAATTAAAGAAAGCTTTCAAGAGTACTCTGAATGTAAATAGTAACCAAAAATTTGTTTGGATCATACTGTTCAGTTTCAGTAACACAGTGTAATTACTGTACCATGGTCAGACACGTGTCTGTGTGAATGCAAACGTGTGTAAATGTCAATGAAAGTGGCATATCCTGTGTGTGTACGTGTGCGTGTGTGTGTCAGAATTCGCTTGAGTGCCTGTGCACATGCATGTGATGCCACACGACCCGGCCATAATCACTGACCTCACCACCAGTCAATGCGCCCTCCCTGAGCCACATAGAGAATAGGGCTTAATCCCGCCCACGCACACCTCATAAGTACAAGCAATACTACAAATTTATCCTGACATCTAAACCATCCAAATCATCAGCCCGCAGAATCCCAGGCAGTGATAGTCTATTGTTTTGGAAAACTGTAGAATAGTTTGTTAGCCAGGCTAAATCTTGAGCGAGGTTCTACTGCCTAAAACTCAACACAGCTACTCAAAACAACCTGAAAATGTCAGCCAGGATCCCCTAACTTAAACTTACAATGGGCAGGTGAGATTAGTGATGTGTCAAGTGATTGGCCGAATAGTAAGAATACATGGCCTGGGCATTGTAGAGAGTGATTTTATGCAGTCCTCTGCAGTGGTCATGGTAAAAGATAAAGATGAGAAAATGGTTCCTCGACTGTTTACTTGCAAAACTATGCAAATTTTTGGTGACCAAAGTTGAACCCGGAGTGTAAACCGTGTCGAACGTTTACAATGGAAGGTTTGTTTGTTGTTGTTTTGTACTTCAAATCCCCTTGGCTAGCCTGCAAGTTTGTTTAAGACCTGTGTGATTGTCTGACTGCTTCCCTTTTTGGCTCAATCCAGTTGAATTCCAGTAATTCCCATTTAGAACATTGCAGTACCAAAAGAAGACACTACTTTAACTAAAAAAAACAAACGAAAAAGACAATACTGAAGCCATTAAAGATGTCTCATTTAAGAATTGTGTTAATCTATCTTAAAATCAAAAGACGTGGTGAGTCTAAAAAACAGCTAGAAGCATAAGCATATTTAAGCTCTGATTAAGGACATTGTGCAGTGGAGGACAGACAAATGTGTGTTTATTTCACAATGAGAAACTGTACACAAACAGTCCTTGTACACAGATAGTGTGAGAACCATTCAGTACTTAGGTGAGAGAAATGACAGCAACTGAGCTTGTGCTTCAAGTGTGAAAAGAGCAGTCGTCTCTGTGTGATAATTGTGACCACGATTCAGAGACGCACACACAAACACCCACGCACGCACGCACACACACACTCACACATACACAACATGATCTCTCTGCCAGACAGCCTATGGGATGAAGAGGTTCACCCTTGCTGTTGCCGGGCTACCAGCTCCAGACCACAGCCAAGACAGACACACTCAGACACACAGACACACACTAGATCAAATCGCCTGGTTAGAGGGGTTTTTGAGATCTCCCCTAAAATCAATCTTTTTGTTTACGACGAACAAAAGAAGAGGAAGGGAGAAAACTACTTAAAATGGAGGGAAAATGACTTGGGTGGGGGTGTTTGAGACAGACAGAGAGGCAGAGAGTGAGACACAGCAATTCAGTCTGCGTTCCCCCTGGGAAAAGAGCAGCCCAATCAGTCCAGAACTGGCCCTGATCTGCAGCTCATATCATCACTCAACTCTGTGGTGGCCCAGCTCTGACGCTTAGTCAGACAAACAGGCAGCACACACACGCACACACACAGTCTGTAACTTGGTAACACACGCAGATGAGAAGAGAAACTGTGACAGATCCACGGAAATCATGTGCAAACACAAAACCACAATAACCAACAGACAAAAGATGCTTGGATTCAAATACATGGCAGAGGGAGTGCTATGAAACACCAGACAGTGTAACAGGCTGATTAATGACAGCAGCAACAAATCTGCTGCAAATGTTGAAGCACAGGTGGTGGTGTTTCCAACATGTGCTAAACTGCGCTGACTCACATACACAGATCCTGGCAGACACTTCAAAATTCTCAAAACTGAACTTACTACACTGATTTAAAAGATTTAGGTAACCACTTTGGGCTTATTTTCTTAGTTTTGGCTTTTGTGTTTCAAAGACATGATTTCTCAACAAAGTCATAATTACCCGGCCACCCCAACAAAGGGTTAGGGTTCCAGTTGTGTCACCCCAGTTGAAACAGTCTGGACAAGCCCCTTCATCGAAGCACAGAGGAAACAGTGGGACCTGCACTTTAATGGGCGGTCAAGTTTTCGCCCAACTTAGACACAAAAGTAAGTCACATAGTGGCGGCAGAGAAACGGTCAGCCAGAGTGTATTTTGCGTATATGTACAGCACCAATCAGCATTCGTCTCCCACAAGTTGACAAGGGTGAAGTATTTCAGTTTGGTTTTATACCAGCAGTGTTATAGAGGTATGGCAAGTGCAGACATGAGATGATCCAGGAAGTCTTTTTGCAAATTCACCTCAAGTTTTCGTCTAACTGTTCATACTTTGAGCTCGAGTATCTGTAGTAAAACTGCATTTTCCTTACATTCTTGGTATCAACTTAATAATGTCATGTCGTCACAACCAAAACAAATGGTGGCCCTTGCTTTAAAAGAAGAAATCAAACCCAGAACTTTCCTTTACCTCATGCCATGAGCTGCTGTCAACGTTGAAGTTATTTTCAGCTAAAAGGTCAAGCTGGCTCACATACAAGACCAACAGTAACCATAACAAACTAAACATGGGTGCACACACAATTGCCAAAGATCACTGAGTCTCACTGTACAAAAGCAGACCTCTAACTCCTCAAGAATCTGTGCTTACAAGGATACGATAAAGCACCTACTTTGTTGCTGTTGAGAAAACAAACCTGCTACCAATTTCTCTGAGCAACAGTCACCCCAAATTCAAGTTTCTTGTTTATTGAAGTGCTAAGCTACACAATAGAGTATTAACTGCACTTACCTCTTGCTGAGAGTTTTTTTGTGTTGATAATTTTAGCAGCATACTCCTGACCAGTGGACTTCTTAACACAGCGGCGAACAACTGAAAAGGCACCCCTGGTAAAAAAAAAAAAGAAGAAATCAATAACCAACATTAATCAATGGCGTAACAAAACTTTGCATCACCTGCGTGTGGGTGTGCTGCATGTGTACGTCAAAGGACAAAGTGGATAACCTGTGCACTTTACACAAAAAGGGCATGCATTAATCACACAAAACTAAAGGAAGGGGGAGGGAGTCTCATGCATAATTAATACTGTCTGATATTCTGAGTATGAGATGTGAGAAGAGGTCCTTCGTGCTCGTCTTTGACAGAGGAGGGAGAGCGCTCCTCATTAGCTCACAAGAGGAAATGTGGGGTAGGGCTAGAGGCTACAAGATACTGCTCTTGTGTTGACACTGCAATTTGTGCGTGTGCAATGGTCACAGGATACACTATGTGGCATGTGGTTGTCAGGTAAATATCCTTCAATTATGTGTACCTATGCAACAGTGCAGCTAATACACACCCTAACCCAGTGTAAACAAGTCAAAGGACATCACTCTACTTGCTAATGACACCACTGGTTAAATCATGACATTTTAAACATTCATGATTTCCATATAATAAGTTCAACCCCTTCTCCAGAGACAAGGTGACGGATGCAGAGTTTGAGTGTCACCTGCCTGTTGAATGCATGAAACACTACCACTGTCACAATTACTGCTGCGTGTGTTCAGTTATACGAGGCCAGGCCAGCTCTGAGGGAGCATTCCTACGCATGGCAAACCGTCTTGCTCTTGGTTAACACTGTGGCTGCTTAGACACAGAGCTTAGATGGATAATGTGCCAAGGAAGTATCCTTTTAATTGCTACACTTGCGGTGTAGTATTAAGTGCTTCAAGGGCAATACATCCAGGGTGTTTTCTGGTACACTCATAAAATAGATCTGTAAACTCATTTGAAATGGCAGATAACAAAAGGCTAGCATAATAATAACAAAATCAATGGCTTTTAATATGGTAATAACTCAATAGTGTTAAAATCAAAGGAAATGCAAAACAATCATAATAGTTATAGTACATCCCAACAACTGATCAGCTGAAGAATACAGCATTCCCCTTCATGGTACAATGTATACTGAAGTCAACTGGGACTGCTGCAAGGAGTCACACAGATGTTATGCTGTGTGTGGTATAGTTGTATTGCACAAGTTATCATCAGAATATATTCTATCAGTATTTTTCTCCACAGCTCTGTTGGTATAGTACAATTGTTTGACCATACCAGTACTCTTTACATTCTTCATGCTAGTGTCACAAACGCCTGTGACAAAAAATGGAAAAATAGAGCTTTGCTTTTGCCCTGCCTTTGTATTTTTACCTCAAAAAGAGCATCAAATTGGTGTATAATGAGTAATTTAACACAGTATTACAGAGTTGTAGAAGCAAACGGAACATAATACAGAAGGTTCTGATACACACAATGCTGTTGTATCATGCTGGCTACACTGTTGCTTTCATTAAAACTTCTTCTGTCAGTCTGCTGCAGAGTAACTCTGCCCCCATAATTCAACCTCTATGGCTTTTACAGAGACAGAGAGGCATTATTAAGCTGTATTGGTCCCTTTAAAATTTGCTGTATAAAAGGATTAAAAGAGTCTCAGATGACTGAACCAAGCATGGTAGATATAGGAGGGTATCTTTTGCATCAAGAAAATAGACTAAGTACTAAAGCAGAAGGAATTCAAGTTACTGTTGCATCTTGCACATAAAACCACTATCAAAAATATTTTTATATTGTAATATGAAACAAAAAAGATGAATTAAGGTCATTTCATTATTATTATTTCATCAAATTTTTCTCTTTCTGTCAGCTGCAGAAGAAAATCTTACATTCATCTGTGCTCTAGCCTGCGTTTTACTATGAAATAATTGCACAGACTGCTCCTTTAGTCTCATGCTGTTGGCTGTATTGGTAGGCGGAGCAGCTCTATTAGCCACACGCAGAGATTACATGTTGTAAAGTGGCTTTGTAACCTGGATCTACACTGTAACCTACGCGTCCTCTCACGTTTTAATCCTGGACGCCGTCGATTAACGCGTGACAAAACAAAAATGTGGACACGCAACAGTGTTATTTGCAGCAAAAAAAAAAAACGCGTCTTCGATTTCTCTGTCCGTGACTTGACATATACAGTAGCTCTGCAGTCTGTTCAGAAATGCACAAAAACAGCGCTGAATGATTAAACAGGAGCGCGAGGATGCCACCAGGCAACGGCGCGTGCTACCTGCAGATGCACCGACGAACAAGTTGGTCGTAAACGCGGATGTTTCGCACCTTTTCTTTTACAAAGACAGTCCGTAATGGTGCAGTACACCTTTAAACACGCATTCGGGGATTAAATACAAACATGAACCTGCCCACAGCTTACTGTTGCTAAGGTGTCTCGTAGTACCCTTCCCTTTTTGACAGACCCTTTCGTGCCCTGTCAACACTTAGGGAAACGCGCACAATGGCAGCAGCAGCAGAGAGCAGAAAAGCGTGCAAAACACATACACACACACAGAGACACAGACACGCAGAGAGACACACTCTGAATGCAACAAGAGCAGCAGCAGCAGCAGCAGCGCGGATGACGGTCGCTTACTTTCCGAGCTCCTCGTACAGCTGATACTCGTCTGTGAATCTGGTCGATGTTACCACTGTAGCCATGTTGACTTGGAGTGACGAGGGGAGAAGGGGGGAATATCAGCTCGCGCTTCAGTGGCCGCCTCGCGCAGGTTTCGGGAGGAGAGCTCGTAAAGGCAGTGAGGGGGGAAGAGAGGCTCGGGCTCATAGAGAGGAGCAGGGAGTGGGAGGAGAGAGAGAGGGAGGAGAGGGAGGGGGAGGAGAGAGCGAAGCCTGGCTGTAGTAACAAAGATCGTCTATTACGAAGATGACTTACTTTTTTTCTTTTTACAATCAGAAAAAAAGGCATTTTGATAACAAAATTGGGCAAAGGTGAGTCATTTGACATGCATCATATATATGAGGAGAGGAATAGGTGAGAGGAATAAGTTTGTGGAACAATCTGAACAAAGAATCTAAAGAAGCTAAATCAAATTCTATCTTAAAAAATACTGTCAAAGCCAGTATGTTGAGTTAATACAAGGAAATATGTTAATCTAAGTCTTGGTATGTTTATTTTGTGAAAAAAATGTGAATAAACATGGCCTTTTCAGTTTGTTTTATGGGTTGATTTTGAAAATAAGATATAACAAACTGTAAAAAGGCATGTTGGCCTGCAGCTCTTGTTTATTTTCATTGTGTGTTTTGTTGATTAATATATTATGAAAGAGGAGCAGACTCTATAGGAGTTTTCTTCTTTCTGCTCCTTTTTATTCACATTTGCGATATTTCCTTGTTTGTATTGAATGTTTTAAACGTTAACTGAATGAAATAAAGTATGAAAATGAAATATTTTTGTCATGGCCTTTCTAAACAAGCTTATCCAAGCCAAGGTAAGGCGAGAAAGAAAAATCTTCGTACCCCCATAGGCTGTATCAAGTTTCAATCATAGAAAACATGAACCCACAAATAACTTTTAAAAACGGAGCAGTACAGAAAAAAGAGGACTTGAGCACAAACCAGTTTTACAATAACTACATGTCAACATCGCAAGCAGGGGGGAGAAAAATGTATGTTCTGTGTAATAAATTTCATAAATTTGTCCACAACTCCAAAAGCTTTGCTGGAGGATGGAGGGATTTATGACCTATACTGCAGCTTGTCACAAGAGGGTGCTGTTCTTGGGGTGGCTTCACCCAGTGAGAAGGCAGACTCTGTCCATTCTACATACAGTCCATGGTCAAAATCAAGCGAAAAATTATATTTCAGCCAGTAAGATAAGTCATTTTTTCCATTACATAACCAGGCACTTTATTTGTAACTTCTGTTACTGACATGGTACCCCATTATAAAGTGTAAGAAAAAAGTCAGTGTGTGGAGGGTCATTCTGTCATCAAACAAACTACTTTGCTCACAAAAACGACCAGAAGACCAAAGAAAAAGTGAAAGGATATGTAAGGAGGTCCAAGAGGTCAAACATGCTGATAACAAATTTCATGACAACCCAGTCAATCACTGTCCCAACATTTCAGCGTTTGCCTGCTGTGCTCTGCTTTGCTTTCTCAAACTACAAAAAAATACCAGAGTGAGTTCTCTTCTTGCTTTCTCATCTCTGACAGTGGAAGAGGTGAAGATGAAAGCAACGCGAGATCTTTTCTGATGGGAGTCAGAGCTGCAGATCCAGGCTCAGTTTTGCCAAATTCTTCCCTTTCCCATGTCGTATATGTACAAACAAAGAACTGACTCCAGATCAGCTGATAAGAGCTGCATCCTTTGAAGGACCAAGTGATGTAGGGAGATGTAATGCCGCAATATTTTAATATTGGCACAGTGCAATGAGACGCATGCACACACTATACTATGGTTTTCATTTCCTAAACTGAGCCTCTCTCCAAATAAAGAAAATCAGTCAATAATCAAAACGTGACTTCAGTAGATTAACATAAGATGTACTATTGATTTTGTTATAATCATTTTTTCCCCAAAATATTTGAGGCATTTTATTTATATTCTGCAAAAATTAGTCTTATGTAACAGGTTCATGCAGCTGATGCATATCCTTCCGAAATCTCTTTTGCCAATGATTTATATTTGTTTTTGCCTTTTTTGTTTAGCATTAAAATTGTGGTCCACAATCCTCTCCAATGTTGGTGTTTTATCACATCAGAATCACATTTCACATTTTCACAAAGCACTTAAGCAGATCTTAACACACAATGACGACCAGGTCTCTTTCCTTTAATATTTTCTGTTGTGCTCAGCTTCTTTCATTTTGCACTGTGTTGGTGTAATCTTTGATGCTGTTTTCCTGTAGCTACATATTGGCTCCACCTTCACACCCAAATGCACATGCCTTCCTGTGTTTTTATCTGTCTGCATTCATAGTGCTGACAAAGCTTTTCATAATTACAAAAACCATCCTCATTACCACATTCACACTTTTTTAACCCCCATTGACTCATTACAAAAACAACACCCCCCACTAGAAATAGAAAGCCCTTTCACCAAGGAATAAAAATATATAACTCAAATTTGAACAAAAAGGAAACCAAAGTAATTTGTTTTGACAGTGCCATATGAGTGAAGGGGGGCTTAGTGTATAAGAGACAGAGAATTATACGTATTATGTAATTGCCTGCTGCACTGTAAAGGTTCAGCTGAGCTCTCATAAATATCTTATGAAGGGTATTAATACACCTCTTTGGCACCATGTTGTAGAATGTGTGTGATTGTGAGTAATTACAGCTGCTCACACTTCAGCAAGTTAATGTGAAAAGCCTATGTTAGGAATATGTGGTATGAACTATTTTGCTCTATAAGCTCCATACAAAGGAAATACTGAGTCAACTTACAGTCAAGGTCTAACGTAGCTCTATCACCATAAAGACAGAAGTCATGATCTGACAAAGGAGATGCCCAGTCTTGATGGAAATGCACATTTCTTTTAATGCATTTTGTGCTTTACATAATCATGGTACAACAGAAATAGAATAAAAATCATGTGAACTATAGGTATGTACTTATCCGTAACCGAATACAACAGAAAACACAGTAGTGTAATGGTGAGGAGTGCAAAAGATGCCAAATGATAGACAAAATATAAAAGCATGTATAGACTTATTTTTAACAGCGGAGTTAATTTAATTAAATAATTACAATATAAGATAACAAGCCAGATCAGTTAGTAGTTAAATGACTTGAAAGTAAAGGGGACAATTATTATTTATATGCAATTATTTTTAGATCTACTTTGAAATCACCTAAAGGTTTCTCACCTGTCCACTAGACCCCCCAGTAAGGTTTCCTAGTGCTAATAATCAGCTGATGATTAGTCACCTTCCTTCACAGCGGTTCTTTGGCAGCCATTAGCTCTACACTATAAATAATACAGCCCCCCCCCCCAACCCCTTTTTTTTTTGACAAATCCTAAATTTGTGAAGCAGCCATTGTGTTCCTGACTTTTCTGTCTGCTTATTTGTTCAATTAAGGCCAATCATAACTTTAGAAACACTAAACCACGATAAAAATGTCCAGAAAATCACATGTTGTAATTGTAATGTGATTTTTCCCCCTCTCTCCAAAGTTAAACTGCAAATGAATTTCCTCACGAGGACAATAAATTCAACCTAACCTAACCTAAATACTGGAATGAATATTAATGTTATGTGTTAAAGTGTACATGTGCAGCCCGTTCTTCTTATTGTCTTCACTTTGTTTTGCCTCTGAAGTGCAGGTGTGCATTCTGGAGCAGTGTTTAGAGAGCTCTGCTGGTGATTAATGAGTGTTTGCAGCGAGCGCAGGAGCACTGCGGCCACTTTCTGCCATAATTGCAGGGAGCCGCACTGATATGAAAGCCTAATTAGTGGGAGTTCAGAGGTACCGATGTATTAATTGCTGAATGGCTGTGTTTCTCTGTGATGTGCCTGTCAGGAAAGTCTTGGACAGGCTGTGCAGTGACAGGTTGAGGAGTGGGTGGTAACTGTGGTAACAGCAGTAAAGAGCAGCAGTTCTCAAACTTGTGACCCCTTTAAATTAAACAGCTTCTGATGCACGCCTTACTTAGAATGCATATTCATGTTAAGTTTGGACAGCTTCATTTCTACAACTGTAAGAGACAACAACAAGAGAAGGATGTTTAGGGTACAAACTAATGACATATGACTTTTGCATCAAAAGCTGTATTAAGTTGAGGTTACTACCTTAAATAATAAAATTTTACTGCTCTGTCTCCCTTTTTGAATGAATCCTGCATCATTCTTTGACCCTGAGGTATTTCATGGTCTAAAAATAAATCCTGTGACTACTGCTACATACAGAGCCTAGATACAGACCTTCATGACACATGAGGGTATTTAAACTTCCAAAGTAAGTGACTTCAGTAACATTACAGATACATTTTTTTAGCCCAAACCATAACCTTCAAACACATCTCATCTTCAACTGATCTCATTTAAAGGTAATATATTTTATTTGGAAGTCCATGAATCACCATTTTATTCTGTTGCTCCTGTGTTCTTAAATGTCCTCACACTAATGATGTTGTCCAGCCGTGTTTTGGGGCCTCAGAGGATGAAGAGTGATGACTCATTCTATAAGAATGTTTTAACTTTGCTCAAAGCTGCTCTCTGCATATCTGTCGAGAATCTCTCCTCCCTCATACTGACCAATGACATCACAACAGTTTTAAAGTGTGTGCGTGCGTGCGTGCGTGCGTGCGTGTGTGTGTGTGTGTGTGTGTGTGTGTGTGTGTGTGTGTGTGTGCGTGTGTGTGTGTGTGTGTGTGTGTGTGTGTGAGGGAGTGGCAAACGTCAATCTTAAGCACAACACACAAGTCAAACATTCTTACTTGTTCCTGACTGGATGTGATTCAGTATCTTTTTTTCCACGATTGGACCTTAATAGTTTTCTTGGGAATGGTGTTTCAGGTGCAGCACATTAGACTGGACATATCATGTCTTTATTAGTACATAGGGGCGACTTTACGGCATAATGTGCTAGAGTTTATGATGCAGAAGACGATGATACACGTGTCCCAATTTAGTCTTTCATACCTCTTCGTTGATACCTGTCTCACTGAGTGCAAAACAGGGCTGCATTTACTTTAACTATGTAAATCAAGGCCAGAAGAGCAAAAAAAAAAATGCATTTAACCAGTGCAACTAGCCTTTTGTGAATAACTTCACGACTCTACCTTCAACTGATTATCCAACAGTGGATATGACAGCTCTCTCCCACATACTGGATCGCTCTGTGTTCAATTGTGTGCATGTTTATGTGTGTCTGTCTGTGTGACACCTCCTCCGTGATTTCTATCATCTGGTGGTGCCTTATTTCCACAGGCTATAACTGTATATTGGGAATTAGATGAGTGGGCATCTAACGATTGTCTTCAGCAGTTGCTCACATGTGCAGGGGTCTCTGAGCAACAGCCCTGCTGTTAACCCTCCACTGTCTCATCAAATCTCATCACCACGATCTAGTAGTGATGGCGCAGGTTTTTTACCGTCTTTGACGTTTAGACACATAAAAGAGGTGAACTGAGAGCTTTGGCTTCATCTCTCTGTTTGTGTCTGCACATGCCACAACTATCACTTAAACCCATAATCTTACTATAATACACCCTGGGATATAAATCATTATAGAGTGAAAGTATTTGCTAAATAGTTGATTACATTTACAGTTTGTGTTCCCAAACACTAGCCTTTAGATGGACAGTAGAGATGTGTGAGCAGAGACTTATTTCCTGTCCTTCAAACAGAGATTTATGTTCTAAGTAACCAACGAGTCTGAAAGCAGGAAGCCAAAACTTAGCACAGTTAAATAGTAGCACCAGTCTTTGATCCTTCTTGCAGGTTAACATTTACCTCATTGTGCCGGTTACACATTGCTCCATTCAAGTGGTTGCATGTCTGTTTGACCAGATACACCCGACATAGATTTTCAAGATCAGAATACTGCAAGTCTCCACCGCCCTGCAAGATGCCATGTGTTAACAGCGCTCGTTCATATCTGGGTGGTAGATCATATTAGCAGAAATCAGTGACTGGAGCTTTAAGCCCAGCTAGTAGCTTACCCACTGAGCAATTATAAGTCTAGTTTTTTTTTAGACCTAATTTCAAACGTCTAGATTCAGTATATTTTTAGACGGAATTTAGACGGTTGCACTTTAACCCATAATTCGATAACTATTTATCTCAAAAAGCAACTGTGAGTTGCATAACTGTTCTCCAAGTACTTAACCATGATAATTATGATAGTTGTTGAGCAAAATACAGTGTAGTAAAGATATAGCCCAGATTTAGCCTTGGTCTAAACTTGGTCTAAATTTAAACGTCTAAAAAAACATTCATTTTTAGACCTGTGGTAGCCTGATTTTAGACCAGCCGTCTAGGCTACATTTAGACGTCTATTAGACTTCTTTTAGACCAAAAAAAGCCCAGTGGGTTAGACACAACTTATGTAGCATTTTGAGCATACAGTTAGAAATATTAACAAAAGATTGAGCCAATATGTTGATCTGGTGATGACGAGCAAGGGTGATGATATTTAGGCATTGATTCAATTAAGCAATTGAATACATCATATGTCATTTTTTAGTTAAATCTTAAGTATAACTGTTTTGGATTCGGCATTTTATTAATATCACATACCATTAAAGCATTGAAATCAACAATGAAATGACCTTACTCACTGGTCTAGTGATAAAATCAAACTCACATGAATGTATAATGATAATGATGAGGCTTTATGATTATGGAAAGAGGTATTTTACTTCCTTTGTAGTTGATCCAACCTTGCCGCTAGCCCTTTTGTCCTGTTCTATTGTAAATCATTGCATGAAAAAATCATATGTATTTTGGTCTTAGGGGAATTTTTGGCAATCACAAAGCTTTGTCCTTGAAACCTGAAGATTTTGCATTTATTTCATCACTGCTATAACTAGTCAGCGTGCATAATGTGTCTGCAGTGAGGCTTTTTTCCTTTAAAAAGCACTTTAATCTGATCTACAGTATACAAGCACTCCAGACATGACAGCCCCCTGCAACCTCGGGGGATCTCTCTCCTCCCGCCTCTGCTTTTTTTATTTAACTGTACACCACAGAGCTCTGAGCAAAACATGGCTAACATTTCTAACTCGATCTTCCAAATGAGTACAAACAAGTGAGTATGATGGGAAGCAAAACAAGAAAGAAAGACAAGGGGAGGGTTTGTAAAGGGGATGGACATTGAGCTGAGGGATAAAGGGGGGAATGAGAGTTGACCAGAGGGGGATGATTGTTGGATATTCATTATCAGGTCACTGAGAAGAGAGATCCTGTTGCTGCTGTGTATGGGATTGTAGCAGATACTCAGTCAGACATATTTACGCAAACACTTCTAAAGGCTGAGTTACCTGATAATCACATTCAGTGTATATTTTATTAGCAGGAAGTACCACCTTGTTTGTACCTGAACAGCAGTTTTATTTAGAGGATGATACACCACATCTAATCAGAAAGTATAAAATGTGTTTCCTAGTTAACCATTTGACAAATGTCACAGTTTTTGTATGTTCTGCTCACCTTCATTCAAATCTCATTCAAATATATTATCAGTAAAATATTCTATGATTGTGCTCGAGGCATCTGTGAATTGTACTGGAAATAACTAGCATTTGTTAGCGTCTGTGAAAAAAGCAACCTCACTGAAGGAAAATACAAATTTGTTCCATAACTTCTCAAAGAGATTGAGTCATGAGAATTTTTTTAAATAGTTTTGCATTCATGTTTTTTATTCAGACAATTTGAATCAGCGTTAAGCAATTTACAAGACGAAACGAGGAGTTCAGTAACATTTAAAGGTCCACAGATGTCTGATAATGTTGGCTGCGTTTTAGTTGGTCAGTCATTGCTGCAGGGGATGGACATTGTGTTCTGGTCAGAGGTCTTTTAAAGGCAGAGCAGTGTGCTACAGAGTATGCAGATATGAATCAGGTTGACCTCTAAGAACAAGAAGGCACAGTGACATTTGACAGAAAACATCCCCTGAAGGTGTCTTTGTGTCATCCTTACAGGGTGGATGATTAGGAGATAAGACATCAAGAGGTCATGTTCTCTGACTGTCTCCTTCCCCCTTACAGCTCTTAAGGACTCACTGCACATTCACTTACTCTATCTGTATTAATCAAAGTACTTATGAATACAAACATACAAGCACAATGACACACTCTTTACTCCCTATGTAGTCCCACAGCAGCCCAAAGTCATTGTGCTGCAGTTTGGCCACAGGACAGTGGGTGAGTCAGCTTGTTCTGTCAGTTGCAGACTCCTGTCTGCTTTGTCTTTCAGGCTGCCGGTTGATCTTTAGTGTTTGACTCTGAGTCTTTGTTGTCTATCTGACCTGTCTGGTTTTCTGTTTGTTAGTTTTTGTGTGTGTGTCTGTCTGTATTTTTCCTTTTAACTTCTCATGCTTGAAGGTTTCACCATGCTTCAGATTTAGTTTCCTTTAAATGACACCTCACATCTCTTTCTTTTGGTCAGCATTTTCATTTGTCCAGCTTTTAGTACATTTGCCCAGTCAACACATTTGCGTTGAACAATCTAGAAAAGGGTGTGCTTCTGCAGGCGCGACCCCACCTTTTTCAAGAGAGCTTTCAACTTGCATAGTTTACAGTGCCTAATCTTCATAATCCTCTCTGTCCTACCATCTTTCTCTCCATTATGCTTCTCCTGTCCCTCCAGGCCCAGCCAGGGGCTCCACACCCCTCCATGGAGCTCGGGGTCAGCCATAGGATCATCTGGTGGATTGTTGGCCACCACTGCTGTCTGGTTGTACTGTGCCAGTCTGTTTAAGAGATGTTTCACCACCTCTGGACGAGCCTCTGCCAGGTCTGATCTCTCAAAGGGATCAGCAGTGACATTAAAAAGCCACACTGACTTCCCTGGCTCATTGCGCTGCTTCTCAAGTCTCTGCCAACGTTCTGGACCACCAGGAAGAGCCTGTGGCGGTATCCAGTCCCCATCACCCACATTTCCTGTCAATAGCTTCCAGTCCCCAGCCCTTATTGCTGCCCTTACGGCGGTGTCCCAGATCCCGAAGCCATTGAGTAATGCCTTGTCATATGGCTCCCCAGGTTTCCTGGAGACTGGGTCAATGTTGAAAAGTATTTCAGCACGGGGAGACATGCGGCCCTCACTGATGGTCCCCCAAACATTATAACCATCCAGATCATGGTGGGGCTTGGAGGCCCCGGCGAGTCCTAGTAATGTTGGAAACCAGTCAGAAACATGGATCAACGCTCTGTTGACAACACCCTTCTTCTTTAAGAGGGGGCTGTGCACAAAGCCCACAGCCCTAATTCCCCCTTCCCAATAGGTTCCCTTGCCACCTCTCAGAGGCCAGTTACTGCCCCCAGAGAGCGGCTGACCACCATTATCTGATGAGTAGACTAGAACTGAGTTTTGATAGAGACCACTAGTCTTCAGTTCCTGAACCACACGTCCAATCCCATCATCCAGGCAGCTCAGCATGGCTGCATAAAGGCGCCTGAGACGATTTCCCTGAGAGTTATAGTGGTGCAAAAAATGGTCAGGTACCTGCAAAGGTGTATGGGCAGCCTGAAGAGACAAATACAGGAAGAGTGGTTTATGGGGGTCATGGCTCCTCAGGATCTGCTTAGCTCTGATTGGACAGACAGAAATAAAGAGATTTACAAGTTTGTCGCTTAATGATCTGATCAGCTAAATTTATATCCTGGTGCTCACCTCTCGATGTAAAGCAAGGTGGAGTAGTTTCCCATCATCTCCCAGGCAGGCCTTTCTCCGTCATGCAGGTCGAATCCACAAGCCTGAGCCCCGTCACAGCTGCGATATGAGAAGTGGTCTCCACTGCCAGTGAGGGTGCCGAAGAAGCTCTGAAAGCCACGTCCTGTGGGCAGACAACTCGGCCTACAAAAGCCAAGGTGCCATTTCCCCACCATGTGTGTGGCATATCCAGCTTCAGCCAGATGCTCTGGCAGGGTGGGAATGTCTGGGGGCAGGCAGAGAGGTTGACGAGATCGAATGATTGAATGTTGGAGTCCAGTGTGAATTTGGTAGCTGTTGAGAAAGAGTGAGAAAGAAAGTTTTAAAGAATAAACCATTGATTGATTTATAGCATAATGATAAATTTCACAGGTCAAGACAGGTCATTAAACAGAAACACTGAGTTATCTTTCTGTATCCTGAGCAGAAAAGGGAACTAGAATTTCACATTTTTATGTACTGAATACAAGTACCTGCAAAATACCAGTAAAAAGTCTGAGCTCTGTACTTCAGGTCCTACAGACCAGATTTAGGTCACTTTGGCTACATTTTGTAACAAACATACAATTTTCAAAATCAAACATCAGTAACAGGAAATGAAAAATGCTTTGCCAAAATCTTTATTATATAAGTGTGATATTATAAATCTTTACTTTAACGACTGGATAGATAATCTCACAACAGTCTTTGACATGTCTCTTTAAGTGTTCACTCACTGCAAAAGTAAAAGGCAAATGATAAATCCTGCTTTTGTAGCTAATAACATAATAAATCAAATGATAATATGAAGTCTTGATATATAGGATCAGTTCTCTAATCATCATTTACCTTAAAAATGAAAGATGTTAGCAACAGATGAAGGGTTTATTAAGCCTATATGTAATTTTATCAAACAAGAACAGATGCAATAACTGAAACACTTTCTCATTCTTATAATGAAATAATGGTAGGGACATTACTCACCGTCCTGTCATGAGTTGACTGCGTGAGGGTGAGCAAATAGGCTGGACGTAATAATTTTCAAGTTTGACACCCTCTGCTGCCAGCCGATCCAGTACAGGGGTGTGGATGTCTGAGCCATGGTAGCCTATATCTCCATAACCTTGGTCATCCACCATGATAAAAATGAGGTGAGGTGGCCTGGACCTTCCCCTTTCACCAACGCTGTCATTCACATACTCGTGTTCACCCAAGCAGCTCAGACCGTTGAGCAAGGTCACCCAAACCACCGAGCATATTGTGGAGCAGATGCCTCCCCTCATCTCTGCAGTGCTGTAAAGCTATCCAGTAAACTTGGATTATTCTCTGTATTTTATGTTCTGCTCAGTCTGCAGTCAATAAATCTGAGCCGGACTGCTTCTGCAGAAAGATGAGCTGACCTGTATGTCCAAGGAGCTTGTCCAAAGTCTGTCTATGAAGCACGACTGGTCGTCCTTTTAAGGGGTAACTGTCTGTTCTGTGAGATGGTGCTGAGCTGGTGCCAGCTGCTGTGGAAGGTGGAGAAAAAAAATGCTGTCTGTGAGAGGGCAAGAAGCTCACAGAAGTGTGTGTATCTAAGTATGTATCAGTGTGTAAGAGAGAAAAAGAGACAGAGAGGCCTCTTTTTTGCAGCACCTTGATACATTCCTCTGTATTTGCAGGCACCTCATACGATGGCCTGGAAATCTGGGTGAGTAAATCATCACATGGGTAAACACGCACTCCCACACACACTTTCACTAGACAGGCACATTGCAGGCAGTATAGAGAGCCATTGTGTTTCAGGCTCCAAATTTTACTGTACCTTTGTGAATCAAATCAGGTATACTGGAGTATAAGCACAACCACATTTATTTAAGGAAATTTAGCAACGCAATTTAGCAAAAGAAATGTACCAACTATAAAGGTGCAAAGCAAAAAACTCAAGCTGCAGACATGGACAACTTTACAAGGAAGACTGTATCTGAGCTACGAAAGTTAAATATATAATTGTATTTAAAAAAAACGGTCACATAAATAGAGAGGTACATTGAGTTAACCTGTGTACAGACAGGTTAAACATAGAAGACAGAAAAATTAACTAGTTCAACGTTTGGGGATGAAAGTTATTTGCTTACTTACCAGGTGATATAAGAAGAAAAAAATCATTTTTATGCTCTGGTTAATCTCAAAAATATGTCACATCTGCTTGAATGGATTGCAGTGAAAAAAAAAAAAGACTAGGGAACAACATAAAAACTGTGAAAATGTATGACTAAACCTCATAGGTTTATAAAGTTATTTCTTCTATTTTCCTGCTTGCAACACCCATTAAACCACTTTAACATCTGCTTCAGCCAATATTTCCTCTATGATTGACCTTGCTTTATATTTTACACTTTATTTTAAATCTTTAATGGCAGTCTTATACTCCCTGTCATCTTTTATTTGTTGTTTTATGGTGGTCAATTAATCAAGGCCCCATCATGAGCATTATAGCCTGTGCTAGGTTGGTGAAATCAATCCAACAACAAAGGAGCATCCACTGTTATGATGAGAATATGTATCGACCTCCAAGCTCTTAGCCTTCACCTTGCTTCCCATAATACTCAAAGTGAATCGATGCCTTAAACACAGGTCTATTTCCTTCATTGTAAAAGTAAACTCTTGTTGCCTTGAGTGAGAGATTCGTCAGAGAGGTTACAATCTTTCGCAGGAGGGAGAAAGTTTGGGGTTGACAGTGAAGTGAAATGGGTAAAAAAAAGTAATAGAAAACGGGAAAATACAGACTTTTACACTCAACAGGAAAAAGTAATGAGTAATTCTTACATGAAAAGAGAAGAAAATGAATTTAAAAAAGAAATAATGTGCACACAAAGACAAAAAGTCTCCCAGACTAAGATGAGAGTACAGTATAAACAAAGTGACATAAGAGGAACAGTCATTTAGTCTTCTGTGTATGTACATCTGGGTCTCTGGGTGTAGCCATCAGTTTGCCTCAGGGAAATGCAGGGTGACATGAACTCCATTTTACTGCTAAGAGGGGGGAGGAGAGAGAGGGACTGTAAAAATGGAAAGTGACAAATGTCTGCTTGAGGAGAAGAGAGAGCAAGGGATTGTGTTTTTTCTAGACTGTATATATTTTCAAGGGGTCACAAAGTGGTCAGTCTGCATCATTGAAAACTTATGTTAGGAAAATGTTGGCAAAGGGGGCACACTTTGGATGTCCCTGATGAGAGCTTATCTTGAAGAAAATCACGTGTCAAAGATTTGATCTGTTAAATGGGCCTATTTTAAGTACACCATCTTTAAGTGTTCCTGAAATGTGCACACTGTTTTCAAGACAAGCCAAACTGAAGAATACTCCACTGTGCAACAAAAGGAAGTAAGTCGGAGTTTCGGTATTGTGCAAAAGATGCAACTTAAGGCAAAGTTTGTATTTTTTGAAGTGTGTTTGTGTGTGAGCATGCATGCATGTATGTGTACAGTATGTGTGTGTGTGTGCGTGTGCTTGAGTCTTAGTGTGTTCTGGAGAAGGCAGTGGTGCAGAGTAGAAGAGAGTAGCAGTGGGTGTGATTTATTCATGACAACGAATAAGTGACTCACTCGATCTGTAGCCACTCTGTTGAGCTACAGCTAAAGTGGGGGAGTGTGTGTGTGTGTGTGTGTACAGGTATGTGTGTTATACAGACTTTCATTTCTATGTAAAAATGAAAAACCCTATGAAATACGAAATATCCTTTGGTACGCGCAAACTTGCAGGGAATGCACAAATGTAATCAGTTTTGCAGTAGATGTTGGTTAGCACTGAAAAATGTTCTCATTGATACTTATGGACCCATGCTTAATTCAAAAGCAGCGCTTGCTTTTTAGATTCTTCATTCATATGGATTTAAAGCTGCTCCTGGCAAATCTGCTGACAGTGTTATTCACAGAAGTTTTCACCCAGACAGTTTTTAATAGCACTATGATCGAAGTGATTAAATTATAACCTAAGTGCTCTCTGGACCAACGCTGTATTGATGTCCCACATCACATTAGCATGATGGCAAAACATGAACAATTACTTTAAAGTGTTATGGAAGTTGTATCTACTGTAGCTTGTGAGATAAACAAACCTATCAAATCTCTAGCACAGTCAATCTGCTGAAATTTGTTCATTTTTTCCAGCGTTTTATCATTTGCTGACTACAAAAAAAGAAGGGTTATCTAAGTCAATTATGGTGCTCTAAGGTTGATCGGAAGAATGTGGATTGTCCACATCACTTCAAGATCAGGTCTTACTTGCTTGCCAAAACTGCTCTTGCACAACAGCTTATATTATACCTATAAATACACAAATACCCGTGCCACCTCTAATCTAACAAAGAGCCAAAAGCTGATTGAAGCAGCAAGTAGGCAACTTGTTTCTGCAATCTTAGCAAGCTTTTTTTTCAAATATGTTCGGTTAGCGACTGGAAAAGAAAGTCTCTCACTATAAACTCTAATATAGAGAACTTAATTTAAGCAGGGGAAATCAAACTAGAACTTAAAGGTGACTCAAGAAACCCTTTTTTTTTCTTGAATATACGACAATGTTTGTCTGTTTTGACTGACAATAGGCATATACTTGCCAACAAGATCAGACAGTTTTCAGTGTTTATTTTGCCCAAATGTACCCCTGAATGAGTTAGGATTATTGCAATGATAGTCTAGTTGTAGTTGGTCAACTATCTCTGTATAAAAATATATGAATTAATGTGACAATAAGCTAACTAACCAAACTGAAACAGTTCATCTTCTGTCAGCTGCACAGTTTTCATTGCACCTGCATTGAAAACTGTTTTCACAGGCGTTTGGTCATGAAAATGCACCAGACAAATCAAACTTTGCCTTAAAGACAGTTAAAGAAATATAAGAATTTGATGTTAAGTATTTCACTTGATTTATTAACCCAATCTGACAACCCTTTTTTACCTCCTGTCTAGAAGCTAGCTCTTAAGCACCCCCCACCCCCCAAGCCCTCCCTCGAGGTGTTACTGACAGACACCCTGTAGCTCTGATGCTCCTGAAATACTCCAGGATGATCTTCCAGCTGGCAGAAACTCAATCCACTCTCCATTCTTTTCATCTCACTCTGTGATGGATTGACAAGCTGAAGCTGAGTGGGTGGGGTGCTGCTCAGTCTCATCACATCAAACAATCATGGAGGATGCTAGGGCCTTATGTCAAACTCGCAAACTTTGGCTAAACTTTTCCTCCTCTGCTTTAAGGTACATCCTAGGCTGGGCCGAATTATCCTATCAGACATTTCCCTTAAGGAGAACAAGTGCTGGCTCTCTCTCATCAAAACTGAAAGGGGTTACACAAGCTCACTATGTGTACACTTTATTCATGTGTGAGTCCTGTGCTGGTGCAGTCAGCAGATAGTGCCACCATGAGGACGGAGGGAATAATACATGTAGAATGTCTGCAAAGCTGATGGAGTAGGAATAATGAAGAACCCTCCATATTGCACTTTAGAGGCTGGTATTGGAGCTATCACCCAGAGAGAATGGATCAAATTTAGAGGGTTAAAATTAAAATTTGAAGAACTCAGTAAGAAGTGGTAGAATTTTGTGGGTAGATGTTGGCTTACTGTTAAAGTCAACAGAAGGTGCACGATAAATGTCAAATATGTGCCATTAAAAAATAGGTCAGTGTAAAAGAGAAACTTAGATTTTCTTCTCTGCCATACTCATAAGGATGTACTGTACAATCATTTTATTTATATAAAAGAGGTTGAGGAGCACAGTTATAGCTATTGGATACTAGCTGGATCTTAAACCGTGAGTTTTTAAGCTTTCTGGCTTTTGTCTTGTAACAAAACAAGTGTTCCTGTTCAAGAATAGCCAATACATGTCTGTATATGACTAATTTGACTAGAGCTGAAATTATTCTTTTACTAGAGAACTGTTTTTCTATATATATATATATATATATATATATATATATATATATATGTGTGTGTGTGTGTGTGTGTGTGTGTGTGTGTGACTCACAAGTGACTGCAGATTGCAGGTATGAAGGGCCACCTGGCTCAGTGCTGCTTCTGTGTTGTGAAGCAGATGACACAGGACTCATCTCTTTGTGGACAGTGGGGGTGGGGGCCTGGGAGTGATGCAGTGCAGGCTGTCACAAACTGGGGTCAGGAGTTCAGAATAGGAGCTGAAGGCACACAATAAGACAGTGAGAAACAACAATTAGAGCAGTGACTCTACAATAAGTTCATAATAATAATTCGAATGATAATAAGTTAGCAGATTAAAGCAAAGGAGGCACTTTAAAATAACTCGTATAACAGATGACCATAGAGCAGTGATCACATCTGCCAGGACTGGCAGAGGCTGGTAACACACCATCCCACCATGTTAGCTTTTCGTTATATCTCTAATGTTGGAAACCTTCATGCTTCTCCCTATATATTTAATGTTCTGATACACACACGGCTCACTTTTTGCCCTAGCTTTCAAAAACCTCTATAGACATCATGTTGATTGGTCTAACTGTTTCACTTTCACCTTATCTGAGCAGGTTTGGCAGCGTCTGTTTGGCAAGGTCTGCCTTAGCTGGCGCAAATACCTCAGTTAAAGGCCACTGGGCCTATGCCTGCCACAAACCTGTCTGTCAAAGCACTCTTGGGAAGGCAAGTTGGCTCAGGAAAAGTAGCTAAATTAAAAAATGAGAGAGAAAGGAGAACTGTCTCCACAGTAAATATGTTTGAAAAGGAACAGAAAACCTTGAAAGGAAAAAAAGAAAACAGGACAAACTAATTAACAAGAGGAACGTGAGAAGCTGTCACCACACTCAACAGTTCCCTCTTGTACCTAGGAAAAACTGTCAGTTTCTTCTGTTTCCTATAGTCAAAGCAACAATAACTAAGGCTCTTTTTTCCTTTTACACACCTCTATATACACTTTTCTCCATAGCACAATAGAAACAGAATAAAAATAAAATATGGAATCAGGGGAAAGAGAAGGATTTCAGCCATATGCTGCTGCATATGGATTGTGACCTTTTTACTTTTCATGAAACACAGCCAACTTCTGAGTGGCGCAGGGTGACTGAGTAGACCTCTGCCAGATTTGTTGCACACTGGTCTGCATATAATTGAATATCTAATGAGATGTAATCTGTGTTTGTAGCATTTTGACTACTTCATGCACAAGAGTGAAACACTATCTTTACTCTTTTCAACTTCAAAACAGAAAAGATCTCTTACATTTGAATAGTTTTAAGAGAAGCAAATAGAGACATAAGCACTGCTGGGTTGTGTTAGCATCTCACCTTTTTTTAACCACCAGGGGGAGCAGTTTGCTCAACTGATCCATAACTGCATGTTTATCAAGATACTGTTCCTGTGTAGTGCTTTCCTTTTTAGTAGAATTGCTGATTTTATACTGTGTGAACCGGGTCTATCAGAGTGGTTTAGCACTAACTTCAACTGTGGTGTTCTGCTAGATATGAAAGTGTCTCTGAAGACATGGTGACATTTTTACTAAGCATCTGACCCAGGAGTGATCTTGGTTACTATCCTGAGGTCTGGAGACAGCTGCAGAGCAAGGCTGCCAAAGGGAGTAGCTATCATTGGTAACTTCCAGCAGCATTGATAATGGCAGCGTTGCTTTTCTGGCAAAGGCTCATCCTGCCTCTTTTCACAAGTTTGAAAGCAATTTGATGCAAACACACATGACGATTTAATAAAGTTTAAGTCTTGCACTCCTGGTCCATGTAGAAAAAAAAAGCGTAAAATTGAAATTCAGAGACTGTTTGGACAGCTTAAAAATTCAAATACAAACAAAGGATCAAGATGGTGTTTGTTTGAAACTTAGCTTACTCTAAGATGTGTATGCAATCCAAAATAGAAGGTTTCACAATGGAGCAAGAAAGAAAGACTAAGGCAGTCTGAAAATAGAAGCAAATTCACACTGGGTCATTTTTAAATGTTTACAGATTCTTTTTTTTTTGTGAGATTACATCAGAATTTTTTTGTTTGTTTGTGTGACTGAATTTAAGACTGCAATTTTTAAATTTTCTTTACAAAGTAACTTTACTTGACTTCCTGCTATTTGCTTAGTAGCTAACACTAGTAGCACACACTTAAAACTTAGTGCTTAATCTGATTGGTTTACTTGATCTAAAGAACTACAATCTAGATATAAAGAGAAAAACTCAGGACAATGTATAATAGTCCTCATCTAAGTCACTTCAAGTTCATAGGCCTGGCAGCACACTTAATTGCACCAGTGTGAACCTGGCCTTAAGGATTTTTTTGTCCATCTATATAACAACTGGTATTATTTTGTCATTTTAGCCTGGTTTAAGTTTACTTTTAGAGGCCCACTTTCTATAAAATATAGGAATCCAAATGACATTAACTGCCATTCAGCACAATCAGCAGGTAGCACAAAATCCAACTCTTAATTCTGTAACACAGATTTCAAGTAGTCTTGCCTAAACTTTGTTTTGAGTGTTGATTTGGAAATGCACCCCACTCAAATTAAGATGGTGAACATGATAAATATGACACCTCCTAATGCAGGTTAGCTTTGTCATTGAGAACATGCTAGCATGCTGATGTTAGCAATTAGCACACAGCTCCACAGTGCCTAAAACAGCCCTGCACAGCAGCTAGCATGGCTCTAGACTGTGTGTTATTTTCTCTGTCATAGTGTAAACCCTTTAGTTCTATCAAATCATTGAGTTGGTTTGGGTTATGATGAATTTTTGGGCATAAAGGGAAATCTGTCCACTGTTTTTGAGAAGTGAGGTTTTTTTTTTTTATTTGAACACATATGGGTCCTTTCAATGTTATTTAAGTATATGTAGCTAAATTAACACTACGGAATTTTAATTTATTCCATTTGTATTTCAGTTAAGCTATGCTGAGCTTGTAAAGATGTTTGTTCCAAAGGCAGTATGATGACAGCCCAAAATGTCTGATGGTCCTGAGGAGCTCGGAGGGTGAACAGCACAGACAGTCAGCTCATTGTCCACATTATTCGTTTAATTGGCACCCCTTGGTGTAAATTTGAAGACTATTTGAATGTAAGATATCAGCTTTGGTATGTCCCATCATACAAAGTATCAGCTCTGATATTTGAGAGTCTTAATGTGACCCCTCTAAAGGTTACTAATGACCTCAGTGCTATAAAGTCAGATATGAAACACTGCCATTTGGACGTTCTTTGAACGTTTACTTTCCCTCCATCTGCGCAGAAGTGGCAAAGCAACGGAGGTGGTGGTCATGGTGTCCTATTTTTGGAGAGGCTATCAGCAACCCAGTGACATAGGTCTGAGTGACAGGACAAGTGTTGCATTAGACCCACCTCTTGCTCATTTGGAGCAGGCATTCCTCGGTGTAAGCAGACACAGACCCCCTCCAGTCATATTTCTCTCTCTTTCTCCCTCACTCTCCCCCTTGATGGTTAGCCCACTCTGGGTGTGGGTGGGCATACAGAAGTGTGTGTGTGAGTATGCGTGTGGGTCTATGTGGGCATGTGTGTGCGTTCAGGTGTGAGAATCGGCCTTGGAGCTGGACTCAGAGAGAAGTCAGTGCCCGGACAGTGTGGCAGGCAAAGAGCAGGTGAGAGCTCTCTAAGGGGGCCCTGTCTGCTGACCATGGAGCCAATATATTGAGGGCCCCCCGGAAGAAATAGTAAGACCTAAAGAGGAACTGAAAAAAATAACAAAGACGTGAAGAAAAGAAAAAAATAATTAAAGAAAGAGAGCAGAACAATGGTTGCAGAGGAAGTGATAATTACACTGTCCGGCGGAGCGCCATGGGGCTTTCGTCTCCAGGGAGGTGTGGAACATCAGAAACCACTCCAGGTGGCTAAGGTAAGGCAGGTTTCTAAAAATGTTCAACATACAGTAAGTAATCACTCCATGTGTTGCTGACTGGAAAGTAGAAAACTGTGTTAGATTCAAAGGCAAAGGAGAGAGGGAACATCAGCTGGGATATATTAAGAGGAGATTTAAGGAGCTGTGAACACAGTTGAAATGGAATATTGGCTGTCATGCAAGTTGGTTTGAGGCCGAAATATGAGTCATCTCCTTGTTTAAGAGTGGTCTTCATGCAATGTGCGCTGATGATTGATTGGGTGAAATTCAAACTTCAAGTTCAGCTGGAAATGTAGGGCAACCTTGTTGCATATCTTCCACTGAATGTGCCTGTCCTGTCAAACTACACAATAACACACGTCCTTGTTAAATTATAGTCATACTGACCAGGAAATATGGACTTGTCTAAATGAGTTTCCTAGTTTGTTTTTGACAACTCATGTTGACTCAGTTTTTCTGAAGATGTTCTTATTTTTTTTCCAAAAGGAGTTTACTGTGCAAATAGGTTTAGGCATTTTGGGTGTATAAAGGTCACTGTTTTGTTGACTGTTTGTCTTAACTGTGACACATTTGTAGTTACTGCTAACTAGTCTCACATGCCCACAATCTTATAAATGCATTTAAACATGTATGTTTCCATTATGTCATAATTTCATTGAGAACTGCCAAACACTTGAGCCATGCCTGGTCACCTTTTGGCTGGAAGGTTACCTGAGATAATTTTGGATCACAGTGGTAAGCAATGGAAGCCATGCTGGACTGAAACCCATTGAGTTCATGGGATAATTGGTTTACTACAGACTTAAGCAACGTTGGTGTTTATGATATTGATAGAAAATGTACATATATATTTTTTCTTGACTGTCTCAGAGAGTATCAGTTCATTTTACCCTCCTGAAGCAAATTCTTCACAAGTATTTTGTGCCTGCGGTCACCACCAGTAATAGAGTCAAGACTGGAATCTTGAGCTCTACTTGCAAAGGAGAAGGTGGTGCATGTGCCAAAAGAGAATATGAATAATTTCGAAAGACTAACTAAGCCTTTAAAATAAAAAAGAAGCACCTTTAAGAGATACAATTATTAAAAAATGAACACTTAAAAAACACTCAAAGAATTCACGTGTAAATGCATTTTATGACTGAAAACAGACCTTCTGTTTTGTTTTGTTTTTGAAATCAAGTCAGAACAAAATACTCCCAATCTGTCATATGACTCACAGTGACTCACAGTGATTACTGATCAACAGTTGCCCTGCGCTCTTCTAATCTTGATCTGTCTTTTTTGGACTTGGTCCAACTTTTTCATGATAATGATTACAAGAGTGATCTATATGTGATGGTTTTAGTAGACTCGTACACACGTGAAGCATGCAAACATGTACATAAATCATATAAATACATGTATCCACACCCATTTACAAAAAAGCTGTCGACTTAGCAGAACTACTTTTCTAAGTGGCTATATTTGGTTTAGAAGTAGCAGGTCACGGCTCAGCCAAGGTGTGCATTTCAGCTCAGGACTCAAAAAAGTGCCTCACACACTATTTTTGTACATGTGCTGCTCGGTATCTTGCTGCTCAGAGAAGAACCAGTGACTTTTTCACATAAATGACTTTTTCACATAAAAGGTTCACATAAAAAACAAAAACATCCTGACTGCTAAACCTTTGTTGCATTTTCTGTTCATGAACCAAACTAGCCTCAAATAATTGTTAAGTAATAATAAATAATAATAATTGTTAAAATAGTAACCAGTACAATCCCTATCTGTGGTAAGTCCTTGTCTAATGTAAAACAGTTTTGTTGGTAAGGCCACAAAAGTCCTAAAGCTGAAGGGATAATCTTTCTTGTTGGTTCAGGTATCAGAGAGGAAATAATTGTGTATCAGGTTATGCACTTGTATACCAAATGTTCTGGTACCTTTTGTTTAACAAGGATTAATCATTAATAAATGAGAGCTTAACTGTGGTATGTTTACCTGTAAAAAATGTGATAAAGATCACATTTAATTATACCTATGAGCAAACCACTATACTCATGAATAAACAAAAACTAATAGACAGTATTGAGCATGTACAGCATGACTGCTCTTTAAAATGTTAATCCTACATGTAGTTGACTTATGCAGAATGTGGTAGTGTGTACACAGTGCCACGGGACACCAAATCACCTTTATGGTGGACGACAGCTGTTTCTGTCCAACTATCCAAAACAGCATGCTCCTTCACCCCTGAGAGCAGGAAGGTGTAATCTTGTCAGGTCTCATACTATGTCCAGAACAGGTGGAGCAGTTTGGGACTGTGCTGAGGGAGCCAGCGTGTCAGTGCTGTTTGTGCCTGTGGGCCTTCATGCACATGTTTCAGTTTATTTATATGGCTTTATGTATATTTTTGTTTCAGTCTGTTTGGAGTGTAAAGGCAAGCAAGTAAGGGTATTTTAACTGTTATGACTTGAAACCACAAGGTGACTGATTGAATGAATAACTGACATCCTGGACCACAAGCGAGCACAAACCACTTTGAAAGGCTTAGCTAAATAGGGATGGGGGATTTCATTACAGGCAAACAAGAATAGCTGAAAGGAAAACTAATTAGGTCAACCAAAGATGTTTCCTTATCTCTGATTCCAACATAAAACATTCATTTCATACATGACAGTGCCATAATGTCATTAATGATCACTGAAAAATCTTGAACAAATTTATTAAAGGACATGTTGATATGATAGACCTAAGACAATTTAGAGTGGGCATAATGCCATGGTCCTGACAGACCTTGGGCACAAATAGCAGAGCACCAAAAGAAGATGGCTGCTGGCTGGCATTTCACATTTTAAGTGTGTGTGAGTGGTCTACTTGAGCTGCAATACGTGGCATACATCTGCACCAAGATCAAGCTGTCAGTGCAAAATCTGCTAGCTGTCAGTCACTATCACAAAGGACAAGACAGTAGCATATTAACACAATAAAAAGGTAACAGTAGGGTGCCTTCATGGCTAAAATTCATTCTAGGACATGTCAAGACTCAACATTTCTGTAACTTTGAAGTTTTTACATTTCTTTTGCTCATGCAGGTACGTAAACGCAGCAAGGCATGCAGGGCAGGGCTACGGGAAGCAGATGAACTGGTCTCTATCAATGACCAACCATGTGGGACACTTTCCCATGCTCAGGCTATGGATCTCATTGACAGCTCCCCTGGACTACTACACATTAGGGTCAAAAGGTCAGAGTCATGGGTTATAATGTTGCTATCATTTTAATGTTATTTTACATCATTATGATGATCATGATGTTCTTAAGGAAAAGTTGTAACCTTTTCATGATCTAATGTGTTGAACCTTGACACAAAATTATTTTTTATGTGAATGTGTTTGATGCTACTAAACCGCAAAAATTTTTTTTACAGGTGTTAAATATTTTTGATCCTTTTAACCCTAAGAGAAGATAGCATCACCTAAATAATCAGATTATTTTAACAGGTCATTATTTTGCCAAATCTACTACCTTAAACCATCAACTTGTTTGCAGGGTGCCTGCTGGTTTTCAGTCCGTGGTGCTTGTGACTCGTGCCCCATCTCCTCGCATAGACAAAGAATATCGGGCTGCTCTGCGTGCTATGTCACCTACCCACCACCATGCACCTGTCCGTGAGGTCCACCGTAGTCACTCCTCTATAACAAGTGGATTGACATCACCTCCTGGCAGTGAAGCTTACTATGGCGAGACTGACAGTGATGCAGATGTGGCTGGCTATGAGCGGCAGCGGCGGCAAAAACGCCGCAGTCCAAGTAACTCCAATCCAATGAAACCATCAGGACGAACCTCTCCTGAAGGCGGGGAAACATCAGAGATGAGCGGCTATGACAGCGCTCCTGATGCACATGCTTATCCTAGTTTGTTAGCTGGACGTGAGATTGATGGAGATGGAGGAGGAGGAGGGCTACCAGGGGTGGCAAGAAGGGAGGTGATTTATCAGCCACCTGGTCCAGGAAACTGGTCCTCCCAGACATCCACTGAGACTTCCTCCATCATCTCCTCAGCAGATGACCAAGGGCCACGTGATGGAGGGCAAGAGGAGGATAGTGGCTTCCTAGAGCTAGCAAATGTACCACTGGTATCCCCTGAGAGGGCAAAAGAAGCCTTAATGCTAAGTTCCCGCAGCCAGATGATTCCCATGGTTGGTCCCGTGGGTAAGCCTGTTGATGAGGAGCTCACTACAACCTACATGGAAAAGGCCAAGCAAGCCAGTAAGTAGAGCTGAGAAAGAAAATGACAGGGACCTATACCTCAGTTGGTGCATAAGTTTCCAAAAAAGCTCCCTTGTACAAAACACAGACTGTTAGATATACAGGATGTCACCAATTCAAGTCTCTATTTTATTACGCCTTTAATTTTTTCCTTCACAAAATAACAAATCATCTGATTGCTAGCACAGAATTCATAATCAAGGTAAACATCAGCTGGTCTCTGCCATGACAACAGAGTCATAATAATAGCAGTAATTTTAAAAGTGTCGTTTTTTATTTTCAGGTTGAGATTTTATGTACATTCTGGCTGAAGCGAAACATACCCCACATCTCTAAGAAAAAGGAAAATGCTTATTTATATGTAGATAAACTGACGATAAAGTATGTTTAAGTCTCCATAACAGTAACTAGTATTTGAATAGTTTAATATTAATTAAGTTGCTGCAGTGTACATGTTTGTAAAGATCTGAGAGATTGATGTGGGATGACTGAAAAGGATCTACAGCTGTTTTAAAGTATCAAGTAGCAAAGCAATCATAGCCTTATTTTCCTTGCCCTTCTTATCCCTGACCTATCTTCTCTTTTGGCTGGCTCACAAGATTGTCTGTAACAACATCTAGTGACATATAGTCACCTCAATTTTCAGAAAATGCTAAACAAAACGAAGCTATTGTTATAAAGTCTTTACTCTGTTTTTTAATCAAGCATTCACAGTAGGCCTGTGAAGAGAGGTCAAAAAGTGGAACAATGTAGTAAGGTTACCACATGAAGCACTGAGCAGTTTTTGTGAATAAGCAGTCTTTCTCTTTAACTTGTTGGTCTGTCTATCATCTACAATAAGTACAGGAGTGGTCCAGGAACAAAGTTGGGCTCTACCAGGTCAATGGAGATGCTTTAAGGAAATTAAACGAATTTACTTATGTAAGTCTTCCTGTGCCATCAATTAATGCTGCTGTGGCAAGTCACGAGACAGGTGCTTGTTGAGAGAATGGTGGTCAGGGCATGTTTAGATACAAATGTCAGCATTAATATTTAGTTTTAAAATTGATACACTTAGTTCACATTTACTTAGCAAAGTACTTGTGATATTATTCAAATATGACTAACTGCTATGGCTTTCAACTCTGCAGAACTAAACCGAGGCGATACACCACAAGACAAGAATGTGAAGGAAGCAAAAAGCAAGTGCCGTACAATTGCGTCTCTACTGACTGATGCCCCCAACCCTCACTCCAAGGGGGTTTTGATGTTCAAAAAGAGGCGGCAGCGGTCCAAGAAGTACACCCTCACTAGCTTTGGCAGCGTGGATGAAGATCAGTGCCGCGATTCACAAGAGGAGGATGGAGTATTCCCTGGCAGTGAATCAGAGTTTGATGATGATGCCTTCTCAGCAGCCCCTGACCCAACATGGGATAGTGACTACATAGATATGCTAGAGAAGAGGGCAACTGCAGGCACTGAAGGTCGAGGAGATGGGGCAGAGGATGCTCCAAGTCCAGGGCTGAGTGACACTACAGGCAAAGGGGCTCAGTTGTTTGAGCAGCAGAGAAAGAGGGCTGCTGAGCATGCCAAGAAGGTAGAGGCAGCACAACCCCAGACAACTTCACAGTCTCAGGTTCAAGAGCAGGCTAAAATAAATCCAGATATGCAAACACAGATACAACCAATCCTCCAGGCACAACAGATGTTACCATCAGGTCCTTCAGCCATACCACAAGAGCCAGCTCAGGGTTTAGGCCCAGTTGCAGCCCAGGGATTGTCTAATGGGGACCTGTCCGCCTCTGCAATTAGCACTGCTAGCATGGTAATGTCACCTCCACTTGTGGCACCCAAACCAGGCAGTGGTGCAGTTACTGTTCTGTCCATACCAGCACCACCAGCTGAAACACCATTACCTGAACTCCCTGCAAGTAATGTTCTCAACAGAACAGCACGTCCTTTCACTCCTGGCTTTATAAGCATTCGAGCAGCAACTGCTCCTGTAACGTTCCGACCATCTGTAACAAAGACAAACCAGCGACCAGCCTCAGCAGCTGTTGCGCCACCACCATTCTCCACTGGCTCTGAACTATCTCATCCTCCCTCTTTAACATCTCCTGGTCCTATGTCAGTATTCCCCCTCTCATCTTCAGTACCCCAAGGTCCCTCAGCCCCAACAACAGAGGATCCTGTTTCCTTTTACCCTCCGGCAATCTCCACCGAAAAGCAGACACCACCACCAATAACCAATGTGACTGTTCCCCCCATGCCTATGCCATTGGCTTCCCAACCCCTAGTAGCTCCCCTCCCTGTTCCTTTTGTACCACATACTCCTAGTTCAACTGATGTAGTTGCCCCAGTCCCTCCAACTCAAGTGCCACCTCCACCTCAGTTTTCTATGATGCCCTTAGCACCTGTGTCAGTGGTTTCCCAGCCCGAAGCTGTAGCTCCAACTCCAATTCCTGGGCCAACAGGTCGAACAGGAATCTTAGTTGAGGCACGACGGCGTTCAGGGAAACCCAAACCTATGTTTATTGTGCCAGAAGTCACAAAAAAGTCCCCCAATCCTGAATTACTTTCAATGGTACAGAACCTTGACGACAGGTCCACCAGACAGAAATATGGCCAACCACAGTCTGAGAATATCTATGATGGTGCAGAGGAGGAGATAAGTGGTGAGGCTGGCATGGGAAGGGCCCCCCCACCAGTTGCACCCAAGCCGCGGGTTATCCATGAGACCCCACAGTTTCTTCAAGCAGGCGGTAAAGGGGCCCAGCTGTTTGCTCGTAGGCAGAACCGCATGGGTATGTATGTAGTGGAGGCCCCACCAGAGGGCCCTCACCAGCAGGAATTGGCATCCCATAATGTGGCCCAACGATTTGACTCCTCTGCCACATCTACCACTCCCTCTCAGTGGAAGTACTCGCCTAATGTCCGTGCTCCTCCACCCATTGGGTACAATCCGCTCCTGGCCCCCACTATCCCTATAGGGCCTCAGAAGGATACTTCCAAGCCAGAAAGCAAAGGAAGGGGAGGGTCCCAAAGAGATGGCATCAAAGCTCTGGACTTCCTGAGGAGGCAGCCATACCAGCTTAACCCTGCCATGTTCAACTATGGGGGCAGTGCTGCTAATCTATCAGCCATGCCGTCTTATCAGGCCCAGAGGCAGCAGCAGGGGGACTACACAATGGTGGGAAGTTCACTGACCCCACCTAAACAGATTCCCATTAAAACAGCCCGCGTCTTTGAGGTCAAGCGATTCTCAACACCCACACCTATGTCAGCTCCCACTCTGACCCCCAAAGTGATCGCACCCCGCTCAGCCACCACCCTTGGAGAACGCCTGACTCATTCCGGCATGACCTCTCCGCCTATTTCTGATCTCACTCCAAACCCGACTCCTTTCTTGTCAACAGCACCACTTAGTGATCCAACTACACTGCTTTCCAAACCAACTGGGCTGCCCAGCCTCCCCAGATTTTCTGCCACCCCAATTCCAAACCCTGTGCCCCCTTCAGTTCCTAAACCTTACACTCCAGTGGCATATACCAGTGGGCTTCAGACAGCAAAGCAGTTCCAAAGCGCCCCTGAACTCAGTATCATTTCTTCTTTGCCTCCTATCAGATCTGACACAGTACAGGCTCCTAAACCACGTTTTGTTGCCACAAGGGGAGGTGTCCAGCCCCATATTTGGAGGCCAGGTGCACTGTAAAAGCAGTAAAATTTAACAATATAATTTTGGTACTTAGTTTAATGAGTAAGTCCAGTAAAATGCCAGACATCTATTGTCTATAGATTAATAATATGGAAATTCTTATTTTTTCTTCTTACTTCATCATTTATATATCTTTGGGTGATTGACTGAACAGAATACAAATTTTAGAAATAACAAACTTCGTCCCGGGAAATGGTAATGGAAGTTGTTCAAGTCAACTACTCTATTTCTAAAAAAGGAGGGGGCATATGACAAGATGAAATGCATCTCTACATGAACCAATTGAGGCCTCAAAATCAGCCGCAAAATAAAAGCAATGAAGAAGCACAAAGTCATGAAAAATAGAGCACAAAGATGTAAAACAGAACTGATTTTGAAGTATTTTGGATCTTAAGAAAGTGTAATGGCCATGATAATCTACTTGCTCTTTGAATGCTGCTTTTTCACATTTCTTTTGCTTTGTATTTATACATTTATCTGAGAGGCAATAATAATGACACTAGCACAAACTGTAGGCTGTAGAGTCCACTGTATGCCTGTCCTGGGGGAGGTTTGTGTAAGGCTTCTGGAGATCTCTTTCTACTAATCTAGCAGAAATACCATCTAAACAGAGCCTGTACTGATTATTCTTTGAAACTTGAAATATCTGGAAGATATTGAAATCCTGACCACAGGATATAATAATTGAAGATGTTCGTTGTTGTATGGTGAAGGATCATTAAACAAAATTGCAGGGCTTCATGTTGGAACATGTAATTCTCTGATTCAGTAATTATCATATTAACTGATGAGCCACATTACATTCATTAAATTCAGAGGTTGTAATAATGAATGACCCATTGCAAACCTTTTTTTTTTTGTTTTTTAACTTTTTAGCTCAACTTGGCACTAAATGTGAAGGCAAGGTTTGCTCTTGCAAGTGAAGTTTAAATGAGGCAGAGCATTATACCTCTGCTTGCTATACCAAGATAGAAAAGCTATAATTTTAGCATGGGTTTAATTTAAAAAGCACCCAGGCTGTCAATGAATGTACACTTGTCACTGGACATCATAGTTTGCAGTAGGCACAGCAGAGCCTTTTAAGTATGAGTGTAATATTTGCAGATATTTATGTAAATTCTTAACTTTTATTAAACAAATCACACAGATGAAGGCATGTGTATTTTATTTTGTTTACTTGTGAATTAATCTAAAGGGGTGCAAGGGGAAGTTGGCTGACTGAGAATCACCAGTATTTATAATGAAGGGGTCAAGGAATGAGAGAGGCTGTGGAGAGGGAAAAAAGTGGGACATAGCTTGGCTAGTTTACTGAATGGGTTCATAGCACACCATTTCACACAAAGGTTATGGTTAATAGTGATATGGCAAAAACTGGGATTATGGTGGAACTGTATATAGTTGTGAAATCCCACAGCCTGTAGATATGAAAAAGGCATGACCAGGAAAGTTTGTTACTCAAGGTTAGTTGGATAAACTAAAGAAGCCGATGGAAATAAGTGCAGAGGTTAAGTGTCCTTCATGTAATGAAGTTTAAGTCAATAGGGTACAATATTTAAATAAATAAACTTCACTCAACAGCTGTGTACCTTAAGGTTTGAGGTATGTTAATGAAAGCAAATGATTTTCAAAGATTGTATTATTTTTCTTTATTGTGAACTACTTTTTTTTAGGTACTTTTGTTTTCTCTCTTTCTTCTTCTTCTTCTTCTTCTTTTTTTTTTTTTTTTTTACCATTTCTAGTATTGTTAATTGCCCAAAGCTTTTCATTGTTTTTTTTAATGCTACACCTCCCCAAAAACCTTGAGTGTGAGAATAGGTACATATCTAAAGGGCTGAAACAAAAATGCATATAAATACATGTGTCTGAATGTAGCTGAGTTAACAAAGTGTGAGAATGTTAATCATAAGTGCTCCAGAGAAGTTCATACTGGGATAAAATTAGAGTTGAAAGCGCTCCAGTTGTCTCACATACCTTATTTTAGACTGCCCCCTGCTGCTGATTGTGTGATCCTACTCTTTTCTTTCAATGTACATGCATGTTTGTGTTATGGCACTGATGAGAAAGTAATGCAGAAAAATGTAAGTGTATATTAGTTGTAATAAAAATATATGTTTCTCTATTTACTGAAATGGTTAAAATTCTTTATAGTCTTTTACTATATAACACAAATGCACACATACAAATTTTCAAAGTCTACAAGAGAGGATCCTTAGAGATGGACAGAATCACTAAATCTGTGGGCCTTTTCATAAAGACAACTGTCATTTGTTATTAACTGAGCTTTGCTATACTCTGTCTGAGGGTGTCAAACATACCAGAAAATCTAGCACAGTTTTGAGCTTGGTTTGAGTATAACACAATTTAACACAGCACAACTTAAGTGACCCGTTGGTGGAACCAAGATTGAAAACTAAATTCTCAAAATATCACTTGCTAATAAAGTGAATGAAAGAAGAGGGAGAAAGCAAGAGAGACAGAGAGAAAGAGAAATGGGGAGGCAGAGAGAGATAAAGGAGGAATAACTGATGGATGTGATAGTGAAAATTATTCAATGTTTTCACATCCAGAACAGCGAAGGGGTGATCAGATTTGTCACCTACCTTTATCTTTATTTAACCAGAAATATTTCCAGAGGAGCACATCTGGGCATCAACCACGTCCTCTACTACAGGTAAAGTTGCTGCAGGAAACAGAGGCACGACGATTTGAATTTCGATATTTTAAATCTCACAACTAAGCTAAGATGTGTCTGCCATATCAACACTTCCTCCAAGCTCTCCACTCAAGAAACAACTGATCAAGAAAAAAAGTGCAAATATACACCTCAATACACCTCTGCATTAAAAGACATGATAAATAGTCCTACCTCAGATGTTCTGATCAAACTGGGTAAGACACTCTATGCTTGTTAAATGAACATCTGCCACCAGGTAGTGCTGTTGAATTCTCTATGGAGCTCTCTGTTGATCCGGCTGCTTCAAGGGTCACTTTGTTGCCAACTTCAAGGTGCGTATATATAGAGAGCTGCTAAGATAAACACAAGACTATTAATAAGCAAAATGACATTCAGGACAGAACTGTAATTAAAAATAACTTCTTAATTTAACTGGTACTAAAAGATCACATCAAAAATAACCTGGTAGTTCAGTTTTTTTGCAAGATATGATAAAAAAAAATATGTACACTGTCTCATTAAAGCATATAATTAATGAGATTGGATAAATTACAGATAAAGATAAATTACAAAAACTAAAGAGAAACAAAGGAAAGAGACAATCTATAGAAGAAAACAGGATTATGTGAGTTTAGGTAACTGACTAGATGCCATATATATAATAATAGGTGACATCTCCCTGTCCTATTAAAAAAAAGGCATACAAACTCCTTTTTGAGATGTGATGCATGTGTGATCCATGTCACAAAGTTTAGTATTACTTTGTGTTGGTAGAAGAATTCACTTAGACTGGTGAAACACTGAAACACCTCTAATTTGTGGTCAATCATGTTTTCTGATTTTTTTTTTGTCAGTTTGCTCTGGACCAGCGGAAACCAGATAGTCTTTTAGGTAAAAATATTATAGCACTTACTCACTGATGACCCCAAATCCTGTACAACACACATCTGATGATTGTGGTGAAATGTGACAATGTAATATTGTCCATGCACACAGCAGGAAACAAAACTAAAGCTGACTGAAGGTTGCATAAAACATATATATATAGTCCGCACTCTTGTATACTCTTTCTTATACTCTATTTTCTGAGACTGAATTTGTCTTATGGTCAGCATTTAGCACTTTGTCTCACACCAGGTTCCTGTTTCACATTCCCGGATATACAGGGGGGCCTTTGGTGTGAAGTTTGCATGTCTACATTTTCTCCTTGTGCACATGGGGTCCTGTAAAACAGTCTGGATTTCTCTCACTGTCCAGAAACATGCTAGTGGGGTTAAATGGTGACACTTAATTTCCAATAGGTATAAGTAGGTTGTCTGTATGTGTTTGATTACAGGGTGTACACTTCCTCTTGGTCTGTAAGCTGTGATTGGCTGCGGCACCCCTTCCAGAAAAAGAAAATGGATGGATAGAATTCATTTAATATCCTAAATCACTATATTTTAAACTTCTATTGTTGTTTACAAAAATCGTATTTGAATGACAAATTAACAAATAAAACAAAATACTTTAATGTAACACTACATAGTTTTACACTAATACTGCCCTAAAGATATTTTTGGCTTGATTTTTGGGTCCTTTAAGACTAAAAACTGTACAAACTATACAATTCTGCTATGTGACAGTGCTTCTTCTGTATTTGAGGGTCTCACAACACAAGGTGAGTCAATACTTCATAGTCATTCATTTTTGAATGAGAGTTTTGAAGCTAAAAAGTTTGGTAAAATCACTTTTTTAGATAAGGACAGTCGACTGCAAGTTTCACTGTGGGGCTTAAGAATATCATAATGACTGTAAACCACTCAAGAACAAAATGTTTCAACATTTTTCACTAGATTATATACATCATGTACCCATGCAAAACAAAATCACAAATGAGACCATTTGATGTTCTCTGGTACTTAAACATTCGCACAGTTGGTCTAAGACAATTCTAGTTTCTGTTAGCTCTGTTTTTGCAGGTGCATCTTTTCTTCTGTCACAAGATGCTCAAGAGAAACTGCAAATGTGACAATCTGGTGTCAGGTTAGGGTACTGCCGTGGGAGAAGGAGGTAACCGTAAAACACAAGCTGTCATGGCTCTGATATCTACACCTAACCTTAAACTTGTACTGTGAACTTGTACATGCTATACTCTTCTTCCCTCTCAATCTCTGTGTGTACCCCAAGCACACCCCAGAGTCCTCTGAGGTTATCTTATAGCTGAATTCTATTCCACCCAGTCTTTGCTGCTAAATATAGGCTTCTGAACCATCTGTGAGAATGATTTTGTTCCTTTAATATCCCCATCAGCACTTTCAGTTGGCCAACAGGGACTTCTACCCCCACTTAAACGCCCCCATCCCTATTCATACTCCTAACTTCAACTTGCCCCCACCTCCTGTCTTGACATCAACACTGCTGCCACCCACAACCCCAACCCTCTGGAAGATCTGCCATCTCAGTGCTGGGTGGGCTTTTTGCACTTCCCGGGACCTGGGTCCAGCCATAGGAAGGGGCAGAGGCACTGAGGGATTTGTAAACTTGTGATCGAGATCACCAGCATTGAGCCGAGGGTTTCCTCTTCTCTATTTGGTATTTATAGGTCTGATTTCTCCTCCAAGGATTACAACAAAAATCCGGTGAGTGGATTTGCATCTCATCAGTGTGTTTGGTCTTACTGATTGGCCATCAACGTGGATTTTAAGTCTTAATATTACGTAAGTGGTGATAAAGAAGAAGACTTGCAATTGCCCCCATTTACTGGTCTTTTGTGAAAATAAAAGAAGGATCTTGTCTTCAACAACTCAGTCAACCATGTATTTACTTAACTTCTAATGCACTTTGATGTAGCCAAAGATACAATTGCAGTTGGTGTAACTCCTTCTTTTCATTATATTGTACATCTCAAAATGCTTGAAGGAATGGTTGAATGTGCTGACCATCCCTCTTTGTGGGCGTTGCACTGATTTTATATGGTGGTACTGAACCCTGATAGGGGGTGGTAATTCTGAACACTTGAGTCTCTGAGCTTATAATTATTTATAGAAATTTAAAAAGCATCCGGAATCCTCGTAACTCCAGCAACTTCTCTAGATCTCAACAATATTTTAGGAGAGTACAACAAATACTCTTGAAATTAATTTTTGGTGGTGTGTGTTGTGTTTTTGAGGGTTGAGTCAAGCTTATTTGATAGGCGAATGACGCCATTACAAGTCGCTAAAATGTCTTGGCTGGAGATGGCTTTTAAAAATAGCTGCAGTGTATTGAATTACAGTCAGTAGATGTGATGTGATGTTGCCCCTTGACTAGGCCTTAAGGAAAATGTTTAGTGCTGGGGGGTGCAGAGATGCATGTTAAAAAGACTAAAAAAAAGAAAACCTGTATAAAATAACACATACTTCATAATGCAGGCAGATAGACCCCACAGATAAGAGCATTTGATTCTAATTGCTTCATTGCAAAGACACTGGGTGACATTTCAGCAGATGAAACAAACATGCATGTTCTCTTGCAGGCTGAAGGCCGGGGAATATGATCAGATCCTGTTTTATGATTCTGAGGCCTTGGAATGCATTGCATAGGGTGCCAGGATGCATTGATCACTGATTTCAACCTGCACCTTACAAGCTTTCTGTTTATGTTGACCCAATCTGTGTGTCCCCAAACAAAACTGAAAAAACATATTGAGCTGTATGTCTCCCTTGGGGCAGACATCTGTTCCACCGTGGAATGTGGGGAATCTGAGGGCACTGACATCCCCCTTGAACTTGAAAAATGAGCAGGGCCTGTGCTGTTTGTCTGTCTGATACATTCAGACCTTCTGGATTCACTTTCAAGAGTTGTTGATGTCTGTAAGTGTTGATGGTGAGGGGTAATCTTTAGAGGTCAGTGAAGAGGTCTGATGGTATGGCAAAGTAGTATTTTGAAGTCTGTTTAAACTATGTGATATGTAGCTTAGTAATGAAGTGCTGTAATGTGTGCATTTAAACCTGCGCTGAAATTCTTCTGCTGGGCACATTTAGAAGTATACTGTCAGTAACAGCAAGCACAATGACACTAGGACACTTATTTAAAGTTGAAAGTTTCATTTCTTAATTTTTTTTGTTTGCTATAATTTTATTTGCTAATCAACTTCCTCTAATGAAAGCAATGCCAATAAAATAGATGTTTGGTTTAACAATTAAGTTTTCCTGGAAAAGCTTTTATCAATGCTGGACATATTCTGACAGTTTTAGTTTCAGCTTAAGAATTTGTTTTCTATGCTTTTAGCTTCATCACTGTAACTACTCAAACTATGTTCCTTTTTGAACCTTCAGTTATGCCTCTGGGAAAACCTGCCCCCCTAAACAAGCGGAAAAAGCTCTCCAAGATCATAACTGACCTATCACATATCACTCAGGATGGTAAGGCTGGCATGGAATGAAAATGAAACTTACTTTCCATATGCACAGTATAGCTCTTGGGTGTAAACACAGAATACATAAATAGATAAATGATACTGTTGGTGGGCTTCTTATCTTACATGGCCCAGAAGGTTAGACTTGAAGCACAAATGAAAAACATATGGATTTAATAACACAAAATGAAAGACAGTCAAAACTGACTTAAATTTCATTCTGAGTCATTACACACTGTTCTGCTTGATATCATCAATGTAGATGTACAACTAAGTTTCCTATGCAGTGTGGCGCTAGATGTACCTTATCATGGAAAACTGTAAATATTGCAGAAATCCTATCAAAAGCAAATTTTTAACCATCTTTTATCCAAAAGGATTTGATAATAATCAAAACAGTATAACACATCATCAGACAAGTAGATTACTGAGTGATATCTATTTAAGTTTGTGTGATTTTTTACGGGATTTCTGTGATTTTATCTACTAATTTGCCTTTATTTAAATGTAAAACACTTAAATCATATAGGCTTCTTAAAAATATCACATTTGTATATATCTTTGTTTAAATGTTTCTACCTAGAATATGAGTCAGAGCCAGAAGCATCTGAATTTGACCTGGGACATAAGATCATGGTCCCCAAAGACATCATGCTTGAGGAACTTTCCCTGATGAAGAACCGAGGCTCCAAGATGTTCAAGATGAGACAGCAGAGGGTGGAGAAATTCATCTGGGAGAACAACCCTGACATCTTCAGCAGTGAGTCCATGGTGAGAGAAAAGTTGAAAGAGGAGCTGTTAGGTGGAGCCATTTGATCGGTTACTTTCAGTCACATGGACTAATGGTGTTTTAACCTCCTTTGGTTTATTATTAACTCAAAAAATAATTTAGATCTTTTTTTGTGTGTCTGTGACAAAAGACTTAAAATTTCATGACATGTCTAGAATTTTGAAAATCTGCTTTCAGGACAACCTGCAGAAGTTTGTTCCATCTCTTGGGGGTGAGATGGGAGGACAAATTGGAAGTCAGATGATAAATCTTGGAGGGCATTTTGTAAGCAAGCAACCTGGACAGGTGCACATTGTTGGGGTGCATGGCATAGGAGGGGCCCCTATACCTCCACCAAAGCCTGGAAGAAAAGGTGCAGGGGGTGCAGGAGGTGCAGGAGGTGCAGGAGGGCTCGGTGGTGGCGACCAAGGAAAAGGTGGACTAGGAGAAGGAGGAATGGAGTCCTCACAGAAAGGTAGGAATTTTGTTTGTATTTTTAAGAAGAAATTTGGTATGGGGATCAGTAAACACAAGATTTCTACATTGAAGAGTATCTTGTGAAAATGTTGTCTTTGGTGACTTCCAGTGATTTAATTTTCTACCTGGCTGTTTTAAGATAAAAATGTTCTTTGCGATCCAGGGAGATTGCTTTTGAGAGTGATAACTGGTGCACCAAACACATGTCACAGGTAAAATGCGCTTGCAACAGAACATAAGACAGTTAACTGCTTTTGAGAGATGTGTGGTTTAAACAAATAGTGAAACCTTTTTTGAGGACATGCTCATTTGCTTTCTTAAAGCAAGACTGATGGACAGATAAAAAATGAACAAACAAAAAAATACAGTAGAAGCCCAGAAAAAAATGACTGCACCTACTAAGCTGTCAGAAATTCAAGCCCTGTTTCTATATTATTTCAATTTTCTAATCAAATGAGATATAGCAAGTTTATTTCTTAACTTTAAAGATTATGGTAGAGGTATTGTTTTTTTTACTTCAGGCAGTTGCAGATGAGTGTAGTACTCATCCTTGCAACCAACTTGCAATAGCAATTATAGATGTTTTCCAAAATATACATGATTTTCATCTATAGTAATAAATCACATGAGTAGAAGATTCCCACTTGTTAGTCCAGAGATTTTTTCATATATTCTTGCTTTGAGATCGAGACAAATGCCTGCTCTTTTCACAGGAGGTGGAAAAGGTGATGCAGGTAAGAAGCTGATGGTTATCAAGACATACACTTCACCATGGGAGAAGGCCATGAAGGGTGATGAAGGTCTGATAGCAACTTTGAAAACTACAATGCCTGGTCCCATCGAGAAGAAAGACTTCCCCAAGTACAAGTGCTTCAACAGGTACTTCCTCAAGGTCTGACTATGTAGATACAGTGGGAGAAACAAAGTCTTTAATGATCATCTCACCTTTCTTTGCAAGGTCTGCCATGCCATTTGGTGGTTTTGAAAAGGCCAACCAGTTCCTGAAATTCCAGCTGCCAGAAACTGAAACAAAACATGAGCCTGAACCTGCAGTGGTGTACCAACAGGAAATCGGTTGCCGGCCTTCTTTCAACCGCACTCCAATTGGCTGGGTGGGAAGCAGTGAGCCCAGCAGTATCCATATGGAGACCGATGCTGTGCCCTTTGATGGAGAGACTGACGAGCTGTGAAAATTATTCTTACTGTGATTACGTCGACTGCATAAACAAATCTGTACACAAAGGCCATTAGGTTTAATGTATTCATACACATAAGCACGCACTCACACAAACACACACCCACACACACACACAGTGAGCCTACAACTGTAAAAGTGATCAATCAGAATCTTGGTGTGCATAACTGAAAGGCATCCATACAATGTGGTTATGTTTTTGTTTTGCTCTTTATCTGTTTGTGAGGTAAAGAATCAAGCTTTAGTTGTTATGGGGGATTAAACATGAAACGTGTATTTGATATGTTCTTCACTTAAGTCAAAGAAGTAGGTGAGAGTTGCAGGATTATACAGGATGAAAGAATGAATCATGTATGGTGGACATATTTCTGCTATCTTACTGTTTTGCACAATGTCTTAATGTCAACCTATTATTACATTTCTTCTTTTCCAAAGCTTTTTTTGTTAAAGTTTGCTGATTATTTGTTAAGCGATAAAATCCCACAAATACTCTTACTAAAGGATGCATGCATAGTGCTGATCCACAAACCTACTGTACCAACACAGTTTCTCCATAATAAACTCTTAACGCAACTTAAAACAGTCTTCTTGTGAAGTGGTTGAGTGCGAGGGGAAATCAACCATTTTTTGTGTGATGAAACCCTTAATTAATAGATACCAGTGAGAATAAAATTTTAATTTCAACAATTTTCTCAGCACTGATTAAAATACAGTTATTGAAATAAGGAATAATTTTAGCTAAAGCAACCATAAATACATGTATAGACTTTATTTGCTACTCACAGCAAATGGGTTCAACCTGAAATTACAGATTATGTCTCTGTAGGTACATAAATATAAAGAGGAGTTTTACAAAAAAATTATCTGCCTTACAATTATGTATCATAATGAATGAATTGCATATCTGACATTCATATAACCATTACATTAGAGTTCAAAACTATTTGACTTCTTTGATACAACTTGTGGAGGCCTTTCCCAAAAACAATAAGTTATCTTCCACTGGTTTTCTTGAAGTCTTGACTTGACTAGCAAGACTACTCTTTCTATTTAAACCAATTAATCTTTAGCATGATGTTAACTCAAAAGAAACCTTGCTCTCCACAGGCTACTTCTCTGGCAATCTAGGAAAAATAAACAACAGGCTGGTCACAGTGATATGCCACTACAATATATCCTGCTGCCATTGCCCCACAAATAAGGTCTATGTCAGTATTTGAATTTTGCATTTGCAACTTCAGGGACACAAGTAGTGATCACTGGACCCTGAGTACAGATTTAAGGGAACAGTCTAACATTAGGTTGCTAACAAGGGAAAGTGAGTCAGTATTGAAAGGTATTGTTTTGAAGTTACTCACATCTTTGTCTAAAAATTCTTGATATTAAGTTTTGGTAGCTAAGGTGATGTGACAGAGCTAATAAGATAGCATTATGTTTAAATGACATTCAATCAAATCAAATCAAATTTTATTTATTTAGCACCAATTCACAACAGTCGTCGCCCCAAGATGCTTTCCAAAGAAAATAGCAGGACTAGACCACGCTCATTGTTTGATGAATTATCAAGACCCAAACATACGATGGGACAGATTTGACCCATCTCATCTAACATGAGTGACAGTGGCGAGGAAAAACTTCTGTTTAACAGGCAGAAACCTTGGGAAGGACCAGACTCATGTTAGACAGCCAGCAAGCCACTGCTGGCTTGGGTATGAATACAGAGAGATAGGGAGGGAGAGAGAGAGAGAGAGGAGTAGGAGAGAGGGCAAGGGGAGAGAAAGAGAACAAGAGAGAAGGAAGAAGAGTAACGAGTAAGGGAGAGAGAATAGAAAATGAGGTTGAGAGAGAGACAGGGGACACCAGCAACAACAACAACAGCTCATGCAGAGTTGTGGTTGCAGAGCTAGTAATGATGAAACAATATGAACTCAGTTTACAGGATTAGGATATAAGTAATTATGGACTATGTTAAATTAATGTAATGTGATTACAGTCAGCAGGCCTAATAGTAGTTTATTCTAGCTTTACGTTATTTATGTCGGTGAGGCTGATGTTCATGTCTGCAGCAACAGTTCAGAGGAACCTAAGAGAAGAAGGAGCTCAGGGCCTGAGGCGGACAATCATAAACGATGCAGCTGAACACTGAACAGTTCAGTACATTATTATTATTAGAGGCCGTCTGCAGCAACAGGAGTATTACACACAATCAATGGTTTAAACTGTCCTCCTGCACAGTAGAGGGCAGTGATGTACTAGAGTGTTTTTTATGTAGTTCAGCGGGAAGAAGAATATAGTACCTTTAAATGTTTGATGCCGGGGGTGTCCTGATGTTGCGGTCCTGCGGTGTGAGGTCTATACAGTGTTATGTGCTGTATACGGCCACGGAATGGACATCAGCGAAGTTTTTAGGTAACGCTACAACTCCTTCGAATTATTAGCTTGCTTAGCTAACGTTTGCTATCTGCCGTCCGAGTAGGAAACACACGGAAGTTTGTCGGTAACAAAACAATGTTGGATAAAACACATACCGAAGTAAAACCAAAAACTTACACAGACGAGCCCATTTGATATTAAAGCGGCCCTCACGGTCCCAATAAAGAAGCGGAATCCTATCGTGTGGTTCGTTAGCTGGAGACGCTAGCTCACTACTTTACTTTGCCGTCTGGTCTACGTCATACGCTGTAACGTCTGGGCTCTTTGTTACCTAGCAACGGCAGTGATAACTGTATGCCAATAGATAGACTTAAACTTTCGTCAGTTAGATGGCAAAAACATAAAAAATTAAATTGTTTGATGAATTTTCAGGGTAATAAGCGCAGAATTTAAAGGTTTCACTCCGTGTTGTCATATTTTAAACCCTTGCAGATGTTACTGTGTTGATGTAGTTAAAGCTGTTTTATTGGGCATGCTTTCAATCTTTTAATAAATCACTTTCATCTGTGTTTACTGCCTTTAAGTCCAGAAATGTTTCTCACCTATTGTTAGGTGCACTATAGCACAGTGATTTCACCCGATGTCAGCTAAGCCGACGGCCCAGTTAGCACCCCTGCCATGGATAGAGATCCTCTCATACTGGTTGCTGTCCTTTGGATCTCATCTGTACTCTTTCTACCAACTGCATTTATTTTCCAAAGGTAAAGTAGATGGAATATATATTTAATAATAATGAAGTGAGAAAAAAAGATTACGTAAACTTGATTCTCAGATATTTTCTTTTTTTCACTTCAGAACATGAAGCAGGATTACAGAGAGAATTCCATTTAGAAAAAGGCCTTCTCAAGGGTTTTAAAAAGGTAAGTTTAATGTTGAAATTGTTGAATTTAAGGCCTTTGCTAACCAACGTTTGCACATTTTATGCCCCAGACTTATTTAAACTAAATACCCCGAAACTTTGACTACCTGAAGCTTGTTTTATATGGTTGCAGTAATATTTATGTTGAAGTTGCTTGTTTTCTCAGGACCTCTCTGACTTTGAGTGGAGTTTCTGGACTGAATGGGCAAAGAAGTCTTTGCTGTGGACTCTAATTGGTCATGGTGTAATATCAAGATTAACCAGCATTTTTTATCCCAGGGTAAGAGACAGCTCTTACAGTAGTATGAGTCAATTATGGCTATTACGTGTGAGATATTTTGGTCCGGTTTTGATCTTTGATTTTTCTCAACAGTTGAAGGTGCCAGCAATCTCATTGTATGGATTCTTAGCAGCGAGTAGAGTGCTGGGGATCAAAGGCGTGAATGTGCTGTTGGTACATCTTGGACTCTCCTTTCTAGTAGCCCAGCTTCGAAAACCTGCTCTGACATGGGTCTGTAACCTGCTGCTACTCTCCACACTTCAGATCCAATGGCTGCAAGAGATCCAGGTAAAGATTAAAGTAGAGGACAGACTCTAAATATAATTTCCCATTAGTGTTTACAAAATCACAACCTCAAATCTGGGAAGGATTTGGGTGATTTAGAGCTTCTTGATGTCTACACTGCTGTACTAGCATTGTATACATTTTCTGTGTATTTTTTGTGGCTATTTCACTGTCATTCAATGTTGGTAATTACTTCAGATCATAACAATTTTGCTGAATGTCATATTTTTATAGAACACAAGGGGGAGCCTGATAGTAAGGGAATGTCTATCTTGTCACTCACCACCCTTATTCATGATCATACCCTAGATGAAAGTTGAGTAAATGTACTGAACGCATCTATAGTAAGCAGGTGAATTCTATTTTTTTTAACCCTGCGGTCAAGCCTTTAAATAAACTCTACCTGTGAGAGACAGAATGAAAAGTGCTCACATACAATCCTGATATTCTAAAAGACAAAAAATGTACTGTAGTGAAAATGTAGGGAAGTGATTTTCATATAAGATTTTTCCAAACCTAATTCCTAGTATTGGAAAAAAATATTCGAATGCCCTAAAATGAGTTTTAAACCAACTTAGATTTTAAATTCATTTGTACTTTGACTTTTGAAAATCAATTCTTCTTAACAAGACACACTCTGGTGGGATTCAGAGCCCTTTCCTCCAACCTGTCATCCTTACTCACTCTTAAAATGCATAGTGTTTGACAAATCAAGCATAGTCACAGTGGTTCATAATTTGAAAGTGAAATAAACATGACAGCCCTGTGCATGAGCCCTAAAAGTCTGCCTGATTTGTTGCTGTTTACCCAAACTCTACATTGGGAAGTAATGGTATTCCTGGTACTGTCAAAAAGGCCTCATTAAAAGCTGTCTTAAGACTACTGATATAAATACATGTGCACATTTTCAGCAGCAGTTTTATAAATCTTGGGTGATGTGTTAATGCTCCCATTTTTATCAGTGCTCTATTTTGACTGAAGGTATGGCTTTAAGCATGAGTCTTAGTTTAGTTCCAAACTGTCACTTTTTATAAAGAGATTTCCCAGAAGTGTGTTAAAAATAATTGGCGCTTCCTCTGCATTACACAGAGAAGCTGGTATAAAACCGAGGAGGAATACTACCTGCTGCTCTTCAGTGTTGCAGTCTGCGGTCTACGCTTCATCAGCTTCAGCCTGGAGCATTGCTGGTGCCCTCCAGACCGTGGTAGAATTGTGCAGCTCTGCTGGTTGTTTTCATACACCTTCTATCACCCATTCTTCTACAATGGACCCATCGTCACATTTAAAGACTACATTGAGCAGGTAGGAGAGATGGCATAAGCGTCTCTGTGTTCAACTGCATTTTAGTTTGAAATTGCCTCTTTTGTTTTGGTCTGGTGGAGGCTGAGGATGATTGCTCCCCCTGAGTACAGGTGATGTCAGATATAGTGGACTATTTATGAAATGATAGTCAGCTGAACTTTTCAAACTTGTTCAGATAGATCTACTGTGTCCTTTGCCTAATGTTGTCATTCTGTCACTTCTGAAGTTTTTGGGTGAATCTCTCTATCCTATTCTGTCTGTGTTTGTTATTTTGGCAGTGAGGATTCAAAAAGCTACCCTCGAAAACATGCTCATGTTTTACATTTTTAGATGCAGATGCCTGCTGAGAAGACTGACAGGAACCAATCTGCTTTTACTTTCGCTGTGCTCAGATCAGGGCGGATCATACTGTGGTGGTGTATCGCAGAATACATGATTCATGTAATGTACATGCACTCTATCCAGTCTAATGAGACCTACTTGGAGATACTTCCTCCTTGGGCCTTGGGTAAGTCTGGACATATTTTTGGCTTTCGAGTTCTGTGTTATATGAAGTTTTACCTCAAAAGTTTTTCATATACTTCAGACACACGCTGAGATGCAGAATCTAGATGCATGTTACACTGGCAGGAGTCTGTTGGTTCTAAAAATCCTTTAAACTTGCTGATTACAAGCTCACACATTTGCTTCAGTTCATAAATCAGTCATTGTGATCTGTTACGTAATTTTTATTATATTTAAGTCAAATCGTGTTCAGTAATTATTAAGTTGCTCCAAGTTTTTCGTTACCAAAAGTAGAATCAACTAGAGTTTGTGTCCTCTGTGAATCCTCATTGAGTCTCTGAACAACTGGAGCCCTAAGTAGTGGTGTTTGCATAGCTGTATGTTTTGGTAAGGATACTGAAAGGTAACTATTTTCTGGGCTGTCTCTTACATCTGGGAATTTAGAGTTTTTTTCACTTATGAGTCATTTCAGTTATAGTAAGTATTAAATCAGTAGCTTTAATTTCCATTTATCATAAGTCATCCCCAACTTGTTTTTTTTTTTGTTTGTTTTTTGCCCACAGCACTCCTTAGTTTTTCTTAGCGTCTTAATTATATCAACAGAAATTATATTTACCACTTTCTAACACCTTTTATGAGCCCTCAGTTTCTTCCAATTTTAATCTCTCTGTAGGGCAAACAGTTTGATCATAAAAAAGATGTTTCAAGCTGTACAAATCTTAATCCCACCAAGGCAAATTTTGGGCCGTTGAAAAGACATTCTGAACTTGAAATGCAGGAAATTGTCTTTACGAGAACTGGACTTGTCTTAATTAATAAAGTTAGAGAGAATAATCTGATCATCTAAAATTTCTCACAGGTGGACTTGCCCTGGCCCTGGTCCAGTTCTTCTTTGTGAAGTATCTGGTTCTGTTTGGCCTCCCATCCATGCTGGCTACTCTGGATGAACTTGTCCCCCCAAAGCTTCCTCGCTGTGTCAGCATCATGTACAGCTTCACAGGGATGTGGAGGTAAGTTTTAACAGCTTAACACCACTGAGAGAAATACAGTATTTTATTGATCCTACATCATTTTCAACACTTGTGTGACTGGAAAATTTTGTGTCCGTTGTATCCATGGGAATAGGTAAATCTAGTGTCAAGTGCCTGAAGTGCTCTCTTCACTCAGGCAATAAAATGTAGACTGAACAAGGAGAACTGTTTCATCGTCTGCCATTACCGCCAATCAGTGCAATAGGTCACCTCTGCACTAAAATCATCACTGTAAATATTGTAGAGTGTTTTAGACTGTGGATAGAATACCTTTTTCTTTGGAGCATCTTGTCAGTATAACTTAGTTAGTTTTGAAAGTAACACGAAAAATGTTATACTGAATAGTATATCACTATGGTAAAAATATTCACATAAAAAAAGTTTTTTGGGAGGGGGCTCAGTGGTGTTATATGGAAATTTTAGGCACACACACAAATGCGTACATGCACATACACTAACACACACATTCAGAAGAACCTTTACAAAGAGTTGACGAAATGCTGAAGGATTACAACAATCATCAAGCTCAATTGTGTACAGTCATGTATAATAAGACTATACCAAGTTCAAGCTGAAGGGGTCACAATTGCTCAAGTCAATAGTCACACACACACACACACACACACACACACACACACACACACACATACACACACACACACGCATACACACACACACAGACAAAGCACAGTTTGCTGCCTGGGGATAAAACTCCTTCATCAGCAAGACTGACCCTATAAAAAGCTCTCAAAAGACAAGCTACTTTACACTGTTTCGAAAAATGTTAATGTCAAGATGTGTTTGAGTTTATCACTTCACTCTGAGGGTTGGATGTACAGCAATTAGGACAAAGAAAAAGGGTTTGGGCTGATGTTCTGTAAAACAAGCTGTAATGTAGACTCAGTTGCCTATTTACTAGATACACAACACTGGAACTGTTGTTGTCTAACCCCAATCTATTCTGCATTTATTTCAGTTATTAATGATCAGTATTTGCTGAACTGTGGTAAGGGAGTGGTAATTCACCTGTATGGTAGTGTTAAAGGCTGCATGTGTGGACTATTCCAGACTTCATTTCTTTATACCAACAGACTGTATATTAAAATGAACATCAGAAGAGTTCACTGACTGTGAAGCCAAAAGATATAGGGCTCCCCCTGCTGACTGTCTGCTGTTTAGGTTATTATACGCACCTCGCTCATCTTCATCACAGTTTTTTCATACTTATTAATGTACAAGAGGGCTGTCGCAATATTCAGGTATTGAAGATAACAACATTTATTAACATATTGCATATTGGTACTGTGTTGAAATAAGAAAACAGTAATACCTTGAGTTCATAGAGGTGGTCCTTGATGCTTGTTTCCATGCATTATGGGGGAGTGACAGAGGAGTGGCAGACTGCCTGTGAACTGTCTTGAAACAGCTCTCTAAGAGCTGATTCAGCACTTTAAAAAAAACAAGATTTCATGAGTTGTGAAGCTTGTGTCACTTTGAATCACTAATCTAATTGAACTTTAATACTCTTGGACTTTCTTCTGTTACCATTCAGTTCCCTAACTCAATTACAGGAAGTAGCTTATTTTTCAAAACAAGAGCATAGTTTTAAAATGCATGAAGAAAAATCGTTCTATCAGGCAATGTCTTCTTAAAAGAAGTTTCAGTTACACAGCCAGCGATGTAGATAAATTATAATACTTTTACCGAATTAGATTCATGCTTTTTCTCAATTGTATTTGCTGTGTTGTTTTAAATATCAACTTTTCCACGAATATCATGATAATATGGTTATCGTGATATTTTTTGACCAAGATAATAGTGAGACAGTGTGACAGCCCTAATGTACAGTTTATTTTCTATGAGTTACTTGATGCTACAAAGGGGGGATGTGAAATCATGACTGACAAATACGACCTCCTGCAGGGTTTTGTTAAGAAGACCTTCCGTGAATGTTGTGTGATCAAGAAAAGAATCTATGTGTAATAAAAATACTGAAAACTACAGCTTTCAAGATCATATTCAAATACTCTGCAAACAGCAGCCAATAAAGTGATGATGATTTAAGATTTGAAGAAGATACTTTAAAATATTTTTATTATTTTACATCTGTTCTGTGACTATTCAGATAGTTTCAATAAACAGTAATACTGTTAACATGAGTGATGATTGGATCCATTGCAGGACTTATTTCTAAGTGTAAGGGTATTAGTTTAAGCTTGATGACTCCAATAAACCTGCACCTGAGTGTATGAAAAAGGCTCAGAAATGCAATTGAACTCACAAAAGCAAAAAAGTATCGTGATTTGGCTAAAGTGGAGTGTTTGACAGTGAGTAATTGAGCAGTGAGTCATGGTTGTACTGTAAAATGACTTGGGCGTAATGGCATATTAATTCATTTTCTCATACATACTATGTAAATAGATTAACCAAAATTAAAGGTTCTTTTAATGTGGAGTGCGTAAAGTCGAGATTGAAGGATGTGTGTTTGGTCCTGCGGTAAAACCCCCCTGGCCACAGACAAGATGGACCAATGTGCTGACGCCGATGCACTCCAATCCAGCCTGTGTGTGCTGAGCTGGCCAGTGTTGACAACATTGATGGAATGCATAAAGCTGTCCACCGACATCATTGACGAAACCGCTTCAGTTTATAGGCTGCAGGAAAAGAAACCCCACAAAATGCTTTGTCTAATCTTCTCAGTGGCAGATATACACATGCATCCCACATACTGCACATGCCTCGCATAATATGAGCTGCAGTGCTCAGGTGTTTCAGTGCTATATTATTATGTAAATTTGTGACTCAAATATCCTTTTTTGTTCTCCGGCAGGCACTTTGATGAGGGCCTGTATCGATGGCTCATCAGGTAAGAGGCACTCAATGAGCGCTGGACGGACTAATTCAGATGTTAATGCTTATAAAAAAATGTGAAATGGCTTTTAAATCAAATCCAGCTTTTGTATCAGAATATCTATTTATGTATCTGCCTGTTTCTGTAAGTGTCGTTTTCTGTTTGCCTGCCACTGTGTCTCCCATTCTGTCTCATTCATTTTTCCTGTCCATCTGGATAATAAATTTTATCAGTCTGCTTGTCTCCCTATCAATCCATTCCATGTATCAGTCTGTCTCTCTGTCTGACCAATTAATTCTGTCTGCCTGTCACCCTGGTTTGTTCTCAATTCTGCCTGTCTGTCTGATCGAATCTTTCTGTCTGTCTAACCATTTCTAACTGTCGTCTTTGACATATTAGCAGTATATCTGCTTGTCTTATCAGTTTTTCTTTTTGTCTATCTGCTTGATCTTAAAAACTACTACTATTTGCTTATCCGTCTAAAATTTACAGTCCTCTGTTTCTCTACTGGTGTTACTGCTTTAATCACTCTACACCAGGTGTGTATGGCAGACTCACTGCCTGTGCAGCACTGAACTTGTCAGTTGTACAACCCAAAAAGGTGCCATTCTCCTGCTGCCTGCTCACATCTTTCATTATAATGGACAAGGATGCTGCATTTGCATATAGGCTTTCTCATGATTATGAGTTTGAATGTCACTGTGAATAATGTTTCTGTTGGGTTACCATTTCTGTAACACCCTATAGTAATGCCTCTTTGTACAATCTGTGCTTATGCAGTGAAAGCATTGTGTGTTTGCTCAATCACACTTTGGACAACACACATTGTTAGTTTGCTTACCTTTAATGATGCACGCTCGACTGAATGCAGCCTGTTGGGGGTTTATGGTACACTTGGTAGATGCTGGTTGCGACATTAAGGCAACAGTTGCACGGTTGTCAGAGCTCACAATGAGAGACTATGAAAATGCTCTCTAATGAATGTTTGTGTTGACCTGTTTTTCTTTTTGTTACATCTGCTTTTGGTTTGTTGAAGAGTTTAAAGTGAAATATTGTATATTAGACCGTAAAAATGAATCCAATTAGTTTACTTAAGATCCAGAAATTTAAAATGCAAATCCAAGTTTCCATTTTAGTCCACATCCAATGGAAATTGTTTTCTCCCCCTTGATGGCATCACTTGTAATTATCCCTCAGCAGATGCAAAATGATACCCATGACACAATGCCCTAACGTTCCTTCCTGTGAAAGTGCTCTTAAAGAGGTTTTAATGCGGTTCTGAAATTCTGCTGAAATTGTCTGAAGAGAGCTAGATGAGTGCGTAGGTGTTCAGTGATGTGCTCTACATGACTCACTGACACCCCGTCTCCCTGGGCAGCTAAGTGGCTCATTCTTCACCATTCCATTACGCATTCTCTGTATGCTGCTGTGTCTTAGGGTCTCTGTTTTACACACATAAAGAGCACTCATTGTCCGTGTGATTGAGTTATTACAGAAACATACGAGAAAGGGTGTTTGATCCTGAAACCTGAGGGAGATTAGTTGTAAATAAATAAGTGGAAGTGTGGTTTGGGTTGGCCCAGGGGTCAGCATTTCACTCTCAAAGCAAGAAAGATCAAGAACACTCAATGTGTCCTAAAGTCAAAAAGGAGAAAAGAGTGTACTTATATTTTTTGTGCATGATCTGCTTCCAGCTGCAAGCTAACATATTGACTATTCAGGGTGTTAATGTATGTTCAAAAATGATCACCACTGAATCACACCTGTTTAAAATTAACCATCATCTACATAATTGAAATGACCCAGTAGGGCCTCAGTGTGTTGATGTGTTCAGTTGCTCTTGGTCTAACACTTCGGTTTCTCTCCATCTGTCTCTACTCCTGCTTTCCTCCTTCAATCTAGCCAAGCTGGCCACTCTATTTAAGGCTCAGAAAATGCTGGCTCATCTTTCAGGAACATTGATTAGCCACAGGGCGGCTGAAATAATTAGTCCCCAGCTCAGCAACACTAGACACAACGTGGGGCTTGTTTCCAAGCATGTTGAAATGATGTAGCATGTTGAGACTCTCGGTGCCTTTGGGACAGACGACAAGGTTCACACAATATTTGAGGCCATTTCTCTTCTAGGCGTGCACCACAGCCAGCTCTGATTGGTGGGTTACTCTTCACATCAGGTCACATGGATAAAAAGTATCTGTTTATTTATATTACATTAGTTGTAACCACAGTGATATCAAGTGCAAAATGTCTGTCAGATATGAGCTCACCATTTGATCATCTCATTCATACTGTTGCTCTTTATTTTAACAACAGTTTATTATGAAAAAATATTTAATTGCATCCATATCCAACCAAAAAAGCCAGAAGAAGCCAGCCTCAATGACTCAAATCAATAAATTGTAGAAAGTGTGTTAATGTGCGTCAAGGGTTTGGTGTGAATCACAGAAACCAATTCTAAATCATTAACCCAGCCTCAGCATTATTAACAACTTGGAAGCATTGATATTCCCTTGAGCACCTCTATTTTTGCTAGGACTAAAGAGAAACATTTATTTAATGTAAAATCAATGAACATGACATGGTAATTTATGTGACAGGCAGACCAATTCATTTGTGGGTAAGGGAGCTGTTCTAACCCCACCTGTGTTTCACATTCGGCTCTTTTCACATATGTGTGCCGAGCCCCATTTATCTGTCTTTTACTATCCCTATTACTTTGATGTTTTAATAGGTTATTATCACTGCTATAATAACAGCTTTGGCTAAAGGTATTCAAAGATAATTATTTTCCATTACATTGATTTATGTTTCAGGTATATCTATGTGCCATTAGGAGGATCACACCACGGTACTCTTTACAAAATGTTATCCACCGGCCTTGCATTTGGATTTGTCTGCCTCTGGCATGGCGGCCATGACTACCTGCAGTACTGGGCTCTGATGAATTGGACTGGAATCCTTGTGGAGAACGGGCTTAAGTCCCTCCTCACTTCATCTTTTGTTCGCTCCATTGTTGTAAGTTTGAAATCCAAGCAAATACCTCTTGACAAAACATTTAGTTAACAGAGATCTAATCCTAGATGAACGTATTTCCACTCACTTAAGATGCGTTGAAGTGATGACATTTTTCCTCTCAGCTAGAAATAAAGGGGTCATGAAATCTGATTTAATAGGAGATAATAGCTTAAGCTGCTCCAGTAAGTGCAGACTAGTTGAATCCTGTCACATCTAAGTGGCATAATCAGTTAACACCCAACACTAATGTGAAGAAAAGTCTCTTGATACAATAGAGACGTTCAGGCTATTCTGGTTTCTTCGGCCTCTAGCTGTAAAAGAAGGTTCTCGTTTTCTAAATAGTGGTAAAAAGCTGATGGCACACTGTGTTCTCCCCTAGTTTATGGTCCCACAGTTCATTAGTGCCAGGTGCTTTGCCTCTCTTTCTTCCTCAGATTTATGATGAGAATCTTTTGTGGTTCTCCTGCTTGTGCTTTACTGATTTCCCAGGAGCAGAATTTCTCTGCGACAATGGAAAGGCGTTGCACTGCCCTCCTCTCAGCCTGCTCCACTGCCATGCTCATCCTCTCTAATCTGGTATTCCTTGGGGGGATACACGTAGGCAGAATCTTCTGGAAGCGTGTCTTCATTCAAGGTAAAGTGACCTCAACAACAATCACTCAAAAGACTGACGTTTCAGGTGGCAGTTTGTTTCCAAAACAGTTCATCGTGTAGTTTTTTAATCAGAAAGTTGGCTGCATTACAGGAAAATTCTCTCAACTCACGTAATGAGAATCAAGAATCGTGAACAGTGTGTAGTAAAATGATTACAAATGCTGCTCTTGTTTAGCTCTGATATGTAGCAGTAATATTGGTGGAGGCTGAGGCTCTGTTTATTCCGGGTATCTCTATGCATCTGCATGGGCAAATAGACAGAGACATCTGCTTTATGTTTGTGCCAGTCCCTGTTTTGCTCCCTGCGTCTTTATTTGGCTCATTTAGTACCTAAAGCAAGATGGCAGACCCTCCTAAAGCCTGACTGCTAATGATAAGCAATCTGAGCTGCACTCGCCACTGGGCTGGGAGCAGACAAGCAGAGTCTGTGCCCAGAGCTCAGCTCAGTGCTGGGATACATTAATAAGCATAAATATATTCAAAGGATCAAACTTTTTCACTGGCATTGTCCAAAAATGGTAAAATCAAATGTTTTTTAACCAGCATTGATTGTTTTTGTTTTTTCTGGGCACTTGCAAACCAAGCTGTTAACCCTTTGGGGATATTGTCATTGAACATTGATACTGGTGTCAGAGAATTGATTTTCCTTTTTGCACATTAGGTAGTTACCGGACAACATTAATATGCTCATACATGTTATTCCAGTTTCAACTTTTCTATTGTTTTGACTTCCACCTTCTGTGACCCATGAGACTGAATCACATCGGTAGAAATGCTGACTCTTTAAACCAAAACAATGACGGAAAAGATGATTAAAAACTCTGATAAGATGATCAAGAGTACAGAGCTGGGCGATCTCTGAAGCTGTGAGTTAACCTTCTGGCATTAAAGGGATATTCCAGTGAAAAATTAAGTTACGGTCAAAGACACAGTAACACAGAGTTAGACACCCCGTCGAGAGATGAATTTTGTCGTTCAATAATCATAAATGTTCTTCCTTGAACTGCGTCACCCCGCTGTGGTAATGGAGGTCGTTTGAGGTCTCGCTACAAACAAGCGGCTGCTGGAAGAGAGTAGGTGAGTTGTGTTTAGTCTCTTTGCTACAGAAATAAGGCAAAGCTAAAATGATGTTTGCTGGCTAGTACTGTGGCTGGGACTCTTCATTTACTGTTAATGAAGTTAGGTGCTGTTCTGAGCGTTATTTGTGGTTATAGAGTGGCTTTTTGTTGAGCGCATTGCTCCTGAGACTGCTGTGTATTGCTATCTTGTGGTCGTTACCAAAGTTGGTATAACTAGAGAAGCATGCAGTCGGCAACATTCATCTGTCACTAGGGTGTCTAACTCTGTGTTATGGTGTGTTAGACCCAACTTAATTTTACGCCGGAATATCCCTTTGAGAAGTTAACTGAATAAATTGTATGAAAAAATATAGGTTGTGCAGATCTAAATATGACTTATATGTTTGGAAACTTAAAGCTTTGTGTAAAATCTGAGCATTAACTTGAAGTCAAGCTGTGACTTTCTTAAAAATGGATATATTCCAGGCACCAGTTAAGCGTTATTGGGGCAGCAATAAATTGCCTGAAAGCCTGGCAGTTTTCAGAGCGAACTACATACACCCGGGTCCTGTTTCCTGTGCTTCTGACCCCTTTCATACACACCATACCATGAAAATGGTATTAAAGAAGTTGGGATAAATCTAAAAATAAGAGCAGAGGGCTGGAAACACACAGTATCTGCTGTGAATTATTGAGAGTGAACGCTATTAACTGAAGTGAAATCCCAGTTTGCTTTTACAGCGACATGTACAGTAAGAGCAAGTACCGGAGCTTACTTAAATTTTTAAACAGAGCATTGAGTGGCGACTCATTAATTGTGTTCATTTCACTGAGTGTTTATGTTGTTGTGTTTTATTTTGAAATATAATGCACCATCCACGTATGCCTGAGGCCTTTCCCTTTTGTCTGCATGTGTCTGCATAATATACCGGTGAGGGAGAGTCGTGGTTTGCTTCATTAACATAAGATCAATGCTTCTAAATCAGCCTGTCTGGAATTTTTACTGGTGCCGGCAGAAGCGTAATTGCTCTCTGACCTCACTGGTGAATAAAAACCACGATCACTGTCTCTGTCTACATTCATATATTGACTGAGAAGATACTTTGTGTGTTACTGAGCTGCAAGCATGTGTCTGCATTTTTCTCTGAGCTCTGATGTGCAACATAACTACACAGACATAATGCTTTTGATAACTGGAAGTTAACTAGTAGCTGGATTCAGAGTAAATACTGTAAGAAATCTTTTTTTTTTCCAACCCAATCATCACCAGTCAATGCCTATGCTATTATTTTTAATGAAGAGCTGTACTTATGTCAATCCATTTCCTATAAAAGAGAATTTATGTGAACACAGGAGCTTAAGGGACAAGGACTTGATAACCCATTTCAGTGTCCTCTCCACTTTCCTTTCATTCTTAGGTCCCAAGTTGCTAGTCAGACTGTAAATGTAGACTCTGCAGACAACCGGATTGTTTGGCTGTGATATCCAAACACCAGAGGCCTGGAAACATCAGTCCTAGATAATCGGCTATGTGGTCATCAAACAGTAGATGACTGAAATTGCCTCTATTGCAATCATAACCCCAGAGCCCATGGGCTATCATTTGATGACGGTAATCCTGGGCAGCAGTCACCTTTGTTGGCTTCATGAAGAGACAGCATACTGGAGTACAAGACTTATTGCTGAGGTTTTCTCTTTTGTGTGTTGCCTTTGTTTACTGTCCACAAGCTATTTAAGATGTGAGAAAAAAGTTGCAGGTGAGAGACAGTATCCTGGAGTGGACTGTGAGAAATTTGTTAATGGGCATTAACGGATGGTAAAACATTGGTTGAAGACCATTGATGGGGTCTGTAGTTCCCTCACAGCTGAAGTGTTTTACTCCCTCTGTTCTCCTTGTAAATTGTTTTCCTTCATAAAGCCAATGCCTGCCGACTCAAGAGAGCATTTCCACGCAGAATCTGTAAACAGATAGGATTTCAATTACAGTCACTACAGGCAAACAGCATATATTGTTGACTACAAACATTGAAAAAGCAGACAGTAGTGCATGGTCAGTCACTGCAGTTTGATAAAAATGTTTGCTCTTACAGTGTTTAAATTCAAGATAAGATTTTTATGACTTTAAGATGAAATGAAATGGTATTTTCTATACGTTATATCTGATATATGTTTTATATCATTTTAAGACCAGATCATTGAATTTCCTTTGCTTCTGATACGCAAACTCCACTTGATGTACTAAACTGAAGCTGGTGTGAGAAACTGTAGTTCCTTGAGTGTCCACTTGAGGCCGGCTCCAGAAATCCAGGATTCCCATCAGCACCCATGTTACAATGCTAATTTTTGCAGTATGAATGAGCATGTTAAAAAACGGCTACAAAAATGGTTTTGGTCTGAATACCCCATTTCTTTTTTGACAAACACTTTATAGGGATGATTTTACTTATTATTCATCCATCTGAAGGATACGAAGACTAAGAGTTCTGCATAAATTCTGGCTGCATGGCTGAGTATACAAACAGGCAGATATGATAAAACTGCTTACAAGATGGCTCAGCTTCACCTCTTTGTCTGTGGAAAGGCTGGCTAAATGTTGTGCTAAGTCAGCACTTCTATTTATGGTTACAAAACCCCTCAACCCCTCTCTCTGGGATCTATTTTATACAGTCCATAAATAAAACTGGTAACCTGAAAATGTGCAACAGATTAAGCAAAGCTTTTGTACATTAGTGTGGTAGCATTTGCTAATTAGCACCAAAAAGTACAGTTGAGGCTTACAGAGAAAGTGTTTAGACAACATCTAAAATAACAAGTCAAAACTCTGACCTGGTGATGGAGCTGGACGGAAAGCTTAGCATCACTAGAGAGATAATGCATCCATAGAGCAATATGACGGTTTGTTCAGTTCAACAGAGAGACATTAATTGAAACAAATGATAGATACAACAAAGACATTAAATTTAAAACCATTTGTGAACGTCGTGGTGATGCCAGAGGGAAAAGCCGCCAATGTTGTAATAATTCATCGTTTTGGTGCCATGAATGTCAGTACACAGAGTTGTAAAAGATCATCCACATTTGCTATCTTACTTGAGTTGTATTTTATTTCATCGTCGCTGGTGATTGTACAATAAAGGAAAACCAAAACCATGTTCGGTCATCAATAGTGTGTCATATTTGGTTTTGGTTGTTACTTCTCTGCACTTCTTGGCCTTATCTTCTTATTTGAGCTCAGAACCTCATGTTCACTGAATTACAAAAGAAGCTAATGTGTAATTGAAGCACTTGTTGATTAGAGTCGTAGCAATCAGCTGGCAGAACTGGGTTATTCATTATAATTGCAATTTTTCTCATCTTTTACTCTTTTCCATTGCTTCATAATTAGTCATTTAAAGCAGCAGAGCCAGTAAGACAGCACTGATCCATTATCAAACGTTTAAAACTTAAACTTACTCACATTTGTCTGACTTCGTTAATGTTCTGTTTTTCACTGTTAGTATAGAGAAAGTTACAGCTAGAGTGGGATCACTGCTGGGTGAATATATGTCACACTGAGAGCGTTAATGAAATTTACACACTTGCCAAGACTAACACCTTGGGATGTCTTGGCATATTGACAAAAGTTGTACTGGAGTTTAATCTATTTGGCTCATCAGATTCTTTTGTAAAGAAGGTCTCTGGTTTAGTGTTTGTCTAATTGTTTCCTAATCCCAACATGATGCATGTCCTTCCCTATTCCCTCCTTGGATGTCATGTCTCACACTAGCTACCCATTACTTGTATTTTTACATTCTCGACTTTTGCGTTGTCCAACTATCCCCAAACTGGTTCTCCCAGTGTTAGCCAATGCATCCTTTGTCTTATGCAGACGGAAAACTGTCAGTACAGCTGTGCATAATGCAGTCCATGTGTAAGTGAATCAGATTTTGACATGAATAGAAGAGAATAGACCATTGAAAAGCATTGTGAGTGCAGGTGTGGGTTACTGAGAAAATCTGGAGAGAAGCCAGTTTGGGAGAAGCTGCAGACAGCTGTCCTTACCTGCCTGCTCGACTCTCTAAGAAGCAGCTATAAATAGAAAGAGAGAATAATCATAATACAGCTCTGGACAGCAGAAACCTTGCTCCTATTACCTCTGCAACTGCTGCTATGTAGCTCTGGAAAAAATGCTGTCTTGGTAGTAGTTATCTGAAAATCAGATGGAAATAATGGTCACTTTGCAGCTACATTTAATCCTAAATCTGTATTTTTCTGGATGAAACCCAAATGTGGGTTGAATTGAATAAAGGACTGAATCCTCTGTGAGTCTGCAAACTAATCTTTATCTAAAAAAGAGTCCAAATCTGTCTAAATACAGTCAAAGTAAATCACCTCTGTGTTTTCTATCTGATTTCAGGCTGGTCTACCATACTCCCACCAATGCTGGCTTTCCTCTACTGCTTTGCTCAGATCGGACTGGAGTGGACTTCTTACCCGCCATGAGTCACCTTGACTTTGTTTGGGAGTGTGAATCCCTGCCACTGGACAACCACAACAGCCTGCAGAGTCCACTGCCTCCGTCCTCACCAGCTTGAGAGTCTGTGGCGAACCTGGCTTGTGGCCCCAGAATCTGTCCAAAAGCTGGCTGGAGTGAAGCTGAGCAGCCACTTTTCACATCCTGCAAAATCTGTCTGTAAGCTAAAACCCTTACGAAACTCTCAGAGGAGAGAGTTTCCTGTACTTGGGTGAAATTTAAGTGCACACGAACTGCAAAAGAATGAGTCTAATGCCGTAAATTCAAGGAAGTGTACATAAGCAGTCTTTGCAGTTCAGTTTCAAGGCATGTTTACAACCCACTAAGCCTTACTGATTCACCATTATTCTGAGAAACAGTAAAAGGAAATATAGACGCTGAATCTGTCTCGGTTATGTGACTCTGATAAGATATTGCTCAGTAAGCTGGCGAAATGCTAATTCCATATTTACTGTCCTTTAGCTCGACACAAAGGCAGTTGTGTATTCAGGTGCAGACAATAGGCTCACAGGGCTGAATAGAGCCCTGGGAACCTGATCAATGTCATTATTTCCTCTGCAGAGGCAATTTAGACAAAGTGGAATGAAACTAATATTTGTATATGAATTATTCCTAAAGTGAAAGAAAGACTACACAGTATATTTGAATTCAACACATTGACTGATGACATTAATCCACTGGAGAACAGGTTATTATTATTATTATTTTTTTTTTACATCCGTGCAAAAAATGCTAAACAAAAAAACAGACTTTATTATTTCTAATCAACTTTGTGTCTGCAACTCCTTCAATCTTAAGATTCATCCATGCATTCATTAAATCCTTGTATTCAAAATAAAATTATAGATACCCATCAATACATCCACTGTTATGCTGTGTAAGAAATCGACAACCTTTTTGGTAGAAAAGTTGTTAAAGAACTTTTATTAAGGGTTAATGATAAAACTGAGAAAACTAGGAACAATTTGCATAAATGGACAAAATGCAAAAATGTGTTCATGTCTTAAACATCTCATATCAAGTCTGTGGCACTGATCTCTCAGTGCTCCTGGACTGTTGCTCTTCAAAAATAATCCAGTAATACTTAATTTATTTGTTTTCAAACTGAATGCCTTTTTGTGTTTGTTACAGATGCTAGTTAATCAAGTTTAGAATCTATTTGTTTCTGACTCTTTTTAACCTCAGTGAATATGTTCATACTGACAATATGTGTCATACAACCATTGAAACTGTCGCTCTGTGATCTAAACACTTCATTGGACCTCTGGGCTGTACCAAGCTTTACCAAGACTCACTAAAATTCATTGCGGTCATTTCACTTAACCATCCATTGGTGGATTTTTCAACTACTTCCAATTATTTTGGGGGTTTCTGAACATGAAAGCATTTACTGGTGTTAATTTGCACTGGAAGGGAATGTCCATTATTGACCTGAACAAGCAAAAAGATCATTGTAATAATCAATAATATTGCATTGATCAATGATAAAAGATACAAATTTGCAGATCCTTCATCTTGAAACTGCTCAAGAGTGAATCGGATGACTTAAAGTAGAAGAAAAGGTTTTAGCTGTTTGTCCAGCGATGGTTAGTTTGACTCCATTACTTGGTGTTAATAAGTTATCGCATTTATAAGTGTTTGTGTCTACTCTTAACATTTCATATCACAACAAACATGCAAGTTTTATCAACAGTTTTATTAAGACAAACAGTTATGTTTTAGCAAGGACTAAATACGCTGCTTTAATGAGCTTATCTGTGCTTTATTGTGTCTTCTGAGCCTAGAAAGTGCCTTTCTGCAAAAAGAAATCTGATCCTCTTACTATTCAAACTGCACAGTAAGGAAAGCAAACAGCTTCAGGAGATGGCATCTGAGAAGATTAGTTTAAGAATATGTTAATTTTAAGTCAGTGGTGCCATTGCTGAAATTTATCATTTACATAAAACTCTCACGTTGCCTTTGGCCTGCTGCTTTTTTTACTTTCCTGCCATGACAACTGAGAGCTTCCAAGGTTTATTTGTCTGGGTTCTCAATCAGTAATCTGCCTTACCTGCACAGGTCTGCGGTTTTTAATTTGGTCAGTATTTGATTAAAAGGTTGAATAATTAATTGGCAGATAAGTGTGTTATCTGGAGTTTGTTTTTCTGGAGTGTCTTCATTTGTTTATATGCGTTTGCTCAGGATTAGTACACCTTGAGAAGCATTAGAAAGGATCATTGTGGCTGAGGCCTGGTGGGGCCCTAAGACTGTGAGGTTTATCTCATGTAAGAAGATCAGCTGGAGAATACACCTGCTGTGTTACACCTTCAAGATAATCCGCCATGTCAAAGAGACTAAAAGCACACAGACGGTACATTGCATCCCCCAAAGACAGCAGACAAGTGTACAGTATGTATAAAATATTTATTTTGAATAGTACAGTATGTTACTGTTCAAAACAAAGAGTCATCATTGTGCTTGAAATAGTTATATTTCTCATCACGTGGAGTGTGAACAAAGAGGCATGTGCATAATACATTAACCATTCATAAATTTTTATACTTTTCCTTTAGAATCCAAACACTGCAATATATTTGTGCATATATAGATTTAATATATGTGTGTAGGGTATAGCTGTTTGGCAGCTATGTGGAGCTGACCACAAAAATACTTCTGTTCTATGAAACAGTTTCATTGAGATGGTAGTAAATTAGAAATTGAACTCTAGTTTTCTCACTGCAGGCCTGGAAATGGGTCGATACGAAAGGCACAGTGTTGCATGCGTTTATTCAAATAAGTGACTTCAGGTAAAAGTAACGACATGATAATGACAAGTTTGGTGATTGGACCTTTCTGTATAAATGTTGCAGTATATAGCAACATATTGCTTTTAAGGGTCTTGTCTGAGTGTTTTAGCCTACTTCTCATTTTAGTAACACATCCACACTGTATTGCTGAGAAGTTCTGCCAACTGAGACAGGTAAGCAAAGACCTCATTTTTTATCTTTTTAGTTATTTATGTATGAAAATCTCTCAGATGCTGTTCCTGTCTAGTTAGTTTAAGAGGTAAAGGGAGTTAAAAAAAGAACTGTGTATTGACAGTGTAAAAAATACAATACACATTAATACAAAGGAAACACATATTTGAAATCTTTTCAGCTGAAACCAGTTAGTTTATCATACTTTTGGATGAGCTTGTTGAAAAATAAGGTGATCTGTCTGTTTTATAAATCAGCTTTGGCAATACAAGTCTTTCAAACATAACCTTGCCCTTCTAGCTTAAAAACAAAGAACTAGAAATATAACATATTTCTATTTTTCTTTGTGTGAAAAAAACATTCAAAAAAATAAGGTAAGACTGAGCTGGTAAAGATGCTTGCAAAATAAGTTTCATTGTAGTTGAAGACCAATAAACCAAGATCTCATCATGTACTGAGCCATCCAGTCTCTAAGACAGAAACTGTTTTATTTCTGTAGTAACCTTTTATCAAATACGTTTGTTGATGAAAGCTGTCAGATCTTTGATAAATGCTGTGACTGCGATGGCAAAACTTTTATATCTTCCTTTCACACAGCTGTCAAAACTCCTCAGTGACACTGCCAATCCTCTGTCCATCTATTATGACTTTTAAACTCTTGACTCTTTTCTGTAGTGGCTGTGTGAACTCTCTTACAGGGATATAAATAAGTGTTTTTAGTGTTCTTCCTCTCTCCAAGAGCAGCTTGTTTGTAAAAACTGCCCCATATGGCCCCTCAAACACTGGCTCCTCACTAGAGGATTTCATTGCAGTGATGACTCTCACATTTATTTTTAGTGAGCTGAATTTTTGATGGGAGTGAATGTGTTGGAGAGAAAAACCTTTTCACCCTTGACTGTGTCCAACTCTGCTCATCTTGATAAGAGTGGAGGCGTGCAGGAAACATAAATTATCCATTTGAATAATAAATAATAAAAAGAAATAGTTATTTTTTTCTGTCTCTGTCTCCTGAAGAAAGAAAGATGCTTTTGCAGAAGTGTAAAACTTTGACTGGTGATCTAAATAGAAAATAATTATCGTTTCTGTTATGGGCAGTGTATAAATGAATTCCAGTGTAACAATACTCTAGTACATTAGTGAATATTAATGTGAAGTGTTTTCGCCAGTAGGCTTGCAGTATTTCATACATTACTGAAACTATTTTTTTGGTCATGTAATCACTGTATTCTATTTCCCAATCAGAAAGAAAACTATTTATAAAGAAAAAAACTGAAAATACGCAAAATTATTTAGTGTTGTTTTCTCAAATTATAGTTTATTGTAAAAATTGTAACAATAGTGACAAAAGGTGTCACGCTTTCATGACATCTTCAAACACTTGCCAAATTTCCAGGACAACTGTCCAAACCTTTATCTTAATGTGCAAACCCCCCCCCCAAAAAAAAAAATAAAAAATAAAAAAATAAAATAAAAACAAACAAACAAAAAATAATGCAATAAATTAAAATAAAATAATAACAATAATAAATAAATAAATAAATAAATGAATAAATAAATAGAAACTGTGATTGAAACATTTTTTAAAAATAAGCAAAAACTCAAATTCAAGGAGCTGGGATGATGGTTTCAAAAGAAAGATAACTGTTCTTTGAACAACCATTATAAACATGGATATGTACACTTAAGTACATGGTGTAAGTAAATGTACTTTGTGACATTACATCTCTGGTTCAAGAAGAACAAGAATGACCGCTGATATCTTATTATATAGATTATTATATATAGAAAACAATCTATTAAGGTCCTCAGTCTTAGTAGTCTGTAGCGATCCGTCAAGCAGTTCAGTTTTTTTTCTAAACTGCGTCATAGTTACCAAAAATAGACATAGTTTATTTTTTTATCAGTGTGTTAACATTGAACACACAGTTATTGCTTGTCTCTTACTTGATGGTTGATATAGCTCTTCTAATTGACAGTTCTTTAATTAAACAACTTAAGAGTTTGGTAATCCCCCCACCCCCCTCCCCCATTTTTAAATGTATCCATCCTTATATCTATCCTTTCTTATATCTATTGACTCATATAGTTGTCCTTCGCACCACCCTCTTACATTCATATACAGATATTTATTTTTGGTAAACAGTTTGATGTAAACTGGGAAACTAGGGCGAAAGTGTGTAAGGGTTATTATGTGAGTCTGTGTCCTTACAGTAACTTAAAAGCTAAATCTAAAAACAAAAGCTGATTTTCAAAAATATTTTCAATCATACATTTCTTTTGTAAACTGCTTCCTCTGTAAACTATGTTTCAGCCCATTTATTCTCCTTTTATGAAATGTCACATATTATAAGGATCTTGGTTGTCTGCTCAGTTGACTCCCACTTCAAAAGTGCATTTAGGGGACAGATAAAAGCTGCAAGCAAGTTGATATGATATCCAAACATCGGTCTCAGACAAAGCAATCACATTCCTGAAAGAGATCGTCTGCATAGGAAACAACATCCCTAAACTTTACAGGTTGTACTTTTGCCTCCTACTCTAAGGTGAACCTGCATTACACAGTTTCATTGGATGATGTTATTTTTTCTTGAAACATATATTACATCCTGCATGCTTAATGTGAGAATGCTCCTCAGCAGACAAAAAAGGGCAAGAAATTATGGCTAAAACAAGGTTTCAGTGACTATCTAGATATTATAACATGAACAAGCCTGTTCTTTGATTTCATTATTTTACATTCATTTATTTTAGAAATACTGTGTAAAGGTCATTCCAGCCAATATTTACTGAAGGACACCATGTTGGGCTCTCATACAGAGTATCATGTGTGTGGTAGTGCTGTAGTTTTAATACATATGGATTACTAAAATGCATGTCTGTCTTACTGCTGTCAAATGACTTGCATTTGTCATCATGCTCATCTGCCCACGGTTTATGGAAAAATCAGCTCTCTGTAAAAATCTGATTGCATGGCCAGAGTTATCTGTTGTATAATTCATAACCATCCTGACAGTTGATATAATAAAAGACTTAATCAATTGCTTTAGGAAATCACTCTGTAAATGTTTCAACATCTGCAAAGACTGTCCTTTCTCACTGTCACTGTGAAATAATGTAAATGACTTGCTGCCTGGCCCCTATAATCAAATATGCACCATCGTCTGTGTGAGGGACATGACTACTTTATGTGGCATGCAAAGAGTCTCATATAAATGATTCAATAACAAACCACTGGGTCATGCTGTTCTATAAGACTCTTGCATTACAACAAGGTCCTGCTGAGACTCCTAAAATCTGACATAGTCAGTAGATTCTGGACTGCAAGCAAATCATTCAGGCTAGTTTCCATTCAAATACAATGGAAAAATACATCAAACCTATGTACAAATCTTGCATTTAAAGTTTTTATGTAACCTCAGACACCAAGAGCTGGACTATGACCTCGCCTTCCATTGCTTACCAACGGGTACACCCCTACACTGGAGGCTGGTGTGTCCTAAAGACAGCACTGTCACCTTTTGTAGAAGGTGTAGCTTCAGCTAGCCGAGTAATACTGACATTACTGGATTACAGCTGAGTTTAGACTTCATTGTTTTGGATGAGCCACCCTTCAAGAGAAGAATTCCTCTTTGTCCATTTCTGGTGAAGCAGGTCGAGAAACATCAAAAAGAGGCTGCGGTGAGCCAGGACTCAATTTCCGTTCTTTGAGGAGGTTAAGAGCTTCTGTGAGTTGTGCCTCAAGGCTGGACACTCGGACACCCAGGCTCTTTATGTCGTCCTTTAGCTCCAGCTTGAGCTCCTGAAGTGAGGCCTGCAGAGTTTGCTCTGGGATGGGGTAGAAGGGATGCCTTGTCTCCGGAGGCTGGACGGGGCTGCGGTCCTGTGGCGTCAAACGGCAATCGCCCACTTTGTCCAGACGCAAGTCACTTTTTGTGATCCCACTGTCACATGAGTCCGTTTTCTTTAAAGACATCTGAGAATCAATCACCTTGGTCCGTTCAGGTAACGTCTCCATGGATTCAGCTTTGGACACTTGATTCCAGTTGTCAGCTTTGGCCATGGACTCCTTGAAGCGACCCCAGCCTTTAGCTTTGGGTAGTTCAGCAGCACGGCCTCCAACCAGAGATACTGGAGCTGGCACTTGCAGCTTGGACTTCTCTGAGGGAGTACTGATGGGGGGAGTTGAAGATGACGGCGTGGATGGTGAGGGTGTAGCAGGGCTCTCTGTCACAGTTATGATGCTGGTGGTTGTAATGGCTGTGTTAGCCATTGGGACATCCACATACATGGGCCCTTTTTCAATGTCCTGTTCATCAAGTTCTGGTTTGTCGGTCCCCAAGCGGGCCTCCTTCTGTTGTCGAAACCGCTGAAAGAGTTTCCGTACTGGGTGATCTGGAGGCAGGTTCAGAGGGGCTTCATTTTTACGTCTCTGTCGCTCCTCCTCTTCTCGCTTCACATCACTGATCTTTCGGAAGACGATCTAAAAGAGGATTTAAAGATGACTTCATCAACATGGTTACACTCATCACTTTATTGATTCTATGGTAACTCGACCTTTCACGATCAGTTGTGTCATTTAAATAGAAAATAATATTACAAAACAATTGATTCATCTTCAGTTGATTGAACAGGTGCACTGACTAAAGACTGTACAGTCTGTGAGAGTACATTGTTTCAAAATGTCTATGCCTCCGAAATGTCACATCAAATAGGCAATTCCCACGACACAAAGGGAAAGTTCACATCCTGCCTCTGGCTTCAGCTGGTGGAGACTCTCTGTCAACTTCTTCACAGCTCCTAATGAATGGTTTACAGATATTTGTCAACTGTTTTAGCTTCTGTGCTTGTGAATATTGTTTGGCGCAACACATTGACTCTACCTGCGTGTTCAAAATAAATCCTATTTAACCTCTGTTGCCATTGAAAGGCTCGGACATTCATTGGCTTGTAAAGATTGGGAATTCTTAGAGAGCGAGTTAGTGGATCTTGAGTTGGGATCGAACTCAGTGGTTGTAGTATTTGTTGTTGAGGAGTCAAACCAGCAATTCACAAGATTTATTTGCTAAATAGTATTCTACTGTTTCTTATCAATGAATGATTATGACCTAATGAGATAAATGATATAAGAAAGTTGTGCAGCCACACTGGTCCAAATCAATTATTATCAAGCATGCATAGCACAGCCAAGCGCCATCCTCTGGCTAAAAGCCTCAACCCAAAAAAGCACCTCTTTCCTTATCTTATACTGGTAGACTGGTCACACAAGTGTATAGGACACAGCTCACTTTTTTGAATTACTAATAGGTTTTCTTCACTTCAATTTTTAATGGAGAATACAATGTTTGACAACATTCTCGCATTTCTGTTACCTCAGCCTAGCGTCCTGGCCAACCGCTTGGTCTAGCCTTTAGCATCTGGAAAGGGAGGAGGCTTTCCTAACTGTAACCATAAGTAAAAAACCCTGAGATCTCTGGAGCTGACTTATCAATAGGTGAGAATATATTCTTTGTTTTTGTTTATTTTTAGTCTTTTGCGTCTTTTTATTGTGTCCAGACTGGTTCTTGGTTTTTAAGTCAAATTGTGAAATTGATATTTGATCAAAATAAAGACTTACTGGCCAAGAATGGAGAACTGCAACTTAAACTCTAAAATAAACACTAAAAATTAGGTGTTTTTAGTTATTGGAACCAAGACCCTATAAAAAAATAAGTCGGTACTTTTTGGCCAAACTTATTAAAAGAAACATCATTTCTAAATTTCTGTGAACTTCATTGTGCTTTTCTTCATAGCAATTTGTTACTGTTGTCCCTATATTTCAAAAATGCTGATAGGTGTTTAACTTTATATCGATTCGGCATTGTGTTTTCATTCCATCATTTTTTTGTAACCTATTTTTTCTCACAGCTTTTTCATGGAGCTAAAATGCAGTGAGCACAAAATCATCCATCATTTGATAGAAGACAACCTTCATTTTTCTTGTCAGCCTCATTTCAAGACTGTTCTCACAATTCAAACTACTCAAATGTTGAACATTATGTGTGCCACATTTCCCAAGTACAACCTCACAACTTACACATGAAGGCAGCTTTTGGCTTATTGTTTGATCCATCTCTGGATTCCCCGACGTATACATACAGAAGGTATAGTACCCTGGTGAATAGGGGCTTTAATGCAGCAGATGAAATTGCCTCTGAATATACAAGCAATTCAATCTCTCTTGCTCTCTCTCTCTCTCTCTCTCTCACTCTCTCTCTCTCTCGGGCGGGCTAACCTTGTCATGAATGAGGTAATGACTGGTAGCTACACTTGAGTTGATCACAGCTGTTCACTTCTGGATGAAGGTTGTTGGAGTGGCTCTGACATACAGAAATCGTTTAAGTTTAGTATGTGTTTCTTTGATCTGTGTAACACGTTTGAGCTTTGATTAAATTAAATGTTAAATTAAATTTCTTACATAAACTGATACCTTGATCATAATGTGTTGGATATGACGATACTAAAGCTGCCTTAGCAGTCTGAGCTTTAAAATACCAGTAGATGTTTTTCTGCTCTGGACAAAATCGGGTATTATGGTTGATGAACTCTGAAGATGAGGCGTACACCAGTGAAAACTCATAAGTGGGGATATCGTAGAATTTCACCTCATTTTACATTTTAAATAATCTCCAACTTCTGACCAGCTGGTACTTTGACAATGTAGTAACAAATGAAAGCCTGTGACAGATGGGCAAATGGCTAATTCCTGCTCAATTGCTTCGTATTAATTAATGTTGGAACAATGTCACATAAATCAAGATGCTAAGTTAACTTAAGATTAAATATTAAATTTGTATTATCACAAAGAGAAGGTGCAGAAAAATGCAGTAAGCACAGACATCCTCAGTGCTTGTTCTACTTCATCTTTAAAAAGTAGGGTGGTAAAACACCTGTTGTGACTCATGACTAATATGAAAACACTTCAAACTTGCCAAAAAAGCAAGCAAGAGGAAAAGTACAGGTCAAAAGAAGTGAAAATGAATCTAACTTGATTTTACAAATGAGTTAATCAGCATAATTTTTTTTTTCTGAGGTCAAACCAAGGTTTTGATGTAATTTATGATAACATCTGTTCCTCTGATTTAATCACAGTCTAACCCCCTCCCCCCACAGCTACATTCAGCATAACCTTTCTTTTCCTTCTCAAGTAAACATTTATTTAAACTAACAACTCCTGCTCATATTTAATCCTTTAGCAGGTAAGACACAGAGTGACTTTAAAAGTTTAAAAATAAATGCAGACTATGGGTGTCCATGGTTAAGAGCAGACTGCAGAGGTCCATCAAAAGAACAGAAAAAAAAAACTTGGCAGTATCGCACCAAAGTGGATCAGCCACAGTGTGCTGTCAGATGAGCTGCAGGGGACCAAATTTACAGTTACCTGCTGCTGTGTGAAAACTCACATAGGATCTGACATCAAGCAGTTTGAAGATGTGACTATTACGGGACTACTTTTATTTAAACAACACATATTGTTTGGATGTACTGCAAATATACTTTTTGAAAGTTACACATATTCAAAATTATTCTCTTTTTGTTCTTCTCGGTTATGAATGGTCACAAAAATAGTATTGGAAATTTCAGTGTCACTCATTTACAACATACAATACATTGGGTTAAATTGAAGATAAAGTTGGCAAAGAATAGTGTATGCTTTTGTATCTGTATTCATAATTCTTCTGACCCAGAAGCACAGAAGTAATATTTAAAGACATGTAGTTTACAAGTCAAATGTGAACTGAGTGGTGTGCAACATGTTCTTTCTTGATAAAATTGTGCTGACTTACCCTTTTTCGCAGGTTGTAAGTAAGCAGCAGATTCCTTGAGAAGTGATTGGAAAAAGCTGTGTAAAACTCCAGCACCTTCTGCAGGGCGTCACGTTTAATGACATGAAGATCACAGTAGGTCAGGGCTCGGACGTTAGCGCAGGCTTGAGCCAAAGTCACCTCTTTCCAGAAGACATCCCCAAATACATCCCCCTTACCTGCAGAGAGAGAGCACAGAGTTAACACCGGCTGTTTGCTCAGGGTTTCTGCTGTAGATTTTTGCTGTGTTTTACCCATTTACAACACAAAGTTTGTCAAAAATTGGCCCAAAATTTTTAACCCTTTCACCTTTTCACATGTTAATTTTCTTGATGTCTGTTCCTGCAACTGACCGGGGCTTGATTTTGTTAGCTGGCCGTGCATGAAGAGTGCACCTTTCATAAAGTGATTTAAATACATCCTTGGTGCTGTTCTAACCAACTTGGCATTTCAACTTCTAATTTAGTCTAAAAGGCTTAAAATGTCTTTACAATGTCTTACAGATGGTTTAAAAATGCATAAATAAGTGTGTTTTCACTGCTTCTGTATTCTTTTGCAACTTCACAGTGGAAATATAAAAGGACGCAGTGTCATATTTCAACATGTGATGACTTTTTTAACAATAATCAGACAACAGCACATATTAACAATCAACCATTCCTGGATAATGTTATTCTTTCAAGAGTTACACAACAATAAAGAGAGTTTATCTTTTAAAAGAGTGATTGTAATGGCTAGCTTACTTTAAACTAATTAGCTACTTGCGGTGTTAGATAATTTACACGACACAGTAGAAAAGACTTATAACTTGGTTTATGGCCAAGAGATCCATTTGCCAAAATTTCCCCATCCACTGCAGTTAAACTTAAATTATGCGATCAGTACGGTGAAGCGGTTAATCTTCCCACTCAGGTGGAAATGTTGGAGGAACATGGCTGCCGTGAGAATGTGTTGATGAAGCCAGTACATCTTCCAACTCAATATCATAAACCTATAAACGAAGCTACCTCCAGCGTTTGACCAAGCAAAATATTCATCAACTTGGTTTTAAATGACCCCAAAACACCACATTTGTTCTAAGTTTATTTATATATTTATTAAAAAAAGCAATATTCATAACTATCTCTGATAAACAGTAAGTAATCACATTAGGAGCTACTGAATACTTTGGCAGACCAGTCTAAGGGATAACAAATCAAACAGCTCCAGCCCGAGGACTAGATGAGATGTTTGTGAGCTTGATATGTTTCTGTGCCTCAGTGCCATTAGGTTAATGAGAATTTGATTCATGGTAGTAACTTGTTTATCACTTACGGCTCCATTATAGCCTCCATCTGGGTCAGTGGTATTATCCTGACAATACATTGATTGTTGCACAGAGAACCCACTGGCAGGTTATTGATGAGGAACAGTCAGGATAGTGTCACCGGTACAGCCAGAGCATGCCATCCATTATTCACTTAATCAATCATTAGGCAAATTAGAAGAGAGTTTAAAAAGAAAAACTCTATTGGGATTTCGCCGAGGCAGCAAAAACAACAGAAAAGATCTATTTTGTTGTATCTCGGTACAGCTTCCTGTGTGAAAACACTCCGCAGTGCAACACAGGAGGACCTGGGTACATCAATATAGGAAATCTCAAGGAAATTGGTTCTTCATTCAGTCACATGGACCTTAATCATTCTTTTTAGTCACATTTTTTTCTTTTTTGACGTTGCATTTAATTGACACAGGTGTCTGATTTGTGTGTAATTTTGGTGAGTAGATTCTTATTTAAACACTCAATAGAGCAATCTTAATTTTTAACGGTAGATATCTTTTTAAGCATGAGTCTAAAAATCACTCCCATAATGCTTAATTTTTGGTCTCCACCCTCTCCCAAGGGAAATACAGGCTCTTTAGCTACTTAATATAGCTAGCTGCTTGCTTTGTGAGTAATGATGTCTTACTGAGACCGCCTTGGTAAAGATTTTAAATAATATTAGATTAAATTATGATGCACAAAAGGTGACAGTGTTGGTTCTGCTGGATCTTAGTGCTGCCTTCGATACAGTAGACCACACTATTCTTTTAAACTGCCTAAAACACCTTGGTCCCACAGGTGCTGTTCACAGATAGTTCATCTCCAACCTGACAAACAGGACATTCATGGTAAGTGGAGACACGTGTTTCTTCAAAGTCTATAAAATCACATGTGGTGTACCCCAGGGTTCGATTTTAGGCCTTGTGCTTTTTAACCTGTACATGCTCCCTCTTGGCGGTGTCATCAGGAGACATGGAATCAACTTCCACAGTTATGCTGATGATACACAGCTCTACATCTCTGTGTCTCCTGATGACACCAGGCAAATGGACGCTCTTTTTAACTGCATTTTAGATATCAAATCCTGGATGGCAGAAAACTTTCTTCAGCTTAACCAGGACAAAACTGAGGCCATGTGTATGTAGCTTAAGGTGTACTTTTAAAAGACAGTTGTGCAAAGCTGTAGAAAAAGATGCTATTAAAAGGTGAAGCTGGGTCCAGTTGTTGATACAGGTTATAATTCTCTGTAGGTTCATTTTTAGAGGACACTTCCCTTCAGATTGTTTAGAACATCATTATTATTAGATTTCAGTCTATCACCTGGTTAGTGCTGGATTTCTGTATTGCTCCTGCTCCTTTAATGCACAGCTGTGTGTCTATGAATTGTGCTGACAAAGCAAATCCCTCATGTAAAGAAAGATGTTATTTAACACAAGAAATGTTGATTTTCTTTGATAGGAATTAAGATGAAGTAAAAAAAACAAAGCCCAAAATGTTAGCCCAAAGGATTGTGGATCTATGACAAACATATCCTTGTCCAAGTTCATGACTCAGCAGTCAGCAATCCCCCGAATAGCAGCTTTCACTGCAGTCAAGAAGTAAAAAGCTGCAGGCATAGACAGAGACAAAAGCAGGATTTTGACAGCTACACTTTGTTTACCAACACTTGAGGCGAATTTAAGTGAAATGTGTTGTTTTTATTGTCCTCATTGCAGACAAACTACAAGATAGAAAAGTATTCCTGCATCTGTTTTTCAGTTTGATGTCATCATTTTTTGCAGTTCAGAAAATTTTAACTGTATCTTCTGAAAAAAGTGAGCTGATCTGGGACAGCTCCTTTGATGGGGGAGAGTGGCAGGCCTTGACTGCCTCAGTTATAAAATAGAAATAAGTGATGAATCCATTATTAATTACAATAAAATGCTAATGGTGTCAAAGTTTTTCAAAGGGTCTCATAGACACGATGCGCATGTTGATTTTACTGCAAAAAGATACATTTAAGATTCAGTCAAAGTAAAAATTGTCTGATGTCAGGAACTGCAGGTTTAAAACCCATTTTTTCCACTTTTACAACAATCTTAAAGTTCTTGGTGAACAGCAGTGAAGAGTAGAAAGTAGCATAGAGATGAGAATGCGGACTGTATTTAATAAGGCAGGGCAACAATAAAAGACGGGAAAACAAGAATATGGCTGCTATGGATTTAGGATTGTCATCAGGCTAAATTATCACCACAGTTGTAAAACCCCATTGGTAAAAGGATTCTGTGATTTATTTCTACAACAGCAGCAGATGCAGAATTTCTTTCCAACTTTATTATATTTAAGAATATTTCCTACATTCCCTCTGTTTCTTTGTGGTTTGGTCTCACATAAAGACCATGAGTCAACTTGGATTGGATCACTCACATATTGGCCTCATTTTTCACATTCAACAAAGAATGTCTGGGCGCTGTATTGACTCTCTGGAGAAGGTTTTTTTCTGCACTTTCTGCATAGCGATGTTAGTTTATTTTTAATTGAACACAGGAAACTTGTTCCCTTAGAGTATCCATGTATAAAATCAGTTCGTGAAACTTATTTGTGTAAGACTTTTTCAAAAAACTGGAAATCACATGCTTAGAGATGCACAGGAATTCACATTCTTTCTTGATAAAAACATGCTCTGAGGTTGTCATACTAAGGAAAAATGACTTATTATTCATCCAGCCAATTCTGAATGATAAAAAATGCCAAGCATTGAAAAAATAGGTTTCAAATTTGTGAAAAATGGGCAGTTATCTCCGCTCTAGGATGATATGGGTGTGCTGACTCAGTGTACAAAACCACACTCTAGCCGCTTTCAAGTGTCAATCATCTCCACGGTAAGGCTTAACAAATGGATGATGGACCATCACCAGCAGATGACTGGGGGTTATGTAGAAACAAAGGTATATTTTAGGCGAAGAATTATTGTTGATTTTCATGTACCATAGTTTCCTTAAATCCTGTGGGATTTCAGGCAGACTTTGAAGCCACGTGTTTGTTTGATCCAAGCTGGATATTGATCTGTGGTCGTATGAAGGTACTGGCTGGAATGACAAGAAGCTCGGTCTTTAACAGGTTAAACCGAAGGTCCCGTTACCACATCTATTTAGAAATATCAGCAAGGCATGATGAGATCTGAGCTGAGACAGCTGTGTTATTTGGTGGGAAATAGGTATAAACAGCACAGCAGTGAAATGGGAAACAATGAGAGCAGATTGCAGAAAGTGAGATTGTGTACACTGAGAAAAGGAGAGGACCAAGCACTGATCATTGGAGCACCCCTGTTGCTAAGCCTTATGATTTAGATACTTCTCTTTTTCATGATACCCCAAGAGATCTCCTTTTGAGGTTGGGCATGATCCTGAGATACCAAGTTTAGAGAGTTTGGAGAGGAGGATTTAGTGGTTCAGTGTGTCAAAGGCAGCAGAACTGAGGACTGACCACCACCTCTGGCTGATCGCAGTGATTTTGTTACTGACAGATGAGCAGTTTCAGTGAAGTAGCCCTGCCTTAAGCTGATCACATTAGGATCAAACAGGTCACTGTTGTGCATAAAATCAGAGGCCTGATTCAAGATTCTGTGCTCAAGAATTCTGGACGGGAAGGGCTAAAGTGAAACCCGATGATAATTATCATCCCAGGCTGGGTTGACAGAGGGTATTCTGAGCAGCATATTGACCCAGGCTTCATTGAATGCAGTTAAGAAACCACCAGCTGATAAAGAGGAGTTGATGAAGAGCATTATTGAAGGGTTACATGTAGGTTTAATGGTCTTCAGGAGGCTTGTAGGTTTGGAGTCAAGTAAAAGCATTGAGACTTTGTTTTGGTTGAGTAGAGAGTATGGGCTAAGTGAGGCGCTGTTTGCTGGTGGCTGCAGCTGAGTTGGTCAGGCTCAGAGAATTGATGACTGATGGTGGATACTTCATCAGTGAAGTATGAGGCGAACATGCACAGAGTCAGCATAGTAAGTGGAGAGCGGAGTGAGTTAAACACCAAGAGCAGTTATTGTGTAGCACAGATCTTGCTTTGATAAAATACTTCTTTTTGGCATTGTTTAAAAGGAGAGGCAAGATTTTACTGATAACCATTAATTTATTACATTTACTTTAAACCCTTCAAATGTAGAGCTGCCCTAATTGGCATTTTTTAATATCAATTCAAAATTTCCTTTACATGGACTTCAAGTTTAAGACATTAAAGCTTAGGGATCCACCTCTCAGGCACCTCACTTACCTAAAATTGCCACCACCTCGTCATCCTGAATGACCTCCAGTGACCCTGACACCACGAAACAGAGACTGTCCACACTTTCACCAGCGTGGTAGATCAGGTCACCAGGGGCGCAGTGGATGGTCTGAAACTCCATGGCTAGTGCCCTCAGACACCCATCGCTAGCCAGACGGAAAGCCGGGTGCTCTTTAAAAACTTTTCTGTTGAGATGGACGCAGATGTCTGCTCTCATGTCCTTTGGACAAATCTGAAGCACCTATCAAGTAAAAAATAGCAGAGAAAACAGCTCAGGGATTTTGTCTACAATCACATGTTTATGACTTCAGATGTTTATGGAATCTCAAAATGATTAAAATGAAAATTGGCAGTTTAAAGAAAAATCATCCTAAATATTCTGTAGACACTTCTATTATTTATTTAAGAGAAATAAAACAGCCTCCACCCTGATATTGATCCACCTATCACAGTCTATCTTTTTCACTGGCTTTAGGAGAGTCTACAACACAAGTGAACTGTTCATTTTCATCAAATCCTGCACAGCACTTCAGTTTAATGTTGATGTTTTATAATGTAACATGGAAGCTCCCAGTCCTGCAGCCTCTCCGGTAAGTGTCAGCAAGCAGCAGCATATCGTTCAAGTACACCTAATCAACAGGATGCCAGGCAGTCATAGGACTGCCTTTAAAACAAATCTCTTTGAAGATGAATGTCAAGCAGGGAGGGATTAGGTGCCATTTTTAGACCCTTTAGTGTTGCCTGAAGCCAGACAAATAAATAATACATAAGTGCAGAGAGAGAGTAACATATAAAGAGGCTACAGTAAGTAGATAAATACAGATTAACCATTAGGGTGCATACATTTTCCTAGAAACAAAATCCCTGTCTTATAACAAGTTCTGCTTCTTATTTGAGCTCAAATAATAAAATCTTTCCCATAATTGGATTTTGGACAGTTGGATTAAATGGGATGCAGTGATATGAATTCTTTCTGGCTTCACATCAGTCAGAGAGGCACCAGTTCAATCTGTCTGCTGCAGCCTAAATTGCTTAATTTCCACACACTCAAATCATTTTAGCATCATTTAAATTCAGAGGGATGGCAGGGGGGTGACTCTCTATTACTGTACCCTAAACGCAAAAACCACTGTCACATTTTGATAATAGGAAACTCAATTTTCCCAAAGAATAAACCCTCTTGAGTTATAGAAACAAGTGAAAACAGTGAAAATGACTTTTATATAATTCAATACCCAGGAATAATTACAATAAAAGTTGTATTTTAGGGAAATAAATGAGGGTTAGGATGTATTCTAGGAACAATACACATCTTTAACCTCATGCTTTCTTTGCCCAGGCTAAAGTGTGTTGTTCCCCATCTGCTCGGACAGATTTCTGGCCGGCTCAAGTATGTTTTCAAAATAAAACTCTACCATTAATTTTAAGGGGCAGGTTATAACACTAAAGACAAGTGGTATGAGGCATTTCCCTGAGCAGGCTTGAATGGTACCTGACGCGTAATGCTTTGCTAAACTTGCTTTGATGTCAGTATTAACTAAGAGGAAGTGTCCTGAGGTATTATGACCCTCGGCAATTGATAATGCTCCTCAGAGATGAAGACATTCCTCTTGACTAAATCATATTGATGAATTTGGGCAAAATCTGACCTTTACTTGTTTTGCTTCAGCCATCAAGAACATACACATTCGATTACATTAAAATACAGCTAATACTTTACTAAATACGTCACAGTAATTAAATGTTTTTGTATTTCCTAATCAGCACATTGCAAAAAAGTTAGTCACCCTGCTCTCTTACACACTGAACATGTTGTATTTGAATTAAACAAATCATTGAAGGACTAGTGTGTATTTTGGGGGTAAAAATGCCATATATCATAAATTCTGTCTTGTCGGATCGTTGGAGTAGGATGACCAGTCCTGTATCTATCAGTCTGTTATGTAAGGATACAACAAACATTTAGGTAGCTTCCTTTGCTAGAGGCTAAAAAAAGAGGTAGGAGCTAGCTTTGCTTTGTCCATAAACAAACAAAGCAAACTCCTACTAGCAGCACCATAGAGGCTCTACAGTCAATGCATTGCACACCTTTTGTTCCGATTGTCTAAAAATAATCACATTGAGGTTTTTATTATGTAGATATTTTTGAACTTTAGATCTGAAGGCCAGATCCTGCTGTTGCCACACGCTTAAGTGTTCTTGGGGAAGAAGCTAAAGATGGTGGGCACTCTGCTTGGCATCCTCGGCAAACAGGATTGTGAATGAGTGAATGAGACATGTCATGGAAAAGTGCTTTGAGAGGTATGATGGCAAGAGGAAGCGCTTCATAAACATAGTCCATTTTAAGGTTTATTTCATCTGAAAACAGCAGTAATCACAGCGTTATCTTCAAATACCAGAATATCAAGGTAACTACAAGTAATGACGTGTATGCTTTGAAAGATGACTCAGTCTAACCTACCTTTTCGGTGTCTATACCCCGTGACATGGACCAGGTGGAGGCAATGTAGTCCATAACTCGTTCACTCAAACCCTTGGGCACCTGATAGAGCTTCAGAAAGTCTCTAACACTGTTCAGCATCTCATGGTAACGATTTGTGTTGGCGTACATCTGCTGGAAAATTGTTGTCACATTACCAAAGATGGTGGCGTAAAGGAGAGCTGAAAATAAATAAAGAAAAAAAAACAGGGTAGGGGTTAGGGTTCAGGCTTTGGTTCGTGAACTTAGCAGAAAATCATGAAAGTCATTTATTGATCTGAAGGGTCTGGTCTGCTCATGAGATAAAACATCTGACTAAACCTTTGTTAGTATAAACTTGGTGCTAGTTCTATAAATATTCATTTTTGAAGAACTGCAGATTTATGACGGTTTCCAGTGGCTTATATATTACTATAATAGTTTTGTAGGCATACATAAACATGTAAAATGTTTAAATACATGTCAATCTCAAAATCCTAGAGAAAGGAACCTGAACTGAAAATCCCCCAAACCGGAATACAAGGACATCTAGTTTCTAAAATCTAGCTATGTTTTAGAAGCTTCTAAATTTCCCAAAAATGAGGTTTTCAAGGATCAAAAATCTTCAAGCCTGTTGACAAAGACATAAAACTTTTCACAAAGTAATATATGAGGACATACCATGTTGCATAAAATTTTCTAAGATTGATGTAGAAGACCAAAATTACCCCAAAGCTGGATAAAAACCTCACACAGTGAAAACAAACGTTTCCCTGAGATGGTTCTGGCTTGTTTTATTTTCTGTTTCACAAAATGTAGTGGACAAAATTAGCCTTAAGATTTGATAATGTCACATGAGCTCTCTATTTAGTAAGAAATAAAACAGTTCAGCCCATAATGGCCTCCAAACATAATCAACAAAACTTCCCCAGAAGGAAAAACTACAATAAAAGCTTTGCGTGTTTCAATCCATCCTCTGCCAGGAACATCCAGCTAAATATACTGTGTCATGTCTTGTGAGATAAGACTCAAAGAAAAAGAAGACAGAGTATAGCAGTGCATCGCTGAGGTGGGTGAACTGGTGCAACAGCTGGTGTGTGCGTGGATCAAAGCCATCACATGTCTGCGCACTGCGTGTGTAGTGTTCTCTTGGCAATGGAGTCCTAATTAGCCCTGCTAGAAGGGACAGAGGGGAAACATGCCAGCCACACATTTCAATTATCCTCAGAAGATGACAGTAACCTGTCCGTGTGTGCGTTTGTTTGTGTGTGTTGTTTATTTCAGGGTGCACAATCAAAGTCTTGAAAAGCTGCACAGGGAATAATGCTAATTAAAAAGAGCTCGCAACTCCTCAAGGGTGAGGATAACTGTAACTTTAATCCTTTCATCACTGGTGCTCATTTGTTACGTCATGTTTTCAAGCATTTTTGTGCAGTACGATACTCTTTATCACCTTCACACAAAAGATATGCCCACCATGTTGTACCACATTTTACTGCAGGTACTGAAATCTGCAAGTTCTCACATAAAGAAAAGGTTTTAAAGAGGTTTGAGCCCATTAAATCGAAGATGATTGGACAGAAGCCTCCCTCTGAAGCTGCCAAAGTTTGGGATGATCGAAACCTCAAGCTTGAGGACAGATTGCGAAGCTCCTTCCTCTGATAAGCAGAAAAACGCTGCAACAAAGAAACTCAATCGTTCCCTGTGGAACGGCCCTTCATCTAGTTCCCAACGTTGCTCTTTTCTTGCTGACGTTCGCAACTTGGTTGCAACGTTCCCAAGCATCCAACAGCTGGCTTGTTTGAAGTTAAAAGACAGTAGTCAGAAACACGAGCCCCAGGCCTACGGTTGCTATAGAAACAGGACATATGTATAAAGCCCCCCCTTCCACCACCTCCCCACCCCTCCCCAAATCCCTCGTCACACTGTGATCTTCTACTGCCAGCACCGATCCAGTGCTGGTGGTAAAAATAGCACAGTATCAGGGCATTCATATTTCATAGAGAACAGCCATGGACTACAGTAGATTGCATCTACAACAAGCCTCCTGAGGCTGTTGCTTTTTTTGGATATTTACGCTTGAAGAGGATTTGAATCTAACAATGAAAAATTTAGACAAGTCTGAGGATGAGTTCTGTAAGTTCCCCCGAGAGCAGATTCATAAAACTCAACATTCAAAAGGTAAAAAAGAGAGCGGGGACAATCACAACTCGCCTCAGGGTTGAGATTGTAGAAGGAAAAAAAGTACAACAGAGGTGAGGAGTGATTGCAGAGGGATCAGAGGGAGCCCTGCACTAAATTGATCTAGCAGTGTCAGTTATTGCTTGGAGGTGTTGTTCACTGCGTGCAGTCACACATAATGGCATGGCACAGTACGACGCATTGAAAGTCACACAAGCTGGAGATATCTTATAAATGTTTAATAGTGAGATGTGGAAAGCAAAGCAAGCTGTGAAAATCTGCCTCCTCCTCGGCTTATTAGAGGGATTGTTAGGTAGTAACAGTGGGTGTCTTAACTACATTATAGCACAGGGCTTTGCTATTCATGTCTACGGCAAAATGGCTCCTTCTGTGTGTTGGCAAGCCTCAACAAGTGGCAGAATAAGAAACTAAGTTTCCCAAATGTAATTAAATTTTCTCTAAAATATTACCGCTGAAGTAATATTTCACAGCTTTGCTTTTATGCTTTGACTCAGCGTTCTGTAACATTTACATTTTCTGGATCAAAATTTACAACCCAACAACAGCCAAGAGAAACCTAATTTATTTAAGGAGAGTGGATGATTTAAAGGACAAGTCAACTCTGACTTTAGGTCTAAAAGTTTGCTCTATGTGGACTCATATGCCCCCAAAGATTGGGCTGATAACTACCAGGCCCAGAACAAACAAAATTGGAGGACGTATGTTCATGTTTTTGCTGGATTGTTGTGTTAATGTGCCTGTTTAAAAGTCCCAAATAAAGATATAATTATCTTTAAAAAATTACAACTAAAACTTACACATCAGCCTCCAAACTGTTAATGTGGATTTACAAGAGAGAGAGAAAACATGCTGAGAATATACAAAATTTATTAGGTGCTGCTTTAATATGCGACTTGCCAAGGTACACAGGTGTGCCTTATAGGTGCCCATCTTGGTGAGAGAAAACCTGCCACAACCGGAGCACGGACCAAATCATATTGTGTGAGATGAAGTTCAAAAACAGAGACCAGAGACTGTGCAGGCTCATTTGGTCTCGAGGTATGACGGGGCTTCACTTGCCTAAGACAAAGACAGTCTCATCTGCCATGTCAAGCATTTTGATTTTGGGGTTCTTCATGTTAGTCCTGTGAGGGTGCAGTCCTCACAAGTGTACTGACCAGACAGGAACTATATTAGTCCTTATTATCTCAACATTTAAATAACAACTGAGAAAGCAACATTATCTTTATTGGTTTTAATATCTGACAATAAAAACTTGTTGATTCTACTTGGGTTTCAAACTCAGGCTAGTTGCTCGGCTGTTGATATATTAGTCAGTCTGGAACACACCAGAGCTTTTAGTCATAATGGCTCACTAAACTCCTACTAACTCTTTGCTGCCCACTTTCCTGACAATTTGATATCAGGATCATTACATTCAACAAAAAGCTTAAAACTGAGGGGAAAAAAAGCTTTTTAAAATCGAATTTGTGTCTGTTAGAAGTATCATTACCATTTTCCCTAAGGAGGCATCACCTTAAAAACACGTATTGATCGGTGGAACAAATGTTTGCTTATTTTGACAGTCCACAGTTAAAACCAAACTTAAAATAAAAGTGTGCTACAAACACAAGTCACTGTGCTGAAAGGTTTACACATTTACAACCTCTGTCACCAACTGCAGGTATGAAAAACAAGCAAGAAACTGAAAAGCTCTTTCACTGAGATCAACGTGTCTGTTTTCTAATTGATAATTGCATAAAGAAATAAAAAATTTTAAAGAAGCGATATTCATCAGAAAGAGTGACATTTGAAGATAATGTTCAACAGATATCATTTCAAATGTTAGTTTTAGTAACATCTGTAGAAAGCTGAATTAATGTCTGCAGAATATTCATTTCCACCATTCAATTTTGCAGGAAAGTCAATCAATCAATCAATCAATCAATCAATCAATCCATCAATCAATCAAATTCTATTTATATAGCGCCAATTCACAACAGTCGTCATCCCAAGACACTTTCCAAAGAAAAAGAGCAGGTCTAGACCACACTCATTGTTTGATGGATTCAAGACCCAACCTAAGATGGGATTTGGCCCATCTCATCTAACATGAGTGACAGTGGCGAAGAAAAACTTCCTTTTAACAGGCAGAAACCTTGGGTAAGACCAGACTCATGTTAGACAGCCACCAAGTACTTTATTAAGGTCAGATGTTTTTGTAAACAGATTCCTTTAAAGTTGATAGTATGCAAGAACAGAAAGAAAAGGAATCCCAGACCTACTGACATGATCCATGTTCTGGTATTGAGTTTTTCCATAGTTTTGGTCTTTCAAGTGTATTTTCTTTGTGATTTTTCCTTGTGTCTCTGTGCCCTATTGTTCCTGTTCCCTTGTGGTCCTGTCTTGTGAGTTTTCAGTTTGTGTCTAACCCTGGTTTCCTCATGTTCTCAGTGTTTTATTCTTTATCAGTTTTCAGTGTTTCTTGTTTTATTTTGTAGAGGTTTATTCCCTGTGTTTCTAGTCTTGTTTTACTTCCTCAGTTTTCCCTCCTCTGTGATTGTCTGCACCTGTGTCTCTGTGTCTCACCTGCCTCTTGTTGCTCGTTAACCTGTGTGAATATATAGTCCTTGTCTTCCTGTGTTTCTTTGTTGGTTCCTTGTGAATGTGTGTGAATGTATGAGTGGTATGTATGTCGATGCCTCTGTGTGACTCCAGTGTCTCCAGTATCTCCAAGTGGTTTTTCCTTCAGTGCCTTTGTTGGATTCTGGATATTTTGTTGGACATTTTTGTTTTAGTTATTTTTTTCATTAAAACACTTCTTGTTCTGCAATTGGGTCCTTTTTCTGCTTTTCAACTTCGCCAATGTCACACCTATGGTTGTGTAAAATAATAGTGTAATGGGTGGCTCTAACATATTATATACTCAACCACAGTGGTAGATTGGAAGCTGCAGGGAAGTTAGACATATTGCTTAGCTAATCATCTGTAAAGTTCTATTTCCAAACTTAGATTGCTTTATTAATAATTCATTTATATACCTATCTCAGTGGGTTGTGGCTTTAAAGAGCATAGTTAAACTCCTCATGTTTCATGCATCTGCTGCACTAGATAAAAGATAAAACGACTCCACTCACATCCTATCATCATCATGGCCACAGCAAAGATTTTCTCTCCGTCTGTTGTTGGGGCGATGTTACCAAAGCCGATACTCGTCAAGCTGGTCATGGTGAAGTACAAAGAAGTGATGTAGACCGAGTGCTTGTTTGGCCCGCCCTCCCACTTTCCTGAGCCGCTTGCATTGAAGCGGTACGGTGTACCCACCGTCTCAGCCAGGATGTAGAGCCAACTGTCCATGCGAACAATGTTTGTTTCTTCATCGATGACCTCGTAATCGCCGATGCTGTACCTGCAGCGTAGTAAGACAGGAGTAGTCAAATGTGTTGCACGTTATGAATGTTGACAACAAGTGTGAGAAAGCATGGTTACCTACTTATGCAGTGACATGTGTAAAATGCTAACACGAGCATGCCGCAATAACGATGCTGGAATGATTTTGTTTGGAAGGTCTACTATTGTGTCGGAGCTAAAAGGTTTTGGTTCGTTGCAGTCCTGGTTACTTGATTTAAGAGGGGTCCATTTGAGAGTGCAGCATTATCTGTTTTCATGCACCCTAAAGATCTGTAGCCTAGGAGGTGTGAAAATACTGGAAGCAAGGGGCTGTAAATACGTGGCACTCAAAGTTTAACAAGATCTAGAATTTACAGTCATGCTCTGTGAGGCTCGACACAGTCACAGCAGTCGTTTGAGCTTACTATGAGCTCTAGCATGTACGCCTCTCAGCTGTAATTATTTTAGACTCCTGATGAAGAATAATGCGAAAGTTTTTTTTTCAAGGGAGAAAAGAAAATTGAGAGAAAAGATGAACAACAATATTTTTTTTCTTTTTTACTGTGAGGATTCAGACTTTCTTATTTATTACCCTGGTGATCATGATTGATGAGAGTTTAACTTTGCTAGACTCAACGCCATGGCTCTGAGTGTGACCATGGAAACCAGAGAAACCACACTGAAGGAAACGATACAGGAGCTATTTTTATTGCTCCTGAGTCTAGTTTTGGAGCATTGCCAGTTTCGTTCATTCAGCCTTCATTTTCCTGTCTGGACAAATAAACATTGTTTGTGATATTGGTGAAAGTCTTGTGTGTGTGAGTGTGTGTGTGTGTGTGTGTGTGTGTGTGTGTGTGTGTGTGTGTGTGTGTGTGTGTGTGTGTGTGTGTGTGTGTGTGTGTGTGTACTGCCAACAGGTTTGTGGATGTTCCTGAATGTATTTTGGATTTTCATAAATATGCTGTTGTCATCTTCTTTTAATTATGGATAGATCGCTAGACATGAAATTTACATAAATGCATAGATATCACAATCAAAGTTATATCCGTGTCATTTAAAAGAATCAGCCTCAATGTCTTTTTCTGAGTTTCTAAGTCAGTTAGTTTTCATAATAGTCATTGTATACATACTGTGTGTGTGTGTGTGTGTGTGTGTGTGTGTGTGTGTGTGTGTGTGTGTGTGTGTGTGTGTGTGTGTGTGTGTTTTTAGACATTTTCATAAACACAATAAATCAAGCACAACACATAATGGGAACTTAATGCTTTCACCACTCTTGTCCCCTGTAGAGTGGATGATCTGATTAGACTTTAGAGACCCGCAATCCATAAATTTACATAATTAATGAGGGAGAAACTAATTCTCTTGAAACCATTATAACTCCTTCTGGCTCCCAGGTATCAAAAAATACATGACAATATGTGAAAAAAAAGTGGTAATTAATGCACTAATTAGCTTCATCAACAGTCTCTTCGTGTTAACTCAATCTCTTATATATCAAAATCATGGCTCAACAGTGTTTTGACACAATGTTTTATGTAAATCATATGAAGTTGATGTCATGAACGTACCATATACAGGCCAGCCAGTGAGCGGCCAGTCCAAAAACACACACCAGCAGGACCAGTACAGCCGCTCCATACTCTATGTAGTGATCCAGTTTACGGGCCACCCGACCAAGACGGAGGAGCCTCACCACCTTCAGTGAGCTGAACAGACTGCTGATCCCCTGACAGGAATTAAAGAAAGAGATAGAAACAGAGGCAAATATCAGAAAAGTGCTTGTGTCATTGCTCAATTGAATGTAAAACTCTTTTGTTTGAGCTCAATTTTGTAAGAAAATTGAACTTTTTTTTTTAGAAAAACTGAGACTGCAGAGCTCTTGTATACAGAAAGACTTAAACATAAGAACAAAAGTTATTGGTGTCTGAACATGCTTTAAAGTAAACCATAAGGTAGTGATAAGCAGCTTGTTTATATGTGTGAGTATTTTTACAGTAGTGTTATATATTAGGTAATTTATCATCTTTCTTTACAGCCATGAATGAACTCTTAATAAACTGCTTAAATGTGAGCTGATGTACCATCTTACTCAACACAGTATTCTTGTTAGTGTTTGTGAAGTTATACCCTTTGTGCAGAGCAGTTATTGTTATAAAACTGATAAGTTTTCAGACAAGGACTGCAAATTAGTTATGGCTAGAGGTCCTGTTTTCACATTATCTGTTGCTATTTTATTGGATGTAACGATGCCTGCATGCATCCTCCCTGTCACATAAACAGACAAATAAACATTTATATTCTTATGGCCCAACATGATTTTTTATCCAAAGCTGATTTTGTTGCTGTTACTATGCAACATTAAAATGAGGACAAACACATCAAAAAAAAAGTTTTTACCTTTCTTTTTTAATGTGATTTATATATCATTTACTATTTTTATTATTATTTGCACACAATTTCGTTGTACATGTACAATGACAATTAAGATATTCTGTTCTAAGGCAAGAATTAACTAAATACCTAATAGATAAAATTAATTTCAGTGACTTCTAATTAAAGGATAGTGTACAAAATCTTCTTTATAGTGTACAAAATATAATAAATGTATATTTTTTCACATTTCACTTATTTTCAATAGTTGAAAATATTCAAATCTGACATGGTATGAGGTGAAATCCTCAGACTAACACAGAATCTGTGTCAAAAATTGAGATTATTTTGATTAATGATGATGATTTTGTTCTATTTAAATGCTCTATGAAAAACTGTGAGTTGTTCTTTTGTTTGCACTGACTCTCCTGACTCAGAGGTTTATGATATAATGCCTTATTATATCATAACCCTCTAAAATCGATATAAAAATGCCTGAATCCTTCTTACGAAGCTTAACTAATGTGATATCATGAGCAATTGTGACAACAGAATGTACAAAGAAGATATTAAACTATACTTGGTGTTAACATATGCCAAGTTAGTGTTAAAACAATCCTGTGAAACATGATTAAATTTTACAACCTGTGTAGCAGTTACATAACAAGCAGCCAAATGTCAACTTAACGTGAAGAACCCTCTCAGTAATTCTAACAGACAACCCCATCAGTTTACATGTGTGTGTGTGTGTGTGTGTGTGTGTGTGTGTGTGTGTGTGTGTGTGTGTGTGTGTTTGTGTGTGTGTGTGTCTGTGTATGTGTGTGTGTCCTGGGAGAGGTATTGATTTGGCTAATGTGCTGTGGTGTGCAATCCGAGTACGACTGCAGCGCTCGCTGTCACTTGATCTGATCTAGCTGCGTACCAGACACCTCAGCTTCTCTAAAATCACTTTATAGACCCGAGCTCCTACACAACTCGGTTATCTGTGCAATCCTGCTGTTAAACTCTGCTGCAAACTCTACTAGGGCAAGTATCTGAAATGTCTTAGTGAGTTAACTCAAGGATAAAAAGAATTGGGGGAGACCAGACTCATAGGTTTTTTTTACATAGAATTTAACATGATTTGATTATACGTCTTAAGTTAGAATTAGCACTGTTTAAAGTCTCCAAAGTAAAAAAAAAAAGGTGATATATCTGCTTTATCATAGCTGGTCAGTTTATAAAAGAAAAACGCTTTATTTTTGTATCATCTCTTTTGACGACATAGATTTTGAAATATCACAAAAATTGTACCATTCATGTTTGCTAAATCCTCATGCTTGAAAAGGGGCTAAACTTGATTGGAAAATTGATCAGTAACCTTGTAAAAGCAGTTAGACACTGGCTTTATCATTTCTTTGTAGAGATTAAAAAAGAAAGACTTAGTTCACTCACTTCTGTGCTCAGAAGAGGGAGCTAAAGGCAAAGGGCTGTCAGCTTGGCCTAGCATAAAACAGAAAGTAAAAACCCTACTCTGGAGCTCATCAGTTGAAACAAACTCCATAATTTGACTAATTCTGCCTAAAAAAAACAACAAAAATAATTATTTTTTTAGGGAGTTATGCAGTCTGTATATCTTACTAGATTATATCAGCGTTTAGTTGGCTCAAGTTTTTACAAGGTCTCTAAAAGGGCAAAAACTATTCATAGTTTTATCTGCTGATCGATAATTCAGTTATTTTACTGTGAAATAAATTCAGATATTTGGCCTCAGACATCACGGTTGACCTTTTGACGGAAAGGAAAACTAAGGAAAATGTCTGAAAATATTTCCGCAGCTTTAGAGTCATGTATCACACTTTATTCAAGCTCTATCTCCTAAAGTATATTTCAATACTGGAATGACTTGTTTTGAATTTTTAACTATCACATTGCTGCCGTTTATTCGCCACAAATGGCATGTATTGCTGACTCGAGGACTGAATCAGCTCTTGCGCAGCTTTAATGGCGCTGTTTTTCATTCTGAAACTGCAGAACACAATCAGATCAATGTCATCTCTGCAATATAAAGCCTGAGCGGGAGAAATAATCAAAAAAATCAAGAAGCACAGATCATGCTCTCTATGACATTTACTTCATGCAATGATGCCTCTGCTGTCAAACTCTCATCCCGCACACACACCAGCTGAAATGCCGATGCACGAGTATATTTCATAGGGGATGAGTGGAGCTTGTTGTCAGGGCGATCGTGGAAAGTTAATGCAGCTTTTTTTTCTTCTTCTTTTGGTTTGAAAATGTGTCTATGCGTAAACAGAAACACAAAACTGTTCTTGTCAAAGTGAAGCCTACTTGAGTGACGGCTCGGTGGTTCCAATTCTTCCCATCGTGTCCCATGCATGAAAACAGGCAGAAGAGGAAGGTGAAGGGATGGGTAGGCCATGCAAACAGAATGGATTGATGAAAAAGAAGAAATAAAAACATCAGAGGAAAGATCAGAAATGAGCAATGAGAAATCATATAACCAATAAATAGTAAAATAAAAACCTTATCTGTGGTGGCAAAGCATGTTTAGTTTGATAAAATCATGCGTTCTGTGTCCACTTTTTGCTCAGACTGCATCAAGAATGGCTTGTTTTTGTTCTTTTGGTTACTCAGCATCAGACGCTGAAATGACACAAATACTTTGAAGTTCAATCAGTCCCGTGGTGATGTGTAATGCTTAAAATCTACCAAGAATAACTTTGACAGCCGCTCCCTCTTAATGATCTTCCCTTTCCTTTTAGGAAACCTGTTGGGAGAAAACAGCCATCAAAGTTATTCATGTCAGTCGTTAAGGTCTGCAGCGGCAGCAGCGATGTTTCAGTGCTGGGTTTAATAACACGGGCGATTGTTTACCCGCTCTCATTTACCCTCTCCCTGGATTGCCTCACAGCAATCTGGAGCAAATTGGAGTCACTGGGATGTTGCAGAGACGTGCTGAAAGATGATCCTAGAGGTGAATGGTCACAGTGGTAATGGATGTCAGGTTATAGTAAATGTGTCTGTAGCTTCATCATAGGCTCAATGTGCGCCCCAACCTTATAGAAATGCAAAATCACTGTGTTCAGTGTAACAAATGAAAGTCTCAGAAGCAACAAAATAACTTTTTATTCTGTGTCTATGTATTATTTACAAGGTAGTCCAAAAAAGGTCAAATAACACCAGCTGTATCCTTTAGATCCCAAAAGGCTGCTGTTTTCTCCCTCTGCTGACCCCTGACACTTTGTACCCCAGACAGCTGAACTTGTCAGCGTTCAGGATGCTGAAGCGTTGAAAGACTAGAAAGGGCCAAAATGCTTGACCTGCACATATAACTGGGTGCTCAGAGCTCACCAATAATCCTCTTCTTTTTTCACAGCTTCACCACAGCCTTTCATATCCTCTTGTACTGTATGTGTTGGCTGACAGCCCCTCAGAGGTCTCAGTGTGATGCACAACACTGTTAAATGCTACCGCAGCATTTTACATGGCCAGGCTGTCGCAATAACACACACATATCACAAGATGTGACACATTTAAGTACACACGGGCTAATGCAAACACACGCAAAGATGCATTATTGTAATGAAAACCAGCACGTGCAGAATCCTGAGGCTCTACTTAATTTATATGTGTGTGTGTGTGTGTGTGTGTGTGTGTGTGTGTGTGTGTGTGTGTGTGTGTGTTTGTGTGTGTGTGTGTGTGCTGGCGGAAAAAGCCCCTGATAAATTAAGGTTTGGACCTGATTCAGAGGCTGTATTAAAATTCAGATGCAGCTTAAGATAAGAATAAACTGGCCCTTTTTCTTAATAGAAATCGCTAAACATAATGAAAATTTTAATAAGCAAACATTTACTCTCCCCTCAATGATAAAACAAAGGTGAGAAATATGTGGGCTAAAAATAAACGATCTCCACAGGGATGTAAATAAAGTGAAACGCTTGAAAATCCTTCAAAAACCCCATAAAAGTCTAATTTATTCACGTTAACAAGTCGACTGTAAAACACAGAAGCATCCCAAAATGCACTTTTGGAAACGCATGACTCCTCGGTTTTAATCACAGCAGGTTTTCCCATGATTCAGTGCTTTTGTCAGCTGTCATAAGGTGTTAATGGTTTTAAGGCATCAGTGACAAAGCAGAGGGCTGCAGAGTGCCTCAGTTTAATAATGTAACACTCCTTCCCCCAATTAAAATGTGCCAATTATCCCGAGATCCTGTGATAGCTCTCCAGCAAACACTGCCTCATTATGGTCCAACATTTACGAATTCACAAACAAGCATATTATTATGCTGCTCAATCCGACTCTTTTTTTTTTTTCACAATAACTGGAGCATGGGATGGGATGGAAGGTAGTTATTACAAAATGTAGACGATGATTTGAGTACGTATGTTAAAGCTATCAGTCTCCTTGGAATAAATCACAGCTTGGATTTGTTTGAAGCTTTTAAATATTTGCCTTTTAGGACAAAAAGATGGGAAAGGTTACGTTGCAGTAGCTTGAAAAAATCTGATGTTCTGTAACGAGAACTGGGGTAAAGCATGGGGTATTTTATCGGCAGTTAACTTTACTTGTATAGTGTAGTTAACAGGCGATAAAATACCCCATGACCCTCCAGATTTTCACAAGGAATGGTCTTTTTAGAGGCTCATTAATCAGAACCTATAATGCAGCTCTCTTACTTATTACCCTATAACTTCACTCAATAACAACACTGATCAATTCTGAATTATAAAGGTGACACCACAGACGACCAGATCACACCAGTCAGCCCACAAAAACAAGCCCAGTACATTTAAACGGTTCATGATTTAACCTCTACCATAGCTTAGCTTCTGATAGCACCTGTAAAAAAACATGGAGTATTTCCTTTATTTTTGCTGTTAATTCATTTAGAGCACAAAACTGAAGATTTGTGGATGATGGCTGAGCAGTCAGCAGCAGAGGAAGGGAGATATAAGGGAGAAAACAGCTCAAAAACCACCTAGAGATGTTAACACTGAAGGTGCCAAGTAAACAAGACGTCAAAACAGACACAAAGCAACCACTGACTGCACACAGTATGAGATTTTGCTTCGCTGCAGAGGAATGCCAATAGAAAGGAGGATCGTGTACAGGTGCTCCAGTTATCTCCTGCATCTACATGAAAATACTAATGTTAGGACTTGTGCTGCGTTTGAGTGTCCTCCTAAGTCAGATGTCCGAGCTGGGAATGACGTCACACCCGAGTTACCAGCGTTTCAGTTACCAAGTCGGAAAAAAGCAAAATTGGAGGTGGAAACAAGATGGCTACACCTTGTCCTTGCTTATATTCGGACAAGGAAAGCGCTAAAATAACTTGTATAACTCGTAGATGTAGCCATCTTGTTTCCACTGCCAACTGTTCTCTTTTTTGACTTAATAACCTCAAAAGCTGGTAACTCGGGGGTGACGTCATTCCCAGCTTCGACATCTGACTTCTGAGGTAACTCAAACGCAGCATTAGACCAAGTGCAAAGTCAAAAGGAAAGATGTGAAAGTTGTAAAGTGAGAAATATTCCAAGCTCTAAACCAGAGTACTCACCTCATCAACATTCTCGAAGGCGTTGATGACGTCATACGGCAGGCAGGACAGCAGGTCGATCACAAACCACGTCTTCAGGTAGTTCATCCGAATCAGTTTGGGATCAGAGATGACCTCCCCAGCAGGTCCCACAAATGTTGTGTGGAAGTTTAAAACTATATCCACCAAGAAGATGACGTCCACGATGCTGTCAACTACCAACCACGTCACGTTGTTCTGCTTGGTCTTGAAGGAGACGTTGTAGGGCACCATGATGGCTGTGTAGAAGGTGAGGATGAGGATGACCCAGTCCCACGTGGTCTTGAAGAGGCAGTAGTGGAGGATGATATGAGGAGGGGTTTTGGGGGTCTCCTGTTTGTACTGAGGTAGGATGTCTGAGCCCAACTGCAGTACCTACCAAGAAAAATCACGCATAAATACACAGAGCAGAAGGCCAAAAATCAGTTCCCACAGGATTTCACAGCTTTCAGGGGGTGTTGTTACACCCTAACTGTGTATCTTCACAGCAGATTTTTGTTTAAAGTTGAAATTTAAGTTGTGATCTAAGTTTTTTTTTCCTGGAGCTTGTAAATATTGTAAAAAGAAAAAATCTACAAATATTTACAAGACAACAGCAAGTATTGAATGTATCTTTCTGTGAAGAAGTCTCAGACCAACACTGCAGTTTAAGGTTGAATGAGAAAGCTTTTTTAAAAGGAACAATCACACTGGAGTTCAGCACAGCTGTCTGCTTCACTGCAGAAAAAAATAAAAAATGAAATTAGTCTCGAGCATGCAGCTTTGCTCCATACCTCTGCTAAGCGGGAGTGCTTGTGGACGTTCTCTCCTTTGTGCACTGTGGGCTGCAGCTGCTGTAAGACTCCTCTGCTGCTTGTTAAAGCTCGAGTCAGTCGGGCAAACTTTCCCCAACCTGAGGATTAGAGCACAGTCAGTGAGCCCAAACTTTTACAAGATGATTTTTTAAAATGTTTTCTGATACTGGATTTTTCCCGGGGCAACAGCATATCTTTGGGGCTGTGGGACTTGTGAAAAGAATCCTTAAATCAGGCTCTCAAAATTATTTTTCTGTGGTGTTGAACAGTTCTTAAGCTCTTGATAACTAAGCTTATCAAACCTTAATTATTTCTGGGGCATGCTGAACAATAAGCGCTCAAAAAAGCCCTCAACAGCCTTACATTTGTGCCCTGTTAAACTGATTTTCATAGCCCTACAGTACAAGAGAAGCCTTGAATCACGTGAATGTTTGTTGATGGATATGGACACATTACATAGACGCAGCAACAGCAATGCTTGGCCTAAAACACTGTGTAACATCAAAGTGGACAGATTTGATGTCAAATGTTTCCTTTCAAACTTTGTTTTTGCTTGTGACTCTCAAAGATACAGTTTTCCATCAGGTACATGGGGAATTGTGAGTTGTGCGGGGAGCATCAGTTTCAACTTCATGACCAGCTGAAAACTTCTCACAAGAACTTAAAGCACCTGTAAGGAGTTTTTGCTATAATAAAGACTAAAACGAACAGTGATGCATCTATATGATATGCAAAAACAAACAAGACCATAAGTGACAAGTTTAATAATTGTTATACTCTAATCTTTAATGACTGTAACTGCTGTGGAGGGGGTCGATAGGTACCCACTGAGCAATAGATGGCTATTGCATTACTGATCTCCAAGTACTTAACCAAAATAATCATGATAGCCATTGAGCAATATACAAGGTAGTATAGATATAGCGCAGATTTAGATTTAGTCTAAACTTGGTCTTAATTTAGACGTCTAAAAAACTCTCATTTTTAAACCTGTGGTAGCCTGACTTTAGACCAGTCGTTCAGGCTACATTTAGACCTCTTTTAGACCAAAAAATGCTCGGTAGTTTAACTGAAGAAACAGCCTTTGTTATTTCATCCACAGCTAGGTGTTTATGGTGAAAAAATAACAGAAGAAATTCAGTGATCAATGAGGTCAATCACCACCATTTCCACAAGGACTAGACAGATTCAACAACAAATGAAGAGTTACCACTTTGTCCTCAGGGGGCACTAAAGATAACAGAGGCTGAAAGTTCCTCACAGGAGCTTTAAATGCTAAAGTTAGCTACATATGGATCATCAAATATGTAGAAATATCTTTAAAATGCACCAATGAGTTTTTACATTATTTTTTGCTGTTGCTGAACATCCTCAAAATCTTTAAATGATCACAATAAATCATGTATCTACAGTCATGCAATCTTGAAAATATGAAAAGGACCGTATCTGATTTCTTCATCCTGAGTGTGATAGCAGAGGGAAATCTTTTATTTTTCAGTTGGTCTTTTAATTTTTCCTGTGAGTGTCATATACGGACAACTTTCATGGGTGCATGTGAGTTCAGATACAAAATGCACAGGGTCCAATGGTGAACAACATTAAGTGGACAAATGTATCCTTCATAACTTCTCTATGAAAAGATTTAGAGGATAAAACTGACACATAATGTGAACATTTAAGGTGTGTTTATTGGGCTTTTGGGGGATTGATTAATTTATGTGTATTTTTTCTTCATTCTCAACCTTTTGGTTATAAGGCGTAAAGTCACAAAAACTGAATCTAATGACCCTGACCTTTGGAAGAATCGTCTTCAATGGGTTGTTTGAAGGCCGTGATGTCGCTGAACGTGCAGAGAAACAGGACCACTTTCTCTTGTTCATTTCGTATGGGAGCAATCTTCACAAAAAACCAAACGGGCGTTCCTGAAAGTATGAAAAACAACACATTTTTGCTGCATCATCTGCTTAATTTTAGAGAGGATGACAAGTGAGCAGAAAAATCTAGATTGCAGGGTGTGAATTGAATTGTTTTTGACTTTCAACAACACCTGCAAAGAGAGGACAGCTCTACCTGAAAGTGGAAACAAACACAGCCCGACACACTGTGTTTCTGGGGAAGTTTTCTCTGGCCCCGTTCACAACCAATTAGTGCGTTTCTGCAGAGGCAGAAATGATCTAGGCTGCCTTTGAACTCGGCTACACTTTACATCCTCTGAATACATTTGCATTTCAAGAGAGCAGAACTTTACGTTTCTCTTCCTCACATATGGTGTTGAATACTCACTGTTCTTTTTGTACATGAGGATTTCAAATGAGTTCATCTCATAGTTCTCAAATGTGAGCCGCACTTTTTCCGTCGTGTCCTTGTCTGTGAGCTCCCCATACATGAAACTGAAAAACAGGAGGAAAAAAAAACAGCATGAATATTTCAGAGTTAGAGGCACACTGAACATGCATGCTTGTTTTTGAATTGAGAAGGTCTATGGTAACTCGTCCTGTTTTTACATTCCTTTTAGAGTCTTCTCTAACATTTTGAATCCTAATTTAACAGCATATTTCTACAAAAACAGAAAAAAAGGAAATGCAAATATAAAAAGTTCGACCTAAACTATGCAGGCCAGTTCTTGATCGCTGCAGAGAGACCTCCAGAGAGGTTCATTGCAGAATTAGGCAGCATTAAAGATAGAGTAGAAGCAGATTAAAGCTTGCTGAAATGTATCCTGAAAGTATAAAAAAAGATAAATGCAGCCTGGTGTCTAATTGGGCAAATGCAAAGTACCTCGCAAAAAACAAATTAAACCTGAGGATGGGTCAAACATCCATAAGCGCATTTAACCGTGCCGCAGAGACATTCATCTCACTTTGCTGGTTAATGCCACCCTCGCTGGCAGCCTGTTCAGGCATGATCTAAATATAACTCGGAGTTTATCATTAAATACAAAAGGAAGGCTAAATTTAATGAGACCACGTTCTGACACGGTGGAGACTTTTAAGACCAGAGCTTGATGTAATATCACAGAAGACTGTCCTCATTCTCTTCTTCTCTGAGCCGCAAGGAATGTGTCTCTCTTCAAAGAAAACAAATGATTTCACATCATGCGTGATAAATTCCCACAGGTTTGTCACAGTATGTTTACAGGATTCAGTATGGAAATGACACGTATACATAATTAAAGAGACAGTGGAAGCAGTTTCCATGGAAAAAACATCTTTACATCTAAGACAGCGGGAGCTGAAAACATTAGCGGTAACACTCTTAGGAGATGAGTATACAGTTAGTGTTTGAGTCATCGTCAAACGCATCAGATGTGAACACGCTAAATGATTTATTGGCACATCATCACGCTCATAAGAGACATTAAAGAAAAATGTCAGACAAATGATTAAAGGTATAGAAGAATATTTGAGGAATAATGAAAGATTCTGGGATTACAATAAACTACCCCGTCCAACTGTTCATGAAATGATGAGGTCTGATATGATGAGGACTTTAAAGGATTTATGAATTCCTACAAAGATTAAAAAATATATAGTAATGATTACAATAACAATATTAAAAATGAAAGTGTGCACACTACCCCTTACTTATCATTGCAAGCAATCTTTAAAGACTTGCATGATGTTATAAGGAAGGAGGAAAAACAAAAGTGAAACCTCATGAAAGGCCTGATACTGATTAAATCTTTCTGTATGATGCCTCAAAGTATAAAATGAACTAACTTAATGCATTAAGAGACATTAACAAACATATTTATGATTTCAAACCTACCTCTTTGTCAGGACATTACCCTATAACCTTTAAGGTGGACCTATTACCAGGCTATTATTGGGCTGAAATTGCTGTCTGTAGCCATGTAGATGTAGATCTGCTGGTTTTGATCACTAATCGTTCTCTTGATGAATCACCAAATCAAGAAAATTTATCCCCCCAGTCTGTTGAGTTTGCAAGTTAATGTATACCAGTTACTTACCATAAAACCTCACCCTTTATCTTTTATTAATGACACCTTTTTATTTTCATAATTAATAAGTCTGTCTGTGATTTACATATCACTGTATTTGTGATTTTTGTCTTTGAATATATATTTATAACTGGTTCGAGTGACACAGTTCTTTCAAGGAGACTACAAAAAGGCTTGTTAGCTCCCTCTATAGCTTTCATTTACACTTATTATAAAATCAGCACTCGTATTTATATATTTTCACAAATCTCAAAAGCCGTCAGAAGTTTTGAAGTCTGTTTTCTTTCCCCATCCAAACACTTTAATCAAATCCACTGCAGCCTCTAAAAATAAACCTAAAGCAAATTGTCACACACCCTGTTCAATATTTGCATTGGCAAGTGTTCTGAAGCTTATGCTTGGGGACCCAAGGGTCTAAATCAGTAATAGCCGCAGTGCTGGCTGTGACAAACACCATCTCCCACAACAGACAAAATCTCCCACGGCTTCCAAATCTGGCAGCACCAACTGTTTCCATGTCATCCTATTAATATTGTGGTTACAGACATGCTGATGACAGACAATAAAAGCACCAGTCTAGAAGCTTGTTATTGGAATAACAATGCTTCTCACTTAAAGACAGGCTTTTGTTGCTTTTTGTTGTCAGTTGTGAAGACAGCGCCTCAGGTAACCTGTCTAAAGTTTTACTGATGCAGGTTCAGCTCTTACAACCAGACTACATCACAGATTTATGTCAAAGCTATCTGCTAAATTAACTGTCTCCAATTATGAGAATAACATGTAAGTGATATCCACTTTCTCTTTAACATAGCTGAATATAAAGTGATATTCACTTTGCACTGCTAAGCTGCCAATTTGCAGGGAATAAGTCAATTCAGGCTCCTCACTATTGAGGTTTGGTATAAAGAAAAGCCCCTGAGCACAAAAGCAGAGATCTTTGTTCTCTCTTTAATAGCTACAAGCCCAGCAACCCTGCAGAGGAGCCTCAGTGGTATCCACACTTTGATCATCGGGGTCACTACCTAGAGCTAAACTCTGTATAATGTGTGAAATGAATCCAAAGATTGATAGTTCCCTGCAGCTCCAATTTGCAGCCGCACTACCAGCAAAGATCTAAAGAGTGCAGTAATGATCAGGTTGAATCTAAATATTTCAAAACGATCGGGGCGATCATGGAGTAGGGACTGTTTTCTGCATTGTTTTCTTTATGCTTTGATTAAGCTCACAGTCAATGAAAGGCACACTAACAAAGGCACAGGCAACAACTCGGGGCATAGTCAACACTGTGTACATCTACAAATAACAGTTATCTCCACAACAAAGCAGATCACATCTATGTCCATTTGACGCAAGTAAAACCTTAAAAAACAGACATCCCTCTTGTCCAACTGCAACAACAGCATAACTTTGGCTTTGCCCGTCAAGATAAAGCTCATCCAGCTCAGCACTTTAGCTGAAACAAGTTCTTACAGCGCCACTTGCTAATCTTGTTTATCTTACATACTGTGGGAATGGACTGCCTAACAGATATCCAGAAGTGAAGGCAAAATATTGAAAGCTCCCCAAGTAAAAGACTGCAGTGTCGTTATTTAGGAGGTACCAATCAGCCTTTTTTAGACCCAACCAGATACTTGTATTTGCCTAGATTATAAAGCTGCAATCCATTTTTTGTTGTTGTTGTTTTCTAACCCCTTAATGTGAAAGTGAGCGTATCTATAAAACAGTTTACCTCTTTCCTCTTTAATCCTAATCTATCATTTCTAAGACACACCGGCTCTTTCTCCTACCTGCAGGTGCTACTTTTCTGCATCACCTCGGCTCTGTGATACCCGGACAACTTGCAGAAACCGTCATTGCTGTAGACAATGGGCCAGTCCACTATCTGAGCGTTTCCGAGGACAAAGTTGGTATCTGTTTGGAGGCAAAAGGCAAAGACAGAAGCACATAACTCCAGTGTTAAAGAGTTTGCTCATAACAAAAATTTATAGAAATGAAATATGGTATTTATTGGGGAAAAACTTTAGTTTCATTTATTTGATCAATATCAAAATCAAGGAGTTAGTGAATATTACAAAGATTGAAAGAAAGACATAACAGCTATTGAGACTATGGAAGCACACGACTACAAAGCAGATGCTCGAGGAAAAGTGAATTTGAGATAAAGTTCAAAGCGTTTATCTAAAAACATTTTCATAATTGTTGAAAAAGTATTAGTAGAAATAGAAACTTGTGCTCATACTCAATGGTTTAACACTCGATAAATGATTTGGAGCACTCCTTGAGTTGTATTAGGTCAGTTTTGGGTAGGTCAGTTTAAATATGAGGGAGTAATTAGTGACTTAATGAAGGCCTATATGACGGAAATGATCCTTTTCCCTTGGTAGCACAACCTGAGAGTCTCATTAAGTAGTTAGTGTCATTTTTTTAAGCAATAATCTTGTTTTAAAAAATGACGCTGTCCTCTAATGTTTCCCCTGTCATTAAAAAGATTGAGTAACACCGCCTCTAGGAGTTTAGACACATCAGAGTTTTATTAGCGTCTATGATGGTCTACAGTCCATTACACACTCCTTGTGTGTCGGATGTAAGCACAACACAAAAATCTGTGTTGAGTTCAAACTACAGTTTTGCGCTTTGTCTTATAATGTAAAGTAATTTACAGAGTAAGTAAGCTATTTCAAAGTTTTTGGGTAAAGCAGGGGTCACTTGTGTTTTGTGTTTTCATAATTTAAAGGGTAAATAGTGTTTATTAAGATAAATTGGCATTATAGGGTACAAATATTAATACATGCTGACATCAATTCTTAAATGTCACTGAAAGAGAAGTCCATTAATTCATATATGGCGTGATTACCATATTCAAATTTTAACAAGGCCTCTAAGCAAAATTTATTCATGGTCAAAATGTTAATAAACCTAAATAATGATTAAGTTGTGTGCATATCTGAAACAGCCTGTTTTGCTGAGGGTGTATTTTAAGCTGCAGACATGCCATGAAAATAACACAGAATTACTCTTGATAATCTTGATATGGTTCATGTGTATAAAAAATGGTTTGCTCTATGATTTCGACATTATAATTATTAATATGAACATGATTTATGCATCTAATCAGAGCATTAACCTTTGCCATAACTGTGCTTTCATGACATACAGAGTATGTGAGACTGCATGGACCTACTGTATCTCATTATTTGCACATTATTTAACAAAATAACTCCAACTTGAGACAAATATCATTTGTTTCCAAAGTTACAGTAAAGTGTATTCCATAGTTGTGAGCAAAAGCTGAGAAATCTCCATCTGGGTCTTGCTGTCATGGATAATTTTTGATTACTAATATTAAAATAACACTTATGAAATATATAAAAAAATGTGATCCATTCACACAATTTTGGCCAATGACGAAAGGACAAATGGTTTTAAATAAGACAGGAGAAATGAGGCGGACTGAGTAATAAAATCTGTAAAAAATCTTGCTACTCATACAACAATGTGACAACACAGGGGTGAAAGAGCAAAGGGAATAAAATAATCTGGGAGGAAACATGAACAGTAATGCCACAACAACACACACCGACACTCACACACACAAATACAAACATCTCTTCAATCACGCCAGAGTAAAAACACATTGAAATGACAACTAAGAGCATGATAGACTGACAGGTTAAAATGCATACGACGTTCCATGCCAACGTGTTATTTTACAATGATCAGACAAACGTTAATATAGGGAGTTAATTGGCTTATGTACAAAACTTTAAAGTTGTTATTTGTCCTGAATTTGCTGTGTTGCAGCAACTTTTCTCAAACGTTTTAAACTTGTCAAATTAGTAGTGACTAACTTTGTAAATTAACAACATTTGGTATAGAACATTTAGTAGTACATTACAAAGAAGTAGAGAAAACATAAGCAGCACATCAAACTAAACTTCGTAGTACCTGTCTGTCTATGTGAAAGTGTCCAAACTGAAAGTTTTAAAAAAGGAAACAAAGTTAACAGATTATATTCAGAAACATCTTTAATGTCAGAAAATAAAATGGAAAGCAAAAGAGAAAAAGGTAGCTTTCAAAACCCAATGAATTTCACAATTCTCACTGAATGGAGTGAGCCTGAATGGATGCTAACCTCTGGAAACACAACAACTTGATGCAGCTTATTTGTGAAGAAGGGTACGTGATATCATTTTTAAAATGGCACATAAATTAAGTTACTGCAGACTGGAGCTGCATTTATCAATTTGCCTTAATAAAGTATCTGAAAAACAAGCTGAAAGTTTGCTTACCCTTACACAAATGTTGCTGCTTATTTGTTAGCATACATTAGCTTATGTTGACATCCAGCTGGCTAGTTGAAACTTAATAAAAACACATTCGTCTTTTTTCATTCATCAAGTCACCAAAAGCGTCTTTTTGTTGTATTTTCTTGGTCCTTTATCACCAAAAAAGAGTACATATACAAGTTCTGACAGCTATTCTTAAGCTAAATTAAGTGCATCATCTTGGCTATTCTGATGTTCTTGGCAGAAAACTGGAAAACTGAAATCAGTCTTGCTCTGATATCCCTCCATACATACATACACTACCCAGTCTCAGTCAGCACCAAAGCACTGATAGATACAAAGACTCGCTGCTTGCTACGTCATGAAGTTTCAGCGACTGAAAACTAAAGTACATTTCACCACTTGTCCAAGAAGAATAACTCCAAATGCTGCAACTGTACATCTTAACTAGAGGTGGTTTTCAAAGGGGCAAGACCTTCAGCGTGGCCAGTAGCTTGTGGGTCAGATCCGCTACTTTCGCTAGTTTGCGACTTGGTGATGTACTTTCAGCTTGTTCATGGATTAGATCTACTATCAAGGCTGGACTGTAAATCCAATCAGCTATTATTGTTTCTTTGGATTATCTACAGTGTATCATGAGTCATTAGTGAAAATAATCCAGAAGTACTGGAGAATCTGATGGTTCTTCCAGTGGCCTTTGCAAAATTATACCTCTAAGATCCCTCAAATTTCAGAGAGTACGATTTTATCGGTTTGTTTGTTTGTTTAAAGATAACTGAATAAGATGATGGGGCCTACTATCCTCACATGGTCTGATAAGTAATTTTCCTACCCTCAAAAATAACAAAACCTTATTTGCAAAGGTCTAAGAGCAGGTGGTAATAATGCACAACTAGCTTCACAGTGTAAGAAAAGTGATTTGGGGGATTTCAGGGGTCTAAGAGTGCTCTGGTTGCACACTGGTTCAATTTCATGTTGCATTTCTTGTTTTGGTGACTTGTGTTGTCCATGTTACGCTAATAAGCATTGTTAAATGATACTAAAATGAAACAGAGTGACCCTTATTGGTTGCTTTTGTGCAGCATTTCTTAGTTTTGGTATGGGTGAATCCTGAAGACTTTGGAAGTAAGGCCTGGTTAGTTTTGAACTAAAACGCAGCGCAAAGTATTTCAAAATGGATCACAGTTGTAGGATTATACCAGCGTCTGTGATTTTCCCACCAACCACAGCATCCCCCTCTTAACACTTCAGTATGTCTCAGTGGTGTCCTGCAGATTATAGTCCTGGCTCTCTGTTTCTACACTTGCTTTAAGGAGATTTACATTACTAATCCACAGACCACCCAAGGTCATAAGAAAAGCATATGCATGGCTTTTGTTTTTCACTGGGGACTCATCTTATCTTTATTTCAGTGATTCAGCTCCTAACACTGTTCTTCTAAAATGCTCATCCTGGAGAGAAGCCCTCATCCTTCCTGAACAAGTTGTTCCCTTCTGTCACAACACATTTTCGAGTAGCTATGTTCAGCCAGGGCAGGCTGACTGTGAGGCTCTAGGAGTGCAAACAAAGACACACACATCCCTGCATACTTCTGGTGCCATAGACCAAAAAAACATTGAAAGTAAAGCGTAACTCCAGAAAAACCCTGTTTCAAAAAGAAACTACAGCTCATGCTTGACTAGCGAGTGTGCATCAACTCTTCCTCCTGAGAGTGGTCGGAGATGCACACGCCGCATCTACTGCAGAGAGCTCCTGGTTCTGTTTCACAGCTAGCTGTCTAGTGTGATAACTATCCAGTCGGTCCTGTCACTTCCTATTGAATCCAATAATTTAGAAACGAGAAATAAAACTGACACCCCAATATCCAAAAATACCTCACTCAGAGTTTGGTAAGTTTTCAGCTATCAGTGTGGTTACCTGTTTTCACATCTGAACAGACGAATCTTTCTTACTGGTCAGGACTTAAGTATTTCTCAGAGGTAGTAGACTACTTTGACAAATCAAAATATACGATAAAGAAAATGCGTTTTAAAACTTTCAACTATTCAATGAATCAATTTTTTTTGGTCTTGATAAAGCTGATGCTTATTTGACAGTGCTATAATGGACACATCTGATTTTTTTTATTTTTTATTCTTATTTATTTGGCCCAGTCTTTTTAACAGCTTTTGGATTCGGCAAAAATTAAGATGCAAAATAAGAAGAGTCTGCAGTTGTCTTAATTTGGTCAAGCTTGAGGTTTGGTAGAGAAGACCAACCATTCAAGATGTGTTCGTAGCTTCTGTAGGTTATTAAACTGATAAATAATAAGGGCTTAAAGCTGAATTATTCAACTTTAAATCAATCTGCTGCCCAAAGGGGGAATTGTTGTGCACTGATTTCTCACTCCACCTGAACAGAAATTAGTTAAATAATATCTATTAACTTGGGAATCACAACATAAATGTAGACTTATCAAGTATGAAGACCTGCGCAGTGAATATATCTTTCAATTTAGACTTATGCAGCCTCATGTAATCTGTGGTAAGAACCAACCTGCTTGTTTCCCCCTGCTTTAATACACTCCTAAAGGGAATAGACACTTTGCAGGCAAGAGTCAGAGCAGAATTACATTTACTGCAGGAACATTTTGAAATGTGAAAAACCAAAATTATTCACACTAAAGTATTTTTTCCAACCACGTATTTAAATGACAGAAAATGATACAATAACTTGTCCCATAAATCCTATTGGCTACACTTATTTGTTAGTTTGTAGGTTTGATATGACAGAGCTGAGATTTGATTTCAGTCTCAGAGTCTGTCTGATCAACTCACCGTCATGAACTTCATCCTTACCGTTTGAACGTCTGACAATATTCTCCAAAAAAGTATTCTGAGGGGCCACAAGTCCCCTCCGGCCCCCCGCCATCCTGCTGCTTCACTCAGGCGTCTGCAGGTGTGTCTTTCCTCCTCGGTCCACTGCTGCTCTTCATGGTCTCTCCGGCTCTGACACGATGCGTGGATCTGTGTGTGAGGAGCTGCGTGTCTGCTCTGCTCATTAGCTGTTTCTCTCCCTCAGCCCTCTGCGGTGCGGTGCGGTGCGGTGCGTTGGCGCTTCCTCGGTGAGACACGCACCTCATCTACCACGAGACGAAAACAACGCCTGGACAAACCGCACAGGAGGGGCCGCCACTCTGCTGCTATCAAGGGTTGACAGGAGCTGGAGCGCCGCCTGCTGGACAAAAGTGTGTTAGGGAACCCTGAAAGTGGAGCTGTGCAATATCTGAAAGGCATATAGGACACTGATATTGAAAGTAAAGTAAGGCAATGAAAAATATGTCCAATTGTCTATTTAACATGACATTGATGATAATATGAGGATTTTTATGTGGATTATAATCCAGGTCTGAATTACTAGAGAAATTATACAGAAAGAAATTATAAAGAAATAAGCAGAAATACATACCTACATCATAAGTCTCGCTGAATTCTCATGTGACTTTTTCACAAGTACTGATGTCCAAGATTTAAACTTGATATTTGTTTTCAAATTTATGAAAAAAGCACAATAGGCTTCTTCAACTATTTAGAATTTGAAAACACATGACAAGCTTATGAAACTCTTCCTTAAATGTCAATTTACAAAGAGTTCTTGTGTCCAAATGAAAAGGATAAGTGGTCAGTGAGGAAACCATTTCCATGACTCTTACACCAGCTTGTACGCTCTTCTGATATGTTACAGGACAGAACTACAGCAAGAGCCAGCACAACACTGGAATCTCTCTATGTGGATTTTCAGGTGTCAAGCTCCAATTAAGAACTTTTAAGTCAGTTTTGGTACCCCTTATGGACAAAGCAGTATTTGCTTATCATGCCCTTCATGTGCTTAATGTCTTTTCACACTAAATCTCATTCTGTCGACTTCTGACAGTGAAATGAATCATTTATTGAGTATTTTCTGAGGAGAATCTTAAAAAACAGGACTGTTTCTTTAGCTGTCGGGCTGACAGCTCCCCTCTGACACCGCTTCCCGGCATTAAAAACTGCAATATTAAAGTCAGCAATTGTATCATTTGTTTACTTTGAAGATCTTAAAAAGGCATCAACAAGCCTTCAGTCTACTTCACAGATGTGGGGCTGTATGCCCTACTTACCCTCTCTTCCCCCATTTTCATGAAGTAAGAAAGAAGAGAGAGACAGATTATTGAAGATTAACCCCATGCTTTCAACTTTTTAGGTCTTTTTTCTTCTCACACAGATGGCTTTACATCCTCTGCAGGTTTACCAAATCATTTTTTTGCATAATTTTCGTGGTACTGTTAAGACATTTCTCCTCACACAGATCAAGTTGTTTAACATTTCAAGATAGTGAGGTGACAAAAATTACCAAATTTTTTCAACACTGATCATCTGAGAGTCAAGACAGGGGGCCCCAACACAATTTTGGGGACACCCCTGATGCATAACTATTTAAACTGTTTGATACTTCCATGTTTGCCAAGTCCTAAAATCAAATTAAGCAGGATACATTTTATAACAATAATAATAATAATAATACAAAAGTAGTCATCCTCTGAATTTTGAAGAGTTTTTGTGTAATTCATCTGTCTTATTACAAATATATTTTTAACTTTTTAAGCAGCAGAGGAAGCTTCACTTGGCCCAGTGGTATTTTGGTTGGTTAATTTTTTATGAATTCATCACTTCAAAGTGGGAGTACTAACAGACTAGGAAATCTCAACCACATGAACTTTTTCCTATGTGACTCTTACAGCAGGCGACTGTATTTTCCCAATCAGCTTGTTAATCCTGCTCAGTTATTTTGGAGCATGCAGCACCTGCACTACAACAGGACTCAAATAAAGGTTTGGTTCCTACATTTCCATCAAAACACAGACAGATAGACAGCATGATGGCCAGTGTTGAAGGTTTCTTATTGGGTTCACCTGTTGTCACAGGTGTAAATCAGACCAGGATGGCTGCCATGGAAACTAGCGGGCTGTGGGTGCTGCAGTATTGAATACAGTATTGCTGCTTTTGTCTAACAAATTAAAATAATACCAACAGATGAGCCATGGTAGTTTGTGCATATTGGTTTATGCAAGGGGGGGGATTGTTCATGAGTTTGTATCTTGATTCGTTTAGCATTGTATTCCTTATCTAAACGTTATTATACCAATCTAAGTAGGATAAATACAAGGGGTTTCTGTTATGATTCTCACATGCTCTTACCAAGTTAAGTGTAAAAGGATCAGTTTTATTGGCCAAAGGAAACTGACTCCAGTAGACTCAACTCTCTTTTGTAAAAACATTAAACAGGAAATATTACATGTTTGATGTTCGTATATAGACAGCAAAGTCTACCAGACTTATTATGAATTAATTCAAAATTGTCTATGACCTCATATGCATGAATATACTTAGCAGGTTCTCCAACAGACAACCAAATAGCCTCAGTCTTCATCCCTTTATTCATGGGTTGATTATTGCTTAGTCTGTTTGCTTTGTGTTTGTGTCAACGCCTTCTTCCTTGTTACCACCGTCAGTCCATCCTCATATGGTAAGAGTAAGGTTATGATGACTGCCTTCTAAGTATTAGTGGGGTATTGATAACAGATACATAAAAGGCAATAAAAGTCGACACGTCATCTGGTATCTTACATGTGAGGGTCAAATTCCTGAACAATGTCCGTATCTGTGTCTCAAGAGTCTCATGCTCTCCATAAACTAGACACTAAAAGGTTTTAAAAAAATTGTGTCAAGAGTCTTCCACCAAAAAAGAAAACATGGCCCAGGCTTTTACTGAATCACAAGGCTTTCACATACGGCAGAGGGAGGAGCTTGTATAATTTTGTTCAACAGAGAAATTAACCCTGAAAAGATGAGTCAAAGTTGCATAACTTTGCCCAGAACTCCCTGGACAGATTGATAATTCCACCTTTTCCCTAAAGGAATACGCTTTAGTAGTTCATATAATTAGCGCTTTTCTAAGCAGTGGGGAGCTTAAGTTTCTCAACATGAAAGTGGATTTAATTAATGAGCACTATAATAAGAGGCCACAGAACAAATATGAAGTTTTAAGCAGTTTTATCCAAAGAAGCTTCATTAAATATGGAGCTGTATTAATCTTGTTGCAGTGTGGACTCAGACAGTAATGAAGAACAGTTCAGAGATTTGTTGTGTGGAGTTTAAGCAGTCGATTGTGGAGTTGAGGCTTTTCACAAAGTTCCATTTCACATGAAGAACATGATGAAAGAGCATAAATACATGTCACATTGTCTCGCTCTGAGGCAGTCTTTGCAGGTCTCTGCCCACATTACCACGTCTTGGTGATTCGAAGGTGACTCAGGTGGTCTGTCATGGTCTTGTGTTCAGGGAAATTGGCGAATTTGGCTGTCTTGATCTTGAGCCAGTTCTGGGCTCTCCGCTCTGCTGCGTGGCAGTACTCTTGCTCAGGGGTCATGTACGGCCGGCTGATCCAGTATTCGTTCTCAGCCTCGCGCTCCAGGTGCTTTAGTGTGTTGCGTTTCATCTGCCATGTGATTTGTCGTGGACGCCTGTACTTCCCGATCCACTGCTTTCCAGGGATGCCTTTCCGTAGTAGAGCGAGGGTGAGGAACATGGTGGCAAGTTATCTCTAGCAGGAAAAATGATTCAGACAAAGAAAAGTTTATTGTGACAGGGTTAATGTTACTACTGAGAATAGTGGATCAATACAGGTATCAATAAGAGTGTGTCAGTCATATCTCCAAAGAAACCGCTGCAAAAGTGCAGAAGAACTGAGTCACTTTTGCAGAGACATGATTACTTCATGTAGTAAAAGAAGTTAAGGTGTTATTTATGGCATTAATAATGGCTAAATACTAGTAACCAGTAGTCAACCTATATCATTTTTTCAATAGCTGATGCTGAAACCAATAATGTGAGAGCAGGTTGATTTGTGATGTTATACTGTTGTTTTATATATCAGTCTTGTGAGGACCAGTGCAGATATGATGTATGTACAAATGCCATTAATCGGCCTGATTGTTTGCTCGCTCTTTAAAAGCCATGTTACTCAGAAAGTCATGAAATTATTCCAGAATACCAACATCAACACCAAGATCCTGATACTGAATTAAATATATGGAATTTGGTCATCCAAAATTGACTTTTTACTCATGTACGTCATATGTACTACAAAAGATGATCAATTAATATCCACCCACACCCGCTGACAACTCAGAGAAATCTAATCAGTCAATAAAACTGTGAAAACACTTGTGTGGGTGGGTTATCAAAGTGCAGGTGCTTAAGGTATCTCATAGGTCAGAGAAACATTAAAATTGACAGTCAGGGCGATGGCGTTGATTTGGCATGATTTACCAAACAGTTTCAATCCTGTGCCTTAATTTCAATTTTTTGGACTTTGTAACCCTTACATACTTTCTGAACTCTGTTGTGGGCAGTGTGCTTGATATGAGTGATACAGCAGATGAAAATACAAACGAGAGTATTTTTGAGAATCTGGAAAGTATTTGATAATCACTGAAAATATCAATCATAGGCTGCATGTCAAGAGTCTCTGCTGTTGACCTGTACCAACACTGCTGACTCATGGACTGTGCTGGTTTTACAGCAGTGTGTGACAATGACATCAACAACAGGCTTATCAACTCAGGGTTGGATAGGTTATCATGTTAAAATGTTGAGGATTTGGAAGTAAAAGCCCTTAAAAGGAGTCTACTCAACTGTATTACTACGACTATAAATAATGTTTTAAGTCACCACTAGTACCCTCGTACTGCCATTCATTTTCAGCTTTAAAAGCATGTATAATAAAAAACAAACAAACAGTGATAGACTTAAGGGATATCTGTCTCAGGGATTATTTGGGGCCATTTTATTTATCAGATGGCCAGAAACACAACTTCCACTAAGTTATAATTAGCACTGCTTTATGTGTCATTCAGCAACTCTTTACTGACAATTTCACCATAATCGAGGGTGAAAATGACAGTTATGTTTTCACAGCATTTCTTATTGGATCAATGTCAGATAAATAGGTAATGGTTTTACTGAATTATTTAGGGAATACCTTTAATATTCAATGGTCACCCCGTACTGAGGACAGTCAGTCTGAGCAGACACTTTCATTATAACAAACTGAATAATGGCCACAAGAACACAAGCAAAGAGCACATCTGAACCTGAACACTAAGGGCAAAACTGAGCTGCAGCGAGAGGTTAGCTTAGCTTTAGCCCCATGTTTACGACCAAAGACAGCTTCAATTTAGAGAGTATTCAACACATTATATTTGAAACATATTATCCCTTACCTCCTTTTATTGTCTGAGAACAATGGTTGACTCCCCGAAACTAACACTAAAATAATGTAAAAGTAAGAGAAATGGACAAATGTGAGCGGCTGCAGTGAGGTCATGAGCCGCGTTTCCGGGATACCTACGGTGCGGAGAAAGGCTCAAAATTTTCGCGTAATTTTGCCCGAATACTTACGATGCATAATTGTCACAGAAATGGGGACTTTCGACAAATCGTTACTGGGTTGAGTTCGGGCTTTTTGTGTGTATTTTTATATGAACAGAAATTGCCGTTCTTCAAACTCTGACCTAAACGTGCTTACTCCTTTTTACATTATATGCTGATTTTAGTCGGGTACATGTTCCCATTTTCCGAATTGGAAAGTTAATTCTCGTCATATTTAGGCGTATTTTCTGTATATTCAAGCTTTTCTCATTGTCCGACGTAAGGTAGGAACAAAAAGTGTGCGGGGAATATAAAAAACAGCTGTTTAAAGTATTTGTGTGTTTTTTGATATGGTTATCTTATCTTTTTGTTTATTCCTTAAAATACCTCAATTGTAACCATAGACTGTATATAGAATAGTTTATAATATAGTAATATAATATAGTATAATATATTATATATGTATAATATAGTCTATATATTCTATACTATACTATATAAAATACGTATCACTATACTATATATAATTTAGTAATATAATAATATAGTATACACAGTATGATTGTAACAACTTGCCTTCCTTCTTAGCCCATCAGTGTTGTTACTGTTATCATTCGTATGCCTGTAGCTATTTACCTTACAGCTCTATGGTTAAAAAAATAATGAGTGTGTACCTAATTAAAGAAGCCAAATATTAATAGTTCCATGTAGCTGATAAAGGAATACAAAATTAATTGCTATCTATTTGTGTTTAATTTGTTAGCCCACACCTCAGGTTCAATGGTTTAAAGAGAAAGAAAAGTTTGATAGTTTAATTGTAGGCGTGTGTTTGCTGTGTTTATCGAGTACATTGATCCGTGTTGTAAACGTTTGCAACAAAAACAACAAGAGTTCAAGTAAAGGTCCTGGGTTTCTTGGTCGGACCCAGGTAGATTACGTCAACAGCCGCTCCAGTCTAAGCCCCGCCCACTAAAGGCTAAACAAGGCTGCCCATTTCCCTTCTTTCCTCACTTTTCATCAAGCCGAGTTCCAGGAAGTTTCTCCCTCTGTTGACAGGCAAAATGTTTCCCTTTGACTTGTTTTCAGCGACCACCTGGACTTTAGTGGCTCTGTGTTTCACCCTCTTTATCCTGTTAGTAGATAATGTCGATTACATTTCCGTGGCCATAACAAGGACGGTTGTTCGTTTGTAATTTCTGTAACTGTCTTTTTATTACTCAGGTATGGACTGTGGCCTTATAAGTTTTTCCAAAAAATGGGAGTGCGTGGACCGAGGCCACTGCCTTTTATCGGGACAATGCACAACATGGGAAAGGTAAGGGAAAAAAACAAACAAACCACAGAGGCAATGTGAGGGTGTTTCTGATGACCATTACAGTGTAGTTTGTTGACCCTCCAGGAACTAACCCAGTGACACAGCTTGTGTTAATATGCTGACTTTATGGTTGGATTTATCCTTCAATTGAACTTTTAAACACCTGTTGACACATTTAATGAAATGTCTTGCAGGGAATAATTGGTTTTGACCGTGAGTGCCAGAACAAATACGGGGATGTGTGGGGGTGAGTTTTTACTTCATCGTTTAAAATACTGACATGTGACACAAGTGGTGGGAAAAGAGGTCTGGATTTTAGCAAAATAAGGTCATGGCAAGACTGAGAGGAAAAAAATCATAGTGCTTCACAAAGAATAGAAGTGTCTTTTATGATGCTCCATAACATGTGTTAAATCCATGTTGTTTTTTTGTTTTGTGCAGATTGTTTGATGGACGAACACCTTTCCTAATGGTGGCAGATCCTGAGATCATTAAAACTGTGTTGGTGAAAGAGTGCTACTCAGTGTTCACCAACCGCAGGGTAAAAGACTACACATAGTTTTTTTTTTTTCTTCAGTGTCTGGATGTTAAACAAAGAGTGACTCTTAATTGCAGAGTTGTGCAAGATATTACCGTTATTACATAACTCTTGGTAATCCCATGAAACACTCTCAGTTGAAGGTAGGGTAAAGTGAACAGCCCATGACCTTGTCACAAGAGTAGCAATACCTTTTACACCACCAAATTACTGAACAGATACTTCTAATATCCAGCAAAAAGTTCACCACTTCTACTTTTGTTTCTGGACCACAAATGAAAAAATTGACAGCTGCGTGTATTTGACACACGTTCAGATTTGTAGTTATATCCTGTTGACATTACAGGCAACTTGAAAAAAAAACACAGACCTAATCTCTTTACTGCTTTACAGGCGCCATAAAAGATCACTCATATTAGAGGAGTAAAACCCATATGTAGGTTTAGAAAATGTAAACAGTTTGTACTGATCATGTTGAGAACTTGAACCTACGAACGTCACAAAGATAAAAAAAAATGTTTTTTTTAACCAAATGTGTTTCACAGAAAACTCTTTATGTAATGGATGGACCCCTGTAAAAAGTTTTAACTAAAAAAAGAAAGTGAAATTTCTACTGATACCTATTTATGAGTGACAAAAGCAAACAAGGCCATGATCCACAGGACTGATAATGTGTGCCGCTTTAAATGTCTAAAATAGCTGCTGTAGGGTAAATGTCAAACAGAGTGAGTTATTGCATGTACTGTGACAATCTCCAAAACAGAGATATATGATGAGAGAGTAAGATTCTTATCGAAAACTGCTTCTCACACATATACAGAATAAGTTTGGCAAAGTTGCTTAAATAGCCCTTTAATGTTGACGCACAGTTCTGGGGCATTGTCAACTTAGTGTAAAGACTGGAAATAAACTAATTTGGCTGCAGTCAGCCATAGTTATTTTGCCTAACACTAACAAACCCAATTCCTAAAAGTTGGGATGATGTTTAAAATGTTGATATGAGCAGATTTTTATGGGTGGTTTGCTAAATTGAGACAATAGACAGAAACTCAAAAGATGAGACTAAAAACTGTTATTTGCGTTTTTTAAATTTAATGCCAGCAAGACGTTCAAATACAAAATACAAAAACAACAGCCACTTCTCTGGATCTGAGCCCATTTAAAGATGGACTCAGGCAAGGTGGAAAAGTTTCTTTTTGTCTGAAATATCAAAATTTGAAATTAGAAAATCATTGACAGTTCACCCTCCATCATCATCTGGCTTGATATCAGCAGACAGTTCAAAAGTCAGCGTCTGGGATAGTATAGGAATGCAGAAATGCTTATAACATAGGTCGCCTCCACAGTCCTGACTTGCCACCAATTGAAAACATTTGTTACATCATGAATCAAAAACTATCACAAAAGAGACCTGAAATACTGAGCAGACAAAATTCTTGATCAGAAAAAATGGAACAGTATTTCACTTTCAAAACTCCAGAAACTGGCCTGTTGTTAAAAGAGGTGTTGCAACGCAGTGGTGAACTAATGTGTTTGTGCACCACCATTTAATATGCTGTCTGAGAAAGATTTTGCCTAATAGTATTTTCAAATCAACCGGGAGTCAGACAGTTCATTCAGAGTTAAATGATTGAGCCCTGAGCGGATGAGATCACCTGTATGGCCTGGGAAATTGAAATGCTGCAAAGTTTTGTGCACAAAATAACAAGAATTCACACTGTAGTAAATTGGGATTTTTTTATTACAGGACAACATGTTTGGAGGACCTTTTGAGGACTCAATAATATCAGTTAAAGATGATAGGTGGAAAAGAATAAGGAGCACACTCTCACCATGCTTCACCAGTGGAAGACTGAAACAGGTCAGTGTTGTATCTGTTTCACTACCCTCTTCTATAACATGTAATTTAACTAAGTGCTGTATCTTTTGCTTCGATTGAAAAAAATGAATGTGTACAGTATATAATATCATGCATGTATTCTTTTCTGAAGGTTTTTCCCATCGTTGTTCGTTATGCAGACCGGCTGGTGGAAAAGCTTGGAGAGAAAAAAACGAATGAATCGGTCGATATCAAACAGTATGTTCACTACTTATGATCATGTCATTGTCAAAGAGGTAGTATTTACTGAGTACCATACTTAAGACCGATATGAAAGTGAATCTTAGCTACTAATTAAATGAAACTGCAGTCATCACAGGCTGTCCAGTTAGAACATGAAACATGCTGGCAAATGACATCCAAGCTAACACACTCTCTTGAGATTTCACTCATTTATTGTCTGCTACAATATAACTATACACAAGGAACAATGGTAAATATCAGTGAAAAAAAATGCTTTGACTAATTGATATAATTTAATATAATATGATATGATATGGTTGAGGATGTTTGTAATTAAGTAAATGAACACAATAGCATTTAATCTATTTGGGCTCCTCTCCCTTTTCTCTAGGTTTATTGGACCCTACAGTTTGGATGTTATCACCAGTGTGTCTTTCGGTGTTGAAGCAGATGCCATACAAAATCCAGAGGACCCGCTGGTTGTTCATATCAAAAAGATTTTAAACTTTAAATTTTGGCCAATCCTTTTAACAAGTGCGTTCTCACCTCACTTCTACTGCAGACAAAGATCATTTCATCATCAGAATACTTTTGTATGCAAAGTCTGGTTAATAATCCCTCTGTGTCTCTTCAGTGATATTTCCCTTTGGCGCTCATTTGTTGAAGCTCCTTGATGTTGACATAATGCCAAAACTCAGCGTGAACTATTTCTACGACATCATCAAGAGATTTAAAGACGAGCATCAGTCTGAAAAATCAGTAAGTCTCTCCTCTGACAGAGAATTGAAGGAACTTTTTGATATTTTGGAAAATACACTGACTTCATCTTTAGAAGTTACAAGATAAGACAGACAGAGTCAACAGTCATTGTAAAAAACTAATTTATCCACTAGCTAACTAACCAGGTATGATATGTGCTGACATCTGCTGCCATTTGTTTGTTTGTTCCATATGATCATAATGTGAATGGACTTTTACCAACTAACAAAACAGTCTACAGATCTCTTGGTCTGTCAGTTCAAATCCCACACAGTAATTCATATGATTTGTCTTATTGTTGCTTGAAAATTTATGAGGATAATAACCCTACAAGCATGGCTTAATAATTGAAATCAGTGACTTTTAACTGAGGTGACATCTTGCAGACAGCAAGCAGCACCAAAGTTTGAACCATAAACATAAGTCTATGGTTAACATTAGGGAGCATCCACTGAATGAGATATCTCAGTGAATGCTTTTACATTTAGAGGTGATACACATTCCGTTGCATTGTCTAGTTTAATGTTAATATGTTCTGTGCACAGGTCCGAGCAGACTTTCTCCAGGTGATGGTTCAGAGCGAGATACCAGATTCGGATGTAAAGAGTGAACAGGACCAACCCAGTAAAGGTATGTTTACAGCACAACAAGGATTCAGGCTCTTCAACTACTTCAATCATTACATTTACATTGACCGAACACACAATTAAATGTTAGCTTACCTGATATAGCTGCCCTCTGTTTATTGTATCTGAGGAATAAATACACTGATTACATTTTGATCAGCTGTTGATCTATCTGGTAACATTTTTTTTTGTGTGTTTTGTTTCAGGTTTGACTGAGCACGAGATTCTCTCCCAGGCCTTCCTCTTTATTTTTGGTGGCTATGACACCACCAGTGCCACTCTCAGTTATATTATGTACAACCTGGCCACCAACCCTGATGCCATGCAGACCTTACAGGAAGAAATTGATGCCAACGTGCCAAAAGATGTACAGTCATTCTTGCATTCATCTTATTTACAACTTTAGAATAACTGGAACAATGTTTGTTTGACACCTCTTTTCACCCTCTCTGTCCAGGCCCCTGTTTCATATGAGAATCTGTCCAGTCTACAGTACCTGGACCAGGTAATTAATGAGTCAATGCGTTTGCTTCCAACTGCACCTCGGCTGGAGAGGGTGTGCAAAAAATCTGTCCAGGTCCACGGCCTCAACATACCTGAAGGAACTCTCATTGGGATTCCTGCACACTTATTACACATGGACCCTCGCTATTGGAGTTCTCCTGAGAAGTTCAGACCAGAGAGGTAAGTGTACAAAAACCTGTCGTGTTTTTCTCCTTTTACGCATGAACCTGTAAAGAGAGGGGACATTCTTTCTTTTTTTGTTTTTGTTTGGGAACCAAAGCAAATGTTATGAGGTAACATCAGCACATTGTTCATAAAGTGAAACTTTTGGTCTCTGAGCTGATGTGGAGTATTCTGCTGTATCACATCTTCTTTAAAAGACAGGTTTCATGTCCACTTATCAGTCATGATGGTCAGAATGTGAAACAGAGAGAAACTAATAAGTTTTTTCTTGGTAATGGCAGGGACTACATTTACTACTTAAGAGTAACAAGAGAAGAGGCAAGAAGCCAGAGTGCTGAATGACACAGTGCTGAAAATAACAGGAACATCTTTTCAGGATGTGCAGATGTAAGCATAGGAAGTCACTTAGTCTTGTCTGTAATGTTAACCTCTGACTTACTTGCAAACTGAAAGAATCACTGCATTAAGTTTTTAGAATCAACCACTTAATTGAAAACAATTACACAGTTTTTTCAGGTAATAATTCATACTTTTGCAATACAATGCATGGCTTTCTGTCCTGATCCCCCTGATTACTACAGTAACTATGTCATGTGTGTATATGTGTGCAGGTTCAGTGAAGACGGGGAGGAGGTGAACCCATACGCATTCATGCCATTTGGACTCGGTCCCCGCAACTGCATTGGGATGCGTTATGCTCTCCTCACAGTGAAGATGGTTCTTGTCCGTCTTCTGCAGAATTACACTGTGGAAACATGCAAAGACACTATGGTAAGAGTTTGAATGTGTATGTGAGCTCAGATTGTTCACCTTTAATCCAACTCTTCTTTTACTAATATACAAACTGTACTTTTCTCCCGTTAGATTCCTTTGGAGTTTGACTGGAAGTTCCAGCCAAAAAAGCCAGTAAAACTCAGCTTTGTCCCCAGACAGTAGTTATCAAACTGGGAGTGAACTGTATCAAATACTGCTGAATTGGCCACATTATTTACCTTTATGTTTTTGTATGCATTTCCTTTGAGATTTTAATGTATTCACTTTTGTCTTTATACAATATATGAGTTGATTCACTGTTGTCAATGATGCACTGAAAATGTATGAATGTATAACTACAATAAAATATATCAATTATAAGAAATTGCTCTCTACATGTATACATTTTAGACGCAAATTCACCACATTCAATTACCCATAATCCAACCAAATCTCTGGAAGGATCAGGTAAGTGAATGTGTAGTTGTTAGATTAGATTGGATTATATATCTTTATTTCTCCTTTTAGGAAGGTTCCCTCAGGGAAATTAAAAATGTTGATTGATGTACTACTACTTATCCTACTTAAATTTACTTTAGTTTTCCTGTATACTTTGGAACTTTCTCACAACAAATACTGGAGCAGCCATTTTTCCTATTGTTTCAAAACTGACAACTGATACAAATGTTTACACCAATTTAGCTGTAAGAACTTTTTATCTTTTACAATAACAACTAGATGCAGTGAATGCCAGCGTTAGAATACAGTATCAAACCACGTGATGCTGTTGCTCTAACATTGACCGGTGTTTGTCTCCCTCTAGTGGCTGATCAACTTTGCACGAGCCTTTTCAACTGGACTGCACTGAATTCTTAAACTTGCACATCTTTTGAATAAACTTTTTCACAAACAACAAAAACTGGAGACCCCTTTTTGAAATTATCCTTAAAACAGAGTACAAATTGGCTCTTCTCCTCTGAGGGCTGTGAAAGTTCACCATAAAACAGCCGTTATCAGTTTTTTTCTGTGTACAAAGGCTGAGGTTTTCCCTTTCCCTAAAATTGCGACAGTGCATTGAAAAAATAAAGGACTTTTAATTAGACTTCCTCAAGCATAGAGAGTAAAGAAGGTTGTTTCATCTTACTCTCTGTTGGGAACTAAGGGTTTCAGATCTTGGTGGTCTTATTTGTCCAAGGTTCACATCTCCTCCATTGCAGCCAATGTAGACTTGTTGATAGGAACAAAAGCTCCCAGGTTATTGAAACCATGGGAAGTTGAGAACAGTCAGAGAGATGGCCTATATGATAAAAAGACGATTTTGGGTTGGGCCATCAATGGTCTTTGAATGGAAGTAGCCACACTTGTGATGATAAGTCTCCTTCTATTGTAGTAAACAAAATACCTGTGTCCAGTCTTGAAATCATGCTGAACAACCAGTATAATCGGGACTTAAATGAAAGGCCCACAGAGGACAAAGAGATGTCTAGAGAAAAGGTCAGGTTTGTGGAGATTATGAAATCCTCCACAACTTTGCAGGAGGAGAAGTACTGCCTTAAGTTGCTCTTTAAGAGAACAAATGTCCGACTACCAAACAGCTTTGCAGCGGCTCAACAGCTGTGGAAAAAAAATTGTCAATAACCCACATTTTCACGAGGAATGTGCAACCTGTCTCAATGATGTCATTGTAAAGGGATGTGCAGAATTATTGTCACAAGAGGCATTTACTAGGTCAACGAGGAAGAGTGTGGCACATACCCTACCATGGCGTCTATCGCTGCAGGTGGAGCAACATATCATATCAACAGTGAATTGTTGAAGGGCCCGAACCTCACCAGCTCCTCACTTGGAGTTACCACTTGTTTCAGACAAGAGCATGTGGCATGTTTGGGAGATAAACAAGCTATATTTAACCAGGTGAGGGTTGCAGAAGAAAACAGAGCCCCCCAGCACTTTTTCTGGCGGTCAAAAGGAGACCTCAGCAAAGATCTTGCACTCTACAGGATGACTTGTTTTGAGCCATTTCATCTCCAAACTGCACTAGCTATGTGCTAAGGAGAACTGCTGACAACAAAAGGTCTGACTTCTCTGCAGAGACTGTTCAAGCTGTTAAGCAACACTTTTATATGGATGAATTAATAAACTTTGGCTCAGAAGAGACTGTGCTCAGAAGGCAGAGCTACAAATTCAGCTAGACAGATCTATAATTTGGAGATACAATAAATCAGTTTTAAAAGACATCACATATCAGCTCCAAAAACAATCCAACTGATGTTGAATCCAGGGGAATGAAGGTGGTAGACTTTATGAAAAATCATGGTTGGCTTGAGGGTCCAGGCTTTCTTTGGAAGTGTGAAGAAGACAGGCCAGATAATGACAGTGATGTCAAAATGGATGGTGATGATCCAAAGGTCACAAAGGATGTCTCTGTGATTTCCACTGTGCATGAGTCACTCAGTGCTACTGACCACCTCATCGGTGACTTCATAGATTGGAGGAGGCTCAAGGTATCTGTTGTCTATCATGGAAACTAGCAGTTCTGTATGTGCTGCAGCTAAGCATCAAGATAAATGTATTAGGATCGGTTTTATTGACCAAGTATGTGTAAACATACAAGGAAACTGATTCTGGTAGACTTTACTCTGTACAAAGATTAAACAGGAAATATTACATGTTTAATGTTTGAAAATAGCAAAATCTACCAGAGTTTTTACAAATTATACATTTCTTCAAATACTTGACAGGGTGTGATAAACAACCAAATAACCCCAGTCTTAATCCCTGTAGTTATGGGCTGAGTGTCACTCAGTCTGTTTGTTTTGTGTTTAATTGTGTCAACGCCTTCTTCTTCTTTACCACCGTCAGTCCATCCTTATATGGTAAGAGTAAGGTTATAATGACTGCCTTCTAGGTATAAATGGCGTGTTGATAACGGATACATAAAAGGCAACAAAAGTCAACACGTCATCTGGTATCTTACATGTGAGGGTCAAATTCCCGAACAGTGTCGTATCTGTGTCTCAAGAGTCCCATGCTCTCCATAAACTAGACACTGACTAAGAGGTTTTAAAATGGTGTCAAAAGACTTTTACTAGAAAAAAAATAAATAACTTGACCCAGGCTTTCACTGAATCACAAGGCTCCCATATACGGTAGAGAGAGGAGGCCATTATGTTGTAAGAAGATTTCCATGGACCTTGAAAATGTATTCTTTCACACCTTATTTTACTTTAAAAGGTTTAAAGGCTTTTTTACTCTTGCTCTGACTAGATTATGCTTAGTAACTGTTAGGTCACTTTGATAAACAAAAATTTATTTTGATGCATCAGTGAACTAATACCAGTTTGCATAATTTTGTTCAACAGAGAAATTAACCCTGAAAAGATGAGTCAAAGTTGCATAACTTTGCCCAGAACTCCCTGGACAGATTGATAATTCCACCTTTTCCCTAAAGGAATACTCTTTAGTAGTTCATATAATTAGCGCTTTTCAGAGCAGTGGGGAGCTTGAGTTTCTCAACATGAAAGTGTATTTAATTAATGAGCACTATAATAAGAGGCCACAGAACAAATATGAAGTTTTAAGCAGTTTTATCCAAAGAAGCTGCATTAAATATGGAGCTGTATTAATCTTGTTGCAGTGTGAATTCAGACAGTAATGGGGAACAGTTCAGAGATTTGTTGTGTGGAGTTTAAGCAGTCCATTGTGGAGTTGAGGCTTTTCACAAAGTTGTTTCACATGAAGAACATGATGAAAGAGCATAAATACGTGTCACATTGTCTCGCTCTGAGGCAGTCTTTGCAGGTCTCTGCCCACATTACCACGTCTTGGTGATTCGAAGGTGACTCAGGTGGTCTGTCATGGTCTTGTGTTCAGGGAAATTGGCGAATTTGGCCGTCTTGATCTTGAGCCAGTTCTGGGCTCTCCGCTCTGCTGCGTGGCAGTACTCTTGCTCAGGGGTCATGTACGGCCGGCTGATCCAGTATTCGTTCTCAGCCTCGCGCTCCAGGTGCTTTAGTGTGTTGCGTTTCATCTGCCATGTGATTTGTCGTGGACGCCTGTACTTCCCGATCCACTGCTTTCCAGGGATGCCTTTCCGTAGTAGAGCGAGGGTGAGGAACATGGTGGCAAGTTATCCCTGGCAGCAAAAAATGATAAGTTTATTATGACATGGTTAATGTTACTGCTGAGAATAGTGGATCAATACAGGTATCAATAAGAGTGTGTCAGTCATATCCCCAAAGAAACCGCTGCAAAAGTGCAGAAATGCAGAAAAACTGAGTTAAATCCACTTTTGCAGAGACATGATTACTTCATGTGGTAAAAAAAAGTTAAGGTGTTATTTATGGCATTAATAATGGCTGTATAGTAACCAGTAGCCAACCTATATCATTTTTTCAATGGCTGATGCTGAAACCAATAATGTGAGAGCAGGTCAATTCTTGATGTTGGCATATTGTTGTTTCATGTGCTTTAAACGGTTTAAAAATACCAACAAATGACAAACAAAACTGCCGAACTAAACCTGTTCCCACAAGAGACTCTGGGATTCCTGTCCAATTATCTAAAACCATTAAGATGGAAAAAGACACAGGGTAAATATTTGGATTAAAGGTTGAAAAAGGAAAAGTCACTCATAAATCCATCATTTATGTGTCTTCATTTGGGAAAAGATGATGGGGATATCAATCACCATCATCTGCCAGTGCAGATATGATGCTATTTATGCACAAATGCCATCAATCAGCCTGATTTTTCGCTCGCTCTTTGCAACCTAGTGACTCAGAAAGTCATGAAATTATTTCAGAAAGCATTCTCAATACCAAGATCCTGATACTGAATTAAAAATATGACATTTGGTCATCCCGAAATGAACTATTTACTCATGTACATCAAATGTTCTACAATAGATGATCAATTAATATCCACCCACACCCGCTGACAACTAAGAGAGATGTAATCAGTCAATAAAACTGTGAAAACACTTGCGTGGGTGGGTTATCAAAGTGCAGGTGCTTTAGGTATCTCATAGGTCAGAGAAACATTAAAATTGACAGTCAGGACGATGGCCTTGATTTGGCATGATTTACCAAACAGTTTCAGTCCTGTGCCTTAACTTTAGTTTTTGGACTTTGTAACCCTCACATACTTTCTGAGTGTGCTCAATATGAGTATGTTTAGATACAGCAGATGAAAATACAAACTAGAGGATTTTCAAAAATCTGAAAAGTATTTGATAATCACTTAAAATATCAATCATAGACTGCTATCAAGAGTCTCTGTCCTGAGCTTGAAACCCACTGTTGACCTTTATCAACACTGCTGACTCATGGCAGGGCTCTCAAGTCTCACGCATTCAGCGTGAGACACACGCATTCCCACTCGTTCACACGCCACACATTGTATTTCTCACGCATTTAAATGAACATGGTGATGTCCACCAAGTTGCACCTCTTTAACTATGGAACAGGGGGAAATCAACGGAGTTTCTCCGAGAGTTCCTAAGTTGCGTGCCACGCGCAAGCCAATCAAATAAAGTATATTTACTGAACAGCCAATCAAAAAGCAGCATTGCTGTATCTGGGTAGATTTTGATATCTTGCGGTTTGACTACAGAAGAAGACAGACACTTGCCGAAATAGAGCAGGTTTTTATAAGGCCGAGATAGACCCGATGATTACAGTAAGTCAGTAACCTACACATGCAGAGACCTCAACACCTCATGGCAGATAAACTCATATGATAAACTAAAGCCCTATGCTATTGCTATTAACAGCTGCATTGATGAATTTAGCCTCTGTACAGCCATTTCCCCTCCACAAAAGCAGCATTTCTCATATATTCTTTTTAAAGTTCTGATACTCGTGACAGTGTAATGCTGATATACCAAAGGATTAAGTATCTCCATGTCTGTGAAACCTATACTAAAGTACAATTCATCTAAATGCTCCTCAGTGCTGATTTTAACAACTCTCCTCCACAACAGGTAACTTAACTACTTTATTCTTAAAGTCATTAATGACTTTATTCTCCTAAATAATAACTTTAATCTCAAAGATTTAAAAAAGTTTTTTTCTTTCTTAATGTGGCCCTCATACTCCATTGTATTTATTAGATTATTATACTAATAATTATCTTCAATCACTCCCCAAGGAAATCTCACTCTAAGCTTAGTTCAAAACTTGAGAGCCCTGTCATGGACTGTGCTGGTTTTACAGCAGTGTGTGACAATGACATCAACAACAGGCTTATCAACTCAGGGCTGGAGAGGTTATCATGTTAAAATGAGGAGAACTTGGAAGTAAAAGCTCTTAAAAAGTCTATTCAGCTGTATTTTATTGTTTTCCTTTGTTACTCGATAACCCCATACTGAGGACAGTCAGTCTGAGCAGGCACTTTTATTATAACAAACCAAAATAATGGTCAGTAGCACACAAGAAATAAAAACAGCATGTCCAAATAAGGAGCTCATTGATCAAGACTGTCTGCAGAGACTCATTTCAAGCAGAGACCACATCTGAACCTGAACACTGAGGGCACAACTGAGCTGCAGCGAGAGGTTAGCTTAGCTTTAGCCCGACGTTTCCGACCAAAGACAGCTTGAATTTAGAGAGAATTAAACACATTATGTTTGAAACATATTATCTCTTACCTCCCGTTCTTTATCTGCAAACTTTGGTTCAAACCCCGACACTAACACTAAAATAATGTAAAAGTAAGGGCAACTGACAAATGTGAGCGGCTTCAGTGAGGTCATGAGCCGCGTTTCCGGGTTATCTACGGTGCGGGGGAAGGCTCAAAATGCCCGATCCCACATGAAGCATAATTGTCACGGAAAAGGGACTTTTGACAAGTCGTTACGAGGTTGAGTTAAAGCTTTTTTATGTTATTTAAGGTATAAACACAGGTTGTCGTTCTTCAAACTCTGACCCAAATGTGCTTTCTCCTGTTTACATCAAAGACTCTGCTGAATTTAGTTGGGTGTTCCCATTTCCCGAATTGAAAAGTTCACTCTCGTTATATCTAAGCGTATTTCATTATATTCAAGCGTTTTCTTATTGTCTGGCGTAATGTTGAAAGATTTTTTAAAAACATGCACACTGCATCAATATAAGTTTGTATATTATTGTTGGGGGAGTATCAACAAACGTTCAGTGTAGGCTAGTAGTGATTTTGCAATGTTTATTCCTAAAAACACCGTAACTGTAACAATGCCCACCTTGTTAGCCTATCGGTGTTGTTACTGAAGTCATTCGTAGGCCTGTATTAACTCTACAGCTCTATAGTTATCTAATATTTTTTTAAAAACTAGTATTGGATCATGACAACATGTCAAATGGAGCAGCAAACTTTCGTTTCGTTTTTGTGTGTCTCAAAAATGCACATATAGAGGTGTAGTTGGGTGTATAAACTGTACAGTAAGCTGTCAAAGTAGAGAACATTATATTCTCGGGAAAGCAAATATTCCAAATCAGAGGGCTGTTGTTTTCGGCTTATCTGAAGAGCCTGAATGAAATCATTAAAGGCACACGCTTTTGAATCCATCCAACGGTCAGGAACGCTCGGATTATTTCGCCTTGTTATGCACTTTCGACCGTGCTCCCATTAGGGGTGAATTCTACTGCACACCACCTGTTAACATAACAGCAAGAGGTAAAGGTTCTTGGTCCGATCCAGGTAGACTGCGTCAACAGCCGCTCCAGTCCAAGCCCCGCCCACTAAAGGCTAAACAAGGCTGCCCGTTTCCCTTCGTCTCGACTCACTGTTAATCAAGCCTAGTAAGAGGAAGCTTCTCCCTCTGTTGACAGGCAAAATGTTTCCCTTTGACTTGTTTTCAGCGACCACCTGGACTTTAGTGGCTCTGTGTTTCACCCTCTTTATCCTGTTAGTAGATAATGTCGATTACATTTCCGTGGCCATAACAAGGACGGTTCGTTTGTAACTTCTGTAACTGTCTTTTTATTACTCAGGTATGGACTATGGCCTTTTAAGTTTTTCCATAAAATGGGAGTGCGTGGACCGAGGCCACTGCCTTTTATCGGGACAATGCACAACATGGGAAAGGTAAGGAAAAAAAACAAAACAAAACAAAACAGAAACAACGACCAATAAGTCATTATGAGGATGACCATTACAGTGTAGTTTGTTGAACCTCCAGGAACTAACCCAGTGATAAAACTTGTGTTAAAATGCCTACTTTATGGCTTAAACTGTTCTTCCCTTGAACCTTTGGACACTTGTTGACACAGTTCATGAATTTTTTTGCAGGGATTAATTACTTTTGACCGTGAGTGCCAGAACAAATATGGGGATGTGTGGGGGTGAGTTTTTACTTCATCGTTTAAAATACTGACATGTGACATGAGTGGTGGGAAAAGAGGTCTGGATTTTTGTTCTTTTCACAAATTAGGTCATAAACTGATAGACGTGGCATGACTGACAAAAAATCTTCCTTATCCTGGCTTTAAAATTAAGATATTCCTTAGAGGGTTTGTGGAGATGTGGGAGTTAGATGAAAACATGATAATGTATTTGTATATACTGTATGTGTTTGGTTCCTCAGTGGCGAGTTGTCATATCTGGTTGTAGAAATAAACATGAATTATAATACAAAAACCCAAACAGTTCATTATCATGACAAAATACATAACATGATAAACGTTTCACTATTTGGAATTCATGATTTTCGTGGTTAAACATGGTACTACACAAAGAATAAAATGGTCTGTTGGTTTTTAATGATGCTCAATAACATATGTGTTCAATCCATGTTTTTTGTTTGTTTTGTTTCGTGCAGAGTGTATGATGGACGAACACCTGTCCTCATGGTGGCAGATCCTGAGATCATTAAAACTGTGTTGGTGAAAGAGTGCTACTCAGTGTTCACCAACCGCAGGGTAAAAGACTACACCTTTATAAATTTTTTTCAGTGTGTGGATGTCAAACAAAGAGTGTCTCTAAATTGCAGAGTTGTGCAGGATATTACAGTTATTACATAACTCTTGGTAATCCCATGAATGACTCTCAGTTGAAGGTAGGGTAAAGGGAACAGCCCATTACCTTGTCACAAGAGTAGTAATACCTTTTACACCACCAAATTACTGAACAGATACTTCTAATATCCAGCAAAAAGTTCACCACTTCCACTTCTGTTTCTGGACCACAAATGAAAAAATTGACAGCTGCGTGTACTTGACACACGTTCAGATTTGTAGTCATATCCTGTTGACAGTACAGGCAACTTGGAAAAAAAACATAGACCTAATCTTTTTACTGCTTCACAGGTGCCATAAAAGATCACTCATATTAGAGGAGTAAAACCCATATGTAGGTTTAGAAAATGTAAACAGTTTGTACTGATTATGTTGAGAACTGGAGCCTGTGAACCTCACAAAGTTAAAAACAAGAAGCTTTCAGCCAAATATGTTTCACATGAGACTATTAATGTAAGTCTTGATGCATGGACCCCTGTAAAGAGTTTTTACTAAAAAAAAAGAAGTGAAATTTCCAGTGATAACTCTTTATGAGCGACAAAAGTAAACAAGGCCATGAGTGACAAGACTGATCATTTGTGCTGCTTTAAATGTCTAAAATAGCTGCTGTAGGGTAAATGTCAAACAGAGTGAGTTATTGCATGTACTGTGGCAATTTCCAAAACAGAGATATACAACGGATGAGTAGGATTTTTATTGAAAACTGCTTCTCACACATGTACGGGATAAATGTGGCCTGAGCAGACGAGATTACCTCTATGTTCTGGGAAATAGAAATGCTGCAAAGTCTTGGGCACAAAATAACAAGAATTCACACTGTAGTAAACTTGGAATTTTTTTGTTACAGGAGAACATAATTGGAGGACCTTTTGATGATGCAATAACAACAGTTAAAGATGATAGGTGGAAAAGAATAAGGAGCACGCTCTCACCATGCTTCACCAGTGGAAGACTGAAACAGGTCAGTATCATATCTGTTTCACTACCCACTTCTATAACATGTAATTAGTGCTGTATCTTTTGCTTTCAATGACAAAAATGAATGTGTACAGTATATAATATCATGCATGTATTCTTTTCTGAAGGTTTTTCCCATCGTTGTTCGTTATGCAGACCGGCTGGTGGAAAAGCTTGGAGAGAGAAAAACAGATGAATCGGTTGATATCAAACAGTATGTTCACTACTTGTAATCATGTTTTTATAAAAGAGGTGGTATTTACTGAGTACCATACTCAAGACCTCAATGCAAGCGAATCTTAGCTGCTGATTAAATGAAACTGCAGTCATCACAGGCTGTCCAGTTAGAACATGAAACATGCTAATCCAAGACATCCAAGCTAACACACTCTCTGGAGATTTAACTTATTTATTGTCAGCTTGATTTCTTGGTGGCAGATGAAGGTGAATCTGTAAATGTGTGTGTGTGTATATGCATGTTTCTGTGTGATTTCTACAAAAGAGAATAAGAAAAAATACAAAGAACAGTAAATGAATGAATGAAATAATGTAAAATACAAATATCAAGTGTACAAAAATGTGTCTATACATAGAGCAGGACAAGTAATGTTGTGCAAATCTGTTTAATGCAAGGTTTTCATCAGAAAATAATGAACGAAAGGCAAAGAACTCGTTAATTCTAAGGAAAAATCAACATATTGCTGATTCTGTGATTGCCATTATTTCTGCCCCCACACAAACAGAGCACAGTCCCAGGAAATGCGTGACGGTCCTTTAATGGACGCAAACGTGTAACTGTAAAGATTATTCACACAATGATATACATACACAAGGAATGATAGTAAATAACAATGAGAACAACACTTTGACTAACTGATATAATTTATTTGAAATTATACGGTCAATGTTGTTTGTAATTAAGTAAATGAACACAATAGCATTTAATCTATTTGGGCTCCTCTCCTTTTTCTCTAGGTTTATGGCACCCTACAGTTTGGATGTTATCACCAGTGTGTCTTTCGGCGTTGAAGCAGATGCCATACACAATCCAGAGGACCCGCTGGTTGTTCATCTCAAAAAGATTTTAAACTTTAGACTTTGGCCCTTCTTTTTACTGAGTATGTTCTCATTTACTTCTATTAGAGACAGAGCTCATTTGATCCTCATAGTATTTTTGTGTATTATGTATATGTATATATGGTTTGGTTAACAATTCCTCTGTGTCTTTTCAGTGATATTTCCCTTTGGCAGTCGCTTGTGTAAGCTCCTTGATATTGACATAATGCCAAGACTCAGCGTGAACTATTTCTACGACATCATCAAGAAATTTAAAGACGAGCATCAGTCTGAAAAATCAGTAAGTCTCTCCTCTGACAGAGAATTGAAGGAACTTTTTGATGGCTTTCAGAGCCAGCCCCAAGTGGCAATTTCAGGAGCTGCAGTTTTTGACTCGAGGCACATTTCCTAAATGTCAAGTTGTTCATTGAAGTCTAGATCTTATTGTCTTGTTTAAATCAGTTCAGCTTGCAAACATAAGAATGTTCATATCTCAGTGAATGCTACCTTTTACATTTAGAAGTGATACACTGTTCTGTTGCATTGTCTAGTTTAATGTTAATGTGTTCTGTACACAGGTCCGAGCAGACTTTCTCCAGGTGATGGTTCAGAGCGAGATACCAGATTCAGATGTGAAGGATGAACAGGACCAACCCAGTAAAGGTATGTTTACACCACAATAAAAAATGTGTGTCCCCCCCAATTGGTATCGGCCCAAAGAAATCCACATCGGTCGGGCCCTAATTATAATTATTAATTTAGCCAGAATGAACTCAGGTTTGTTTGGAAAAAAATGTAAAGTATTAGGGCGGGCTGACAACACAAGATTCCTTGCTATTAGTTTAGTTTAAATCATAGAGCACTACCCTCTAATCTGAGACCGAACACACAATTAAATGTTAGCTTGGTTTTAAAATAAGGAAACATATCCACATGTATACAGGTCAGTTCAGCCACTGTGTAATTTAAAGATGAAACCTGATATAGCTGCCCTCTGTTTATTGTAGATGAGGAATAAATACACTGATTACAGTTTAATCAGCTGTTGATCTATTTTGTAACATTTTTCTGTGTTTTGTTTCAGGTTTGACTGAGCACGAGATTCTCACCCAGGCCTTCTTCTTCATTTTTGGTGGCTACGAGACCACCAGCGTCACTCTTAGTTATATCATGCACAACCTGGCCACCAACCCTGATGCCATGCAGACCTTACTGGAAGAAATCGATGCCAACGTGCCAAAAGATGTACATTCATTCTTGCATTAAACTTGTTTCCAACTTTAGAATATGAGAACAATGTTTGTTTGACACCTCTTTTCGCCCTCTCTGTCCAGGCCCCTGTGTCATACGAGAATCTGTTCAGTCTACAGTACCTGGACCATGTTGTAAATGAGTCAATGCGTTTGAGTCCAACAGCACCTCGGCTGGAGAGGTTGTGCAAAAAATCTGTCCAGGTCCACGGCCTCAACATACCTGAAGGAACTCTTGTTGGGATTCCTGCACACTTATTACACATGGACCCTCGCTATTGGAGTTCTCCTGAGAAGTTCAGACCAGAGAGGTAAGTGTACAAAAACCTGTCGTGTTTTTCTTTTTACACATGAACCTGTGAAGAGAGGGGACATTCTTTCTTTTTTTTTTTTTGTTTGGGAGCCAAAGCAAATGTTATGAGGTAACATCAGCACATCAGGCCACATATCAGAGTCAAGAAGCCAGAGTGCTAAATGACACAGTGCTGAAAATAACAGGAACATCTTTTCAGGATGTGCAGATGTAAGCACCGGAAGTCACTTAGTCTTGTCTGTAATGTTAACCTCTGACTTACTTGCAAACTGAAAGAATCACTGAATGAAGTTTTTAGAATTAACCACTTAATTTAAAAAAAATTACAAAGTTTTTTCAGGTAATAATTAATACTTTTGCAATACAATGCATGGCTTTCTATCCTGATCACCCTGATTACTACAGTAACTATGTCATGTGTGTATATGTGTGCAGGTTCAGTGAAGATGGGGAGGAGGTGAACCCATATGCATTCATGCCATTTGGACTCGGTCCCCGCAACTGCATTGGGATGCGTTATGCTCTCCTCACAGTGAAGATGGTTCTTGTCCGTCTTCTGCAGAATTACACTGTGGAAACATGCAAAGACACTATGGTAAGAGTTTGAATGTGTATGTGAGCTCAGATTGTTCACCTTTAATCCAACTCTTCTTTTACTAATATACAAACTGTACTTTTCTCCCGTTAGATTCCTTTGGAGTTTGACTGGAAGTTCCAGCCAACAAAGCCAGTAAAACTCAGCTTAGTCCCCAGACAGTAGTTATCAAACTGGGAGTGAACTGTATCAATATCAACACCTTTATCAAAATTAGCTGAATTAATATATTTGTATTTTTGTGATTTATACTGCTGAATCAAATGTAGGCCACATCATTTACCTTTATGTTTTTGTATGCATTTTCTTTGAAATTTAATGTGTTCACTTTTGTCTTTATACAATATATGAGTTGATTCACTGTAGTCAATGATGCACTGAAAATGTATGAATGTACAACTACAATAAAATAAATCAGTGGCAAGAAATAACTCTTTTATGTGTATAACTATTAGACTCAAATTCACCACACTCAATTACCCATAATCCAAACACATCTCTGGAAGGATCAGATAAGTGAATGTGCAGTTATGTGATGGAGACACTAATACTGGTCCTACTTACATTTCCTTCGATTTTCCTGTGTACTTTTGGAATTTTCTCACAACAAATACCAAAGCAGATATTTTACCCACTGTTTCAAAACTAATAACTAATGCAAACGTGTTTACACCATTTGACCATAAGAACTCTCTCCTTTTTCAGTGACAAATAGATGCAGTAAATGCCAGGGTTAGTAAACTAACAGACCCATGTGATCAGGGCTCTCAAGTCTCAGGCATTCAGCGTGTGACACACGCATTCCCACCTGTTCACACGCTCACACGCCACACATTGTATTTCTCACGCATTTAAATGAACATGGTGATGTCCACCACGTTGCACCTCTTTAACAATGGAACAGGTAGAAATCAGCTGAGTTTCTCCGAGAGTTCAGAAGCTGCGTGCCACACGCAAGCCAATCAAATAAAGTATATCTACTGAACAGCCAATAAAAAAGCAGCATTGCTGTATCCGGGTAAAAATAGAGCAGGTTTTTATAAGGACGAGATAGACCCGATGATTACAGTAAGTCAGTTACCTACACATGCAGAGACCTCAACACCTCAAGGCATATAAATTCATATAATAAACTAAAGCCCTATGCTATTGCTATTAACAGCTGTATTGATGAATTTAGCCTCTGTACAGCCATTTCCAGCCATTTTCCCCTCCACAAAAGCAGCATTTCTCAAATATTTTTTTTAAAGTTCTGATACTCATGACAGTGTAACGCTCATGTACCAAAGGATTAAGTATCTCCGTGTTTGTGAAACCTATACTAAAGTACAATTCATCTAAATGCTCAATGAGGTTGCTGGTTGCTCAGCTGATGTCGAGGAACATTAGCTCCTCTTCCTCCCTCTTCATCCCCTACCTTGACCCTTTCACCCTACCCTCTGACATTTCCTCAACCCCCTCACCTATCCCTCATTCCTTTCCTTCAACCCCTCCAACCCCCTTTTCCCATTCTGTTACCAACCTTTCACCTTTCTAATGATCCCAACTCTAACCCTCCTTCAATTTCCAATTTAAAAAAACTAAAATTTTTTTTTTTTAAAAGCTGCAAAAAAAGCATGTATATATTTTTTTAAATGTATAAAGAATATACATTGAAAAAAAATATATAAAAAATAAATAAATAAATATATATTTTAATACAAAAAATAATAATAATAAAAAATCAAAATATAAAAATATAATCACAAAATTTTCCCCTCCTCGAGCCGCCACCTTACCGTGGTGGAGGGGTTTGCGTGTCCCAGTTATCCCAGGCGCTAAGTTGTTGGGTGCTTTATGCCTCTAGTAGGGTCAACCAAGGCAAACAGGTCCTGGGAGAGGGATCAGACTAAGGGTGGCTCAAATAACAGACAGCTGACAGTGCAAATTCTTTGAATATCAAGCAATTTAAGATGTTTATTAAACATCACTTTATTTTGGAGGGGTATACTGCTAATATTAAAGGGGATGTTGGACAGTATTTGGAAAGGTGGGAAGCATTTATTGAAGTGGAAGGCTGGCATTTAACTTAAAAAAAAAGGAAAGCAAAACTTGGTGTACTGTTTGATGTTTTTTTTTTTCTTTTTTTTAATTTTATTTCCCTCTACCCTTCATTATATTATTATTTATTTAATTTGATGATGCACTGTATGTCTTATGTTGTAATGATGTTTTTGGTGTGTGCTTGTGTTAATTGTTTTTAATTAGCTTCGTTTGTTTGTTTTTGTGATTATCACTGTTCTGTCTATTGGTGGTTTATGTCATGTTATGTTATTTTTGTTCAATAAAAGAAAAAAAAAAAAAAAAAAGAATGACCACAGTGAACTGCCTTTCACACCAGATGGTGATCATGCAGTCCACACCCTGGCTCTCATATGCACCAGTTTCTGCAAGATGGAGAAAGGGGAATTCCCCTCAGAAGGCAGGCGCTTCTGGGGGAATTCCCCACTGAGGGGGTGTGACATCACAATGACATGTAGAATGTGATGTCACACGATGACATCACATGAATGTGATGTCACACGATGACATCACACGAATGTGATTTTACACGATGACATCACGTTCTAGCTCTGATCCTTTGATCTTCAAAAGCTAACTCAGACCTTGCACACTTGTTGGCAAGAGTCACGTAGGAGCTACTACAGAGACGATCAACAGTTAAGTCACGTAGGAACTACTATACTACAGAGACGATCAACAGTTAAGTCACGTAGGAACTACTATACTACAGAGACGATCAACAGTTAAGAGCAGTCGACTGAAGACTAATCAGAAGAACCATGTCCAGAGCAATCACACCTGAATCTGTGGGACCGCTGGGCCACCGGCCCATGGCACCACTTCAACAGGAGCTTGCCAGTGCTCGTGCTGAGATTAGAAATCTTAGAAACGAGCAAAGGGGTGAACAGGAGGCATGGATGAATGAGAGGGTAAAGCTGGGCTACAGAATTCACAACGGGAAATACAAAGTGAACCGTCTGGAGGGACTCATTGACGTCAGAGAAAATGGATTCAAGGAAGAACTCCAGAATAATGTCCAGACTATTGAAAGGCTGGAGGCTGAGATCCAACGCCTCAACAGCACCCTCAAATTAAGAGACGAGCAGGTGGAGCTTATCCAGCGCCTGCAGAAGGAGCAGGAAGAGAAGATGTGGGCTCAACTTAAGGAGGAGAGACAGAAAGTTCATGAGCTCCGAGAACAGCTTTTTCAGGCGTCTCAGGAGAACCTGAAGGCTGTTTCTCTGAGCAAGAACAATGAAACAATGCTGAAGCTCACAAAACAGCAGCTTGAGCAGAGGGACAACCACATCATGGAGCTGAGGAGGGAGAAAGAGGGTCTCACTCAAAGACTCATTGAGACCACAACTCAGCTGCAAAACAACGAGACCCTCCAGAAGAAAAAAAGGAAAGACCTGGAGGAGGAGAACCAGATCCTGAAGACCAGAGTCAGTGAGCTGGAGAAAAGGAATAAAGATCTGGTGGGAAAGGAGGAGACTCTGACCTTCAGAGTTGAAGAGGCCGAGATTGCAAAAGAAAGAGTGATTGAGAAGGAAAAGACTCTGACAGACAGAATTCAAGAGTTAGAGGAGGAGAAGAGGGAGCTGACTCTTCGCGTCTCTCTAAAGAAAAGACGCTTCCTGTCCAGAGTCTTTCAAAAGGAGACAGAGGAGGAGAAAACCCTCCGAAAACAACTCAAAGAGAAGAAGAAGGAATTAAGGCAGCTGAGAGAAAGAGAAAAAGAGGAGGAAAGAGAACAAGAAGAAGAGGAAAGAGAACATGAAGAGGAGAAAAGCAAAAACCAAGACAGGGGGAGAAAGAGAGTCAAAAAAGGTCTCTGGACCTTAAGAAAGAAGAAAAACAGAGACACCCGGGTAGAGGAGGTTGCTGGTTGTTCGGCTGATGTCGCGGACCATTAGCTCCTCCTCCTAAAAAAATATATTTTTATACAAAAAAAATAAAAGATATATATTTTTATACAAAAAAAATAAAAAATAAATAAAGATATATTTTTATATAAAAAAATGAAAAAATATATTTTTATACAAAAAATAAAAAATATATATTTTTATATAAAAAAAAAAATAAATAAATATATATTTTTATACAAAAAATATCAAAAAATATTTTTATATAAAAAAATAAAAAATAAAAAATATATATTTTTATATAAAAAATAAATAAATATATATTTTTATACAAAAAAATAAAAAATAAATAAAGATATATTTTTATATAAAAAATAAAAAAATAAATAAATATATATTTTTATATGAAAAAATAAATAAATATATATTTTTATACAAAAGAAAAAAAAAATTAATCACAAATTTTTCCCCTCCTCGAGCCACCACCTTACCGTGGTGGAGGGGTTTGCGTGTCCCAGTTATCCCAGGAGCTAAGTTGTCGGGTGCTTTATGACTCTGGTAGGGTCACCCAAGGCAAACAGATCCTGGGAGAGGGACCAGACTAAGGGTGGCTCAAATAGACCTTTGATGATGGGTAGTAGATTTACTTTATACTGAGTTTTACTCACTGCCCGCATTACACTCATCAAAGTGACACAAAGCAATACAAGTGTTCAATATTGAGTTTTACATTCTGTCTGCTCTCTGATTTGGTTTTTCTAAGCAGGCATGGGATACATTTGTCGCTGTAAAAGGCCATTGATAAGGCTTTTCAGGATGTCAATTACATATGGTTAGCTAAACACTGTCGCAATACCATATTGTATCGTATTGTATCCTATTGTGTAGTATCATATTGTATCATATTGTTCCATATTATATCATATCATGTCAGAACACATTCTCCTCGTTAGTATAGTGGTGAGTATCCCCGCCTGTTAGGCGGGAGACCGGGGTTCGATTCCCCAACGGGGAGTGGAAATCAAAACGGAACATGTCTCTTCTCGCTGGGTGAAGCCACTCTGAGAGCAGCACCTTCTGGTGACGGGCTGCAGTATAGGTCATAAATCCCTGTCAGCCATCCTTAAGAGGCTGAGGACAAATTTTAGAAATCAATCACACAGAACAGATTTTTTCCCCTTGCTTGCGATGTTGACATGTAGTTACTGTAAGACTGTTTTGTGCTCAAGTCCTCTTTTTTCTGTACAGCTCTATTTT